TTTTATATTATAAAATATATTAATTAATATTTTCTTAAATAATTAAATAATAAATCTTTTATTATTTAAAATATTAAAGTTTTTAAAACCTTTTAAATTATATTTTAAAAAAAATTTTTTTTAAAAATAATTATTAATATAATATAAATTTATTTAACTATTATTAAATAATAATTTATAATAAAAATTATTAAATATTTATTTATAATTATAATAATTAAAATAAAAATAATTTATTTAACTTTATATATTATATTAATTTTTATTAATTATTTTATAATTTTATTTTATATAAAAAATTTATATTTTTAATTAATTATAATAATTTTTTTAATATTATTAAAAAAAAAAATTAAATTTTTTTTATAATTTTTATATAAAATAAAAAAAATTTATTTTATTTTTATTTAATTAAAATATTAATATATTATTTATTATAAATTTATTATTAAAATATTATTTTTTTTTAAAAATAAAAATATAAATAATTATTTTATTTTTCTTTAAAATAAAAAAAATAACTTTTTTTTATTATTTATTAAAAGTTATTTATTTAATAATAGTAAAAGAGTTTTTTAACTAGGTTTTTTAAAGGTTAATAGAGACTGCTATTATTTTAAAATCCCTAGCAGAGGTAGTAAAAGTAAATATAAAAAACGTTTTATTTAATAGCTAGTTAAATAAAGTAAGGTTTTTAGTAAAAGGGTATCTAAAAGGTAGGGTACCTGTAGGTGTAGGAGGGAAGCTTATTCGGTATGTAAGTATAGCAGCGGCTTACACTTGTAAACGATTTGGGCCGAATACCTATACCCGCTACGACGGCTATGATGTGTTGGCAAAAGTAAGGAAAAAGTAAAGCTGACACAGAGCACCTTTGACGTGACTATATTCTGCATGTATTTAAATAGCATTGATTATTTACATATAAATAACCTATCTAGCTCCGCCGTGTGGCAATGGAAAACCTACTCCACGCTCTTCACTAGCATCATGTCCATCCTCCAGGAAAATCCAACTCACTACTTGACTTGCGCCATACAGTTCAACCGAATATCTGCTAGATTGAGAATGACGTGGCTGAGGGGGATGAAATTATTGCCACTTTTGTCTTCAGCGATAGGAAATCGGGTTGAATTGTTAAAAAAAGTCCATGAGGGAGCAGTTACTGGCGAGTTTGAGTCTACGCACGGTAATCTTGATGAGGCCAAGATTCACCCATATGCAAACAGCACTTCTTTTCACTGGTAAGTGGGAAGCAAGCAAGTTTAATAAACAGCCAGCCATGCCTAATGTACTTTAATAGGTAGTATTTTGATGCTAGGTCTGCTTCTTCAGATGCAAACGTTGTGTTTAGTTTTTACAACGCCGGACCAGAATGTTTAGGCTGGTTCACTGAGAGCAATCTATGGTTTCAAATACAAGGAAACTTTGTTAATGGCATTTCTTTTGGCAACTCATACGTTGCTGCAATTGACGCCATCATTGCTAATGATGCTAAAGGCCTGGCAGCAGAATGGAAAGGGTCTGGTGTCAGTCTTCAAGCAACTAATTTGGACTCGCTATTGATAACATATACTACAACAATGGAGATACCTAGCTTCGGTGTATACGGAACAGTCACGCTTCACTCGGTAAGTGTAATCCCCCTTTTTCATTTCTTCCTAGTTGTATTTCAATTAATAAATGATGATGTCCTATTGTAAAATTTTGCGCTCACTTTAGTTGGATTATAGCACCTCACTATCGTTGTGGGTTGAATGTTGCGGGTGTGAGTGAGGAGATCCTGCCAAATATTGGATGGGCTAACGCTGTTCCCGACGGTTATGCCGTGGTGGATCTTGTCATAAAAGACACGAAACTACAATTCAGAAACGGAATCGCATATCACGATAAGAATCGGGGCACTGCTCCATTGGCAGAAAACCTGGAGACGTAGTATTGGGGTCTCGCTCTTGCAAAGACCTATGGTGAGGACAATTATGCAGGCCGATGAAGAACTATAACTTGTATGAGTGAGCAGACTTGTTCCAGCCAGAAATGAGCTTCTCTCGAACGGATGAATACAGCACCAAAGCCACTAGCCAATACCTCAGTGCTAGAAGTAAGCATACAATTTCTTTTTTCGCTTCCTCCTACTATCAATAAGCACGTGCGTCGACTCATAAATGATACAGCTAAGATCATTAGTTCTGCTACCGCCTCCAACATTGGCTTTGGACAAACGTACAATCTCAATAGTTAGACTAAGGTGTCTCTACCTACGTTTATAGTGACCAAGTTGACAAGAAGTGGTTTAGTTTCAGCAACGCTGTTGCTTGCGATATCCTCTTGAACCTGAAGATGGAAAGCCAAGCATTCTTAGTAAGTAAGTTCTGTTACTTTCATTTTCTCCATTTGCTCATATGAAGTCATTTCGAATACCCGGAATCTCGGTAATTTACTCACGAATTTTATGTCTTGCAGTCTGCATTAGCCCCATGCTTGTCGCACTCGGTATCACCACTCTTACGCCGGTTTCAGAGTTCATATTTTGGTTTCAGGACGCTGTCTCCACATCTACCATGAGCACTCACTTCCGCGGCGAATCGATTACTGTTAAGCCCTCTCTAATTGACAATAATAATAGCAAGATATGCTACACTAAGGAAGGTCACTGGAAGACTTTGGCATAGGAATTATTTGTCTAACCGGATAGTCTATGTGTTGGTGTACCTATTACAAACCCTGTACTATAGGTTAATATAGCAGGTAGTTCCCGAAGGACAAACCTCTGGTTTTAGGTTTCTGTTGGAGGATAGGCCAGGTCGGATAATTGAGTATGTTATCACAGGGTTGCAAAGTTTTTTAATGAATTCAATTTTATCATTGTTCATGTTAACTGGCTATCCAACAATCTGAATTGGAGTAAAATGAATCGGAGTAACAAAAAGAATTTTATATCCAGCGGGCATTTCCTGATCGACTTACACGAATGTCGCTTCAGGTCGACGGTCCATCTGTGCCGACCTTGCCCAAATTGGCTGATCGGGCCAGGCAAATAACTACCTTTGCAAGCTAGTGCAGCTTAGACTCTCTTTGGCTGTAGTAGATACTGAGCAATGACAACTAGGATACCCCGCGTCTATGCCTAAACTAGCCCTGAAGATATCATCAAACCACATGTGTGAGGGATCACGATACCTAGACGCAAGGCACATAGCACTTGAAACTAAGTGCCTCGCTCCACAAGACGAAAATCATAGTTTGCTACACAGGGCGGCGATGCACCAAGAGTATATCGGGAGGAGAAATGGTACATGGAATTGGCATTTGGTATGGTGGTTGGGTGGGTTCTTCCACAATCTTTGCGGGCTTTGGTTGTTAGGCTGCAGCCTGCCGAAGGCCAGCGTATCGGATCCGATAATCCCGGCTAATGAAGCGCTGTGGGTGGGTTCCAATCGGTTCCGATCTCTTACACACAAGGTCTGGCATGGTCTTCACAACACCCCTTTCAGACTGTTGAATACCATATCAAATCATTCTAATTAAACCTCGCTCCAAGCCAACGCGCATATTTTTAGAATTGCATCGGCTTCAAAGAATTTTGCGGTACTTGGCAGAGTCAAGAATCAAGGCAGACGCCAAGCTTCCATAGCATGAGAACTCATTGCCTCGGTAGGTTTGTCACGTTGCTCCCACAGCCCAAACTCCTTCTTTTTAGCACCTAAACTTCCCGATGTTGTCACGCTAGGGGTGGCCCACAGACCCTAAACCACACTGGGGCTGAGGAGATATGGTCCTGATTCAAATGTCCCTGTTTGCAATTTTTAACAACACTCGGGAGAAGGCCGGATTGCTCACTTAGCCCCGAACAGTGCCTATATATATATATATTGTCTGCTGGTCTCTGAAGTTTCCGTTCTATATTCAGATAATCAGTCCTGTCCTTGTACTCACTACTACTACCTACATCTCTTGAAGGATTGTGCTTCTTCCAACGAAAATGCTACCAGAGAATTATTCCAACCGGCCGGTTGCCGTCCTAGGAGGTGGCGTATTGGGTAGACGCATTGGTTCGTAGCACTGCAAGACTCGAGATATAATTCAGGCTAACCTCTCAGCTTGCACTTGGGCATCTGCTGGATATGACGTCAAAATTCGAGAGCCAGATCAAAGCCAGCATGAACCTTGTCTCGACTACATCATGGAGAATGTCATGAAGTACCCTGCTGCCGGAAAGAAAAGTGCTGGAACTGTCAGAATATTCCAAGATCTTGACATGGCTGTCCAAACCGCATGGCTAGTCATTGAGGCAGTTCCTGAGAAAATTCAAATCAAAATAGACACTTTCTCGGAACTCGAAACTCATGCCCCTAAGGATGCCATTTTAGCCAGCAATTCGTCATCATACAAGTCTTCTGAGTTGCTTGGGAAGGTCAAAGACACAACGAAATCGCGAGTTCTGAACACACATTACTACATGCCTCCCGAGAACATGGTAGTTGAGCTGATGACAGATGGTTATACCGATCCAGACATCTTCCCTTTTCTAATGGATAGACAGAGAGAAGTTGGTTCTAAGCCGTTTTTCGCAAGAAAAGAATGCACAGGATTTATATTCAACAGACTCTGGGCAGCGATAAAACGGGAGACGCTATCCATTCTCGCTGAAGGAGTATCAACACCTGAGGAAATCGACACTCTCTTTATAGAATTAACAAGAAGCTGGGGAGGACCCTGCAGGTTTATGGATGGTTAGTATTCTCTTCTTCGTCTTAACTATTCCATTGACATGTGAAAAGCCGTCGGTTTAGACACCGTTGCCCTTATTGAAGACCACTACATCAGAGAGCGTCAGCTATCCTCAACTTATACTGTGGATTTCTTGCGTCGCGAATATCTTGCTAAGGGTAAACTTGGTGCAAAATCTCCTTGTGGTGGCCTCTATCCTCCTCAGCCCAAGAGCGTCGCGTTGGATTTGGGCCAGACACCTGGGATGCAAAACATTGTCTCTCAGGGAGAGATGCGGTTGCATTCCTCATGAGAGCAAAAGAGATGCTTGGTGCCATACTTATGCCTATTGTGGGCCACATACTTAACCTACGGAAGCTAGGTAATATGCGACAACTCCGCATTGCTGAACTAGGAATCTCAACACGGATATGACGCAAGATGGGAATCGCGATGCTGGCTATGGACGGGCTAGTCAGCTACAAAGGAGTTAACTGAGTGAATCACTTCATATACATCGTTAGATGCAAGTCCCTGAGATTGAGATAAAGCAATTGTTCTATGCCCATACATTTGATATGTCAATAATTATAATACATTTGATCTTAAATTGCATAACCGCTATATTGGTCGTGCAAATACGAGGGTAACTCCCTTTACGGAATTTAAGTATCCCCCAGTATCTCATTGTCTGGCCCTGCCGTGGCATATTTCTACCGAGCTGCTTGGACTGACTTTGAGCTTTGGGGGAGATGCCTCAATGCATATTCTAAAGTTGAGTTTAAGCTATCATATGACTCTTGTGTGATATTTTTATTCCTATAATCCCGGCCGATGGCTTTGCGCATGAGTTGCACACACGCGACCACATGATGCGGATAAGGGTCAATCGCGACGAGAGGAACAGTGAACGTGCGTGTCGTTCCGCTCCCCCGAGGCAGGCCTGGTGGAAGAGAATCGATAGCTCGTCTCAAGGTAATGTTATTATGAAGACCAAACGCCAGTGCATTCATGACAGTGTTTTCTGCTTCAATGCTAGCATCTTTGAGATCAACGAGCAAGTCATACCGCTCTACGACTTCTATCGTATCCAGTACCATCAGTATGCTCAAGTGGTAATGAAGCATAAGAGAGACTGGTTATGCCTTCGTTAGTCAAAAAGAATTGGTCTAATTAGGCATTGCATACTTACACCAACGAAGTTTTGTTTGCTGGCCAAGGAACTGCATACGCTTGTAGCATTCGTCAAGAAACGGACGAAAGGTAGTATCAAATTCCTTAACCGAACTGTTAACATAGGAAAGAGCCTTCCGAACTTCAGACTCGTCATGACCATCCCGAAGAGCCTCCCTGAAATTAGCAGCCAGTTTCCAACCTAACAGCTTCCAGCAAGCGGCGGCTGCGATAATCTCATTGGCCCTTTCGTCTGTCATCTCGGCACTACCAAAGCGCCAACTCTTCGAAGATTCATTGAACACGTTCAAGCAGGTCCGTACCAGCTTCCATGTAAATTCAGACTCGAAGCCGAAGAGGCCTGATGAGAGAAGTGGCCTGCAATTGAGCGTGAGAGACGCTGATGTGTCGAATGTGATTGCTGCCCAGTATGCGATATTTTCCGCATTAATAAAGCTAGAAGTGTCGACAGATTCAGGAGTGGCACATATGGAAGTCGAGCTCAACGACGGAAACACTTTCGAGCCACTGAATTGTAGATTTCTCTGTCGTGCTCGAAGAGACTGGACTTGTTGCAAACCCGCGTGGATGCAAACCTGTCCAGAGACACCATCCGTCTCCTCGTCTTCCGAGATACCCATCGGAATTGGAGTCAAGGCAAAAAGAAACAGGGACAGCATCGATCGATACGAGGGGCGATTGATAATTCTCAGCATGTCTCTTCGAGCTTGTCGCCACATCGTCTGGATTTGGTTCAGGTTATTGATGCCGACCAAGTCATCCGAAGAGGTGATTGGTAACCATCTTGCTGCAAAGGCAGCAATCGTATTGCGCAACGATTGTTCAATTAAAACATCTCTTTCCTTGTCCTGCTGGATCCACTGTTCTTGGGCCGAACCTTTGTTCCCTTCCGATGTCTCAGCCATATATCTGTCGAGGTATCGACACAAATCTGATATACTAATGTACCGTTCGGCGAGGTCATCTTGTCCGAATCTATCGCAGTGAGTTAAGGCTACCCTGAAGGAGCACTATTATGTTGTAGACTTACAGGAAAGGACAGCTATACCTGCCCATCCAAGACCCGAAAACGACTTCGAAATTTTGTCTATATAAAGTCTGAAGCCATTCAAAGTGAGAGTCGCTAAGTAGATGCGTCTCAGAGTACGAGGGGGAAGACACAAGGTCCGGCAAAGCCTCATCTAAAGGCTCAAATCGTGAGTATGGCGTAGGCCTGAATCGATGTTGCCAAAAATCATGGCTATTGATGGGAGCCACCTCTGGGGAAGGCGCATTAGTCGGCTCCTCAGCTGATACTTGATCAATGAGAAGATGGGAGGTTCGCCTACACCGGCTTTGCGATTTTGACGAATTAGTTGTATGCTTATTAGTAGAAGATCCCGCTTTGGCATCTTGGATCCACTGTATACGATGATTAGGTTCATTGAATCTTAGGAGCTTGATCTTGGTCTAACTTTGAATGTGCAGGCTCGATTCCGATTCAGACAGCGTGTACAGTGAGCAGATGGCATGCCAGCAACACTGCGACGGCTCTGTGCATCGCATGCGACGCGTGACCTACGGCACTCGTCACAACTAGAAAATTGGGTACGGCGGGTGACAACGCGGTCTCTCATGATCTGAGAATGGGTTAAAGTGGGCCTCTGGAAATAACCGATATGTACTTACACCACAGGAATCGGATCCGAATGGACATTAATGAGATCTAGGACGACTTGAGTGAGCTATAAAAAAAAAAAGAAGGATGTAAAATGGTCCAGAAAATCTCACCGGATCCGTTTCTCAGTTCTTTTTCTACTGGTGCTCCAAATGCGGGGTAAACGCGGGTCATAGAAAAAGCTGGGGAGAACCGGGGTATGAGTAAGAAACTGGAAAGTGATCTTATTGGTAAAACGAAAGCAAGGGAGCTCAGGGAAAAACCAGTGCCATCTCCCGTTTACAGTGAGGATTACCACGTAATACTACACTATCTGTTAAAGTGGCAACACAATGCAGCCGAACCGGATCAGACCGTTCCCCAACCAATCGCTTTAAGGTCCAATGGATGCTAACAGGGATCATCGGAACCGACATTAATCGTGGCGTTAAACGAGAATCTGCATGACTCGAGTATCCGTAGGTCATCAACGCCTACGAATAACACGCCTTAAACATTTCGGATCCGGATTACCGATCTTTAAGCTCAAATCAACATCCCACACACACCCAGACAGCTTCCCCTTGCAGACAATAGTTCGTCCAACAATGCGGGGGAGGACACTAAGAGCCATTCTCTTCGGACGTTGTGCCCTGCTTCCCCAGCTAATCATCTCTTGATTTGTCTAAACGCGTCCCCAAGGGCAAGCCACTGAGTGTTCACCAAAGAAGTATAGCAAACCAGGGCAGTTCGTTGGCCACAAGAGCCAAGACTGCAGGAGCATATATGACGTGGAAACGAGCATATTTCAACCTCTTGATGACCCCCTACATTCTGTTCTCAAGAAGCACCAATTTGTCAACTGGAGCTTTCAAGTTTCTCCTTTGCTGAGCCTCATGAGACTGAATCCCATCATCTCAACCAAGCCACACCAGCATCATTTAACTTAAGCCGAGGAGTATTGCCATCTTCTCTCAACATCATGGCTTCCTACGGTTCTCCCACTGAAAAAACTAATGTAATAGAAGCGGAGATTGCCAATGCTTCTGACCGAAGCGGGAAAGTTGAGATTGACGATGTAAATGGCATCAGGGCGGTTTCAAGCGCTACTCTAGAGTCTTTCTCTCATCTGGATGAGAAGAAGATTCTTCGCAAAGTATGTTTACTCTTACCTTACACAGTCGATGTTGCTAATATCGTGATGTAGATGGATCTTCGGTTAATCCCCATGCTTGCGATTCTCTATCTTCTCTCCTTCTTAGACCGTAGGCGCGATCAAAACACCCACTATATACATCGTACTAACAATGCTCATAACTAGGAGGAAATATTGGCAATGCAAAAATTGAGGGCCTCCAAGAGGATCTCAGTATGTCACCTGACCAATACAACTGGTGCCTTACTGTTTTCTTCTTCACCTATGCAGCTTTTGAGGTTCCCTCCAATTTGCTTCTCAAGAGGCTCCGTCCCAGCGTCTGGCTTCCCACTATCATGGTTGCTTGGGGTACAGTGATGACTCTAATGGGCATCGTACGAAACTACCACGGTCTTCTCATCGCACGCATTTTCTTAGGTGTCACTGAGGCGGGTCTGTTTCCAGGTGTTGCCGTATGCTTCTCTGACCATGTCTTCTGGATCGTCCTCGGCTAACAAAACTGTTAGTACTATCTAACCATGTGGTATTGTCGCCATGAGATCCAGTTTCGCCAAGCTTTGTTCTTCTCCGCAGCCTCAATCGCCGGTGCTTTTAGCGGCCTCTTAGCCTTTGCTATTGCCAAGATGGATGGAACTGCTGGGCTAGAGGGGTGGCGCTGGATCTTCATCCTCGAAGGAATTGCGACAGTTGCGGTGGCGGTGCTGGCCTTCTTCATCCTACAAGATTTCCCAGAGACGGCTACATTCCTCACTGAAGAGGAGAGAGCTTTTGTGGTGCTCCGTCTAAAGTATCAAGCCCAAGCGGGAAAACTCGACACAGATCAGGTGCAGGTTGCCCAGGCCGAAGAGTTCAGGTGGAAGTATGTCTGGAGCGCCTTTAAAGACTGGCAGATTTGGGTCAGCATCATTGTTTATTGGGGTGTAAGTATTTTATTAGTCTTTTGCTTCAGCAGGATTCTGACATTTGGCTAGATCGTTTGTCCCCTGTACGGAATCAGCCTCTTTCTTCCCACCATCATCAAAAATTTAGGATACACTTCGAACAAAGCGCAGCTCATGACGGTCCCTATCTACATCACAGCCGCTATCCTAGCTGTTGTCGTGGCATATGTTTCAGATCGCGTTGGAAAGCGAAGCCCCTTTATCATTACTCTTCTGTGTGTCATGATCATTGGTTTCTCCATGTAGGCTTCTCTCCTAACTACAACCAACCCCGTGCCTGTCACGCTGACCACTGTCCTTTTGTATAGGTGTATCTCATCTAGCAATCCCAAGGTAGTCTATGGCGGTGTTTTTATTACGGCCTGTGCCATTTATCCAGCTTTTCCTGGTGTCATCTCTTGGCTTGCAAACAACTTGGCCGGCAGCTACAAGAGGAGTGCCGGTATGGCAATTCAGATTGGTATCGGAAATCTTGGCGGGGTAGGCTCTTTTTTCTTCAATGCAATTCCGAATTAATGTTAATAATTATAATAGGCCATGGCAGCCAATTTCTACCGACAAAAGGACGGCCCTCGATATATCCTTGGCCACGCATTGGAGCTTGGATTCATTAGCGCTGGAATCGTCGCCGCCCTCATTTTAGTTTTTGCATACATGCAAATCAACAAAAGGCGGGAAGCCAAGGTGGCCCAGGGCGAGATGAATCAATACACTGTTGAGCAACTGTCCGGTAAAGGTGACAAGGCGCTAACTTGGAGATATATGTTGTGAGGAATAGGGAAGATGTTTGGACTGAAGACAGCTTGACTAATTTAAATTGGATACACATCTATTATCCGTACTTTGGACATTTCTAAGACCGTATGATAAAAATTGACACTTTAGAGATATTGCTGAGAGCTTTCCATTCCGTGCTCAGCTCAGCATCACCCTGTACAGTAATAATAGAGGGCGGAATACGGTCCGCATTTCTACCCTATATTAGCAAGGCTCAATAAAGAGATGCCCAAGTCAGTTTCCAGGAACACGCCCCACTTGCCTCGCAAATAACAATACACTTGGCCATCGGAGCACAATCCAGCGAACGCGGGGTGGTATCTATCCAAGATAGAGCGACACGACATCCGTGCCTTGTGCGCCAACCGGGGTAGCAGCTCTGATCTTCACAATTGGATGGCTAAACTGGCATACAACAAAAACGGATCGATTGGGATGGTTAAGAAGGAGATATTCATAACCCTGTTGGTTTCGAGACGAAGGTTTGTTACTGTACCTCAGATGAGGTATATCTTCCAGCTACTCTAGCACATCGATCATCTAGACTAAGTGACAATACCGAAAGAGTTTATCATCACTCCACATCCGCCGACAACTTCGACTACCTACACTTGCGAATTCTTAGGAGTTAGCTTGTGCTAGACTAGGCATAGAATCTAGGAAGGATTTGGATGTGGCATTAATAACGTTCTGGTGCTATCTCTTTCGGATGTGTGGTATCTCAGGTCTTGTTTACCCCCAATAGACATATTAGGACTCAATAGCTAGGCAAGCATAGAACATATTATATAAACAGGGTAATTATACGAGTCTTAGATAGCTGCTACCTATTCAATTTCGTATTACTCGTGAAGCAGGCTTAATCGCCTTCAAGTTGGAGGCCAAGCAACCACTGAAGCTAGCCAGAAAGCTTTCACCAGCGGCATAGACTTGCCTACGATGAAGCCAACGCGATTGGAAGAATTTCCCTGATGACGTTAAGGTGTAAATATAGTAACTATCTATAGTACTTTATAGCAATGTCAGTAAAAGATAGTGTCTGCCAGGAAACCTGTAGCCAAACTGTCAAGAAATGAGACAGGACGAATGAGAGTAATGAGAAAGTAAGAGACACTCTTTGTGCGACAAATAAGGTCTTTAAGACTTTCTGAATAAGTCGAAAGACGATATCATTTATCACTTTGTCTAGACACTTATCCGTCTCGGTCTGCTGCCCATTTTCCCAGGAAACATTATTATTGGAGAGCGCTCCATATGCCAACTTCCCCAGCGAATTTCCTTAAGTTACTTAATAAAACACAGAAGGGCTCTCCCCCAGACGCAGTCGCACTGGCAGCTAAGGCCTACGTTGCCCCGGTAGCTCTGTATAGTATAGAGGCCTAGTGGCCCAGAGACAAAAAACAAAGCTCATCCTACCCCTCCAGATAAATAACCACCAGCACCTTAAACTTAGTGGAGAAAATAAATAAAGCCTTCAGAACGGTAGCTAAAGCAGTACTTCTGGCCTAAAAGATAACTAACACAGCAGTTATATACAGAAAATCTAAAGTCCCCTCTACACCTATAGTACTTACCTAAATAAAACTTTAAACGTTAGCTAAATTTACCAGCTTAAACAGAAATCACCTTATTAATAAATATATTAATAAAAAACTTTTACCTAAACTTTTTATAACTAAACTATAAGAGTCTTCCTATTTACACCGTAACGTATTCCTATTTAAACCGTAGTGCTTTACATCGTAAGCTAGATTTACCCCCTTAATTATAATTACTACACCTATACATTAAAATACAGTATAATATATTAAAAAAGAAAATTAATATATAAAATTATATATTACAACACTATTAACTATTAATTTACGTTAATTTATTTAAAAATAACAATTCTAGCCTTTTTAATTAAAATAAATATACTTTTTATAACTTAATTAGTTTATTAACTTTATTGTCTTTTTTAATTTAAGTAGCTGGGATAATAATAATGTTTTTAGCTTTAGATTTAATTACAGCCTCTGTTTTAAGGTTTATTTTAAGGGTAGCAGCAGCTATTACAGCTAGTTTTATTATAGTAGAGGCACTGGTTTATCTTTATAACTATCCCTTTATAGTTCTTTTAACCTATAAATTTAGGCATAACTATAAGCTTTTTATCAATTATAATAAAGTAGCTTAACCTTAGCCCTAGCTTTAACTGCAGCTTTATAACGGCTTCTGTAAGTCTTTAACTTTAAATTATAATAGATTGTAATATATATTTAGCTTTACGCAGCGCTTATAGTAATATAACTGTATAGTTTACTTTAGCTTTTTTAACTATATTAATTATATTATTTTCTTTTACTTAATATTATCTTAGCCGTCGGCGGCCTTTAATGCTAATAGTATAATTATTCTTTTATTATTTAAAAGCTATAGTTAACTATAAAAGTTCTAAATAACGTTAAAGTTTTAAATTTAAAGTAAAAGTTTATTAATATTTTAATATTATATAATTAATAGCTTTTCTATAGAAAAAATAAAAGAAAATATATTAAAAGTTTAATTAATTACTATTATAGGTAAATATTATTTTTATTAAAGGTTTTATTAACGTTAAGCTTTTTAAAAATTATATAGCTGTAAAAAAATATATACTACTATATAAAATTATTAATATAAAGAGGTAATAGTAAAGGTATTAAAGTAAAGTTTAAAGATATTATAGCTACAGCTAAATAATATTATTATATAAGGAGATTAACAGTAATATAACTAATAGTTATTAAAATATTACTTAATTAATCCTACTGTTAAATAAAGCATTACTATAGCCGCTATTATATTTTAATTACCTTTTTATTATAATCTTTTTTTTTTTTTATAATATAAGGTAAATTATATTATAAAAATAAAAAAAGTTATTTATATCTATAATAAAAAAAGACTTTATATCTTTATATACTGTTTTTATAAAACTATTAATTTATTAACTAAAGTTATAATATTACTTAATATAATAGTAAGCTTACTGCTTTTAATATAATATATATTTTTTTAAAATATAATATAAAATATAGTTTTATATTAAATTATATATAATTTTTATTTTATATTAAGCTTTTTTAAAACCTTTTTTATTTTTAGTGTAAATAACTTACTTTTAAGCGTAGAATATTTTTTTATAAATTAAAGGGTTAGCAGTAGGTAGTAAAGCAATATTATTATTCTTAGCGATTTTTTATTTAATAGTGTAAGCAGTAAGGTCGTTGTCTATAGTATTAATACTGGCTTATATATTAAAGAAGTTATTGTTATTACTATTAACAGCCTTAAACTTATTATTATTATTGCTACTGTTTTTACTTTTTTATTTTAATTAAATTTATACTTTAATATTAGCATTAATATAATAAATATATAGTTACTATTAGGTATTAAAAAAAACTAATTTAAAGGTATTTTTTAATATTAACTCTTTATTTATAATTATTACAGTTAGTATTAATATATAAAAGTTTTAATAAAAATCCTTAAATTATTAATAAAACTATAAAAAGTTATTTTTTTTTTTTATATTAATAAAACTAAATATAAAGTTAATTATTAATTTTTAATTTATAATACCTATAACTTTAAAAAAATATATATAAAAGTAATTAATTTTATATATATTATTAAAACCTAGGATTTTAAAGAATTAATATTATATCTTTTTTAACTAAAAATAAGTTTATAAAATATTTTTAACTTTATTATTAACGTTAAATTTAATATAATAGTAAAGGTTATTATTTTAAAGTTATTTAATTTAGGCTTAGGTAGTTAATAAGCTATTAAATTCTTTAATTTAAATTTTTTATTTATTATTATAAATATTTAATTAGCGAAAGAATATAAGCTTAGTAATACTAAAGTCTTTTATAATCTTTAATATTTTATATATAAAAAAGGCCTAGTACTTAACTAGATTTTGCTTTTATTACTGCTAGGTTAAGGTCTATTAATAATATATATTATATATTAATAAATAAATTAATAAATTATAATTATATTTAGTATAAGTAATATAATAGAATTATTTTTAATTAATGTTTTTAATTATTAATACTATAATTTTATAGAAATATTTTATCTATTAGCTTAATAAATATTAGATTTTTTTATTTATTAAAAGTAAATAACTTATATAGTTGTAGATAAAGGAATAATAAATAAAAACTTTTTTACTATTAATAATCTATAGGTTTAAACTTTTTTTAGTTTAAATAATAATACTATTATTATAGTAAAAACCTTATAAAAAGGCTAAAAGTTAATTAAATATATTATATAACCTTAAAAATAGCAGTAATAAAATCTTTAGCTTTAATATAGTTTTTAATATAATTTCTATAATTTCTATAACTTTTATAACTTTTATAATCTCTGCAGTTTATTACAGCAACTCTATTATATATAAAGGTAGCTGTAATAGCCTTTTAGTATATAAAAGCAGCAGTATCTTTTTATATTTATTTTTAAGCCGTTAAAATATAATATTATCGTTAAATTTATAATATTATAGCTATTTTAGGCTATTAAATTTATTATCGTTAAAGTTAACTTTAGCGGCCGGGGCCTTTAATACCGCCGGTGCATTTAATAAAAAGAAAGCGTTAATTTTATTAAAGCTAGCGTTAATTAATATTTTTAATAACAGCGGTAGATTAAAAATATTATTACTAAAGAAAGTATTATTATTAAAGAGAGGTATTATAATATTTAACTTTACAATCTTTAATTTTATAATCTTAGTTTTATGTAAAATTTTTAAATATATAGTATATTAAGGTGCTGTACTATAATTAAATATAGATTAATAGGATTAATAGTATATATATATTAATTTTAATATAGGCATAGACCACTATAGTTTAAATAGGAATATATTATAGTGCAAATAAAAAAACTCAACTATAATATATAACCTCCTTAATTAATAAAATAATTAAACTTTTCCTTTTTATTAAAAATAATAAAATAGTTTTAATAAAGCTAAACTTCTATAGCTTACTTAAAGCTAAAGCAATAGAAAAATACTTTAAATTACTTAATATTTTTCCTTAAACTATACTTTTAATATATTTAAATAAATTATAAAATAAAATAAAAAATATAAAATAAAATATTATTATATATTATAATTATAAATCTATTTTATTTTACAGTTATTTAATAAATATTAAAATCTATAATATAAAAATAATTAAAACTTTTAAAATTATAAAATTTATTAAAATATAAATTATATTAAACTTAAATATTAAAAAAGTATTTTTTTTTTTAAATAATTTTATAATAATAAATAAAATTTTAAAGATTATATTAATATTATTATAAAATATATATATAAACTTAAAAAAAATAATTAAAAAACTATAGTTATATATTATTATTAAAGTAATATAAATTCCTAAATATAAAAATATATTAAATAATAAAAAAATAAATAAATTAATTAAAAAAGATTTAAAACTTTTAAAATATATAAATAGCTATATTATAATTACTTATATTAAAAAATAAATAAAAAAAAATAAAAGTTAATATTAAAAACTTATTAAAATAATAATTTTTTATTATATTATAAATATTAATAATTTAATATTTTTATAATATTACTTAAGCTTTACTTTTTATATTTTATTTTTTATAAACTTTTAATTAAAAAATCTAAATATAGTAATTTTATAAAATATTATAAAAAGTTTAACTATAATATAAAACTTATTTATAAATATAATAAACCTAAAACCTAAAGATATTTTATAAAATATTAAATAATTATACTTTTCCTCCTTAATATCTTAAAAAAAAAACCTTTTATTTAAAGCTATATATTTTATATATCTCTTAAGCTATAAAAGCTATAAAAAGTTCTAAAAATTAATAAAGGAAGTAAGCTTATATAGCCCCCCTTCTATAGATATAAATTAATATTTTTCCTTTATTTCTTTTATTAAATTAAAACGTAGCGAATATGGGGTTTAAATAACTGCAGCTCCTACTGTCTTAATACCTAAATAAAGACTTATATAATTAGTTTACTTAATGGACGTTAATAATAAAACAAATAAACAAATAAACAAATATATACCAACTTCCCGCTATAAGCCCAACCAGTGGCAGAAATTAGTGTTTTATCAGCCTTGGCCACCGTAAACCTATCTTCTGTAAAGAAGTGGCCGGGGATGATGCTCAAAGCCCTTGCGTTTGGGGATTCGTAAATCCGGGCTTGGTGATGCTAACAATCTGAATTACTTCGTTCTAAATTTTAACCTACAATCCTTTGCTGAATCCTTTCAAAACATTCTTTGGATCCTCCTATTCTTAGCCAGGAGTGAAACTACAATTACGAACTCAACAAGCTATTAAATGGAGATTGGAGCTATCAGGCCAATAATCGATGCAGAAAACCGTCTCGTGAGCAATCTAAATTTATGTATGAACCAACACACTAACAGGACAGGCAACTCGCATCCATAGTAGCTCATCCAACAACAAAACCACGAATAAAATCCACAATCCCTGTCGTGTCAAGAAGGATATATGTCACGGAAATGCTCCCCCCAGCCGTTTTTTGGTGCGTCGAAACATCACTGAAATCAACTTTGGTTCTTATTCCTCTACAATTCAACACCATATTTTTCTTCTGCTTAATTCTGCTCTCAAAAGCATCAACAAAAGTGAGAGATCAACAACAGCAACGCACACATACAACAACCCAAAATGAGCAAAGTGCAATTCTCTCATAGGCAACTATGAACCGACTCCTGTTATTGATTCTAGCCTCAACGGTTACTGTAAGCTAGGCATGTGTTGTAATCACCGACACATGCCAAACAGACTCTATCAAAACTGACATCAGCATTCACAATGACGATAATAATGGTCAGGTTGTATGCGACACCAGTTGCAATCAATTTAATCATCGTGGCATGGTGTGTAGAGGAAATGTCAATGACGCATGGGTGGAAAATTGTGAAAAATTACATTAGAACACCAACTACGGGAATTTTGTGGTTGATGTGCACCCCAGCCTCAGCACTACATGCAATCAATAGGCAATGCGGCATTACATCCGGAGCTTTTCTGTTCAGGTGGACACACAAGCTTTAGTGTGCTAAATAATCTTTGCTCTCTTTTATATCAAGGTGTCTAGTCACCAATCAACCTTTTGGTCACGATAATGGACTTACGGGTAGGCACTCTCGGGAACCCGGAAGTCCCGACTGATAAGAATTAAGTCAAGTATATACAGCTGACCCTACCTAGCTAAATTATCTAGACATAATGGATATGTCAGTTAACTTCCTGTCACTCATTAAACAATTCAGATAGTAGTTCTTAGCGCAGAGTTTATAATATAATCAGACTAAACCCCAGATATCCCTTGTCTTGCTATTACCAGCTGAGTAATAAAGATTGCCTGTCTACTAAACAGACTGTTCTTCCAACATAAATCCAGGACCTACAGAGGTTATGCTTTGGAAATAGATGCCTTATACTGACTACAAGAAACCGGTTCATCAGAGCTCATTTATATAAATGGCAGTAAAGAGAGTGGCAGACGTCAATATGATTGAGAGATATCCGAATGGATTGGATACGTCCAAGTAAACTTCCTCAATAATGCTCCCCTCCTTACTTTGAGCTACTATACCCCGCCGTGATATAATCCGCTCGGAATCTCGCTTTGAATGTGGAACTAAAAGAGGTCATTTTCAGGAGCTCTATTCTATCGCTGTCATTACCTCGGTATCTCTGCATCGTGGGTTTATGTTAGCCAAAAAGTAGCAAGTAGTTTTAAGCACAGTTATAAGCATGTAAAAGTGGAATAGAAAGTGCAGCTTATATTTAGTCCTAGTAATTTGTAATTTGCCCAATTTTGACTACTTACAATGTCTAAATGGGTGTAAAACACTTATATATCTAGCCGTTCCTTTGTTATTATTCGTAGTTGTATCTTCACACATGTGAACATCAAGGTATACTAGACTAGTACGTTCCAGTCTCAGAGCTCGTGCTATCTTTTCCGATTCGCTGCCTTTATCCGTCCTTTGCCCGAAGTGCGTACCCCTCCTTAGTCAGGTTGGAACAAGCATTAAGCTGATTATAGTACCCTGTTCGGTGATACAAGGTTGAAAACCTACTAGGTATGACTAGTAGAGCCCGAAAGATACCCCAGTCATGCGGGTGACAAATACATCGCTGCCTTTTACATACAAATTCGTAGTGGCAGACCGGCGGTGTTTTCTTTAACCTCCTTTGCCAGATACCCGGGAAGTTGCCACTAAAGAGGCAAAGTGGGTTCTTTTGTTATCTGAAGTGATCCATATCGGGAAACTGATCCATCCCAGTCCTAAAAGCGAGCCAATTACAAAACACCATTTCTTATCACACATCGACGTCTACTGTAATGGACGGAAAAGACGGCATGGCAATTTTTTACGTCGAGAAACTGACTGGTGATACGAAGACAGAAAAGAGATAAGAAAAAAAAAAAAAAATGAAATAAGCCTTTAAATCCATGTCGCACGCGATTTTGATTTTTTTTTCTCCCCTAATCCACACGTCGGCGTTGCTGTCGTGTGATATGAAGCCGCATTGGTATTGATTGCTTTGTCCTTCCTTTAAGCCGCCCAAGCCATCAATTCCATCATGTCCATTGAGAAACGCGGCCTCGAGTCGGGGCCTCCTACCCCCGAAGGCATCATTCAATCAGATGTCGAAGCAGGCCGAACCATTGCTCTCACGACAGATCGCGTGCATGAACTGCAGGCACGCTGGGCCGTCTTGCGGTACCTGAACGCTTTCGAATCATGGCTGGATCGTAAACTGGGCGTCGAGACACAGGGCATAGATCGCATCCCAGAGGAGGAAAAACGCCCACCGTCGGTGTGGAACATCTTTCTCATGTGGTGGTCGCTCAACATTCATGTTGGTGTCTTGCCCTTAGGGTTGCTGGGGCCGGAATTTGGCCTCTCCTTGAAACAGTCAATCGCGGCTTCGATTATCGGCATTATACTGGGCGCGTTGATGACGGCGACTACTGGAACGTTAGGTCCAAAGGTAAGAAAATATCAATCCAGTAGATATCCTCCAAGCACATTTCTAATAATAGTAGCTCGGGATGAGACAAATCGCCACATCACGATATTCTTTCGGCTTCTGGGGCGCCAAACTGTGTAGTGTCCTCAACATCGTCGTGGGTGGTGGGTTTGCAGTCGTCAACTATGTCGTTGTTGGCCAGATTCTCAGTGCAGTGTCGGGCTATACCATGAGTATCACTGTTGGTATCGTCATTATCGCCGTCATATCTTATGTGGTGTCCATTTTTGGCTTCCGATTGATTCACACTTTCGAAAAATACTCGTGGATTTATACCTTTATCCTCATATGCGTTCTCATCGGACAGGCGGCACCTCATGTAAAAACTGATTTCCCGGGCGAGGATGGTAACTCAGGATTGGTGTACTCAGGGACGTTTCTCACCATCGTTGCGATCAACTTTTGTAAGTCTTTGAAACTCATTTCCTTGGTATGCATGTCCAAACTCATCGTTGTTAGCCAACGCATCGGGCTGGTGTTCCATCGCCGCAGATTATTACTGCAACTTTCCCGCCAGTACTCCCGCTTGGAAGACCTTCTTCCTCACCTTTTGGGGCATCGTTATCCCCACCACCTTTTCCGTCACCATTGGTTGCTGCCTTGGAAACGCCGCCGTTACAGTCGCCTACCCTCCATATGCCGATGCCTACACTAACCATGGCCTGGGAGGCCTCATCAGTGAAATTTATCACCCACAGGCTTGGTCTCGTTTCTGCCTCGTGCTGCTTACCTTTTCTGTCCTCGGCAACAATATTGCCATCAACTATTCATCTGGCCTAAGCATGCAACTGCTGGGTCATTACTTCCACGCCGTACCTCGCTTCATCTGGTCGCTAGCTTTTGCTATTGTAGTGGCGGTGCTAGCCGTTGCGGGGCAGCAGAATCTGTCTAATGTCGTCAACAATTTCGTGTCGCTACTGGGCTATTGGACCGTTAGCTTCACTATGGTGCTGCTGCTTGAGGATCGCGTCTTTCGCCGCAAGGATGGCTATGATCTTGAGGCCTGGGATCAACCGAACTTGCTCCCTTGGGGAGTTGCGGCTGTAACGGCCTTACTGGCAGGGTATCTAGCGGGAGGTGTACCAGGAATGAGCCAGACGTGGTATATAGGACCCATTGCGGCCAAGTTTGGTGGTGACGGAGGTGACGTGGGTATATATATGAGCGCAGTGATTACAGTTGTTGTGTATACTGTGGGCAGGTATTTCGAGAAAAAGTATACTGGCCGGTAATTACACTGAAAGTGCTTCATAAAATACCCGTATATAATTTAATTAATAATGTTCAAATGCTTGATAGCATCAGATTACCGGCCTGGATACTCGCCAACGTTGTTCAAGGCCACCCCCACAGTCCCTTGGGAGCGGGTTGTCTGTGCCAGTGATAACCAGGTGGTATGCTTCACCGACTGTCATGGATTAGTGCACTCTCTTTCACTGATGGCGATTTGCCTCTATTCGATGCGCCATTTTGGGGATTTCAGCTTAAATCTCAAGGATGACCATCCGTCTGGCCCCAGCGCCATCTCTAACGAGCGCATATGGAACCACCGTGCAAGCGTGTCGCGTTTTGCCATGCTAGCTCATGCTCTCGAGAGCCATGTCGGGTTCATTGCCAACACATTTGCTAACGAGACTCCATAACCGCAGCTCAAGTTCTCGGTAGCAATGAATTCGCGCACCGGATCGTCCAAGATTTCAATACCAACCCGGACCATATCCCATCCCATCTCGGGATGGTCTCGAGAAGTCGATGTCTCGGACCCCGCCACTATGTCGTTCTCATCTTTCTCCACGGTGATGCCTGAAGAGTCCGCTGATTTTGCAGCTGCCATGGACAATTTGTGCTAGAACATGAAGCCCCTCTGTGGCGGGTTATGATGACAAACTAATTGGCCCTTTGGTGGTGAATAGGCGCTCTTTGATGAATCTGTCAGCCAGATCAAGGCAAAGTCCGAAGCAGGGTTTGTTTTCAAGGGACATGACACGATGTCCGGAGAACTGAGGTCATCTCTTATGATGTCCCATGGTCCCCCGCGCTCCTCGACGGAGCTCGATTGTATCGAGCCGTTGTCGGCGTACGGGGAGGGCTTGGAGTATGTTGGCAAAGGCACGGGCATACCCGTCGTGCCATATGAGGCAACTTAGTCACATAGCCGGCAGCCACACACTTAAGTTCGAGCTTGCCGCACTGACGTGGGGGTGTATGCAGAGGTGGTGAGATGTGTCAAGTCAAAAATTGTTGAATTAAAAAAGTAATAACAAATTTTCCAACCACCCCCGGAACTACTCAGCTCCCTCGAGAACATTGTCGATCTTCTGGAGAAAAAGCATTTCAGGAAGGGGTTTGGGACCTCCGAAGCAGTGCCAACTGTTGGATGCTTTTTAACAATGGCGCCATCAGGCTCCTCTCCCGACTTCTCTCCTCGGGGTCAACCTCTCAGTTTTTTTTTTTTTTTTTTTGCTTTGAAACATACTCTGGGCAACAAATTGTGTATGTGGAGTTTACTTCAATGATCTGCCAGCTGTAAAGACAGGCAAACTGCTAAAATGGAGGCAAAAAATAGTGGCTTTGGCACTGGTGTAGGATTGAGGCGGGCAGCAAAATGCCACAGCCACACTTGGTACGGGCGTTATAATGTTCTGCCAGAATACGTCCGTGTTTGCCGGTATCGGGGTGAGCCCTCTATTGCACCCTATATTAGCCTGGGTGAAGATTTCAGTGACGATCAAGTCGTACTCTGTGCTGGACGAAGCCGAAGACATTATAGGCTTGTCATGGAGGCAGATGAGGTAGATATGGAGCTTGATTGAGTTGATGGTTTTTGACCAGACGCAGTTAAGGCGATTGAGTGGAATTGTCTTGGTGCGATCGAAGGTACACCAGGGAGGTCCTAGCCGGAAACAAGCAACGCCTCCTGCAGCGCAAGTCTTGAAAAAAATGAATCTTGAACAATAGCCCAAGCCACTCGTATGACTACGACGGGCTTTAATGAAGCTGACAGAGAGGAAAACACATAACCCAAATTAACCATCTGGTGACTCCAGCCGCCTGCCTATCGGATCATCTCCCTGCAGTGTCCCTTCTTTCCAGGGTATAAGTGCATGACCATATCCCTAGTCTTAAGGGCCAGCGAAGATACTTGTGGCAATTTTGGCGCGCAATTTTGCAAGCTGCGCCTAGGGAAATGGGATTTCTAGCTGTGCAATCCTGTAGATGACAGTGGATTTCGGATGGCTAATTGTTGACAGCTTAACTTTTTCTTGCGTTTCCGTTAGCTAACCTGGAGGTGACTCTTGTAAAATGGCCTCGCTCCCCAGACAGCCTACGCCATGGTGCTAAGGTGATTAGGCATGTCGAGCTCAAGTCCCAAAATACCATGGTGACGGACGGTAAAGCAGCCACATCGCTGCGGGAATCGCCGGCCGGACTTGCATGCTGGCACATTTGAGTCATCACTCGCATCATTACCTTGTTGCAATCTGGAACAGTCTCAATCTACAACTCACGCGTCATTGCGGATGGTATGAGATATGTATCTTAAGTATATAGTTCGCTTATTGGATTCTACTCAGCGTCCTTGGCCCTGGAGACAGCACCGGCAGCAATATGCAACCTTTTAGCGACATATCGGCAGATCACGTCGGCTTTGCTTGACCGTCCCATCCTCTATCTTGACCGTTTCAAAACTCCCAAGCCAGAATATCCCATCGATAAGAAGATCAAGAATCCTTCATGGAACCGTGATGCCCTGGCTTGTCAATTGAGGCCACAAAGAAAGAGATTTGAGGTAAGGAAGGTTGGTCCGCCATCCTGGACCGAGGAGCAACGTGTCAACATGGCTTTCTAGCGTCTGAAACTTCTATACGATCTCAAAAGATCCGCATCAAGAGGCTGACTAGACTAATGAGAGGAAAGTAAGACTGCACTTTTTTGCGACAATGCTGCAGTCAGTTATTCAATCGGGGAACACGCGGATTCTTGGCTTCGGACCCGCCGCGACACGTACGAAATCTAGGCTGCCTCTTCAACCTTTTATAATGCTTGGATGCATATCGTTCCATATGTGGCATATACTATGTGTTCTACTGAGTACGAGGAGCTGATATCCGTTGTTAATTATGTTCGAACTGTTCATGGCTAGGAAACCTCTGGACATTTAGTGAAAGATAAAGTTTGGCTGGTAGGGTCGCAAAGACCTGCAGAGATACATCGAGGATGGCAGTTAGCCAAGTCTTGCACACTGAACTGAAAAAGACTCCTTGGCTCATCTGTGGATGTCAAAAGCCATGATAACGGGCAATGCGGGAAGTTGATACTGGACATGCTTGACTTTGACGCTTTTGAGCGCTATATTTTGCGTTCTGGTCGTGGGAGCGCATGTTTGCATATGACCTTGCTCAAAAGAGTGATTTTGAATATGAAGATCACTGGGCCACTTATTCTTGGGAAAGCATACTCAGTCCCTAGGAAGTTGGGAGGGCGGAACGGGAAATGGGAAATACCGCGTAGGAAAAATGTTTGCTCTGAAGTGACGGGGACAAACGCATTCGACATATTGACTCAATTAAGTATTAACATAAAACACAATAGTAATTACGATGAGATTACTTAGAGATGAAGAGAAAGCCCCTTGACGGCTGCTCTAAGAATTGCAGTGCAGCCCAGACAACCACACAACACAACGATCGAAACCTCCTGTAATCTTAGAACTCAGACCATCTAGCCAAATACATTTATTTTCACTTCCCCATGAATTTGGCCTCCAGTATCGTCGTTGTCGGTAGTGAGCTGCACACAAGATTATTGCCGTGAAAGAGATTGGTTGAGAATGTCTACCAATGCGGTAGCAATTGTACCAACTGGACACGGTGTGTAAGTTGATACTCGTGCTGAAGACTCATGAGGAACCACTACACGTGCAGAAAATAGCAGTAAGCTTAGCCACGGCTGCGACTCCATTTTTTGGGAAGACTCTTCTTCGTTGAGAACTGTCGTCATAGCGACAATATATAATGAGATTCACGCAGAAGCTTTAGACTACCCAAATATACAGGCATGAAATTGAGATACACACATTGGGATATCATCTTACAAAATGTAACGTCTTCAGTGCTGAGACCTTTCAAGAGATAAGGTTGGATACTTTTGAGGCCATGTTAGCGGCAGAAATGTTTTTAATTGGTGGCGACAATCAAAACCATATTACTTCCAACCTACACCCTTATAGTCCCTCAGGCAGTAAAGTAGTAATAGCGTAGTTCAATCTTGATTATTAGGCAATATTTTTTAGATATTTTACCTTATCCTCTACACCATGTTGTTCACTCGGTTACTCAGCCTTCTTAGACGCTTTCGTTCGAAGCTTCATCATTCCAAACACCAATGCGTATCCAGAAATCGCGAAGATCACCGAGATTCCCGCATCTCTCCAGCCGTACAAGTAATGGTTGATGTTAAGTGTCGTCAAAAAATCACCCCCATTCTTAAACTCGCAGACTCGGCAGCCTGATGTAGCGTCTGGATTCGTCAGATTGCTCCGCCAACCATCTCCGGCCATATAATCCCGGAGATATTCGGCGCAGGTTCCATTAGCTGGGTCAAAGATAGCGAATTCTTCCTCCTTGCAGACAACCTTGGAACCCCAGATGCCGAAAGTCAGCATACCCGATACAACGTAATTGAAAGGGTTCAACCAGTATAGCCAGTATTTCCAGAAGACATTCAACTGTCTATAAGGCACAAAGATGCCGCAAAAGAGGGTTAATATACAGATGATGAGGGGGTTCACTAAAGCTGCGAACGTGGGGTTGGGTGCATAGGCGGCAACGAATTGGCCAATCCCTGTATAGATGAATTCATATATAAGCATGATAAAAAAGGTGGCTCCGGAGCGGTTCGAATTGTCATTTAGTCGCGCCGTATAGTACCAGCAGGCGAAATAGAGAACAGCGCATACGCAGAGATAGGGAAACTCGGACACAATTAGGCCAATAACAAAAGATACCCAGGAGTACATCTTGGATTTTTTCTCACGCGCATCATAGATGTCGCGTCTCTGGATAAATAGTGGCTGAAGCTGATTGATAACGCCAGGAGCGACGAAGACGAAGTTGAAAATTGTAAACATTTTGAGCTCTAGGTCAGATACGCTATGACCAACTCGCCAGAATGAGAATCCATTCAACAATGCAGATATGACGTGCAATGAGAATTTATTATTAACATAATTGGTGTTTCGGAATAGGGCAACGTTCATTCTCTGTGTGACAATCTTGACTTGTTCCCATAGCGGCATTGAAAATTCATAGCCGTCATCAACAGTTCCAGGGGGTTTGGCGGCGGCTTCAGAGATCATGTTGTCAAGTTCAGTCATCATTTGACTATATTCGGAAGATTCGAGCCAGGTTTGATGCCAGTCCTTGTCCTTGACACTTTCTATACCACCAGTGACCACATCAATCATGAATTCGGCAGGATTGGCCTCGATAGGACATACAGCCCCGTGGTGTCCGAAATACTTCTTAATAGTCGCCGCATTATCGCCGATATCCCCAAAGTAGACCGTTTTGCCTCCACGTGCTAAAAGCAGAAGAGTATCGAACTGTGCAAATAATTGAGCCGAGGGTTGATGAATTGTCACTAAAACAGCTTGGCCAACATCGGCTAATTTCCGCAGAAAACGAACAGTATTGTATGCTGACTGTCCATCTAGACCAGACGTAGGTTCGTCAAGAAAAATCAAGATACTTGGTTTAGACACTAGTTCAACACCAATTGTAACACGTTTTCTTTGCTCTACGCTGAGGCCATTTCCAACAGTGCCAATAAGCGTATCTGCTAAATCGTGGAGTTCCAGAAGGTTGATAATGGTTTCCACATACTTGAGTTTTTCCTCCTTCGGAATAGTTCGCGGCTGGCGTAATAAGGCAGAAAATTCAAGAGCTTCGCGGACTGTGGCAAATGGTTCATGGACATCTAATTGCTCACAATACCCAGCCATTCTTTGAAAGGAAACGGGTAGAGGGCGGCCATCAACCAATATACTACCCTTGATAGTGCCGTCTGTTTTCCGCTGGGCGAGGACATCGAGCAACGTAGTCTTACCTGCGCCAGAGGAACCCATCAGTGCTCCAAGCATGCCTGGTTTAACCCATCCGTGAATGTTATCCAGGAGCACACGATCACCTGATGGTGTTTTGACAGTATACGTCAGGTTCTTCCAGGTAAAGATCGAGGTGTTGCGGGACAAATTGTCATCTCCCTGCTCCATGGCATTACTAGAGGTAGCATCTCTCGGTTGCTCTGTATTTTGGGACTCCTCGTCTAAGGGGGCGTGATACTTGGTGAGCTTTTCGCGAGGTATCAGCAGTGAAGCTCCACCGCCACCGCCAGCTTTCCAAAAGCATGTGCAGACGATGGTGATGACTGCAAAAAAACCCCACCAGCCCCATACCACACCATAGTTCCTCCAGAGCTGAGAATGCTTGTAATGCAGTGAGGCAAGGTACTGGTCGCCAGTGACATAATCTGCACCGGGTAAAGCGCCGCCGACTCCGGTACAAGCCCTGTTGGCGGAATCAACATTCTCGTACCCCGGTCCACTGGGGACAAGATTGTTGCCAACACAGGGGATATGTTGGTCATGGAATTCATTCGACAGGGCTGCCTGGAATGCGTAGGCAAATGGGTTGGTATAGTACAGCTCTATGAACCAATTCTTCATCTTAGGTTTCGGGATCATATATCCAGCGTACATGACAATTCCCTTAATAGCTGTACCAGAGATCTTAGAAGCGGCCTCAAAAGTGCTGAATGCGGCGCCAATGCATCTAAATAAAGTTGTAATACACTTTCTATGGATTAGTTGAAAAGAAAAAGCCGCCTGCAGTTGCTTTCACTCACCAGTGTAGTTATGAATAGAATAGCCCAGAAAGTAAAGAATGCTGCGGCGGTGGCCTTGAGTCCGGCCATCCAGTATATAACAACAGCGAAAATCGTGCATTGTAATAACAAAACGGGGAAATCTGCAGTAATTTGCGCCAGGCAGAAGGCAGCAGGATGATAGAATCCGAAGGACTTGTGTTTCACCAAGACTGGTCGACCCTTGAATGACTCTGTAACCTCAGACATAGCAACAATACAATTATACAACAGGGAGAAGAAGACAGCGCCACCTTTGGTAAAAAGACCGGCAGAGGTAGCAGGGGAGTTATAAAAGCAGGCTCCGGCAATCAGAGACATAGCAAGTGACAGGACCTGTTTGATCAAAAAAGTCGATTTCTCACCCCACAGAATCTGATATTGACGGATAGTGCACGCCTTGAGTTGCGACATGAAGCTGGTCGTGAGAGCGGTGTTCTTCGGCAAATGTTTATTCTTCTCAAAGGCAATTGATTCTTTGAATGATTGAGTTCGGTCGCGGGCAACATCGGTGTTGGGGTAGTTGTACTCTGACGCCATAGAGCTATAAATTGAAGATTGCTTGTATTCTGCCAAAATGGCATCGGCATTTCTTGGAAACTTTTTTTCAAAGCCCGGCCGAATCTTTCGCTCAGTAGGCACGGTTACACCGGTCAGAAAATCACCTTTGATCTTGGTCAGCCTTAGCCTTATTGTGAGGGGATGGAAAGTTCAATACCAATATTAGCACCTTCGGTATACACGAACCCAAGATCTTCCATGAACGGCTTCGCTGCGGCAGAAGGGCCATAAAATATCTGTTTCCCCTCGTCCAGAACCAAAACTTTATCAAAAAGATTATAGATGCCGTTTCCTGCTTGGTAGAGGGTGACGATAGTCGAAAGCCCCTGGATGTTGGTCATGGCCCGAAGAGCCTTGGCCCACTCCAATGCCGTACTTGCGTCAAGGCCACGCGTACTGTTATCCCAGCAGAAGACTGATCCTCGGGTAGCGAGACATTCGATAATCGATACGCGTTTCCGCTCACCGCCGGACACACCTCGAACAAACTCATTTCCGACCTTGGTCTCGAATGTATGCGCAATTCCCATGGACTCCAGAAGAAACTGTTTCGTCTCGGCCACATAATCCTCGTCCGAATTGGCCCCGTCTGGGAGATGTGAAGGGACTTTCAGTTTAGTGGCAAAGTCCATTGTCTGGCCAACCGTCAGCCGAGGGTAGAAGAGCTCCTCTTCTGTATTCATCACAATCTGGGCTCGATACTGAGCGGCTTCTTGTCCAGTCATGTTTCCAAACCGCACATCGCCTTTAATTGTATGATATCCTTCAAGACGGTTGGAAAGCATTTTGAGGAGAGTGGTACATCCGGATCCAGGGCGGCCAAGGACCAGTAGCATTTCTCCTGGCTTCACACAACCATGACTGTCCTTCAAAATGCATTTCATTGGTGGCTTCTGGCGCCAGTCTTTGATGAGCTGAGGTATGTTGTATTGAGAGAACTGGTTCTCTTTGACGGCCGCCGAAGCAGCGGGGACCTCTACTGTGAGGTTTTCCCAGGTGACACCGAGCTCGCGTCTCTTGAAGCCTGCTGCGGTTTCACGCTCTTGTTGTTGAATAACCTGGGGTGTCATACTCCATTCGGTACTCTTGCTAGGTGCTGATGGGCTACCAGCATGGTAGAAAGCGAGAGTTTCTGCACTGGAGGCTTCCCGCATATCTCGAAGCCGAACCGGAAGAGTATCATATTGTTTTTCTTCTGGCAACCCAGGCTCAGAGTCGTCGATGAAATCGTTATATTCCATGGTGACTTAACGTTGACAGAATTAAATAAAATAACCAAACGACTCTTCATGCCACGTCAATGTGGCTTAATTGGACAGGAAAAACCAAGGATATTATATCTGAACCCCTTATTGCTATGGACCGGAATGTCCGGTATATGCTATTATATACGCCATTGCTTTGGGTGGATTATTGAGTCAAGTACCCATGAGTGGATCGAAATGACAGTGGATAGAGAGCTGTTTTTGTAACCCTTGGTACGCGTCATACAGAGGCATCCTTCCATTACCGGCCATTGGATGGCATGGGTGTAGATTCGGGATTCAGTTATCAAATGAGGCAATAAAAGTTCAGGAGTCATCTTCTAATAAATTCCTTATCAAGTTTGGAGATTATTATTACAATGGTCCTCTATCGGTATCTCCTTTCTCCCTATGTTTATGGATCAATACGTATCTAATGTACTCTTCATGGAAGGCAAGTATTCCAATTGCAAAATATGAGTAGTTGAATCAATCACTGAGATGGAATTAATCAGATAAGAGGCATTGCATTAGACAAATAGTAAAATATAGCAATCTGTGAGTCTTACTGGCGAGTCCACAATGTCGGATAGAGAGTGTGCCGAAATCCCAATGTATCCATCTTTTCTAGTATTGTTCGTTCACCGATTCCTACTGATGCGCTCCTCGGCTCCTCACTTATGCTCTCCTCGGTATTTACAAGGCCGGCATTTATGGGTACAAAATGCACCGGGACGGCCGGCCGCAAATTTCCATGTGTTTAAGCGGAACCGGACTAGGGTCGTGTTCGGCAATATTCATCGGGTACCTTCAGCGTCGGCCAAAATTTGCTTGGTGAGATAAATACCTGACGTAGCAGAGCAGCTTCCACCCATCAAGTGGAAACTGTACCACGGTATCATAAGAACCAGGGTACATTTCCGCCCTGATCCAACTCTCGCCGGCATATGTATGTAGGCATCTAGTGCCTCAAAGATGCACTAGCAAGTTCCTATATATATTGATATGGAATCTCTATTATTGTAAGAACAATAGTGCGGGAAAAGCTTAAGCATTATTTTTGACTCGTTTTGTTGTAAACCCGGAAACTAAGGTAAAGACAATGAGCTATGTATACTCCGTAGGTACTGTAAGAAAGTTCTAAAGGAGAGCTAGCTGAAACTCCGGAATCGGATTAAACCCCTAAGACACCGGAATCGGAATAATTCTTGTCTTATACTAAATATACCCTTCGCCCACATATTATAACCTGAACCACTAATGCAAACTGAATTACATATGCAAACGTCTCCCGGCTCAGTTGACCAGTTTCTATCTTGAAGGGGGCCAGCTGGCCTGGCCTTAGCTGTTATCTTTATAACCCCATGCGCTTTTATTATGCCTAAGACATTGCCAGCCCGTGCCTCCCTCTAATCCACAGCTCCCAGGTTTGCCTCTATACCTAATGCCCGTAACGATCCGTTATCCCGTCAGGCCAATGACGCAAAAGCTAAGTTGATAACCGCAATTGTATCAATTATCATAACGGAACCAGCTCCCCACAAATGATCAACCTGTTAAGAAGGACCAGGTAGTAACAAGTATCTAAGTGAGAAGGAAAATCATCCAGCATTGTTATGCAATTCTCGATGTAACGCGAGGTTTTAGTTGACTCTCAACTGGAGACCACCCACAAGAGATGATAAAGATCCACTCAGCTGGTTGCCGATCTCTGTGATAATATGGCAAAGATTATGGACCATAGTGCGGGCTGCCTTCTCTGTTAAAATGTCGGTGTTTGCAAAAAGTTGAATCTCCAGCTGGCGCCCTTTAGGGTACGATATAATAAACAAGGATGATGGCACAATGTCTGGATTGGTATAAAATTGGACCCTAGATGAGCCTTGGGAAAAAGTAATTTCTGGATGCTCTTCAATATTTTGATGCTGAATAACCACATCAAAGTCGGATCCAACTGGCCACTCAGTACAGTGATCAATAATATCCCTGAAACCGAGGGAGTCCGCTTCACCGAGATGTACAAATTGCTGTTGAATAGATTGTAAAAGCTGAGACGTTGTCTGTAACAACGGAAACGTAACCCGAATGGGTATAATATTTAGACACGCCCCAACTATGCTTTCAATTCCCTGAAAACTTGAATTGCGCCCAGTTACTATGTTTCCGTAGACTACATCCTGTTGGTGCGTAATACTTGACAAGAGAATAGCCCATGCTGCGCTTACGAGAGTTGCAGTAGTGACCTTGCTGGGTAATTGTGGGAGGCTGATCTCTGCATTTTCAAATATGCGCTGAGGAGTATTGATACCGGCCAGTATAATCTGTGGACGTGTCTTCGGCTTAATTGGAGTTGGCGTGGAACCCTGTAGTACTTTCTTCCAATATTCGATCGAACTCTCCCGTTTTTGACGGCTGTATGATAAAAACTTTGAGAAATTGGGTCCAGATGGAAGCTCAATACCATTATAGCTGTTCATCAATGACTGGAATATAATAGGGAAAGATACTCCATCGTACTGAGCATGTGATAGGCGAACGATCAATCGTGAACCTTCAGATAGGTTACAAAGCAGGACGAAAGCTAGTGGGAATTCTGATGAGCTTAACCTCTTCGAATCCTCAAAACAGTAGCTATTTGAAGCTTTATCGAGATCTTCGCTGACATTTCGAATTTGTACTGGAGCTAGATCCAGCCTGTTGCGGAGAATGATTTGCCAAAATTCTCCCCCGAGGCGCAAGAAGGAAGCTCGCAGAATAGGAAATTTCTCTAACGTCATGGCACAGCTTGTCTTTAGCCTTTCAATATTTACATCTTTGCCAAGGTTGAAGTAAAAATAATTCGCATGGTGTCCTGTCGTAATACCGTGCATAATTGTCTTGCATTGGAAGTTCGTCAGCGGAAGAATATCTGAAACTGCGGAACTGCCAAAGCTTAGATCAAGACGATTGATTTCATTTAAAAGAGTGGCTTTGACAGTAGGCTCAATAAGAACAATGGAGCGGATATCATCCTCGTCCTCGTCGACCTTCGTACAATGGAGAGCCAATTGCTTAAGTGTATCACAGTTGAAAATGTCAGCCACTACTAGTTTAAGACCAAGTTTGCGAACTTCTGAGATAACCCTCATCGCCAAAATAGAGTTCCCACCAAGGTGGAAAAAGTTATCATGAATGCTGATTAGAGAATGATCGATATTTAGGACCTGAGCCCAAATTCTCTGCATAGCTCGTTCTGTATCATTACTTGGCGTTGCAATTGCCCCGGGTGGCACGAGGGGATGAGTCTTGAATGGAATGGCAAGTGCTTTGCGGTCAACCTTTCCGTTGTCGTTGACTGGCATCTTCTCAAGAATAATGATTGCTTGAGGGATCATATAAGGAGGGAGCTGATCTCTCAGCAGCTGATTTAAGTCTTGTTGAATCTTTCGATACCACTGTTGCCGCAATGGGCGACTTGTAAGAGAGTGGGACGGCCTGTCATTAGGTTCCAAAGGAAACTTGAACAATACTCTGCCGTGATGCTCTCCTTTTTGATCGCCACGATGAAATATGGCATCGATGCCGCCACGTTGGGAGTATTGTCTAGCCCAACTAATCTCAACTCTGAAACCACAGGCTACAGCCAGTTCGGATAAGTCAGTAGGTGACAATGATGCGCAGCGCTGAGCTGATTGACGAGATGTAAGGATCCAATGGTGATGATCGAAACCATTGTCAAGCGACTCAAGGAGGAACTTCTCGACAATAGTTTTGCTGTAAGGAATGTTACTAATCCCTACAGCCGCAGAATTTGTACTTTGCAAGCATTGTAAAAGTGACTCCCTCTCCAGTTTCTCTTTCACAAAATCCATCCATTTATTGTCTCCAATCTCATGAATTCGCCGCCGCTCTTTCGATTTGACATGTAGCACGGCTGCATAACGAAAGCCACTTAATTCGTTGGTGGCATGCATATGTTTCGGTAGGATCTCCACATGCTCTATCTGTGGCATCCTCATTGGGAGAGCAGTGAAGAAGGCGGGGTCAACAAGCAACTCAAGCTCAGTGCGATTTGACTCATCCATTCTCTGGCGAAATTCGTCCTTTCCAATCACTGCATCGCCCAAGGTGAACAAGATTTTGCTTGCTTGGAACTCTCGGTAAAGTGCATTCGATCGAATGTCACCAAAGAAAATCGTCTCAACAGTACCAAGCTTGAGAATGTTTCCAATAACATGTAGAAGATACTCTTGACTGGGAAAATATTGTGCGACTGAATTGATAATTGCAAGATTGGGCGCCGCTGTGGTTGGAAGGTTCGCAATATCGGCTGCTGTGCCTTTGTATAAACAAACCTTGTGGGAAAGAGCCGGGATTGACTGGACCGAACGGAGAACAAACTCAACGGCACGCTCAGATGGCTCAAGTCCGGTATACTGGATAAGTCCATTGGGCAAATTAAACAAGATCATACCGGTACCCGTTCCTACCTCGAGAACCCGGAGGGGCTGGCCACTATTTTTGATTGCGGTGATTGTTTCATCAAGCCACTCGTTCATCTCGCCTGAACCAATGGAGCTTCCGTCATAATTAGAAGACCAACCAATAAAATCTCTTCCAATCTTTGCGACTTCCACTTGATCAACTGCTTCATATGTTCCAGTATTAAAAAGGTCTTCCCACGACTTTACGTGATCGTTCGTGCCCATGTCGTGTCCCTGAGTGGGGTCAATATTTTCGTTCGGAGCGACGAAAGCAAGAAGTTGAGGCTCTTGAAGTTCATCCTGTTTCAAGACGACAGCTGCGTCATTCACAGCGTCATAAGCTCGCAGAGCGTGCTCGATTTCTCCCAATTCTACCCGGTGACCGCGGATTTTGACTTGGCCGTCCACGCGCCCAAAAAACTCAATTTCACCATCGATAGGCCTCCAACGGACATAATCGCCTGTACGATAACCCCTCACTCGTTCGCCTTGAACATCAATTGTAATAAATCGGTTAAGATTCAAATCAGGATCAGTATAACCCACTGCGAGGCCATCACCAGTGACTACCAGCTCTCCAACAACTCCGAGAGGCACAAGGCGTTGGTTCTTGTCAACGATATATGAACCGGAACAGCTAACTGAGTGCCCAATGGGTACACCGTTTACACATTTCTTTTCGTCCGACATGATATAAAATGTACTAAACACTGAGTTTTCTGTCGGCCCATAGGCATTAATAACCACATTGCTCTTCATAAGAGTTCGTGCAGCTGTCAGATCTCGGACGTCAGCTCTATCCCCGGCAATATATAGAGCCTCCACAGAAGCGAGAGCAGTGGGTGCTTGCTCCAGTAAAATTTTGAGAAGCGCTGGCGTGAAAGAAGCAACCTGGATCTTCTCTTTGGTGAATGTATCGGTTAAAGCTCTGGAGTCAAGTAATACAGCGGTATCAATACATATTAATGTACCACCATTCAGAAGAGCTGCATATAGCTCCCATGCTGAGACATCAAAGGCGATGTTTGTCAGATGGGCCATGATCGCTGCAGGCGGAATGTGCTTGGCCACGTTGCTCTCTTTAACTAAGCGGACGACGCCTCGGTGTTGAATCATGACACCTTTAGGATTACCTGTTGAACCAGAGGTGAACATGACATATGCAAGACTCTCACCCGAGGCCGTGATGCATGATCGAGGTCTATAATTGTGCAACTTTTGCTCTTCCATTGCATCTGTAATGCGAATAAATTCAGTGTCTTCATGTTGTAAGCAAGGTGGTTCAATGTCACTGCCAACTATGACTATCTTGCGACCTGGTAATGTTGATAGAATAGCCTTCATTCTAGACCAGGGTGTCTTCAAATGGAAAGGCAGATACGCCAAACCAGCCTTCAAAATACTCATAAAAGTAAGAACTGATTGACAAGATCGCTTACAGAAAACGCCAATAAGAGTTCCAGGAGCAAATGAGTACTTGCTTAGCCAATTGGCAAGATTGTCTGATAATTGATCAAGCTGTGCATATGTGAGCTCCGTCGGAGAATCATCTTTGACGGCTAAGCGCCCGGGATGAACTGCTACTTGTTCGCGGAAGAGATCCACTATGCTAGAGTCCCGAGGGTACTCTGACTGGACAATGTCGAGAAGACCTCTCCTTTTCATTGCAACTAGATCTTCACCCGACAGTAAGGGTAGAGAAGCAAGAGATATATGAGGATCTTTAAGAGAATTTTTGAGTAGTGTATTAAACATGGATAGTATGCTGGTGATTGATTCAGTGGCATAGAGGTCGGTTGAGAACAAGATTTCTCCTTGAAGGGCACCCGACTCTTGAAAGAAGTGAAATTCCATATCGAATCTAGTCGTTGGAGGCACAGGAATTTGTTCAGTAATCAGACCTTCCAATGTGAATGATCCAAGGTTCTTTTGAGAGTGCACAATAAATAGAATCTGTGAGAGTGGATGACGAGACGGGTCTCTATCCTTTTGCAACTTTGAAACAATATTTTCAAATGGTACGTCCTGGTTAGCGGTTGAATCAGCTATGGCCTTGTGAACTTGTTGCACAAGCTCTTCTAAGGATTCCTCCTCAGTCCGGATTCTAATGGTTTGAAGGTTGACGAAGAATCCAATTATATCCTTAACTTCCCATCGGTGGCGGTTAGCGTTAAGCGTTGCAATGTTAGCATCAGTGACGCCAGTCATTCGAAAATGAGTAGCTCGAAAGACAGCAAGCAACACGATAAAGGGTGTCACTTGTTGTAACTTGCAGAATGTTTCTAGTCGATCATAAATTTCACCCTCCAGCCTGAGACTCTGTACGCCTGCATGGCCAGAAAGAGTTGCTGGTCTTGGCTTATCACAAAAGAACTCCGCCGCTTTGCTTGTTTCTAAGTGATTTACCCAGTAGTTCAATTGTTTTTCATGCTCTTGCGATTGATGCTTCGATTTTTGCCAGATAGAAAAGTCACGATATTGAATGGGAAGTGCCTCAATCATGGATAGAGGATGTTGCTTCTGAATCGCAATCTTGTAAAACATTGCCAGCTCTCTCTGTAGAATCTCGATGGACCAACCGTCAGAAATAATATGATGCATAACAATTGACAAGACATGGTTGTTGTCATCACACCCAAGACGATACAGCGTAATTCTCCATCCTGGTTCTGTACGTAAGTCTATTGGAGTTGTGTGGTCTCGGTGCAACGCCTCCATGAGAGCATGTTCATCCACAACATCAATAACCATTAGGTCTTTGGGCTGGAATGGACGAATTAGTTGCACCTCGATAGCGTCAACACTGTCAAAAGTCGTACGTAATGTTTCATGACGGCTTTCTAATGCCAGTATTGCCACCCTTAAAGCCTCAATATTAAGATATCCTCTCAATCGAATAGCACATGGCACTAAGTACCATGTCAAACCAGGATGAAGCTGCTCTAGAAACCATAGCCGCCTCTGGGCAAAGGATTGCTCGACGGGGCCGTTTGATTCGCTCCTCGGTATGACTAAAGAAGTACTATCGAGCATGGTGATGTTGCTTGAAATCTTCTCCAAGTTAGAGCCACGAAATATATCGGCAACGGTGAGTTTCAGACCAGCTTTGCGAGCAAGCCCCACGACTTTCATAGCTCCAAGCGAATCACCACCGATTGCGAAGAAATTATCGGACAAACTAATTGTAGATGGTTCGAGATTCAAAACTTGAGCCCAAATTTTCCGCATTTGCCTTTCATTTTCGGTTGATGGCTGTCGCAATGTTCCCTCTCTCGTGGTGCGTCTCTGTAAATTCTTCATAAGTGCATGGCGGTCCACTTTCCCATTTCCGGTTATTGGAATTTTGTCAAGGAATGTGATCATCTTTGGAGTCATATAGGACGGCAATTGGGCTTCGACCTTCTTTTGTAGCTGTTGGCGTATCCTGTGTTTAATCTGCTGTTGAAGAGGTTGGCTGCTCAGTTTAGAGAGCGAGCGTCCATCATGATCTGTAGGGAATCGAAACAGCGCTCGTCGGCCTCTATCAGACGTATTGAGATGGAAAATTGCATCGAGACCACCGCGCTGAGTATACTGGCGGGCACAACTGATCTCCACTTGGCAACCCGCTTGTTTAGCAATCTTTTCCAAATCGACTGTATCTAGAGAGGGGAGCGTTGCAGCCATTTCAGTGGCATTCGAGAGCCAATTTATATCATCATTGGAAATATCGGTTAACGAGTCAATGACAAGTCTCTCAAGAATGGTTTTTCGGTAAGGAATGTTGCTGATCGCCAGGGGAAATTTTGAGCTTTTCATCAGCTTTAAAAGTTTTTCCTGGTCTAGCTGCCGTTCTGTAAAATCCAGCCACTCGCTTTTGCCAACGTTGTGGATTTCTTGCTCCAATCCACCATGCTGTACATGTATTACGGCCGCGTATCGGAAGCAGCTCAGTTCATTTACTGCCTTCATCCGTTTTGGCAATATCTCGACATGATGGATTCGGTCGGGAAATTGAGTTTGCAATCCAGTAAAGAAGCCTGGATCAACCAATAATTCCAGCTCGCTCTGTTCTATATCCATCATAATGTCCTGGATATCGTCTTTGCTAGTGTTGTTCCCATGGAGAAAGAGTGCTTTGCCGACCTGAAATTCTTTGTACATTGCGTAAGAACGGACGTCACCAATGAAGACCGTTGTGACACTCTCCAATTGAAGAATATCTCCAATAATTCTTAACAAGTACTCATGATTCGGAAAATATTGAACAACCGAGTTGACAATGACAACATTGGGTGATATTGACCCCAGCTGAGATATATCTGCTGCTGTGCCCTTTTGCAGCCGAATCTTTTCAGAAAGACCAGGAATGGTCGTCGATGACTTAGCAACCCAGTTGATAACCCTTTCGGAGGGATCCAGGCCAATATAGCTTTCCAAGAATGAAGAAAGATTGAACAAAATCATACCACTTCCTGATCCTAGCTCTAAGACATTTAGTGATTCAGATCCATTGGTGATACTGTTAATAGTATCATCAAGCCACTCGTTCATCTCCTCAATGTCAATATCATGCCCACTATACATCGAGGACCAACCGACGAAGTCTCGGCCTGCTAAGCTGGATGGAAGACTATCAAATGAATCATACGTATCTTTATTGAAAAGCTCTTCCCAGGATTCAATTTGTTTGGTTTCATCGTCGCTTGTCCGTGTAAAATTCTGAACTTGCTCTTCAGAAATAGTCGCCTGTAAAGTAACGAAACTAACGAGCCGTGCTTCTCGCCCTTTTATTTCTTGGAGCACAGAAATGGCATCCGCAATGTTCTCATGGCTTCGCAAGACATGATCAATCTCTTCAGGTTCAACACGCTGGCCATTCACCTTGATTTGTCGATCCATCCGTCCAATGTACTCGATAAGCCCATCTGTGGGCCGATTACGGACGTAGTCCCCGGTACGATATGCCCTGAGGGCAGTCTTCCCATCGACAGAAATAGTGATGAAGCGATCAATATTTTGTTCACTGTCGGTATATCCCCTAGCCAATCCGTCGCCGGTAACAACCAGTTCTCCCACTACTCCGAGAGGAACCAAATGCTGCTGTGAGTCCATAACATATGCACCAGAGTTGCTAATGGCTCGCCCGATTGGCACGCCATTCGTGCAAAGCTCGTTTGCTGATAAGGTATACATGGTACTAAAACTTGTATTTTCAGTTGGGCCGTACCCATTGACAATTTTACTACCATGCTTCATGAGGGCACGAGCTGTGAATACATCTTGAGGATCTAGTCGATCACCACCAATGTATAATGTCCCTAATTCACCAACGATAGAGGGACAATCAATGAGGTATTGTTTTAGAAGAGCCGGCGTGACGAACATGGCTTCGATATGCTCCTTTAAAAAAATACTTGCCATTTTCTCGTAATCTAAAGTCGTCGTTGTGTCAATGCAGATCAAAGTTCCACCGTTTAATAGGGTAGCATATATCTCCCATGTCGATGCGTCGAAGGCAATATTTGAAATATGCGCCATTGTGGCATTAGATGAATGCTGTAGCATATTTGTATTCTTGACAAGCCGCACAATATTACGGTGCTCAATCATAACGCCCTTTGGCCGACCCGTTGACCCAGACGTAAACATAACGTAGGCAAGGCTGGCTTGCGAGGGGGCCTGAGGTCCTTTCAAGATGCCAATGCTGGATTGCTGGTTGAAAATTTCCTCTATGTGAACAAACTCGACACTGTTTGTGGGTAGAGGACGCTGGACACCGGTGCCGACAAGGACAATACCAGAGCTGTTGATAGATGCAAAAATGCGATGCAGTCGTTCAACAGGTATCTTTGAGTCAAAAGGCATATAAGCCAAATTCGCTTTCAATATCCCCAAAAATGCTATGATTGTTTCACTTGAGCGGGTGGCATAAACGCCTATCAATGTTTCAGGCACAAGTTCGCGCCCAATTAACCAAGAGGCAATGACATCAGACCTTTGGCCCAAATCGGTATATGTTAGCTCCAACGAAGCATCTTTAACAGCCATTTTATTTGGACACCCAATAACCTGTTGCTGGAACAGATCAACAACGCTCAGCCCGCGAGGAAAATCCGGAGTAACATCTCCGGCGGCAGCTTTTTCGTTGAGCGTTGCGAGGCTATCATTTGTTAATAGGTTCATGGACTGGATTGGTAGATATGGGTCCTCGAGAGCTTGTGTTAAAAGCTCTCTGAATGTAGAGACAAAATTTCTAATTGTCTTACGGGTGAACAGATCTGTTGAGTATAGAAGCTCACACCGAAAGCCAGCTCGTTCTTGGAATATGTGGCACTCAAGATCGAACCGTGAAGTGATAGACTGGTCGATGTATTGGGTCTCGATGCCCTCAAATCCGAGCTGTCCTAAGTCTAGCTGGGAATGGACAGCAAAGATTATTTGTACCAGAGGATGGCGTGACAGATCTCTTTTGTGCTGCAATTTGGAGACAACTCTTTCGAATGGAACATCCTGATTGGCAAAAGAATCAATAATGACAGATTGCACTTGATCAATTAATCTGTCAAAGCTCATCGAATCCTCGTCGATTATTATACGGAGACACTGCATGTTGACGAAGAAACCAATTACGTCCTTGATCTCCCATCGGTCGCGATTAGCATTGGGACTCCCTATAGTAGCATCAAACTGATTGGTGAGGCGGTAATGAGTGGCACGGAAAGCCGCAAGTAGGGCAATGAAAGGTGTAACATTTTTGTTTTGACAAAATTTCTCCAGACTCTTGTATAGCCTTCCATTTATGGTGAAATTTTGGACATCGGCGTGTCCAGATAGCGAAGTAGGGCGCGGCTTATCACAGAACATCTCGGCTGGTCGGCTGGTTTTTAGTTGAGTAGCCCAGTATTCAAGCTGTTGGTCATGTTCGCTAGCCTGCCCCTTTTCCCAGTTTGAGAAGTCACGATATTGAACTGGCAGTGGATCGATCTCGCAGAGGGGATCCTGGATACCGCGAATTGCTGCAGAATAAAATGACGCTAGTTCCTTGCGAAGAATATCAACAGACCAACCGTCAGAAATAATGTGATGCATGACAATTGATAGAACGTAGTGATTTTCTTCCACTTTGTAGAGCATAACTCTCCATCCAGGCTCTCTTTCAAGGTCAAATGGAGTTGTTTCATCCCTTCGGAGAGCACTCATGAGGCTCGCGTTCTCATCTAGCGGCATTTGAATGATGCCCAAATGAGAGCGGTCTCTTATCGGGAGGACTCTCTGCATTCCAATGCCGTTTGCAGTAAAAAACACGGTTCGAAGAGTTTCGTGTCGGCGTTCAAGAGATATCAGAGCAATGCGGAGTGCCTCAATATTAAGAGGGCCTCTTAGTCTCATCACACAAGGCATGTGATACCAATTGAGACCTGGATAGAGCTGCTCAAGGAACCATAGACGGCCCTGTGCAAATGATTGCTCTATAGGCTCATTTGATTCCATCTTTGTTATCATTTGCGCCGGGGTGTTGTTCTCTAAAGAAATAACATGCTCCGCTGTCTGATGTAATTTCGGGAAAAGGAAGATGTTCGCCACTGAAAGCTGCAAGCCAAGCTTGCGAGCCTCTCCAACAGCTTTCATAGCAGTGATCGAGTTACCTCCAAGCTTAAAGAAGCTATCATCCAACCCAATCATAGAGGCGGGCTTAATATCTAAGACTTTAGACCAAAGATTTTGCAACTTGTGTTCGATGTCTGTTGTTGGTTGCCTTTTCGGACCCGTGTGAACAATTCGCGCCTCAGCTAACCGTTGGGAGGACAATGACGAGCCTATCTCTTGCAATAACTTTCGATTCAGTTTGCCCGTGGCTCCGAGCGGAAGCGCTCCTATTTCAAAAAACACGGAGGGCATCATATAGCTAGGGAGATTCTGGAAGAGCGTTTGCTCAACCTCCGCTGGAATTGTAATAATCCTGGCTGTGGATGTAGTTGGTATCTGTGACTGGCCTACGAGCGAGGTTTCAATATTCATTTGAAGAAATGCCACTAGCATAGGACTCGAATTCACTCCTTGCGGTATGATCACTTCTGCTGCGGCTCGTATAACGTTGGGCATAGATTCCTGGATCAAGCGCTCCACATCTTCAAGTTCAACTCGTTGACCACGAATTTTAACTTGCGCATCTTTTCGACCTAGAAACTGGAGGCTGCCATCCTTTTTATAGCGAACGAGATCGCCAGTTTTGTAGAGACGACCAGTACGGCCACGCTTCACCATCCAAGCTGGACTCTCGATAAATACTGCGGCAGTTTTGGTAGGATTGTTGATATAGCCTGTGCCAACCAGAGGGCCTTCAACAAGTAGTTCGCCGATGCATCCTAGAGGCATGAGAGAATTATGATTATCCGGATCCACGACCCAAGTGACCACCCCGTATCCATTTCCAATATCAACGGCTGCTTCCGGGGTTTCTGGAAATGGATTAATCATACTAACTGGCGTGCATTCGCTTGTCCCATAAAGTGTGAACACGCGCACCCCGTTAGTATCCCACCATGGCTTTATGTCATTTACACGAATGGCCTCTCCGCCTAGAATCATTACCTTCAAGTGAGGGAGTTGCGCTGGTGATATAAGTGCCGCAACTGTCGGTGTGAGAAAAACAGTGTTCGATTTTAAAGCCTCCATGCTTTCCGCCAAGTTGTTTTTTCGGTCATGGTCGGTTGGGACACAAAGACAACCACCTGCGGCGAGAACTGTGAAAGCATTGAAATGGGCCCCGTCGAAACTATAGGTAGAGAAATCGTAAACTCGTGATTCGGTGGTATACCCGAACCCTGGGACTTGATACTTTACAGCAGAAGCAGAGCATTTATGGGTTATGACGGCACCTTTGGGGTTTCCCGTGGTTCCTGAGGTAAATACCACATAGTTAATCCCATTGAAGTCAGGTCGAGGTGGAACTTCCTCATCACTTAATTCGCTAAAAAATGCGGAATCGATAGTGATAACATTTTTGCAGAGACCCTCGCTTATAGACTTATTAAGAGGAGATGACACAATCATGATCGTTTGCACTTCCCTTACCATTGCTTCCAGGCGTCGCATAGGTAGCGAGGGATCAAGTAAGACAAAGGATGCGGTTGATTTCATTACGGCGAGCATTGCAACCGTATTCCACTTGGATTTCTCAAAGAAGATTGACACAAACGTGTTGGGATTGGCGCCCAGCTTGAATAAATAAGCTCCAAGTTTCGTGGAAAGCTCGTCAAGCTCTTTGTAGGTCAAGTCGCCGTCCCAGGCGCAAACAGCTGTTGCATTTGGCTGGGTATACGCAAAATCTGCAATCATTTCTTGCACAAATCGATCAGCTGCTGTTGGGACAGTTCCGTTCCACTGCCATATTGTCCCTAAATCCTGGGGTGTAGCCATCTCAATCATGCTCAGTGTATCGCCTGGAGGTGCGCTAGCCAGCTGTGAAAAGACATATTCGAGTCTCTGCATCAGCTGGCTTGTGTTCCATGAGTCTATAACCCTAGTATCAAAGCTGGCCTTCACTATGACATTTTTGGAAGCGATTTGGATGACAAGAACAAGCCCGTATGTATTAAACCAGCGCTGCTGGTCTTCAGTTATCCATCGGCCGAGAGGATTATCTGTGGCGCTCTCTTGCGGTTGAATGACGAGTAATGTCTGGAAATTGCATGCATGCTGCGTATTTACAGAAAGCTTTGCGATTTTCTGCAATCCGGCTTGCTCATAGGGTATAAGGTCGATGGATTGTTGTTGTACCATAGTTAAAAAACTTCCAATCGTTTGCTCTTTGGAGAAAGCTATACGGACTGGGACAGTAGCGATTGTGGGAGCTACCAGTGCCTCAATTCCGGTAACGGGAGCAGTCCTTCCAGACACTGTGACGCCAAAGACAACATCTCTCGAATCAGTGATGCTGCCAGCAACTAAAGCCCAAGCTGCGCGAATTAGCGTCGATGTCGTGATGTTTTGAGTCCGCTTTTGAGGATAAGGGAAGCAGTGTTCGATTGACTCATCCGCAAGTGGTACTTTAATAGATGGTGGAAGGGTCGGAAACAGGACGGCGTTACTTTCGCTGAAAGTGTTCCTCCAATAGTCTTCCATCTTCCTGCTATTCTTATCCTCGATATACTTGATGAAATTCTGAAATGGAGGTCCCGATTCCAGTTCATGTCCTAGATAAGCTTTATACACCGCCTGATTCAGAATTGGCTCAGACCATCCATCGTAAAGGGCGTGGTGTATGGTCCAAACAAACCACTTCGAAATACTGTTGTCGTCTTGGATGAGCGCATACCGACTCAGCGGCTTAGCGATACCCATTGCATGATCTCTATCAGCTTGCAGATATTTTTTAAGATTAGTCGCCTTAGCCCACTGTAGTTTTTCATCAAGGACGATTTGCTGCAAGCCAAAGTCGGTCTGGACAATGCGCGTGCGCAGAATCGGCATTGTGCAGAATACGTGTTCCCATGCTTTCTTAAATCTGTCAAGAGAAATATCAGATGACAATTCTAAGGTAGCCTGCATAGTGTAATCGCCCACGCGCTTGAGCGACAAGGAGAAGAGGCCTTCTTGAAGAGGCGTGCAAGGGTAAATGTCCACGATGTTCGCTTCAAGCTGATGTTGGGTTGTAAGATCTTGAATGAGTAAGCTAATGTCGGTTTCTTTACTCATAAGGCCAAATGGAGGTATTTCATGAAAAGGAGGCGCTTGAGTGTAGAGGCTCTGTTGCGAAATGTTCTGCAGGGTGGTGTGGTTGAAGATATCCGCAACGGTCAGTTGAAGGCCGAGTTTGCGAGATTCAGCAACGACTCGCATAGCACCGATCGAATCGCCGCCAAGTTGAAAGAATGCATCGTCAAGACCGATAGTCTCCAAGTTGATTTGAAGAATACGAGCCCAAATTGTTTGCATTAGTTGCTCTATTTCAGTTATTGGCCGACGCTTATGTTTTCGAGTAGCGGTTTGCATCTCTGCCACGTCCTGAGCAGAGAGGGAGGCACCAATATCTTGCAAGCTTCGTCGGTTAACCTTCCCTGTAGCGGTCATTGGAAGTTGTCGCACAGAAAAAAATAACGTAGGTATCATGTGGTGAGGGAGGTGCTTCGACAGGTGATCCATGACATGGGATGGGGCAGGTAACAATGTGGCCGCGGCAGGGCCAGTCTCACACTGGATAAATGCAACCAGAATCCTGTTATTATACGGACCGATAACTTCGGCAGCCACCTGGCTAGATTCCAGAAAGCACTCTTCAACTCTATGCTCAATTTCTCCGAGTTCGACTCGCTGACCACGAATCTTGACTTGAGTGTCCTTTCGGCCGAGAAACATAAGCGTTCCGTCTTCATTATAGCAGACTAAGTCACCAGTCTTGTACATTCGGCCACTGCGACCAAATTGGAGCAGCCATGTCGGGTCTTGAATAAATGCAGCGGCTGTTTTCTCTGGCTCCTTGATGTAGCCTGCGCCAACAAGCGGGCCCTCAAGGACCAGCTCTCCGATACAGCCAACAGGCAGTAAGCAATCATGATTATTAGGGTCTACGACCCAGGTCAGTAAGCCAATGCCCTTACCGATATGAACAATATCCTCAGGTTTAGTCGCAGTGGCATTAATCGTGCTGATGTGGCATTCGGCTGGCCCATAAATATTGACGACATGCGCCTTTCCCCACCACCGAGCAGCATCATTCGCCGTGATGATCTCGCCGCCTATTATAAGAGTTTTAAGATCTGGAACCATTTGGGGATCAATAAGACGAGCCACTGAAGGTGTAATAGTGATCAAGGTCGCTCGCATAGCCTTCATTGAACCGGTCAAATTATTTTTACGATCGTCGTCAGAAGGAACACATAGACAGCCTCCAGTGACGAATGTGGCGATTTGGTTATGCACGGAGACATCGAAAGCATAGGACGCAAAATCATACACTCTAGATTCCTTGTTGAAACCGAGCATCTTTACTTGGTGTTCCAGGCATGTGGCGATGTTTAAGTGGGTAAGAATAGCAGCTTTTGGAGTACCAGTACTTCCCGAGGTAAATATGGCAAAGATAGCAGTTGCAGATGACTGAGGCTTCCGATGCATGAGATAATCGGTAGCAGTCACAGAATCCACGCCAATCCGCTCGACTGTCTTACATAGTCTTGAACTAAGGGAAATATTCAAGGTGGATGAGAGGATGATCTTAGCCTCAATTTGATCAACGATGGTTTGCAGTCTCTGCTCTGGTAGTGAAGTGTCGAGGAGCGCGAAAGCACCACCGACTTTTAGCACCGCAAGTATGGCAACTGAAGTCCAGAGTGATTTCTCGAAGCAGAGTGGCACTACCATGCCTTGTGTAATTCCAAGTTGGAACAGTCGATTAGCCAAACCATTGGCGAGACGATCTAGTTCTAGGTAGGTGAGATCGCCATCCCAAGAGCAAATTGCCGGTGCATTTGGCTGAGCTTTAACGCGCTCATTAATCATATCATGAACACATCTGTCCAGCGCTTCAGGTAGTGTAGAATTCCAGTTCTGTAGTTGTTGTAAATCGGTCACACTGATTACAGAAATCTCTTGAACACTTTGGCGAGGATTTTGTACGAGATTGGAGAGTGCTACGCTCATACAGTCCGCAAGGCGATTGATGGCGTCTGATGTTAGGCTTCCCGCCCTAGAGCCCACCTGGATATCGATTTCTGCGGTACTATCCATTACGTCAACCGTTACATCGTACTATACATCATGTTAGATCCAGATTGTGTAAATGCCTGCTTCTGTACTCTTACCTCAGTTGGATCAAAGTTAGAGATTTCTTTAATCAGTAATTCTACCCCGTCGGCATCATCGTAGTCATCAACCTTTTGGAATGATACCAAACTGTTGAAAAGTGGCCGTGAACCTAGCCCAAGGGCTCTGTGAATCTTTGCGAGAGGAAAGTGCTGGTATGGTAAGATGCTAAGGTAATTATCTTGGGACTGCTTCAAGGTATCGAGAACAGTGTCCTCCTGGTTAAGGTGAATGCGAAATGGAACCAGCCCGATAAACGGCCCAAAGGTGTCCTCAGCCCCACGAACCATCACATCACGGCCAGAGAAAAGACTCCCAAAACAAGGCGAGGTCGATCCTGTATATGCTCTCAAAACAAGCGCCCATGCAAGTTGGACCAGTATGGCGGGCGTCACGTCACAGCTTGCACAGAAGTCACGGATCTTGTGACTTTCAATGCCTTGGACGTGCACTGAATTCATTGCTTTGGTAGAAGAAACATCGCCGCTAAGGTGGGAGATTGGAAGGTGACATGGTTCAATTCCAGCCAAATTCTGAACCCAAAATGCATCGGATTCTTCATGCCGTTGTCTCTCTAGATGCTCAATGAAATTTTTATAGGATCCTGCAGTTTCAAGAGTGGCTCCACTGTAGGCAGACTGGAGGTCCCGACACAAAATCCTTTGTGAGAAGCCATCCGTTATGGCGTGGTTCATCTCAAGAAGAATATGGGCTTTGCTTTTTTCGATATTAAAAATCGAAAGATGATGTTGAAGACTATCTCTATGTAATCCTCTGGGAGCATTCAACCTAGCAGTCGTGCACGATATGCTGGGAGTTGGATCTTTGAGAACAACATGCATCATCTTGTTAGTTCCGGGGAAGGTGTCAAAGACAATCGCTCTCAAGAGTGCATGGCGCTTCACAACTGCTTTCCACGCCGTTTTGAGTTTGTCGATATCGAGGCAATTGTCACCATTAACTCGAACTTCCAGTTCAACCCATCGCTGGTAATTGGTCTCTTCTCTAGCTTGTGATACTAAAATTCCTTCTTGTAAAGGTGAACAAGGGAAAATGTCTTCGATATTAGCATGTTGGAAAGCAAGCTGAGACCAAATTCTATGAAATTCATCGATTGAATCGTAAGACTTAAAGGCGAGTGGGAAGTCACTTAAAGTCCAGTTTACTGAAACGCTAGAAAGTTCAAGAGCCATATCGCTCAGAGCAGTTTCAAAATTGCGAATCCAACCAACAATTCTGTCTTGTTGATTCATGGTTTTGAGGAATTCGATAGATGCCACAATCTGGCCTTTATCAACCCAAACATCGATATCGAAGAGCGCAAATCTCTGCACATGAAGGTTAGATGGCGGGTCACATCCGGCAGGGAGACTTGAATGTTCAAACAGCCCATTGCTGCGCTCCAATTGCTGATACACGCCAGCGTAGTTGAACATTATTTCGACTGGATACTCTTTAGCGAATACTACAGAATTTGCTTCATCGGCGAAACGAGATGTAAAGTATTCCCAGCCATTTTTTGCCAGCCTTAGTCTAGAATCTTTTGTGCGGCGAATGATATCTGCAAGGCTATATGTCGCATTACCAGCGATCTGTACGGGAAAAATAGTCGAAAACCAGCCTATAGTTGTTGAGATATCAATATTGTCGTCCCATGTCTCGCGACCATGGCCCTCGCTAAAAATAGTAGGAGGAGTACGATCGTGAAATGTGCGACCGAATGAGAATATGAGCGCGGAGATTATTAGATCAAGAGGACGGGTATTGAATATACTATTTCCTCGACCTAAAATGATTGAGCTTGCCGATTCATCAATGGAAAATTTCTCGACTATAGTTCCATCTCGTGTGTTTTCAGTCAAGTTGCTCATTCCCCAGTAATCAAGGGTTTCCTGGTATTTTGGCTGGGTAAAGGTGCCAGTAGTAGCTTGTAACATTTGACCAGCATATTGAGCTTGGAGAGTGATCCAATGCTGGAAGTCCACAGAAGGCGCCGGTGTCATGATTGTCTCATTTGTCAAGATGTCTTCCAACTCCCTCAGAATAATCCGCCATGATACCAAATCAACAACAAGATGATGAATGTCAATAAACAACGTCTGGCCATCGATGGTGTTATTAAACAACACTGCGGATAAGATTGGGCCATTCTGTACATCTAAACGCCCACGACACTGGGAAATAATCACAGCTGCTGATTGAGAATCCGAAAAATCTTTGACATCGAGATGGAATGATTCAGAAACGCGGTTGGATATATGTTGCTCCCAGGCATCGCCGGACTCGTTTCTCTTAAACCGGACACGCAGAATGTCATGCCGACGAACAATAATTTCGAGTGCGCTGTATAAAGTTTCTGCTGTAATGTCTCGCCTTAATTTTAGATAGAAGAATTGATCGAAGCAAACAGTTGGATCTTTCTGAAGATGAAAATACAGCCTCTGAATGGGGCTGAGATGAGATGATCTTATATGCGCCTTTGGAATAAGATTGGTTTGGCTGCTAACTAATGCAGAAGAGGCAGCTGAATTGATGGTTCTGGTGATGTTAGAGATATTCTTTTCCTTTAATATGTCGATGACTCGCAGTTGGATTGACAATCGCATATTAGCCAAAGATGCTACTTGCATCGCAGTGATACTGTCACCACCAAGCTGAAAGAAACTATCATCTATTCCGATCTTGGAGACATCAATGTTAAGAACTTCGGACCACACTGCCTGGATTTGTTGCTCCAGTCTTGTGGTTGGTGGCCGCTTTGTTCCTTCGCCTGTCTGTATTTCCACTAGTTTCTTCATTGTAAATGTAGCTCCAATCTCGCGCAGTCGTCTCCGATTCATCTTCCCTGTAGGAGTCATTGGAAGCTCTCTGACTAAGAAGAGAACTGATGGTATCATGTACATCGGCAGGTATTCAGCGAGTCTCAGTTCGACATCTGATGGTATCCGAAGGAGCGTCACTTCCTCTGTAGTTTCTGAAACTATTCTGGGCTCGGTAAACACCACAAGGACTGGTGTAGGTCTTTCTGCCTGCGGCAAGATGACCTCAGCAACAATTTGCTTTGCGTCCGGTAAATATTCTTGAACCAGCGTTTCAATTTCGCCAAGTTCAACCCGTTGGCCACGTATCTTCACCTGCGCATCTTTACGGCCAACGTATGACAGGCTCCCATCTTCATTATATCTCACCAAGTCACCAGTCTTGTAGACTCTGGTAGAACTATTCTCACTGTTGTTTGCACCGTGTTTTAGCCAGCGAGGACTCTCAATAAAGGCTTTTTCAGTCTTGTCGATGTCACCAAGATAGCCTCGACCAACCAAAGGTCCCTGCAGCAAGAGTTCGCCAACACACCCGGGTGGTAGAAGACAATCATGGTCATCTGGATCTACTATCCAGCTGACACCGCCAACGGCTTTCCCAATGTGAGTAGCCTCCTCAGCGCAAGTAGCATCTGCATTGATTGTACTAATCGTAGTGACTTCACTTGAGCCATATGCGGTAATAACCTGGACGTGGCCCCACCATGGGGCGACATCTTTCATTCGAACTGCTTCACCTCCAAAAATAATACAACGGAGGTTAGGGACCTTTTGAGGGGATAAAGACTCAGCAACTGAGGGGGTGAGTAGTACTACAGAAGCACGGAGCGATACCAAGCTGGCTGCCAAATTGCTTCGTCGATCATTATCACTCGGTACACACAGGCACGCACCAGAAATGAGGGCCGCTAACACGTTGTTAATAGCGGCTCCAAAACTGTAGGATGCAAAGTCGTATATCCTGGAATGGCTACTGTAGCCTAGTTTTCTTATATGTTGTGGTACGACAGATGCAACGTTTTTGTGAGTGATTAGTACACCTTTTGGAACACCCATACTACCAGATGTGAATATCACATAGGCAGTAGATGAGGGATCAGGGTTTCCAAGGTGTTGGATGGATGGTTGAAGATTGACGAAAAAATTGGCGTTCACAGTTATAACATGGTCAGTCAAGCCCTGACTGACGTCGCGGTATAAGACCGAAGATAAGATGAACTTGGCCTCGATTTGTCGTATGATTTCTCGGAGACGCTGCTCAGGAAGATATGGGTCCAGCAGCACAAAGCCACCCCCTGCCTTAAGGATAGCGAGGATTGCAACGGTCGTCCACATAGATTTTTCAAAGTGCACCGGCACCAGCACCCCAGGACAAACTCCAAGGCCAACCAGATGACCAGCAAGACTTGTAGCAAGCCTTTCCAATTCAAGGTATGTAATTTCCCCATCCCATGCACATACGGCTGTTGCGTCGGGCTGGGCTCGAGTTTGCTTCTGGAGCAGCTCAGGAATAGACTGTTCAACCGTCGGCGGAACGGCAGCATTCCATATTTGGATTTGCTTCAAGTCAGAAGAGGTGAGCATCTGCACTTCGCTCAGCGTTTGGCCAACATTTTCAAGCTGAGCCATGACATAGTCAAGGCGTTCAAGCATCTTTTGTACAATCCACGGTTTGATAACCTTTGAATCGAAACTTGCTCTCACCGAGATGGACCTCGGTTTAAGCTGTATCTCAAGGATTAAAGCATAGGTATTAAATGATTGCTGAGTGTTACCAAGCTTCCATTTGCCAAAGACATCTTGTGTTTCTCCATTGCCATTTGTTTGAATGACAAGTAGAGTCTGAAAGCCAGAAACATGTTTGGCATCGGAAGATATTTTAGCAATTTGATGTAATCCTGTTTGCTCGAATGGGATCATCTCAATTGATTGTTTTTGTACTGTTTCCAAGTATTCGAGAATCTTTCGTTCCCTGGATGGTATTTGAATGCGAATAGGAATAGTCGCGATTGTGGGAGCAGGAACAGCGTAAATCCCAGCAACAGGCGCGCTTCTCCCGGACACAGTAGCACCAAATACCACATCGTCCGAGTTGGTCATCTGAGAAGCAATCATGGCCCATGAGGCACGGACAAGTGTTGAGACAGTGATGTCCGAAAATCTTTGTTCCAAATGGGAATGCGCAAGCGGGTATTCAATCACGCTATCAGTCGCGGGACGATCAACGGAAGGCGGGAGAATGGGGAATAGCGCTGCTTCACATTGGCGAAAGGTTTCGCGCCAGTAGTTTGCTCTTGCGTCCTTGTCTTGGACTTGAAGATATTTAATGAACAATTGGAACGGAGATGGCTCCTCGATTTCTTGGCCTTCATAAGCTTGCTTTGCTCTGTCTAAAAGAAGAGACAGAGACCACTCATCGTACAGACTGTGATGCACTGTCCAAACAAACCATTTGGCGGTACCCATGCTGTCGCGTAAAAGTGCAAAACGTGTAAGCGGCTGGCCAATTCCCATATCAATATTTTTGTCATTCTCAAGGAATTGATCCAAACTGGCGTCAGGGATATCAGTCCAATTAAGTTGCCCATCCAAAACCATTTGTAGAAGACCAAAGCTCCTGTGTTGCACAATTCTCGTTCGAAGAATTGCTGTGGTTTGGAATACTTCATTCCACGCCCTTTTGAATGACACGAGATTAATCTTGGGGGATATTTCTAGGACAGCTTGCAAAATGTAATCCCCGGCTCTGGAAGATAAAGATAAAAGCCCTTCTTGAAGAGGCGTGCAAGGATATATGTCCTTGATATGTGATGGATCCACGCCGTATAGGGAGGAGAGATCATTAACAAGGGAAGCGATATTAGTTGCTTTCCCTAGGAGACTAAAAGGTGCAATATGTTGCTCTGATTTCGAGTTTCCCATAATTTGAATAGCATTGTTCGCAATTTCCTGGAACACGGGCTGCTGGAGAATATCAGCTACTGACAGATGAAGACCAGCCTTACGAGCCTCTGCCACTAGTCGCATAGCGCTGATCGAATCACCTCCCATTTTTAAAAAGCTGTCATCTAGGCCTATAATATCGAGGCTAATACCGAGAATTTGAGACCAAAGCTTCTGCAGTTGACGTTCAACAGCTGTTTTTGGTCGACGCTTTGGTGCAACCGTCTGTGGCTCAACTAGCTGCTGCAAGGTAAATTCTCCACCTATTTCACGCAATCGTTTGCGGTCAATTTTTCCTGTCGCAGTAAGGGGCAGCTCATCCATTGTTAAATATATATTCGGCACCATATAGCTAGGCAAATGCCTCGCTATATTTCCTCTCTCTTCTGTTGAGATGGAGTGTATCGTAGGAATTTGATGTGACACAACTGCAGCACCTGCTTTGTCCTGCTTCGGTTGGAGGAATGCTACTAGCACTGGGCCTGAATTCTTTGGGACAATAATTTCTGCGGTAGCGTGGACCATCCCTGTGATGTATTCATGCAATCGAACTTCAATTTCGTCAAGTTCAACTCGATGACCATGAATTTTAACCTGATTGTCCTTCCGACCAGCGAAGGACAGACTTCCATCCTTATGATACCGTACTAGGTCTCCAGTTTTATAAAGACGGCCTTGTCGACCTGGTTTACCAGGTAATCCTTTCCACAGCCATATTGGGTCTTTGATGAATACCGAATTTGTTTTCACTGATTCTCCCAAATATCCACTACCGACAAGGGGCCCCTCGAGGAGCAGTTCACCGACACATCCAATAGGCATCAACTTGTTGTGATTATCAGGATCAACAACCCATGTGTTCATTCCAATTCCTTTTCCTATACGTGTAGCTTTCTCTAAGGGAGATACCATCATGTTAATCGTACTGGCGGTGGTGCATTCGGATGGTCCATACGTATTCATAACACGTATCTGGTCTACCCAAGACATCAAGTCTTTGGCATGCACGGCCTCTCCTATCAAAACCATTGATTGAAGGTAAGGCAATTGGCCAGGAGATAGTTGTCGAGCAACTGTTGGGGTGAGGTAGATCCAATTCGCGCGGAAGGATGTTATGCTCTCTGCGAGATTTTCTCGCCGTTGTTCTTCATTGGGTACGCAAAGGCACCCACCCACTGTAAATGCAGAAAAGGTATTGAATATGGTTAAGTCGAAGCTATATGCAGAAAAGTCGTAAATTCTTGATTGAGAAGTGAGTCCCATAAGCTTTGCTTGGTAGTGTAGTGCAGATGCATGATTTTGGTGAGTGATGGCGACTCCTTTAGGCGCACCAGTAGTTCCCGACGTGAATATGACGTACATAAGAGATGATGGATTAGGATGGGGTAGTCTCCTAGATGGCAGATCATTTGGCGACATGAAGAGCTCTGGGCCAACTGCTATTATCTCCCGAGCTAGCCTAGAGCTAACAACCGTCTTGGAGATGGAACATAAAATAAGGTCGGCCTTTGTCTGTTGTACAATTGCTTGCAATCGCTTCTCGGGGAGAAGGGGGTCAAGTAACACAAAAGCTGCCCCAGCTTTTAGTACACCCAGCATGGCGACGGCCGTCCACATTGATTTATCGAAATGAAGAAGGATAATTTTGTTGGGCTCCACACCTGACGGATGATTGACAAGTTCAATTGCCAATTGGGAAGACAAGCGGTCAAGTTCGCCATAGGTAAGTTCTCCATCCCACGCAGATACTGCAAGAGCCTCTCTTTGTAGCATTGCTCGCTCTTCAACCATCTCTGTCACTGACAGGCTGATTGTCTGAGGAACTGAGTCATTCCACTTCCATATTTCCTTTAAATCACTGTCTGAAATTATGTCGATGTCTGCGACTTTCGTACCAGGCTTATCAATATCCAGCTGTTTCACGACACCTTCTAGCCGCTGCAAAAGTTGATTCAACATGCAAGGGCTAATAGCTCTCGAATCAGAGAACGTGTAGATTTTCGTTTTGCTTGTGCTGATGTGGACGTCAATTAACAGAGCATGACTTGGTTTCCAATCTTTCTTATCGAGCATTCTGAATCCAGTGACATTCCCATTTGGTGAAGAAATAATAAACAATGTTTGGAGCATAGAGGCACGCTCAGCCTGGATACATGATTTGGAAATCTCGAGTAATCCAGTATGTTTATAAGGTTCCATTTCCAATATATTTTGCTCTACCATCTTCAGGTAATCCACTATTGTTTGATCTGCATCCAACAAGATACGGATTGGGGCAATTGGTGTTCTCGACGTCAATTCATGTTGAGAATCCGCGGCAGCCGAGCCGAATACAATATCCGTTGAGTTGGCCAATTGTCCAATAACCAAAGCCCATGCAGCATATATCTTCGTCGCTGGTAGAACATTTGAAGACTCATCCTGGTTATGGGCGATTTCATACTCCATTTCATTGTCGAGGAGCAGAGACTCTGTTGGGAATGTGATAGTTGGGAAAGTCGAACCATCATAATTCAAGAACTTATTTCGCCAGTAATCCGCAACCTCATTTTTCGTTTGGAGACTTTCGAAACCGTCAATAGCTTCAATTGTGACCAAGCTCTCGTCGTGCATGCCACCACTTGAGGGTGTTGAAGTTTCCTCAAGTTTATAATTCCCAGATCCTGATGGGTAAATCTTCTCTTTACTCTTGTAAGAGAGTCTTTGTGTAATTTTTTTTAAATGATGCATGACGGTGATGCGTTTTGCGGCTTTTACAGAAAAATAGTAAGATTGTGTGATTTGATAAAATGGAAAGAGCGATGTGATGTGGAAGGCGTATTGCCGAAATCACAAGCTTAACGAACAACAACCCAGAGAGGCAAATTAAATGACTAATATACAAATATTGGTAAAAAGTAAGCAAGATGCATAAAATTGTAGTATAAATTTATGCACACTGTTCTTTGATTTCTTCGCTGGGTGATTAAGTTGTGCTGAAGCTATTAAAGGCTCCATAGACGATATGTCGGTCACTTGCCAGATTAGGTATTCAGCTACGATATTGCATGATATCCTGTGCCTCAGCATATTTTACACCAATGGACCATTGACCTGACACTGACATAAATTTCGCCATAAATTAGGAGTTATGGGATTTGAGCGGTCGCACGCAATTTGTTTCTCAAACCTTGAGCAACTGAATTAGGTATATTTGCCACTGATAACAGTATTCCTAAATCTCAACAATTAGTTCTTCGCACCTGATGAAATTCCCACAATTAATGAGCACATAGCATCCATGCCACCCAAAAAAAGAAAAGGTCTTGTGCTCTCGATGGGCCCCTCACCACAGGCTCGAGCAGCAAGTGGGGCATATTGGGAAGTATACGCCATGTGTGTGGCCTGAGATTACAAAAGCTGGGGTGGCTGCAGAGGCAGTAACATGTGACTGTTTGCAGGGTTCCATTTTGGCAGAGCTAAGGCGAATATATTCCGCAGCCAGCAGCTCAATTTTCGTATAATATAATATCTAATGGATGCTTTTGTATGCAACTAACTACGCGAGATGTGGCTGGTTAGCTTGAATGGTACGAATTCATGTGCACTTGCAGCGACGGATTCTCAAAAATGTAGCAGTATAGTCTCAACACGTTGACCATGTATTTATATGATTGGCTCGTTGAATAGAAAATGACACGTCTCTGATCAAAAATTCGTCTACATTTGTATTGAGGTTGCATCAAATGCAGGTTTCAGCTCTGTGCCGTGTCTCTTAGCAACCATCATGCATACTTTACAGGTCTCAAAGCCGAATTATAGGTGACACTAGGCAAACGACAAAGCGCAGAATATTTCATATCCATCATTAACCATTTGTAGAAGTTGTTCTGACGTGCTTCTCTCGTCATATTGCATTGACTGTTCCGTATCTTACCGAGAGAAATTACGTACTCATTCCCTGGTGGAAATTGACGACATTCTTGAAGTATTTACTCCAAATTCAGACAATAATTAATATTTGAAGTAGCCTGAAGTAGAAATATATAACCCTTTACCTATGGATAAGGGAACAATCTACCTCATGATGTAGGGGTAGCTGGGTGGTTCTAGCAAAAGTTTACTTAACCTAGAACATATTTGGCATCACTCAAGTTTACTACATAAATTTTTATGAAAAAGTAAACAATTCCTAAAGCCAATTTTGGCATTCATTACTGATTTAATTGTATTATCGCAAGCGAACTACATACGAATACATGGGAGTCTCTAATTAGTCATGAGTCATTTGCTAAGATGTATGCAAGGAAAATATACTTAATTCCGTTGTATACTAGTAGATTACAAAAGAAGAAGAATACTCTACTATAATGGGTCGTTGACGTGTACACGTCAACTAAGAGTCCATTATACTTTGACTGATTAGTTGTCTTCCTTTCGTAGAAGACTTGATTCATCGTGTGTTCCCGGCACACTGATCTTTTTTCGACAGTTTAATTTAAGCATACCTTAGTCACCCTCTATCCGTTGATCATGGCTAAATCTTCCATTGGTAAGCTTATTCAAGTCCCTGAATCTCTAAGAGATTCCATATCTCGCACACGAGTCACATATCGAAAGCTGGGGAACTCGGGCCTACGCATCTCAAACCCTATCCTTGGTGGCCTCCATATAGGTAGTTCCGATTGGTTTCCTTGGGTACTTGATGAAGAACGGGTCAGTCACTGTGCTCAATCACTAGTTGAATGGGGTTAAATCAACATAGGCATTGCCGCTTCTGAAAGCAGCCTATGATCGAGGCGTCAATACAGTATGATAACCTTTTTTTTTATGTCGAAAACATGCTAACATTTTACGAAGTGGGATACCGCCAATGTGTATTCAAACGGCCAATCTGAGAGAATTATGGGGGAAGCCCTTCGCAAGTACAATATTCCACGAAACAAGATAGTTTTGATGACGAAATGCTATCGAGTTTTATGTGATGCTGAGAATTATGATCCTGGCTCTGGTGTTACAATGCATCATGAGATGGCGGATAAAAGTAAAGACTATGTTAACCACTGGGGTGAGTCAGATACAGTAATCGGTCTGATGATATATGACATGAGTTTTGATAGAGCTAACACATTCAGGGCTGTCACGACAAGCAATATTTAATTCCGTCGAGGCCTCCCTTAAACGCCTCAACACCCATTACATCGATGTTTTCCAGATCCATCGCTTTGACAATACAGTCCCACCTGAGGAAACAATGTGTGCACTGCATGACCTGGTTAAAGGTGGTTTGGTCAGGTACATCGGTGCCAGCTCTATGTGGGCATATCAATTTGGCATACTCCAACATGTCGCGGAAATAAGAGGCTGGACGAAATTTACCTCAATGCAAAATCATTATAACTTGATATACCGTGAAGAAGAGAGGGAGATGAACAAGTATTGTAATCACACTGGCGTGGGTTTAATACCCGTAAGATTTTCTTCTCAGCGGCACAAGCACTATACAAGCTGACCAACTCCTTTAACAGTGGGCTCCACTTGCATCTGGTAGATTAGCACGCCGCCCAACAGATAAGTCTATGTCTGTCAGAGCATCATATAGCTCTAACGGGACTATATATGCCGGCGAAAGTCATAGTACTGGTGCAATTATTTCTAGAATAGAAGAGGTGGCCACAAAGCGTAAATGGCCAATGAGCCATGTGGCTCTCGCATGGCTAAATCGGAAGGTGACAGCTCCTATTATTGGCTTCGGGTCGGTTGAGCATATTGATGAGACGTTGGCAGCAAATGGGAAGGAGTTAACTGAAGCAGAAGAAGAGTATCTAGAGCAACTCTATGAGCCTCAAAACGTACAAGGCCATACCTAAATCTGCAAATGCAATGACCAATGTCTACAATGCAACGTATAATATAGATGTTTGCTATGGATTCATAATTTGGTCATAGGTTAAACAGTTTCTGCAATTTTGTTGCTCTGTATCATTTTTTAGAATATCTCATGGTAAATAGCTGGCTTAACGATTTGCAGATTTAATAGTTCCAAGTTTATCGCCACCCGCATCGCATGGACATTTGGTTGAAAGGAAACGCACTGTGCGACGAGTTTTTATGACCAAGAGCCTAGAACTTCCACCACCAGCAGTACCATCATGACATACCGTATAATATGTAGGCGGTTGTATTGGGCTGGGAAGAACAATAGTAAAAGGATCATCGACTGGATCAAAAACGGGTTCAAACATAACGACACCAACGGCGCCAATAATGCCCGATAATGCCATACAGGAAATATATTACCCAAAAAAGAAGAGAGCTTTCCCGTTTCCCGTTACACTCTATTTTCCTTTCATACTTCTGCCTGCTGTGTCTAGGCCTTTGAACTCGTATGTTTTGTAGCGGGGAAAGGGGCGGGGTTTGGCCAGTAAACACTGCAGGCAGTCAGTCGGATCGGTATTGAGGTGGTATTATGCGGGTGGGAGGGGTGCAACCGTTTCACACACTAACATTCATTCAACTGTTACGTTGTGTGGTAATGAAATCATGTCTAATTTAATTTCTTGCCTTATCTAGGCTTCAACGGCGTAGATCACCACACGAATGATCTATTTGGAATTCGGCAAATGATATCCTACCCAACTAGTATCAATGTATCAATTAAATGACCCCCAAGTATCTCATATCTGAGTATCACTATCATGTGCAGCATAGACAGATTCCTTTCAATTTGCCTGGTTCTCAGCGTACCACCAGTAGGGAGATTCGCGGCTTATCAGTAATTCCACACCAGGTCTTGTTAAAACTTGAGACAAATGGTGTCGTATTATTACAATAGCGGTTAAATTCAAACTCAAGATGAGATGTTCCATAAAGCTGTAACAGCTGGACTATTATCAGTATACGGGCATTTGCAACAGGCTGTAGCCGCCCAGTTTCAAAGGACAGAACATGAAGTTGAGACTTGATATACCCTAATGATGCTTTATAGAATGAAGAGATGGCTGCCGAGCCAATAATATGAGCAATCTGCCACCGAAAAGAGGAAAATTGCTCTATCGGGTTTTATGTACGTATTAACATGTGGAAGTTTCAACTCAATGCTTCAATATTTGCCAATATACATGCACCTTTTAATATGCAACGCTGTAGCTCTATTCATCACAATTGTATAGCTGTTATATCTTAGAGACCAAACGATTTTTTGGATGCGAGACTTCTCAAATGGCGGTGACACCACCAGTCCTCTACCCGGCGATGAGCGTTAGTAAATATGATGGCGTGCGTTGGATTACCTAATCGGCATCTTCCACGGAAGAGAAATAAATTATTTAGCGGCTGTGTGCAAGGCTCTCCCACTTATAAAGAGATCTTTTATTCCTCGACACTGCAACGGAGTACCTTCATCTCGAAGTAGCAGTACATTTAGCTTCAAATCATTGCATGAGCTAGATAAAAGCATTTGAGCCCTCAATCATATATTCAGCAGTACATTCTGTTCAATACGCCGGCCATATATATATTCTACTCATGGAGAGGGAACGTCTTCAAGGGGTCACATCGCAACCCCTCAGCAAGATTAATCCCTCTTCCTGGAATTTTGTTGTCACAGTCTTTGTGATACTGACGTTCCTGCCAATCCTAAGATTACTCGGGCTTGCAGTTTATAATTTATACTTTCATCCCTTGAGAAAATATCCCGGTCCTTTCCTCTGGATTGCTTTCCCATGGCTGAAAAATATATCTCTAATCCGCGGGAAAGCGGACCACGCTCTTGTCGCATTCCACGAACGATTTGGGCCTGTTGTTAGAACTGCCCCTAACATTTTGAGTTTCACTTCTCTGACTGCATGGAGGGATATATATGGGACTGGTCATGCTGAACTACCAAAGCATATTTTCAAGGGCAGCGGGATGGAGGAGCGCCCTAACATAATTACTGCAAATGCTCGGGACCATCATCGCTTCCGCCGAGCTCTACTACCGGCTTTTTCAAATGACGCTCTGGCACGCCAAGAACCTTTGGTCAACGGTTATGTTGAGCAGCTCATAAATCAACTACGTGGAATCGCCGAATCTGACAACTCTATTGCTGATATCTCTAAATGGTACACAATGACGACATTTGATATCTTTGGAGAGCTTGCGTACGGCGAATCATTTAATGGGCTAGCGACAGGGAAAGTTCACCCATGGATCAGAGCTCTAAGTGACATGAAGTCTCTGGTTCCCTTGCTTGTATTCCCGAGCATCTCGTGGATTTTGGTCCTACTCTTGACTACAGCTGAGCAGCGAGGCTCTCTGGCAGAACACCAGCAACGTTCTATGGAGCTCACATATAAGCGCATCAAGAATAAAGAGATTCAAGAGCGTGGAGATATCATGACTTTTGTCCTACGCGAACACGGGGAGGATCAGGGCCTAACCGATTATGAAATGGCATGTAACGCCGATATCATCATCAGTGCAGGCTCTGAGACTACTGGAACAGCTATGACCGGAATCACCTACTATATGCTTCGAAATCCAGAAAAGTTAGCCAAGTGCGTTGATGAGATACGCAGTGCTTTCGAAACAGAAGAATCAATCAATTTCAAGGAGACTACAGCCAAGTTACCTTACTTAACAGCTTGTATCGAAGAAGGATTGCGCTTATTTCCCCCTGTCCCGACTGGTCTGTTGCGTGAAACTCTACCAGGAAGACCTACGCTTATTGATGGCCACTTGATCCCAGAAAGGGTATGTCATTTCGATCAGAACTCAGCCCATAACATTCCAGCAACTTTACTCTGATTTCTAACTTCACGACTTACAGACTGTCGTAGCAGTGCACCATCTGGCCACCTATCATTCTGAGTCAAACTTTCACGATGCAAAAAGTTTCCTACCGGAGCGTTGGTTGCCAGAAATACACTCAGAGCCGACTTCTCCCTTCTACAAGGACAATCGAAGCTGCCTGAAACCATTCAGCTACGGCCCACGCAATTGTATCGGTCGTAACTTAGCTTATCATGAGATCAGGCTCATCTTGTCCAGGGTGCTATGGAATTTTGACCTCTCTCTAAAGCCCGGTTTCGAAGACTGGGCCATTGGTCAACGCTCTTACCAATTGTGGGAGAAGCCAAGTCTTATGGTGGATGTGAAGATGCGTACGGTATAATCGGTTAACATTTCAAGAATACTAGTAATTTTTTGTTTTATTTACATATGTATCTTGTTGCCTTGATACGATTTTACATGCCAGTAGACGTCAACACTTGACCCAGTATCTTGAGGAACGGGCGATTATATAAAATAGGCATAATACAACATTGCACAATTCAGTACGCTTTATGCATATTATAATTATAGTTCTTGACTTGGAAGAATAAAATTTCATACTTCAACTTCAAGGCACAATGCAGTGGAATGATATCCTCACAAGCTAGCTTGCTTGCGTGATTACTGCAGACTGTTCCAATCTAAGGTAGCAGCCGTACGTTCTTAGCAATCCATAGGAAAGATAGTTTGGTCACATTGATCGTTTCACGCCGTAATAGTTGATAATTGAGATGTCAATTGCCTCATATGCCTAAAATTTTATGCACCTGATAATTGATGAGACTTGCCTTACCAATAGGCAGTGGAATATCTGGTCACGAATATTGAATGGTTAATCTTGAGCTTTACAATTTGGCCCCCAGAAGCGGAGTAAGGAGAACAAAGTGATATCATCTAGGAGGCGCAGCGATTCAAGCTGAAGTCCGATGGTGTAACACCATCGTGATGTATGCTTGCAGCGTAATTGGCTGGTTTGAGCGGGGTTTGCATCGCGAGGTAGTATTTATATATGCATTGAACCTATGTACAACCACCTTTCAGGATTTAACCAGCCACTTTGCATGCGTCTACACTAGCGTAGGTGGAACTTTCAGTTCCGAGTTAGCATTTAATATATGTTTAACCACATTTTCGAGATTTGATTAGCTGCCGTCAGCGTAGTACAAACAAACGTCATACCCTAGAGGCTTGGAACAGAAAGCGATGCTATGCCTGTCCCTATGCGAGTGGATGAGTACCCAAATTATCACTAGGTCATATTAGAAATGTGGAGATAGTGCAGATGAAGGTAACCTGAAAAAGTACGCTCTCCAATAGTACGAAGTTGTAGCGTTAACTTGTTGAGAACCTGTGCTTCGTGGTGCAGTTACTCCTTGCTGCTAACAAGTAATAGATTCATTAGAATTATAAGTGTCACTGCTATGTTACAAAACCACGCTAAAGTTGCCTAATAGCGACTCATGCACCGGATTGCGCCATCAAATATTACGTCTTGCTGCGAGACTCTGCCTAGCTTTCTTTGGCGATGATGCTGCTTGCCGAGAGGGATTTGTTTAGGATTATGCACGCTGCAATCATCGTCCCTAAGTAAGTAACAACTGCGAGGTAACATTCCAATATCGCCAGCTGAAACCTGACGTGTAAAAATTTCATTGGCTCTCAAACAGTGCTCGGATTTGAGGGGCTGAATGTGCTCATAAACCGGAATCCTATACAACAAGTTGGCATGCATACCGATGCGCGCACTAGGCAGACATCACATGTGACAAGGGGCGGGGTGTAACGGTCAAGTAGCATCTTGGCGGATTCATTTGGTGGAGCGACAGGAGAAAAGCAAAATTTCAAAAATTGAATAAATATATTTTAATTAAAAAAAAAAAAAAAGAAAAAAAAGAAAAGAAAAGAATGATAAGTTACTGAAGTAGACAGTATAATAGAACTAAATACATATGCTCAATGTATAGAATCTTGTTGAAAGTGAGAAAGTTTGCGTATAAATGCATTCGCCACAAAGTAGTATAAACCACAACTTAATTTTACTATGGCGTATGTTGCCGGCTACATGTAAAAAAACATATGGTATAATAACCATAGTTGTGCAATATATATATATATATATGAAGTCATAAGTAGAATTGTTTTTAATGCTTACAAATATCCTCAAGGAAACCTAAATGTGCCAAAAATGATGATACATATATTAATTGGTATATTATTATAGAGTTATTTTACTTACGAATGTAATAAACCGTATAACATTCAATAAAGGTAGAAGCAAAGTTGAAACAAGATACATGATACAAAGTACCGGGGATCAGATTCCAATCCATAACACAGGTCAGCTGTAGCAATCTCCTCAGTGACGTATCGTGTATTACACCACACCTGTAGAAAATCGGAATATAAATATGGCCCATTTCTACCAGCTCGACCTTTCATTCTCTCCATTCCAGTCAATACAGCACCTTACAAAACACTCTTCTACAAACAATATTTAAATCTTTCTACTTCTTCAGAATGTCCAAGCCGTCGTTCAAGGCCCTCTTTGAAGAGTATGCCGCAGAGCTGGCCGGCCGCAATCCAAGCAGCCTCCCAAATTACGTCTCCCCTGATGTTCAACTCCATTACAAGGGCGGCCAGAAGGACGTTGGACTGTCCAGCCTTCAAAACTTTTTCGCCAAGGAATGGTCTCGCGACGTCAACATTAAGGTTCTTAGTGTGGAGGAACTGCCTGGCCAGGACGCCGTGCAAATCAAGGCCATTGACCACGCCGATGCCGACAACATAGTGACAACAACTTATCACTATGGCAAGCAGGGAGGAAAGTGGGTTATTACTAAGCTGGATACTGAATATAACTATGGGGAGTAGTCAAGAAGCCTTCAGCATTCTTGCCTAGTAACTAGCAATCAGAAGTCGATGTATGCAGTTTGAGGTATTTAGCTAGTTATTAAATGAGCATATATGATATATGCGTATTAAATTCATAAACTTGATAGTATTTTAGGTCGCTTGCGATGTATTTAATTTGTAGACATGTTCCCTAATAAAGGATAGAAGCATTTCAACATTATTTTATACGAGCCGAGATACAAAGGAACTAATATACTTGGCGCCAGCTGGCATGTAGTAACGCAACTAGCCTTTTTAGAGCATCTACACACCCCCTTTTGTTATTTAAATCTATGTTAATTCCATTTCAGCTAAGTGATCCTACTGCAAGCGGTACAGTTGTTCCGCCATGTGATGAATATTGGTGGGTCATTGAAGCATTTAAAAGGCACTAGCTGTTCAATATATCTCTCAACACACAACCTGCGGAGAATTGCAAATACTCAAGAAGCACATAATGAGTATTCCACTATTAGACGCTTCCCAGCTTCAGGCCGGCCCTGATGCCCGAAGTACATATATTCGGGATTTAGTTCAAAGTTTTAAAGATTATGGATTTGTACGACTTATAAATCATGGAATTCCAGAAGCGAGAGTAACTCAAATGTTTCACTTGGTATGTACCAGGAGTGTTATATGTCAAGGTGCAAAACAACTCTAACATGATACTAATTTACACCATAGGCTAGTGAAATGTTCAATCTTAAACCTGAAAGCAAACTTGAATTCGTCAATGTGGCTGATGGTAGCCCTCAGAGAGGGTACAGTGCCATTGGAGTAGAGAAGACAGCTTCTCTCCATAGCAAATTGGTGGGACGTAGCGTGGATGAGAGATTAACAGATGCCAGAGTAGGTCTGCTTGATAGCCACAATAGGCTTTGCAGTCATTTGTCAAACTCTGATGGGATGACTGATTTATGGATAGGAACATTTTGACTGTGGCTCTCCTTTGGATCAACAGTTCAAAAATCAATGGCCAAAAAATCTTGATCAGTTCCAAACTGAGATGGAATCTTTTTATTTCCAGATGGAGCGAGTAACCACTAATATCTTAAGTTGTTTGGAAGAAGGCTTAGGATCCCCCCCTGGTACTTTCAACAGATTGATCACTCACAAAAGCAATGCGAGTGAGCTTCGATTGAACCATTATCCTCCAGTTCCAGCATCTCTACTGCAAAATGGCCAAGTCTCCCGCATCTGGCCTCATTTTGATCTAGGTGTTATTACACTACTGTTTACTTCGTCTGTTGGCGGCCTAGAAGTTGAAGATAGAATAAGCCCCGGGCCTCAGAAATTTATCCCCGTTGAATCGGAGACTCAGGCAGAGCTTATCGTGAATATCAGCGAAACCCTCCAACGTTGGACTGATGATCAGTTACCTGCTGGATTACATCGGGTCTCAGTCCCAAAGTCTCTAGAGGAGGAAATTAAACATAATAAGAATGTTGAAGTTCCGCGTCGGTACAGCATTGCATTCCTCTGCAAGGCTGACCGCCAAGCTCCAGTTGGCACTATTCCTTTTTTTCAAACAGGAGAAACACCTCGATATCAGGATATATGTGCCTCTGAGTATCACCGTTTAAGACTTCTTGCTGCTTATTAAGAATAATTAGATAGAAGTACTATTACTTAAAGCATGATAAATAGAGAATATGCCATGTCGCCCCTTTATGAATGAACCCAAGTACTTCAGCTCTGTTAAAGAAAATAGTTTACATTCAATGTACGCATTTAAGACAACTCTCACACTCCCTTAATCTCTCCTCACTTCTGTCATACACGATTGGCTCCAGCCCCAATCATTACCTTTCAATCTTTTATTATCTCTATCTTACCTCAACCCAGCCTATATCTTTGATGCTATAGAATTATGTAGTAGCTAATGAAACTTGGTTAGTCAAGGCCGAATTTCCTCTTGCTCTTCCATAGTTGTAGCCAATTCTAATTGGTAAGCTGATGGGCATAATTTCCTTGAAAGCACAGCACATCTTAGAATAGAGAAATTACTCTGCTGTCGATACATGAACCTGCGGTATATATGATATGTCCCAATGGAGCAAATGTTAGCTGTCGCTTTCAATATACCGCTTCATTTTAAATTTCAGAGGTAACATCTCTGGATACGGTTGCAGGCATCTTATCTTATTTTGATATGCTGAAACTATAGCCTCTTCCCACGAGCCAGGGATTATTTGGTCATTGCCAAGGCTCTCAGGACAAGGGATGCGACACAAATCTGTCTTAACTCCTTACTCCTTCCCACGACCAAGAGTAACGGCGCTCCGTGTTTTCATCTCGCTAGCAAAGAACTTCCACAAGCTTGTCAGGCCACTTGAGGATTATGGTCGGCTTGAACTCGGTTGTGGCTCTCTTTCAAACGCTATCTTTTCATCTCCCCTTTTTTAACAAGCTATCTCATAACTATCACCAATGATAGCAACAGTATTAAGATTGATGGATAATAATAAACATGATAAGTTGATCTGTCCATCTCAACCGAATTTGACGCTGATATTCTGTATCCAAGGATGCATGATGATATTTGTTGTAGTATGCATAGTGGTAGCATTAAGTGATCTTGAGTCATGCTTCTCAACCCAGTAATCAAGATGCCAGAGCTAAATGCAACTATAAAGAGCGAGGTGCCAGCTCGCAACGCTTTTAAGCCATTACTGGAAACCAGCATTGGAAGCGTTTTTCTGTTGCTCTTTCGGTCTCCCTCGAGGTCGTAGAACTCTTGTATGTGTATAGTTGCCATAAACCAACAAGAGATGATAAAATCAACGGAGATATTCATTCTCCAAATTGCCGTTTGTCTTGCAAGTACTTGGTTTAACAGCCGAGCAAGGATAAAGTAAGAAAAAGATGAAAAGTAATTGCGCATAAACCAAGAGTTCCACCTCGGCCATACATAACACACAAATATAAACACCTCAAAATGAAGGAGATGCAGTGTAGCCCATATTCCAAAAAAGAAGTAGGTAGTAATTGGTCCGAGAGTCCATGCCAGCACCCATCGAATCTTAGCCTGATTAATACTAATCAAGCCGGAAGGAATTGGACGATGTGGTTTATTTATGTAGTCCTCATGTGGAGAAGAAGCCTGATTAGCAATATCGAAGATATAGTTGCAAAGAAAGCCCGCAATGAAAGTATTGAATATTGATACTGCAGTTTCTGCTATTGGCAACGGCAAAAGAATAGCTCTGGATAGAAGCCCCCCCATAAAAATAAAACAAAAGCCCGCGGCATTAGACTGTAGTAGACGAATGGTTACGTCTAACTCAAACTGCAAATTTGATGAAAACGATAACAATAGAACTTTGGAAACGCCTGTATGCTTGAAGCGCATTTTGCTCGTTGTGTTTAGCATTGGTTTCGACGAAAGGGTTAAGCGATGAAAAAAACAATGAATTGTGTTTGAGTAAAGTAAAGTATTTGGGGATGCTAATGTTTGTATATAAGCTGCTCCCAATGGACGAGCATCGGAACATAAAGGCTGAAATACAATGCGTTTTTTCTTGGGTAGAAGGCATAGTACCTAATAGCAGAACACTTGACACTTATACCCAAAGCCCAAGGGCCGATATATTCCTACAAGTTCACAAATTCCCTATCTTGATGTCAGTCCTACACTCAAAGTCCCTCAATACTACGTTGAAACAATGCTGAGCTACGTAATCCTTTAATTCCATTTATTTTCTCATTTGAATTATCGTTATATCTTTTAAATTCTAACTTTGGAACCCTCAAATTGCTGATATAGTACTAGCTAATAAGACAGTTGTGCAAGACAACATAGATTCGTTGGTTCTTCCGCAAAATGTAAGTTACATAGGACAATCTCATTTCTCGGCCATTTATTGCCGCCTCCCCTACCCCTTGGTCACATGGACTGAGGGTTATCCAATTCAAAGAAGGGCTAATCCTTGCTTGGCCCGCCATCCCGATATTGTTTCGGTGAGGATTCGGTAACAGGATGGAGACGGATCTTTATTCCACGAGTAAAATATAATTACGTGGATTTGAAGAGATTTTACGTTATAGTGAAAGTATTTTACTCGGCGGGTTGACTAATCAGCAGAGCCTAGTTAACCCGCCTAGTACAGGATGAATTTGTAATCAAGATAAGAGGTTCAATAAAGCTGTAACGCTGGTTTAATAAAGAGCTATGCCCCAGCCTTTAGTTTCAAATCCAGAAACGAGGCATAATCCAATCCAATAGGCAACAGACGATTTAATTGACTCTTATAATATATTGTCCAACTTAGACTAATGTAGATGTTTGAGAAGTAAACCAGATCATATTCCCATTTAATGCAGGTTCAAGGTCTAATCCAGCCTGGGCTGCTTTATTATCTGTACCTAGCTTGAACGACGCTGGTACGACTTGATGGTCGCGTGGATTCTCGTTGAGAGTCATCAAAGTAGCCAGCCAGTGCTCCCCGCCAAGATGTCTTATCTGTATGACCATGGGGATCTCTTGGGTAAGACGCGAGGCAAATAGTGTGTTTCCACGACACTCCAAATCCAGATTTCCATAAGCTGCGTGGGTGTAGTTCCTAGCGTAGGCTTGATATGGAAGAAGAGGTGGACTAGGAGGATATGAAAGAGAGGGGTAGAGGAGTTCTGCGGAGCGCGCAATATCAGATCTCCTCTGAGACAGACGTTCCTGAAGCTTGAGATTCCAGTCAATTCTTTCATCAACAGGTGTCTCAAGGAGATCATCAAGCATCCCCATAAACAAGGCTATCTGGACGCAGTTGCTTGTGCCTGTCGTGTTGCCCATCATAACCAAGCCCCATTGTTTGCCTGGGAGATACATTGCAGTAGTTCCAAATCCAGTCCAACTACCACTATGCCACACGATGCGTTGCCCGCGGTAATGATCAATGAACCATCCTAAGGCGTATGAGTGCGGTGGCGGGAATGGATTATTACCGGGGGCCGAAAATGAGATCCGTGGTGTTGTAAGAGTGGCATGCGCAGCTGGACTCAGCGGCGGAGATCGAGTCATCATGCACTGCAGCCATTTAGCGTAGTCAACAACATTGCTGATAATAGCTCCTGCTCCTGAAACTGCTGGAAAATCTGGTACTGGTTGTTCTAGAAAGGCTTCTTTTGATGTGTTCCACGCGTAGCCACGAGCAAGTACGGTTCCAGATGCCCTCGCCTCCTCTGCTTGTTCCGGCGTCCAATATGTCCGAGTCATACCCAAAGGATACCAAAGCCTTTGTTTCATGAATTCACCCAGGTTCATTGAAGTCATAGTCTCCAAAGCATGAGATACCGCCGAGAACATGTAGCTGCTGTAGAGATATCGTGTGCCTGGTTCTGCAGCTCTCGGGAGATGTCTTAAAGAGCGGACAACATCCTTTACGGATGCTGATTTTGGTTTGAAGCTGAACTTATGGTCTGGTAAACCGGTTCTATTGCTAAGAGCATCCTCTAGTGTGATACGGGAGGTTATCTCTTCACTGTCTAGAACAAAATCTTGACCTAAAATGGATGAAAGTGTTGTCTGCCATGACAGGTTTGACGGACAGTGATTCAATGACGAACGCAATCCTGCATCGTCCACAAGCAGAGAGACGCTAGCAGCTGTAAAGGCCTTTGTAGTACTAGCAGTAAAAAAAACCGTCTCTGTAGTTACAGCAGTATTAGGCAATTCTGCAAAACCGTATGCCTAAACTCCGGTTGGCTATGCTGTCTGTCGAACTCTTTCGAAGATGGCGCACCTTGAAAGTTGTAGAAGAATCTTGGATAAGTCCAATTGCTAGGCCAGGAACATGCCATGTATCCATTAACCTTTGGACTTTTGCGTTGAACTCGTCGTCAAAGTATGGTCCGCAGGATCCTGAATGGTGCCTTACGTTGTGTTGTGCCATCTGGAAGGTGCTGAGCGTCCTCTAAAACGTGCAAGACCGCCAAGAAGAAAAAAAAAAAAAAGGGGGGGGGGGGGGGGGGGGGGAACACTCACATTATTAGTATATATCACTCTGACGTGAGTAGTTATATTTTGGACTTTACTCTGTGCGTAGGTAGATAAAAACTGATGAGCTTAGGATTGAGACTCATATTTATTCACTTCATACGTGTGGGGACTAATGCGGAGATCCGCGCGATCATCGGTTGTCCACGTCGTGGCCTTTAAGATGTTTTACGAGAAAGCGGGTACAGCATCCGTTGTGCGCAATTTTCTCAATACAATCTACGCTATATCAAAAGACACGCGGCTTAGTCTTTACTCCAGCACTAATCCCACCCTCTTGATGAGAAAGGATCGCCAGGTGGATACGTATATATTCTCATTAGCTGTTCTTAGTAGTCTTGCATTACTCTGTAAGCCCTACGCCTTCGTTGCGGATCTGCTGGTGTTACTGAAACGTTTGATACATACATGGCACTACTCAGCAACTCTTGATTTCATATTATGATAATGGTCATTTGCTTCATATCTTTGACCTCACTTACATGTCTGAATGATAATATAGGTAAGGGAGGTATAGTGATCAAAATGCAACTTGGATTTAGAATTTAGTTGCATCACATTTTCTCATTAACATAGACACTCGGCCTTCATGTGAAAAACATAAATCTCACACACGCTCGCTCTTCTTCTTCCGCAGCATAGGGACTGCTGAAGCTTCTACGCCAGAATTGTCTGTGAGCTCACTATAACCCCGCCTTTTGTAAAATTCTGGCACCGCTCCGTCTAAGAAAAGGGGGATGTCGGTCTCGTCTGCTATCTTGTCTGCTTCTGCAAGAATTGCAGAAGCGCATCCGCGCTTTTTCCAAGCATCTCGAGTGACTAAAGCTTCAATGACTGTATATACAGTTAGAAGATAATTAGCTGCGGGCCATTTTGAAAGAAACAGAATGCGATGTTTGCAATGAGGGAATCCCATGAGAGAGACACTTACACACACGAGGTTGGTGGCTCATCAGCTTGTTGTGGCGTTTCGTCCATGCGCCGAACAGCTTATCCAGCACTTCTTGGTTCATACCCCGCTGAAGAGGAACACCCCAGTCGTTCCAGGCACTGGTGAAAACATCCCCCGCGGCGATATTGTATACAGTTCCCGTTGAAATAGGATAACCTGCAGCCAGCTTATCAATGACTGCAATACCGTGAGGATCAAATAATTTGTGGGAACACTGGCAAACCTTCAGCGTCTCGGACGACCAGCAACTTGACGCGACTGTTGTCCGCCTTGAGGAGAGCTTCGAATACATCAGTTGCATATTTTGCCCCGTGGGCGTTATGCGGGTAGATGTTGTACTCTCCTTCCGGGTTCAGGCCTTCATTTACGAGCTCAATCAACTCTGGTATATCTGCTACAGTAGCAGGTTCTACTCGGATTTGAGCATCAATCGCCATGTCGACAGGCCAGATGAAGACTGAGGGAATTTGGAGCAGGACAAGGTAAATCGCAAAATCTCGGTTGGTTCCATCGCTCATACTCTCGCACTGGCGCGGACTGTCTTTAAATAGGTAGTGAATTGCAAGTCCCCGCAGACGATTGCATCGTTACCCTTGCATGAGAACAACACAACCCCTTCCATAGTATCACTTACAGGTATCTCACACCTAACTTGGGATTATAGCGCGCTTAATTGACCTCAATTATCGCTACCAATCGAGAGCGCAGCTACTCCGTACATAATCTCACTAATATTAGCGTGCGATCCCACTCCTTTGGGGCTGTGGAAGACTGCAACAATATCCGCGCACCTCATTTTACGGGTCCCACGTAAGCGCTAGAAAATACTAGCGCAGTGAGCGGTTGCCACAATATGTAACTGAGCATGCAAGCATGTTAATGACTTCGGAGATAACCTGGCATTATTATATTCAGCTTACAACCTTCGGTGGGGATAGTAACGATACAATACAGACTATGAAATGTGCGGTTTTCTTTTTTGCCTGCTAGGCCGCCCTGGAGTGCCTTCAACCGCTAAATGCCGTATGCATATTTTCCAGTCATCATATACCACTCTGATACAAGCGTAATGTTTCCAATAGTTGTTTACTTTGAGATCTCTCTAACACTATGAAGTTATCCGTGGTGATGCTCCCATCTAATGCTGTAAAATTTAAATGCCCAGCATGCGGAAATTGCGCACCCAGAAGCTAGAGATATACGAGATAGGGAACACAAATGACTTCCAATTGTAATGGAATCAAACACATGACATACATTATGATAACCTCAAAAGAGTGCTTAACTAGATACCTCGATCCAAGACGGCTTGCCTCGCTGGGCGCTGGTGGATCTTTTGCTACTAACCCTTGATATGTATTCGGGCGGCTATCTCTCAAGTCAGCTTCACCAGCTACAGACAGTAATTCTCCCAAAGACAGATGGAATAAATCTACTAATGTAAATTACTATGGGGCAAATGTGAGATATCTTGAAAGAGCCCCCACACCATGTTGAGGAAGATCTTACGTCTCCAGCAAGATATTTTGAGGTCGCAAGTAGATGGGACTCATAGACATCCAAGATAACCGCGAGGTCTGCTCGATGGCGTGTAACTTTTGCTTCGTCAACAGCTTCTCCACGAGCTCTACATATATTATTATTAGTAAAAATCTCTCAATTACATGATTAGTATATAAATTGACACACTTCTTGAAAAGTGCCTCGCTAACCATGTCTGTGGCGGCTGGGTCAAAAGTAGTGACTTCCGTAGTGGGAAGTTGCTCATAGACGGCGAATGCTCTAGTGTCGGCTGGTTCAATGCTAGTGAAAAGGATCATTTGAAAGCCCTAAAGATTGGTCGAATACCGCTTCCTCTTGTGCCAGATGGCTGGGTGCGGGCGAAGATCTCAGCTGCGGCGCTGAATTATCATGACGTATTGACCCTTCAAGGAGTGGGCATATATCCTCTGCGTTATCCTCGCATTCTTGGATGCGCAGGCTGTGGCTATCTCAAAGACAGTACGCCTGTCATTTTGTATCCAATAATGTGTGGCACGGACTATCTCGGGAGGAAACATTAGATCCCTCGAGGAATGTGTTCCACGAAATACCAGACGGAACTCCTGCAGAATACATCGTTGCTCCGTCACGCAATATACTCCCATTACCACTCCAGTTAGGCCCAATTGATGGTGCTGTACTTGGCATTGCGTGGCTTACTGCATATGGATGATCTTTGCCAAGGCCAACATGCGTCCTGGACAGACAATGCTCGTCCAAGGCTCGTCCGTAGGAGTATCCACGGCACTCATTCAATTTGGTGCTGCTGCTGGTTTACGAGTCTGGTGCACAGGTCGCTCTCCAGAGAAAAGAGATCTTGCCCGGCAACTCGGGGTTGAGCAAACATTTGCGCCTGGTGCTACTCTACTTCATCAAGTCGATGCCGTGTTTGACATATCAGGCAACGCAATGCAGTTGCATTCAATAGCATCTATAAACTTGGGAGGATCAATTGTTAGCTGTGGTGCTCATGGTGGCTTCCATGTTTCTCTAGATCTGTTTCGGGTGTTAATGACCAGATTAGTATACACGGCGTATATGCTGCAACATTGCAACAGTACAAGGATCTAATTCCGTTTGTTATTAGAAAATCGATCAAACCGCAGGTCGGAACGACATAACCGTTGTCAAGAGGAGACGAGGGCCTTAGGGTACTTTATACCGGGAATACTGACGGTATAATTGTCCTTATAGCTGATTAGACCGGACTTTGGCCCCTTGCACTATGAAGTTATTACCACTTAGCTCATTCTTCCAAGGTTGGCATCTCCTATTAATTGGTACGATGGCTAGATTGCTAATAGCTGTTGCGCCTGAAGGTGGGGGAGAATGCTAAAAGTGGCCAAACCAAAGAAAGTAAGCAAAGTCAGCTTTCTAAAATGTTCTAGACTTCAACTAGGTTTTCAGGTTCACTTCTTTACTCTAATTAATAGAGCTTAGTCAGTTGTTATCATACACACTTCCAATACAGCCAGACTGAAATCACGACGACGGAAGACCAGACTGGAGAGAACGCAGTCATCTTTTTGAACTCTAAAATTAAATGAAAGATTTTAAAGCTATGGATATGGAGAAAAGTTTTTAAGCTAATGTAGATCGGTAGCAACAGCTGATGGAATGGGGCATAGTTTCCCCACGACCTGGGATCGCGCAATTGCATTATTGACATTTCGCAACAAACAGGTGATATAACCTTGACTTTGAAGTATTTTTATAATGAACTATCATATAGAAGGAGTCATGGACTAACCAATCATCAATACTAGTAACACAGCCATTTCTCTATTCTAGAGACTATTTAAATTTTCTGAATGAAGTTGACACGCTACTCTCGCTTCAGGCTTGGGAACTTGGCTCTTATTAGTTCTGTTGAAGGCTGCGCATCTTATCAAATATCCGCTGAACCGATAGCCTCTTCCCACAAGACAGACAATGTTTGGTCATCACCGAAATTTTCAGGCCATGCAATACGGCCTAATGCTGTCTTAGCACCTTCCCACGAAATGACGTGAGTAACAGAGCTCCATGCCTTTGTCTTCCCAGCAAACCATTGCAAGCTTGCCCGGCCACTTGGGAACAGCGACTGGTTCGAACCTCCACTTTCTTGTGGCTCTTTGTCGAATGCCATCTGATTTGCAAATCTGGCCAATTTTTCGTCATCGTCCTCATCACTAGCTTCCACATCGACGGGCATTTCTATGGGAGATTTTGACAGTGCGTATGCACCAAGTATAGTCTTCCATAGCCATAGCTCTGAGCTATGTGCGCCGATACGCATCGCCTCTTCGGTGTGCTCAAGGTCCTGGCGTAAAGTATTGATCAACCAGCGCTGTAGGTGTGTATCCATTTTTACAGTTGTGTCAGCAGTACCGCGCCGTGGCATGCAGTCCACAATCATATGGAGGTAGAGGTATGCTGCACACGCCCAAGCTCGCGATGTGGACGGGAAGATGGCAGATGGAAGATTCACAAAAGGTTGCCCAGAAAAGTTAACAAAATGACTCCCCATGTCCTCATTTTCATCTGGCCCACGTTGCGAATCTGGCGATCTTGAACCTGATGTCATATCCTGGCTGCGGTCACTGTCATTTGGCGCTGGCATACAAGGTTTAAAAAGTAGAGAACCAATGTATGATTCTGCATCTGCGCGAAGGATTTTCCGAGCCTGCTCCTTTGGACTTGCTGATGATGCGTATTCTTCGTGACTGCTCTCTGGATTTTGACGTTGGAATGGGGAAGACAATCTTCGGAGCGTCGTAGCAATGATTTCGCACTCGGCATCAGCATTACAAGCTTCAATGTCTGGCGGAGTGGAATGATAGAAAGGCGATAGATGGATGCTGAGGAATGGAACAGCGCTAAACACTGGCCCTGTCGGTCTTGTGTAGTGATGGCGCGGCTCCGAATCCTGGGCCGGCTCGACAACAAAGTAATGAGGGTCGCTCTCTTTTTTGTCTTTTGATGCAGCAACAAGGCTAGCAGCTCTGTGGGATGAAAGATATTTTGTTAGGCAGAGTTTCTTCACAGTGATAATTCAGAATTTTGCCTACAGCAGAATCAGTCTTTCGACAAGGCCGAACAACCTGTACTTGTCTTGATCAAGACGGCGCTCGTCGAAAAGCCCGGCCAGCGCTTTCAAATGGGCTTCGGCTGCCTTTGCATCGCCCAGTGCAGCCTGAGTATTCAATTAGAATCGAAATGCACATGATATATGTGACCAGATAACAAACCTCAACCATCGCCAGGCCGACTATGGAGGTTATACATGCATCACTGCGGCACAGCAAGGGATCGCTAATCATGCCGTTGACAACACGAATTGCTTCGAGTTTGTGGTGCAGCATCGTCTCCTCGATAGATTCCAACGAGCCGCCGGACCAGACGTGGTGTATGCCGGCTATAAGGAGGAATGATCTAAACGTGGCTGCATTCTGCATGACCAAACCGGCACTAAGTGATATGTTTAGCACATCGCGGGGGAGGCTTTGAGAGAGTCTTACAGGCTAGAGTTGGGGTTTTTGGCCACAACAGTTGTGGTTAAGAGGCGGAAATGAGTCGCTAGGTGAATTAGCTCATGTATTTCGTCTCTTTTGTAGAAATTCTACGGCTCACTTACCGTGGTGAAGCAGCTGCATCGACTCGAACGGCATAGGTATCGGCAGTACCTTGAAAAGGTCCACTTCCATAATATCCGCGCCTGATAGCACGCCCCTGCGCCGAGTACTTACTCCTGCGCCGTCATAGTGGCAATCACGTCCGTGGACTAGACAACTGGTGCTAATACCCAAGTTGGTGAGACACTTTCCAATGTAGGCCTTAATTTTTGATCCAGGATGTAGCGGCTTACCAGTACGGTTTTGTCTCATCACACCGGATATGACGCTGTTTGCACTCGCGGCAGCCATTGCGGCTGCGCGTATGATGCCGTCGAAGGCGCGCTCGCTGAGACTCGGAGGAACTCATCCCGGCTGTGCTGTACCAAAGTCTATTGGCTTGCTTCCACCTGTGGCTTGTTGTTTCAAAAATGGTAGACAAAGTGTCAGCTTCAGGGAGTTATACGCTGTGTTATTTAAATAGGGCATCGTCACAGAGGCAGCCGCAAATCATCGAGATTGCTGGGAATTAAGTTACATGTGAATATGAATGTTGGCTGATGTATTCCAAATAGCAAGTCTGGTTTTCTGGCAGCATTCGCTGGCGAAAATCGGTCATTCCGTTTTGCTCAAGTTAATGATCTCTCTCCCGGCTGTGAATCATCTGGCCATTCAGTTGTTGTTGACCGAGGCCCGGATTTGACCGCACCCACTCTATCCCGATTAGCCCGCGTCACTAGCTTTCAATGCCCACAAATTTGACAAATTTCTTGGGAGGGCCGCAAGAGGATAGAATTGCCGAACAGCCTGATAGCAATAGACATCGGCTTGGTTTTGTGTGAATTTGAATTATTGAAGAGGCGAATTCGGTATTGCAATACGTGGCACAATTGAATGAAATCCTGCATTACCACCTATGTCCCAGACATGTGGTCATTCACCTGTGTGATAAATTAAGCGCCAGCCATCTTTTTCTTAAAGTCAAATATAGCGGTAAGTCCCTCCGGAGCGTCATATTTATCCAGGGCCATGTCAATGCACTCCAACGAACGAATTAATACAGTGTGAAACTCTTGCAGGAAGTTGATGACGGAGTCTTACCTGCGGGACGGTGGCATTTTGGAAGCTATCCTCTGAAAGGAGTTTGTCAAGCTCCGCCGCGGTCCGAGCCTTGAATGTATTGGTCGTGAGGTTTGGCGCGAAAGACCTGAATAGACCACCGTAGTCCCAGTCTGGTACATCATTATACGCGGCATCCCATCCCTCGAAGTATCGCTCAACCGTGTAACTAGGCACGCGAGGTCAGCATCTACATCAGTCTTCTTGGGAATGTTTGTGAAAGTACCCATTGTTGTTCAGAATAAACCTACATACGATTTAGTCAACGTCATATTGGAGTCGCGTTCCCCGAAGGTAATCGACTTACACATAAGGGACCACGCCATGGCGGTTAAGGATGGACATGGCTTGTACCGTCAGCTGTAGGCTTCCTTCACCAGTAAACACAATCATCCTGCGATATTGGCCCAATTCCTTGCCTGCAATGGTTGCACCGACAGCTGCGCCAATGGCATAGCCAATACTACCCCAAACTGCCTGCGTCCAGTAGTAGACGCCTTGTGGCATTTTGGTACTGACGGCGCCGATCTGAGATGTTCCAGTCTCGGCGACGATTATGTCCCCCGGCTTAACAAATGAGGAGAGGCGCTACAAGGGACAGAAAGAGGTGGTGGTTAGCAGGTATTTTTTCTTGTGCAATATATATAGAACTTACTGGCCAGAGCCAGGCCTGAGTGATCATAGACGTTGGTATTTCTGCAGATATTTGCGACAAATACGCGACAGGTGCTGGGGGTATTCTCTGGGACAATATGCTACTCGATTTAATAGATTGGGAGAGTCTGGGGAGAACCTAATAATTATCAGACTCTAATACTCTAACTTTGTATATATGGTAGAGACTTACCGTGTTCATTCTTGCTTGGAATTGCTTTTGACCAACCTATCACCGAAGATTATTAGCCCGGCGATGCTAGTATGGCAGTCAATCTTATATTACCGTAATATGGAATCGCTGAAAGTCAATAACAATGGAAGACTTGATGTGTTCCGTAAACATTCCGCTATATCCTATATCAGCACGAGGTGGTAATATCATCAGCATATTCTCTATGAACTCACGTGTTAAAATCTGACGGCATATGACCAAGCCAGAGGATACAGTCTGATTCCTCGACTGCCTTGCTAGTCGCCAGCGAGGAACCAACACCAGCGTAGCAACCGGCGAACAGAGGGTCGTCTTCTCCAACGACGCCCTTTCCCATGACGGTGTTGAAGTGTAGGGATTTGAGCACTCTGATAAGCTCAATAGCATGAGGGGCCCAGCTGCTTCGACCAGCACCACCGTCAACTATTATTATGGGGTTCTTGGACGCCTCCAGTGCGGCCATAATAGCTGCCAAGGCGCGGTCGTCTTCTGTCCCAGGAGGCAACGTCATCTTGATCAACGTGGAATTCAAGGAAGCCGTTGGAACTAATGTTTTGACGACGTCTTCAGTGATGCCGATGCTGTGTACATGTATGTCAGTGGAGGAAACATAGTACGCCTCCTTAGCTTTAGTATTCGCACTTACTAGCCAGGCTGCGAGTGATACATTATAGCTGGTGGTTGAGTTTAGTACAACATAACATCGACGTCCAAGTAGGTAGTGTCTTACCGTTCAAAACCCGATCGATTTCTGCTGTAGCATTGCCTGGATCCTTCAAAACAGTCGTTGCGCAGGAAAGCTCTGATGACATGCGAACGTAGTGACTATATAAAGTCTTAGCAAGTATATCCTTTTGAGATTCCAGAGTCTAATCTCACTCATAGCTTTTGTCCCCGAGAGTGTGGTGCAAGATCTGGCCGCTCGCCTGAGCTGCAAATGACGGGTATCCAACAATATGGAGAACAGGAACCATTTCACAGAAGGAGCCTCCGAGTCCACAGAGAGCACTTAGTTCTCCAGGCCCAAAAGTGGTGACCAGGGCAGCGGCACCCTTGAGGCGAGCATACCCATCAGCTGCATAGGATCCCACTAGTTCGTTTGGTGTGCCGATCCAGCTCAGACCTGCAGGTTCCACGTAGTTAAGAAGCGCAAGTTCGTAGTCTTTAATTTTGAAAAGGAATGTTAGAAAGTCATTTGTGGCCGGAGGAGAGATATACAATGCTGCGTTACCTCCAGGAACACCAAAAGCTGTCTCAATGCCCATCTGTTTAAGACGGCGAAACAGGTATTCTCCAATTCGAATCTCCGACATACTTGCGTTCAGATATAGAAACACGAAACGATATGATGATAATATTTGAAAAACTAAAACTTGCAGCTCAACTGCTTGGACTTTTATATCATTTGCAAGCGAGATGCCTACTGTTTCTGGCACCTCGCCCCCACATGATATAGGTACTGTACGGTGGGCCCCACACCATGTATACTACAACACCATAGCAAACCATTTGCGCTTGTGCGGTTATCACGGCTTTCAGCTGCATAAAAATATAAATCTTGGGGGTAGAATGGACCAATAATACGCCACCCGTATAACATACTACATACTCTCCATATTGTCCCAAGTGGGTGGTCGGTACTATCCCGTTGCTCTACGGAGTCTACGCTACTCTTATTATCGAATTCATTCGTTCAAAGCTTACATGCAGTCGATCAGGCTAATTTGCACTACGTCTAGTGGCCAATTCAAGGTGTGCGTGACTGCCTTGACGAATATACGAGACTTGCATATTGAAGATGCCGATAGTTCCGGGAGAATAGACCCAACCAATCACATGAATGGCTGCTTCCTAAATACATGGGTAATCTTACTTGGTGGTGTAAATATTCCTTTCTTCGCGATTAGTAAGTGTAGCTTTTACAGAAGGAGCAGAGGATTGCAATAGACGAGTCCTGAAGGATGCGACTGCGTTATCAGCATACCTCTTCGAAGAACCCAGGGTTCGAAACTAACTGGAAATGCGTAACTTTTTCATACAATTGGGCAACTCTCATGTTTAGTCATGGTACTATGTGTAATGTGACGTATCCCCGCCCTGAAACCATTTGGTTACGGGAAGGGTTACACTCAGAGGTAAGTGCTCTATCCTATCAGCGCTGTTTATCGTATTACTATCAATTGGCATCACGACGGACAGTCAGCTATTCAGGTAGGATACTGTTACTTAGACTCGGTTTTTGGATAGTGAATGTAATTCGTTGCGAATGATATTGATCTTCCAATTAGTAAAAAGCACTTTGGAGATGGTTTCTCGGTCTTTCCTTTAACATTGTCATCTGGATCGTATTAAGTTAAACTGATCTATGGCTATTTATAACCATTGCATTGTAGAATACGTAGTGCAGCTACTCTAAATAATATCTATAATCTATATTAGTGATATTATTTAGTCTAAGATGCTCCAAATCCAGTCCAGCAATTGAATTCCGCCACAAATTTGCAAGCTGCTGCCTGTATCAGGGACTCTATACCCGGCATACCCAAACCAAACGTATGCATAATACCCACAGCCTTGAGAAAATGGGCATCGAAAATCCTCCACTGATTCAACACACCCGTCGAGTTGAGGGCAGCGCTTCTTATTTGATCCCATGCAGCGAGCGAGGCAGTTGAATTCCACGGCAAAATCAATTCTGAGTTAATTACTGGCCGCCCCTGTGTCACAAAAGCAAGGACAGTTAGTAGCCAATATATCCGTAACAAAGTTTTCTTTGCATCTACATATTCAAACACAGGTAGTAGAATACGAAGGCAGTTGACAAACGTTAGATTATGACACAGATAGAAGTCAAAAGCCGGTGCTCCAGGCGCATGCGTACACACCAGGAAATGGATAGCAATCTCAACCATTTCCTCTGTGACTTCCAGATTGAATTCCGGCTTTGAGAGATATGCGTAACCGATGCTAAGGTATTTTATTACCGCAGCTTTTGCAGGTCCATCATGAAAAATTTCAGTAATGTGCTGGATACCAGGACTTGGAACAACATGTTCAAAGGAAGGATCGCTTCGGATTGTGTCGAGTATCTCAATTATCCCATTTGGGCAAGTCTGTGGCTCTGGTAGACTCATGGTGATTAGACTTGTCAAGGGGCTCCAGTCGACAGCCGTGAGAGCAAGGGCATCAAAAGCCAACATCGAGCTACCCAGCTCCACTGAATCCGCGAACATAATTAGTGGGTGGGCATAACCACCAATAAAACCTGGCAAGAATTGCTTTTCTCGGTCGAGAATCCAGTACTGTAAAATCTGTTGCAAATTGAGACCAGACTCAGACTGTTGCTGCTCGAAATATGTGATAAAATCAAGCTCATTTCTATACACCCATTAGCAGGCTTTCATGATCTCTTTTGTATTATAACCTACTCCCGATGTCCCAACACTGTATCAAGGACAGCCTCTGTCATTAATTTCTCATGCTTGGATTTTTCACGCCCTTCGAGTTCCTTTATCTCCTCGGAATATATTCCCATTAGCCTTGCGCCGCTACTTCCAAGGCAGTACGCAGCTAACAATCCCTAGGCTCACAGTTTTAGTTAAGACGTTTGCCATTATACTTTAGTATCCTTCTTACATGCTGAACATGGTTGTGTAGCACTTCTTTATACAGCAACCGGTTCTTCTTATGGTTCTCCTCTATAAGACGACCAAGAACTACTATAGCTTCATCGTCACGCGTTATCAGAAAACCCTCTGGAAAACGCAACTTTGGAGGTGAGCTCATTGCTCAACAAATTATTAAAATATGCTGCTCAACGAGAATAAAAAAAGAATTCCTCCCTCAAATAGAGAAAACTCCACTAATGGCAGCACTTTCTGTGGTGAATAGCAGCTCACTTATCTGGTTTGGCGGGGGCAGTGGCACATTATAACCGGTTGGTGTTGAGCCGTTGCTTATAATACAAAACTAGATTACTCGTTTTGTAAATATTCCATCTACACACATATTATACCTCACCTGTAGGTGTTTAATGTTGACGAGTTCGCTATGGAGGAATATTGTGCTTGAATCGTGACGTGTCATCCTTTAGTGCGGCATCGAAATCAATAGAGAGAAAATAACGCATATAAAATCTCGAGAGAGGGTGAGTGACACGCCCAGGATATTAATTAATGTTAATATTTCATGCAATTGATGTCACATTGACTGAGAGGATGAGCTCAGTGTGCAGCTCAAATGCTCACATCTTGCGCCTTAGGAGCTATTGTTAAAATGATACAAACAAGCACCATACACTAACGCAATCTGATTCCCGTTGTGCGGGGGAAATAGCAGGATCACATAAACGCACTGCAAGGCTCGTATAGTCGTATGCGAGTGCCCGGCTGCGCGGGGGTCATGTATTAAATGTATCATACACTTCAAAATACTCTGCTAGTTATTATAGGAATTTTAGAATAACATAGCATAAGGAAAGAAGCTAACCCCATAGAAACCTCAGAAGCTGGAGCTTCTATATTGAGCTGCCCCCAAGTAACAGTATCTAGACCTTGTAATACTATTTTGGATGATGGTTCATATCCATATGGGAGTTGTTGGATGACATGACGCAGATAATCACGTCGGAACCAAAATATAGTAACATCATATGAGGCGTTTGAAACTGCCTTCACTATCGTGTGTGTCCAAGGTATGACCACATCAGCCTAAAGGATTTGGCCTCGTGCCCGTGCCGTAGCATTAAGCCGACATTCTTCATGCATGGACACCCATTAGTCTAGGCATGTGAAAAGGAACTAATGTACAGAATTGAAAATAGAATAATATGGCATGGATCCTAATAATCACCCCCACTCATTTCGAGGACGATATAATCTCCTCTCTTCACAACGACTTTTGCGAATTGATGATGTGCGCCACAGGATTACCGTTTCGAACTACCTACTTCACGTCTTAAATATCTGGAGTTCTAGGCCTTGGGTCAACAGGATGTCCAACGAGCCAGTCTCAAATGGCACAATAGTGCTAATCCATGGTCTTTGGATGACCCCTCTGTCCTGGGAATATTGGATTTCTAGTCTCAAAAGCAAAGGGTACACAGTTCTTGCTCCAGGTTGGCCAGGTGTTGACGACAGGACACCACAACAGATCCGTGATGACCCAAAGCCAATGGCTAATAAAAGTATTGATGAAATCTGCGACCATTACACTGAGATTATCACACGCTTACCTGAGCCGCCAATAATCATCGGTCATAGCTTTGGCGGGCTGTTTGTGCAGATCCTTCTATCTCGTGGCCTTGGATCTGCCGGCATCGCTATCTGTCCAGCTAATCCGGCGGGTGTTTTTGCGCTGCCTCTTAGCACAGTGAGGGCCACTCTACCAGTCCTGTCGAACCCCTTCGATTACGAAAGTACAGTCAAGATCTCAGAGTCCGAATTTCGATATTGTTTTGGAAATACTGTGTCTGAAGAAGAGAGCAAGGCTTTATATGACCGATACTCCATTCCCAGTATTGCTCATGTTCTCTGGCAAGGAGCTATTGGTGGTATCGTACATCCCAAGGGAGTGTTGCACGTGGACTTTGGCAAGAGTGACCGCGCACCATTACTCCTTATTTCAGGCTCTAAAGACCATGTCGTGCCACCACAAACGGTGAAGAAAGAGATGAAGGCGTACCAAAAGGGAAGTGGATTTGTTGAGTACAAAGAATTTGAAGGCCGCTCGGTAAGAACATCTCTTTCTTTTTGGATCAAAGCGAATGCCTTCACTTATGAGCTTGCATTGGAACATTCATCTGCATACAAGAAGATGCAATTTCACTTCATATGGGTGATAATATTGCTAACGGTTAACAATCCAGCATGGCATTGTCAATGAGAGGGGATGGGAAGAGGTATTGGAATATGCTCTAGAATTTGTGAAGAGGGATAAATCTCTAGCTTAAATATATAGCTATAGAGCTATAATCCACCTATATTTCTGTAAATGTCTGAAACATCCAACATCTATCTACTGCATTGCCATGCATCCTGGAATACCACTACGAGTTTTGAGCAATCCCGCAAGTATTCCTGCCTCTGTTTAATATTCCCACAAATACCCTATACTGAACTCGGTATTCATAGAAAGAACGCACTGCCACTAGCGGAAAAGAAGGCGTGGGGCCCCAAGCAATCTGTAGATGCACTATATCCTGGTACTTGCAGCATGTCATCGGCCGATTGCTGCGCTCTGAACTGCTACTGACACGAGAATCAAAATGGACATATAGAGCACAGACCAGTTCAAGATAGACCCAAAAGTCTACATCCCGTCGGACATCTTGATTGAGTTGCCCAACAGACCCACTCTTCAATTCTACTGTGCTCGTAGTTCCATTCTACGGTAGAAAAGTGGACTCACTAGGCCGTATATGCGCCGGACAACTGGAAGCTTTAAATTCCCTAACCCTGCTTCTAAAATAGTTGTAGGTGAAAGTTCACTCTGTATTCTCACAATTGGAAGAAGGGTGAATATATTGGAGAGTTTGGGGTTAACCAATATGCAATTTACAACGTTGAATCTTGTGCACTTCTTATAGTATCTGTCGCATAGCCAACGCAGATAAATGAATAATGTCACTGCGTGAAGCTCCCTGGATTACCTGGTGCATAAATACCGCTTGCTCCTCTGAGTAAGCAGTATCAAAGGGGAGAGAAGTTATAACAAGGATAATATAAAGCCTGGATCTAGTAACAGGCGTGACTCTGAAATAAGAAACCCAAGAGCTATTGCCACATGGCATTCCTCACTTTCTGACCACAATGCTAACGTGAGAAGATCTCAAACCGGCCAAGTCCCCCTCTGATTATACATACGACAACTAATCAGGGCTCTCTTTTCAGTAATGCAAACTGTCTAAAGGGTACCAACTAGCCATCCCGTAATAATCGCTAACTCTTGGCCCTGCACACTACTTTGTATGCATACAATAATATTTAGAAAGGGGCTTATGATGTTTTATATCGAGCTTGAAGTACACATGCATCAACAGCTCGATTACTGAGGTCCATAATCATATGAGCCCTTGAAATAATGAAACATTGCTGTTGATTGGTGTTAATTTATTCATCCCACTTCAGATAAAGCCGCATTGCCATAAGAGATTAGATGTAGCGATAGAGTTCCCCTCTTTTACAGAACAGAACATCAGCGCAATTGATTGATAATATATATCATAATGCTAGGTTCCCCATTATAAACAGTAGAGAAACCCTCTTGCCCTCTTAGTCGCTATCCATATACGCGCATCTGTTGAGGCTAGTACGAAATAAGCAGAGAGTCGCTCCATAACGCACCAGGCAGGGTTACAATGCGCGAACTAGCTATGTTTGAGCAAAGCTAACGATGCAACATGCATGCGATTCACAAGGGAACACTCCAGCACCTGCTGTTTTGGAGTTGCCCTTGTCTATCAACCAATGATTACCGGCTGTTGAGCCGAGATACAGTATCCTCCGTATGCCATGTTCTGACGTCAGAGCGGTGGGTGATGATGACAGGCTCAAGATTGGATACGCTACTCAGAAACCTTGCAATTGTACGTTATACCTAGTTTCCTCGGAAGAGGAAATAACCTAGGATGCTCAGATAAAGGTAGCATGTGAGGGGTATTGGCGGAGATTTATATTTAATTTATTTCAAACCCTTCTGGACAACAAAGCACGCTACCAAACGGGACCACTCTCGTAAGTTAAGCCACGAAGATTGTTCGAGGTAAACTAAATACTAAAAGTCTTCCACATATTCAACCTCCCCATCTCTGAAAATAGATTAAAACGAAAAATTACGATGTAGTACAGATACTTTTCCCATCTGGACTAGGCGTCTCCTCCTGGCTTTCTGTAGTCCGATATCTATGAATTCTAGCCCCTCATCTTGATGCACAGATCCTGAACTTTTGACACAGACTCTCGTATTTAAAATAGATGGATCAAAAATTCGTCTTAGAGTCCCCCGCTTCTACCTATCATTCTGTGATTGTGCGGCCTCGTTCGTATCTCTGTCTAATTATTCCGTAGGGTCTTATCATTTGATTAGTACTTATCGTAAAACCGGGATCTGGTTGGGATTCAACCCCGGCCTTATCCATGTCACGCTCCCAAAATCGGGCCTTGGCAAACGCCATGCAGGCTTTATAGTGTTGTACTCTACTGCTTTTGAACCCAACCTTCCAGTTTTGCTAAACCACTGGGCTCTACCATTCCTATTGTAGCAACTCAGGCTATGCACTTCTTCATTTTACGTTCTCGACCTGGTCTGTGGCACTCAACACTTTTCCAGCTGCCGAAATGGTCCATGCATCTGCATGTTTGCGCTAAAATCGGTTAGAGTATGCCCAAGCCCTGTTGAAGATACAGACGCTAAAAAAGTACCGTAGGCTTATTGACATCGTCTGCAAGTGTACTTCGTAGGTTTGTACATGAGATATCTGAATACGTGAACAAGTAAACTTGAGTTTGCGAAAAGTATATAAAAGAGGACATCTGGAGCACAAAGGCCTGATACTAGCAGGCCAACTACCAACCTCTGGCCGGGCAACATTCCCCTAGATTTTACTAGGCTTGGCTGTTAGTTTCAATCATGATTCTCCTGTGGTCACTGCTGCTTCCCCTAGCAGCCTCTTTTGTGGCGGGATCAACTGAAAAGTCCAGTGGAGCTTTGATAATAGAATTGGATGAGAAGACAACAACTCTCGATGCGTTCACAGACAACATCCGTGCTGTCAACTACACCGTCCGCCACATCTTCAACACCACTGGTATTTTTACCGGCATATCAATCAATGTATCTGACGACAGCGAATTAGATGAAATAAAATCGCTCCTCGGCGCACTCCCAGGTGTTATCGGCGTTGCTGATGTCATCCAGTATGAGGTGCCACGGGTTAAAACTAGTTCAGTTGGTTCCCCAGGCGATTTTTCGTCACTCGAACGCCGAGGAAAACACGCCTCGGAAGATCTGGGTTTCACTCTACGAATGGGTGGCGTTGATAAAGCCCACGCTGCAGGATATAAAGGGAAGGGAGTTAAGATTGGTTTTATCGATACTGGTATTTATTATAAGCACCCGGCCCTTGGTGGAGGCTTCGGACCTGGCAAAAAGATTGCTGGAGGATACTCCTTCATTTCAGATGCTGGTGATTTGGTCGAAAGCAGCGACCCATATTCTGATTGTGCTCAGTCAGACCATGCAACACATGTGGCAGGTTAGTAACCCAGAACATACCAATGCTACGCCAACTTGATAGTAGTCTGACAAACATGCATAGGAATTTTGGGTATGGACCCATTACACCTGCCTCACGGGTTCCCCATCTCCGGCGTGGCCCCTGAAGCATCATTGTATCCTTATCGCATCTTCAGCTGCGGTGATATAGGAGGGGTGCGACGAGGTGGCACAAGCGACCTTGTTTTGCAGGCAATGCTCAAAGCCATGGCAGATGGTGTTGATGTTATCAGCATGTCTTTATCGCTTGATGAAGGAATGGTTGGATCTTTGCCAAAATATGACCCGGTGGCGAATGCTGCACAGCAGATCAAAGACGCTGGCATTGCCATTGTTGTCGCCATGGGAAATGACGCATTACAGTCACTGAATGCAGCTAATCTCTACCAGGAGACACTCCCCAGTGAATTAACTAGCGTTATTTCTGTTGGCGCGGTTGCTAATTCGAACTTTCCGCTTATCTACACGGCAAAGGATGAGTTTGGCGCAGAAATTCATTATTCATCAGTGTATCCTATTTCGGCGCCTGATGGGCTTGATGTCTACTTCCTTACGGGTAGCTCATGCGGTTCTTTCGATTGGAATCAAATTTTTGACGATATCCACACATCAGGGAATCTCAGCACTACCGTAATCGCGGTTAGTGTTTCTGGGAACTGTCCATTGACAGACATCGTGTGCTGTGGCAGCACTGCCCCTCCTTACTTATTCGGCTTCTATAATAGCAGCACAAATCCCTTTTACCAAGATTACGAAGGTCTGCTACCATACCGATTTAACAACGGTACTACTAAAGCATATACGGTGATAGAGCCTGATTCGAATGCATTTTATAGCAACTACGTTGCATCTGGTGGGTATAAGAAGTACAAGTTGTTCTTCGATAACTCGACTTATATCAACCCTCCGATGAGCATGGGCGGCAAGGTAGATGGATATAGCAACTGGGGCCCTCTTAGGCGTACATTCGAGCTCAAGCCGCAGATTGTGGCTCCCGGTGGCCATATTCTTTCCACATTCCCAGAGAGTATTGGTAGTTATGGTGTTATCTCTGGAACATCTATGGCCACACCATATATCGCCGGCTGCTATGCGCTCGTCAAGTCAAAGTTTCCTCATTTATCGGTTGACGAGATATTAATTTCTCTGCAAATTACGGCCAGACCAACCACCTGGGCATGGAATACAAGCATGCTGGCTACCACAGCTCAACAGGGAGCCGGCCTTGTCAATGTTTATGATGCTATTACCTCGTTGACTCACGTTTCAGTGGGACAATTGGCCGTCACAGACAACAACCGCACTTCGTTCGGCTTAGTTAACTTCACGGTCACAAACAGTGGACGTACACTTCAGAAATATAAGCTCCAACATCGCCCAGCAGGGTATGTATATGAAGGAGTCAGCTATCCCGAGGTGAACCAGCTTCCTACTTTTGGGTCGGCAAAATTTGCAAACCCTACTTTCAAGCTCAGACCTGGTGAAACAACAGAGATCGCTGTGCAACTCTCTCCTCCAGCCCTCGCAGTCGGCCTAGCTCGATTGCCCCTCTTTTCGGGATATATTGATATCGTTCCAGAGAAAGGAGCCAATCTTAGTATTCCCTATATTGGTCCTGCTTATTCCCCTTACAACATGGATTACATATTTTATCTTGCAGCGACAGCAACATCTCCTGGTCTTCCCTGGCTCTCATTCCCAGACAAGAGTGGCAATAGCAACTACAACGACGGCTTTTCTGCCGTCCAGTTATCTGCAACATATTCATTTAGCCTAGCCAATCAGGGATGGACTACACTCTTGAGGGCGGACATTGTTCCGGCAAACACCACCCTAAAAGCGCGTGTCAATGGCCCTAATCTCACCATCCCAGAGGATTACGAGTACCTTCCCTCCTCTAACCAGCTCGGCTCAACTCTATTTGGCCAGCCAAGCTACGGTAATCTTTGGATAGCAGAAGGACTGAGACAACCTTCAAGTAGTGTTTTTATCCAAGGCACAGGTTTGGTAGTGACTGATGACAGTGGTGTAAATGTTACGCTCGGCTCTGGCGACTACAGGTGGTTTTTTAGTGTTTTGAGGTGGGGTGGAGATGCCACTCAATCCGGAGATTATGATACTTATCTGGGCCCCATTATTCGCTTGCTCAATTAAAATCAAAGGCTGATATCAGAGGAGGAGTCTATCTTGATCTAATGTAACTTTGACGTTTGTATATATCTGTGGTATAACTATCGTAGTTAGGTTAAGGTCATTCTACTTGGTTAGAGTTTTGTTGTTAGAGATAGAGAAGTTGAACTTTTATCACCCACAGCAACAATATATATAGGATAGTATGTATTGATGAAATAGGAGTTTCATTTATACATTAGATAGATATGTCAACGCTCACGAATATCACCGGTATAAAGAACAAATTGTTGAAAGCAACACACACTCGATAACTGACTGCACAAATGTGTCATAGGCACATTCTTTAAAATGCCAGCCACATATCTGGATACTTTGAAACAGCTCCCGCCTCAATCGACCAGATTTTGAGAGACTCAGGTGGCATCACGACCCAAACTGGAGGATGGATTCAGCTGAACTGCAGTTCCAATTCACTTGTCTGCAGTTCATAGAATGCACATTCGGGTTGTCCTCCTGCCTAGTCAATTTTTTGACTAATATTAGGGTTAGGAAATAAGCAACACAAACAAAATAAAGAAAGCTTTAAAATAATGTTCATATCGTAAATGTAGAATGTAGATAGGGATTTCTGGAGCATCACTTTTTACAAAGAAATAAAAGATCATACTTACAAAAAGAAGTGACACGCTTCCTGATGCTTTACTATGTATTACATGCTACTTTAACAAACCTGGTATGGAGATTTCATATACTTATTTCAAGATGCTACAATGCAATTATCAATTCATAGAAATGAAATCTATATTAATGATTAATCTTAACAGGATAAAACTAAAATGGAATTTAAATAGTATTTAAAATGACAAGTGTAATTGAAAAAATTTAACCATTTTACTCAAAGAAATAATTAACACTTTTTATAAATATATTATGCTACTGTATAGCTATCAGATAAATATTCCCAGTATGGTCAGACCACGGGAGCTTAACATTTTACACATTGCATTGTTGAAATCACACAATTTGAGAATGAGCTGGCCATTGTGCAGTTATGGAATGTGACCCATGGGAGATAATTATTCGTGCGATTCGAGGCAAGGGGACATTTCTACCCTTGAATAAAGTAATACCACACACTGGCCGAACAACTACCCGGCGAGCAATGTCAAGTTACTAGCCATTCATCATGACTACCTAGTGTGGATGTCAGTGTCTTCAACCTGAGTTGAAGTTAGCGTACAAACAGGCAGGAAAATGCTGGTAATAGGGTACCTCGCTATACAGCCGAGACATCACGGCGTAGATGCTCTCCCATGCAAATCTAGTACTGGTGGCGCAGTCATGGGGGTGACCGGCGTCCGGGGCGTACCTACTGTGGATGAAAGGCGGGAGTGCGTATCCAGTTGTCATCATCATAGGATACGATTCGGTCTGTCCCATCATAAATTTGGTGGCTACAAGGCGCTTGTCGTCATGGAGCGCCCCACCTCAAGAGGCATTGAGGTCTTGTCGTGAAGCAGTAATTCAGAATGAGTGCCGGATCCGGTTGCATTACCCTTTCTAAGAGAGTCTTCGTCACTATCACCGTCATCTACCATTCCAAGAGCCTGTGATATGGCAATGAGTCCGCCGGGGAAGTGACACGGAAGGCTAGCGCTGGGCACCGTAGGCAGCTTATTCAAGCCCCAGGGAGTACCGATTTCAACGTCGGATATATTCATAAACGACTAATCGAGACCACTTGTAGGACGAAGTGCCGCTGCTTGAGGAGGCAAACAGAGCTGGATACCATGCTGTTGAATGCTGCTGCTGTGGTCTAGTGAGAGGTTGCCTTCCTCAAGCATAGGCATTGCTGCAGTGCTAGCTGTAGTCACAGGTTCAACGGCCACAGCCCTATGCCTGACAGATACGTCCGCAAAATATGAGTACCGTGCCATTTGCGGAACGTGCCCGGCATAATCGCATTGGAGACGTCGTTCCATGCATCGAGAGCAGCGGGGAGCGCTCAGGTTGCAGCCGGCCTTCGCTTTCCGGCACTGTGCACAGGCCTTTTTCCGGGAAATAGTCATGATGGCACATTTTCTTGGTCAGTATGTCCGTCCTCCCGACTGGTTGTCTGCTTGTCTGTCGGCTTGCCTTTGTCCACACTCTATTAATCAGATGTGCTACGCCATCCTGACCGACTCCGTATCGACTGTAAATCGTGGCTATATTATGCGGCAGAAATTCTCGTCCGGGATCACTACATGTATTCTATGGGGCAACACCCTCAAGACCCCAAAGGGGTTCCGGCGGGGCCGACCCTTTTTTATTGGGGGTTATTAGCACCGGAGTTGGAGCGGGTCTAACCGCTGGCTAGGACTTGGACCAGTGGGCAAAGACAGAATAGCGTCACCCAGATCAGTCCACTTCCCGTGTGAGGACCATCGAATCGTGTACTCTTACATACTGCACAACCCACTTCGAGGAGTCACCTTCAACGGAGATCTGCACCATGACGATACGCCTGAGGAGATGGTGCTTAGATAGGCTCTCGGCTGTTTTAGCGTACGGAATTTCGTATTCCGGGGACACTCAACAAAATCTCCGGAGAGCAAACTGATCTCTATTGTACACTGTTTGCAATCATGATTATCAAAATCTCCCCATAATACCTTGAATATACACGACAATGGTAACTCTTAATTTGCCAAGGTATGGAAATTGGGTTTCTATAGTAGTACAGGGACTTTTATTGAATTTAAATATGCTCTTTAGTAACTATGTGACGAAGAATATCGGAGAAGGAGTTACGTCACTTAGATATTGCTTACCAGAGATAATTTCCAAACTATGACTCAGTATAGCAGAGGAGCTGGCCACAATCAAGGGTCTCCTTGTAAATATTCCTTCGGAAATGTAAGGGATTGATACGGCTGGGGAATAAAAGTTGGGTTAGTCATACGCCGAGACTAGAGTAATATTTACCATACCCTTTTAGGGCAGAGACAAAGGCTCAGGGATTCTCCAACAAAATATACTCTGCAGCTAGTCCCGTAGAAAGAATGGTTATATAATTCATTTTTCGACCCAGCTGGCATACTCAATCCTATGGATAATCCCTAGTCCTTTGACTGAGACCTACAAGAGCCACATGAATCGTTTGCAGCCTCTTAAGCTCATATTATGCAGGCAACAATTTTAGAAAATAGCCGGTTGCATCCGCCCTCCCGCCCAAAATCGGCAATCTCAACCGTATTATCCATTCTTGATGCTACGGTCGTTCGATTCGCTCCTACAGGTGCCATCTGGGTTTTCGACCATGACGCACCAGCTGAGATGGTTGGATACCTCAAAGTATCCTTCACCAAGACACTCGAAGCTTTCCCACATTGGGCGGGCCAGCTTCAGTGGGCACCAGTCCGCAAGAACGGCTCCCATAAGGAGCGTTTTCATCGGCCGATGATTACCTACGGCCTAGATTCAGATCCTGGCGTGGAGTGGAACGTTGTTCAACTTGACTGTTCCCCGGCATTTGTGGCTCCAGAACCCGTCATGCGTGCTTCCAATGAAATGTGGATAACGAGCTTTCCTCAGTCCGATCTCATGATCTCGTCAACAAACCTGGCTCTCCATGACCTCGATGCATTTCAAGGTTTACCAAGTGTCATTGTACAGGTCACTCTTCTGGGCAACAGTGGCTTCGCTGTGGCCGTACAGATGGCCCATCCGTTAGGCGATGCCCATTCTCTTACCCTTTTTATGCGTCGATGGGCGTCCATTTCCCGCGATGATCTTACGAAGCAAGACCTTACCAAAGATCTGGCGTACCCTATCTTTGAGCCCGACTGGTTAGACTCTAGGGCTGCTGGCGACATTGGCGCTCATGAGGCTGACCCTGACCTGGTCTCAGAGGCCCGCTCTCTTCCTCTGCTCAGGCATGACTGGTGGAATACTACTGCTGGACACCAAGCAACGCTTAGCCAGGCAACAATAAACTCCAAACCGAAAGATGACGCATTATTGCAGAGGGCCATGATGTCTCCAGCATATCCTCCTCCGTGGGAGAGTTGGGATATTTCTAATTCCGTTACAAATGCTCTCATTCACTTTACGGAAGACGAGTTGGAAAGACTGAAAAAGTCAGCCACAGGGACCATGGCCAGAGTCTCGCGCCTCGATGCTCTGCTGGCTCATGTCTGGTCAGGTATCAACCGGGCTCGCATACCATTACTCAAAAAGGATGATGAAGTCTTCTTGGATTTCACCCTAGGAGTCCGTGCTCGGGTTTCGCCGGGCCTCCCAGACAACTTTCTGGGTTCACCTTTAGTACTGGCGCATATTGGCGATTCCATGCGCAAGTTCACAGGATCAGATGCCAAAATTGAATCTATAGCCTCACAGATCCGCACATGCCTTGACCGGTTCACACCTGAGGCTGTAGCGGCTATACTTCATGACGAAGCGCATGAAGTCGCGCCTCAGCGTCTATGGAGAGCATTTCTTGGCACGAAGCATACTCTTGTCACTTCATGGGCCCGGCTTGGGGTTTACGATATTGACTTTGTGGGCAGGGGTTTGCGCCCACGCTATGTGCATGCCATCATGGTTCCCCTGGATGGTATGCTATGTGTGATGGACAGTGGGTTGCACGATGGTGGCTTAGACGTTTCGTTGTGTCTGGAGTCGGAAACATTACAAAGATTTCTGAAAGACGACAAGTTGCGAGAGTTTTAGATGTTTTATATTCTAGTATTTTTTTTTTTTTTTTTTTTTTTTTTTTTGGCATTTTATGTAATTGATTAAAAGTTGTTGAGAGCTGAAGACAAAATAGATTGTTACTTCACACTTGCTAATCTTTATTCATTGTTGAATGTGTAGTCATTTGGAACTCCAGTGTCATCACGATTACCTATTTAACGCGTAGTCTTGTTCCTGAAGGAGGTTATACAGATTTCCCCTAAACTAAAAGACTGCTGTAGCTGCAAAAAAATCTGTGTATAGAGCACAACTTGACGAAACAATTATTCTCAATTTCGTATATGTCTCAACCACAGATTGGACCTATAAGATAAGGAAGTTGCTTAGAGACACCATGCAACTGACACCAGTCTCGTTCCTTTTCCTTCTATTAAATTGGTCATTTGTGCTTAGCTTAATTAGATGAAGCATGATTACTTATTTTCTGTATAGCATTTTCAGCTGTAGTGGACACTAAATATCATCGTTCGTTTCCAGTAAACAACAGCAACTTTCTTCATTTCAGTATTCGTTTTTCTCGGGTTATCATGTGTGGCAGCAGCTTTCTCACGGCTATCATCTAGTGGTCGCTTGAAGTCGAGTTTCTCCCATCTCATGCAGATACTAACAACGAGACATAGCGCGCCCGCCCCCACAACAATGTGAAATAAGCGAGCAATAACCTTGGTGACTCTATGTACTACTACGTCCTATAAGACTGGATTATCCGGGTCCAAGATAGGTGAAATTAAATCAGATATTGCTTCCCGAATATCTTTATCGTCGAAACCAAAGAGCTTCAGCGCGGAACAAAGGTGTCTGAATCCAATATTTTGGTAAATACAGCCTGCGATGACTACCGCTAACGCGATGCCTCTCATATAGGCGATACTGAGGAGGGTAGCACTAGAGAGTCTGCCTTTAGGCTCGTGCAATGAGGCATTGGCAACGCTATAGCTGTTGCTAAAGACCAAGCCGACACCAAAGCTGATGAGGGTGTGGAATCCCAGTACGGCGCTGTCATCTCTTATAGACGTGGTTTGTGACATTACAGAGCCACTGACAACCATCATAGCACCTGCTACAACGTAGAAGCACAAGTAATAGCACATCTTTGGCATCAAAATATTTGGACTCTATGACAGCGGCAATAAACGCGCCGATAAAAGGGAAGATATGTATAGCAGCCCCTATTGGACTAGCACGGTGGGCAAAGGCGAAGAAGTGTGAGAGATGATAAAAACTAGTACAGGCTAACCGCGTTATGAATCGTAATGATGGATTTGATTCCAAGACCGGAGTCTCTTGGATGCATCATGTTCTTCTTTAAGTACGATAACCAAAGCTATATGTAGATTGGATATGGGTATCCCCAATCTTTGGCTCATATAGAGAATGTTTCTTATGGCTATGTCTTGGCAATGGCGTACGGTGTAAATGTCCTGCCCGGATGGCGGAAGCGTAGAAGATCTAGTAGGCTGTTCCGATATCTACGTACCAATCTAACCAATACATAATTATCTCACCTCGATACCTACTTCCGGATTAAAAGTACGCCTAATTACCCTTAGTTATCTTAGTTTAGTCTATGGATTGAAATGTTAACATATCACAGGAGGATTTTGAATACACTTCGTCGTTTGAAGTTGCTGTTAAGGGTGAGGAGCCCGCATATGCATATGATATATCCGCTTTGCTACCGAGAAAATATCCGTAGAATAAAACCGACGGCGATTTGCACGAGTCCATAGGGTACATATCCTGACCTAAGTCATCCACAAGGAGTTTAACTACTTGGAATTCGCCTGTGGATATTCGGAAACCCCTTTCCACCAACTCTTTCAATTCAATTATTTAAAGCTCCTCGCAACCCATGGCTACCTAATTACACCAAGATAATATTAGCCTGTTAATGTAGCATTAATTTCTAGTCATCGGGTCTTGCTACGTAATGCCAGTAACGTTTAGTGCCTCGCTTTCCCATGCAATTTGTTACATTCCGCAAAGTACTCTCTTTTGAGTAATATCTCCTAAATCCTTTCCATAGCGAGACCCCAATTTCGAGCGAAAAAAAGAAGGTAGAGGGGGGCTCCCATCTTCTGTATCCCCTTTCCCAGGTTTTGAAGAGCGAGGGTTACGCCCATGACTGATCTTCTTGTCTATGTATATTTCTGAATAATCTGGCCTGAAGGAGGGTAATAGATGGCTAGCTAGCATTTACTTTTGCAAATGCGTATGCAGTTACTGAAGTTGGGTTGAATATGTGTGTGATACCCTTTACACATTCATATGCAGATTGTGTATTCTGACTAACTGTCCAAGGCTGGTCCGCAAATGGAGCGAGACTTTGAATGAGGATGGTATTACTACTATGCTCATCCAGCTTGGTAGGATTACCTTTGGAAGCATTGGTTAAGCATCTTTGCTGACTGGGGAATAGGATGGGTTAAGATTACGGATGTGGGTATACTAATATTACCCCTCTGCCAGATTACGACGGCATCACTATCGAGGAATCTTCAGCAGGTGTTATTAAAGTGCTCGACGGTATAACTGTCGAGAACAGTGGCGCATATTACAATATTGAAGGAACAACTATGCCTTGGTAAAGAGTAATATATTTTACCGTGTTGATTAGCAACGGTGTTGGTCTAATATTCCTGCGTGGCACGCTTATAAATCAATGTATTCTACCTTACTAGAAACTGACCAGTCGCGAGGGCGGTGATCAACTTGGGAAAGGTTACCGGATTTTCTAACCCACCAGCAATCCTAGCATCGCCCGGGGTATCCAGTAATTAGGCGGTTGGCGTGTTAACTATCGGAATCCTATTGCGTATTTACCGTTAATGCGTTGGTCGACAATGAGAGTGCATGATGATATTGGTAATCTCTCCGGGGCTCGGCTTTCGCGGAATGCCGACTTGTCCGCCTTAGTTAAATGAATTTGCAGGCTGCAACTCGGGTTATGAAATATCAAGATCTTCCAGGACGATGGAAGTATATAAATATGAAACCTACGTTACTAGCGACCTCAATCCACGGAGGAGAGCCGCCCATCAATATTTGCTCACCCGCCATTCAACCCTGAAAGAAATACACCTCCATCAATATGCCAGAGTGTGTATTGGTAGTCGGAGCCACTGGCAACATTGGAGTAGCTGCTGTCAAAGGTGCCCTGCGCTCTGGACGGCAGGTTTTGGCCATTGTCCGTAATCAAGCGTCGGCAGATAAGTTGTACAGACATGTCGGCTCATCAGAAAGCATCACTATCGTCGAAGCTAGTGTAACTTCTGATACTGGGATAAAGGGTGTTGTCGACCAAGTCAAAGCTGGCGTGCTGCCACCTTTCCAGCATGTGTACACTTGCGGTTGGTTGTTAGCCTTCTGGTAGAAAATAACGTTTGCTTTGCTAACGAACCGTTTTTCATCAAGTGGGTGGTGAGTACACAGATGTTCCACTGAAGGACATCACTACCGAGAGGCTTCGGCAAAACATGAATATGTCATTTGAAGCCAATTTCTGTATGACACACCTATTATTATATAAGCTCCCTAGTATGTTGCCCCCTTTCTGACGGAAACTACAGTTGCCTATCGTGATACCATCGGATATCTACTGGAGCAGAATAATCCAAATAGCACATGGACTATCTGTACGGGCTCGCAGGGGGACGATGCAATGTTTGCACTACCAGCTATTGGGCAGGGTCCGTTATTTTCTATGGCCACGGCAGCGGCCCGCGAGAACGAGAAGACCAACGTTCGTATGAATGAAGTCTACTTAATGTTTCGCGTCGAGGTCGATGCTGCTGCTGCAGAGCATGGAGTCTCCAGTAGCTCTGAGTTTGCTTCCGTCTACGAGGGGATACTCGCCAATACCGAGATCCGTAGCTCACGAGTGCGCGTCGCCACGCCTGCAGACTTTAAGGACTTGAAATGGGCTAAGAAGTTTTAATCAACCTGATTTTTAACTTTTCAACCGTTATCTCTAAGCTTTATCGGGAACGCTAGCACTTTGAAGAGTTTGAATGCATTCCGAGAGACGAGTCAATCACGCCCAATATTAGCATAGTAATGAACAGTCAAGGAAAAGTCTCAGATATGAAGACAACATTCAAAGGACAGATAACATCATTTTATACACATAAGTTAAGGCTTTTTAGCAAAAAATTGGAGCATTCATGATTTCCTTCTTTACAGTCGAGGCTTGTATTATGTTAACATGGTGAATGAAAGGTGATTGCATTCTTTAACAGGTATTGAACATGCATTATTATAGGTGCTAAATATAATGTGAATTGAGAAAATCCATATTATAGATATGAAAATGGCATCTTAATGCGATTCATACGGGTGCAACCACTCTCTTAAGAAGAGAGTGTATCATTCCAGATGCTGCTCACTGTGACACGGCTTTCCCAACCCGCACTTACTCCACGAACACGATATCCGACTGTTTTACTCTGCCCTTGCCGTAACCAAAAGCCATTATCATCAAAAGTAACGATGGCACTGGCGTCTTTTGGGTCCAAAGCAATCCATGTAAACGCACTGACACCTTTCTCAGCTGTGACAGTAAAGGCGTTCCCTTCTTGGCGAATTGTCAACCCCGGATCGGCCAACTCAGCTTTACTGAGAGGCGTGGCTGTGAAATAGTTTGAGTGCAAGTAGGTTTTCGTGCCCTGCGAATTTGGAGGCGTGCCTGTGGCGGTAATATTGGCAATTAAGACCGCATTGGAGGCGGGAAGACCACCACCGCTTGTAAGTGCCGTGATATTCATCTTCGCCAACACAGTGGAGTTGACGGGGCCGACTGTAAACTTCTGCGACTTCACAGATGCATCAGATGGGCCAACTGGATTTCCGTCATATCCAATCCATTCCCAGCCTGCTTCTCCAGAAACATCGCTCCACAAGTCCGACACGGCATATATTTCCAAGACACCTGTAGTAACGTTGAACACAGGGGCAATGATGACGGGCTGGAAGATGTCTTTTGTTGCGTAAAAGTTTACCTTCCAGCGGCCATCATACTCCCTGCTCGACCATGTCGGCGCCTGCCAGATATCGTTAAGTTGCCAATATAGCGAGCCAAGCTGCCTTTGTGGCATTCCTGACCCGGCGCGGTAGTACTGAATCTTAGTGTGATAAAAATCAGCCTGGAAGACTTGGGTTGCGTGGCACCAGGCAGCGAAGTTGGCAATTGAGTCAGTCTTGGCCGGCGTTGGATACCACAGCTGGACCCCAACGGTCATCTCGCCCATGCCTCTCAGAGGATCAGCAGTGTTGTTAGTGGTGAGGCTTCCGGGAGGATAGTGATGGTTGCGCAAGACGGTCATAGTTGAATTAAAGTATAGCTGGTCTTCGGGAATGGCTTCGCGCCATGTCTCGAGACTAGGCATTGAGTGGAAGCCGAACTCGTTGGCAAATCGACCAACAACATACTTGTTGATATCGAAGGCGTGTGCTGCATTGTAATCGTAAAAGTCGCTGTCACCATAGAGATATCCGGGCGTGGTATTGTAAAGGCGATCGACGAATGGGATAGGTAGACTGAAGTTCAGTTCCAAGTAGCCATTGTTGGTGCTACAAGGCATATAGCTAATGCTGTGAGAGTTGCCATACACGGCAGGGAGTAATGTGTTGAGGAATAGCTCGAGGTATTCACTCAAGTAACGCTCGTACTGAGATGGGGCCTGCGACTTGACGGCAGGCAGCTCATCCTTCTCCATTTCATTTCCTCCAGCCCACAGCGCGAGAGAGGGGTGATGGTTGGCTCTTCGAACCTGATAGACGGCCTCCTGGCGGACATTCTCGAGGAAGTCCGGTGCTACAGGGTATAGGGAAACGCTGAATTCAAACTCGCACCACAGCAGAATACCCATCTCATCAGCAAGATCATACATGAAGTCGGGTGCGTAGGCTCCGCTAGACCACACGCGTAGCATGTTTTGGTTAGCATCCACTACATCAGCGAGGATCTCATGGATGTGCTCAAATGTTATGCGCGGCCAGAATGGGTCTGGGGGGACGAAATTGCTTCCTTTGGCATAAAATACATTGCCATTAATCTCAAAATGGACTATACTATGAATTAGCCTGGCTCGCGGTCTGAAAAATGTAGAGGGTCATGAGGTCTGATCTTACAATTACTACCGTTGATGATACCTTGAGACAGTTCTATGTCGCTGATAGGCTCCATATTGAGAACAATCGTTCTAAAGCCCATTCGCTTGTTGACAGAGGCAATGGTCTTTCCCTTTGAGATGACCTCAACACTCATATTATAGAGCTTCTGAGCACCGAGGCCACTGGGCCACCACAGCTCGTATTTGGAAGCATCAAGGGTCGTACAACCAGTGATGACGTCGCCTCCATTAGTGATATCGCTGAAGCTTCCGGAGCTAACCTGATGATGGGAGTCTGAATCGACAATCGTGTATTTCATCTGTGCGCCATCAGGGATTGTTCCGACCACGTCAACGCTCGCGTTAAAGATCCAGTCGGCAGTCTGATCTGGCGGCAGGTTGTTCAATTGGCCTTTCCGGTATAGGTCAAAAGCTGAGTTTTTTACATATACGGAATCCGGCCCGCCCAGTTGAATAAGGTAGGCAGGCTGCCAAATGCCCACAGGAACAAATGCTGGGCCCCAATCCCTTCCAAAATAAGGTCAGCTACAGAAATGCTCCAGCATATGGGATAACGCACCATCCAAAGTCAGATTGCTCCTTGCGTACAAACTGCCTGTTTGGAATCTCATAGACTTCGTCGATGCCATTGGGCCATGTCTCCTGCCCGGGCTCCGCGGCTATGGCTGCCGAGATGTTGGGAGTGGCGCCAAATTTGACGGTAAGTTGTGGTCGAGTAGCCGTACATGATGCTAGGGCCTCGGAGATGTCAAAGACCCACTGTCGAAATTGATTGTCAGCGTTCGCAATGTGCTCCCCGCAGAATTCGACGGCGGCGTAGGTGTCGAGGCCGTTAAAGACGAGATAGCTGGCCACGTCGGATTTTTCCCTACGCCCAGTCAGATCCTGCACCTGAAGTATGTTGTTGGCTGTGCTGTGATCATACAGCCCTTCAATCTCGCTGGTGTAAGTCCAGTTATTTTCACCGATCCAGCGGAGGTCGAAATCGTTGAGTTCGATCAAACTGGAAGAATTATTGTGTTAATTATGCGAAGAGCCTTTCGCCCGTATAAGTGAATTATCGGAACATACGGGTCATTGATTATATCTGCTGCATAGAGGTCAACATGGACATGTGACGGCACCTTTCCAGGAACAGATATATTGTTGAAATTCGGGCTTGTGAGTGTCCACTTTTGTTCGGTTAGGTCGATGACATTGTTTGCCGTTGCAGCAAGCTGTGCGAACAGTGTCACGGCCTTTCCTGCCGTCTTTATGGAAGAAATGAGCAGCATAGCTGTACCCAATCTTTGTATAAGCAATATGCCACTCAGTGATGGGACTTGCGAACTTCCCAAGAGTGACAACGCGTGACGCCGTCGCGAAGAGGCCAAAGAAAGTTTGCAGCTTTTATAGCTTGTACTAGAATGTGATGCTGTTGCATAAATTACGGCGACAGATGACATCAGGCAACCACTTCCCGCATTAATTACCCTTTCACCGATTTCAATATCATTGGCTATTAAGATTGGAGACCTGCCATGTTTACCCTGGTTCTACCATTGCATACTTCGTCATCGTAAGTCAGGCGGCTATATTTCTTGTGATCGGCAGAGCGTAGACTGCATTTGGGTCGGCATGGGAGCCATTATGTGAGTCTGCAAAACTTCGATGCTACTGTATAATGTGATAAGTTTCCATGATGGCGAGCGGGGCGGCAGCAGCAATGCTAGTAACTTGAAAGTAGCCCTGAATGCATGCGCCTTAACATTGCAAACCGCTTCGAAATCCGGCTTTCTTTTGAGCTGGCCACAAAGAGTTCGACAGACTCGCATATGGACTTGCTTTGGTTGATGTGTGCTTGATACTAATGTTCAAAGCGGGTGGGCTCGTATTAAGTGAGATGCGGGGTGTTAAAATGTGAATTGCGGGGTCGTGGAAATACGCCCTGGGAAGCTCCAGAATTCCCGGGTTAGTCTAAGCCGAAGTGGTTGGGTGCCCCCAATGTAAACATCAAATGACCATTTCAGTTCCACGCAATTGAATGGCTTATTGTAACGTACAAGATTATATTGACTTGAAATAGCTTGTATATTGCCTGATACATGTACATGTTGACAGAAAAACACCCATTGCAAACCCTGGCTTCCTATTACCAAGCACTTACAGGATGGCGGTTCGGATATTGCATTTGGTGCGTTTTCTCACCTCCACTGTTGGCCAGATACGCCATTAACTTCTCTGTCCACCGGATGGGACTTTGGGAAATGAAAATGGGTGACACGTGAAATTGTGATTAGTACCTAACTTTTTCCAAAATTGGAGCAACTATTGCTTTATCAGTAGCCACACGAATTCGAATTGAGATTGGTGAGACTCCAGAATGGATCTATTGCCAAAGGTTGTGGGAAGAGAATGCCGCGAATGGGACACAGGATGACAACATGTAGAAATCTATGAAGCCGGAAGCAATGATAACGCCATAACACTCCAAAATAAAGCTAAAATACAAGTTAGACATCACATCAAAATTTGCAACAAAGACCGTTGAATAAGGAGTCCAAAATCTGAGGACCTGAAAATGGCTCAGAGGAGTTCCAAGAAAGATTTCAACACTATCCACCATGGCATTTCAAAAACTTGCATTTATATTATTCAGAAATGGTCATTATGAGTGTTACGGGTAGAATGAGGCAATCTAATCAAACCATAGATGCTTTTATGATAGACACATGTGGCTGGGATCTCCTTGAGACTACCTACTTGTAATGTTCAAGCACATACAGACTACATATCAGTAGAACATTCGAGAAGTTGGGACAATCTTCTAAAAAATGGTCGCTCTATTATATCAAATTTATAATGGGGGGAAAATATATTTAAATAGTAAGAGCAATATTTGTCGATATTCAAGACTTGAACTATTCTTTAGGTATCATATACCTGTTTAATAAAGCCTGCACTCTGTCCAGAGGAAGGGCTTCAATTGTCCTCCCTTGAAATCCTGTCAAAGTTTCAGCCTGACATAGAGCATTCAGAATGGCCTCTTCAGTAGCCTCTGATACAGCGTATAGTAATGCATCAATGGTTTCATTTCTGACGGTTTCCACTCCTTGGGTCTCTACAGGTGGCAAATAGGACATCCCGTTTGACGCCTCGGCAAGTTTGTTTGGTGAGGTTCCAGTTGAAAAAGCCAAAAAGATCTCGCCGGAAAAGTTCCGCCCAGCTGAGTGGCCGCTGACCTATATTAATATCAGCAAAAATGTAGAAAGTCGAGTTGAAATGATCATATCTACCTGAGCAACACCCATTCCAGCATGTTGAGCAATTCTTTTTAGTTGATGTGGAAGTAGTGGTGCATCGGTTCTGTAGTTAATTAGTATATTTAGTGAAGATATTTTGTGTTGCCGGAGAAGTAGTAAAGCTTACGCTACAATCACTATAATACCTGCGTGGAATGTAAGTTAATATTCCCGCACTTTCAAAATGCAAATAACTTACTGCCTTCCATAGCTTTTCCACCCTCAGGAACCTCTGGTTTCTTGTTGGTTTCCCCAGCTGCCTTCTTCCGATCTTCATCCATCAAGAGCCGTCCCACTGGGACATCGGCGATTCGTAGGTCCGGTCGCCCGCCGTGATTAGCTTGCACAACAACACCTAGAGCGTAGTTCTTCTGCGGGCCAGGAACAATACGCGAGCTTGTGCCTGTTCCGCCCTTGTAACCAGAGCAAATCATAGCGGTACCCCCTCCATGGTTGCCCTCAAGAACCTTGGGCTGATGCTGTGCTGCGGCTATGGCCTTATTTACTATTTCCCTGTCTACGACTGACGCGCAGATATCGTTGAGGTATCCATCGAATGTTTCTGCTACAACTGGGATCGTAAACCGTCGTAAAGCTTCTAAGTCACTCTCTCCCCTCTTTTGAGACTGTTCCATGCACCATAAGAACAGGGCATCGTAAACTTTCCCTATGCTGATGGTGTTTGTAATTGCAATTGGCTGGAAATGACTTAGCAGCCATTTCACCGTTTCGTAAGGTTAATGACTGAACTAACACAAGCAATGTGACCCCATTCGTATATCATATGAGCACCCGTCATTTCGCCAGCAGCATTCAGGCCATGGGTGGCGGCATAGCATGGAGAGAGGGCAGTGTCTTCAGGGCCGCGAGGTAAGATAACGGTGACTCCTGTATGAATGCCGGGCTCTTGGTGAATGGTAACTTGACCAACTTTAACGCCTATAGAGTAATGGTAAGTAATTAATTATACAAATCCTTTGGCACAAGAAAGCATCCTAACCATTCACATCCAAAATAGAATTTTGGGGCCCTGGTGCGAACCTTCCCGGCGCATAGCCAAGATCTCGAATTCGAGGCTTTGTGGTCTCTTTCGTCTGAATAATCATCGTGATATGCGTTATATAGTATTCTGCACTTAGTTAACAGCGCCGGTGGAATCTTAGTATCCTGACTGTAGAAATGCCAGGTCACTCAAGACTTATATCTCAGTTCTTATCTTTCGATCCATTCTCATCCACAACTGTGACCAAGATTTTGGGAAACCCGAAACGCGACGCTACCAGTGGGCTAGATCCCCATTTGGATTAGTAGGGTCAGCTTAAAACAAACTGCGGTTCATCTCACTCCGTAATACCAAGTAAATGCGAAAGCCGGGATCCGACGCGTCTTTTTCCTTCACCACCCTCGCGCAACCCCCTCCACCAGCCATCCGATGCGAGGGAAAAAAGGGTAACGATATTGCGGGAAAAGCCAGCCATTTTCCGGATCTGAAGGGAGACCCGGCGCAAGTGTTCCTGAAGCGACATGGTACGGACAACAATTGCATGTGCGAGGTGTAGGTTAGTATACTGTGTTGGATCCTTCTAGATGAGCCTTGGGTCAGGTAGTATGCTCCTGCCCTTGTACTTCAAGAGTTCAGAGGACGAGATGTTCCAGCTGATATTGTCGCTAACTATCTATCAAGGAAAGCTAAAATCAAATGCGTCCATGATGGCTTGCCACCGTGCCAAAGCTGTATGAAAGAGGGATCAGCCAGAATCATTCACGCATGTACCCTCACACGCCCCATCATAAAGCGGAAGAAATCATTAGCAGCGTATGTAGCACCGTTATCCTAGAGGACTAAATAGTAATGAGAGAATCCCATTATTAGTCACAAACCGTCCCGGAATCACGAGATTTCTTTAGGCACATCTGAAAGTGGCCCTGTTGAGCCTGGGGCTGCCTCTTGGACACAGAGGAGGAAAACTTTTTCTCCAGATCGTCAACGGGAAATAGGCGAGAAGGAAAATTCGAACAGCTCACAGAAAGAATTCATACATCGCGTTACCAAGGCCGCAAACGCATTTGTGATACAATTTCCAGAGCTGAATTTTCTGCATCTTCCAAGTTTTTTACAGGGCTTAAAATACTTGAATGGGGATGCAGTGGACATCACCGGTCAACACAACGCTACTAGCTACAGAGCTACTTTAAAAGGTCTTTGTTTCGCTTTGTTGGCACTCTGTGCTCCATGGCTTGAGGATGAACATCCCACAGATGACTACATACTGTCGGCGAGATCCAGCATGTCAATCATTGATCATCCAGATGTCTTCACAATCCAGACACTTCTGGTTATAGCAATGTATGAGTGGGGATGCGGCAGAACATTTAAGGCGTGGGCAGATAGCGGTACGTTTTGCCCGAATCTCGGGGCTCTCCCTTTCTTGATACTTACGGAAAACGCCAATTATCGTCCTAATACTTAGACGTGTCATAGGGATGGCGATAAGATCGATTCAGCTGCTCAATGCCCTTCCAAAGCCACGTAGCACCACAGAACTGCAGAGTGAAATCCAGAACCGCACATTCTGGGCCTGCTTCGTCATGGATAGACTTGTCTTCTGTGGAAAACCTCAGCCGCTGGCTCTTCCCCTTCCGTCTGTAGAAGTGCACTGGCCTGTTGGACAGCGAGACTTTGCATTTGGCCAGACGACTTCCCGCTTCTACCCACATATTGAATACGGCACAAGCATGGATCAAGCCAATTATAGCGACTTGGATAGAGTCTATACGCTTATTGTTCAAGGGTATGATGTTTGGTCCAAGATCCTACAGTGGGTAGCCGGAGGCGGTCGTCGGCGACAACCCGTTCGCCACCAATTTGTATCTCCGTGGGAACGTGGCTCCATCTGGCTTTCTTTATACGAAGAATTGCGGGAGTGGCGTGAAAGACATGACGTTTGCGTTCGATTTCCAGATACAGCAGTGGAGGTTCACGCTAGCCTCGGACAGGCACATGGTTTTGCATATCTCAATCTGATATATCATCTCTGGTAACATTTGCCCTCTGCATTTAACTTCCTAGATTGTCTAACGGTGAAAACTAGCCGTCTATTTCTAGGGCGTGAGTATATCCCTTTTCTCCCTACCCCCACGTCCGAACCTTCGGGACCGGTTGATCCGCCCCTCCTAGCACTTGAGGCACCCCCTGGATGGTGGGAAGAAAGAGCATATGAACTATTCTCATCGTCGGCACACATCACCGATATCCTTCGTCGGTTGGATGCTGCAGCGGCGCCGTTTTCAACGCCCTTTTCCGGTTTCTGCGCTTTCTCGGCCGCCACTATGAATTCGTACGTCTTGTATTTCCCCCGGATGAATCTAGGCCGAAGCATGAATGCCGCAGCAGACTTTAAAGCCGACAAAGTTTATCTCGATCGCTTTCGTAGACAGTGGGAGATAGGAGCCCGTTGGTGGACAGCTATAGAGACCACCCAGCAACTCCATGAGAAGGCTAGTCGTGACCGGGAAAAGTTCTTTGGAAAAACTCGCGCAGACTTTCAGGCATTAGAAGCGATCATTAACCACAGTGCATCTACCTTTCTTTCCGATGCAGAAGCCGATACTCACGGAGAGCCTCAAGATCACACAAGAGATCCCCCGATAACTCCTAGGTCAAATAGCGTCAACGACGGGCTTGGGGCTCCTGTTGCCGGAAACCACTCCGTATCTGAGGTGACGGGCGTTCAGGATCCAACTCAGTACCAGCTCCAGGTACAATCTCAACATGATACAATCTTATACTATGATGGTGATGGCAATGCGTGGAATGCAATCTGGCCTTTGTGGGAAGATCAGATGGGTATCTCATTTGAATCGGAAACTGTTCCGTGGGATTACGCTGCTCATTCGGCGGCAGTAGTATAATATCGAGTTTGCGACGACTGCATTTGGGCTATGAAATCGGAGCATGTAAATTCGATTGCTCAAACTATAATTCTATTATGACTTTATCAAGCAATATTGTTTTAATATATCACTCTTTGTATAACTAAGTCAGGCTATGAGGCTGGCTGGTCTCCGTTGGTTACAGTATCATAGCGTAACTCCACCTCATGATAAGCACGCCGAAGTGTCGAAACCATGATATCCAGCTCAATTTCTGATATGTTGAACGGAGGCGCAAGGAGGATATGATCTCCAACGACGCCATCTACCGTTCCCACACACGGATATACCGCCACGCCCAAGTCGAATGCAGCTTGGTGGATCTGGGCCCCAAATCCAATCGACGCCTCAAAAGGAGTTTTCGTTTTCTTGTCCTTGACAAACTCGAGTGCCCATAATAAACCGCGACCACGGATATCACCCACATACTGGCGGTGCCCGAACTCAGCACGGAGACATTGCCCTAGCTTGATGCCCATGTCGCCGCATCTAGACACTAGCCCCTCCCGTCGAATAATTTTCTGTACAGCAAGTGCCGCTGAGCATGCTGTTGGATGTGCCTGAAATGTGTGTCCATGGTTGAAGACGGATGAACCCCGTCGTAGAGTGTCAACTATTCTGTCATTAACTAGCATGGCCGCGATTGGGACGTATCCGCCACCCAAGCCCTTCCCGATGGTAACAATGTCGGGTAAGACGCCACCATCCTCTTGTTCAAAGGCAAAGTATGATCCTGTGCGGCCCATACCACACAGAACTTCATCAAAATGCAGCAATATGCCATACTTGTCGCAAAGGGAGCGAACGCCGCTAAAGTAACCTTTGGGAGCCGTCACACAACCAGATGTAGCGCCGACTACTGGCTCAGCGCTGAAGTGGAGGCAATCGTTAGAAGTAGAGGCTAAACTAAGCATGAGAGACAGCAGACTCACATAAAAGAAATAATCTTTTCAGGTCCAATCTCTAAGAAATGCTCCTCCAGCTCGCGCACCAATCTCTCTGCATATTCTTCTTCTGTTTCGTTGTCGCGGCGATAGTGATACTCAAACGCAGGATCGACAAATGATATATTCGGCAAAAGAACGCCTTCATACGGTATGCGACGCCCTACCACCGATGATATAGACATGGAACCAAACGTATTCCCATGGTATGCCTGGCGACGTGATACGTAATGTTGTCGTTGTAGCTCGCCTTTTTCAAAGAAATACTGCCGCGCAATTTTGAGAGCCGATTCGTTTGCCTCACTGCCGCTGCCTACAAAAAAGGCTCTCTTCAAGCCGTGAGTGAATTGAATTCCCTTGCCATTGACAGCTGTGGTGCATTCGAGAACAAATTTTGCTAAATCTTCAGCTGCCGTGGTTGTATACGCGCCTGTGTGGATGTAGCTTGTGCGTTGCATCTGAGCTGCGGTGGCTGCGATTACTTCGGCATTGCCGTGACCAATTACAGCTACAGCTGCTCCTCCGCAAGCATCGAGGATAGAGCGGCCATCAGCAAGATGGAGGTAGCTACCACTCGCATGATCAACCAGGTAGGGGTGAATAACTAGTGACCTATTTAGCAAGGCAGGCATGTCTACACCATCAAGAGAGGACGGGGCGGTGGTTGTCGATGTATTCTTCGAATTCTGCGATGGTGGGAGTGATGGGATATCAGCTTTCTCTCCCAATACCTTAGAGAAGGGTACATAGCAGCCAACAGATTCGGCAGCCATGTGAATTATAGAAAGATTTCTTTGCATGACGAAAGACGAGCAGAAGCTCAACGTAGGCTTCTCATGTGATTTTCTTCTATTTTTTCCGCTATATATAAAATGAACAGCCTTATTATTTATAGGAATTGGATGGTTAGAGTCATTTAGTCAGCTTGTTAACACAATAATGGGCATTTATACATGATGCCATTCCAACTAAATGGAATATCATGTCCGTCTCCACAACTTGCTAAAAGCGATATGGGTCTCAACGGGCGGCTTCACCAAACAAAGCCGAAACGCGAAATGCGAAAAAGGGCTTCACAACGTTTAATATGAACCCTGTATTTATTTTAACCATATGACTATGAACTCTTTGTTGCCTAAGAAAGAAAAAATAAATAAAGAGAAAACAGGAAAAGTACGACGCTGCATGTCTGCAAATATACAGTCCTTAATTCACAAAAACCTCTCTGGTCATCTACCATCCTATACGGCATCGCCCAGCTGTACAAAGAAAAGTGGCACCACAGCCACCGCGTTGAATAACCCTGCGATCCAAAACTTTTTCCCTAACGAATTGTAACCCTGAGGATAGCTCTGGGATGGGGGGAGGTGAACTCCTGGCTGGAACTTGAATATCAAGGTGTAAAACAGGCCCCCAATGTTTCCGCCAGCGCCAACAATGCCGGCAACAGCACCGATGTTCTTCGGGCGCAGGTGACCATAGATTGAGTAACAGGCACCGTTGGCTGCGAAACCTGTGATTGCAATGGCCACAATGAAGCCAATGACACCACCGATAGTTGCCTGGTTTTTATTCACGTAAAATCCAAGGCCGATCATAGCGATTCCTTGAGAGAGAGCCGTGGCCAAGAGCCAGTACATCTTAGCGCGCAGGCCAAACTGGGCATAGAGAATGTCCGATATGATACCACCAAGTGGTCGGGCAAACAAATTCATGAGACCGTACGTGGATGCTGCATAAGCGGCGTCCACGATAGTAAATGACTCGCTGACGAACAAGCTATTAATCAAACCCGGCAGAGCTGCGTCCATCGCCGTCTCAAGACCAAAGGTGAGTAGGTAGCATATAGCACATGCCCAAACGCGGAGATCAGTAAGGATCGCGAGCAGCGCTGGAAGCGTCAGTGGTTCCGGCTGCGCAGTATCGATGCTAACTACTGTGAGATGCTCGTCGGACTTTGTATTGGGTATTCGGGAGTTGGTGGGGTTTTGAACAAGGTTGTTGTCACAATCCACAAGTTCTTGGGTTGCAGTTCCTTCAAGTCTGCACCCAGCTTGTCCCCCCTGGCCATACTCTATAGCTGCGGTCTGGGGCTGTCTCCGAGCTGACCATTTGCCATTAGGTTGGTCTTTTCCAAGAATTAAAATGATGATAGCGACAAGGATAAGGCACGGTACAGGAACTGTGACAAAACAGAGACGCCACGCAATATGAGCACTGTAACCAGCCTTGATATATCGCTGATAGAGCCCGATCATCACAGCAACAGTCACACCACCACCCAGGTTACCCCATCCGCCTGAAAAGGCATTAGCAGTACCAACGATGGACTTATCGAAAAAAGTCGTAGTGTAAGCCTGGGTTGGAACAAAAGTTCCTCCGAGAATAGAGATGAAAAATCTCACTGCTTCTAGCCCTCGAATATTCGTCACCAACGCTGCTAAGCCAGATGGGATGGCTCCCAAAATGAGCAAAACAGCTAGAACTTTTCGAGGGCCAAACTTATCACAAGCCGGGCCAGCAATGAGACGCACAATTGCTGTGCCACCGAGGGAAGCAAGGTTGGAGTTGGTGACTTGATCTTGGGTGAGGTTTAGATCTGCTTTCACTGCCTCTGGGACAAGTGGAGAAAACGCAAACCAAGAGAAGAAAGCCACAAAAAATCCGAGAGTAGCCAGCCAAAAGGCTGTAGAGTATGTATCGTCCCAGATTCGGAAAATAGGAAATGTAAAGCTTTTCCCATTTAAAGGGTTGACTTCAGCTCTCCGCCATAATGAAGACCATTGGAACTTATGGTCACCGGCCGGTGTGGCATTCCATTCTTTTCCATTATTTTTTATTCTTCGGCCCGCAGTGGAATCAATAGTGTCGATGTCTTTCTGTGGCACAAAGAATATACTCTGATGAGAGCCACTGTTGATTGATGGGGATTGCCTCGGAACGATCTCTTTGGTGACCTCATAAATTTTCTTGTCATCTTGAGTGGCAGACTGTGGTGTACTGCAGCCACTGTTTGCCTCCATACCAGAAGTCTGTGATGTCTTTTTCTTCGTTGGATATTTATGATATAAAAACAATCTTGGAAGCCGTAGTATAGACAGGGGTTTAAGGGCCGTCTCGAAACGGGTGTCGGTATGTTTCTTTCTTCAAACTCAGGCTATCACACAGCAGATGTTAATATTGGGTGTTCCTTAACATAAAATATGCAGACTAACATTTTTTGCTTGAATATTGGATTAAAGATATATCGCAATTTTTGAAAATAACATCGGCCAAATATAGAGTATAAAATATCTGATCTTATACTGGGTCAATAATGTTTTCCTTCTGCTTCAACTAAGTTTAAATATTCTAGACATTATATTTCAAAACAACCCTAAACTCTTGATGTAGTATTACCACGTTCATAGAGGGTTCATCTGAGATACAATCTTGAGACAGATAAGGACCTGGAATATCACATGTGGGCTTATCGCTAGAGTCGATACAGAGATAATCAAACCGGAGATGCAAAATTCAACTTAAAATAGATATTCTCCGTGAATGGAAGTGGGATACAAGCCACTGTACCAGGGGGAAGATTAATAGCACGCCATTATTGCATATGTACATGGCTGCATAATCTGCGATCCCCAGAGAGCCTCTTGACGCATAGTCAAGGATATGAGTCTACAAACCCTCTGGCAGAACTTCTAAATAATACCCCGGGATCTTCTCAGAGAGGGGTGAAGAACAGTAGCACTGATAAGAGGACTCATGGTGATAGGCCAGTGAGGGGGTGGAATAGCAGGACCTTGCCCGCTTAGAAGTAGAGCTAGGTCGTAGTAGTGGTAGTGGAATTTTGCACTGATAAGTGAACTTTTTGCCGTAGAGTGGAGATAAGCGAAACAAAGACTACCGGAAAAGTAAGTGATGCTGATATTATTGCTTTCATAAACGGCATTGTTAGACGCGTAGTCTATACCCAAGTCGCATCAGTGGCAGTGTCCTCGAAGGTTCTAGGTGACCTGTGAATCTACTTCTCAGAGGCTTCTACGGCAGAGTTTAAACACAGCAGAGATCAATAGGCTATTTATTGGGCCGGTAAAACGTCCATGCCTGGTCTTATCTACTTCTAGGATTGAAAGTGCCAACACAATGATAAAGAATGAAGGCAATATTAATATGAAATAGAAGTGCAGAAAAACACCTTAGACGATACACCTTACGGCAGGGTTCTATCGGCTATTTCTACCAGTCAAGTGTACCACTATTACCACAGACTTTAACCGGAGTTGCGAGAAGGGGGTTCAGCAATGGATCTGCCATCTTGCCAAGTGGGAGTGGCTCCACTAGCTCAACTGCTTGCTCTGAATCCTTTGTCAAGAGCTTCAGCTCTTCGCCTGCTCTCCGTAGCATCCACTTCCGTGTTGAGAGTACTGCATCGAGTGCTTCTGTAGGTGGAAGATAGAGAAGTATAACATCATTCTCCTCATCTGCCTTGGCTTCAAACGTCATGATAGAGTAGTCGGCATCCGAGCAGCTTCCGCCTCCCTCAGCTGCTTTGGGATTCAATAAGTAGTTCCTCTTGTGTAATGGACATGATACGTACTCCCTACCATGCTCATCTTCACCTACGAGGCCATCTGCTAGCACAAACGCTTTCTTATGAGGACACATATTTTGTGATGCTCGCAAGCCACGACCAGGTATGTTCCACACTGCCAACTGAACCTCACCATATTTGACAGCCACTGATGTCGGTGCATCACTCTGGCGGTCCAAGTTAGACAGTCTACAGATAGATCGCCATTCCCACTTAGCATCCTTGGCGATATCTAGTAAACTGAAATGAAGAGGTGAACTGTCCTCGGGCCAATCTACAGGACGTTTCTGTGCCCGCTCTGTGATTTTCTCTGATACCGTCTGTGTTTCATCTGTGTTGGCAAACTGTTTGAAGGCCTTTCGTCGATCTGGATTATTGACAACATTCGTCCATTCACAGTGATATGAGCCAACAAGTACTTCCATCTGCTTTTCCAGGTCGGCACATATACCCAGCTTGTCGTCAACGATAACTTCTTTGAGGCCCTTGAGACCGCCAGGGTACTTTTCAATCCACCGAGCCGTCCTCTCGAGTTTGTCAGCTGATTGAATGTAAAAAATAAGGAAGCGGTCAAGGATTTTAACTGCTTCCCGTCGAGTTACGTCCTCAACGAGTAGTTCAGCGTGACGAGGTTTTGCACCCCCGTTACCGCCTACAAAGACATTCCAGCCCTTCGGCGTAGCAATGAGACCAAAGTCTTTGCCTTGTGCTTCGGCGCATTCTCGGACACATCCAGATACACCACCCTTGAATTTGTGGGGGGCCCGTAGGCCCTTATAGCGATTCTCAAGTTCAGCAGCAAGGCCGACTGAGTCGCCTACTCCGTATCGGCACCAGGTATTGCCGACACATGATTTGACTGTCCGAAGTGCTTTTCCGTAGGCATGGCCGCTCTCAAAGCCGGCATTGATGAGAAATTCCCATATTTGGGGCAGGTCTTGCTTCTTTGCACCAAACATATCGATGCGTTGACCACCTGTGATTTTCGTATATAATCCAAATTTTTCTGCGACGTCTCCAATAACCTTGAGTCCTGCTGGGGTAACCTCACCAGCGGGAAGACGCGGAACGACCGAATACGTACCATCCCGCTGCACGTTGGCGAGATATCGATCATTCGTATCTTGTGTCTGTCGCAGTGAAGGTTTCATGATGTTCTCGTTGTATAAAGAGCTGAGGATAGAACCAACGGCCGGCTTGCAAACTTCACAACCAAGGCCGTCAGCCTTTTTGCCAACGACTTTCATTACCGCCGTGAAGTCTTTGAGCCTTCTAAACTTGACAATTTGGTATAGTTCTTGCCGTGAGTAGGCGAAGTCCTTGCAGAGATGGTTGGAGATTTCAACACCAGCGTCCTTGAGTGCTCTATTGAAAATGCTAGTAGCCAGAGGCACACAGCCTCCGCAACCCATCCCGCACTTTGTTGAAGATTTCATCTCTCCAAAGGAACGAACACCACCGGTCTTCACACACTCCACAATGTCGCCTTTGCTCACGTTGTGGCAACTGCAGACTTGAGCATCATTAGGCAAATCGTCACCTTCCTCTTCACCCTCTTTTGAGGCACCGATTATGAATTCAGCTGGAGGTTTTTCTATGGGTTTGCCCATATTACACAGGGCAACGAGCTTGACATAATCTTTTACGTCACCAACCATCATGCCTCCTATGATGTATTTGCCGTCTGCCGTAAAGATGTATTTCTTGTAGACATCCGAGAATGGATCTCGATATGTTAGTGCTTTGACTTTTTTCTTTATCTCGTCTGGAGTATGAGGTGTTGCTTGAACCTTGCGAGCCGCATGAGCGCTTATCGATCCTGGTAGTGGTTTGCTGATCTTTCCCTGGTCTGCAAAGAAATCACCAAAGGAAGCGACATCAACGCCCATCAGTTTGAGCTTGGTGCTGGTATTGGGAGCTTTCATCTCTCTCATGCTGTGGTACGGTCCTTCTGTCAAGTTGAAGGCGAGAATCTCAGCCATCTCGACACCAGGAGCAATGAGGCCAAAAGTTTCGTCAAGAAAGTTGGCACATTCTCCAATAGCATATATATTGGGTAGATTAGTTTGGAGGTGAGTATCGACGATAAATCCGCCACCTTGACTGGCTACTGCTATGGGGGTAATTCTGGCGAGATCATCTCGTGGTTTGATCCCAACAGCAAATACGATCATATCGACATCGTATTTTTGATCTTGCAGCCCATCGTTACCCTGAAGAAGGAGGCCAGTGAGTCTGCCCTCGTCATTCCATAAGAGATTTCGAACTTGGGCCTGAAGCAAAACTTCAACACCAAGTGCCCTGACCTTTTCCAATACTAACATGCCACCTTCTCGGTCAAGTTGGCGACTAAGTACCCAGCGGTTCCTCTCTACAAGGACAACTTGGTCTATCTCCTCAAGGTCAAGGAGGGCCTTGGCAGCTTCTAATCCGAGAAGGCCACCACCAATGACAGCTGCTTTGCGAATACGATGCCCAATGACTCTGGGCGCATTTACTGCATACCCGATGATATCGTCAAGGTCTTTGATCGTTCTGTAAACAAAACATCCTCGATTTTTCTGGAATTGTTGCGATGAAATATACGGTGGCAATGCCGCATTAGAGCCGGTGGCGAGGATGCATTCATCATATTTGAAATGCAGTCCATTGGCTGTTTTGAGAGATTTGGCGTGGTGGTCAATCGAAATAACGGGGTCCGAGGTATGATATGTGAATTTTCCCTCTGAATGTGATGAATACCATTGTAGTGGATTTAGGTAGAGGCTCTCAGTGGAGCGATTCGTAAAGTACTGTGTAAGGCCAACACGGTTATATGCAATATGTGATTCTTCTCCGAATACAGTGACTTCCCACTCATCGCGGCCACTATCAAGATCGTATTTGAGAAGCTTTTCGATAAAGGCGATGCCAACCATGCCAAGTCCGATAACTGCAGCACGTTTCTTAGGCCTTCTCAAAAGGGTCTCTGACCCTGAAGGAGTATCGGGAGCTATTCCATTCATTTTATTTTTTTTTAATATGAAAATCTCTGGGTAAAATAGCATCTTTCAGAAACTAGGTGCAGTCCAGGCAAGTTGAGTAGTTTTATTGTGAGAGGTGGGCATGTCTTTTCCTTGTTCTTCAGCAATGAGGCAGCAGAAGCAGTGCTGGTTTCCTTGGGGTGGGGGACACAAATGCAACATTGGCACTCCGAGGACTTGCGTGTGGCTGATTAGAATCCATCTTCACTACAGAGCAACAGTGCACTCCGTTGTCTGTTCAACTCCTCGGAAGAACTTGAATTATCATTTATCTTTTCATGGCCAGAAGACCAATGACATATCAAACTAAGCTGCAGGATCCAGCCGTTGCAAGTAGATAGATTAGAGATATGAATCGTAGGTCGCTGATATACGTAGGTTATGGTGATAAAGATGATTTGATGAGATCTCTATTCCTATCTTTAGTTTAGGCTGATCATGATATGCATTTATCGATTTGTCGTCCAGCCAGATTCTATTACACTTGGGCATATTAACTGCATGAACTAGCGCGCTAGCATTCCGCGGAGAAACCCAATCTAGATAGCGATTTAGGAAAGAGTATGGGGTATGCTTTTCCGGACTCCCTACGAAGTACAGGTCCGACAAAGGCTCCATTGTTTATCTGCCCGTCGATATCCAAGAGGCGAATGGGAAATTACTGAAATAAGCAAGCGACTTGCTGGGACGTTATCGCTGGATGTTTATTGGCCACAGCGGTACTGGGGCCCCTGTGCTCGCGCCAATGGACACCCCTAGGGTGAGCTTAGCCAAAAACAGTCCCACGAAATGCGAATCGTAAGTTCTATCAACAATATAGTGTTTTTGAGTCTTTTCAGGCTGGCATGCCTGTAGGGTCGTGCATATGGTAGGACAACAAATTTTGTCAGCGAATTCTCATAGTTAACTTGATATGGTATTTTACAGTCATTATCAACTTTTGGGTGAATCATTAATCCCCGTGTACTTCCTCCTCCTACAGCTCCCGAAAAGAAATTCCTATAGTGATTCTCTCAATTTTGACATGTTCATAATCTCGTCCAACTCTTTTAGAGATTTTGCCAAACTCTGCAGATACCAGAATTGCTATATTTATTAATTCGCGTCATAATTCTTTGCCTATTACAATACGCTCAGCATATCCATGGATCAGTTGGTAGACTCCCGCTCTGAGAGTGGAGAGGACTGGCCCTCGTCACTTCCATCATCGCCTGAGTCGTCACCACCAACAACACCGCAATCATGCAGTCCAAGTTTAACGGCCAAACTGCAGACGGCTCATATTGTCCATGAAACACCGTTAAATTCCTCCGTGTCAGACAACGACGACACTTCACACCCCCCTATTCCAAAAAGCGAACCGATACTACCACTACCCACCGACTCTCAAACGCCTGACCATTGGATTTCACGAGATAGCCGGATGATTCGCCTCACGGGGAAACATCCATGTAACGTCGAGGCTCCTTTGTCCGCATTGTTCAAAGCTGGGTTCCTTACTCCCCAGAACCTATTCTACGTCCGAAGTCATGGAGACACACCACGAATAAGCCTGAAGCAAGGGCAGGAATGGAAATTACGAATTCATGGCCTTGTCGAGAAGGAGTTAGAGTTCTCGATTCAGGAGCTCAAGGAAAAGTTTCCGGTTATCACGTTGCCGGTGACTCTTGTCTGTGCTGGTAACCGTCGGAAGGAGCAGAATATGGTAGTTAAGGGGCTGGGATTCAATTGGGGCGCTGCAGGTGTATCTACTGGCCTTTTTACCGGTGTATACCTGGCTGATATTCTCGCTTATTGCAAGCCAAAAAACCCTCTTCTCTCTGCATACCCCTCTTACGACAAGCCCGTTCCTGGGCGTGCGCGCCACGTCATCTTTGAGGGCGCTGACGAGCTTCCCAAAGGAAAATATGGCACATCTCAGAGGCTCAGCTGGGCAATGGACCGTAGTAAGGGCATGCTCATATCATGGGGTCTCAATGGGGAAGATCTTTCTCCGGATCACGGTTATCCTCTTAGATTGGTTGTCCCTGGCCAGATTGGTGGGCGTATGGTCAAATGGTTGCAACGAATCGAGGTTTCAGACTGTGAGAGCCAACATCACTTGCACTTTTTTGACAACAAGCTTCTCCCCACAACAGTGACAGCAGATCAGGCAAGAAATGAAGATAAATGGTGGTACGATCCCAAATATATCATCAATGAGCTCAATGTGAACGCAGCAGTTTGCTCACCTGCTCATGATGATATACTTGAGGTAGCATCTGATGTTTCTATGATGCAGAAAATTCCCGTAGAGGGATACGCGTACACGGGTGGTGGACGACGTATAACTCGCGTCGAGGTCACACTTGATGATGGGAACACTTGGAAACTCTGTGACATTAGCTATCCAGAGGATTTGTACCGAATTTATCCGATCAAGAGCCACCCTTACTTTGGAAAACTTGACTTGAGCACCACAGATATGAGCTTTTCTTGGTGTTTTTGGAAGGTTGAGATTGAGGTCAAGTCACTGCTAGCAGTTCGAGATGCTGGGTTCATTGCTGTACGTGCAATGGATGAAGCGCTGAGCATCATGCCACGGGATATGTATTGGAATGCCACCTCAATGATGAATTCGTGGTGGTTTCGAGTCGCTATCCACGGAGAGAATAATGGTCAGATTCTCCGATTTGAGCATCCTACCGTACCTGGCAATGCGAACGGTGGTTGGATGCAACGTATGAAGGAAGCGGGACTGAACCCAAAGTTCCCTCGCCTGGGAGAAAACAGCCCATCTTCTAGTTCCCTCAGCGGAGAATCTATGAAACCCCAGGGATCCCGAGGAGATGAAGATGCCAAGGGCGTAATGATAAATCCAGACAAATTGTCAACAGTTATTACGTCGTCTCAGCTTGCGGAGCATGCTGACGGGGAAGGTCCATCTCCTTGGTTTGTTGTCGAAGGCCATGTATATGATGGCACAGGGTTTCTTCTGGCTCACCCTGGTGGTGAACAGTCCATTCGTTTAGCAGCTGGCGAAGATGCGACAGAAGATTTTATGGCCATTCACTCCATGGACGCCAAGAAAATGTTGAGAGATTACCACATTGGTAAGCTTGAACAACCTTCAGAATCATCGAGGTCTCCACTGGCACAACTTGAGACCCAAGATGACCCATCTAAGCCATTTCTGGAGCCAAAGGTGTGGAAGAAAGTTCGTCTGGTACATAAGCGAGAGATATCTCATGACTCGCGAATTTTTCGTTTCGCCTTGCCACATGAAGATCAACTGCTCGGCTTACCAGTGGGACAACATGTCTATCTGCGTGTAAAGAAAGTCGACGATGCAACCGGTAAACCCGAGATTGTGCAGCGAGCATATACTCCGTATAGCTGCAGTACCCAGCGTGGCTTCATTGATCTTCTCATCAAGGTGTACTTTCCATCAAATGAATCATCGCAAAAAGACACTGCGTTTTCGGGGGGGCAAATGACCATGGTGCTCGAAAATATGGGCATTGACACAAACACTGACGAGCTTACGGTGGAATTGAAGGGACCCATCGGTCATTTTACATACATCGGTAGCGGTCGGGTGCAATGGAAGCCGAACAACTCTATTCGCAATATTAAAAGGCTCGCCATGATTGCTGGTGGCAGTGGTATTACCCCAATATGGTCCACGCTAAAGGCCATTGCAGACGAGTACTTGGCTTGCCCATTATCCGAACAGGTTAGCCGAGTCGAAATATGGCTCATTTATGGCAATCGAGAGGAAGAAGATATCCTCATTCGCCAAGAGATAGATCAGCTCTCCCATTATATGAAGGGAAGACTACATGTATGGCATGTTCTTAGTTCCAAAAAACTCAACGAAGATTGGAAGATGGGACGAGGACATATTGGGTTAGAATGTCTCCAACGGCACCTCCCGCCAGCACCCTCTACACCCAATGATGCAGATCTTGAAGATACGCTGGCGCTAGTTTGTGGACCTCCAGCTATGGAGGCAAATGTTTCCGCTGGATTACAAAAGCTTGGATGGAACCTTGAAAAGAATGTTGTGTTTTTTTAAAGTATCTTACGAAGTTGAATCCTCCATATTTGCCTACCTAGGGTAGCCTCAACCGACAACTTTTCCATCACCACACGTCGTAATATGCCATTTGAACAATGCCTGAAAATGAGTAGATGCAGGTTGTAATATACACCAATATACCACTTTCTTTAATCCAGTATAATATAAATGTCTCAGCGGAGGCCATTTCTAAATGTAAAATAGTGTGTGAGCCTGCTATCAGTTGTGCCGAGATCCATCACAATTGTGAGCCGTTCTTGACACAACACCACCATCAAATCTGATGCCACTAAGACGATCATCCGCCATCAAATATTCAAAAGACGAAGTCAATTTGATGAGTATTGTTTCTATACGCTTAACCGCTATATTAAGAAGCCACTCTCTCTCCGTTCTATTACTTTGCAACAATCTTCATCGCCCGGTATTTCATTTTCTTCCATTTCTCAAGAGACTCATTTGGCGTAACATGTCTTTGTGTTTGGCGATATTTGCATAGAATTCAAAATCCCCGTTTATGGTTTTATTCAATGCTAATCCGAGGAGGTGATACAATTCGACTCTGTATAGGGTATCCTAGCCTGGCAATAAGATGCCTGGCAATGCCGTCTGTATGAATTATGGGTGAGGGTCAGAGCGAGCGTTGCGCACTTGAGAGATTAAAAGCACACCAATTGTCTACGCGTACTGTACATTGAAGTAGCCATCACTCAATAAATCCTTGCAAGTGCCTGAAATCTCTTTTTGTTGACTTTGGCCGATTTTTTGTCCGAGCAAGAGGTCAAAGAGCTTCCGAAACGGGTTACTCAGTTACAGGCTGCCACCACCATTCTAGATCGAGCTGCCTAGCTTGGCGCTATTATGGAACGAACCGATGCCAAACACTCAGGGGCGAATCTTCTCTGGAGGTCACCGTCCACATGTAACATTCGCTATGTTACAACTGAGGGCAATTCAATGTTGAAGAACTATGTTGAATAGCCGTTTCTAGTGCCCGTGGTTGCGGGGGTCAAAAAGGATTGGGATCCAAGAAGAAAAACAATATGTAACGTTGGAGCGCACTGACTGACAGCAGTTTCACTCACCATAACACATTGAATAGAACTGACAATCCCACTCGACACGGACGTATTTGGCTGCTAGACGCCGTAAGAGAATCAGATTTCTGACACACATCTCATGCCAAGGTAACGTATGTACGAGTATGTTTCTGTCTGCTCTGGATTTTTGTACTGGCAATGGCCACAGAATACACATTTACGATGGAAGCTACGGAGTACACTCTGTCTGTGTGTCCAGTCACTGATCTCAAAAGTGCATGTACTTGTCTGTAAACTACATGCCATTCTGTGACATACAGTATCACAGGTACACTAATCAGCAATCCCACAACATGCGGCGTCTGACTGTTCCGCATATTGTACGAGTAGTTCGTGACAATGCTCCATTGGCAAGGAATAAATAACTGTGCCAAGCGTGCCTATTCCCAATAGGCATGCTTACATGGGTCGGCGGCCATAGACTGCCGATCACAGCCCTAAATGGACGGGGCTTTCACGATGCGGATGGCAACCACGGAATGGGAATGCCGAAGAAGCTACGGGGATTTCTCCCAGAGTTGCTTAATGCGGCGCAAAATGTTACCTTTGCAACTATGGTCAATAGAGTCTTAGAGTCGAAATAAAGAACAGGATGAACCCTTTTCTTAGCTCAATGCGGCTGGATCAGCATGCATTAGCGATAGACTGAAAGATGCAGGAAGATCAGTGGGTTGATGAGATTCCCGATGCTTGTGTACCTATGTAAAGGACGGCCAGGAAACGGATCTGCATTCAAAGCCATTTATTGACATGTACTCCGTACCTGAAAATGATAACTCGTATGCCAAGGCAGATAAATCACGGCCCCGAAGCAAACTACGAGCATCGGCTATTAATTGCCAGTGCCTTCCGCATAAAGTAAGCTTCAAGCTCGACATAAAGCCAGCACCGCGATTCCTCAGCGCGGCTGAGCTGACAATCTACATATGCTAGCTAAGACATGTAAGGCAGTAGCTGTTCTTGCACGAGTATCATCCTACGTTGACTAAATTGCGTGACCTCCTTTGGCTAGCTCTTTTTGGCTGCACAATACGGAGCAAACTTGCTCTACGTAAAATGAGAGGAAGTCCCAACTTCTATAAACGCTACAGTTTCAACAGCATTACCTGCCGGTTTAGGATTAATTCTCTCACTGCGCCCATTTGGTTTGGCCGCAGAATATACCGAAAACACGCGCTAAGGCTCCACGTGTTGCCTGGACTTGAGACCCGCTCAACTGAGCACACGTCTTACTGCGATCTTAGGAAGGCCGCATTTTAGGTCGACGACAAGAGAGGGTGCGAAGATTATTGATAAGTGTGTATACATGTATGAGATCTGCGGTTTGATGCCGCATGCGGATGGCAAATGTGACATTGACTAGCCGAGGGAGAGCGTCAGGCCGCATTTCCTTAGTACAGGAACGGAAACACCAGCTCCCGTGTTTTGTAACTTGTAATTTACAGTCGATACACTCCCCATAAAAATCGAGCTACCTGCCCCAACTCCGTTTTCGTTATTAAATAGTAATATGGTTGGACCCGTTTTAGAGTAGCACTATCAGGGCACTGCGATTCTGTAGACAAGTTGGGGCCACTAAAATGACAAGAAACAAGTAATTGTCAATGCTTTGTATTAACGTAAGGGGCTCTTGTAGCGGGAGAGTCAGAGAAGGATATCCTATCTGGACGAAAAGTGTGATGGCTCAGTCGACTATGCAATAAACTGAGCAGGATTAACCCAAAACCTACAGATCTAAAACGGGTGACTGAAGTTGGCCCAATGAACAATATCCGTGAGCAAGACAACTTGAAGCACAGGGGCTATATGGAGCAGCAATCTGACAATGGGAAGGCCGATACCACCATGACCCATCTATAATTGTACAATGCTAAGAGCGTAAGCCGATGCATCACAAAACTAAACGTAGTGTATGAACGGGGCTTGTTTCGATTCGACCTACTTGCTGGAAAAGGCAGCTGGTGTTGAACTCCAAGTGTACATCCATGAGTTGACACGGCGTCAAGATGAATATATAATGGGCAACGATTCTGGTTCTTGACTCAAAAATCATCACTCTCAGTCCATTCCTTCACAACCACCACTCCTTTGACATCACCATCAGTCAATTCCCCAAAGACTCAATCAAATCAGTCAAAATGGTTAACAAGGCTATCATTGCTTCTCTTCTCATTGGCGCTGCCATGGCTGTGCCTTATCCTCCTTCGGCCACCGATGGTGCTAGACAGCCTGCGCCTAAGCATGCTTTCCCCCACAAGAAAGTTAACGGCGGTAACTACCAGCCTTCGCGCACCAGCAAGAGCACATCTTCCAAGACATCCGCTGCTCCTGCCGTTGCCAAGGACCAGGACAACACCAAGCGAGCTACTGGCGAAACTGTCAACAACTCCGTGGCCCGTTACGACAACTCCAACATCACTGATGGTGTTGGAGATGGCGTGGATTCCTACACCCTCTACCTTGGCGACGGCAGCACTGGCGCCGGCTGGCCTGACCAGAGCCGCTGGGTCTCTTTCGAGAACATGTTCAACAACTACAAGAACATCATGTTCTCTTCTTGCGAGAACATTGCCGGTCAGGCCAATGACAGCGGCCCAGAGGTTGGTGCTATCTGGGACGGCATCCAAAGCGCTGCCGCAGCTACTGGAGTTGACCATCGCTTCATCCTGGCTGTGATCATGCAGGAATCCGGCGGCTGTGTGCGCGTTCAGACTACAAACTACGGTGTCCGGAATCCTGGCCTCATGCAGGACCATAATGGGGGGGCTACGTGCAATGAAAACGGCAACGTGCAGAACCCTTGCCCTTCTGCTACCATCTACCAGATGATCAGCGAGGGAACTGCTGGAACCAACGATGGTGACGGCCTTGCCAACTGCATCAACGAGTCTGGCCGTAGCGATGTGTCAGCTTTCTACCGCGCCGCTCGTATCTACAACTCGGGCTCTATTTCCTCCACTGGTAACCTTCAGAGCAACATTGCTACCCACTGCTACGCCAGTGACATTGCCAACCGTTTGACCGGTTGGGTCAACGCTCCCAGCGCCTGTACTTGTGACAGCAACCCCTCCAGCTGTGGCGTTGTTCTGTTTTAATGAATAACGATGTGTTTGTTTGTGTTTGGGAATGTCGTGTGTTATTTTTAACGTAGGAATGTTTTCTGCTTCGTTGGGCCATATTATTCTAGGTATATATGTGTACATACCTACTTTTAGATCTGTACATAGATAGACATCAGCTGTTATATAAATTGCTTTTCTCAAAGTTATCTCCACATACTTGTGAATGACACATAAAATAACTGTGAAGGATCACGGTGGAATCACGAACGAACAACAAAGGCCAATGGAGAAAACAAACTATATCTCTATCTCATCCTAGTAAAATATTTATTCAACTTTCAATATAACCTTCAGGTGAGAGCATCTCTAATGCATATGCAACCACACATCGTAAATCGCCTGCTACAAAACAATGTCTCGAATTCTCACTTGCCAAGTAAGAACGACAGGATTCATACTACTTCGGTTACGAAAAGCAAGAGAAAAGTATTTCCCGTAGTATTATTGTTCAGTAGAGGGATTAGAAAAGGTACGCGACTCCAGATATAGCGGTTGAATTGGGAGCAAAAAGACAGATAGATAATGGATGGTAATGGAAATACTCTTAGAAGGTAACTCCTTCTACGGTTTCTCGTCGGAGTACTTCAGCATCTTCTGGGAGTAAAAAGCCAGCTTGTATTTGCTCGCCAATAGCCAGCCCCGCAAGACGGCGGTAGTTTGCCACCGTGCCATATAGATGCCGTAGAATTTCGGGCGTAAATGCCCACTCAGAACCTATTGTTGAATGTTTAGCAAATTTGAAGCAAAAATAAAAGCTATGAATGACAACCTACCACAGTACCAATTTGGTCGGCCCTTGGGGGTAGCCGCAACAATACGAGACAACGGCACATCTGTATGCAGTGTCCTTACTCCTCCCACCGCGTTGCCATGTTCATCTCGGACAATCTCATCACTCAAACCAATTGTTTGCATAGTAGAGCCACAAGGGGGGGCAATAGCCTCGTTGCTCGTCCAGCGTTCCATGGCATCAAACACAGCGTGATATATGAAAGAATTGGGAAATGTGCTCCATTTTGCACCATTGAGCTCTGCGACTGACCAGCGTTTGATATCGATGTCCGAAGGGTATCGTGATTCACGATGAGCCATGCCTGCTATTTCGTAGAGCCTGAATGAGTCACTGTCGGCCCGTCGGTGAGAGACACCGAGTATTTGGCCACTGACGCCACACGGCAACCTAACAGACTGGAATTCTGACTCTCCAAGTAGTTCAATTATCTTGGCTCCTGGAACATCTGGCAGGGCTCTTCCGCCAGACTGACAGGGAATGAACGCCTCAAATGGGAGACTGCCATCTGGCAGTCTGAGATGGGATGAGTGTGTAATGAATCGCCGTGTAACGCCTCCTGTCTGGGACAGACCTGTCAAAATTACTCTGGTAGCTTTGATCCCTAATTTTCCGGAACGGAGTGCGCAGGAAGCCGCCGCAATAATTTCTGGAGATTGGGTCGTCGCAGGCCACCATTTCTCCTTGAAATCAACGTATGATTGCTCCAACATCTCCCGCGTGACATTCGTCATGAATGGTATAGTATCCATAAACTCATCTGCCAGGGGACCAGGAATGAAATGCATATTTTTGTAGCGTTCGGGGTCGAGGTTCTTGATTTTGCCGATCGCTGAAGGAGACTGTGAATCAACCTCGAGCCATGCATGGCCTGTTCGGATAATTCGTTAGATGCCTGATAGAACTGTAGCCTGATGCATAATCTCACCTTTTCTCATTAACCATCGGTTTATATGTCGCCAAATGCTTGTCCCTCCCCATAGATGCGACGGCTCTTGCACAACTAAACCACTGAAATGGGTCGAATCCGCGGGGCACCGTAGGAGGATACGCGTGCAATATGACTCGCCAGCAGCCACACCACTTATTAGATACTCCCGACTGACATAACCATATTCGGGGAGCAGATCAACGTGATAAGGTTCGAGAACGACGGGCTGCGAGACTTCTAGTTCGGACAGATGTGTAATTTGTGGCTCAGAAACGCGCTCTTCTGAGGGGTGTGTCTTGCCAATTGCCATTGTGAGTTGATTATACCGGAGATACAGCAATATCTAAATTGTCTTTGCCAATTTTACGACGCCCATAACAGTATATGTAGAGTTCATAGCAATCATGGGGTGTTTATCTCCCTCGACTTACACGACGCCGATAGCCGACAAGATCACATGACCTTGAGGTACCGACTCTGTCGCTTCTCGGCAAATGTAGGTAGTGATACCAAAGGAAAAGAAATGGATACAAAAAGCCGACAAGATCACGTGGAGCGAAGAGCCGATACTGTCGGCTCTAAACTCGCCATCAACGGATAGCATATCGCTTTCAACTTAAAGGTAATAATAGCATTGATGCCTTTCGAATGAACCGAAATATTACTATAATATGCATCCCTTATAGCTTTTTTTCGTTGTTCAATAAATCGCACACATATCTCACCGGGATTCTTATCCTACGTTATTCAATATGGCTACTGCAAGAGACATCTCTGGCACGAGGCCTTCCATCGAGTCGGGAAACATAGGAAAAGAACAAGACCATGTACCAACTAATCATGTCGAAGAGGTTACCGGAGGTCAAGATATTGACATCAAACTCACGAGCCAGTCCGAGGAAATCTTCTTTACCGAAGAAGAAGCAGCTAGAGTCAAGAGAAAGATAGACTTCATAATCTTACCTCTTTTGTGCGGCTGTTACATTTTCTCAGTTGGTTATTTCTTTATAAACAACATTGAATCATGCTGACCATATACATACAGTTTCTGGACAAGACCCTCATTAACTACAGTTCCATCTTTGGATTGAAACAGGCACTCAAACTTCATGGCTCACAATACAGCTGGCTGGGAAGGTCAGTCGCCCCAGGATTTTGTCTCTCGAGAAAAACTAACAGCCAATAGCATCTTTTATATCGGTTATATGATCGGCTCGATTGTCTGGGCTAAACTTGTTCACAAATGGCCACAACATACAGGGAAGCTCATTGCTGCAGCCGTGCTGGCTTGGTCGTGTATTGTGTTGCTCACACGTAAGGCGCGATTCTACTTCGACATGGCCTAGTGCTAACGTCTGCAGCTTTATGCTTCAACTTCGCTGGTATCATGGCTGCACGATTTTTTCTTGGGCTCGTGGAGAGCGTCATTGGGCCGGTCTTCGTCATCGTCACAAGCAACTGGTGGACTCGACCAGAACAAGCATTCAGGACTGCCTTTTGGCTCGGCGGGACCCCGGTATGTGTATCCCTCGTAGTTTGTTATATCTTGTCGAATAAATGAAGCTTATAAAATGTAGATTGGAAATTTCTTCGGTGGTATTATCTCATATGGTCTTGGGTCCAGTAGGCTACTTTTTCATCAAGCTCCTTTCTGTGCGTCTCCCACTAATTGCCTGTAGTTCATAGCTCATCAATAGCCACATGGAAGATCTTCTTTCTTTTCTTCGGCTCTCTCAGCTTTGCGTTCGCACTTGTTCTCGCATACCTTATGCCTGACAACTACTCCAATGCTAGGTGGCTCACACCGCGCGAGAGAGAAGTCGCAAGGGACAGGGTGAGAGAAAACCAGACCGTCTCTACTGATAACCACTGGAAGTGGACGCAATTTTGGGAAGCATTGAGAGATCCTCAAACCATTTTCTTCTTTATAACCGCAGTGTGGGTTGCCCGTGTCTCGTTGTCATACTTGAATGCAGCACTGATGATTCTCCACGCAGTGGCAACACGATGCCATCGACATTTGCGAGTCAAGTAAGTTTTGTGGATGTTTGTTGATGTTACGAATGCCAAAACTGACAATTGCTAGTTTTCGAGCCAAATCGTCCAAGGTTTTGGGTTTTCAGCTTTGCAAACTACGGTTATTTCTGCGTGTCCGGCTGCAGCCATTCAACTGGGTACTTTCCTCATTTTATCCTACATAGCATCTCATCGCGACAACATCAGGCTTCTGCTTTCAATCTTAACTTCTATACCACCCCTAATAGGTGCATGCTTGCTTCATGCCCTGCCCGAAAGTAACCGCGCCGGTCGTCTGGCAGGGTATTATCTTACCTTTACGTAAGTACCATGTTCAGTTCATGCCGCACGAGTTGCATAAACTAACGTTTGAGCAGGCACTCAATGTCGTTTACGCTTAGCACTGGATTAATGGCCTCGAATTATGCAGGAAATACGAAGAAGTCGACTGCTTCTGGTATCATCTTCGCTGGATGGGCCGCCGGACTCATTGCGGGCCCTCGTAAGTATTTAGGGGTTGGAATCTATGACCAGTATCTGATACGTCTTTTAGAATTCTTCCTTGATAGCCAAGCACCAGTTTATGACTTGGCCTTCAGAATGCTCAGTATGCCCCCATTTCCTAAATAACTGCATCAGAGCTGTCTTCTAATATTTATAAAATAGTGGGTTGTTATGCTTTGATGATCATTATACCGATTCTGCAGTACCTGTGGTACAGACATGAAAATAATCGACGTGATCAGAAGTTGGCCCGGGATGGAGGTGGCGCGGAGGAGGTTCTCAGAACAGAATTCAGTGACAAGACAGACTTTGAGCGGTGGCAGACATTCAGGTACACTCTATAATGTTTTTCAATCATGACCCAGCCGGGGTTTCTTCCTGAGCTACCTCGAGCAGGTCAATGAAGTTCTGTTATCCGTCTAGTAAATCAATATTCATATCTTCTTCCCGTAAAGCAACGAGAAGAAGCTCGTTATTTGCTTAGAGAATTATCTAACTACGTGCTGCTATAAATCTCTTCGATTGAGGATTATTAGTGCGCGGACTTGACCTCGCGGCCATAGTAACTAAACATCAGTCGAGTATGAACCTATTAGCGATTTTGTACAGTAAATTTCGGGCAATGATCTGTGCTTGGTAGCTGCGCGAAGGAGCTTGAAAATATGTCGTTGGGTGCCTACCTCCTTGACTTTCATCTATGAGAACAGATAAAGCTATACATCTGATAGCTTGGTGAATTACTAACGAAGATATTGTCTGAGAGGCATCTCCTGTCATATACCACGTTTGGCTGGCATTCGGCCTCTTGATTTGATCTACGCACTTCTTTCCATGCATTGCTATTACATTGGCGCAAAAGGAGTGTGTCAATGTCAATGCGCCCATGGCCAAAAAAAAAAAAAAAAAAAGGTTCCTCCAAATTCTTCTAAGATGAACTCTGATAATAATGCGCACCGAATATATCCAAATGTAGCATATAAATCGACATATAATTATAGGTTTTGTGCGAATAAAACATGACCATCTAGTTAAATAATAAATTGCCCGGTTACCTGATCCATGACGCTGCGCACGTCAAGATTGCCACATTTCTTGCGCATTTTCACAATTGCTTCGAGTAGTTCTCTTGCCTTTCGAATATAAATGCCCCAAACCTCTCCCTCTCGGAAACGTTCAACAACCCAGTCTCGCCGAATCGGGTCTCCCGTGCAGATCCCCGCAAGAAACAATGAGGAGGGTAATATGGATGAAGGGGAGCAGCTTCTCGACGGGTCGTACCGAATCTTAAGGTGGTAGTGAAGTATCCTAGAAACGGAGGATTCCGGATCAAATGAAGGTAGCGGCTAGATATTGTCAATAGCGAACTCCCGTCATCACAAGACGCAAGTGAAGGTACTCACATATACTGTATAGAGATATAGGAGAGCTGAGTGTAGAGCCGATAAGACGGTGAATCGGCCATATGCGGCAGAACTTAGCCGCTCCTCTTCAACTATGTCTTCCATGTCATCTTCTTCAGTATCATCTAAGGGTTCAGCTTCCCAAAGATCAACTTGGTGCTGGATAGACCTATATAATGATTTGATCTCTTCTGTTCGTACAGGTGTAAGAGTTGCGAATTCATTTCTGAGCTGTTCTTGTATCCTCATATCAAGCTTTGCAACATCCATGCGGAAAGAATCGGCCCGAAGGAGGCTATTCACATCGCCAATCATGGAAGTTTGCCTCATCTCCCCTTCAAAAATGGATGATACTGTGGGGGTATTCCGGAGATGTTGGACGAGTTGCCCGCCACCAAGTCCATAGTGAGATGCTCGCGCATCCAAAATAGCAAGGCGTATGACAATACGCCTGATGAGACTGGATGAATCTGCAAGGGCCTTCTCCACTTCTTCAGTGCGAACAATATCAATTGCAGCAGCAATTAGCTGGAAAAAGGTGTCGATACTACCAGCTGTCACATGTACTTGTTTGACTCTGACAAAAAGGGCCGAGAGCAAACCGTCCATAGTGCTGGTCTCATCATGTCTGAATTGGTTAAAGGATTCATGTGCTAGGCGTTCGTAGACCTTTGCTTGGTCGCAGTAAGAAGGGGATTTCATAGAGAGGTGAGACGCTGAAAATGACAAAATAGCATAAAATAATGGCGGAAAGGACAAAGACTTTGAGAAGGCCGAAATAAAAAGATTATTTGTGTCCTTAGAACGATCGTCCACTTTGGCATACCCCTTCATTACCTCCAAATAATGCTGGATCAAGTGCCGATTATCTTCGTTCACCGAGGGACCCCTGACCTTTGCAGCTTGGAGCATTGGTTCTTCTCCGTCTGCTGATAAAGTTCCAGATGGCCACATGTCGTTGCTAACTTCGTCTAGAGAAAACCCATCGGTCATGATATATGCTTGCGCATCGTTGGGCCTATGCAGCACAGAAGGAGCCACAGCTGGCAATGGAATGAGATCCAAACCTTCACCCGAGAGATCTAATTCCAGAGATTTGTAATCCAAGGTGGCATCAAAGTAGAAAGGAGTACGCGCGAGTAGCTCAAACGGGTCACTCTGCGGCTGGCTCGAGAAATCATTACTCCCGTCTAAGCGAGGAGTTTCGGCCGGCCTTGTTTGCTCTTTGAAGACAGCCAGACTATCATTCTTCTCCAGAGTGTGGATAGTAGCATCCTTCTGTGATTGGGTAGGCAAAGGTGGTGAGTAGGAATTATCCTCATTTGCACGACGTGAAAGCCGCCGTCCGACCATCTGTCTCCTCTTTGGTGGAGGAGAGAACCTCTCTCCAGGGGCGGGGGGCTGCCACCGGCAATTAAGCCCTAATCTGTTGCAATTGGAGCACATGGAGGCCTGTTTTTGAGCATCCTCTAAAGTCCCAATCCGGGTTTTGCAGCGTACTTTTCGTAGTCGGCAGGTGTGGCATCCTATGGACAGCTGTCAGGAACATCACTTAACCGCGTTGGATGATTGGTGCCTTGCAAGGTGGGCTACAAACCAGAACGCGACCGAACTCGTGCCACCTCCTCTTCTGCAGTGGTAAATGAGGCCATTGGCGAGAAGATTTCAGCTGTTCAACTACCTACGTATCCTGTTATCCTCTTAGAAGATGAATCATTGTTTTGATGGGCGAGGAGGCGTGAGGCTGAACGAGATAAGGCTATGAAGCACGTGCTATTATGGCACTTACCTAGCTAGGCAGAGATAGTTTCCTGGGGTAGCTGGGCTTGCTGGGTAAGCTGGGGTAGGGGCATGCCGGGTTACGTAACTTAGAGCATTCCCTCAAGACCGCCGCTTTTGCTGACATGCTGGGAATATTAGGGCCATAGCAGCTATGAGCCGTCAGGAACACCTTGGGATGGAAAACCATGAACTAGATGAAATATAATCCCATAGTAATACATACGAACATATTTCCATATCTAAAAAAAGGGATAAAAAAAAGTAAAAAAATATTACGGCGAAAGCTAATGAGAGAGCACCTGGCTGGGAGTCATACAGTCATCCGTTTCCATAGCAAGCGGGTAACCATAATGGTCTTCCTAGAATAAGAACTCTGCAATAGATCTTTGTGCATACCATAGCGTAGGGGCCTGAAACTTCTGGGTATAGAAACTACGATTGGTATAGGCGGCGGCTATGACGCAGCGGCAAGAAAGCTTGGAATAAATTCGCTCTAGCAGCGAATGGATACACATGCGGTGGGAAGTCGCAAGAAGTCAACCAATAATATGCATAATTTAGAGCTCATGAAGCGATTGGAGAACCACTGAATAGCAATGGAGACTGAATGTCATGCTAAAATCGATACTCAGGTGGCTATCAATGATTCGATAACGAATTCTAGAGCGATGGGGGATGAAACAATACCACTCCGTCAAAGTTGGCCTATCAAGGCGATGCCACAGTAGGGTCAACAGGCACGTAATTGTCGAAGGATTCGCCAATGGTAAATAGCGTACCACATCAAGTTTAGCCTTATTAAGCCGACAATAAATTGCAAAAACTTTTTTGTATTGAACGATGTTGCACAATGGGGCGTCTAAGTTGTAGCAGAACTTTTCTTCGTAGTGTGTTAAAATATACAGGCTTTCCATTTGACAAGCTGTCTTATTTAAGGGGCAAAAGATCCCATTTCTTGGGAAGCAAATATACAAAATATATTTATAGGTTGACATGTATGTACCAAATTCACAGTGTCAAGCTGTGAAAAACTATCAAAACTGATAATACTAAGAATGAAAGGTGGAGATGTGGTTGGAGATATTAGCAATCATAAAGAACAGACTTCATAATATGTCATCCTCAGCCACTTGTTGGAAGTCCCCAAGTTTAAGTAAACGTCCAATTATTCGTACTGATCAGGGTCCACATCCTTGAAAGTGGTACCAACAGCAACCTCGTCATACCAGATTTGACGGAAACCCTGGTTGCCGACCATTGAGTGGTTATCATCATGCCAGCCGTTGGCGTAAAGACCAACACGGAACGCAAATTCGTAGTCATCATTGGTTGTTGTTGCAATATTATAGTGCTCATAGACCTTGTTGTTATCGAACCACATCTTGTAATAGCCCGAACTGTCGCTGGCCCATTTGGCTTGAATGATGACTTTATGCCAGACGCCGGCGGATACTGTCGCAATGTTTCCCGTGCCGGTGAAGCTACGACTGCAGTCTGGTTGGCGGTAGTTGCCGCTGACAATTCGGGAGTTGAGCTGGTTACCCTCTAACCAAATGAGTGACGATGGCATCCAATCATCGCCATCACAACCTGCACCGGGTCGATCGGCAATAAACTGAGCAATGTTGTATGATTGCTTATCAAACTCCCAAGATGAAGATAAACGGAACATGAAACCATAGAATAACTCATCGCCACGCTTATATCCCTGGTTGTGATAAACCTCAGAGTGGTATCGACCTTGGTAACCAGGCGTAAAGGTTTGTTGCATTAGGAGAGCCGAAGTGCCTTTATATGTGATGTCTGACACCTCAAGGACTTGACCTTTGTTCTCTGTGAGTACATAGTCGAATCCAGCTTTAGTGCCGCCATTTTGGAAAGTCTGCGTTGCGATACTGAGTGGCAAGGCCGCGAGAGCGACGGTTAGGGATTTGATAACACCCATGACTGGATTTGTGTATGGTAATGAGATTCTTAGTCGAAGGACAGATTGTTGTGGAATGACGATGGAAGAAATTACAATGTTGCTGGGAGATGGACATCAATATATAGAGGCTCGATGGGATATTATTCCCGAGATTGAATGGTATGTTTTCCTGCAGCATTTCCGGCTTTCAGCAAGCAATAGCCAAATGGAGAGAATTAACACAACGCCCCCGATCCAGCTTCTTGTTTGGTGCTAGCTATTACAAACAGTCTATTGAAGCAAATGATATTAGCATCATTTTACCACCAATGAATAACCGAACGACCGCAACCTAGCGGGGAAGATTTGAAGCATGCGGAAATGCAAATATAATATAAGAAGATTATCGTTGTATTCTAACAATGATTAGGGTAGAGGGTTGGCTTTGGAACACAGATGCCATGATAAATACAGTTATCCATATTTTACCTTTCATTAAACCATTAATGCTTTAACTCTAAATTATTGACTAATATATGCATATTTAGAACACTAACAATCAATACATGCATGGCCTAGAATGCCTCTTCATTGTGCTTTCTACGAAATGATCGCCCTTATTTTCGATTGGTCGTATTGGTGGAAAAAGTCTTCCTAAAATGCTGATACCCTGGTTAGATATTTTACCCTTATGTATAGCAACTTCTTAAATCGGCAGGTTCAGATTTCTACATCCTGACCACTCCGTATTTATCTTGATATCATAGTTACTAATTGCCTCCGAAAGAAGCCGAACATCCTCTTTCACATATTTGATGCATTTTTTGCTCGTATGAGTATCCGACGCCAACATATTTGCTCACTACCCATGAATATACTAAGAAAACAAGGCCAAAAAAAAAATCACTAGAAACAATAGGGAATCTAATATCATACTATTATTTGCAAACGACAGCATGAGCGCAAATTGTAATATTAGTTGATATTGCGTCATTAGATGTAACCTCTATTGTATTATATCGCGGGCGAATTTGCGTTTCGGCTAATACCCTATTGCAGTATCAGTATGAGGTTTATTTATTTCCGGCGCGTTTTACAGCACAAACAAGCAGCCTGACTGCCGAGATGCTACGCGTAGCTTCTTATTAGATTAGCGCGTGCAGCTGAAACAATGAAAGGTCGTTAATACCATATATGAGTAATGTTGGTGATCGATTGTTTTCTGTTGCAAAGTTTTTACCCAAATAATGTACTGGCGTCCGTATCTATTGAGTTATATCTCGATTCGCGAGCATACAGCAGCTTGTCTTACCGCCGCTCAGCGCCGGATACGACGATTTATCAGACGACTAAGTCTGAAATGGAATCGGAAGCATAGCTTACTAAGTGCCAGTTTTAACGGCCATTAGAAAACGATAGACGTTTGAGCTATTGGCTGCGCGCGATTCTGAAATCCCATCACTTTCAGCGAGGCAACGAATTTGGACCCCACGTAAACGAGAGCGAGAACGAGCAGCGACCCAGTATTGGGCTGGACAGTGATTGTACGTGAACAACGGATTCATCTCAAAATATAAATAACGCCTCCTGAAAAGAACAAAGAAAAATGCTCATATAGATCCTTTTACTTCGTTTTTTATCCTTTAAGCCATTTCATATTGCATTGATTGCCTTCCTCTACGCGCGAGAATATCCGCATCATGTCAGCGCAGGAGTACTACAACAACGTCCCTAGTAGCGACGGTAATCCACCGCAGTACAATGGTCAACAACAATACAATGGGAACTGCCCACAGCAGGAGGGCACTTCTCAGCAGGTTGGTTTTCTAATGTCTGGTTATCCTACTCATGCAAACCATTGTGCTAATCGTCCAATAACAGCCTAGCCAAGCTCCACCTTCCAAGGGCTGCGATGTCAACCTAGATGGCCAGATTCAGCATCGCCAGCCTGGGCATGATGGAGGAACCCCACATCAAAGTATCCCATTCATGCAGCAATCTCCCAATGCCAGCGGCGAACGAGGTCTCGGTGCTACCCTCATTGGTGGTGGTGTCGGAGCTTTTGCGGTCAAGAAATATGGCGGCGGATTGCTTGGCACCCTTGGCGGAGCAGCCGCAGGTGCAATCGGTGCGAATATGATAGAGCATGCATATAAGTACGTCGTCATTATATAACCCTGATATTCCCGATTTCTGCCCTCTGGCTATCGCTTGAAGTAGTAGCCTTCTCCCTCCTGTCGGCTGTATCTCACCTAGGAAAGATATGTTTATGACAGTTTACTAAAAACATGATGTCTAGAAGACACGAGAGAAGAGAACACCGACATGGTCGCCGTAGCGGTCATTGATACGACAGCACTATGCATATGATGTGCATGGGTCAAAGGAGCTATCGGTTTTATCCCCTCCTTTTTACACCAGCTCGTTTAATTTCCTCTTTGCACAGGTAGCAGTATAATAGAGGCGAATAAGCAAACCCCCTGCTCAGCGAGACAAGAAGTTTTTGTTTTGGAATCGCATTACTTTGATGGGCGAGACTTGGGGAGTATCATCAATTTCAGTTGTCCAGAAATAGTGGAGAAAATAGCGCTGCATGTATGTGAAACTAGATTGGATATGATTATAAGGGCTCCATTCAAACAGACTCATGTGAAGAAATGGGATCAGATGCTTTTGAATTAATCATTTGTCGAGTATTAACTTGAACTGCAATCTTTAAGAGAATCCTAGCAACTTCAAATAGCTGGAAGTAAATCCTGGCTAAAGCGTATGAGAGGAATCATGAGCGAAGCACACAACACCCGCAGCTAGCTAATACAGATGGAGAATCTGCCGCTTTTATCGATTCTCGAAATTTTTAATCTATTGGTGTTATTGCAATGAGTCTTTGATCGGTATATGCATAATGCCATCTTCGATACAAAGTGTCGCGTTGTCTCGATGCCGAACCTGTTGCGCCACAGGCAAGAGGGGTATGCCGGGAATACAAGAGAGAAAACTGGTCTATACCTGGGTAGAATAGAGCATCTATGGGACTTTGATGGGCCTGGCCTAAATAAACCATAATAACCAATCGACCTCTTGAATAGGTCCTGCGACCATCGTCTGCATCCTCACACATCGTTCTACATATTCTGCATGATCCATTCGTCATCGGCGAGCGCCTTGGCCGAGGAACGCTTCGATGGTTCCCACTGGAGCATCTTTCGCATCATGACGAGAAACTTCTCTTTGCTCTCCCCTTCTAGGTTAGTCTCTCTCCCCTCCAGCGATACGTTAGCCGGGAGTGGAATGTTTTGACGAAATTCCCCTATGGAACAAGTATGGTAAAGTTAGCGTGGAAGGGGGTTCAAAACCTAGCTCATCGAACTCACCTTTATCCGTAAAGAACTTATGGCTTGACTTGCCAGAATGGAGGAGCGCCTGCGGAGGGTCCCCAAGCAATGCAATGATCTCTGCAAGGTGCGCCCGGCTACGATACGTTCGATGCTCCGGATCATGCCCAGTAAACAGATGACCACCTTCAAAAAGGTCCCAAATCTGGGAAGATGGCGCGGTTATGGGTCAGCTCTTGAATTCGTGGAGTCGAATATTCGTTTTGATTGCTTACCATACAACCTGCGTTCCATAAATCAACCTGATACGACCAGGGTGCTTCCAGAATGACCTCTGGCGCTCTATAAATATCGGGCTGCACGTCCTCTAAATGTTCCTTGCCCCCTACAACAGCGGAGCCAAAATCGCAAAGTACCGGTGCTCCCCAATTCTTTGGCATCTGGAGCTCGCGTGACAGATAGATGGCTCTTCCATCTACCACTTTTCGCGGAGATGGATCCAGCAGCTCCTGCTCCTCGAATGCCGTGAAAACCGAATCGTCGTCGATCCCAAACATGATGTTGTCGGCTTTGATGTCTAATTCACAATATTTTCAGCACCGGGTTTGGTGAGTAAATGAGAAACAGACAATAGGAGCACCGCTTGGTTCAGATCTCTCATACGCACCTGTGTGGATGACCTGGCATTCTGTGTGCAGAAAATCTAGGGCCAGAAAAAGGCGTCGGAGTACGAAGGCGAGGACCGGAATGGGTAATCTCCTCACTGGGTTGCGATGGAGAAAAGTCAAGAGACTCTCCCACAATGGAGGATGCACTAGGCATCGGTGGCACCCGTCTGGTCCAGTGACATCAAAAGAGTCCAAGAGTTCCCTAACGGCACCACGCCCAGGATGCCTTGATGAAGATTTGGAAATCCGCTTGTACATGGAAAGCTCGTGATCCAGCTGCTCACCCATAGATTGTGAGTTTATGAACAGCTTTAGTGCCACATGCCGTCGATCACTGCAAACTTGTCAGTAAAGCGTCACGTTAAGCAGGGTGGCTGTGCGGACACGAGAGACCTTACTCTAGATCGCGCGCCAACCAAACAGTCGAACTAGCTCCAAATCCCAGTTTGCCAACAATCTGGTATCGATCCCTGAGCACTTCACCAATGCGGACCGGATAGTAACGCGACGCAATGTAGTCTGGAAAGAGCTCCTCTTCAATCTTTTCATTAGCGGGGATTCGCTTGACATCGGACTTGAAGGAAATAGGCTTCCAAGCTCGCCCAGGACAAGACAATCGCCGAAGCAGCGAAACCATATCCGATTAATTCTAAAGGGAGAAAAGAAAGCGCCAGCTCCAAAAATAAAATTGAGTAAAATAAAAGTAAAAATAAAATTTAAGATAAAGTCGTAAGTTGGCCCGTGTTCGATGAAATTTAATGGGGCGAAAACGCAATTGAGCAGTATGAGATTGAATGCGCACTAAGAGTTCAACTTTATATAACTAGGACAAAAAATATTGCCGAGATGTAATTGGGGACGATTTGTTTAATAAATACACATCTATTGTTTTGCTCACGTCCGCGGTTATTGGCAAGAGGTCGTACCTGGACAAAATAGAGATTCGATTCTATCACTATTCTGATCCACCATGCTCCATTGCTAGTTTTCCAACCAGAGCCCTTCCCGGGCTTCCTCCTTGAATCCATTCCTGTGGCTTGAAGAGATCAAACATGCCCACTTGCTGGAGCACTGGTATTGTGGCCCGCAGTGCTGGTTCTATAGCTTTCCTCTGATCATCGTTGCTTTCATCATACGTCTTGATGTTGACAAGAAGTGCTCCCACAGTCCCTGTTGGAACCTTATGCCCGTTTGGGAGAGTTACAACTGGAAACGCATTCTCATTTGTACCTAATGTTTTGTTGTTGATCTTCTGCAGATCATCGGCGGTTCTGTTGTTTGCATCCATGGCGGAGAGAGAATGCTGCAAGACTGGCTTCGAGGGTTTGGCGAAAGATCCAAAATATAACAATAACAACAGGAATAAAATGTATCAATGTAGAGACTTGTATTAGTGTAGAGAGTTTGCTGGCTCGAAATGTTGCTGCCATGAATGAGTAACCATAAGGACGGGGGTATTTATAGAAGAACATTCCTCCATTGGTCTCTCGGACGTTGCGTTATCCCCACCTATTCGGATTCCGAAATCTTGGTGCAGATCTGCGGTAACTAACATGTGAAATACAGTACTCCTAATATTCATTTGTGTCTGTAAATCGGTATTTTCCCAAATTGAATACTTAAGTTATGCAGTCACGTAAAAAAGCGAGCCTTATTCTACAATACAGAAAGAGTATATGCGTCCTTGCTGTTGGATTTACCATTTCCAGTTGGAAAATGGTCTCTTGGCATCAAAGGGTTTTTCTGCTAGTCTAAGCTGACGTTTATGGACGGTTCGGCCATTCGGGTATTTGTGGATTCAGGCATTTCGGACATCTCGATGCGCTAATTGGTGAGCCCTGGTGAGCCCACAGTGCAGATTATGTATTCTACAAGGGCTTTGGTCATTTGCTATTTATGGACAAGTAACAAGACGCATTTATATTACAGAAGGATTTGGTGAATTATTGGTATTATTATTATGATTATCAACTTGCATCCTTTCTCTTTTCTACACTGACACCTTATTGATTAATACTATTATTATATTATCAAACTTTTCTTACACGCCAAATGCTTCATAGCGCATAAGGCAGATCTCTGGCCTTGCCGCTCTTGTCACAAGGTGCAAATTGCCACCAGTCGGAATTCTTTCCGAAATACAGAAATTTTAGAATGAAAAATACAAAAGATGGGATCGGCGGCCAGCTGCCAGCTTGTTCAAATGCAACCTCATGATTATGAACCATGAAGGGTAAATCCACAACCTAGAAGCATGGATCTTCTTGTCAAAATCTGTTCTTTCGTAGGCGCAAAGAATTGTTTCATCATTCAAGGCGAGAAGGAGGATAGAAGGGATTATCGACCGTGTAGGATCAACTTACCATGCCAGCAGCAGTCTGGGTTGCTTTCACCACCTTTGCGGCTGTATCCTTTGTCCATTTGGCCCAGTCGGTCTTTTCCTTATACTTGTCAAAGGCTTTGAGAGTTAAGATCTCATCTTGCAAATGCTGCCAGAGAACAGGCATGAATGAGTTGATAATATTCTTGAGCTTTGCTCCATCGTATTTTTCCTTGCCTGTTTCAGCATTCTGCAAATAGGCTGTGTATTCTTTCAGACCCTCTTCGAAGGCATGATGCTGCTGAACATTGACATCCATGACACCCTTCTCGCCAGTGATCGCCTCAATCTCAGGAAAAATCCACTTCTCCTCAGTTATGTGGTGAGCATGAAGGATTTGGCCCCATGAGCTTGCGTATTTGATGAATGCCGGAACACTAGCCGATGAACGTTCCACATTGACGCACTGGAGATAGACGCTATTGATGCCTCGTATCAAGCAATTATGGACGATAATCATTTCCGCGGCCATGGAGTGGTATGGCTCAACCGTCTCCCCGGGCTAGGCACTATAGTGAGTATTGCGTTCATTTGACGATGCACAGACGTCTAAGCCAGGCTTACCTTGTAGCCCAGTGATGCAATGGAAATTAGATCAAATGGCCCATCGGCCCACGGCCGGCTGGTGCCGTTCTCTGTGCTTGTCATTGTTGCGAGCAGTGGGATCTTAATCGTGAATTGATCCGTCGGTCGAGGGAATCTGGAAAGATCAGCGCTTCAAGCTATACCAAGTAAAGCTCGTTTCAAGCAGGGCTGCTCAGGAACAGAAGATGGCAAATCCAGTGCACTTTTACCTTAAATAATTTAGCAATATGCCCTAGTGTCTTATTGCGTTCGATTGATTGTACCGCGTCGTTACTACTGGCGCTATCATCATACGAAGCAATCGTCTCTAGTCCAAATAAGCGGCTGAGCGGTGGTTTATACTCCCACTAAAATCTTACACGCAGCCAAATACGGTGTGTTGGAAATGTGCTGTAGCTACGCTAGTCTAAACAAACTAGACGTTATTGCGAAATAATAGCCCTGATATAGGACCTACCTCGCCCTTAAGAGGGGGACCCTTTTTTTTTCGCAGCCATATTCATCAATCGAAACCTAGATAAGAAAAAGTAGCAAATTGTGAGTATTTGTAAGCTATTGGTTAGGCATTACTCTTTGTATATTCTGTATTGTTATGGAGTACCGATTACAGCAATTAGCTATTACTGGATACTTCCGGTCATCTTACCAGCACTAAATTCTAGGTGAGCACGATCAATTACGTGTGATTTAAGCTCTCCCATGTCTTGGATGATTGGCCTCCTCACATTGACCCATAAACAATTAGGAGAGAGCTGCCCTAGATTAAAATGAACGCACTAATTTTAATTTTATTTTATTTTTTATTTTTTTTTGGTAAAAATAAATCGAGAAGCCTCTTCATGTAAATGGTAAATTGATATGTCCAGCCATGTTGGCAAGATCTTGCAAGCTTAATTATTTTGGTGTATCCTCTATCAGGTAGGGGTTATAATGGTATCACTAGCCGCTCTTTCTGCTTGTTCGAGTTCATTCAAGTGTCAGAAGTGGCGCTGTTCCAGCTGGTTCTGAAATGCGGATTGAATAATTATGCTATCAATACCGAGGGCGGTGAATTAGATGACGAATTATGCAAGTGATGTGGATATTCGGGCCTCGTTATGAAGCATTTGAATTGAGTTGGTGATTTTCAAGTGATGTGGTCTTTTTCCAGCATTTTCCAGTGTCAAATGTATTTACCCCACGCTTGGTACGGAGTAGATACCGGATCAATACAGGCTGTAAAACAATGAACTTCCTGATCTGACAGGCTTGCGCATTTTGGCGAAAACAGCCTCATCTGGCGCGGGGCTTTCTAGCGCTGCTTGAAACTCGCACTGGTATTTACTAGCATTGATGTAGCAGTCTCGCATACTTGGATCAGGAGGCTTATCGTACTAGGTATAATAAATCTATTGGAGCAGCTTGAGGCAGCCCAGAGAATAAATTCTGCAAAGAGAACAAGAACAAAAAAAGTCGTAAAAGTGGTCGCGTAGGATTCATGCAATTACATAAGGCAAATCCTTCAGGATGCAGGATGCAGGATGCAGGATGGAAGTCGCTTTAACGAAAGCAACGTAGTCCCAAATTCTGGTTTCTATGCCCCTGATAATTTTGAAAATTTCGATTACCTAGCCCTACTGATTTCTCACCATGATAACCGAAGAAGTCGATGAAGACACTGTCTCTAAGCGTCTGCTGCAGCGGCTATCAGACACTGTGTATGCATGCTCCTCACTATCGCAGCTATCGAGCAGGCCTGGTAACTTTGTTTATCGCGGTGTCTTGGTTCATCCCCTCCCTGTCCAAGTAGAAACCCCGGCTCGGACCATTATAATCAAACATTCTGTCAATGTTGCGGGCAAAAATATTTCCAGTCACATGGAATACTGTGTATATGAACCAGTAATTGTTTTTCATCTTGAAGCAATACATTCATGAAGCAAAGCACTGATCTTTACTAATATCAGAACTTCGAGGAATTATTGCTCAACTCAATTGCTCAATTTCCACCTCTTATTGATGCACCTGTTCTGGTGAAAGCACCGCGCCTATATTTAATAGACCGAGAAAGTAATACTCAAGTCTTGGAAGATTTTGTTAATTCCGAGGGGCTCAAATCAATATGGATTTCCTCTGAAGCCAACGATCTTCTTCCCCCATCCAGTCTAGAGGCTATTGGCCTTCAATTAGGTTCGTGGCTTCGGGCCTTTCATGGGTGGGCTACAGCACCTGAACAAGCTAGTGTCAGGGCGCAGATGTGGCAAGGTGATCCTATGCGAAAGATAAAATATTTCTTCACCTACCAGAACTTTCTAAAGGTATTAGAACTATACCCAGAACTTTTAAAAGATCACCGAGAAATCTTGGATCACATCCAAGATGCCATATCGAAAGAGTATGAGAAATCCTCTACAGAAGAAGATGGGGACTTTGGACTTATACATGGAGACTTTTGGTCAGGAAAGTATGTTTTCGTCTCTTTGTTAGCCCGCGCTATCATTTTCTCATGCTAGATTCGTTTGTCTAATGAAGTGAACATCAGCATCTTGTTACCTACTACGCCATGGCGAGCGCCTCCATTATCAAGTGCGCCTAACAGACTGTTCATTATTGACTGGGAATTCGCACAATTTGGTCACCGATCCAATGACATAGGCCAAATCATCGGTGACCTTTTTGAAAGGAACATATACAGCAACATTGCAGCTATTACCCCAGTTATGGAGGGAGTTATCAAGGGATACGGTGAGCTGAGTGACCAAATGTCGTTTCGAGTTGCCATCTACGTGGGTGTTCATTTGATCAACTGGTATAATCGGAGACCTCAACAAGGCCCCAGAGTGGTTCCCCCAGATGCAATTATAGCCGGATTGACTACTGGAAGGGACTTCATTATAAAAGGGTGGAAGAAGGATAGGAAATTCTTCGAGAGCAGTGCACTTGCATTGTTGTTCAAGAAAGCATAACTTCAAAGTAATATTAAGACTTGGCGTTGTGAAATGCCCACGACATTGTCCACAACATTGCTTCTGTCTTTAAAACTGGGAAGCTAAATGCCTTTAAATAACTAGTTTATAAGCTATGTTCTACTACCATTGAGTTTTTCAAGTAACCGTACAGGAATATGGGTTTCCACTACTTCAGAGCTTTCCTACTTCCTAGCCGCCTTTGCAAAGCAAGCTCTTATCTTCCTATATTCCTCATATAATTCCAAATTCGTAATTTCTCGCTGAATATATTTCCTTGGGTTTTCCTACTCATTTATTCCGTCTTGAATGCCAGCTACAATTTTCTCGTGATCATAGGAAACGAATCAGCGAGCTTTGATAGATCTAAACCGTGACTGCATTTCGGCACGAGAATCTAAAGTTTACGTCTCACCCGTAATGTGGGATGATTAGTCGTATTGTATAAATATTGATGTTATTAGTATCATTTATTTAAACTGTAGAGATTTTGTCTCATTCATCAATGGGTCAGTATGCCCTGATATACCTGGCTCCGGAATTCGCCAATTTGTAGCTAGTTGATCGATGATTACTTCTAGGATAACTAGTGTTTGCCAAGCAAGAGTATACAAGTGTACTTGGAGATTTCCAGAGCAGTATAGAGCAAGCATGATACTGCAAAACTAGGCAGTGCCAACGTGCGCTAATACCCACAACTGTCAGCCCGATTCCCATTTCGAGCCCAAAGGATCACTACACCGTTCAAAGTTCTTTTTTTTTTAACAAGCGGAAAGTCTCGGCCACTTCTAGATATAGCAATCGCCGGTATATTCAATAATGTGTTATTCCAGTTTGATTCTACGCTAACCATTTCTATCTAAGACCATAGCTAAAATCTGCTGAGTTTAGATGCTCATAATGCAAGATGCCTCAAGCTAATGTGAAGCATGAAAGCAACCAAAAACGCAGTTGCTACGTATGGCAAAAAAGGGAATGGACCTCTTTCGCTCCGAGAACGAAAACGAAGTTACTTGGCTATAGTGAATGCAAATTGTTGTATAGCATCATGAAAGGAGACATAGGGCAACTCAGCATTAAAGTAATATGACCGCGGCCAATTTGAAAAAAAATTATATAAAAAACCGTCAGTTGCTCTTTAGTCAAATTTATTCCGTCTCGCTACATCTCCAACAGTAACATTAATCGACAATAATGAAGCATTCTACACCAAACAACCATGATTCCACGACTTCTTATCTTTATTAGCTCGGCTGCAACAGTTCTGACAACCGGTGCTTGCGGTACTGGAATTTACCACTCACCTATTGCCCAGTCTTTTGTCACCATTGACCTTCAGGTTGGCTTTCCTGTTAATACAACCACTCCGGGAGGCGTGGTTGGCTCTGTGCCTATACGTGGAGGCAGCATCAGCGGCCAGTTTAATGGCCATCTTGTGTCGAACATCTCCTCAGAGATTGAGCATGTACTACCTCTCACTAGTGGAGAATACACCGTGAGTTAATGGTGGCTCGACACGGCATATTTTTATAGATATTGACATATTCCAGTCCGTTTCAAGCCAATGGATTTTCGAAAATGAAATGAATGAACATATTTTAACTACACTTTCAGGACTCACCACGTATACTAACAATGCTCTACATGGACTCGGCACTGCGTAATTACATCGTCACTACCGAGTAAAAGCACCAAACTGACCGTTGTCTTAGTGTCCTGGCTACCGAAATAAAAGAATTTTATTGGGTTAATTCGGCCAGCTTCCTGATTGAATGGCAGGGCGATTTTAATACCGGAAAGGCTCAATTTGAATTCTTCCAAATTACCACAGGCGGTCGCGTGGATGGTCAACCTATTACCGCTTTACTTCCACTGGGCGGTAAATAAACGGCAATGATATTGACTAGTCACACATTATACAGGTTGCATTCCCTTGATATGCAACACCGATGGTGGCCATATAGCTGGAGAACTTTGTTTTCAGATACCTCTATTGCATAAACTTGGGATGATCACTGGCAAGATTGGATATACATTTGGTCGAGGCAAAGTACCCTAATGTAGCACACCATTACTTATTTTATTACTCTTATACATTTCACATACTTTGCACCCTTCTCAAAGGGTGGTTTCTCATTCCATGTATCAATTCTGAATAAATCCAGTATGCAGTTAACATTTATGTTGATTTCAACCACTTTACGAGTAATCTTTATCTAAATATCTATATCGCCATTGCGACAGTTCTATATATACACCTGCTTTGTCTAGTATTTTATTCATAGGCATTATCTGCAATAAGATTTCTCATAAAATATAATTGTTTTGAATAGAACAATCCCATGAGGTTAGTGAACGAGTGATCCATTATTTAAATGACACTTGATATCTCTATGATATGTAGATCGCCAGCAAAACGGTACGGAGATACGCAGGCAGTTTAGGTGAAATATACTTATTTTCTGACGTACAAGAGTTCGCTGGATGCAGGGTATAACGTAAACTCCCCTCGTGATTAATCCTTCTCACGCGATTGGTAGTTATGTCTTTCTCCGATTTTCGTTACATTTAGGATTCCCAGATCCTTCCATTGTAAAGGTACTAAAAATATCAGTTACTAGTATATTTTCGGCATCAGGCATATTTGATCCTGCGAAGTTGGTCTCTACTAATGCGAATGCAGTTAATCATGCGGTGCTGTTTAATTGGATGATTCATTTCGTTTATCATTGGCAGAACGGATCGCCTTGGTACCTTGTTTTATTTCACTTCCACCTCGTCTCCATCTTCACGAAAGTCGCAGTATCTGACGAGCTGCGCCATGGCGATATCCATTAGCAAATGGGCCGATGGCCCCTTGGAACTTATTGAGACCCCCTCCGCTACGAGGCAAATAGTGAGCTGTGCCCTGTCAATTAATAGGGCGTCAACGCGCTGATGCGATCTTCAGGCTGATCATCCGGCCCACTATGTCGCCAACGAGATGGCCTTCGCCCATAACGCTATGCTCCGTGGTCTAAACGCCATATACTTGCAAGCGCCCTACATACCAAGGGCTGACGTAGCCGATTTTCTCTTTTTTGTAGCCTCGTGGGCTAGTTGGGTACATGATCATCATATTCTCGAGGAGACGCGCATGTTTCCAGGCTTCGAGCGCATTCCCGGTATTCGGCCCGGGCAGCTCTCGCAGAACATCGAGCAGCATCATCTGTTCTCCGCTGGTCTTGATGATCTTAAGAAATACGCTACAAATACAACCGCAGTTGAGTACGATGGTAAAACACTGCGTGAGCTCATTGGTAGTTTTTCTACACATATGCGCCAACATCTGGCAGATGAAATCGACACACTCTGGAGCCTCGAGTGCTGCGAGAAAGGACAGGAGAAAAACCTGCTAAAGGTGTATAAGGACTGCGAAGCAGAAGCAGCTAAGCAAGACAAGACAGTCGTGCCACCCATGGTACTCGGGTTGTGCGATAAGACGTTTCAGGGTGGCAATAGCTGGCCTGCCATACCTATGGGCTCGGAATACATTGTGCACTATATATTTGGTAGGAAGCATAGAGGCGCGTGGAGGTTTTTGCCGTCCGACACATTTCGAAGACCAAGAATGTTACCATTTTTGGGCAATGACAAATAATTGGCGAGGTAAGCCTATGTATCACCATGGCCATTGTTTGATATGACAGGTATCGGGCGGGTGTAGCCACTGGTCTCCAAATTTATAGCAACTTTTACCAATATGGTGCATTATGCCGGTGCGATGTAACTGTGATAGAGAGCCTGATTGGAGAGGGCATGAACAGTCTGCTGAAGTGTACAACCTAATCAAGTCGAATATCTGTAATAGAACCGCACGGGGTTTAATGTACTGTAAACTTGCACACTTACTTGCATGGTGGCTATCAATAGATACCCAGCTAGCTGAACTGAAGCCCCATATGAGAAATATTGCTACAATGAACAGAGATTATGATTATCTTAACTAGCATAAATCCTTCTTCTAGAAAGATCGAAGACTGGATCTGGTTGCTATGGCGCAGTACTGTGATATGTAGCTTGATGCTATATCATCTGCCAAGTTGGGTTGGGGGCCATTGTCTGACAAGAATGTAACCGACGAACAAGATACCCCTATACCGGTGGGACTGCATAAAAATAGTATATACCATGGATCTAGTCGTTGCTACTACCTACATTGGGTACCTGGTATGCATAATAATACTCAAAAACAGATGGCTATATTTTCCTTCACTTATGGAGTTTGTCGAGAGGTGCTACAGTTTGCAAATGTCAATCTATCTCATTTCCGTTAAGTTAAGCGCTATATTATAGAAGTGTTCAATTTATGCCGGAAATCCGCCACCTCTCTTCAATGAGAGACTAGGTCAATGTTGGAGCCGTCCAATCAATCCACTGGGGTTGAGAGAATGTAAAGTCGCTCTGGAAAATTGCAGTATTTGTTGACTGGCCGAGCAAGAACTTTTGAACAAAGGCTGTAAGCTGAGATTGCTGATTTGACGGAAATGCGCAGTGCGCGTGGGCTCCAATCTGAGAGTAGCCTATGTTGTTTGGCACACCTAAAGCCTGCCATGCCGTACGAGCAGCTGTCATACACCCAAAGCAACTTTGTGGGCCAAGCCAATCGATATTGTTATCAATAACAAACAAACCCCTCGGTGCAATCAGAGCTGCTAGCGAGTGGTGATCGAATGGCAACGTTGGGACTTGGTTGACATAACTGTTGAAAGTCGTTGAAAACCAAGGGTCTTCACCAATAATCTCAGATGCTGTCTGGATGTTGGCTCCTTGAGATTTCAAGTAGTCTGAAATCCTCCAACAAGCAGATCCACCAGCGCCTGATTCCTGGGGGAGTGTCAACACGATACGTTTATCGAATGCCCCTGCGACCATAGCGCCCTTTCCATTTCGCGAGCATCCCGTCACGCCAATTCTCGTGGCATCGATTCTTGCAGCAGGAACCAGCTCAAGAGCATCAATGACTCGGCTTACTCCCCAAGCCCACGCGGTCATGGCGCCAGCCGAATGCCCTTTTCCGTAGAGATCGTAGAATTTGCCCTGTCCTCGGCTGCCAGTATTCACTTGCGCTGCGATATTATCATTATTGAAGTTGATCATAGCAACGCCTGCCGGTGCCGGCAGACTGCCACCTCCATACCCAATGATGGCGGGATAAGGCGCTGTTCCAGAAGAAGGATATGAAATAGTGACGGTGAATGATATTGACTTTCCTGAGTCACCACAATTTATGGTCAAAGTATTTCCGGAGAATGACGCAGTAACAGTGGCAGGACGACCTGGCAGAGTCCCAAGTTCATATCGTTGGATAAGCTCCGACATTTCAGCCTGGCGACACAGGAATTTGTCTTTTGTGGTTACTTTGTCTCCGTTGAACATTGTGAAGAGGTCATTAAGCTTTGGATTGGCTTTCAAACTAATTGAACCCGGCAACGCTGAGCATGCAGCCGCACTTGTAGACGTAGCGCGAGTTGCGGATGACGATGATGTACTCGAGGCGGGTGGACTTGTGAAAGATGTGACCAGTGTGGTAGTTGGTATAGTCGATGATACTTGTGTATTAGGAATGCACTGGGAGTAATATTCGCTGTAGGATACACAGGTTGTGCCAGCAACACAAGTTGTTGGCCCGGACCAACCAACACCACCGCCTATGATATATGTAAGCTCTTAATACTGCAAACTTCGAGCGATGAGCATCACGAACATTGCCCCCATACTGGGGATTGCGCCTGGATAGGGATGGCGAGCAGCAAGAGAGCAAAGAAACGAGTAGCCATATTGTGCCTTTGTCAACCTATCGCATGGTGTTTAAGCGATGTCGTTATCTGGGCGCTCCAGTAATCCTCTTTATATTTCTATGCAGCCGCTTGTCCGGCGCATGAAGTCACGATGCTTCTACAACAGAATTACTACTACAACCTATTGTATTACATCTCATATTACCTTTACGTCTGAATTATTGGCATCACCTACAATTCTCAAGTATCTCTGTATCAGGTAAAGGGCGCTGTTCCGTAAACCCGAGCAAGGACTGATTGGAGAACGTGGTTTGTCTTCACCCGCAGCGGAGAACGGTTAAATAGGATATACTATTCAGCATAAAATATTTCGGTAGTAAATATGAATCATTCATCTTGTGGGGCCACATATCCCCCCCTACTTGTGGTGTTAAATCGTCTCGGTACAAAATGTTTCCCGATATCATATATAGAGGCTGAAAGAAAGGACCCGGTCTAGAATTAATGATCTCGGCTAAATAAGGTTATGCATCCCCATGTCTTTTTATATTTATTTATGATGAACCTATCAAATTGGAGGATTTTCTCTTAAGGTAGTGCTACAGACCAGCTTTCTTTATTTGTAGCTGAGCATGATAATGATCACAATTCTGGCGGTGAATATGGGTTCTCGGCCGTGATACGCTTGGATATCCGATGCTACTTTACCTTAACTATACACCCAACAGTCTCCGAAACCTTAAATTTAAGAATACTTAATGCTTAACTGTATTCATGTAGCCAATATAGGCCTTCATCACATTCTCAGTCTAATATGGCCCAGGGTTGTTATAGTACTCATCGGCCAAAGCCTGCGCTACGAAAGGTTTACCAGGCCGAGATATCTATCTTCTCAAAACTAAGGCGCCTTCAATTTGGAGTTTTTATTTGTTGTATCAGTTTTGATATTAGTTCATTCTGTCATTATTCGTCAGTGATGCCTTCGAATGCCGTTTTATGAGGTCTCCCACCTATTCTGCTTCATTTTTCTCGCCAAAGATTGCGTATAACAAGCCAATGGATATTATGCCTTTAGGATGTTGGTAGGTTTAATTCTCTGTAATGTAAGAAAGGTGGCACTGTTTTGATTGCTTCCTCAAGCGAAATGCCAATATCTGCGACGAAGTTATGCAGATGACGGTATATTGGGAGCACATCACAGTTTGGCTCCAATAGCATACACCGGCATATTTATTCCACCAATGGATGAAATTAAGCCCCATGGTTAGTATGGCATGAAACATGATTCTTTCTAATGGCTTGTTCAGAAGGTAGTGTTATAAATATATACGTAAATATGCGACCAAATAGTCAGCAGACGTTTGTATACAATTGAGTAGTGGTCCATAAAAGTAAGTCGTTCATTCTAAGAGTTCGGATAAATAGTATATTCGGTGACCTTGAATAGTCCCAGTCTGTAATAATACAGCCATATAAGACGGGGACAATGATGGCTGTGAATGCGGATAGCGGGTGCTGGCCTATTAACGTGCATACAGCGAGCGAAGAATACACAGCATAGACAGCTAAAAATATCTATAGAAATTAAGTAACTTCAAACAGCAGTTAGCCAATTCGTACTCAGAAAGCTTTCAACTGCTATGGATATTCCGTAGAGCTACGCCAAAGAAGAGGCTCCCGGAACGCACACCTAATAGAGGGTTTCCGGCAGGACAAATTATATAGACTGATTTTACGGAGATTAGAAACTAGGAAAGATGGATGTAATCATTGAATGTTGGAGACTCTGGAGGATTTACGGCGATGTCCATGGCATCATGATGATGTTTTGTAAGAATGGACAAGCAGGATGGTTCTCCCAATTCATCCATGTGAATATCTCTTAAACAGAATAACCTATTTTCCTTCGTGTGCATTAGAACTGGATGAAATAATACCTGCACCCTTCCATGGGTCAAAGTATTGAAACGATGATACTCTAATAATTTCTATGTTTTAGATGGCCCGTACCGGCTTGGCCATCAACATTAGCTGTAATATTGTCTCAATATTAGGTAAAAGATTATTTATGAGGACTTGATTCAGTACGTTGAGTAATACCAAGAAATACTGACAACGCAGGCCGTAGACTTGTACATCAGCTTCCGTCTCTCAAATGCAGAGACTGGATTTATTGTGTACAGTGCTATTGTCCCCTGGAGTAGTATTCGGTTGATATATAGGAACTCAAGGTTAAATATCGATATGATCCAAGCCAATAAATGTGTCATTTAGCCGTTTGATGCTGCAAACTCTATACGACGCTGGGTAAATGCCCCCTCTTTACAGGCGCCGTAAGATTGTCGAGAACATGGCATTTTTTTCACATGACATAAATTACGAGACGAATCAGCCTTTAAGCTACATGCTGAGTCTAGTTAATGCATTAACTGATCTAACAATACAGGAGGATGTAATGGGTAAAGGACTGTACTAATAATGCTTTTGATATATGCTGATACCTGCTGTACCTGCACTACGATTCAATCTGCCGTATTCATTGAACAAGTTCGTTATTTTCCCATTTAAAATACAAAATACGATGGCCTTTAAACAATTATTGATCGTAGCAAATGCTGCTGCCCTTTGCGCAGCCCAAACTACTATCACAGTCAATGTCGGCACCAAATTTCAGCAAATAGATGGCTTCGGCTTTTCGCAGGCGTTCGGCCGAGCCAGTGAATTTCAGAACGCCAATGCCAATACCCAGAAACAAGCTCTAGATTATCTTTTCAGTACTAGCACTGGTGCCGGTTTCAGCATCATTCGGAACCGCATCGGATCTGGAGGCGCTGGCGACAGCATCGAACCAAATAATCCCGGCTCACCATCCGCGGCACCAAAATATACTTGGGACAACAACGACAGCGGTCAATTATGGTTCACGAAGCAGGCAGTCTCATATGGCGTCAAAACCATATATGCTGACGCATGGGGTGCTCCTGGGTTTATGAAAACCAGCGGGTCTGACTCGTCGCCCGGGTGAGTGAGCACCATCCACATCCCCATACGCTGCACCAAAGCTGATATTGGTTACTATAAAACAGATATCTTTGCGGCACTACGGGGCATTCGTGTTCTTCCGGCGACTGGAGACAAGCGTATGCTAATTTTCTTGTGCAATATGTCAAGTATTACGCAGCGGCAGGCTACAACATCACACACCTGGGATTCCTAAATGAACCAGATTTCCAAACCACATACTCTCAGATGCAAATTAGTTCAAACGCTCAAGAGGCCATATCCTTCATCCCTATCCTCTATAACACAGTGAAGGCGGCTGGCCTAAGCACCCAGATTACCTGTTGCGACGCGGTTGGATGGACGACTCAGAGCACCTATACAACCAACTTGGTCAATGCTGGTTCAACCCAGTATCTCGGTATAATCACCTCCCATTCGTACAGTGCAGATGCTACTTCTCCACTCAGTCAAACATCTCTACGTAAATGGAACACAGAAGGCGGCCCCAGTACGGCGTTCGTAACGACATGGTATGGCAGCGGCGGGACCAACGAGGGTTTCACCTGGGCCAACAAACTTGCTGTTGCAATGGTCAACGCCCAACTCTCAGCTTACCTGTTCTGGGAAGGCTTCGAGATTCAGCAATCCCAGTCAGGTAGCCACTTGATCGATGCACTAGATAGGCAGACGGCTACCCCGTCGGGCATCTTCTGGGCTTTTGCTATGTGGTCGAGATACATTCGTCCAGGAGCTTTCAGAGTAGCAGCCTCAGGATCCATTTCCAACGTTATTATCGGCGCCTTCCAGAACCTTGATGGCTCCGTAGTTGTTGTATTCACAAACAGTGGATCATCTACGCAGTCAGCAAGAGTGGCATTTACTGGCTTTTCTCCAAGCTCCGCCGCTGCATACGTCACGGATAACAGCCACACTTTTGCATCTACATCCTCGGGGCTTTCTAGTGGAGCTATTACAGTGTCTGTACCCAGCAAGGGAGTTGTCACAGTGAAGTTGACTTGAACAGCGTTGATACATTGTACTGGATTGGTTTCTGGAGCATTGGTACGATAACCAGAGTAACGACTGGCCACCAAGCAGGTATATCACCTGGCACGAGCATGTCTATGAAATGGTGTGTCCTTCAAGCTTCGTTTGATTACGATTAAGTGTGAGCCATAGTTGGCAATACAGTGCAGGTATCTAGATTCTAGCTCTTTTCAATGGTAATCTTCGTATTGTAACCCCTCTCTAGAATATGCGTGAGTACAGAGTTTTTAACGGTTTCAACAATGTGTTCTTCAGCATCACTGTCCAATCCACCATGAGAGAGGAAATCAACGTGCACTCTCAACTCGTTCAGATCCTCATGCACTTCAAGCAGAGCCGCCCCATCAGCATCTATAGCATCAGTGGCTTTCTCACAGCTTGCACGCAGGTCGTCAAGTTCCTCTTTGAGCTCCTTGTTCTCTCTCTCAAGCTGTTCGACTCGATTCGCTAGTCTATGCATCTCCTTGCGCATATCAGATAATGTAGCCCATACATCGTGATAATTGTCAATTCCAGGTGAAGTACTTGAATCGTCCAGTCGCCGTCTCTTCTTGTCGCTTCCTTCGGTAATTGGACCGACGGACAGCAGGGGCTGGGATTTGGGTTGTGATGATGCTTTGAGATCGGGGGGAGGAGGTGGTCCCAGTTCGGCGTATGATGGCGGCTCATCATTTGGTGGTGCGGACGAGCTATGTGAAGACGAAGAAAGGCTAATAACCTTGCCCCCGCTACCGCCATAGAGTGAGCTCAAAGCAGTTGGGATATCGGACTCAAGTGGTTGAAGAATGTTTTGAGCGACGGCTTCGCAGACAGCGGACAACTTGGCTTGAGAAACCTCTCGTGCTGAGATATAAACATCCAGAGCTGTCGCCTTGGCTAGTGAACGTAGAGAATCGAAAACTTGGCCAGATAGCCGCTTCCTTGGTTGCACGGGTTCAGTTGCTGCAGTTGAAACGATAAGGTCAAGAGGTTGACGGAGATCGAAATGAAGTCGAACAGCCCTACAATTGAGTTTCTTTCGCACTATATCGGGAACTTCTGGATTCTCATCATAGCTGAACAAGGTGATGGAATGTGTGTGGATTAAACCAATGATGTGAGATTGAGATTCAATGCCTTTCACTCTAATGGGACAATGCAGCTGAAAGGACGCCGATGATGCCTCGTGGGAAAAGCGGCTCTCGAGCATCAGGCGACCTCTTTGCGGATCAGGGTCGACCAAGTACTGCGTCACGTCGTCTAATCTCCATTCTACGCAAGCGGGCGTCTTCAAATCGAAATCGAGACACGGGAATGTCGACATGGTTCGTTGGCTCTGGCTCGTGGCGCGCTACGTAAGCAAAACAGATAGGAACAACATACCAGGTCCAAGAAGCACGCGCAACAGAGGGAGCGAGTTTCGCAGACAGGCGGCCTGCTCAGAGCTCCAGAAGAACCTGCGAGCCCAAGCAGGCCCCTTCCCTCAGCCCCGGGTCTTCCAAAGAAGGAGATGTAATCTCGTTCAGTGGGTAGAAATCCGGAAAACTGGTTGAGGGCGCGAAAACCACGTTCCGTTCTGAAGCGCGGCTCTGTGCAATACAGGCGAAAGGAAACAAGATCAAAGGAGAAAGCTTCGCAGACAGGCGATCGGCTCAGAGCTCCAGAAAACCTGCGAGCTCCGGCAGGTCCCTTCCCTTGACCCCGGGTCTCCCAAAGAAGGAGATAGAGTCTCGTTCAGTGGGTAGAAATCCGGACAGCTGGCCAAGAGCGCACTGCAGACTCCTTGGATGGCGATGCTTGTTGAGAATGTGTAGCAGAAACGATGCGCGCCAAAGTGCACGAAACAAGGAGGCTGGGGAGTTTCACAAGGTGCACGTGACGACAGAGCCACAACCCCACTTCAAATGCAAGCTTAAAGAGGAAAGGTGCCACTCTTGATGTGGCGTCAGCGAGTGTCCATAGCAGAGTTAACCGCAGTACACCCGATAAACCACTGCACACGGCAGCCGCGATGACGACAATAACTGATTAGAAGATCACGGATTTTTGTCATTCAATGGTACATGTACAGAGTACTTATACTAAGGAATCCGAAAGTCCAATTACCTACCTATGCAGAGCATCAATTGGCAATCTCGTTTTGAAAGTGAAATGTCTCTGCCGAATTGGATTCGTTCACTTAGGGCACTCACTCAAATCGTTGCCTGTGAGGCAGACAGCGGGTAGCAATTGAAGGCACTCGTACTACTTAACTCGGATCGCCTTCAGCACAGCTATCAACAGGTCGGCTAAACTGCATCCATGGTATCAATTTAGGTAAATTTATCTTGGAGACAAATCATAGCCAGGTACATCAATTGTCCAGGCAGCGTGGTAGGCAAGTAATGAACTTACATAGCGATTGTATTAGGTAGTTAGAAGTGTCGCGTTTGGTAATGATTTGAAGGGGGAAAAAGACGAGAATAGTAGAAAATTAGGAGACAACGGTAAGTAGTAGGGTTTTATCATTTAGGTAGGTAATTTAGAGAGCGATCAGACTTGAGGTACATGTAGTTAGTTAAAAAGCGAATAATCTACCTACCTACCTACCTACTTATGCTGCAGCTTCAGCCCTTTCAGCAGATAACAACTGAGCAAAGGTATCTCTGATAGTTTCCCTCAATGTCAGATACTTAAGACCCAACACTCTTTCCGCTTTGCTGCCATCCACGCCATAGGCATCTTCTACCCATCCCGGCTTTCCTTCCGGCAGCCTTGACCTCAATTCGGGGAACTGCTCTCGCGCGACATCTACCACGGTCTGCCACCGGAGAGACTGTCCAACCCAGAAACGCTGTCCACCAGCAGCAGGAACTTCGAGGGCTAGCAAATGGGCAGCACTGACTTCGCGGACATCTGCATATCCACCAAAGTCGAATTCCGGTACTTCCTTGGCTCCTAGCAAATTGTAAATCAGGCGGACACTTTCACTTATATGAGCAGTAGATGTCAGCTCCGTGGCGTAAGGCCCAAAGATCCACGGCGGGGCGATCGTAACAACATCGAAGGGCGCGGTGCTATGCTCATCAGCCCACTTCCAAACGGCGCGCTCGGCCAGAGCCTTTGAAGCACAGTACGCCGTCACGCCGTCAGTGGCTGGGTCAGCAGCTTGCTCGTAAGTAATAGGATTCCAGTCCTTCTCGTTATACACATAGCCAGCTCGCTTTCCTTTGGAAACGTCCGCGACAGAGGCGTGAGATGATGTAACGACAACACGCTTAACATCTTTACCGTATCGCAATGTAGCATCGAGTATAGCTACGGAGCCCCGAATGGCAGGCTTGAGAAGATCTTCCTCATTGTTCTTCGGTTCTAGGTTGAAGGGAGAAGCGGCATGAATAACACCGACCACGCCGTCGAATGCACCCTCGAATGCTTCTGGCGTCGTGATGTCAGATACGACGACATGTGAAAGCTTTGATGCGTACTGAGGAAACTGATCAGTGAGCTTCTTGAATGATGACTCCGTTCGCACAGCGGCGCGGACGCTGTGGCCTCGTGCGAACGCTTCCTTGACCAACTGGCCGCCAAGGTAACCAGTGCTGCCAGTTATGAGAATAACCATTTTCGAGGGACTGCGTCCGTAATAGAACCAACTTCAAATAGTCAAATTAAATACCGCTGTTGTTTCTAAGAGAATCTTCATGGAGGGCAACCTAGACCTGCACCTCCTCAGGATCTTATACTCCGAAAAAGCACGCTTGCAAAATGATACTAAACCAGAATCTAGCCACCTCAGGTTGATAGAGTCACTCTAAAGCCGCACAATAGTATTGTGATGCCAGAGTTTCCATCCCCTCACAAATTAATACAAATTCGCTACTAAGCCAGCAACCTCCTCCATATGGTGTCATTCGTAGTGGCTGCGCCAAGAAATGGAAGAATATTGGGTTAAGGTTATAGAGAAGAAGATCTATCTACTTCCGCCGCCTCTTGATACCCCGCAATGAAGAACTTGATTATTCGAGAGCATTACTTTATATCAGAGATATTGATACAAATCCAATTATTACCTCATCCTTGAGATAGATCTAGAGAAAAATGCTGTAGATACCACTTTCCCAACACCTAGGTGATTGGCTGTAACTGTGCCACGCTGTGTACACCGACCAGTGTACTCCATGCAATTGGATGTCATGAAATCGTCATTTCCAGTACCCAAAAACAGCTCGATGGAACGTGTCAGATACATAGAGCTCCGTTGGGCGGGATTATTCGGGCCTTATCCTGGGCAAGCTTGGGGTAGGTAGCCAAAGTAGGATTTCAGGTAGCTCGTGGCTCGTTAAGAGGTTAAAGTTTCAAAACTATCAACTTTGGAGACTAAAATATTACCCCGTGCATCTGTCATATTTAAGAGAGCCCCTAAGCATGGGTACACCGATCTAGTCAGTTTTTCGATGGAAGTGCCCCGCTGTTAATGCCGAGGACTTGCGAAGAAAGTGCACCACTTTCACTTGTAGCTGCTCGTCTTCAGAGCGACTATGTAGTAAATGTAACTTAACAAGAGACTAACGGGAATATATCAGCATCGCGTGTTGAAGATCAATATTTCGTAGAGCACTCTAGAGCGAATGACTTAATATCTGTTCATAGCGCGTAGAGCCGATTCCTATATAACCCAATGCAAGTGCATAGCTGTGGATGTGTTAACAATATATAGAGATCATATTTAGTATTAAGATGAGAGGTTCAAGGCTGTAACAGCTGGCTCAATGAAAGGCTATGCCCCAGCATTTGATGTGTTAACATAATATATATATGTATATATACCTATACAATAACCACGGACCCGCTGTTCCTGTTCAGAATACTTCAAGCATAGAAGGGTCTATAACCTGTCATATTTCCAACAAGCTACCGGCAGCAACTTGACCTGGACTGTTGATAGCAGCACGAGCTTTCGAACTGCTTCAGTCTTTCCAAAGAGCTAATTGCTATCTCAGCGTAAACATCTGACATCGAAAGCTCCTGTACTAATCGCGCAAGAAGCGTTGTACATAGAAGAGGAAAACATTGACTCGCTGTTGCTAACTGAGAAGTCGTGGTAACCCAGAACAATAAGCCCTTGTGCTTGCCCCATAGGTTTGCAAGATCTGTCTGGCGAAATAATTCCGTAAGTTTGGGTCTGGACTCCACATGCTTCGCCGCAGCATGAATTGGAATACGTAGCTTTTCAGCAGCTAACAGTACCGAAGTGACGCGTCGGCAACACTCGTACATAGCCTTCTCTTCAATACTGGAGTCCATTATTGCTGGCGCAAAACTCTCAATATTTTTACGAAGAGCAGCTCTCTTTTGCAGCAAATCATCTGTAAGAGCCAATACATGATTGTTTTCGTCAAGAAATGTCGCAAGCCACTTGTGTACCAACCCTGTAAGCATCAACATTCTGGTTTTATTGGACGCCGTTGATGTCTTTTCGACCCATTGATAGGTAAGTGGAGATATCCAGTGTTCTGGGACGGTATATCCCAGACATGAACCTGTGGCCGGGAACAGTTTATCGATCTCCGACGGAGGAGTGTGCAGATAATCAGTAACCTCGATAGCTATTGATCTGTCAACTTTGTTAGAACACAACCATGGTATAAAGAAAGTGGCGGGTACACACATGTTCATATAATTAGAGATATACTGCAATAATGCAATGCTTTCCGTATCTTGGAAATTGGTCCTAGTTTTCAAGAACAGTCTGCGTAATGCTTGCCGGTGAACAACTTGTTCATTAAGTGAAGTTCGAGCTATCACTGCTAATTCTTCACTGGATAAGTAATCTTCATCCAGCATCGGATTGATACACTCCCCAATGCTGAGGCCTCTTGGTAAGTCTCTAGACACCAGACAGACAATGGGAGCTCCCAGAGCTAATATCGCAATGAGACATCGAGGACTAAGTAGTCCATCTGAAATGTTCATCTTGGTTGTCAAGTGGCCGATAACCTGGCTCTTCAATTCCAGCAATGTCATCCTGGTTCCCTGCCCTGTCAGTGCCATGTAATGAGCATAGCCCAGTAGGAGGCAGCTTGTGAACATCAAGACACTATCTTCATTGTCGGCCATGACAAATTTCCTTATAAAGTCCTCGCTATAAAATTTGAGTACCGTCAAGTCGACTGAAAAAGAATTCATCTCTATCACATCGGATGGAGAAATCTGGGGGCATCGTGAATTCGTAGGTTCGATCTGACAGGGTACAGTATATCCACCCCTCAGAGGCAAAGTTATTATATCCATCAGCGTCGCTGACCCATAGCATTGGATGATCCGAGCCCCGGAATGGCGAATCTCAACATTAGTCGCGTGCGAACAAGAGCGCTCATCTGCACAGTCCCCCTGAAAGCTGATATTCTCCTTCTTTTTGTTGCTCTCTTTGCTGGCTTGCCATCGACGTTTAGCAGGCCCACTCCAATATGCGGCATGACTTCTTGTTGCATCTGAATGAGTCTTCAGCCATCTCATCTGGTTACCCTCAAATTCTGGTGTCACAAAGGTGAATCTTGGCGGAGGCTTCGTATGTTTGCGCAAGGGCATAGTGAAGAATTTCGGTGAGTGTAAATCGCACTACGGGCTAGGGGGCATGTGATACCAAGTTCATTCCGACGTTTTGTGTGCGACTTTTATGGCCTTCCCGCCACATAACATTTAGAAGCTAGGGAAACAACTCGTGTTTAATATTTTAGGACGGTAACAGAGAAACTCAATAGAATTTGTACTGGCTACAAAATCACTTACTAAATGTGATCTAGCGCAACTGACTCGGATGATCTGATGAGAATCCTTTCAATACGTGAGGCGAGTACGGAGTAGTTTGCATGGCTGTTGCAACTAAGACTAGGTGTTTGGAAGCCCACTAAGATACTTGTGTAGTTCGGATTGGCCCATGATACGAGTTCGAGAATGCTTGGCTGACAGAGGGGCTTTGTCGAAGAGCCTCTTGAAAGCGAGATTACATGGGTCCTGGTCATGAGTCGGAAACATATATGTTATAAAAAAGTACCCAAGTTGCAAAAGGGGGTATCATTGGAGCGATTATGAATTATGAGACATCGCTCTATATACTATTTTGTCGAATTCTTAGAACCAGGGCCCTCTATAAGTTAGTGCTTCGTGTAATGCTGACTAGCATTGTATTTTGCGATCCTGCAACCACCGGGCTAATTAACAACATTGATAACTAAGCTGATATAAGACACGTCTTTAAATAAGGTGCATCCACAGGTAACTCCGTAGTTTGCACGAAGCCTAAAATAGGAAGTTCAAACACACCTGTATTCTCAGCACTACAGACATAATGAATAGCGCCATTAGACAACATTAAGTAATGTATACAATCATATCGTTGTGTGTTTCGAATTCGCTATCAATATATATATATATATATATTGCTATTTCTTCGGATTTATGCGTGGACACCACGACGAGTATAGCACCAGAGTCAAACACCAAGGGCTTACTCCACTATACGGCCACCAAATAGACCCAGGCCTTTTTTTGGTGACGATGGTGGTGGTGAATAGGACATATAGGTAATGAGTCCCCCGCTCGCAATCAAAGAGTGCTATGTTTTCCTCCAATCATACTTTTGCAAACAGCTTGATTTGCCATATAAACTTATTTCATTTCAATCCTTTACCAAGCTTTTATGTTGCGATTGCCAGTTAGTTAATTAGAGATTATTGTAATAATCGAAGAACATAGCTGATTTGTCAATTATCTTTACCGCTGTTGTAAGAACGTATTAGCGTTAACAGTTGCGCGATATGCCTCAATTGACCGCTATTTGCTTACACAACCGATTCAACAAGGATGCAGTTTTATTATTTCAAACGGGCTAGAGCAATCACACACTGGACTCGAGATAGACAGTGGAAGATGTACTGAACAATACTCCGAACAAAGATAGTGTAAGATTCTTAAATATACATGCGCAACACTTGAATCGCTTATATATGATTGATCTACGATAGATAGTCCCACTTATGCTTAAAACCTTATTCTTGCCCCTAAGTAACTTGGTCCTTTAACTTAATATTGAAATTGGTATTGTATCTCCTCAGTATACGAGTATTTATGTTCTCGAATGTGACAATAAACTTATATGGAGAGAGTGGTAAATTAATGAAATTAATCGTATGTCTTGATCGTCTTCTATATAGGTAGTTGGAGTAAATCATCTTGAGTCATCTAAAGGATAATGGAAGTAAATTATAACGTTCGCAACAATGTAGTTAATTAACCCCATTTGCCCGCTATTCTTATGATTATGATATGATCTGTCATAGTTTCATGTAATAGTTCAACTGCTAAAAAAAGATCCCGCTTACCGCAGCTTACCCATGCGAATGATGTTCTTGGCCAGCATTCCAAGACATTCGATTAAGGCTAGATATATTACAAAGTGGTCATGGGACCCAGCATTCAAATGCTACTTGAAATGGATTTCTATGAGTCTTGAACTGATCAAGCCTGAAACTGCTAGATCTAGCATAGTAACTCTAAGTATATATATGTCTGAATAGGATTAGAGCATTCGACCCCTTTGTCAAGAAAGATTGCCTGCCCTGTTGGTGTTTATTATTTGCATTTGCTATTACATCTGTTGAAATGCTTGCGGGCTTTTGAATGTCCTATACCGATACCGCTGAGAGATTGACTGTAATATTTTGGCAGAAGCAAGAAGATAAGAATATGACAGCCCACTATTAAAGTGACAGTGTACGTAGAGTTTAAAACTAGAGTAAACAACTTAGTCATGAAGTATATTATTCAGAGAGTATTTTTCGTCTAGGCTCTTTCATGGGATCAGACATTAGTGCTGTTGCTATTCTGTCTCTACCCAGTTTAGTACTATCGCCACTTTTGCCGATTACCATCTTGGTATATCCCCATTCTCCTGACGCAGTCCTCAAGTTTGAAATTCTAAAGAGAAGTATCCTTGAGATCATTTCATTCATTTTATTCACTTTTACCCAGAAATTGTTTTTTGAGTGAAGTATCACAAAACACTGAAAGAACTATTAAATAAAAGTCCTCATCCGTGAAAATCCTCAAATTTTCATAGTTAACATGACACTCCTAAGTCAAGGCATATTATAGATGTACAATTTTAACACCCGCATTTTCTTATTGTCTGTAAGATTTATCGCTATTGTGCTCTATCTTGACCAAAGCACTGTTCCATCCTATTTGTGCGAGAAGTACTGCTGTAAGCCATATACAAGACCAGAAAATGGCATACCTAAGGCGGCATAAACCTCGGCTGATTCTGAAGAAGCATTATCTGCCAAGATTTCAACAGCAACATTGGAATAACAAACAGGAATGACACCAGCTTGAGTCATGCGGAGGACACCCATCTCGGCTTGTCGCTTCGAAAAGCTACCGGATGCGTCTACAACAGCATAAGTCGTATAGTTGTCTGAAAGAGCAGCCATTGCTGGGAATGCCAAGCATACGTCAGTCGAAATCCCGGTAGCAATTAAGTTCTTTCGCCCCGTAGCCTTTACGGCCGCGACGACACGCTGATCGTCCCAAGCATTGACAGTTGTGCGCTCAATTCGTTCAATGCCAGGTAACACTTCTTGTAGCTCAGGGATCAAGGGCCCCCACATGCTCTCGGTCGTCGTAGTTACAATCACGGGAACTCTGAGAGCTACAGCAGCCTTTGTCAAGCCCAGTATGTTGTGCTTAAGCTCTAGGGTATCAATATCGCGAACACCAGTGTAAAGGCCCACTTGATGATCCACAATGAGCAGGACTGCATTCTCTCGCGTTAAACGACCTCGATAGATACTTTCAGTCATTTTGTATGTTGTCCTATTGCTAAGACGTGATGAAATCCAAAAGAACTAAGCTTAGTTCAGGAACAGCGATTGTGTCGAATTTGTTGTTGAAGTTGTAGTTTGAAGATGTATGGGTGGCTCAGGGCAGGGGGGAAGAGCGGCGTTGAGAGTAGAGCTCCAGTTGGTACAACAAGTTAACCTAGTTGTGAAGAAGGTTATGGCAAATTGATCTAGAAACTCTTGTCCTTTAATAGACGAAACAGCCGCGGGATTAATTTGTTCTACTATTCACGGTTAACTGAAGTTAATCAACTCGATCATCACGGTGACAACCAAGACTGCGTGTAACTCATTTCACAGACTCTTCTGATTGGATTTAATGGCAACACTAAGCAGATTACGAGAGAACCTTAATCAAAGCTACCAATGCTATTCAAATAAAAAGTTGCTGGTTATATAACCAACATTTTTGATGACCTAAGAAATTACTCGTAACCAGGCGGGGTAATTGAATGGTTTCGACAACAGAAGCAAACGTTGCCTCTTCTTCAAGCAAGCCACTGTGTTTCTTGGCTTAGCTGATCTCCACAACCAGCGGTAAGTGTCGTTGGCGGTGTTTGCCAAGACTCCGCCCCGGAAAAGATGTGTGGCAAGATCGGCTCTTGATCTGGCTCTTGTAAGGCTATTCTCAAGAACATCGCACTCCGAAAAGGCCGACAACCTGCAACTAACTGTGAATGAGCATCTTCTTTCGAGACAGCTATGGAAGAAGCACACAAAGCGCACGAAATGAGTTCCGCACAGATTGCCCAACCCACCAAAGCCGATGAGCCAGGTTCCCCACGAACTGATGGCCGAGGAACCGAATCATATGCTGGACACCCACAGTTGAACCCCTACTCGTGCCTATCGTGTCGAAAGAAGAAGAAGAAATGCGACAGAGTGTACCCTTGTGTTAATTGCCGCAAAGCTGGTGCTGATTGCTTGTTTGTGCCGAGACGGCCTTCAACTCGGCCAAAGACCACTCAAGGTATGCTTGAGAGGCTCCAACATCTCGAGGGAGTAATCGGCCACTTGAGAGACAGTTACGGTCAAGGGACAACACAGAAATCTACCAAGACTGCAGAAGTTCGCGCGAATGCAAGTATAGAAGGGAGTGAGACTACACCCCGATCTGATTCTACCGACAGCAGAAGAACACAACCCGATGCAGTTGCCGAACTAGGAACGGAGCTTGGCAGGTTGGCGGTCGGAGATGGACAAAGTAGATATATCAACAGTAGTTTCTGGGCAAGCTTAGACGAAGAGGTATGTAATTTGTTGCGATTACTTTCGTTGAACGCTTCACCTAATACCTTTCACCAGGTAGAAGATCTCAAGAGTTTGTTGATGGAGTTACCGGATGATGCAAAGGCATGGAGCACACCTAATTCTCTGGAAATTGGAGCTGTCAATCAAAGTTTTATATTTGGGGCCGGTACTCAGCATCAGTCTCTGTCTGTCTTCCATCCGCCAGCGCAACAGGCACTTCTGTGTTGGCGTCTATTCAAGGAAAATTGCGACCGCCTTATCAAAGTTTTGCACATCCCTACGACCGAACCGATAATTCTTCAATCTATCAGGCAACCAACCTGCATACCCAAAGGGCTTGAGGCACTCTTATTTTCCATTTATTTCTCTGTTGTAGAGAGCCTTTCGGAAGATGAATGCTGTGAATTGTTCGGCAGTCACAAGGGCGACCTCATCGACACATATAAATTTGCGACTGAACAAGCACTGGCGCGAGCCAAATTCCTTGAAACCGACGAATTAATAGTTCTACAGGCTTTTGTCATTTTTCTGATGAGTCTACGCAATCATTGTAGCATTAGACTTATGTGGAGCCTCACTGCTCTGGTAGTTCGTCTTGCTCAGAATGCGGGCATTCATCGCGATGGCACTCACTTCAATCTGTCCCCATTTACGGTTGAAATGAGACGGAGATTATGGTGGAGTATATGTGTTCTCGACTCTCGTGCCTGTGAAGACTCTGGCCATGACGCGACGCTTCCACATGGTGGTGCTGATACTTATATACCGCTCAATATCAACGATTCAGATCTAACTGCGCAGATGAAGGACGCTCCTCAGCCTAGGATTGGTCTCACAGAAATGAGTTTTAGTATAGTTCGTTTTGAAGCAACAGCTTTGTTTCGACGACTCCAGTACGCTTCAACCAGTTCCGTGGCGAAAGGGGATAAAGACCAAGATCTTGCGGAAAAGATGAAACAAGTTTCTGAAAGCCAAAAGCGACTTCAAGAGCTTTATCTAAAATACTGCGACTTATCAGAGCCCTTCTCGTGGTATATCTATACCATCGCGCAAGTTGTTTTCACGAAGATGCGACTGGTTGCACACCATCCATATCTACGTCGCTCCGGTTATGCGGAGCTGCCTCAAGAGACACAGGACCGACTATTCACTTCTTCTATCACAATTCTTGAATACTGGTTAGCCTTGAATACAGAAAAGAAGACCCGGAAATGGAGGTGGCTATGCGAGACGTATATTCAGTGGTACGCACTTACGTTTTTACTCTCGGCGTTGTGTGTTCGCTCAGAGAGTGAAGAAGTAGAGAGGGCCTGGAATGCAGTTGACGCTACTCTCCGTCTCGGGCTCAAGCTCTCGAGCACATCTTATAAGAGAGCAGGTTCGAATCCAAAAGGACTGTCAGAGATTGATGAAACCTCTTGCGATGCGTATAAGCCCTTGCGCAGGCTGATAGAGAAAGCCCGCGCTGCCAGGTCCCGGACATCTCTGCCGAAAGACAATGTCGCCCAGGTTCCGCAAGTAGGAATAACAGACCTGACAACACAAGATGGACTAGGAACATCAATTGGAGGAATTGAGGGTGAAGTATTACTTGCTGGGAATTTCATAGACGCCACACCTCTGGATGGCATATGTACATCGGGGTTTTCAGCGCTGCAAGAATTGCCGGGAGTATATCATCAATGGATATACGACCTCGAATTTCCCGACCAAGGCCATGATGTAGCCCCAGGGGGCATGAATTGGGATATCTCTCTAGGGACGGATGAGCCTAAGCCAATATTTTGGAAGTAATGCTATTCGGGCCATTACCCAACAATTTTCTTCCGCCAACTACTTGCACAGGCTGGTAGATTGCGCCAATACATAAACATACTCCGCAGTATTATCATAAAATATACGCAGTAGCAAGCATAGTTGAGAAAATAGATGAGAAAAGGACGAGTATTTGAAAATACAACTTGATGTGGCGGTAGGATCAATATGTTAACAAAAATTCGGCGGCAATATAAGCAACGAAGTGTGAGCCCTAGCTATTTTCATACAACATAGGTAATAGGTTGAAGTTTAAGGATCATTTACGCTCTCTAAACCTGGTACCATATACTAACTATTCATATGACGCGGTTAAAGAACCTTTGACTATTAGTAGCCTATTTAAGAACAGTTGCTGCACATGTTGCACGCGCTCATCCTTTGGAGGATCGCAAGCAGCGGTCACACTATGATGGCTTTCATGCTACTGGACATAAAAGAGACGTCATGCATTAATGAAGAATTTCATCAGCTGAGCAATTGGCTAATCAATTCAGAGCCCATCTGGTCATGGGACCTTGCCTTTATGTATGGGGTATATCATGCCGAGGTGGGGAAGCATCTTGGCTTGCAGATCAAGTCAAATTCTTGGCACCAGGAAAACGATCTTCCCATCGCTTTGGGGGGGGAATTACTACTGAGGTATCTAATTCGCGCGGTTGTTTCGCTGAACCCCGCAAAATAGCCAGCAGTCTCCAAACAGTACCTCTTCACTTCATGCGCATACCCATATGTGGCCACATCTTTTGGAATCATGGAATAGCTACTGGGCATGTAGTACAATGTTAGGTGAGTAGTTACTGCCTCGCAGCCAGACTATTCCTATTGCTCGCATCTAATTGAGGACTGCCTCCCAGTAGTTTAATTATCTAGCACCAAGCGTCGCTGATTTGAAGCCAGCTATATGAAAGCTCAATCATTTCATACCATCAACCAAAAGCAAAAGTGTCGTCAACTCTGAAGTGCTCTCGCAGATCACGGGTAGCCTGTGTTCATTAACCGGAATTATCACGGACTCACATCTGCTGACAGGAACTCTACCCAGCGTTGCATACCGAGGCCAATATTGCTACATATTCTGGACATAGTGGTGTCAAGCTGGTCACATTGCGATAACATCCTGGAGTACAGGATACCATGCGCACAGAAAAAAGTAGGTATATCGGGTAATTCGGAAAGAAATACCATATTTGGTGCACTCAAAAAGGTCTCCGCTACGCAAGGGTTTAATTTATAGGATTATTCGCCAAAGAGAGAGACAAATCACTGTGAGTTCAAATACGAAAAAAAGAAGAGAAAAAAAAAAGAAAAGAAAAACAGCACTGAAATGAAACACGGAACACGTGGTTGTCGCAAACTAATGCCAGGATGTAGCCCTGCATATTTTGACGGAATACAAGAGAAAGATCAATCACCTTGTGGACATAAATACACCACAAAGTCGCTCTCATCTCGCGTCTGGGAGCGGCTATCCTCATTATTTTTATTCCATCAATTGCTTGATGAAAGCCAATTATTAAGATGGCAACTGAACAACTGTACGGACTGTCATACTTCTCTGACTTTGGCTTCACAATGATTTTTATATTAATCTTTGCTTTTTTCCCTCACATTAGTAATTCTGTTCCTATGCGTCTCCAGAGTGACCGACGAGCAGATTGCCCACAGCTTGGAGCCACAACCTACGATATCGTTATATATGGATCTACTCCAGCAGCAATCACTGCAGCTATTCAGACGACACGTATGAACAAGACTGTTGCGATTGTTAGTCCATCGAGCCATATTGGTGGTATGACTACATCAGGCCTTGGTTGGACGGACTCCAAAAATGGAAATGCCATCGGAGGGATTGCTAGAGGGTTCTACAATCGGGTATATAACTACTACAAATCGGACTCAGCGTGGACGAGAGAGACAAGAACGCAGTATATCAACAAACAAATAGCTGCCCAGCCAGGACCAGCAATAGACGAAACCAACCAAGTTCAATGGACTTTCGAGCCACACGTTGCTGAATCCATATTCGAAGACTGGATGAAGGAGTTGAAAATTCCCATTTTCCGCAACGAGACTCTTCCCATGTCGACTGACAGTGTAACAATAAAAGAAAATAGAATCACCTCCATCAAGACAGAGTCAGGTCAAGTGTATGATGCATTAATGTTCATGGATGCCAGCTATGAAGGGGACTTTATGGCTGCGGCCCAAATTCCGTACAGAATAGGGCGTGAAGCTCAATCAGAATTCGGTGAATCCTTGGCCGGAATACAGATTGCAGCGGATGAAGGCTACCTCGGAATGTCTCCATACCTTACAGCTGGAGATCCTAACAGCGGCCTTATCGAAGGAATCGACCACATTGTCACAGCTGATGACGCGAAGAAGTTGAATGGCACAGCTGATAATTATCGGCTTCAGGCATTCAACTATCGACTTAGCCTCACGCAAACAACAGACAACCAAATCCCATTTACGAAGCCGGAAGATTACGATGAAGCCTCTTATGAAATTCTACTTCGCTATATTGAAGCTGGCTACCATGACCTATTTTTCACAAAACAACTTATGCCCAACTTGAAAACAGACACAAACTCGAATGGCGGAGTGAGCACTGATTTTCTCGGTGGAAACTTCGACAATGTTAAGAAAACAAATTACATCGAGGAGAGCTATGAACAGCGCGCAGCGATTGCCAACACTTATAAGACATACACGCAAGGCTTCTTCTGGACACTTGCCAATCATCCACGGGTACCTCAGAGATTTAGAGACTCTGCAAGCACTTGGGGATACGCCAAAGACGAATGGACAACCAACGGAAATTGGCCTTATGAAATCTACATTCGAGAAGCTAGACGCATGCAGGGGAATTTTACTATGACACAAGGCGACGTACAGACTCCCCAAACGTTTCCTCAAGACAGCGTTATTGGCCTTGGATCCTACACTCTTGATGTGCACGAAGCAGAGAGAGTAGTCATTGATTCGGGTATTCACAATGAGGGGTTGATCCACGTCCCAGTCGCACAGCCTTTTCCTATCCCGCTAGGCAGTATCATTCCCCAGTCTTCCGACATTGTCAACTTTTTGAATCCAGTCACGATGAGCAGCACGCATGTAGCCTTTGCAGCTATTCGGATGGAGCCGACTTATATGATAATGGGACAGAGCGCAGCGACCGCTGCTGTGCTGGCAATTGAGCAATGCGCTAATATTCAAGATGTAGACAGGGGCCAGTTAAGCGACAGGTTGGTGGAGGACAAGCAAGTATTGTCTCTATAGGCGTGTAGCGTTTATTTCTATTCACATATCAGGAGAGAGTATTAAATCTGCAATCCCACAGTCACCTGCTGAAAGACGACAGTGCTTCCATCAAGACTATTGACCATGGCTTAGAGAATGTAGCGTTGTTCCAAATATATATATTTCCGAATTTACAGAAGCCAGATGGGTAACTCTACTGTCGTAATGGCATGCGAGATGCCATCGTTCCCCCCTCTTCCTGCTTAGGGGTACGGCACGCACACTGTTTTGTATCTAGCTAAATCACACTGTGCGTACACGCACACCATTTGGTGTTGTTGGTTGGTACTGTTGGGTAATGTCGTTGGTTGCAAATGACATAGCAAATAACCGCCCACTCAGACTCCGACCGAAGATTCCTCAACACCTTGATATTGAGTGCGGAATGATTACGAAACGAGTGTTTAGAACAAATGATTTCTAAGCTAGTAGTATACCATGACGCTGCTGGCGAGTATCCGAAATGAATCGGATAGTTTACATAATTTGCCTCCTAATGTAACCTATAAATACCACCATTACTTCAAGGCATACCAGAAACTCTGCTCTCTATACAACTCAATCGACTCAAGAAATCTCCTAATACCAAACCTCACAATGGCAACCACACCTCTTCCTGATATTCCAGAATTCAATGTTGTATTTCCACGTTCATCGCTTGCAGAAGTGGCTTTCAAGTATTCTGAGCAGCACTGTAGTCCTTTGGTTCATAACCATGCCGTACGATCAGCATACTGGGCCCTAATCATAGCAAAGAAATTACCCCAATTTGCAAACACAGATCTTGAATTGGTAACGCTGAGCTGCATTCTTCACGATATGGGCTGGGCCTCAACCAAGGAACTCCTTTCGGCTCACAAACGCTTCGAGGTGGATGGAGCAAATATCGCACGCGATTTTATTCGCAGTAAGCTGGGAAGTTTAACCACTGCTGACGACTGGAATGAAAGACGACTGCAGCAATCATGGTATGCAATTGCGTTACACACATCCTTCAATATCGTCCCGGAGGCCGAGCCTGAGGTAGCTCTGACCAGCTTGGGCATTGGCGCGGACTTTTATGGGCCAAAGTTCTCTCCTGGTGTTTCTAAAGAGAGCTTGATCACTGTGGAAGAGTACCATGCGGTTATGAAGCTTTTCCCTCGCGCTGGCTTTGATTATAATGGCTTCAAGGGTGTTATGTGCGCTCTATGCCGTGAGAAGCCAGAGACGACGTACGACAATTTTGTAGGATTTTTTGGTCGGAAGTGGGGCATAGATGGGAACGGCAAGGGTAAAGAAGAATTTACGGCAGCCATGGATGAGGCAGCGTTCGTTACACATGCAGAGGAGATTATTGGTTATCTAGTTGAGTTGGATAAGTCGGCAAACTGAGGTACTCCAGCTGTTACATGGCGTATTTTTCGCCGTACTTTGAACTAGGATCTAACAGATCAATGTGAATATATCGTGATTTGCTAAGAAGAAGCGGTTCGTAAGCTTGGTTGTGCTGTGCCGATGTATGTGCATTGTCAATTTGAGACGCTAACAGCAATTCTGCTTCCTTTTTTTTTTTTTTTTTTTGAACAAGAAGAGAGGGCTTTAACATGTTTCCGCCCCGTATATTATTATGGCATATACACGTATGAATGATAGCATGGATGGGGTCTAAATCACAGGATTCCAATAAACCACTGGCTGTGACATTATTTTCGTGGTCATGCATCATGCATGCGTAACTCCAGGGAATCCGTTTCCCGATCTCCTTCTTCCATTGAGTATCTTACATGATTTCAATGCATTATCATACATAGAGAAAATTTCTATTGTCTTTGGTTTTTCGTCATTTGTATGTTTCGGTTAGCCACCCTTGTGCCGAATGTAGCTGCGATCATTCTATGACAAAATTGGTGGCGATTTACATGACGACAAGGTAAATGTGTGAAATGTCAAGATCAAGTTAGCGGGAGAACAAGTTTGGTAGGTATCTAAATGAGTCCCGGAGAGTAGCCAGCGGGGTAATTAGTTGTGCTACGCCACTGCTGGAAGCATCAATCTTCATGTTCTCTGGTTATCAATGAGAGATGCGATCTCCTTGGAATAAGAGAGTACTGACTGGGATTTTCTAATTCACAGAATTCCGCCCGTTCTTAGAAACTTAGGGTGTTGGTCATATCTCCCTTATCTGTAAAATGAATAAAACGAATAAAATGATAGTTGGTACATCTGGATGATATTAGTGCAAGCAACTACACTATTGATGGTTTCACAAATCTCACCGGTATCACCACTCGTTCCTTGCCCCCTGGTCAAGTTGCCCTGTCTATCCCTACGACTACATTCCCGCCGACTACGAATGACGTTATTGGGGAATTGCGAATCATTTTCCCGCTTACTGTCCCTCTTCCTAAACACAGAAGGTCAATTGTCCAACTATTAAAGAACAAGAATCGCCATGCAGCAATTTCAACCTCAATTTCAACTTCAATTTCACTTCACTGTGCTCTTAATATTCACCGCATATACTATTAAAGTTGCATTATTTAAATCTCGAAATCACCATGGCCATCCGATCATTGATCATTTCATCGCTCGCCACATGCATCTTGGCTACTGGCAAGCCATCCTCAGTTAATACCACAGCAGGTCCTGTCTTGATAGGCATTCCAGGCTTTGGGCAAAATCTAAGCACCGAGTTTCATTATTCGCAAGCAGTTCGCATTGGGAACTATGTAAAAGTCTCAGGACAAGGAGGCTGGGACCCTCAAACCGGGGAGCTGGTCGCGGACATCGCAACTCAAGTCAACAATGCTTTTGATGGCTTAGCTTTGGCACTTAAGGCCGCTGGTTCGAACAATGGGCTTGGAGACTTGATTTCGATTAACAGCTATCATGTGGGAGATCTTGCTGCTGGGCTTGGAAGTGTCACAGCTGTCATGCAAAAGAGAATACCCAAGATCTTTCCTACATGGACAGCAGTAGGAGTTACAGGACTGGCATTTGCAGAGCAGTTGGTTGAGATTCAGGCTGAAGCCTGGATCAAATGACGGACCATCTCTTCTGGGATTTGGCATGATTCAGCAATGTGCTTGGATAAATTGATGAGTCAGTAGCTTAGCAAGCTAAACATCAATGTTATTATTTGCTCTCTCTTCCCATAAACATAATCTCAAATGAATTACTTGAATTTAGCTTCTGCCAAACAACGTCCATCGGTAAGAATAAGACAAAGACGTCCCTGTACTCAATCACGATGATCTAAAAATGAACACCATTCTCAAAAGAAAATAGAATATCTATTTCTCATATGAGTCACGCATGGTTTCTTTTATTTCCCAAGAAGCATATTATATGCGTAGTGAAGTGGTATCATTTCCGGGCCGACAACATTCAAGAACTAAGCTGACACCCGCCTCTGCAATGCAATCTTTAAACATTGAAGTTGCATTTCTCAGCTATATTTCCCATGCCTCATGTTTCGTTTCCTTTCTCAATTGCCCGGATTTTTTTTTTTTAAAAAAAAAAATTGCAATGTTCTATTTAAGTGACAACATTGGTTGATGAAATGCAAAGCTAAGATTATTTCAAGGAATTGAAGTTTGTGAGCAAGTGACAGCACAGGGAAATCATCATCACAAAGTCAATCTACGTAATCATCACACTAAGTTATAACTTTTGTGGTGACTATTGAATAATCCATCCAAAATATCTTTCTACACGATACTTTGCTTTCGTCTATATGTGGTCAGTCAGCAAATTTATCACTACTCCTTACCTGCTCAATCAAATTCAGTGTTATTGAAGAAAATATATTTAAGTATCCATACCGATATTGAGTCAAAGACCTCTTAACACCTGTTGCACCATGCGTTTCGTATCTCGCATTAATATCCCCAATCCTGCTGACTCTTCTTGTCTACTGCCCCGAAGTGGACAGCTAGGCTCACCCTTGCGGCATGCATGAATAGGCGTACCATGGCGTAAAAGCCACATGGGAAAAAATAAGCTACGTTTGGTAGATGATGAAAGCTGTGAACACTTAACTTTGAAATAGGATGTTACACCTCATTCATCGATAAATTGAGTCGTTAGTTGCATAGCTCTTTTCGTTCCAATTGACCTAGTCCATACAATGTTGCCCTCTACCTTGACCAAAACTTGAAGGCAAATTGCGGAGATCGCTGCCTTTTCCCGTTCTAAAGAATGCCGGATTCCGAATAGATCGTTTTATGTGTGTGGACCTCCCTGCGCTGGAATACTAATCACCCACGACGCAGTACTCCGCAAGCCTACAAATGCAATCAATAGTCGAGTTACCGATACGAAGTCTTACGTGATATTAGGCTCCTTTCCCGGCTATTTCAGTCCCATGCGATGGATAGCTATAACCACATACTACTATCTGTTCAATATTCGCTCGAGCAGTATCTTTTGGCTTTGTTTCAGTCGATTCTTACAGCAGATATGCCGCTTTGCGCAAGATGCAACGATTTCTTTCGTGCTCAAGTCTTCGATTTTGGCATAGCTGATGTGACTGATGAATATCCTCATCATTTTTCTCTATCAGAGTTTCTCAAATCGGTAGATCAAAAGTGCTTCATTTGTTGGCGAGCCTTTCGCAATTCTTTCCTGAGGCATGCACAAGCGAGAGGATACCTAGAGAAGATAGCGCGTGCCACCTCGGATCCAAAGAGGGTCGTTGAGAGAGCGTCGCTCTCTCCAGATCGTCGATGTGTAACCAATGTCTGGGCTGGTCGTCGCCGCATGTGGCCCATGTTCAATAAAGAGTATTTTCACGCTCTGAAAATCTCACATGAAGATTTACCTGAGCTGTTACCAGACATCGAAGCTGTGGAGAAACTTGTGCAACCCAAGGGCCGTGATGACAACGGTCGTGCTGGGGGCTCCATAATTGCTCTTTTACGCGAACAAGCAGGTATTCTACCCAGATGCGTATGTGATGAAGTTTTCCTGACAACTCGAAATTTGATTCAATTTAGACATCAATGTGTCGTCAACTTCTACGGCATCGGACGAGACGTATGCCAACATCAGCGACTGGATCCGTCGATGTGAGCAAGATCATACACAATGTACCCGTTTCAGAAGCAAAGATTCTTGGTATCCGACTAGACTCCTGGATGTTGGCTCCAAGGGCAGCTCCTCAATCGTACTTGTCCGCAGCGCTCAAGCCATACACAAAAAAGAGAAATACATGACATTAAGCCATCGATGGGGAGACTCCAACATCCCGACACTCACTACCAACACCATCATCCCCTGGGCACAAGAGCTCTCTATCAAAATATTACCAAAAACATTCCAGGATTTCATCATACTAGCTCAGCGCCTCCAAGTTCGCTACGTTTGGATAGATTCACTCTGTATCATTCAGCAGGGCGATGACGGAAACGACTGGCGAATTGAGGCACTTACTATGGACCAGGTTTATATGAACTCGTATTGCAATGTCTCTGCTGATTGGGGTTCTCCTAAACGCGGCTTATACTTTCAGAGAGACCTTCGGATGATTGATAAGCCAAATATTGACTGGCGAGTCAAAAGGCAGCGAAATCCGGATGTCGTCGCTGTAGAGAAGTGTGTAATGGTGGAGAACGAATTTTGGGAAGATCAGATCTCTAGATCTCCCCTGAGCATTAGAGGTTGGGTAGTGCAAGAGCGTTGGTTATGCCCAAGAAATCTCCGCTTCGGCCCGCGCGAAGTTTTTTTCGAGTGTGGTCAGACCACATTATCCGAGAGATTCCCAAAGGCTTTTCCGAAACCTCTTCTAGAAGGAGATGTCATTCTCAAATCCTCTTTTAGCAATCTTCAGATGCTACAGAGCCCACAAGCTGCACTCCTTCCAGCCACTCCGGGGACTGAACTTTACACCGCTTGGGGCCATGTCTTGTCCAAATACTCCAGATGTTATCTGACTTATGCAAGCGATCGAATTGTTGCTTTCTCTGGAATCGCAAAGTTCTTTCGGTTATTGGTAGACGACAACTATGTCGCTGGGCTGTGGCTCCGGAATTTGGCCTCTGATATGATGTGGTATCGAAATCGGCTTCTCACAACAGCTATTATTGAAGATACTAAAGACGAACTTTGTTTATTCAAAAATGACAAAGCAGATACCTACCGTGCGCCCAGTTTTTCGTGGGCATCAACGTCAGTGCCAATTGAGCCAAATCACATGAACGATAATGTGGGTTTCATAATCAGTGCGAGGTGTATTAAGTTTCGCGACGCCTTTAATACATCAATTGAAGAGTGGGCAGGCGATATATTTGGTCCTTTATTGGGTCCGATGATTGAGATATTAGTTGTCGGAACACTCAAAAAAATGCAGCTGCGGCCGTATTTTGACGGCGAAGTGACGGATCTCTATGTCATCCCAGACAGCCCTGGTGACAATTCCAAGAAAGTTAAAGATTGGTCTGAGGCTATCTCGAAAGATGCTACGGAGGCTACTCTCGACTTTCAGGTTAAGAACGACGATATAGCCGCATGGGCCGCTAAGGATAACTTGTACTATATCCCTTGGCAGGATTGCTGGGACTCTCACCTGCCGTCGAATTCTAAACGAGATGACGACTCTCTAACATGTTTGCTTGTCGAGCTCGCGGATCTCAGTATGAATCGTTTTCGGCGAATTGGCAGGATGTATATACACTCCAAGTCTCAGAGAAAGCTATATATCGCGAAGCAAGGTAATGAACCAACTTTGCCTTGCGAGCATTATGATCCGATTACTAGGAGACATACTATGTATATTATATAAAGCTATCTACCTCATTAAAAACTCTTAGGTTACAAGAATATACACAAACAACAGTCATTTAGTAAACTAGACTTATTTTTGCTGCCTTAGAACTGTTTAGACTCCTTGCTCCAACAATTGTTGGTCAGTCATTCTTGGAGCAGGCCAAATACGACAGCAGCGCGGAACTCGTAGACAGATATAGGTTTTATACGTTAAGTGTGTAAAAAGTTTTCCCTTATTCGTACATGTCCTGTTTCTAGCAGTAGGGAGAACGGCAGTCATCCGGTGTGACTCATTCATAGCGATCCCCAATTGGTTCCTCTTTAAGCCTATGTTAAGACTCGATAAGCCCTAGCAAAGAGGCTGGCCAGTTGGCCTGTAAAAAACGCGCGTACTAACAAACATAGTAGCTGTTTATAGTGAGGAGATATTTTACTGGGCAGAGTTGCCAAGTGATTCCTAGTGTTGGGTGATCCAAGTAATCCAAATCTTTTTAGTTAGTTGGTCCGTACCTGTTGTATTAGCCATAGATTATAGGGTTGTAATAGTCAGGCCACTAGGCAAAAGATATTGAAGGCTATGAATCGCAGTACTAGCAATCAATCTGATGGAACTGACTATCGAAAGGTTCAATCTCGCTGGAGCATAACAATCTATTGCTTATCGCAATATATAGTTTAGCATAATAATAAAGGTAGCTCAAATTGTCTGGATCTTTCAACACTGGGCTTCAGATCCTAACTGCACTCTCGCCCCTTGCCCAACCCTTTGCTAAAAGAACCTCTAGGCAGGCAATAGCTCCGAAATATCTCTATCTAGATAATTAGAGGCATAGAGTACCACAGCTACCGACGAGCCTACAAGGCACATTGATCATCCTCAGTTCCATTCATAGAGATACAACCCGCAATACAGAAAGAGTTTCCTGCAAGAGTACCATTGACGTCCTCGCAACGATAGAGGACCTGAAGCAGCTGGATAGGAGACAACGGAGGAATAATTGTAGTTTTATTCACTGCGTCGGTTAATTCGGTGTTGTTATACACTTTGATAAAGACATTAGTAACTTCAGGTAGATAGCTAAGAGCTAGTATATAAATACCATTATCAGTAACTAATGCATAGCCACACTTGTACTCCTGATAAATACAAGGAGTTGTGTAACCCTGCGTTGTAGGCGAGAATGCAAGCAATGCTGCGAGACTGACAAGAATATGTTGAAATGTCATTTTCGATGTTGAGGGACGAAAAAAAATAAGACTTAGTGATATCTTGATAATTGAATAGCTAGGTACTGCGACTACTTGCTTGTGCATTATATTCCTCCAGCTTGGGGCATAAGCATATCTTATATACTTATTACTGGAATGAATATAGGGTGATTTTGAATCTATACTCGGATAGAAAAGGGGACTGTAGCCCTTGTAGCTAGCTAGATCATACGATTATTGCTTGTGATTATGTTAGCGCTGGTCTAGAACTAAAGATGGACATATTCAACTGCTATTTCTAGGCATAATTGGCCAATGCATAAGCCTTTACATTCCTTTTAATACAGCTATAAAGTGAAACTTAAGAATGAGTGGATATAAAACTGTAAGGCAATTGTCTTCCTACACAGGATTTATACTGCCTGAATAGGCCACATACCCCGAAGCTTGCATACTTATCTTATGTTCCTGCTCATCTCTAGGCAGTTTTGTCTTAAATCTTTAGGCTTATAAGCTCATGTGCATTCCTCTTACTTTCCGTTATAGCGTAGCGCTAACAGGACAAAGGATTAGGCCAATAACCGCAATTCTAGCAATTCTTGTAACGGAACTAGCTGCTTATAAGGGAACCACCTGTTATGGCCGACAGATCGTAACAATTCCAGACCTTAAACTATGGCTCAGTGTTACGACCTGACCCAGTGGAGATGCTTTCTCCAGGAAATATACGGTTAAGACTATGTAGTACCAAGGAAAGCTGAGCTTCTGCCGTCTTACGCCGGTATGTACCACAAGGGTCGTGAGAATAGCTTTATTCTCACGAATGCAAAGATACAAGTCCAAGTAAGAATAAAAGAATAAAAGAACGACTAGATATATATGTTTATTATTACACTCCTTTAGATAGTTTGATATAGCCAGTCGGTACTAAAGTATTAATACTAAATATAGGTTACACCTTCTATTTTACTCTTACGCCGCACTTGTGACTATAACCGCTTAAAAGCTATTCCCTGTCCTCTCCGCTAACATAAACCTATTAACATAGGCTTATTACCTTGAAAACTTTACCCTATACCAATTATTAGGGTTCAGGAGTTTACAATTAGCTATTTGTCTCTATCCAGCAAGTAACTATATAGAGTAATTGGACATTTCCTATATCTTAGTATTATAAGGCTGTATCCCAGGATTATAAGACTAGCTGCTTTACTCCTACTCTATATTAATTTAATAAATTCTATCGTAGCTATCGTAGCCGTTGTTGTTATGGATATTGTTATAAACCAACATCTTATGGTCGTAGTAATAAGCCTACAGGACTGCGGTCACCTGGCCCCCCCAGGAACTCAATCTCACCAAACCCTTGCTTCACAGATTCCTAGCAGAAATGCTAAGATATGGAGATTTCTAGAGCTACTACGACAGATTAGGCCACGGGCGCAACGCACCTACAGATACAGAAAGCCACGGGAGCTAGGACACTTTTTAGAGTGCGGGATGACCCGAGTCTTTCTCCCGCACATTCCTAACACTGAAACAGAAAATTCATACCTCCCGGACCCCACGGGGTAGAAAGAATTCCAGGAGTTTGTAGATAGACCCATGCAGACCACCATTAACTAACATGGGTTGAAATCCCCCTTGCCTTTATACATATGGCACGTAATAAACGGAGGGCTTATCCCCGGCTTCTACCGTCCGATTGCCCATATAGAGCTTTATGTATCAGGATACTCAGTAAGCAAACAAACCAGTAAGCCTACTGTGTAGCGATCTACGGATTAACTATAGGCCAACAAGCCAGGAATGCCTCATATATAGATATACTCCACTTCGTAACACTTATTAGATAGTCTAGAATAGCCAGCCGTTAATAATATAGCTTTATTGTGGAAACTTACCATAACATCAATTACAGGATTAAGCCTTACAGTTCTGGTTGGCGATAAGATTGCTTGATTATATCCTGCCCTCCCGCCGAGGAGGTGCGGAATAGCGAGGTTAATAGACTGCAACGCCTGAATCACAATACCCTATGGCTCATACATATAAATTACGTGCACACGTCAAATAATACTTTAATTATATTATGAAGAATTGTTCAACTCAATTCACACTTTTACTTTGTTTTTATTGGGTCTTCATTCCTATGAATCTGACTCCTGATAACAGAAGCGGAATGTCTGGCCACTCTCAGACCAATATGTACTCAGTAAGCAGAGAAAGGAATGTGTAGCATACCATAAACTTAATTCTTATAAATATCTTCAAGGTTCTTGGTTTGTTAAATACAGCTATCATGGCAATTATTTTATTCCGCAAAATTTTTACATCGGTCTTGTCTCCTGGTTCTTCTTCTCCCCAGCCAAGGATTTATTTGAGTCCCTAATGATGTGGATCTTTGGTAAATTCTTTGCGGTCGCCCTTTTGATTTTATTAGACCTCGCCGCATGCTCCACCACGATTAGTCCTATAAATAGCCAATATGGTATACTCCTTGCATTATATCCCTATATACGGAGCACAGAGACTTCAGATTAGTAATTTTCTTACATTTGCATAGGTCAACAGGATCCCAAGGGAGTCATAAGAGCTTGTCAAATGCGACCAATAGCTCCTAAAGGAGCCGCAGGCACAACACGCCCTTCAAGTCCGCATGGTATACCAGATCGTCAAGGTATACCAGATCGTCAAGGTATACCAGATCGTCAAGGTATACCAGGTCGTCAGGGTATACCAGGTCGTCAGGGTATACCAGGTCGTCAGGAAGTCGCAGGCACCATAGACCCTTTAAGTCCGCAGGGTCTATGGGGTCCGCAGGCTCCATGGGGTCCGCAAGGTATACCAGGTCGTCAGGGAGCCGCGGGCACAACAGACCCTTCAAGTCTGCAGGGCCCATGGGGTTCGCAAGATATACCAGATCGTCAGGAAGCCGCAGGCACAACAGGCCCTTCGGGTCCGCAAGGTATACCAGGCCCTCAGGGTATACCAGGCTCTCAAGGTATACCAGGCCCGCAGGGAATACCTGGCCCTCAGGGTATACCGGGTCCGCAGGGAATACCAGGTCCGCAAGGTATACCAGGGTCTCAAGGTATACCAGGTCCTCAAGGTATACCAGGTCCTCAGGGCCAACGAGGTCCGCAGGGTATACCAGGCCCTCAAGGTGCACCAGGTCCTCAGGGAATACCTGGCCCTCAGGGAATACCAGGTCCTCAGGGAATACCTGGCCCTCAGGGAATACCAGGTCCACAAGGTATACCAGGCCCTCAAGGTATACCAGGTGTCGATGGGGTATCAGCTGGTTATACAATCCATTATGGCTATCAAGGTTGCTATGTCGCGAATCCAGACGGGAACTTCGGATTTGAGCCTTATGTTGCTCAAAAGATCCTCACGACATCAATAGACGACTGTGCAAATTTCTGTGCCAGTCAGCCTACTGGTAGTACTCTTTACTTTTCGCTTGGCACAAAACCTAGTGGAGACTCGGTCTGCACATGCGGCAATGCACTCACATCTCGTGACTATTTGCATATAGGAGTTGTTTTTCAATGCAACTCTCCCTGCCGACTATCTGGAGCATCTCCTTATAGGTTCTACTGCGGTGGGCAATTCGGTGATGACCCACTGGTTTCTATTTTTGGGGCAATTTAATTTTTGGTTTCAGAGAGCTTAGATAATTTTTCATACATTATCGAGTTTCTCCTGTAACGTATCGATATACCATTAACGTATATAACTGGTTTCGGCGGTATGTTGGGGGGCCGGTTTTAATATCATACGCTGGGCAATATATATCAAAAAGTGTAACAGACCGGGTCCTATATGTTTAGTATAGACAACTGTTCCTAAGGGATAAACCTTTAGGCTCTAGGTTTATGTTGGCAGATTGTGACGATCTGGTCCGCCGTAGCAGCTAGATCCCTTATAAATAGCTGGTTCCGTTACAATAGTTGCTAGAACTGCGATTTTTGGCCCAATCCTTCTGCTCTGTTTGCGCTGCGGCATAACGGAACGTAACACTCACCCTTGAATCACCTAAAGCACTTGCAGCGTATCTCATAATTTCTTGCTCATCCACGATTGTTTCTTTTTTCTTCTGAAAGCAGCATGCTTGGGTGAGCGTTAGGTGAGCTTTTTCTGCAAATCTACTATATTTAACTGCCATACCAATTGCATTTATGCATTATCATATCCAGCCAGCTGGCGTGCACCAGTTGACCGACACAACTGCGGTACGAGACTTACCGTTTATTATGGCGATAATTGGAGCTTTCTTTGCTTTTCTCACGCTATACATCCCGTTTTTCATCTAGAGATTTTATATCAGCAGCTTAACGGGTCTGGGCCAGAAATCGGGCCATACATAGTGACAATGCTGCTTAATATTGGCAGTATACTCGGCCATGGATCCGGCTTTATGTTATTTGGTTGGTTTGGTTTGCGTAACTTAGCGGCCGTTATAGCTTTCGCCCTACTATACAGACTGCTCTCTGGCGTGGCGCTCTTGTCAGCTTGCTGCCTAGCTGCATAATAACGCCATCTTTTGACATGAAGTATATCGATGCCAAAATGGGGATATCTTTTTCGTTTGCTGGGATTTCTATCCTTATTGGAGCACCAATTGCCGGCGCGATTCTGGGGAATGGTATGCACTCCAGATGGATGGGGCTTGTCGGGTTTTCAACAACGGGATTAATGATTGGGTCTTTTTTTGGGGGGCATCTAGAATACTCTTTTGGAGAAAAAAATGGTGTCTTAAAGGCTTAATCGATGTAAAGGGTCTATGCAGCTTCATCCAGCGTCATACCCGGTTATGCTAATAAGTTCAATCCATTGTTTCTCTTCAACTTTCTACATCACAACTTACTACCCTGTATCAAATATGAACCATGCATTTACTCTTGGAGAACTGATGTTTAACGGAAACTAAGACATAGCCTTCAGAATGGATTGCTACCTTGACACGTATCTTGACCTGGCTATACCATTGCTCGAAGCAACCTTATCCCAATACCAGTCCCTGTTTCAGATAACTGCTGAATCACCGGCCGTACATCCCAGTTGAACTTCTTAAAAGGCACTTAATGCAAGGACGATCGATTATATTGGAGGTGTCTTGACTACTGTTGAAGTCATCAATGACTGTACTCATCGGATTATATAAATAACATAGTAGCAAAAGCATTAAATATCGGCTGCAAGGGTCGGCTACAAAATTCGGCTCTAAATAAACCGGCTACAGAGGTCGGCTCCAAATTTCGGCTGTAGAAATCGGTTGTAGGTCGGCTGTAAACATGCCATTACAAACCATCACATTAAATGTGGCTACACTGTACAAGATTTGTCAACCAACGTTACGGTTTAGCACGGCCTATATAAATGGCAAGGTACTGCTCTAAGCGGACTAAATGAACTCAGAGTTCCATTAATTAGAAATCGCAACCTTTATTTCGCTTTGCGTCACAACCATCAAAATCATCGCCGACATGTCGCATCTGAAGTATTACTCCTACGAGGGCGTTGGTGTTAGAAATAGGGACATATTTTCATACAGCCAAGCAGTGCGAGTGGGAGACCGGATTGAATGCTCCGGCCAAGGTAAGCGGCCTAAGTCTAAGAAGCCGGACACGACTCAGACATGTATTCAGTTCTGATATATTCTTAGGTGGCTGGGATCCTAAAACTGGTGAATATAAAAAAGAGATCAACGAGCAAATTGATCTCGCTTTTGCCAATGTCGAGCGGGCGTTAAAGGATGCCGGTGGTAAGGGCTGGTCGCAAGTTTTTCGCATTAACTCTTATCATGTCCCGATGAACAATGAAGCATTGGAGGCCATGGTGAGGAATTTCCGGCATTATATGCCTGGGCATCAGCCAGTTTGGACTGCTGTAGGAGTGACGCGTTTGGCTGAGGATGATATGCGTGTGGAAATTGAGGTGGTTGCGCACGACCCAGAAGGGGCACAGAGGGCCTCAAAACTATGACGGATTGTCCCTTAAGCATTTGTTCTGGAATTAGTAAATGAATAAAGGAAAAAAAAGATTTTGCCATGTTAGAGTCTTCGTTGAATAAATCCTGGTTTGAGTGATAGTAACACCAATCTGTAGCCTGCTTGCAATTGAGAGATGTAAGTAGAGATTCTACTCCCCATATCCTGGAGGATCAATACATTCTATAATTCCCTTTGTCATTTAGCGTTGTAGTGGCAAGTGGGAGTAGGTCTCATGCCAAATTTAAAGCTCGGGTAAGCGAAAGAAGAAGATCAAGGTAGAGTATCACTCTTTCTATCACTCTCCATCAGAAATCCTTATGCTTCTAAGTCTCTGAGAGCATAATTTAATACACTGCTGCATTTTGAGAAAAGTGGCATTGCATTTCTTGGAGGAAAAGTAATATGCCAAGGGAATGATCGCATTGCCCAAAACTAAATGATCCTAATTAAATCACAAGGCTAAGTTTTCCCGTGTGTATATCATAGATATACCCAGTAGTTCGATCGGCAAGCTCTTTTCGAACAAGTGGTGAGCTTTTCACAAACTCGATGTCATCTCGAACACTCTGTTCAAGGCTAAATATTATAGGATCAGTTAGTTGATAACCTTAGATCTCAATAGCGATTTATCTCACTCTTCAAATCCAGGGAGCCGAATACTTGGGTGCCCGGGTGCCCGCTCTTCTAAGGCCCGATAAATCTCGTCGTTTTTGAATATTCCGGCTGAGCAGTCTTCAAGGAGATATTAGCCATTTACAATATAATGAAGATGTAGATATCACATTACTTGTATGATGGATAATCATTATGTCTTCAAAATGAAGAAAATGGTCAAGAAACAGCATATTTTCAAATTGGTGTGCTATACGGCCTGCAACACCAGTAGCTACAACCGCATCTAAAAGCAAATTAGCCTTTGACTACTCTTGATTAAAGCATTGAAACACCAGTACCCCATTGCTTCAAGCCAAGAAGATCTGAAGCAATTATTCGAGGATCGTCGCAGCTGACTATTGGGAGGAATATTAGAACTCCTATTTGGGAAGAAGAAATAAACCTAGAAGAAATAAATTCGCACCAATGAATATTTTTGGCATCGGTAGCTGCTTTTCCAATGGCAAGTTGCTCATTTCATTGAACGTCAGTATCGGTTTAAAGGTTTGAGCTCTCTGGCTGCGGGCTGGGTTAGCATGCTTTGTCTACAACGCCTACTTAGAACGTACGCATTGCGCTCAAGAAGCTCTTGCAAGGTCGGTCGTTTGTACGTGGTGGCTTGGCTAAGCTTTCTGTTAAATTTTGTGTTTTGTGTGTCATCACGGGCTCACTCACTCATTGAGCTTGAAAAGTTTAGAATTTTGTCCATCATCCATTTTGCGGTGAATTGGTAAAATAGAGATAGAAGGAAATCCAGTTGGTGAGAGAGAAGTCATCAAAAGTCAAAGGTAGCACGATTCTCAAACTCCGTAGACGTTACATATTCATTAATTGTAGTGAGAAGTAAGAAAAAATTACCAAACGCGACAGGCAGACTTTGAACACGTATTGCTATTCCGAATATTAGTATACAAGTGGGATAACCGATTCCGCTTTCTAGCTTTACTAGATTAGCAGTTAAGACAATTATATTGCTTATAAATATGATTTCAAGATTATTTAAGATAACTAGATACTTGCTATTAATATCACAAGTACTCAGCAATCACATCTCCAAGCTCTTCGTCGCTCATGAGTTTGATGCCAAGAAGCTCGTTATCTAGATGCTCCGAAAAATCCCCTCCGTAACCCTTTCCAAGCACAGAGATGTGCAAAAGAGGCATAAGTCCCCTTTTCACATCTGAGCTTGCCTTCTTGAATTCAATATGTGCTTCTGCTGAGACAACATCCGAGTCGACGTATGTCAACTTCCAATCTTTGCCGTCCATATTCTTCGCTAGATCAATGAGCTTGTTTTGTGTAACTACTGCATCATGGATGTAGACATGGCGATTCTTTGTCTCATCAAGATGATTGATCATGGACACAACAGCCTTGCTAATCGTCGCAAGAGTAGTCGTACTAAACGGAAGGTTACCATCATCATAGATAGTAGCACTATGCGTTTTGGGGTGAACTAAGAAGCCAGCTTGCAAACCCCAGTCTAGAAAAGATCCAGTGCAGATAGCGGTGTAGCTGAAGTTGGGATGCTTGGCGACCTTAGCTCTAAGATACTCAAGAGCATGCATCTTGTTTGCAAATACAGGAAGCTTCATGCACTTGTCATTGTCGGTGTCGGTACCAAACTCGGCCGGAAAGAAGCGATTCACACCAGCAGCAACAGCGGCATCAATGAGTGTGTCCTGGCTGCCAATTGGTATATCAACCGGCAATGTTGCGATAACAACATCGTGATTTTGCAGCGCAGCTTTGAGTGAAGCGACAGAGTTGTAATCAACCTCAGCCACCTCCAAATTCAGATGCTTAGGAAGCTTAAAAAACCCATTGCTTCCACTTCGACTAAGTGCGGTAACATGATGCCCGGCTTTCAACAACTCATTAATAATCGGGATACCTGCAGAGCCCGTGGCGCCCGCAACGGCAATTCTAGCAGACATAGCGCGGAAAGGTAGCAGCCGATGTAGATGTGTAAGAAGTGTGCGAGATCGAGATCTTCGCGGTTCGTACTTTTTTGTATGGAAAAAATAGACGAATAAAGAATGAAGGACGTTGAGAACTGCTCTGTCTGCGAGGATATTCTGTTTCTGTGCTCCATTATATAGTACTGACAGCTTGATTCGATGATATTCTTTATTACTAAGTAATAATGGTTTGAAGTTCTTCACAACATGTAATGTGTTGCAGCCCTATGGACACCTGGATGAGGACTTTCCTAAAATGATTAAAAGTTGACGACCTAAAAGTTTATGATTAGCTCTAAAAACACTACCCTCCTATTAGTGTCATGTAGTGTAGAGTTGGATTCCGGCTCTTCAGAACGATTCCGAAATTTACACCTTTTACCCCTAAATTTCTCCATTTTCCGGCTGCCTGGAAGAAATTACTAAGGCCGCGGAGATGTAATGTTCATCCCACCAGATGATTAGCTCCACTATATTTACGTGTATTAGCAATGGTAAGCTGCACTTATACAAAATGTATGGGAAATTGGTATATCACTGCTGTGAATAAGCAACAGATATTAAATAATTGATCAAAGCAAGGCACCGATAGGTATCCTCATCTTTTCAACACACTCTATCTTCCAACCTATTTCTTATTCGAATATATCAACCCTAAGCACATCAATATGAGCCTAGTCGAAAACAAGTCCATCGTCCGAGTTGCAGTGACCCAGCACGAGCCTGTATGGCTTGATCTTGAGAGAAATGTGAACAAAAAAAATGCTCTATTATAGAGGAAGCTTCAACAGCTGGCGCCAAACTTGTCGCTTTCCCTGAAACCTGGATACCTGGGTATCCAGCATGGTTTTGGTGGGCAGTTATTCCACCTTATACATCTTGGTTTACAGTTGCCCACTAGCTAACAGTTAGGTTAAAATAGGGACAGACCAGTCGATTTCGATCTTGGAGTTCGATATGTGCAAAACTCTTTGAAGATAGAAAGTTCAGAAATGAAACGTATATGCGATGCTGCTGCAGTGAATAAGATTAGCGTGTCGCTCGGTTTCTCCGAACGTGATGGAGACTCCGTGTATATCTCCCAAGCCTTGATCGATGAGAATGGTGAGATTAGAATGAAAAGACGCAAGATGAAACCAACACATATGGAACGCACCGTATACGGAGATGGATCTGGAGATAGCTTGGCAAGCGTCATCGAACTACCTGGTGTGGGAAGGATAGGATGTCTCTCAGGCTGGGAACACAACCAGCCTCTACTAAAGTACTTTACTTTTTCCCAGCATGAGCAGATTCACGTCGCTGGATGGCCCCCATTGGATCCATTTGTTGGAGGATCTCCTGACTTCTGGTCCATGTCGGCTGAAGGTTCGTTGACTTTTCAATTTGCCGTTTTCCCATTACTGACCATTACTTATAGGAGCGCTTAACCAATCGCAGACGTATGCGATCGAATCTCAATCGTTTGCACTACATGCAACAGCAGTGCTCAGTGAATCAGGCATTGACGTGATGAGGACCAAAAGTAGTCCAATAATGGGGCAGCCGTTGGGTGGCTGTTCTGCCATTATTGGGCCCGACGGCCGTGTTCTCCACAAAGCAAATACTCCAGAAGAGGAGCTCATCATCGCAGATTTGAATCTGACTGACTGATGCTACCAAAGCCAAGCTTTTCGCGGATGCAAGCGGCCATTGTTAGTATATTCCGTCCACAAGTTGAGAAATAACGCTAACTTCCTCCATGTAGATAGTCGGCCAGATTTGCTTTGGCTTGGCGCTGATAATACTCGAAAGTCTGTTGTTGTTAGGTTACAGGAAAGGGTGAAGGGACAAACGGAGACATCTGAATGACTCAGGTAACTGCAAAGATGCAGACCTATCTATCGAGGGTTTTCCACGCAGACATATTTTGAGGTCACTATATAGTTTACTTTTGTTTCTTTGTCAAGAAGGACATGCGTAGCTCATGTATTCTTACATCTCTTAACAATTGGATCCTGTGAAAGACATTCTAACCTAACGTTAGATTTTGTCATCTCTTGCTACCGTGTCGGAATAGTAACCCAACTTTAACGAGCTCATCGCTTGATGACACAATTCATACTTACTTTCTCTAAATACTTTACTTTCCAGACAAAACTGCTAAGGGTTAGCCAAAACCGAAGCCGGAAACTCGGTCGAGTTTGTAGGTAGTTCTATTTGTCTTGGTAAAATTGAGCACAAGCGTGAGCAAACTAGGGGAGAAAAAGTTATTATGATCGTATATGTATATTAGGTATTATTAATTAAGAGGTCTTTATCTATATATCTATATATGCTTCGTTCAATCATATGCACGTCTATACTTCTGTAGTCTTCGACTCTTTCTTTCTGTGCTCCCAGCCAGCCTTAACCAACCAAAACATGGCCATCCACGGCGTCGTCAGCAGGCCTAACACTCCACCCAATATCAGTTTAAACACTTGAGGTAACCACTTATCATGGTAGTAATAGTCGCCGCCTTCTTTCGCCCCAAAAGCTGTTAATACGCCCATGAAGATGGGCCACAGTAGGAGAAAGCTCACAACAGCAAAGCTAAAGCCTCTCAAAGCCTGCTGTATAATTTCCAGCAACGACCATGGCCGAGGCTGCCGCTCTATCTCAACCGTCGGATCTCGTGGGAGAAAGAAGAATAGTCGTAGCCAAGGGTGGGTAGGTTGCGGGATAAATCCGATGGGCTGTACCGCGCCCTGGCCAAGGTCGTAACGAAGGATGAAAAGCTCAACGAACCAGGTAATTATACACTGTATAATCATGGTGACGGCAGCATCACCGGCTAGCGTGTTTGGAAGCTGCCAGAGACGAATGGGTTTAGTTTGTCTTGTATACATGGCTGGGTTATCTCAGTTAGCGATGCGTTGAAGGTCGACCCAGTAGACAGGATAAGCTTACCATAGGCAATAGCAAAGTTGATGCCTCCCGACAGTATTAAAGCACCGATGCCATCCAAGCCAAAGATGTAGAAGAGTTGATGGCCAGTAAAATGTGAGCTAGGCTCAGCTTTGGTTCTAACTTCTCCCTTTGTATCCTTCGCAGCTTGATGTTGCTGCTCCTTCGCGTCTGAACCTGATGTTGGATCCAGAGTTGGTCTCTGAGCTGGCACTGAAGGCTCAGTAGCCCCTGTTTCCGGATCTTCAGGTACCACCCCCATGGCCCCGATTTTCAAGCCGCTTAAAAAGCAGCTGGTAGCTCTCTCTTGATATCGAATTAGTCGAGTTGAAGGAACGTCTTAATGCCAGGTATGGTCTTCTGCAACGCAAACGATATTATGAGAGTAACTCAAGAGGCGAATAGATTAATGAGCTCAAGATTTTTTCCTCGTTCCCTAGGTAGCTCTTTAAGCTCAAACCCCCAATCAGTTCTGGGCAAAGGGGGGCGTAAAATATCCTTGTACTAACCAAGCTATTGCGGAATAGCCCGGCGCGGCACATGGATCAATTACCGAGCACGAATACGCGAGAGCACCAACCATCCAAAACATGAGACTTTGGCTGGAGATTTGAGCAGCTGACAAGGTTGGTAGAAGCACTCAACCGATACCAAGACGCGTGTTATATATATTATACTACGCATACGATATTAATATAGCAGTATCACAAGCATTAAAATGTACATCATGACTTCTCGCAGCGTTTCCCGTATTTCCGCAAAGTGGCTCATTGATTCCACGTGTGTCATACGGTGCCGAATGACTCGGTCAGGCGTACAGAAAGAAGAAGAAAATGAAAATGAACAGCAAATAAAACCTCAAGCAACTGATACCGCGGGCTAACCGAGCCGGCCGCCATCGAAGCGGTCCTGCCGTAGACCGACAACGCGAGGAATTTCTTGACCAGATATGTCGCAACTCAAGTTTCTCTGCTAGCTTGTGGAACACAGACCGCCACATCTTTGGATTTTCTTCACCGTCATACGACTTGAGGCCATCTGGTAGGCTAGAACGAAGCTAGCAGCCACTAACGACGTACCGGCGTTAAAATCAATGGAAAGGTCTCAGGCCTGATAAAGTCGCGATTATAACACTGCTCTGCTGCTACAGGGGGCAACACAAAGCTGTAGTTTCTTGTAGCTGTGGACCCCCCGAAAAAGGATTGCCGACAGGCAGTATGTACAACATCCCGAAATTCCGGCATCCTGCTCATGACGCCATTCGCCACTCTCAATATTCCACATCCCAAACTTACTTCTGCCTCAGCCTTGTACCTGATCTCTGCTATACCTAATGTAGTGACGTCATTTGATCCATTTCCTCTCTATTTGTCAAATAAGTCCAAAGATCAAACGACTGGTTACCTGGGAAAGGATGCTTGTATGCTTCATTCCTTCAGTATCTTTAAAGCATCACTATGGGCCACGGAAAGATCCAATACAGGGAGAATATTACCATTCTGAATGGACAAACCATGCTCATCTTCAATTTTCTATTTGCTCTTACGAAGCAACTTCCAGTCTCAACGACTCTGTAGCGCATCTTGGCGCTCCGTGTTTCCCAAATGACTACCCCAAATATGGGCATTTCAGATTAACTTTTTCGTACTTGGCTAAGATCAATATAAGGTTCATCTTGCATTATTTGATACTCCTCTAGATGTTAACTTAACCTACTAGATAGGCCAAGCCGTCGGAGATGTAACCGGAGATGGGCATTGTTTCCTGTTCTCCGGTCGGTATCAACTCCGGTCAGCGACGCATTTCTGCTTAGGTAGCCTTGAGGATGAACCCGGTGCCATACGCATGGAATAGACCGACAAGATATTACTCGACTGCAATATTTCAATATCGTTATCGTTCATCGACGCATACCCATTGACTCGTATTGAACATGCCTTTAGATGCTAGCCATCCCGATTTCTGGACAGAAGCATTGCAATTCACGGCTACGATCCATCGAGATGTGTACCCCGCCATCAGCCCTTTGAATGAAGAAATCAAGCAAATCGCACGCGGAAAAATTGTTTTAATTACTGGGGCCGGCAGCGGATTCGGCAAGGTATTTTGTCATTGTATACGATTACACGCCAACTTCTGTAATAACAAGGACCTCATTACAGGGTGCGACAAGACAATGGGCCGTAGCAAATGCCTCCGCTATCGTGCTCGCAGCCAGAACTCAGCAGAGCATTGATGAAGTAGCTGAAAGCCTAAAGACGTCTGCCCCGACTACGCAGTTCTTAACAATTGCAACAGACGTGTCTTCTGAAAGTGATGTTCGGAATCTGTTCCAAAAGGCCATCCAGGCTTTTGGCAAAGTGGATGTTGTTGTTCACTGTGCCGGAGTACTCGGGCCACTGGAATTAATTGGCGACGCCCCGGTTGATGAGTGGTGGCAATCATTTGTTCGTATCCTACTGATGAACAACCCGTCATCGTTTCATAGACTTAACCAGTTTTCTAGGAGATCAACGTCAAGGGTACTTTCTTGGTTGCCCGAGAGCTTGTACGAACATCAGCCAATAACGAAGCGACATTCATCCAAGCCGGTACAGCTGCGTCTTACTTTGCGAGTCCACAGCAGTCTTCATATACATCATCGAAGCTTGCGACCAACATGATCCTCAGTCAGCTGCATGAAGGTAAGTTTGACTCGGTTCACAATGGATTGTACGCTCACATATCAAACCACAGAATACGGCAATCTGCGAGTCTTTAATGTGCATCCCGGAATGGCATTGAGCAAAGTGCTGCGCCCAGAGCTACATATTTATGCCAAAGACACAGGTATGAGATAGGGTCCTTGAAGCAATAAAATGGGATCTTGTATTCTAAGGCTAATTGCAAGCTGCAGTCGAGCTTTTCGGCAGTCTCACTATCTATCTCAGCGGACCAAAGGCGAACTTTTTAAGGAATCGCTTTATTGCCGCAAATTGGGATGTCACTGATTTGGAGAAGCATCAAGAGGAAATTGTCGCCGAAGAGCTACTCAAAAGCCAGGCGTTCAAGGGTGATACGGGTCCAGGAGGTCATGTATTCAAATCGTGAGTAGCACACCATTACTACCTTACAGCTCATTATGTATACAACTTCAAAACTCGGGGCACATAGGCGCAAATAAACATATACCAGTACTCTCTGATCACTCAACTCAAGGCTTTCTATTCATCTTTTTGGTATTTTATTTTGCCACAAAACACCAACATCATACAATGCTGTAGCACCATCTTTTTCTAGGACATCTATGGCAGTAGTTTCTTGGGTGTTCTTGGGTAATAGGCGGCCAAGTGGACGCTAGGCAGAGCAAGATACCATGCAACAACACGGTCAAGGCCGATACCACCTCCACCGTGAGGAGGTACACCGGCCTGGCGGAAGACTCCAATGTACTCCTTGATTCCAGCGCTGGTGGGATCAACTCCCTTGAAACGGATGCGAGCCTCAAGCTCATCGGGGTCGGCAATACGTTCACCACCGGACAGAATCTCCTGTCCACGCAGGAACATGTCGAAGGCATTGGTGACTGGCTCATTGGGCTTGCTAGCAGGGTCGACCTTGGCATAAAAGGGTCTCGCGGCTTCGGGGAACTTGTCGACTGCAAAGAAATCGGTCTTGTACTTTTCACGAACCAGCGCACCCAGGGCCTTCTCCTGCGGTGTTGACATATCTTCATCGTCACGAACGTTGCGGAACTCTTCGGGACCCTCCTCACGAAGCAGCTTCTGGGCCTCTGCAAATGTCAAGCGCACTTCCTTTCCAGGTTCGGGGAGGAGAAGCTCCTGGGAAGGATAGACGGAACGAATGAGTTCGACTTCGGCAGCGCAGTGCTCTATGTGAATTCGATTAGTATAGAGATCACGAGAGTAGCAAGTTGGAGCAAGAGATTTCAATGGAGGAGGTACGGAACATACTCTCAATACCACGGAAGATGTGCAGCAGCACACCTTCAAGCATGGAAAGGACTTCATGGTAGTCCTTGCGGATTTCCATTTCCATATCGAGACCGGTGAACTGAGAAGAGACATCACGTTAGCTTGCAAAGACAAAAAGAGAATCCAGCAGTAAAGAATAAAGAGCAAGCATACCTCAGTCATGTGTCTGGGGGTGTTGGAGTTCTCAGCTCTGAACACGGGTCCAATGCTGAAGACGCGCTTTCGGCCACCAGCAATCTCAAACTGCTTATAGAACTGGGGTGACTGAGCAAGATACGCCTTTTGGTTGAAGTAGGGCATGGCGAAAACGTTGGCGCCGCCTTCTGAAGCAGCTCCAATGAGGCACGGCGGCTCAAACTCCTTGAATCCGTGTTCCCTCAGGTAATCGCGGAACAAGTGCTTGACCTCGACACGGATATCCTACAGCTTGCTGTTAGTACGGCAAAATCACCCAACTTTATGAGCGTACAACATACGGCAATAGCTTGCTGAACGGGCGATCGCTTGTGCATGACAATGTTGTCCAAGTGAGTCAGCATAGAGGCGGCTGGAGGGCCACTCTCAGCCTCCTTCTCCTGGGCACCCTCCTCGGGCTTGACCTCCTCATCGCTAAAGTTGGTGACTGCACGGTTCGCCGCGGCCATTGTCATGCCCAGGGTAGCCGGGGCAGCAGCAATGACGAAGATCTTGGTAATGTGCAGCTCGAAATCGGAAACACGGCAGCTCTTGACGGGGGCGAAAGGCTTCTCGACCGTTGCCTCGACCGTCACAAAACTCTCGGGGTTGACAGCTCCCGCCCACTTGACCATGCGCTTGCTGATGACAGGCGCAGAGTCGCCCTCGGCCTTGGCATCACCAGTAGCCGCGACAATGCCCTGGATGGCCCAATTGCCCTCCTCACGCAGCTCGACAAAGGCCATCTTTGCGCCCTGCATACGTGTGTTCTGGAGCCATGCCCGGATGACAACCTTCTTTCCGATGTGAGACTCGCTGATAGATCGAAGGGTGACGTCTTCAGCATCGGCCGAGAAAGAGGCGAGCAGGGCCGGAGTGGCGGGGCCGTAGAAATCTTTGGCGGGGTCTTCTTCGGGCTCGTTGGAGGTTGAGGCAACTGCAATTCGTTCAGCAGCTCGCTGGGCTTTCAGCGCCTCTTTCTTGGCCTTGGCCTCGGCCTTCTTGGCGGCCTTCTTGGAGGGACCGGCAGCATCAGCGGCAGCATCAGCGGCGGCGTTCTCGCCTGTAGAAACAGGAGCGGGGGGGTTCGTCTCTTCAGCCATGTTGGATTGCGGATAACAAAAAGGTTGATAAGGTATCTCGAGCGTGGTGGGGTAGGTGTTTCTTGAATATGTTTTCTTGGAGGGGCAATGGATGAGTCATCCGGCAGCCGTCACGTGAAAATGCACAACAGGAGATGCGATCAACAGTGAGTCAGGCCATTGGATGCAGAAGTGCAGTGATCTACTAGTATTTGGGATTGCATCACCCAATGAGAGGACATGTTAGTTGAGAATCAGGATGTCATGAAAGCGAGATTCGGAGCAGCAGCGATGACGTGGTGGCGTCGGGAAGAAGAAGAAGTGACATGTTCTACCTGAGTGTGTTCTGAAAATTTATTTCTAGATTGTTCTGTGTCGGCCCTATCAAAACGCCAATTGCTCATGAATTCGTTTCATTTTTATATAATGTGGAGGGGAAAAGAAGAAAGAAAAAAATAAGGTTTTTAAAGATTACAACTTCTCCTTTCCAGATGCGTCAATCTCGCAGAATGCCTTGAACGTAGTAAACTCCTCGTCCTGTCCGACGGCAGATTCCAGGACCAATTCGGCGGTAGATCCGACAAAAAATACGTAGCCCTCTTTGATCTCCTGTTTTGTCGGTCCAACGGCGATAGTGCCCTTGCCACCGGTGCAGATAACGATGCTGGGGCCTTCCAGGGGGTCGAAAGTGGCCTTGGCTCCCTCTCCACGAAGCAGACTGCGCACAACGCTGAACTCTTCAATCGGAGGGTCGTACAGCATGACAGAAGATCCAGAGCTGTAGGCCTCCCGGTTAAGCGTCGCATAGGGGTACTCGGTGGGCGTCATCTTTTGCTCGTCGATCGGCGCATAGTTGTAGGTGAGCATGTCGACCAGGGTGGATACGTCCTTGAACTTGGGCGTAAGACCAGCACGGACGACATTGTCGGAAGCTGCCATACATTCGACGATGTCGCCGGACACATAGGCGTGGATGTCATCGGCGACAAGGAACAGCGCCTCGCCGGGCTGTAGCGTGACAAAGTTGAGGAAGAAGAGGACAAAAATGCCAATATCCGAGCCAAACTGGCCGTTGAGGCGAGTAACAAGCTCCGCAAGGACGGCGCCCTTGGTGGATGACACACCACCAGCAGCGAAGTCAGCACCCTCAGACTTGGCGAGCGCAACGAGGTTAGCGGTTTCTCTATCGATGTCTTCGGGGGAGGATGACATTAAGCCTCCGAAAGCCGTTTGCAGCGCCTTCTTCTTTGCTGCTTCGTCACCACCTTCTTGCTTGGCAGCTTGGATAAACTGAGATGCCTCGTTCTCTCCGACCAGAGTTCTCAATGGCTTCACCGTCTCCAAGAAGTGGGCAATCTCTCCCAGAGGTCTGAATCCGCAGAGTCCCTCAAAGGGAGTGATGGCAATGGCCATCTCAGGCTTGTGGTTGTCGTCGGGGTAGTTTTTCGAGTCCCGGGCGTGGAGCTGCTCAGCGAGCTTCTTGTTGGGATGGGCCTGGATGGAGAGGGCCTTGTTGATGGACAAGACCTTGAAGAGGAACGGCAGCTTGGCGCCATATTTGGAAGCGACGGATTCGGAGAGAAGAAGCTGGTTTTCGGCGCAGAGATCGAGAAGGGTTCGGCCAGTGGTGAGGTCTTTGGAGGGGTTGGAGGGGTGAGTGCCCATCCATAGCTACGACGACGTGGAGTTAGCAGCTGCAGGAATACAGCGAGAGAGAAGAAAAGAAAAAAAGAGTCCAATGATTGAATTTGCATCTACCTCGGCGTAGGGCTTGTCAGCTTGGATGGACAGATTGTCTGAGGGCGTGGCAGCGGCAAATCTGGCGGCGGCCGACTCGCTCCCCTTTTTGCCCCATTCGTACGAGTTGACGCCGCACTGCAGACGGATGAGAGGGACCTGCATCTTGTTGAAGTTGTTGTTTTAGAGTCTAATCTGGGTATCGGTATCTGGAATTGATTGGAGAAAAGGGGCAAGGAGGGGAACAAGACAAGACGAGGCGATGTGGTTGGAAAAACCGGCACCTTGTACTCCATAGACCGACAGCAGGAAACGAAAGGCGTTTGTGATGATGGAGCTTTGATTGGAGCTTGGGATGCAAAAGCTCGTCTGCGCTTTACTGTACTTGCAGTTACCCCGCCGCCCCACTGCCGGACTGCAACCCCGCTGTGGAGCTGCTGTTGCACTGGACTTTTACAGGTAATACGGCTCGTATTAATGCTCCAGCTTCTATGATGCTGTACCTACATGGGCTTGGTGGCAATGTGTGATCCCTTGAGCTGCAGAGGCGATGCATGTGTCGCTGTGAAAAATTGATTGTATCAGTCTAACCTAGTGATGACAGTAAATAGCGAGTAAAACAAAAGAAATACATGAAGCCATTCTCAAAGGTATAATCCGTCCCAACGCCCAGCTCATAAAATAAACTCATCCACGACCCGTCCCAGCAATGATATCATCAACAGCCTAAAATAAAGCAATAAAGCACAAGCCAACCAGCCATCCCTCCCTCCATCCCTCCCAAAAAGGAATCATTTCCAGCAAGCCATCCGTTACCATACATCCGGTTACAGCAAAACAACAGGTACCAAGTATTTTCCCAAGTTTTTTTTGTGTGTGTGTGTGTGTTCCCCCATTTCCCAAAGTTACTGCCGTGAGATGATTCAAATCCAACCTTCTTCCGCTTTCTCTCCCCCCATCTTCATCCAAAACCTCCTTCACACCAATCCCCAGGCCAGTATCCCGGCCAGACAGCTCACCACAGCCAGCACCACGCGAACGTCGGTCCTCGTCGTCGGTCCATCCGCCTTGAGCACAGGCACGTGCCACCCGCAGTGTTCCTGGCCGCCGATGGTGTCGCAGGTGTAAAACGTCGTCATGCTGTAGCCCATCTTGGCCAGCTGTGCGTCTTGGTCTGGCGGCGGCGTGACGATGGGCTTGTAGGGAGGAGGAGGAGGAGACGCAGCCGCCGACTCGGGGTCGATGCCTGCGTCTGCGTCTTGGTCTTGAAGCTGGATCAAATAATGCTGCGGGATCCTCTCAGGCGCTGTCGAGGTCGCTGTCGAGGCACCTGGAGCGGCGCTTTCGGTGGCTTGTGGGGTCTCGCTGCCGAGGCCCGGCGACGGTGCTGACACAACTGAACAAGGTCTGTTCCGTGAAGGCGCGAGCAGCGTCTGCAGGGGAGATTCTGAAGATTCTGAAGATGCTGGAGGTGTGGCAGACGCTGGAATAGAGGCAGACGGCGTCGCAGGAAGTGCAAATGCCGGGCTGGTGAGAATGTTGAAGAAAAGAAAGACAAGGCAGAAACCGGCACAAGACCATGACTGGCGCTTTGGGTGTCGCATGACAGCGCCTGTGAGCAGTGCTGGGAGGGACCGGCCCCACTGCGGAAACTCTTACTTTGGGCGATGGGAGATCGTAGACGTCAGCGAGAGACGTCGCAGTTTCAGATGATGGAATTATTCGGCAGCAAGAATGCCGCAGAGGGAGAAGAAGAAGAAGAAGAAGAAGAAGAAGAAAAAGGAATGCTGAATTGCTCCCAGATCTTCACTCGCTGAAACACCCGCCTGATGTAATCGGGCAGTGCAAAGCATATACATACAAAAGATCAGTCGCTGGAGCAGAACAAGAAAATCGGGGAATCGTGAAAATCGCAATATCGCCCCCCGCGTGAAAGCTTGTACGCAAACCCAAGATATACAAAAGAAAGCTTAAAATCAAAGACGGAGAAGATTACAAGAGATGAGAAAGAGGAGTAGAGAGGGAAAAAGGCAAACAATGAGTCAATCCGCCATTCGTGCCCGACGAACGCTGACGACCTCGATTGTCAAACACGCACGCCTCAGAAACGCTCTCGTCAATGTTTCACTGTCCTTCATCAGCGCCCTTTATATCCCTCTTACAACACCGCAAACCAGTTACCATGATGCTTCGTTGAACCTTCAAGTAAATTCAAGTAAATCCAACTCATGCACCACAATATGTAAAAACCCTAAACCCCTTCGTCATCGCTCCTCTTTCACCAATCATTCCCGCATCATCAACCCCAAAGACACACGCCTGTGCTCCAACGAAATGCGAAATCCCAAAACGCGCCGCTCAAGCCCCAAATGGTTGGCTGGCGATCCTCGTCCCCTTTTTGCCCCGTCCATCCATGCAAAGCCCCCTCTCCTCTCCTGCACATCAGCCCTGACCCGTTCTTTGGCTCCAGGTGTGCTCACACCACAGGCACAGGCACTTTAACTCGTCTGCAGCCCACTATTCAATCTTGGTGTTTGTTCCCACTAGCAGCTCGAGTTAAGCCATCGCCAGCTCACTGCACTGGAACAAGGCCAGCCAATCATGCCACCATAACCGCAGCCATGTGATACTCGGCGTAGTGAAACGCGCCGCCCGTGTTCTTAAAATCAATCACGGTTGGCCGTGGCGTAACCACCATTTTTCCTTTTACAGGAGGCAGAAATATCACCGGTGACTGCAGCTGCCTAGCAGTCGTCGATCCCACGAAACAGTGATACTGTATCAGAACGGTGACTGCTCGTATGACGATGAAACGAGAAAATCACAGCCAATCCTGAAAACAGGACGAAGGTTAAAATGCCTGCACTTTGTGGACCATACACTTTGTGGACAATAGGTATTTACTCATAGCCATTGTGTGAGGGGAATAGAATAGAATGGCAACGAGTACCTTAGTAGGTAGGCGCCTTACCAGCGCAAACAGCGCATCTGGTGACCTCGCTGGGTATCATCAAAAATAGGCACATGTACTCAGCACAGCAGGCTTCTTTATTGAATGCGTTTATGCACTTGATTCTAAATTAATTTATACATGGTATCGTTGCCAAAAGGCTCTTCCTGATACCCCAAGCTTCATACAAGTAACTGCCTAATACCATTCATTGCTGCATGGTAGAGCCCCTCCCCCTCCCTCTCCCTCTCCGCCCTTTATACTTGCTCACAGCGCTCACAAGCGGTGCCATCGCCAGAGCCTCATTGTCTGATCGCCTTTGCCGACTAGCTCTTGATGGAGCCGCTACCGCATGCCTTCTCGTATTGCCCGACGCATGCCTTTCGATCCGGGAACCCTTTCTCACCCATCCAGGGCCTGTAGGCAGTGAACCTCTCTTCCGCGCAGGATCCCCTCTCTCATCTTCTGACCCATTATCCTCATCAGGCACGCCATTACTTGAGGCTGGGCTAGAGCTCAAGACAATGATCTGGCTCCCAGCCGGAATAATAAACTGCGGTTTGTCTTCTTTATTCTTCTCGGATTGAGAAAGAGAAGTCTGCAGCGCAGGTAGGTCCTCATCCAAAAGTTGTGCGGGTAACGATGGTTGTGTTGCGTTAGGAAACAATTTCCTCTCCACCACCACGTCTTCTTCTCCTTGCTCTTTCTTCTCTAGTAGGAGATCTGATTCATGTCCCTCGTCAAGCTTGCGCATTGCTTCTTCGTATTCTACGTCCCGTTTAGGAATAGATTGGCTTGCTGATAATGAAGGCGTCTCTCGCCTCCTCCCCGAACTTTGTGTCGGCTGAGCTGACATGAATATCTCCTCCAATGATGGAAAAGGGCTGCTGCTGGCAGGGCTAGACGGTGTGCTCTGCGATTTCGAGTGGCTTTGTATCGGTGTGGTCTCGCGTAGTTGTGGTAATGTTTCGGGGATAATTGTGTCGTGCACAGCCTCTGCGATAGAATAGCTTGTTCGTGGCTGTCGCCCACTAGGGACGCTGAACTGCGATGAGGCAATGACTGTGTTTGGGTGGTTCGCTATCGACGCATCATCGCCGCCGTGCGCCGAGTTTCGTCCTTCCTCCTCTCTACCCTCCTCCCCTCTCTCCTCTCTTCCTCTATTATCTTCAGACGACTCCGTCCTCTTCGATGCAAGCGTGCCAGAATTCGAGACGTCTTCTGCCATGGCATCCGCTAGGCTAGGTCCTAGTTCTGCCTCTTGATCAGCAACTGTTTCGTCTCCACGCTCTGTCCAACGATTCAGCTTTGGAGAGTGTGCATTTTGGGGGTTGGCGGCAACGGTCAGCACGTGTTCCAGTTGAGCGTCTGTTGTTCTGGGGTAGTTGTGGCCGACATGCTCGAAGCTATTGCTAGCAGTGCTGATTTGCACCTCGGACATGGAAAGATCCAGCCGCGGTAATCGTTGACCAGACTGTATTGAAACAGTCTCTAGGTTGGCTTGCGTGCCAAATGAATCGTGCATCAAATCATCTTCAATAGCAGCTCGCACCTGTCCAGTGCTGAATCCGCTCTCCAAAGAATCTTGTCCCGACTGGAATTCGCTTACCTTGGCATGGCCCGACGGCATCTCATCCTCCACAGCCGCTGCTGCAATTTCCATGGGCGGTTGTGCGACTTCATCGGCGGGCGCTTCTTGCACGATACGAGGCTCAATCATCTCTGTCCATTGCAACGACCTGAATCCTGTGTCCTCTTCTTCACCACTTCCGTCCAGATCGGGCACTTCAAATTTGCCGTATACTCGCTCTCCAGTGAACTCGTCGTACATCTTCTCATTATCTTCGCGGTCTCGCTTTGCCAAGATGACATGAATTGCACCGCTTTCGCCTCCAGGAACTATCAGGCCAGTAACCGGTAGCATCTCTGGCTGCCAATTCGTAGCTTTTGACATGACCAGCTGATTCCAAGTAATGACCATGCCAGGCTGAGCTGATGTAGGCTCTAGAAGAGGCAGCGCCTTGATATCTGTGGGCAAAGATGGAAGATCGTCCACATCCGTGAACTGGCTGCTCTTGATGGGTGCCTCGTCATAGTCGAGTACCACGTCTTGCTCGTCCTGGTTTGCGCTGCCATTTTGAAGACTCGCAGACTTTCCTTTCTTCTTTCTGCTCTTCTTCCGGGTCTCTGCCACGTACTGGTCTTCATCAAACTCCTCGTCGTAGTAATATGCCGAGTCATCATAGGATGTATCAGCTTGATAGTTCTCCGATGCGCGCTTCCTTTTTTTCATGGCGCCATATTTCTGTTGAGGATCCCAGCGCTGGACAAAGGGGAATGGAGGCTCGCTAAGTGTCATATCCTCGTGACAACACTCCACAGCTTTGTAGATGATCTTTTCCCTCCAGGAATCTGTATCCTCGCCCTCGTTATTGTCCGGCGGCTGTTCGTTGGTGTCATCTGCACCATTGTCCTGCATCACCCGTGGGTTCACAAGAGGTCGAACATCTTTCATCAGACTGTCGCGAATTTTTTGCTCGTCTGCCTTGTTCGCCGGAGTCTTCAAGCCCAAAGCTCCAAACACAAGCCGTCGGCCTGCACCCATATCAACACGAGCATGACGCTTTGCTGGCTCGTCTTTGAGATCTGACGCCTCAGCTTGGCCCGCATTGGGAGCATTCGTGTTCGTCTCTCGTGATTCCTCTTCTTGCGCCACATCCAAAGAAGGGGCATCTCCCATCTCTGCTTCGTTGTTTGCATTGCCACCTTCATGAGTTTCATCAAGAATAGCAGCCAGGAGGGCTTTCTTTCGCGCCAAGAAATCCTCGATCAAGGCGTCTCCCTCGGCACTGTTTGCCGATTTAAGTTGCTCAGGCTCCAGGTCTTTCAAGGCCTTGAGGCGTCTCCTTCTCGCATTCCGCTTTTGTGTTCGCGTAAGACCAGTGACTTGCAGGTTGTCAGGCGTCTGAACTTCAGGTCGACGTGTAGTCGTGGCAGGACGTTGTTGAGCCGCGGATAGCACTGGTTGTTTTGATGAGATTTCTTCCACTCCAGACTCAGAGTCCGAATCATCTGTTGAATCCGATTCACTAGACTCGCTGCTACTCGCATCGGAAGAGCTTTCGACTCGATTCTTGCGGACAGTTTGAACATGGTCCCCGGCATCATCCAAGCCACTGCTGCTGTCACTGTCGTCATCGGAGCTTTCGTCTGACGAGACGTCACTTGACTTCTCATTGGCAAAGGCTGTCACAGGCTGATCGCTAATCTGGTCATCTTCTTCGCTTGATGAATCATTATCCAGAGAATCATCGCTGGAGTCGTTTGACGAGTCGCTGTCTGAGTCACTTTCGGAACTGCTGGCGGGATCCTCTTCCACTGCAGAGACTTCACCATCTGCCACCCTTGCATCGTCAAAATCCGAGTCCGAAGATTCGTCGCTGCTCATATTCTGGCTCTGCTTCGATTTTTGGGCAGATATTGGAGCGCCATTAGTTGTAGATTCTTCGGAATCGTCAGTCTCTTCGACCTCTTCAATGAGTGGTGGTTTTCTAGCTCCCCCCTTGAGAGCGTCAAGGGGAGATAACTTCGCCTGCTCGACCTGTTTGGGAACGCTACCACCCCCATCGCGGCGCGCAAATGGAGCGAGAAGAAAGTACGAGTCGTCCATCATCTGATCAAAAGTGCAAAGCGGTTCACAAAGCATGCTGAGAGACAAATAAGTTTTCCTCAGATCCTTGTTCGTTCGCCTGAGAATTGTCCTGATGTCGCCGTTCAACTCCGGGAATGCTATCTGAAATACGGTCATGAGAATTTCGACAGGTACGTTGGCGTGATCGTTGACAACTGGTGTGGCCGAAGAGTGGGCTACCGTGCTGAACGGACTTGGAGCCATTTTCGTGGAATTAAAGATCTGATTTGGGTCAAATCCGTCCTGCTGGTCGTCTGATTCAATATCCTCCTCTTCGTATTGGGAGGAATTGGAATCATTTGCTTGAAGGCTGTGGGCCTCAGCACCGGCCTCTTCCCTGAGCAGTCGCAGCTCCGTTTCGAGATCCTCATCATCCTCCTCCTCATCGGTAAAATCGTCCATTTCGCTCTCTTCCGACTGATCTTGGACATTGGGTCTTGTATGAGGAGAGGCGTCGGACATTGAACTCGAGTCATCTTGATATTCTTCGTAGTCTTGTAAATCCTCTTCGTCATCGTAACGTAGGTTTTCGACCAGGTCTAGGACTTGGGGATACTTGGGGACCTCATATCGGGATGGGCGTGGCGCGTCTAGCAGAAACTGCTCTTCTTCTTCTTCGCCATCGTCATCTTCATCCACGTAGTTGACACGAATACGTTTTCGTGGGGGCAGTTCGATTTGAGGGCGGTCGCGGGGAGTTCTCAGCCAAGGCCTGCCGAAAGGGAGACCATCGACCAAATGCCTTCCGTCGTCAGAGATTTGATGTCGTCCGCTGAGCCGTCGTCGTTTCAAGTCCCCGGTGAGGAGCGATCGAATACTATTACAGCAAGGTTAGACACACGATAGAGGCTCTAGAATGAGGAGGCAAGGTGTAATAAGAAAGACACTTGGAGGGGGGGAAGTACTCACAGAACTTGGTCCTCATCCTTCAGAATACGACCAACTTGCTGGAAATGCAGACACTCGAAACTTGCACCATTTCCATCTGCAAGTTCTACAGCGTAGTCCTCAAGGCCCCATTCGCCGCTCTCAAGTGGCACGACCTCGTTGACTTGTTCCAAAACCTTTGCGATGGTGAGATCCTCCGAGCAGGAACACGGCCACACAAGCTTGACCTCTGGGAGACCGTGGCGACGGATCACCAGCCGAAGGCGGATGTCCTGAGGTTGCATATTCAGCGGCGATGTTGACGTCAAAGCGACGGCATGACGGGTTGGCTGTCGAAGAAGCCGCAGTCGACGGGGCGAGGAGACGTATCTGAAGCGCTGGAGAAATCGAGAGACGGGGGAAATTTGGAGATGATTGGATCAGGTTCAATGCTGCCTCTAATAGAAAATTCCGCTGCTGGAGTTGCAGCCTTGACGCGCTGTAGCAGCGCCATCAGCTGCTCTGCTGCCTCGACCAGCTGAAATTTTAGTGGAGCCGCAGTGGTGGGACCCGCGCCTTATGACGGCTTCAATTGACTTCCAGGTGATTTTGAAGTCCAGGGGACCCAAGGCACCAGCTTTGCATTGACAATTCAGACCATTTAACGGTATAAAAAAAAATATTCGACAACTGTCCTATTGTTTCTTGTGTTTATTGATTTGTTTGCATTAGATTCTGGCCTTTATTCAATTGTTTTTATTTATTTTATCCAGCATGTGACTGGATACATCATCGTTTTGTGCTCGGCATTGCTGGCTAACAATTATGTAGGTAGGTATGCGACTGGCTTTCCTCCAGCCAAGGTAGTTGAATTGGTATATACGTGACCAATAACAAAGGTCAACCGAAAAACAACAATCATGATTTCCATTTTTGAAACCAGAAAATGAAAAACTCCATTTATACCCCAATGCCCGATATTCGAAAAAGTACACATCATCATCTTCCCCGTCAGTGACGGCTGAATTAAGAAAGCCCGCCCATCTCCAGCATGTGGCCCATCTTCTCAATCTAAACAGCTTGTATCAGTAAAACGGCTCATACGATGAACTAAAGATCATCTCTTTCTTACCTTTGTCTTCAAGTAGCCTTCCACTTCCTGGCTTCGGAAGCCACCCTTGCCTTTCCACGATAGCGGCACCATGGCGACTCGCTCCTTTACGACAATCTCCCGGTTGGGTCCCTCAATGGCACGAATCTTATCAGGGTTGTTGGTCAACAGACGCACGTCTTTCTGACCCAGATCCATGAGCATGGCGGTGGCCAAGCCGTAGCTTCGAGCATCAGCGGGGTGTCGCAATAGCAGGTTTGCCTCGACCGTATCGGATCCAAGATCTTGCAGGTTGTAAGCCTTTAGCTTCTCTCCAAGCCCAATGCCACGGCCTTCCTGTCGCAGATATATGATGATGCCGCCGGCCTTGTTGCCTGGTAGCGCCATGAGTCGCGCAGCCTCGTCAAGCTGTTCGCCGCAGTCACACCTCGCAGACCACGCAGTCTCTCCGGTATAGCATTCTGAGTGTATCCGCACCAAGGGTATGTCTTGATTGGGGTTCTTTTCTTCCTGAGATTCTGCCTCCGACGAAGGACCGCCCATGCCGCTGGTTGTCCGGCCCGGATACAGCCGACCTGTGTAGGCGCCTCGAATCATGCGGTCCAACTCGGTCTCGCCCTCGCGGGGAGCGTCCAGGGACTCGCTCCGGATGTGATTGCCAAACACAATTGCCAAATGCTCCTTGTTGTCGACATTGTTGGTGTATAGATGGAGGAACATCTCGGTTCCGTTGACTGTGGGGATGCGGGCCCGGACAACGCATTGTACCTCGGGTAATGTCTCTAGCAGTCTCGGCTTCTTGCTACCACATCCTCCAGACGCAATCGAGCTGTCGACTGGAATTCCTCGCAGGCCGGCAGTTGTGGGCGTCTGGTTCCCCGGAGTGGCCGGCGGAGTGAAGGCTGGTGAGAGAAGAGATGGCGGAGGTGGTTGAGTCCTGGGTGAATCGGCACGGCTGGACAGCGACAGAGGGTCGATTGGCTGGCCATCACGGCTCTGGGGAGCGTCGACTGCAGCGGTTCGAGGGGAGTAGAAGGAGGGCAGCTGGGCGCTGTCGCCAGCAGCAGATCTCGCATCCGACGTCATTATGTAGTGAATGGGGCGCACGGCCTGTGTCTCGAGAGCTGAGGGCATTATTAGTGGAATGGATGGTGTCTGACTCGGCCGGATTCTGGGGAATTGCAAATTGATTGCGCATGCAGCAGCAGCAGCACAGGGAGGCGGGGGAGGAGGGAAATGGGAGCAGGAAAAGGAAATGCAGAGGGAAGGAAATGAGCTGTCGGGTGCAGCGCCGTACGTACCGTCTTATTGTAGCCAATGCCTCTATTCGCAAAACAAGCGCGCGGGATTGTTTGATGCTGATTATCAATTTCCGGGCGATGCTCCTGCGGAATGACTAAGGCCCCGGCTAGCAGGCAAACGCTGTGGGGTCGGCCGCTCGGAGTGCGCAGGTTCGGGATTTCGCTGCCTGTGATGTGACGCACTCGGAGCGAAAAAGGATGGGGGAGATTTTAGAGAAGCGCTCGTAGAAGCCGACAGAAGGAAAAAATGCGTGTTTCAATGCACCAGCAGCGGGTCTCCGCAGCGTCTCGCGCAAACCATTTCTCTTCTACTCGTACGTGTGCAGAATTGACGTCTCTGGCGCATGTCCAGCAATTGGCAACCTGATGTTTTGGCATTTGCCTGGAAGCCGACGGGCATATGATCGCCCAGCCGAGGTATAGATAGATTTGTAGAATAATCTGAGGTACGACAATGTTTTCCATTGCCTGGTGCCAAATAATGCGCCGAACATCGCCATCCACTCACTCACCTAACGGTTTTCTCCCAAGCTCGAAGTCTAGTATTCCCTTTAAACCAATCTACCCATTTACAGCATATACCCGTCTGCACATCATTATAATTAGGCTACTGTATGAAGAGGGGTATATGTTCATATCAGATGTGTACGTCCCTATCTTATCCGACCATTCCGAGCGCCGAGTCCTCATCGTCAGCCAAAGACGACGTCATCCAGCCACTGGATCTGGCATTTCCTCGCAGCTCTCTTTGATGGCTTATTGTCAGCCAATCCATCAGTCAGTCATGTGGGCCTCAGCTTCACAAGTTGTTCAAGTCATGTAAGTCAAACAAGTCAAGCAAGTCAAGCAAGTCAAGCAAGTCAAGCAAGTCAAGCAAGTCAAGCAAGTCAAGCAAGTCAAGCAAGTCAAGCAAGTCAAGCAAGTCAAGCAAGTCAAGCAAGTCAAGCGTGTATGTTAAAGCGAAAGTGAGAGACGCTGTAAAGTAATTGCCAAGGTCATAATGGACTTTTCATTTGTACCTATGTACTTCTATCATTCTAATGGGGTACTTCTATTGATCTAATGTCATGTCTAGATATAGAACCAAGATGTTCATAACTTAAGCAGCAGCCTCAGCCTTGCCGGTGCCATAAGCAATGTTGGTGACACCAGGGCCGGTGTACTTGACCTGGGCACCCAGGGTGTGAGGGCAAGAAGGCTGGTTGCTGACGCTCAGATCCAGAGTGCAGACCTCGTTGTATCCGTAGTGGCAGAGGGGATCGGCCATGTTGATGAGCTGGTGGTTCTTGTTGACCCAGCTGTTGGGCTCGCTCATGCAGCTAGCGACGTAGTTCATGCTGTTGGCAGCAGAGAGAGGCAGCTTGCCACCGTGCATCAGGTCAGCGCACTCGCTGGCATCGACAAACTCATAGGTCATGGGAATGCCGCCGCCCATGTGGGGGTCCTGCTCGGCACCCTCGCCGAAGCCAAGGTAGTTCCAGGCATCGTATGAGATGTCGTAGGCACCGCCCGACTGGTCGATCTTGAGGAGGTTGAGGCTGCGGTTGCCGTTGGTGACCTTGACGCAGATGTTGTTGCAGTCAACGCCCATGGGCCAGTAGGCAACACGGTTGGTGTTGATGAGGCAGCCCAAGACACCGATGGAGGACGAGTATTGCTCGTGGGGAGTGACGCTGGCGCTTCCGCTGTTGCCACGGGGAACGGCGACAGCAGAGACGGAGGCAGCAGAGGCAGCCAGGAGAGCAGCGATGGTGGTGAACATTTTGATGGTTGGAAAAAGTGGAAGCAAGTTAAATGCTTTGTAAAGAGGGAGTGTGTCTGTTTGAAGTGGTTGTCGAACCGAAAGTTGTAATAGTTGGAATATGTGTGCAAAAGAATGGACACACAAGCTTCAATATGAAGGAATGAATCGAAGCCAAAAGGATGTAGAAATGATTGTTTGTGTTGTAGAATGAAGTGAAGAGTTCTGTCCTTGAGGGCGGGATCAACGGCCATATTTATATCCATCTTGACTCTATGGAACAGGGCATGTCCGACCCGTTTCCCCCGCAGGTTCAGAGATTTTCATGCCCATCGAGTTACGATTCCATACGGACCGACGGTACGCTTGAGAGCCGCGCGGGTTGCGGGTCAAGTTCGTTTGTTTCCATCTCCATCACAGTGTCCAAGATGTAACGCTCCAGTCTCTCGGGTCATTCACGGTGACTCGGTGTGGCAACCGTCAGCTAGTGCTTGTGGGCAACAGACTTCCATTATAGGCAAAAAGGGTCCATTTTTTAAATAACGCACCTACACAAACACAGTTTGGACTCAGGAACCGAAGGGGCCAGTACACCCTCTTTGCCTCTGTGACAGCGGCTTCAATCAGGGGCAACGCAGGTACGCGGCTCACGGCCGAAGGCTTCCACGTGGTTCCACCTGTATTGTTTCAGTCATCGGTGTTCAAGTCTTGGTTTGAATGGCCAATTACATGTGAATAGTGGCTCTTGATGGATATTTTGTCAAAACTCAAACGCCTGCTCTTTTCATCCGAAGTCGGCTCGGGTGCAACATCCTGAACAGGAAATGGCCATGCCTTCACCGTATGAGAACGACCGAAAATGATAGCCATAGATATGAGATCCAACAAGTGTAACAAGACGATTTAGTTATTTGTAATGGGATATATAGAGTATACTCTAGACAACCCCAGCAGCACCGAATTTGACCGTGGTCACCATGTAATTACTGCCATGTCTGTAAGTGGTCGCGTGACTCGTCGGCATTGTGCTTCGTACCCATCAACGAATACAACGCGCCTCTGGCCTCAAGGAGCATACTGCATCCGGAGAACTATACCGAAACGGAATGTATTCAAATTTTTTTAGGGGTTTTGGTCAGTGAAAAATCTGAACCCTTTTGTCGCCGTCTAACGACAAAAGTGGGTGAAGCGTTGATGTTAAGCGCCACCACGACGAGTAAGCGCGCCACCATTCAACAGCCAACAGCTGGAAACAAAGGACTTTCAAGGCGCCTTCCGACTGCCAAAGCGTAGCTAAAACGCCGCGTCACGTTTCTTGGGGCTTCGAGAAGAGGTGGATAACCGGAGAAGGCTTCGGAGGATCCATACAGTATTTTGACAATGTCTGTTGCCTCCCTAAGGGGGCAATTGTGGTCGCCGAAGGCTTGCAAATTTCTATCGCATATTCCTACCTCAGATTAACCCCGAACGCCTCAGCTTCCTCAGCTTTATACAGTATCCCAACACGGTGCTTTAACAATGCGCCTTCTAGAAGAATTCTTATGAATCAAGTGTTCAGAAACCACTAACATATCGAAACTTATGTGGACCCCATTGAGCGGTTAACCAGGTGTCAATCAGCTTTGTAATAAAAAGGCCCTAAAACTCTGGTGCCTCTTTTTACAGAATTTTCGAAACGGTTCATGTTCAGAGATTTCACGCAACTGACAGGACGGCTAATCACATCTGAACTGAATCATCTTGTAGTCTTCGAGTGGACTACACTTGTGGAGTCATGCAAGCAATACCGGGACAATACCCGGTCAAAACTGGGGTAGCCTATTGCTATTTGATCACGATCGTGGAGCCCGAGGATGGGGAGATACCGGCCCAACTGCGCGATTAAAGGATTCCTTACCGAACTGCTCAGGAGAGGGGGTCAGATTGCATCCGGACACCGACTACACGCCCTCCTTAGTCATCAGTTGATGAAATTTCTTCCGCTGTTGCGAAATCTTGACGATCCATCTTCCCGATACTTAGTGTGCCCTTCGAAGTGGGCAGCTGCCGTATTTCATGATCACAAACGTGGCAATTATCTGAGAACAAGGCCCATCTATTAATCTTAGAGGCAATTGAGCTTTTCATATAGTTGTATTATTCAAGTGATCTCAAATTAGTGCTTTGGGACGCAAGGGATATCGTTGATCTCGGCTGGTCCGAGAGATTGCCTTGCCCCAATACCGGGGTGCCTTGTCTTGGATCTAAATTGGTGCTGGACCTAACGATCGATCTCAGATCTCGTGGCCGATTTCAATAAGAACGGGGAAGTCCATGCTTTCCAAAGCTAGCATCGCATCTACTCCCTACCCGAGGAATCTATCTACAGATCGTCTAGACATTACTCGGTCCGTTTCTAACTGCCATGTGAAACTAGTGGTAGATCTTAGGCTTCATGAACATCTTTCCTTGGGTTGCCTTTATAATGATATCTGGGTCCGTGGGTTTACAGTGCAGTGTGATTCGCATTTATATATCCTAGGGCGTAAAATTCCAAGTAGGGTTATTAACTAGGCAGCTATCCCATAGTATGAGGTCCCGTGATTGCCCATCATCGAACGTCATAACACGGACAGAATAGAAACTATACATTGAAAGGCCAGACAGAGGTTGGCCCTAGTTATTAGTTGAGCGGTGCAGAAAAATGTGAAACCAACCATAGTAGCGCTCGATCTTCCGATCACCAACCCACTTTCTTGTGTTCCTAGCAAAGATCGGACCGTCCCTGAAACATTCTTGGCAGAAATAGAGGCGTGGCATTATGAAAATCCCTATACCACATTAATTACGTCCCATCTTGTCCCATCTTTATATAGCATATTCTATGTCTCAACAAACACTTCGCCATTGCTCACGATTAATGCGCCTTCGAGTCTCTGCCTCCTCCAGAAATTCGTCACATTTATTAGTTGTTCATCCATAAGGAACCACCACCTCTTAGCAAACAACTCAGAAACCTCCCACCCTGTGCAGTCCCACGCTGTGTGGCCCCAAACCCGGAAAGCATCATCAACCAAATCTTGCGATAGCTTTTCTAGGTCAATCGCATCAAGGGAACGAATAAGTCTATTCCGAACCCCTGGAAACGGTATGATGTCTATAAGTGGGGGATGGGGTATGGTTTTTTGCAACAGCGTGGGTTCAAGTGATGTGGGCGCGGAGGAGTGAGTCAAGTGAAATGTTCGAGGGTGAGTCGTGGTGCAAGACAGGTTAAGAAGAGTTGCGTTTGATATATAAGCAGTAACAATGCTGTTCGATGCTAGGAAAAGGATTTTTTGTTCGAGATTAGGCGGTGGAGTTTTGGGATGAGAGACCAAAGGGTAGGATACTGTGGCTGAAACTTCATTTGTCGGAGATTTGGCGGGCGCATCTTCATCAGCGTTAAGCTCAGTTATTGTTGCCGGAGGGTTTGCAGCATCACTGCCATCTAGTGGTGAAAAAAGCAACCCATCGTTGAAGTTGTCTACCAGCGACAACGCAGTACTAGACGAAGTTGCTGGGTTGGGTGAAGGTTCGGTTGAGACGACCTCCGCGGATATTATCGAGCTAGTTTTGGGTATTGGTCTCTTAGCTTTTAGTTGAGCTCCTTGTGAAATATGAACACGGTCAATTTTTCCATTTCATCGGTTATTTCTTCTACAACAGCTCATGAGTTGTGCAAGACTCACTTCTGGCCCTTTGTGAGAGTCGATTCTGGATTCTCTTGCGATCCTCCCCATTGGTCACTTTGGACCAGTCATCTTGTGGCCCCAGTATGAAGGGCGTCCATGTGTCTCGCATTGTGTGGTAAACTAGGCTCTTTTTTTCACGGCCAGTCCTATTTCGGCGATGAGATTTGAGTTGAGAGCCAGGCTCGATTGTCGGAGATGGTCAACTGGTTGCGCCAGTCTTCTCCCACTCCGTCACGACTGCAGAGCCTCTCTTGGACTTTCTGACACCGAGATTCTGACGTGTGTGGGAAGAAATAGCGGGGCCTCTGACAGTACTTGTAGTTGCTTGGTTACTAATCTGCCAGTTTGTCTATTTCCGAGGCCGGACTGCTAACAGGGTCGGCTTTCATGAATCTTATGAGAAGCAAGCCCGAGACCCGCTACCGCCAGTTCCGGCCCAATGCTTCAAAAAGAAAAGTTTCAGCCATGTTGAATGCTATGATTATATAAGGCATATATTTTAAGCCTTGAGCTATTAAGTGTGTAGTATTGATTATGCCGCCAAGGCGTCTTTATTAACAACGAGCCCTTATGTCATCAATTTGTCTTCGTCGTTTTTAAACTCCGTGTGAAATATCTCACATATAAACTAAAGCGGAAATAGAGAGATCTCAATATGTCTACACGTAACTCCGTTCTCTGCATCACAACAACAGGCCTAATAAGCAAAGTCAATGGTGCAATCTCATAGTGGACTGATTTGGTAAATTGTGGAAATGCTTCAATTTGGCGCACCAAAAGAAAGCATTTTGTATCTAAGTTTCAGATATTCGCATTGCGTGTATCAAGTCCCCAGCATATATACGTTACAGGTATCCCAAGGTAGCACGAAGAAACGCAGAGTTGTATAGATAAAACAAGGTCTGAATATATCACAAAGTCATAATGATGATGCAATATCATATTTATCCTACGTGGGCAATTATTGCCAACATCATGTAAATATTTAGAGCCAAATCAAAGCAGCATCTTGCCATCTTTAACAACAGCCAATTCGTCTCCTACAGAAAACTGAACAGACGTGACATCCGCAAACTCAGCCACGTCGGCGTTCAATTTCTCATTGTGAGCAGGATCTGCAAAAAAAGCCGCCAAGTCCTTGGCAGTCGGAAACAAGAGAGTGGTAATTCCATCGATCTCGGCGATGGAAAAGTGTGGTGCAAGCTCGGGACCAAGCTCTTCCTTGAATTTGGCGGCAAATGTATCTGTAAGGTGATGCTGTATTGATAGATAAGTGTTAGCCGATGCAGTTTCTCTTAAATCTTCTAATGGTCGTATCATGCTCAGTCATCCATACCTGCAAGTAGGAGATGCCGTTATGTTTCACCACTATGGGCCCAGCAAGTTTCCCATGGAGAGCAAATCGACGAGAAAACTCCTCCTTTGTCAAGCCTTCCTTCCTTCTTGCTGAAACGGTTGCTCTCCACACGCCACCAAGGGGGATAGGAGCATTGCTATTGTCGCTCATATTTGCTACCAGAAGAAATGTGTAAAAGGAGTAATTGAGTTGTCGAGTTGCAAACTTGTCAATTTCGGCCTTGCGCTCGTTCAAGTTTTTTTTTTTTTTTTAGAAAAATTCACATGTATTATATAGATTTTTGGACGTGGAATGATTCGATGTTGTAGACTCAGCCCCACGTACTCCATTGTCAGAAGTCAGAAACAATACCGCTAGTAGTCAGAATCACACATGTACGTCAGAAAATTAAAGCACAAACAAATGCGCGGTATGAATGATGAACTTGCCGACCGTCAGAAAAATAAGGCAATCGGGGGCACAGGTTTTCTATTTAAAGGCCACCCTGCATGTATCATTTGACACTGTAAAACGAAAGAGCAAAATCAAAGATAGCTTAGCAGACTCCCTCCTTTTGGCGACAACTAATATCTTTTTCTTCAACTCAGCGACACACAATGGCACCAAATACATTCAAACAGTGGACCCTAAGCGATGTAAATGGGCTTGAGTCTCTTCACATCTCTTCCGCCACTATACCATCAATAATCAACGACTATGATGTACTCGTCAACTTCCACTTTGCATCCCTCAATTATCGAGATATCTTGATTGCACAAGTTATGTCTACCTTCTCCTTTCTCTTAGCGACACCTGCTTCCATTTCGGTAGCATGGATGCTAATATACTTTCACAGGGTAAAAATTCATTTCCGCTGAAAAAGGGTGTCGTTCCTGTATCCGATGGAGCAGGCGTCGTTGTATCAGTAGGTCCCAAGGTTACGGCGTTCCGTGCCGGCGACAGGGTTGCGCCGACCTTCATGCGAGACCACATAGCCGGCCCAATAACCCCAGCGGCTGTCCTGTCATCACTCGGTGCAGTTGTGGACGGAACTCTCAGGGAGTACGGCGTATATCCTGAGCATAGCCTTGTTCGTATTGTGGATAGCCTAAGCTTGCTGGAGGCTAGTTCACTTCCGTGTGCTGGCGTTACAGCATGGACCTCACTCTACGGGGATCGTCGTATGCAGCCCGGCGACGTCGTGCTTACACAAGGGACCAGTGGAGTTAGCTTATTTGCCTTGCAGGTAAAGTTATGTCTACAGACTCGTGCAGCATCTTCTCTTTCCGCTGATGCATCTCCAGTTAGCAGTCGCAGCAGGCGCTACGGTTATTGCTACGACATCTTCGTCCGAAAAGATTCAACTTTTAAAAAGTTTAGGGGCCACGCATGTGCTCAACTACAGCCAGGACAAGAACTGGGGTGAGACGGCAAAGAGTCTGACCAGGGATGGGGCCGGCGTTGATATTGTCGTAGAGGTAAGCAGCTGTCCAGCTACCTAGTCACGATGCCAGGTTCTCATGCAGTTGAAACTATTTTAGGTTGGGGGGGCGTCGTCAGTGCGCCATAGCCTCAAGGCTGTCCGCATGGGAGGGATCATCTCCCTCGTTGGCCATCTCGACTCATCTGAGCCGCTAGATCCGCCATTTAATCCAATTGAGGTGCTTGCCAGCCAAGCTACCATTCGAGCTATCGGAGTGGGCAACCGCCAAGATTTCGTGGCTCTCATGAGGGCCATTGATGCTAGCCACATCAAACCCGTTATTGACAAGAAAGTTTTTAGAATGGACGAGGCCCGTGAGGCGTATCAGCATATGGTAGGTGGAATGTCCCATCTCCGCAGCCACTTTGTGGCTTTATTTTTCAGACACTCATCACAACTAGTTGGACCGAAAACACCTTGGAAAGGTTGTCATCGACTTGAGGAGCTCGCAGCAACTAACCGGTTGAAGGGGTCGACGGCTAATAATCGAAATCATTTCGAGCAAGATTGTGTCTAATTTGTTGAGCTGTATTTTACTAGTACTCAAGCTTTAGGGGTAGGAAGGATCTGAGACATTCCTAGTGGGTAGCTATGGCTACAGTATAATTCAACTCACCTTGGGAAAAAATTTGAATAAAATTACCTTGTCTCTCACGTTGTCTCAGCTGATTCATGGGCCAAGCACATTACTGCAGCATTTTACTGCAGCAAGTCGATCCTATCATCCTGCATTCCTCTCTTGGCTCATTGAGCTGCGCTGCACGATCTGTTACGCGTACTCGTACTCCACATGCTGGTGAGAGTAGCCTCCTTGCATACTCCGTAGACACACTACAAATACGGTTTGACAACATTCTGCCATGTGCGTTTTCCGTAGATGAATCTGTATCTTTTAAGAAAAACCGAGGCACGATCTGTCAAGCTAATTAGTCCCGCCACGGAAGAAACGGATGTGGGTGATGACCCGGCGGGTTTGGTGAAAGCCCCAGGCTGGCACGAAGTACTATTACGGCAAGAAGCCTCATGAAAAAATTTCAAAAAGGGCAAATATAAGAGAAAAGCCGAGTGGCACTAATCCAGTCTAGCTACTCCGTACACAGAATAGAGCTTAACACATGAAGCGGGCACCAATTACTTTCGACGCCCAAATGTATTTTGGCTAGCTTAGTGATGTTTGGCTGACGTAGATACTCGATGGCACTCGCAGACAGTCACCTAAGTGAGGGAATCGGGAGGAAAGCCTCCTTCGCCCAGTCAGTGTATGAATATGGCAGCCAGCAAGCGTCTTGTCCGAGCGGCGATGCCGAGATGCTGGTAGCTATGTCTGTGCTACTGCAGTGGTGGGACAAGATCGGCCGTTAAGCGCCGAAGGGAGCACGATATCCGATTGGCAGTCTGAGTATTTCCCTGTCTGACGACGTTTACCAAGGCGATTACGCGCATCCACGTGAGGGTTCTTAGTACGGAGAACTTCGTATATCCCGTGCCGAGCTTACGCTTGAGCCTTTGTATGCTGTACTTTTGCGTCCAATTCTGTGAGGGGAAACACTCCTCTTTACCAAGAAGAGTTTGGCAGGATCGTTGAGGACAAGCCATGCCAGCCACCCCCAGCAATAGCTTCAGCCAATGATTGGAGGACAAAAGAGGATCACCCGAATGAAGGTGGGATTTCATGGGACGGATCGGCCTACCTGTCGGCAATTTCTTGAGAGCTGAAGGGGGTCTCTCCGCTAACTGGGCTGTCATAATTCACCGCTTCAGCTTTTCTACCAGCAATTGTCTGGGCTGGGACACTCGGCAAGGGTTACCCATACAGGGTAGTAGCAGAAGGATCACTTCTCTCCAGGTGCCAGGTTGTAATATTAAATGCCATCTTGGCGCCACACGTCGTGGGGGAATTGAGATCCGAGAGCCTTAGACGAGATTGCGACCGCGAACTTCTGCCCGACAGTAGAAAAGGAAGAGCTGACTACAAAAGACTCACCTTGCATCTGAGCTGGTGCAATCAAAGTTATTCGGATTCGGCTCCCAGCGCTTGCGACAGCCCGTTGGCGCAATGACATCTAGCTGTTCGTCTGATTATCAGCTCGAGCTCTCCCCGTCCTAGTCCAGTGGCATAATGACCGAGCATGGATGCTAAAGGCTCTCTTCCAAGGCCGCGACACAGCTTCGCTGGACTCGTACTCGACTCGCTTATGAGGCCGACAATAGGAGGGCAATCTTTACCATCAGAACATTAGTAGCACCAATCATCGTCGCACGCCCATCATATTCTTCTCTAAAGACTCCGCGCAAACCCTACAGTATCGCCATCGCCACTGTCACGTACGAAAAAGAAAGAAGAAGAAAAAGAGAAAGAGAAAGAGAAAGAGAAAGAAAGAGAAAGGAACAAAAAAACTAATTTGCAAAGTCCTCGACCTCGCTTGAGCGAGCGATCCGCCACCGCTGGACCTACAGATGTATTCAGCAGTCAAACCAATCAAATCATGGCCGACCTTACGGAGGAGCAGATCAATGCCCTCATCGTCATTGAGCGCACTTGTTCAACGATATCCATGGTGGCAAGCGGGTTTACGATTCTCACTTATTGTTGCTCAAATTACTTCAGCAAATCCATCAACCGACTGATCTTTTATGCGTCTTTTGGCAACTTATTGACCAATATTGGTACCATGATGTCTCGATCGTTTATAGACAATCCGGATTCTGCTGGTTGTCAGACGCAGGCATTTTTAATCCAAACGTACGTTGTCCGGAAACTTGTTCCAAATATTGCAGCAGCACAATCAAGACTAACAAATGACCTCAGTTTCCTGCCGGCGGATGTACTTTGGACGATGTCCATGGCGATTAATGTCTATCTTACTTTTTATCACAAATACGAAGCCAGAGACCTACGCAGGATAGAGCCCATCTATTTAATACTCTGCTATGGCATTCCGTTCATACCGGGGTTCACGTTCATCTTTGTAAAAAACCGTGAAGGGGATCGGATTTATGGACCTGCAGTCTCATGGTGCTGGATATCGTCTGAATGGGATATTCTTCGACTGGCGGCCTTTTATGCCCCAATGTGGTAGGTGACGCTTGAAAATACATTGCGACAAGCGAAAGAGGGTAGTATCATCTGCTAATCCTGCCAAAGGTTCTGCATCCTATTCATTTTCGCCATCTACATTCGAGCTGGCCGCACCATCTATAAAGTCCGGAAGCAGGTCTATGTCTTCCAGTCGTCCGATCTCGACCCCATCTCAATCGATGAAGTCATGACATCCTTCCCATCTACCGATCCAACCCTTACCATGGAGGCCGTGCCTGACTCTGATCCGGCGAAGTATGAGCGCAATCTCAGCCTCAGCCAACCCATCTACGCAGCTGGCTCAAGCTCAGAAACCGCGACGACGAGGCCACACTCAATCCATATCGCAACTAACAAGTCCAGCCAGTCGAACCAATCTGATGGGCCACAATCAACCTTCTACGGTTACGCTACGCCACCTCACAGAGGTTCAAACGCGCCGCAGCCGCGAAATCCCTCACATTCTGCAACATCACGAGCTCTCCGTATGATTCGCCGACGAAACCACGAGCGAGATAATGCCGCTTGGTCGTATACCAAATGTGCCCTCCTTTTCTTTACAGCCATGCTTATTACATGGATTCCATCTAGCGCCAATCGGCTTTACTCTCTCACCCACCACAACGCCACTTCCGTTCCGCTGGAATTTATGAGCGTCTTTGTGCTTCCATTACAAGGGTTCTGGAATTGTCTCGTTTATGTCACCACATCCTGGACGGCCTGCAAGAATTTGTTCCACGATATGTGGCTAGCAGGACGGTCGGTTGCTATCAATCGCATGGAACGAATCCGCGGACGGAGGCATAATGAAGAAGGGCGTGAGAGTTAATACAGGACTGTTCATGGCCTTGTTTAAAATCCTTTTTTTAAAGGGGGAGGAGTCTGGCTTTTTATATATCTGCTCGCCTGTTTGCTTTCTTTTATTTCTCCACAGACAAAGCTGAAAATCCTCTTTTCTACATTTTCAGATAGAACTGTATATACTATGAGGAGAGGTTACTATGAGGAGAGGAGACAAAGGTTTGTGCCAAAGAAGGGACACACAAGGCGGAGTTACTGTCAGTTGGGCAACGCGGCGTATCGGTAACCATAGAGGGACACGGAATATGGAGAATATACCCATAATTCATTGAGTACTAGATCTTTGAGGCGTTATTCGTAACATTTGCTTAGCATGTAAGGGACTCTTCACATTGGATGGAGCTCCAGGTTAAGTAATAGCATTGTTCAACAATAGAGGGTAGACATGGATCAGTTATCAACTAACCTAGTAGCAATAGTTGCGCTATTCGCAACACGATAAAAAGACGCGTTAAATAATACAGAACAGACGCGCCGCGTACAGTACGAGTATGATACAGATATGGGGTGAGCATTCGTTTGTATATATTGCCTGAGAAAAAGAAGCCCGAAGAAATCACCAGCACTGCAAACCATGTCTCCATCATAGCCCGTGCTAGCCCAAATAAAGTAGTTGGAACGCTAAAGATAATTAGTGCCGAAAGCTATTGGCAAAAAAAGGCTGGAGGAAGTCGGAATCAAGCATCTCGCCCGCCGACTTCCGCCCTCGGTCCAGACTCAAGGTGCTGATGGCTGGACAGTGCGAGACTATCACCGGTGAAGATTTTCATGCCATTGCAGAAGCTTACGTGTTTATAGACAAACATGAAGATAAAATTGTCACGCGCATAGAAACGGGCCGCGCTTTGATTTCAGTCGCCTTCCAGGGTGTGCTTCCTTACATGTGTCGTATATTGTAGTGTCGTATAATATTCTATCTGCTCCATCCTGATAATTCCATTACGCCATTTCTGTTGTCCATTTTGTGATCGTATGTGTCATGCTATACTCCACTTCTCCGCTACCCCGGATCTCCATTTATTTTGCCTTGAAGCCCTTCACTCACCCACCTTCATATGCATAATCACCCCCGGAGGAAGATACGATGTCAACAGGATGTGTCGTCTGCCGCTCAAGAAAGGGAAGCTGACCAAACCCTATTTGAATTGCTTTTGCCGTATCTGGCCAATTCAATTTCACGTAGCAATTAGCTCATGTACTTACATCCCAGCAGGTTCGGTGCGACCGCAAAACACCAACATGCCACAACTGTGATCGCCTTGGGGTAAAATGTCCCGGCTATAGTGACACGGCGGCAATTTTGTCGCGAAAGGATGGGTCGCGGCAACGAATTCAAGATTCGGTGGACACCATCTACCGAGCGTCCGGGGTTGAGAAGCGAAAGGTCGGATCCTGTGACGAATGCCGCCGGACAAAGAGTCGCTGCTCTCGCACGCGGCCCCTTTGCAAGCGGTGTATGAGGAAGGGCTTTTCGTGCAAATACAACGCCAAATACGACACTGCCGCTAGTCAATCGCCATCGTCATCGATGCTACTAGAAGACCAAATGTTAACTACTACGTCCAATCGCAGTGGCAGCGTTTCTACTCCAGGGAGCCAAGCCACCATGATTGCTGCATCTCTACCAGCGCCAATACCACCTAGTGTTCAATGGTATGAATAACCCAGTGTTGAAAGAAGAAGAAAGGAAAAATAGATTAGCGAGGGAATTCGAGCATGACGCAAACTTACCGTGTTCTGTCTTTCCATTACAGGCTCTTTACGGATACCCTACCACAAGATAGGTTTCATCTACAGTCGCTAGCCGATAAATTCTTTGATCGAATATCTACTCTGCGTTGTTTGGGGTTTATTCACAAACCGACCTTTTACCAATCACTCGACAGAGGCACCCTTAATGAAGATTTTGGAGAGGCTGTTATCTACATAGTTGCCGCGCTTGGGGCAAGGTGAGAGCGCCGTCCATTGCATTGATGTGGGCTTTTGTTGCTGATCATGGCAATAGAATGTATCTGTTGGATGATCCTACGGAGTTCAACAATCCATTTCACGGCATTCCTGGAGCGGCTTGGGCTGAACGAGCCAGGGATCTTGCTATGAGAGAGATAGCAAATCCTTCTCTTTCGACAATGATGGTTTGTGATAGGAAACACGATACTTGAGCTTTTCCAGACCATTTCTAATCTTCGGATCATAGGCAATGGTTCTTATTTGCGAACATTCCATCTCCATGGATCAGCACGCTTTAGCATTTGTCGTCTTTGGATGCTGCGTACGCATCATGAGGCTGCTCAGTCTTGACTCTCCCAAAAAGGTGTCTGCTTCACCCGGACTTGCCCATATGACTCAATTAGAGACTGAAAGAAGACTTTTATGGTCTTGTTATCTCCTAGATAGCTTTCTGGGCGGTGGAGTAGATGGAAACCTGTACTGGAAAGACGATTTTCCATGCGTACCGCTACCTTGCTCGGATGCAAACTTTGTCGCCCAAGAGCAATATGGAGACTTCAATGCACCAAAACTAAGCACGTTTGAGCTTTTCCCAGATCGAAGCTACCTCAATCTTCGTTCTCATACGATATATCTCGTGCAGCTCCGAACTCGCGTATTAAGGTCCGTTGCTGGAAAAGTGCCCAGCTTTCCCCAGCTTTCTGCAGGCGTATCGCTAACATACATGTATCTATAGATTAATCAGAAATAACAGCCAGGACGCCAATATCTGGGATCCAGGATCTGCATTTCTGGACATAATTCATCGATTAGAAATTTGGTACGCTGGCTTGCCCGAGCAGCTGGTGATATCTGATCTCAACGCATACGTCCACAAAGAACTCAGCATCATTAGCGGTGTCTTCATGCTGCATTTTCTCTATCACTCGATTGTTTGCGACCTCACTCGAGTTTCGCTCCCAGGATACGTCTTTCCACTATCGGCCGCTTTCCATTCCGCTCCTCTCGAATTTCGCAGGCAGTGTCAAGAGCGTTGTCGGTTTCATGCAGACGAAATATCACGGCTTGTTCGCGTTGGATTCGGCTATGGCATTCGCGTTTTTGATGATTTGCATAGCTTGATGGCCACATTCGAGTCAACTAAGATCCAAATTATTCACACTGCCACAGCTACGTCAAACGCCATCGATATAAGAGAGCGGGCGAGCTACAATATCCGGTTAAACATGAGAGCACTCGATATTCTTCACCTTCAGAAAGACAAGCCGAATCCCTACGTTGGTCCCCATTCCTAGCCGACTAAATGAAGAAGGATAACGAAACTGACTATGACAATAGCATAAGGCCCTAATACCACTGCTGGAGAAATTCGACTTCAACAACGTAGTAGCCGAATGGCAAGCTTACCCAAGCCCAATGTTCGTCATTCAACAAACCCCCGTAATCATCTCAAGACGACTGTCTAACTGTTGTATTTTTTCCAATTTTTAGATCAATGAACTCGGAACAGGCCGAGGTTACAGGCCCGGAAGATGCGGGTTTCTTAAGCAACTTGGCTCCATTCCGCCTTGCCAAAGAAGAAATCCGAGCTCACAGAAAGCAACGAAGGGGATCATCCCCAGCTGCAAACGATCTTTCCGCCTCGCCTACTACAGTCCGCCCACCGCCCATCATCTCCATGCCTCAAAAGGGGGCGCTCGGCGGCGTCGGTGGCGGCATTGGAAACAGCGGTGTCTTGGAAAATACAGAATTATCTCTAGACCGTATTCAGCTAGCATCTACAGCACATCCTACGCCTGTCAACGACCAGGGTGTCGCGGCTGAGATTCAGGGAGGAGTGCCAAAGGAGATGATAGATTTATCAGATCTAGCAGAGGACTACATCCGGATGGCAGGTGAGATGGCCAACTTCATATCGTGGGACATATCGGAGCCGCCTTCGTGGTTAGATTTCGACATTAGTTCGAGTAATATATGACCGCATCGTCCGCCCAGGCTTTGGAGGACGATAAGAAAGACGAAGTGTTAGCCGCTACAGAGAAAGTATGATGTGAATGGGCGGAGACTAGCAGGCCAAAGAACAGTGGCTGCCCCTGTTATGGAGTGCAATCGCTTCATATTACTCGTTTTTATTCTATATTATTATTTTTTATTCTTCTTTTATTACAGCAGGATGCCTCAGCGTATCCCGTTTATGCAGTCGGGACAATATCCGTCAGCTCTTTTGGCGTTATTTCTGGTCGCCCTATATACTTGATCCAGGCATATGGATCTTCCATCTCATCCTTCAGAGTGGTTTGCTGCGCGCCCTGGACGGCTTTTGGGTATTCACCAGCGAGGCCAACAACGCCGACCTCCTTTCTATACTCCTCCCACAGAGCAAGCATCTCCTTGAGCCTTTCTGGCTCCTCTTTGCTCAGGTCATTTGTCTCACCTGGGTCAGCATCAAGGTTGAACAACTCCCACCGTTGAGGACCCTTGGGTGCAGGCACAAATGTGATTTTCCAATTGCCGCAACGCAGGGCTCCGGATCCCGCAATCTCAAACCCGGCAACATAGTCAGCTTCATGGATAGGCGACTTGCGACTCCATCCGCTGACGGACTCAAGATAGCTTCTCCAGCTTTGGCCACGTAGCGACGCAACCTTGCGGCCATTGTACTCTGTGCCCGGGTGTTTCAGCCCTGCGAGGTCTAAAACCGTGGGCACAATATCCATGACGGTGCAGAAAGCGTCAGTTACCACACCGCTGCCATCGCTGCCACGCTGGCTGTTAATGCCTGAATGAGGCTTTACTACCAGGGGTACCCTGCAGCCTCCTTCAGTAGAAAACATCTTGTACAGCCGTGATGGCGCGGTTGCGGCTTGAGCCCAAAGAGGGCCGTACCAGACAAACGAGTCTCCTCGGCCAATGTTGTCTAGGCTGTTGTTGTAGTACTTGTTCACATGAGCCATGATGCTGTCGCCAACCAGGGGGCTCGCTTCGTAACTCGCTCCCTCAGCGCCATTGTCGCTCATAAACAGGATAAAAGTGTTATCGTACTCGCCCGCCTTTCGCAGATAGTCAAGGACACGACCAATGTTCCAGTCCATTCGATCAACCATCCCCGCGTACACCTCCATGGCCCTTGCGGAGGCGGCACGTGTCTCCTCATTGAGAGATTCCCAGTTCTTGACTTCGGCCCCTGTCGTTACCACAGGGTGGGCCACTGCATCTTGACTGACCAGCCCGAGAGACTTGAGTCGCTCCAGGCGCTTCTGGCGCAGTGCCTCTGGCCCGTCTGCATATTGACCCTTGTACTTGTCACACACCTCTTTGGGAGCTTGTAGCGGCCAGTGTGGTGCGGAGAAGGGGAGGTAGGCGAAGAAAGGCTGCTGACGCTCTTCGTCGGTGCGGTTTTCAAGGTAAGAAATCATGCGACTCGCATAGCCGTCTGATGAATACCAGTCCTCGCCAAGCTCTTTCTCGTTCAGATAGCGGTCGTCCTCTGCGTGCAGAGCGCGAGTTGCAGTTTCGAAGAATCGTCCGGGCTCTGTGGTGGGATCCTGGTATTCAGGCTCGTATGCTATTGATTTGTCTGTTAGTAAAAACAATCGGCTGCAGATGGGATAATACGATGCCGGATTCCGGCTGCCCAGCACACATACCGTAATGATTCGCACACCCCGGCAGCAACGCCAGGCTCTTTTTGAAGCCGCGCTTGATGGGCAGATGCTGCTTCTGTAGACCCAAATGCCATTTCCCACTCATGACTGTAAAGTAGCCTCCATCGGATAGAAGCTCTGGAAGAGCTACTACTCTCTCATGTAGGTAACCTTCATGGCCCGGTTGGCCCTGGTGAGCAGGTGAACTGCGCACAAACTCGTGTAACTGTCCAAGTCCAGCAATATGATGATCTGTACCTGTCATAAGCATAGAACGAGTAGGACTGCAAGCTGCAGCAACGTGGAATTGAGTGAAGCGAAGAGACCCTTGCTGGGAGGCCAGCGAATCAATGTGAGGGGTAGTTATCTCGGAGCCATAGCAGCCCAGGTCACTGAAGCCAAGGTCATCGGCGACAATGACGAGGAAATTGGGTCGAGTGTCCTTCTGGCTGCCCATAGCTTGATAATTCGTTGGCGTTGCAAGAGACGGAATTAGTTGAGAGGATAGAAAGAGTAAAGTAGGAGAGTGTCGGAACCTCGTTGATCATAAGATCCAAGTTCAATATATGGAGCATGACATTTGTTTATCTAGCATTAGGTATGGATCCATATCAAGTGCCTGAACTACTACTACATGACTGGATACTACTAGCAATAGTTGACTGCCATCGGCATCCGTCCTGGTCAAAAGCTGTGCATGACCACATGGAAGTCGGGGGGCTTTGGCGGAACCGAACTCCCCAGCTTTCTGGCTCTCGCCTACTTGAACATAGTTTTGTTCCCGAGACACTTGATACGGGGATGCTCCATAGCAGAGTTGTCTAAAAGCATGAGATCGCGGGGCCATAAGCCAGTCTAGTTCCAGCCAAGCTCTCCGCATGAGTTCTTGATGCGGAGAGGCGAGAGACATCTGACTCGCGGCCCTCGCTGATGACCGGCTTTCGCTTCGGACTTCGGCCACTTAGTTGACGGCCTTCGGTAGATGCTCCTGGCATTTGCTGCGGACAACATCCATGGTGAGTTGATCCATTGAGATGGTGCAATGGACTGCAATCCAGGCACGGCGCGTCAAGGATTGTCAAAGCGACGTGCCAGCACAGTTGTGGCTGCAAGGCGTCGATGCTCAAACATTCTATATATGTCGTGAATAATCCTGTCTTTTTTCCGCCCGGAGATGGTGGTAGAGTTTGAAGCATCGGGAACGCGATCCAACGCGGTCAAGCTTTCGCTGCCAGGATACAGAATCTCATCTTGACTTCGTCCTTGATTCCATCTATCGACTCTCATCCTCTTCCACATTACCGTCACTATCTTGATATCCACGTATTGTCGTGCTGAAATATTCAAGATGGCCGGAGACACAGGTTCAGTAGACCTGTCTATAGGCCACCGCCTAAAGCAGTTTAACAGCACGATTCTGTTCATCATGCTGTAAGTGTCCAATATTCTTTCGCCCTGCTTCAAATGAATGTAGTTCTAATCAATATGTGGCTTTCCAGATACATGTGTAGCTGCGCCTTCAACTTTGGTTACGATGTTGGCAACTTTGGAGGAGTCCAAGGCATGCAGAGCTTCGGCAAGCGGTTCGGTCAATGTGATCCTACCACAGGCGTTTGCAAACTTCCCCCTTGGCTATCTTCTCTTATGACGTCGCTGCCCTTCTTGGGCAAGGCTTTGGGTGCCATTGCTTGTGGACCGATTGCCGAGCGATTCGGACGCAAGATGTGTGTCCTGGTTCTGGCTTGCCTGTCCTTCATGTGGGTCACCTTTTGATAAAAATGAATGGAATCAACGAATTCCTTCTGAAAAATACAAATTTTACTGACAATGGATACTACAGTGGCGTCCTTCTACAAACGACGGCACGGACTAGTGCACAGTTCACCGTGGGTAGATTTCTCAGCTTTGGTATGACGGGAATGACAATCGTGGTTGTTCCTATCTACCTGGCTGAGACGTCGCCCAAGGTTCTGCGTGGTATGATGACATCCACGTTGCAGCTCATGATTGTATTTGGCCAGTTGATTGCTTCGCTGGTTACATTTGGAACTCAGCACATCTCAGGCGATAAAGGCTGGCAGATTCCTGTTGGTCTCCAGTTTATTGCCCCTGCATTCATTGTGGGACTGCTACCTCTTGTCCCCGAATCGCCTCGATGGTAAGCAGCAAACTGGTTTCAGTTGATGTGGAAATAAATTAATTGTTTGCAAAATACAGGCTCCTAACTCGAAACCGAATTGATGAGGCAAAAGTTTCCCTGCGAAGACTCTACAAGAACCACACCGAAGCCGAAATTGAACAGGAAGTTGACATTCTTCGACATGCTCACTCTACTGAGGAAAAGGGCCCGTGGTCGGAGGTTTTCAACAAGGAAAACAGAAAGCGTACTATGGTTGCTGTGATTGCCATGTTTGGTCAACAGATTACCGGACAGGCCTTCTCCAGCCAGTACTCTGTTGTGTTCTACCAGTCCCAGGGCTACAAGAGTCAGGCTTTCCTGTTCAATATCTTGAGCAACGTCACTGGTCTTGTCTGTCTCATTGCTACTTGGTTTATGATTGACCAAATTGGCAGACGACCAATGTTGATGATTGGTGGTTCGGGAATGGCCATTTTCCTCTTTATCGTCGGTGGTGTTGGACTTGAGAAGCATCCCAACGACTCTGAGAGAGGAGCATTGGTAAGTTTTAAGACACTTTCGCCCCTCTACATTCGTATACTTACAACTCCTAGGTGGCATCTTTTATATTATTCGCTTGTTCATACAACCTTTCATGGGCTCCTGTGTCATACGTGGTGGTGTCCGAGGCTGCTTCCACACGCGTCAAGGAAAAAACCAACCTGTTCGCATCCGTCATTTCTATCATCACCACGTTTGTCACCTCCTTTACAATTCCTTACCTGCTCAACGCGCCATATGCCGCACTGGGCGCTAAAGTTGGCTTTATTTATGGCTCCATCAACTGGGTGATGGTTGGTGTAGCCTACTTCTTCATTCCTGAGATGAAGGGACGGAGTCTCGAAGAAGTTGACGAACTGTTCGCATCCGGAGAATCACTGCGGAATTTTAGCAAAGCGAAGACGACCCCCACAGCCACTTATATCGAGGATACTGCTAGAAAGGAGCCGGGCTCTGGTGAGGCTTAGAACGCAACGACTCGCGTAAGGAGTGGATATCGTGCGGGAGAGCAATAGTCCTATAATGAAGTTCAGTTAATATTAGTAGTGGAATGAATTCCTCATCGGCAACGGCCGATATAATGTAGTCAATGTCCTTTTATGAATAGTCACGATTCTGTATGCATATTCTGTGGCTGTAGTTGAACGCCTCCACCAAAGCTTCGTGCCAAAGCTCTCTTCATACTATTGAGGCTTACAAGTTAATGTTGATTAGCGAGAGGGGTCCCAGCTTCTAAGACACAAGGATAGCCGAGTTAGGTAGCATCTTTGCAGGTTCCCAATGAGGCAAACCTTGAAACAATTTACATATGCGGACTTGGGATGTGTCCGATATCCGAGCGGACTTGGAGAGCCGAATCATCGAAAGGACCTAAAGATTGCGGATCCACAGGCAAAAAATGACCAGTTAATTTTCTTTTTTGGTTAGTAGGTACCCACGTTTTAGACTACACTGAGAGCTGCCAATCAAGTGGGCAAGTCCTCGAATATATATGTATGATATATAACGATCTAGATAATTTACCTCCAGACACAATACCCAATCGCGCTTTAAGCTGACGGAAACACCCCCAAGACGCCAATTATATGATATATGGTTCATTTCATTACTATGACAATAAGTAGGAATGCGTTTACATGCAGAAATCGCTTTATAGAAATCGCAGACTAATATCAAAATTACCGCAGACAGAGCTATCAGTACCTGAGTCAAGATGTCGCCACTGCACTTGTGGTATAAATAGAGGAACGAGACAATACTGCTTTGATCGTGCCTTACACTCTTCCATGTGTTATTATTATACGAAACACCAATCTGAGCTAAATTATCCAGCAACTTTTTCCCCCTCGGAAGACAACCTCATAACAACACCTTGTCACTATCTCGACCGAGATGCATCGTGTTATATGTATAGCGTAAAAATGTATTGGTAAATGGGCTGTTTGAGAATGAAAAAGTTAACATAATGCTTTTAGAGCAGCGTGGCTTTGCATGACCAATGGTAGAAACCATAAACAAACAAAACTAGTGCTCCACATTATGGGAGTGAGGGCACAAGTTCCAGTACCACAACATGACGTACTGGTAGCCCAAACATACGAGCAATTATGATCAATCAAAAGTCGTATGCGTGTAGTATTTTTGCCGGTAGCCCGCACTTCGATGTGTCCACTTCGGTGGCATGTATATCGACGCGACCCAGCTCGTGGGCTCGTCCATCTGTGAGAAATTGTAAAGCGCTGAGAGACATCACAATTCCGGAATCGGCGCCGTCGAGAGCAAGGAGCGATATACTTTTGTCGTTGTATTCGAGTGTCCAACAAGAGAAACACTTCGAAGACTTCAGGCGAGTGATGCTGTCTACACCAATGAACCCAACTGCGTCTTGTTGAAGCTTCCAATCGAGGTTGGGCATGAATCCGGTGGGCTTTCTCCAGCAGGCGACTTCGCTTAAGGATCGAGAAGGGTCATCGTAGATAGTATCGAAGGTCGCTATAGTCTGTGAGAAGAAGAAAAAAAACTCATCTGGGCAATCTTTGATGGCTCTTACCAGACACAATATCGGCGGAAACCGGGGCGACAATGGCAGCTATTTGGAAGAGGCGGGATGCGAGCATATTTGAGAGGCCTTCCAAGTTATTAGCGTTGTTTGTGATGGTACCGCAGTAAGTGATTGGCAGGATGGTAATTTGGTACTGATAGAACCATGAAAGACGGAGGAGAAGTGGGAGGGACGGGAGACTCCCTAGAAGTAGCAGATTTGCAATGGGGCAACAGCCAGGGTTACGAAAATGATGATTCCGACGCCTGACAAGCCACCATGCACATACATGGCGTTATCTCTTCATTGGCCAGTGCACAGCCCTCGAGTTTGGTTTGTTTGTCTTCGTTTCATCAGTTAGTTAATTCGTCTATGCAGACAACCCAATGTGACGATATTCCGCAACTTCCATTCTAGGTCTCCACGCAGCTAGCAAAATACGAGAAAACATACCTCCATTAGCCTACCTAATGATGGAGAATGAAAGAGAAAAATGCCGACAGCTTAAAATAGCATATGGAAATGTTTGCAACTGAGAGCTCGTCCGTTATAAAACAGAGATGAATATCTCCTCAGTCTTTCAAGATCCGCTTATCTTCTGAACAATTTACATCGTTCGGAGTCCACTCGGTACACTTCATAGGCTTCAAAGATCATCAAAGTACGCCATTCTACTTGTTCCCATGTCTATGATTCACAAATGTCCGCTAAATCCTTGCAGGTTATCGCCATGAAGACCTTTCAAGCCGCGCTGCTTCTTATGGTCTCGATTGCCTCGGCTGTTCAACCTAACAACCTTGCTACACGAAGCATGCATGCTCAGCAACTCTGCGGAAGTCTTGAAGTCATGAAGATGGACATCAATCAAATTCCCGACGGCATTTCCCTGGACAACGTCCGAATGTGTGAGGGGCACCCTCTCGATCAGGACACGATTGATATATTAGATGGGGCATCACTAGCTCCCACCAACACTAACCAACACAGTGACAAATTGGCACCTTCTCTCCATCTTAGGGCAAGGCGGGCTTGTTATTATGCTGCCCCTTATGGCTGCACCAGGGGATACTGCTGGAAGTCCTGTGATGCTGACGGCAAGTGGTGTTGGACTGCCGCCCATGGTGGATACGGTGCTTGGGCAACGTGTAAGACTTTTGAAGACTGCGGTCAAGATGATGAGGCTTTTGGTTGCGGGAAGCGCTGCCAACGTTGCGGCTGCGGCTGCTGATTGGACTCACTGTATTGGAAGTAGGATTAGGCCCTTTATAGACGATTGTTTCCAAGGAATTTTTAAAAAATAGAAGGTCCTCTTAGACAGAGACCAGATTAGTCTCAAATTTAGCCGGCTGTTGTAATTTCATCTTTGCAAGGATACTCGGCAATTGGTTTTTCATTTCTTATCAAGCCGTAACAAACCATCTAATTACGAATTAATCTTACCCACGCTTCACAGGGCATTGAATAAAGGGCACAAGCTGATACCGATGCTACATACGCATCACAGCTGAATCATTATGCCCCTAATATGGGGTAGAAGGAGGCCTCGCTCTTCTGCTTTTCAGAATTACGACGCAATCGGATTTGCCCGCAGGGCTGCACGCAGGGCTGACAAGCACCAAACGGTCAGTTGCTTGAATACGTAAGATGGGGTTGTCTCAAGTGGAGCTTCTCGGTGACAGCTCCCGTGTGGGTTCCTCCTTGAGGCTCGTCAGCAAGGCTCCTCGTCTTCCGCTCTGCTAGTACTTCATGGGCGACGCAAGGCTGTCATGTGCTTCACAGCTGGGGCACGGGCGCAAGCAATTGCAAAGTTTCTCGGCTATTGAATGCAAAATTATGTAATTGCGCTGCCCTGATGCGCAAAGGTTCTGAATGCTTGTATTAGCCGCGTGTATAGTGGATATAAGTCGTCGTCATCTCATACGCATCACGACGCTTGCGCTAACAGGGGATCTCCTTACAACCAAACGCTCCCACATCCCTAGCGTTATATTAACTCTATATATAAGGTGCACAAGCCAAGCTTTAGATTAGAAAACACAGCATTTCGGATCGCGCCGAGCCATACAAGTTGGATCTAGCCAAGAGATTTTACGCGCGTCCTAGCAGCATGGGCCAGTTACATTGACATGGTCAGAGGACTTGTGTTCTTCACAATAAATATTCCGTCGTTGAAATTACACAAATAGGAAAATTATTGAACAAAAGTCCAGACAATAGCAGCTGAAATATGTTATACCATTTTTCTTTTATACTGTCTCTCTTAACATACTTGAGTACGCAACGATGTTTCCTGTAAGTGCTCTTTTGACTAAGCAATCTCTCAATGTTTGCTTGATATGCTCTATATTAGCGTGTCAATTGTTCTCTATGATGCTTAGTTACGGTTTAAAAAAAGCCATAACTATTGAATCGACGAATGTTGATGAAACTTGAACATCACTGCAGTCTGCCCCAAATACGTGATCATTTACATCCGCTACATGGGATTATATCTCCCCCAAGCCGGCAGTCCAGATCAAACCTCCTCTAGGTTTTCTCAAAATGCTCATCTTATTGCATAATTAGGCTATAGCTCTAAATTATAGTGGTTTGGACTACGGTTGCATCAGGCCGTCAAAGTCTCTCAATTATGAGCACTCTGTGCATCACTCCAGGGCCATTGGCTCTCCTTTATTACTAATATCCAAGAGATGAAGGCCGAATGAATTATAAACAATTTCTCGGCCCGGTGGCATTTATCTAGGGTTGATTATTAATATCGAATCTCATTGTTGCAACATGTGACCACATATTGGTCCACCGTCTCATGCTCCCTAGCGGCATGGAATTTCCACTCAGCGACATCATCGATATCGTCGACAAAAAGGGAATCGACTTGCAGGAAGTAGAAGTGGACGCTGCCACCGGATTCTTTTTCTCTTTATTTGACATTATTGTAAGGGTAGGCACACTCGATTTTCTTGTTACTCTTTGCATGTAGTAGGGAACACTCAGCTTCAAACAACCAGGGGTAGCTGTCATGACACTTCTACTACGCCTAAGAACAAAAGAGGAGAGAAAGATGGAAAGAAAACGCTTTCACATTCGCCGGTAGAAAGATGACAACTATGACGAACTGATTGCATATAGCTTAGTATTAGTAAAGTTAGCTCTTACAGACGGTTTAACCAAGAGTTGCCTATATGCAGTATGGATGAACCAGCCTCTGCTGAGTCCGTGATATTATTTCACAATCGAAAGAAAAATTAAGAAGTCTTCCGACTAGTATTTCATATCTTGCAAATATTTTCATCCTATGTTAATAACTTGTACTAGAATCACCGTATTATAATAGTAGTAGATACACTATCGGAGATAGGTGCGTTCTCAAGATGGTACTTCGGCTTGGGCACGACGTAAATCGGCATATAAGCATTCTTTCGTGGACATGTTTGTGCCAGGCAGATATTTTTGTCAAATTTTCTACCTTTTCACTACAATTGGGCGAAAACATTTCGGGTTTCCTTCCTTGCCGTGCTTGTTGCCGTGCTGGTGTGTATGATTAGATATTCCCACTATGTGTAGGTCTGGCATTTCGCACCTGTGGATGCTGATGTCACATCATTTGTAATATAGACGCTTGCGCAATTTATTACGTTGAATCCCATGGTTTTGTTATGCGCATTCGCAAACAATTCACATATTCCAGGTGATACACAGGAGATAACCACACCGGAACTCGGCCGTCGAGCAGGTTCCTAGTCGGGCAAGGCGCATCGATTCTTACCCCATTTTGGCTGTGATTGAGATCTCAAGCATTGCCGTTGCATCTCCCGAGACTCAAATCAGGAAAAACTGATCTCTTGAGGGCGTTATTGCTTTGAGATGCCAAGAAGTTTACTTCCTGAAATAGGAATTTTCCTCCATGCATTATTTTCTGAAACATGCGGATAGTAAACTCGGATCTGGTCAGAATTCATAATTGGATGGAAAGAAGTTGGCCAATCTTGCCTGCGCTTACACAGCAATGAGATCCGTATATATATATATATATGCTGTATACTCTCATAGTTTACATCGTCTCTATCAACAAAAAAACGAGATCAAACTCAAATACATCAGAACACAAATTATTCGGCACTTCGTCTTCAACATGTCGACCCAACAAACTGCCAAGACCCAATATGTCCAGAGTCCTACCGGGACCAAGTACGCCTACCGCCGCATTGGAGCAGCTACGGGAACTCCTTTGATCTGTTTAGGCCATTTCAGGTCTACAATGGATCACTGGGATCCATTGTTGATCAATACTATTGCTGCGCGCCGGAACGTGATTCTCTACGATTATCCTGGCGTAGGTCGGAGCACCGGGCAAGTTGCTTCAACAATCCGCCAGATGGCTGCTGACGTGCACACTTTCCTCGGCCTAATTGGGATCGTAGAAATTGATGTTCTGGGATTCAGCATTGGTGGAATGGTAACCCAACTCGTTGGACTCAACGCCCGGGAGTATGCTGCTCAGGCTTATTGGGAGAGAATCCACGAGCTAGGCGTGGAGAGCTCTGGTGAAGAGTACGTTAAATTTCTCAGTGACGGTCTGACTGATGGAGGCGACGGCATGAACACAATGCGCAACGGTATTACCGAGTTCTTTACGCCTGAGACTTCCCAAGGTCTCAACGGATCCTATGACAGACTTGCGGAGTTGAAGATGCCAGTTCTGGTTGCGAACGGCCATGTGGGTTTCTTTCGCCATTTGGGTCAACTACCTGTACTTATGTTAACATCTGTTTGCTGTAGGACGATTATATGCTCCCCACCGTCAACAGTTGGGTTATTCAGCAAAAAGTACCCAATGGAACTCTCATTGTTTACCCGCGAAGTGGACACGGCTTCCTCTTCCATTTCCCAACCCAATTCGGTAGGGATCTGCTGAACTTTTTGGAGTCTTGGACTTTTGGTTCCATGACCTTCCCTTGGTGACCAAGAACATCGTTCATAGATCCTCTTCGAGAAACCATTGCAATTGTCGCATAGATTTGTCAACTTGTCCATGGAGGAAACCATTGTCTAATCTGGAAGAGGCGAGAAATTCTGCGTCTCTACTTGCAAACCAGCGTATAACGTACTCTTGAATAGCACCAATCTCCCAGATATCTGAGGGTTTAGTCTACAATATTATATCATATATGTTATATGGTACTATGCTTATCGCTTCACTCAAGAGTTTTGCTCAGGTCTTCATCTATGGGCTCGGGCCACGTCGGTGTCAATCAATCAGCTGGCTTCCTCAATAGAATATAACCCTACCCAGCATTACATATACAGATTTCTGGCAAATATAAGTGTACTAGCATTTTTGAAGTCAAATCTATGCATACTCTGAGTACCAACAGACAGACCCATGATCCTTTGAGATTTATAACAAATAGGTTCTAGTAAGAGAACTGTGATAGTTGGTGAACGCCAGAGCCTACAACTTAGCGACAACCACCCTAGCAACACCTCCAGAAACAACAACTTTCTGGATACTATCAAGGGTTTTTCTTGCGTACAGGTTGGTATCTAGACACTGTGGCGTATCCTCTGCCTTAATCCCGACGGTTTTTGGACTCATCCCCTTTCTGATTTCGGCCGGTTCAATCCGGCTAAGAAGACATAAGCTGTTCAAACGACTTCCAACTTTTGACACCAATCCAATGTGGCCCAGAAGTTGCCTTTAGGTTGCATCAGCGGGTAGTAATGGTATCCTTCAAATGGTACTCAGTGACAAAAGGCGACCTCATGGGACTTTTCATCTGGCAGAAGCTTCAGGAACTGCGCCTCGCTCTGGTTGCTAAAAATAACTTAGATCATTTTGAATCGAGCACGAGGCCCATACTACTCTCTCCATTTCAATATCGCGGAACTGGCACGTGGAACATTTAATGTGTGTCTCTCTGAGAGTTCTCCATCTCCGCTGGAGGTAAGTACATAGCTTTTGTGTTAACTCAGCCGCGGTCCCGCTATTTTAAGTTGTCATAACTATACTAATCAACAACGAGCGAAACATGAATGGCAAGGAACCTAGGTCTGGGTATGGTGAAATTTGATTCGAAGCTGTGGGAGGCTAAGATGCGGTTATTGGACTTGGCATCCTCTATTCTTCTAAGAAGAAGGAAAGTGCTTTTAGTCAACCTACCCTGAGGTAACATTCGAAGGGAACAAGGAGGCCGTAATATCGTTTCCTAGCTAGCAGATGTATGATAACTATATATATGCCTATTAATAGGGCAACATATTTATTTCAACATGAATGGCAAGAGTTATCTGTAATATTATGGACATGGGCTTTCTTAAGCCAGATGAACATGATATCTAGTATGTGCGAGGATCCAAAAAAGCATAAATGCAGATTTGTGTATTCTCCCTTACTTTTAAGCGAGCACCTTATGAGTTCTATTGTTATCATCAAGCTTCGCATTTGGGCAATTCTTTATTGACGGCTCTCAGCCATTAAGCCTCAGCTACGAGACACCGCCACATCGTTCAGGGCGACTTTACCGAATGTGACAGAGCAAGGGTGGTTAGCATCACAGCCTCCCTGCGTTGTAAAATGGGGCTGTGCTGTTGTCTAGACCGTCGTAGGGCTGAAGTCAATAATGACAGCAGGGGGGTCATCGTGAAATGCTCTACTTCACTTATTGGTTATCAATATTGACTTTCCTAGAGCTTTCTATCTACCCGAGGCCTCTACTACAAAAATCATCACAACATCCCTAATGCGCATTTATCTCATTACTACCAGAACCAGTTGCGCCCTCTGCATGAACTCGAACCAGGCTTACGTTACGCGTAAGGAGTTTATTTACCGAAATCGTTAGCTACAGAGTTCGTAGGCTCGGCTCCCCTGTTTGCGGCAGAATCCTCGGCCAGCCTACCTAATGCAGTCACAGGGTACCCTGACTCCATATTCCAGCTCTGAATCCACCTGGCTGCATGCATATCGAACTGTCAATAACACGCGAAGGTGCTGTCAAAACCCATTGCTTTACATTTAATGTAATAGGTTGGATAAATATTGGTAAAGGTACTATGCGGAGTTGATGGCTCATGGGAGATGCCTTTTCACTCAACACCGATGCGCTCGCTAAGGAATGGTTACAAACCACGTTGGCTTGCGTGAGTCAAGGCGCTACATGATGCTTAGTGAACCAAAGAAGACACAAACGCTTATAGCCGCCATGCATGTCTTAAAATTATACAATTTGCTTGAGTATAACCGCTCTGGTATAAAAAGTTCCGGCACTGGCGCCCAGAAGTCACGCTCTATACAAGACGACAAAAAGATGAAAAGAAAAGCCAGCCCTTCCCTAAGCTAAAGATACTATGTACACCGTGTAAATTCTTCTTTTTTTTTTTTCTTTTTTCACAATACATGGGCTTGATAGCCCATAAATATTTACCGGTGGCGGTATGGTTCATACGCCGTATTTGTGTTATCGAAGGTGGGAGCCGGCGCTGTGGTATGACCGGAGTGAGTTGATGAACCAGATCCCACATCGACCTTTTCATAATTGTAAGTGCTCTTCGGTGAAGAGCGACGCGCTTCGGTACGGCCCGAGCAGCAGCATGAGCTGAAAAGCCAGAGAACTGAGCTTGCAAGGGATAACGCTGCAGCAAGCCACGATGCAGCAAAGAGGTTGCCGCCCAATTGGGCAGTAACACCGTAATCTTTGAGTGAGGTGTTGAAGACGCCGGCCAGCACCACAAAGAGAGCGGTCGAGGTAATGCTTGCAGCGAACATGAAGATAGTAGCAACCTGTGAAATTGCGTTGGTAAAATGACATGCGAATGGCCCATATGCGATAGATTTAGATTCAGACTTACCACGGCTACGACGGTTGTGGCCAGGCTTCCTATACGGCTGAAAATTGCCGAAAAGCCAACAAGTAGCTGAAGGCAAGTGGCGGCAAAGGCAAGGACATATGAAACAAACATCCAGTGAGACACCTTTTGGTAAGTCTTCAGCTCGGACTGGAGATGCGTTGGGAGCAAATCGGGCACGCCGCTAATGTTCAAGTGCCAGACCTCAAGCGGGTTGAACCAGAAGCTTCCTTTGGGCTTGCTACAGAAGTCCACGTCATATTTTCCATGTTCCTTGTCTCCAGTACAGTAACCGAATAGACCAATGTTGTAGAAATCGCGGAGTTCCGAGGCTTTCTCGGCCTCTTCCAGAGCGGCGGCAAGCTCCTCGGTGGCATTTCTCATGGCGGTCGAGGTGAGGTTCAGGAGCTGGTCGCCGAACCTCGTTGCTTCAACGGTCGTGACATTGGAAAGATCGGCCTGTAGAAGATTGTTAGAGGATTTTGGGCTGATTGTAGTTGAACTCAGCGATGCGAGCCAAACACTCACTCTCATAAAAAACAGCTTGTTTAGTGTAGCTGAATCAGAGTCCGTGGAACCGATGCCCACGAAAATGATGGCGACTAAAGCTCCAATCGTCCATAGATATGGCACCGCAATGCACGCGATGCGACCTCCCTTACCCATTTTCGAATAGAAGACGATACGGTACGATTAAAGATTTGACAAAGAAGGAACGAGAGTCAACGCAGAGAGCTCGAGATTTGCCAATTATCTATGCCACTCTCTGGCGAAAAGCGGCTCAAAACATACAAGCAGAGCGTGCGCAGAGTAAGTACTAGACTCTATGCCGTAGATATTTCTTCAACAGAAAAGGCGTTTGCCATAATAAATGAGCCAAGACCATCTGTTCGACGCCAATGCATAGCAAAGTCCTAATTAGCAAACTAAGTATAAATTTAGAATCAGCCTAGAAGCGGGCCGGTCATCATGAGCTCAGCCACGCTGGCATTAGATATCTGACAGTGTGGAGCTGGACCCTGAAGCGAAGATGACACGGTCGAGAAGCTTAGTATTATTCTGGTTAGAAGCTGACAGCCACGGTAGGGCAGGATCGCCCATTTCTTTTCCTGGAGAGGTGCCAGAGTCGCACCGGCGTTCAGCTGAGCGAGCTCTGGCTTACAGTTCAGAAGACCGTCAAGGATCGGCATTGTTAAGTAAACAAATCGGGCAACAACCAGCCCAAGCTATCCACTGAGGATAACCTTAGGATAGACTCAACACCGAGCTCTGCGTCGGAATTTAATCCCAAGATCGGTCCAGGTTTGTTGAGCTGGTCCCATTACGTAGCACGGCGCGAAAAACTAGCACACTATCTCTCTAGTGTCTTCCTCGCCGCCACATCCGGGTGGTTCTTTTGCGGCTCCCTAAACCTGTCGGTTGCTCGTGAAAGCAATGGTGCGAAAGGTGAAGGATCCAGGATCCATATCAGCCCAATGGAACATTACCGAATATGCCCGTGCTAGGAGATGCCTGTGATCGCATCATATGCCCGCATAGGTGTCAAGAATTTGACTGCAATTTTGTACTTGGTAACTATTTCTAGTTTGCTCACGACTCTTTACCCAATGATTGGTATTGAAGTGCAGAGTGCAGAATGCAGAATGCAGAGTCAAGGCCGAGGTTTCTTGTGCCAAATCATCGTCGTGTAACTTGGGGTGGTTAGAAATAGAACACAACACAAAGCAAAAACTAATCATGTCAAATTACATCAAGTTCAGGATCTAAACTAGGATTCCTAAGGTGTTTTGAATACATGTCTGTGTAAGCACCCAACTTCACCGCAGCTTTGTGAAGTTAGGCTGTGTTTGCGGGTCGCCGTCAGCCCAGGGTGGGCTGTGAACCTCATTATGCCTCGATTCTTAAAACTATTTGGGGCAAGCGCTGGCCCTAAAAAAAGAAAATACCTTCGATGGAGTCGAGCTATCCTAGCTTTATATGAGGCTCTGAGTTGGCGGATTGTGGGCAAGCTCAGATAAATATTCACGAGCACAAGCTCTACTCCATAAGCAGTCAAGCCAAGAGAGTAAGAGTACCGCAACACTTAAGAGTAGTGTCGTGGCTCCAATCCTTTTCTCTCTCCTCTCTCCATCCATCTTGTTATATTAGTTGTGCAGCGTTTTGTCTTGTTTTGGCCTGCCCTTTATTCCTTTGTCTCTATAGAAGTGATGGCTTGGTTATCACGCCTCTCCGCTGTCGCGGCTCTCGCGACAGTGTCCCTCGCTGCAGAAGCATCAACAACATCATCAAAATCTTCCGCCGCCGAGCCCTGTGCACAAATTGCGGCTTTGTTTAAGAAGAACAGTAAGCCATGACTCTGGTATTGCACCTCTACGTCATATTGTCTAACACGAATTAGCATTCCGATTTTCAAGTCAGCTTGGACTTGCCTGTTTGGAATCATTACCATTCAAGTCCGACCTTGCAGTGAGCTTCGTCGATGAGTACACCAAATACCTTCAATGGCAGTCTACCACCGAGATTTTGAGAAGTAAGTCTTATCTTTCGTCCTCTCTTTTCATGTACCGCGGTCTAATTTTGCGTCTCTAGATCCACCAAAAGGCTCTCTGTCCGCCACCGTAGATCTCTTTGGTGGCATGGCAAATATCCGTGAAAGAGCAGCCGCGAATCTATACCAGTCTCAATACGACTTTGACCTCGACTTGGACCATCTCCTCGGCTTTGCGAACGATGGCCATCTTTCCATTCAGCCTTGCTCATTCGTCATTCCTTTCATCAACCCTATTTCATTAGTTTCGCTGTCCAAAGATGGTGTCTCTATTCCTCAAATTTACACTTCCAGTGCGTATCTATCCCTCGTCCATAACCAGATATAGTTGTCTAATTAAGCTTGGGAAATAGCGGACGGCACACTGCTGGCAAGCGGAAACACAGACGTATCCCCTGTCATACTTATCAACGGAGTTGGTACTGAGGTGTATCTCGAGGAGCTCTCCGAGAATGTCGGTCTTCAGGACCCCGATGCTCGATACAATTCCATGCTGGCCAACGTGCCCATCAGTCGCGATGGCTCGCCGAACCCCGGTGGCTTTTCGTTCTTTGGCACATTCCCAGGCGTCCATGAATTCAACCTGACATTCGCCAACGGAACCGAGGCTTCTTTCCCTCTCAGCGCAGGCATCAGCACAACAGTCGGCGACTTCACTTTCCAAAGTGGCGATGAGCTGTGGAAAGCCGTCTGTGACCCTGCATCTGCTAAAACTGAAAAGAGATCTATCCAGGACATTAAGAAGAAGGTCAAGCGTGCAGATGGCGATGCAAAGGAGCTCCCTGCACCTGAGACATACCCCAAGCCTACTGTCAAGGATCCGTTCAACTTGTTGGTCGGATATCTTCCTGACGACTCAGCACTCAAAGACGTCGCTGTCTTGACTGTTCCTACATTTGAGACTTCCGGCGATGGCCTCCCAGATGACCAGATTAAGAACTTTGCTCTCGAGGCTCAAGATTTTGTTCACAAGGCTGTCGCTGCCGGCAGGTCCAAGATCATCATCGACGTGACCAACAACGGCGGTGGTGTTGTCGACTCGGGCTTTGGTTTGGTCAGCATCTTCTTCCCCAACATGACCATCTTCTCAGCAACCAGGTTCCGCTCCGTTCCTGCAACCCAGTTCGTTATTGAGACCATCAACCGTGTCAAGAACCCTAGGGACTCACCACTGTCCAATCTCGGCTTCTTTGTCCCTGAGCTCATCAAGCCGGACCAGAAGTCTACATTCAAGTCTGTGAATGATTTCCAGGGTCCCTTTTATGCAACCGGTGTCCCCTCAACGGCAATTGTCGCCGAGAACGACTTTATCGAGACAGACTCGAAAACTGCCCCCATCAACATCTTTGGTCTTGGAGGAGGCCTCAACGGAACATCGCCGCCTTTCAAGCCCGAGAATATTGTCATTGTAAGCAACCATTCCTTCCCTTGATAAGCCCACCCTTGGCTCTTTTACTAACAGTTACCACCAGCTCACTGACGGCCAATGCTCCTCCACTTGTACCATCTTCATCAACCACATGATTCCCTATGGTGTCCGTGTTTTCGCTTCAGGTGGCCGACCGCAAAACGGTCCCATGCAAGGAATCGGCGGTGTCAAGGGAAGCCAGGTTCTCGACATTGCAACCATCTCGGCTATTTACGATGAGGCCAACGGACTGGTGCAGAATGCCACTGACGCCAAGAAGCCTCTTTTCACCGACAAGGAATACGCCGTGTTTTCGGGTGCCATTCCCACTCCCCTTGAGAAGCTGCCCATCAGACTCAACGGAGGATCATTCAACTTTAGAAACGCATTTGCTCCATTCAACGATCAGCTTCCTACCCACTTCATCTACCAACCCGCAGACTGCCGCTTGTTCTACACCGCCGAGATGCTTGCCAAGCCCGAACTGCTCTGGGTGAACGCCGCCAATGCCGCCTGGGCCAAGGGAGCATGTGCCTACGCGAGCACATCTCACAAGGCCATCAAGGCTGCCAGCACCCCATCCTCGGGATCTGTGGAGTCTGCCCCGACTTCTACAACGGCCCCTAAGGCAACCTCTACTGCAGCATCCGACGACCACAAGACAGAGTCGTCTGATGACACAGCTGCTCCTAAGAAGAAGAAGACCCAGTCCCCAGCCCACAAGGCACTTGGCCTGCTATTGGCCATGGCCGAGGGATTGAGGCCGCAATAAATGATTTGTTTGTTTAGAAAGGGATATGTACCCAAATAGACTGGGCTTGTATATAGAAAGATTTAGTCATCGGATATACCATTTCAATTTTTAGTTCATTTTACAATTTTACTCTTAACAGCATCTCATTTTTTTCCTCGTGATCGTTCCCGTAGGCTTCCACAAATCATCTCATTACACTCAACAGTTGTAACGTAGTAATTAGTACATGGTGCATTGAGCACGACTTGGTCAATGAATACCAGTATTTCTGGGAGGTGAAAACGACACATCTAGCTCCTCAGCTTATTCCCAAACTCTCAGTGCTTTGCGGTGTCTCTATGCGCAGGGTACCAACAAAGTGTTTTTCAGTCCTGCCATCTCAATACAACTGCATATAAGCGGTGAATGGAATCTCAACATAAAGAAAACACACATCGGTTTACCAATCTATTAGCTGAGCAAAAAATAGGCAACCAATACGTTAGTAAAATAAATTCATCAACGTCTCTAGTAAGCGACTACGTACATATTAGCTACCACACCATATGCAGCGATCCTGAGCTCAAATACTACTGCATCTTCAGTTATATACAATCCAAATAAAGGAGAAGCGGAAATCATTGGGCTCCGATTACTGCCAAGACCCTCCTAGCACACATGCACTGTAATGTGCATGTACTACTGAAGCTAGCATCTCAGGTCACATCTCGTGTCGATGAAAGTCTTGGAACTGCGGCGCCAAGTCTCTGCCATGACCCTTGCCGTCTTCTGTGCCTCATTGGTGGCGCCGAAGCCACAATTAGTTACGTTGGAGAACGCCCAAAGGCGACTAGTGCATACCTTATCGGCAATTCGGTTGTTCAATATCCATTCTATATGGAAGGAAGAAATCTTGTCCACGGCTAGTTAAGCCAGTCAATGTTTAGCCAAAAGGACTCAGACTCAACATCTCAAATGATGAAGCCGTACAGCAGCAAATATGATGCTGCCTTAGAGCTGATGCTGCTGCCAAGTGCCAAGCTGGACTACGGATGAATATCTGGTCAACAATCTCTAGGGCCAATATAGATGCATACGGCAGTCAGTCCCGGGAGATACAGTAGAAACCCCAAGGCGGGATGTGGGGGAGCCAAGAGTCCAAGACAAGACTCAAGTGTCATTGTGCATGCTAGTAAAGACGGGCTTTTCAACGGTCACAAGGAAACCCCCGAAATAAACTTTTGGAGAGGACGCATTTTGAGTCCCCATAGCTTCCATTTCGAAGACGCCAGCTCAACCTGCGCAGCCAGAGCTGTGGATCCAGATTTTCCATGAATCCGCATCCATGAGTGCTTCCAAAATAGCCAGCCTCACAGCACTTTTGTTGTGTCCAGGAGGGATTCGTAGCGCATGTGAAAGCCTGTGTAACTCGGGGGCATACCCCGAGATGCAGCAAAGACAAAGGAAATCTCGAACACTATTTGAAGGATAACCATGTAGCTCTTGGTGACCGTCCTATGGGAATGCTGCCCGTGTGCACGAATCCTGGTAGGCCCAAGAGTTGTGCGGCCTGACATGTGGTTGTGGAGCGTTGGATGCCACACCAACCATGGGACAATAGTCCAATATGGAAGCTGAATACACAAATATGAATACGAATGAAGGAATGCTTCCCTTGCCTTTGGTCATGGAGGGCTGGAGAATGGCAGTCAAATGACCGGGCTATCTCGGTGTTTGATACATGTAGCCAACCTTGTTTCCTCTCCCCCTACAAATCTCCCCGAACATACAGCACCTAGAATTGGGAAAAAATACAAGTAAACTCGACTGATGAGTTAAAACTGAAAACTACTACATACACGTAAACAGAATGTCTTTAATATGCTCTGTCCTCATTGGCGGGTAAATCCAAGCAATAAGCCACCGGCATCTCGGCAACCTCTCAGCGAGGGCATGACTCCATCCCCCACACACGTTGGACTGTTTTGAAGCGAGGCCATCCCCAGCCTTGGCCCAAAAGGTCGTCCAGAGCCGTGTGAGATGCGGGGATTCAGCCCTCTGCGGGGAGTTTTGCTGGGGAACCTGCTTCGTTTCCTGGCTCTGATTTGCCGTTGCCCTTGAAAGCGGAACCACAGGCGCCGTGCCTAGTCCATCCTCCACGATTTTCCCCCATGGGCCACGGCCTTGGGGATGGGGTCTGGGGTTGGGGAAAGGGAGAAAAAAAGGGCCATGAAGCGTGAGAAGGCGAAAAAAAACTACAAGGGATAACGGCCCTGTTCGCGGTATGATGGTATATCCACCTTTATCCCGCCAACCGATGCGCAGCTACGGGCGTTAGCGCACCGCAATATGGATGATCGGCCTGGTTAACGGTTGTTGCTGACTTGTGGATGGGGATGAAAGGATGAATTGGATAAAATAGAGAGCTCCCGTTTGTATATCAAGGGCAGGAGACCCCTCCGGCTGGTGTTTGTTTTACAGTAGTGGCATCGTCTGTTGTTGGGAAGTCGAAGTCGCCAAGATGAAGTTCTTTAAGAATTATCGTGTGTATATTCTCACATCGGTGGCCTATCTGGGCTCACTGCTCTTTGGTGCGTTTACCTCCCTTGTTTTTTTTTTTCCTTTCCTCACAACATCTGGGAACAAACTACCATAGTTGCTTCTCTCTTGTTTGCAGTCTTCATCGCCATGTCCCAGGCTTTCATAGCACAATTAACGAAACCGACATCCATACAATGCCCCTGCTAACATCCTCTCTCTTCAAGGTTACGATACGGGTGTCATGGGCAGTGTGCTCGCACTCAAGAGCTTCAAATCAGACTTTGGCCTGCCCACAGACTCGAGCGGCTTCGCATCAGCCGAAAACGCCCATGTGTCGTCCAACGTAGTGTCCCTCCTCACGGCCGGCTGCTTCTTCGGCGCCATCACGGCCGCATTCCTCAACGAACGCTTCGGCCGACGCTATGCCCTCATGCTCTTCACCGTCATCTTCCTCATTGGTGCGGCAATCCAGACGAGCGCGTCTCACGCTATTGGTCAGATCTACGGCGGCCGTGTCGTTGCCGGCTTCGGCATCGGTGGCATGTCCGCCATCACCCCGGTCTTCGTCAGCGAGAACTGCCCGCCGGCAACCCGTGGCCGTGTCGCCGGTCTATTCCAGGAGTTTCTCGTCATCGGAAGCACCTTTGCCTACTGGCTCGACTACGGCGTGTCTCTGCACATCAAGCAGAGCACCAAGCAATGGCGTGTCCCCGTCGGCCTCCAGCTTGTGCCGGGTGGCCTCATGCTGTGCGGCCTCTTCTTCCTCAAGGAGTCGCCGCGATGGCTGATGAAGAAGCAACGCCATGAAGAGGCCCTGCGGTCGCTTTCCTACATCCGCAACGAGGCCCCAGACAGCGTCGCGGTGCAGAAAGAAATGGCCGAGATCCGAGCCTCGATCGAGGAAGAGATGGCCCTTACCGAAGGCGTCACTTGGAAGGAGTGCTTGAAGAAGGGTAACTGGAACCGCTTCGCGCTGGCCTTTGGCATCATGTTCTGGCAGCAGTTCTCCGGAACCAACAGCATCGGATACTATGCTCCCGAGATCTTCGAGACAGTCGGCGTCAGCAGCACAAACGCCTCGCTGTTTGCAACTGGCGTCTACGGCACCGTCAAGGTTGTTGCCACGGCCATCTTCCTGGTGCTCGGCATCGATCGATGGGGCCGCAAGAAGAGTCTGATCGGCGGTGCCATCTGGATGGCCAGCATGATGTTCATCATTGGTGCCGTTCTGGCGACGCACCCGCCCAACCCCAAGAGCTCCACGGTTTCGTCGGCGTCCATTGCCATGGTTGTCATGATCTATCTCTACGTGATTGGATACTCTGCATCCTGGGGCCCGACGCCTTGGGTCTATGTCTCTGAGGTGAGAGATTATTCCATTACTCCATATATCCACAATAGCCAAGTATGTCTTCATCTGCTAACCAAGACTCAACTTTATAGATCTTCCCTACGCGCCTCCGTGAATACGGTGTCGGTCTCGCCGCCTCAACGCAGTGGCTGTTCAACTTTGTCATTACGGAAATCACGCCTGCTGCCGTCAACCACATTGGCTGGCGCACCTTTATCATGTTTGGATGCTTCTGCTGCGGCATGTGCGCGTTTGTCGTCTTCTTTATCAAGGAAACCAAGGGCCGCACACTCGAGGACATGGACATTCTGTTTGGCCTCATCAGCGAAGACCAGCGACAGGCGGACGTGGAGCATGTGCTTAACAAGGGCGTTGAGCTGGAGCACATTGAGCGCGAAGTTACCGCCGACAAGACGGTGTAACGGATGGAAACGATGAATGAATGAATGAGTGTTGAATAATTATCTTTTCTATATATACCTGTACGAAGCACATGCATCTGTTAATGCGATGGAAGCAATTCGTGATGCTACATACCTTACTTATTGATACCATTGAGTTTCTTAACTTACTCCGCCAACATGAAACCCATGTGATTTAACCCCGTCTCCGTTCTCCATTCAGAACCACGCTACCTACCTACCTAGTAGATTGCTATTACCTGAGTAGTACTCACGTTTGATTGAGTTTCGGTTGTAAAAGACACAGATAATGATAAAAGGAGGTTTGGATCAATTTCGGAATAACGCTTTTCCCTTGCATGTGCCGTGACGCATCGCGTTGCATCACAACCCGGGCGAATGTTGCATCTCGCCGCCCAAAACAACAGGCAATGCAACCTTGAACTCTGCGTCTCCAAAGCTGCATGTAGTATTAAAGGCGAAAGCACCGACATCTCCCATCTCCTTTACCGCCAATTCATAGCTCGTGCATCCGTCCATCGCATATGAAGCCAGCGCAATCCCCCGCCATGAGCTGACGCTGGACACGAACAGAAGAGAAAAAAAAAGGACCAGGGAGAAAAGGGAGAAAAGGGAGAAAGAAGAAGAAACGCTGTAGGTTGTCCTGTTTTGCTCTTGTCCGTCCCGCCTCCCTGTTTGCTTGCCATGGGAGGCATCATGTCATCTGTCATCTGTCATCTGCCGTCGTCATGCCTTGTTTGACATTTGCATGAACGATTGTTATTACTATGATTACCTGCTACTACCAACAAACGCCAAGTCGCCCACGAGTACGAGAGTAGCACAGTTCGCTAACGCGGAAGAGTCCAGAACAAATTAAGCGCCGCTTATCGCCTCGATCCCGAGCTCAAACGTTGTGAAAAGCCCCCACGACCAGACCAATAGTGCCAATCCAATAAAGGCAGCATGGCGCCTTCAAGCGCCACCTCGGGCGCTCTGTTCAGTCCAGCGTCGCTCAACCTGCCACGACCGTCCACGCGCGACCGAGATCATCGAGATCACCGCGACCCCGATTCGTCGCTGTCCGCCGTCCGCAGCAGCAGCAAGGAGCGCAAGGCGTCCTTCTCGTCGCTCAAGGCCTCGCTGCCCGGCTCTCGACGCCGCAACGCTGCGAACGCAAACGCCGCCAACGTCGACGCTGGTGCGCCTGCTGTTCCTGATCTCGCCCAGGCACTTGCTGCTGCGGCCAAGATTGTGACCAAAGAGGGTGCTGTCAAGGAGAAGGAGAAGGAGAAGGAGAAGGAGAAGGAAAAGGAAAAGGAAAAGGAGAAAGAAAAAGAAAAGGAGAGGGACAAGGAAAAGGACAAGGAAAAGGAGAAAGACCAGGAAAAGGAAAGCCGGAGGGACGCCATTGAAGGGCCTCGAGTGCCATTTAGCCCCCCCGATCCATCCACCATGATCTCGCGAGCGGCCACAGTGACCGCCATGCCTCCAGCAACGCCGGTCGACGCGCGTCTGGGCATGAGCAGCACCATGTGGGCGCTGGCGCAGGGTGAGGCTCATGCGCTTCACCAGCAGATGACGGAGACTGCCCAGAAGCGGGTGTCGACGCTGGATTATCTGCGAAAGGCGTGAGTTGCTCTCGTTCCTCCTCATCTTTCTTCTCTATAATGAGACACACTCATGAACTAACCATGATGCGCTTCTACACAGTCACGAAGGCCGTGTCTACTGGTTCAACACGTACCTCTTTGACAAGCCCGATCTCTCCCGCATGCCCAGCTTCGACCCTCGCAAACTCTCCCGCAAGGCCACCAACTACCTGCTCCTCGGCCTCTCCATCCCCACCATCCACGACCTCTACTCCTCCACACCACTCGAGTTCCTCCGCTGCCTCAATGCGCTGCTGGCCGAGTTCGACTCCTTCCAGCAGCTGCACGGCGACTCCTCGGCCGCCGCCCTGACCCGCGCCCGCATCCCCAACATGTTCCGCCGCCCTGGCACGAAAACCCGCCGCTCGACATCAGCAGACGTCACCATTGACGACTCATCGGCCTTTGGCCATTCACCCGCCACCGGCTCGAACAGCGCCGGCCCCGCGCCCTCAGTTATGAACTTTGCGGCCTCCGAGTCCGACCTACTGCCCGGCGAGGAGTATACGTATCTTCTAACGCCATCTCTGCCGTTCGACCCCGACTTCTTCGAGACGTTTGCAACGCTATGCGATGTGCTCATTGACTGCTACACACGCTTCCTGGCATTGGTGCCGTCGCCCAGGGAGTGCTCAGCCCCCATTGCCGAGCTTTTCACCAAGGCGGACGCCAAGATCCGTAAAATCATCGTACAGGGCGTGGTCAAGGATTTTGAAGACCACAGCAGATCGCACGCCAGGTCCGAAGTGGCGGGACTCGGTAAAGTTGTTTTGGGAGGTTTAATGTGAAGCATACATATAAGTGCTGGCTATTTTTTTATTTTTTTTTTTCTTTCTTTTTTCTGCTTTCTTTTCCTTTTGTTTCCCTTTTCTCTGTTACATGGGGTTATGCGGTGCTGGAATCACGACGGCTAGACCTGACCCGAACTGGGATATAATGGTTATTTTTGGACATATTACGGTGGAATTGGGAGCGGCTAAGATGTGAATTATTCGGAGTTATGGCGGGTAGACAGCTATGCGGAATAGTTGAGGCAAAGTGGTATTTGTATGTCTATTTACACGGCCGGAAAAGGGCCAGAAAGAAAGCCATTATGCATCCTTGTACGATGGATTCATTCATAGAGAAAGTGTGTGCTGTTTCATTTCTCTTCAGGAGAGTGATGTTTATCTATGTTCACGCTCATATATACACATTTATATCATACATCATACCAGGATCTAGATTCTACAACGGGAGACTTGCCCAGCGCTTCTTCTCATCGTACATATGCATTCATACAAAATTCGAATTTTCACTTCTTCGCCTTGGCCTCTTCCTCCATGACCAGCAATTCAACCTCCTTGCCCACCAACCACTCTCGCGCCGCCTCCATCACCCTGTCCAGCGTCTCTCCTCCCTCCAGCACATTCGGCAAATTGTGCACATCCAGTCCGGCTCTGTGGTCCGTACACCTGTCCTGGTTGTAATTGTACGTGCGGATCTTGTCACCCCGCGTGATTTGCGCCTGGGACAAGACGCTGCTGCGAAGCTTGGCGGCCTCTTCTTCGCGCTGCTCAGCACGCTGACTGGCAATACGGGAACGAAGCATCTTCCACGCGTCCTCACGGTTGCGCTGCTGCGAGCGATGGTCCTGCATGGAGACAACGGTGCCGGTAGGGATATGCGTCATGCGAATAGCAGACTCGGTCTTGTTGACGTGCTGTCCACCAGCTCCCCTGGCTCGCATTGTTTCAATCTTGACGTCCTGAGGATTGACATAAAAGTCGCTCTCCGGATCCTCGACATCGACATTGTCCCCGCCACTGCCTCCCTCTGGAAACGACGGCAGAACCCAGACGGCCACAGCGCTCGTGTGCACTCGGCCCTTGCTCTCGGTACTGGGGATGCGCTGTACGCGGTGCATGCCGGCCTCTCCGCGGAAGATGTCGTATGCACCTTGGTCTTGGATCTCGAGGATGGCTTCCTGGACTGGCTGTTCACCGGATGACGAAGACTGGTCGCCTGCGGCCTCGGCCATTTCGTACTTGAGCACGTTGGCCCTATAGCCTCGTCGTGCACACAGAGCCTTGTACATCTTGAACAGCGTATCAGTGAAGTACCTGCCCTCGAGACCTCCCGGCCCGGGTCGAAACTCAACCATGCACGGCAAATCGGCGAATGCGTGTCTCGGTGTCAGGCTTTCCTTGAGTCTCTTCTCCAGCATGTCCAGTTTCGCGCGCTCTCCCTCGAGCTCGTCCCGGGCGATAGACGCAAGGTCAGGATCCTGGTCAGGATCCTCCGCCATCGAGACGAGTTCTGTGATTGAGGATTGGGCCGTTTCCCATGCTCGTAGGGCCGAGGCGACGCGGCCCAATTCGCCGGCGCGCTTGGCTTTGGCTGCGTCAAAGGAGCTGTTGAGGCTCTTTTGGAGGTCGTCATGCTCTACGGATAGCGATTGAGCACGTCGGAGGAGGCTCGGGGCCAGAGAAGAGGAAGCATCTTGGGCGCATAACTGTCAGCTGAAGGGTTTCGCTCGATATAGAGAACAAACGGGCTACGGCGCACCATTGGAAGAGAATCGGACAATCTGCAGCTGATGGGACCGCCGCAGAGCTCTGGCGCAGCTGCGACAGATCCATGGCGCTGCTGACATGACTGCAGTTGTCCGCTATGGCGAGAGAAGCTGTGGTTGATGCGAGCTTGAGATTTTTCTTCCCAGCTTGAAGAGGTGGCGGGGCAGTTTAGCATGCGATTTCGCTGGAAGAGATTCGGCACATGTGCTCTACCATGACATCAATTGACATGTTACAGGTGGAATATAATTCTATTCAGCAGTTCATTCGTTTCACCAAAGAGCTCTTTTTATCCAACATTACATAAAAGCTGTTGACTACTAGCATTGTGTTGCGGCTTTCAGTAAATTGAATCTCTATTAGTGATTAAGTCGACCCTTTCGGTATCGATAGCGGGAATCTATGATATGATAACGTTATCGCAGCCACATGCAATCATATATGGTCAACTCCAAAACAAAACAACCGTTTCCAATACATGCATTTTCCCCTTCATCCCTCCCAGCGAATCTCCTTTTTAAATCCTTCACGTTGCTTTTATTCTTGAGATATCATCGATAGCTCCTTGCTCTTCGCAATCTCCCGTTGGCTCGCCCACCTCGCGGCTATTAGAAACATTGCCCCAACGACGAGACAAACTCCTCCCCAGATCTGTGCTCCGATATAGCTTCCATTGGCCACCACAACCAGCTTTCCAGCCAGCGGTGGCCCAGTAAGTGCTGCAACGCTGATGATGGTGAATATCATGCCGATTCGCACACCGCTCTTACTCAGGTCTTTGGTCAGCCCGGCCGTAGTCGCGGGAAACATGCCCTGGATGCCAGCGCCGAAGAAGCCAAAGAAGACGACCCAGACATAGTCTCCGGTGATGGAACCGACCCCGGCCCAAGCAAATATGCAGACGGCAGCGGACAGGATCGTGGGGATGAACACGTTGACGGCTCCAAAGTATCGGTCGGCCAGGAAAGCTGGTACAAGTCGTCCTGGAATGCCAATGGCGTTGATAATCATGAGCATATTGAAAGACGTCGATTGCGATCCGCCAAGTTGATCTATTGAATACGCGCGTGCCTAGTGATTTCTGTCAGAAACATGTGAGACGAAATACAAACGGCGGAACAAGACTCACATAGTAGTATGCAAAATACGTTGCCCAAAGCGTGATGAACATGCTGATGGCAAACAGAACATATGTCAACTCTTTGAAAGCAGACCAGTCGACCAGGGGACCAGCCTTTCGCGCCGGCAGCCTCGTCCTCACGAGCGAAACGATGATGATGCTGCTAGCCAGAACCACGAACCCCATGACTCGTACCGTCCAGCGAAATCCAATCTTGGGAATCAGCTGCTGCGCAATCAAGGGGAAGATGACGCCTCCAGTTCCACCACCGCAAGCCGCCGCTGACAAGGCCAGTACCCTCTTCTTGGAAAAGTACGTCGACATGTTGGCAATCGTCGGCGCAAAGACAAGTCCGCAGCCCAAGCCCTGGCAAAGTCCTTGCGCAAGAAAGAGCTGCCAGTATGTGGTCGACACACTCGTCGTGAAGATGCCCACCAGCTGCATGAGAAATCCCACTATCAGGAAAGTCCTGTAGTATCCAGCGTCAAAGGCACGTCCAGAGAAGGTGCCAATGAGAAACAAGAGGAAAGTCTGGATGCTGCCGATCCAGGATACGGCTGAGGCCTCAAGGTTGAGCATCTGCATGTAGTATGGCTGGAAGATGCCGAAGCTAATGATGTAGCCCCAGGTGTTGAAGACAATAAGATGTCCGGCTACAATCTGAAGCCACGCCCAGAGGCCACCGTCCGGCGGGAGTTCTACAGGATTGGCATCGGCCGTGGCCGGCGCTTCGATGGAGGCCATCTCTTGAGTCTTGTGGCCTGTCATATCCGCCTTTGGCTCCAAGGCGACATCTCCCTCGGTGGAAGATGCTTCAACAGACCTTAAGCCTGTCGCGGATGGTTGTGTAAGTGCCATGATGGCACAAATGTTTCTCTTCCTTCGGCTCTCGTTGGTCTTCTCCCAGTTGGGATTGTCACTTGAGTGGAATATTCACCCTTCAGTTGAGGAAAGTGAAAATACTATTGCGCATACGTGCCTCTTTGACAACCGATACTTGGGAATATTGACAGTCGCCGGGTGTTATCAAGAATGATGCCGATGTCGCTGTTTAGGATCCTGGTACAGAACAGCGACTCTGCGGTACAAGATGCAACGTATGGCACTCTAGGCTGTGTGGTGGAAGCGCTCACGACACTTTCATGAATCAACTATGGTCATGATACAGAGGCCGGTTTCAAGTCATCCAATGCAGTGTAATAAAGAGAAAGGGTGTCCGGGGTACGGAGCAGCGCCAGTCATATACCTGTATGGAAACAGTTGTCACTCGGCTATCCAACTCTGTTTCAACAAGACGGCTCAGAGTCAGGGCCCCGTTGTTCGGCTTTCCTCGTCCGCTGGTCCAATTTTACCCGCCAAGGGGAGTTGGATTATTTGTGATGACGAAAAGGGCCGATGGATACCCTGAAATACTACCAGGCCATCTTACAGCATGACATTATCAACATCAGACAGAATGCTTATAGCAACCGGACTCATGGAAGAATGACTTATACCATCCAAGAGCAGAATGTGATTTCCACGTCTCGATCACATAAAAGATCCCCCCAAGAGGCATCACCTACATACCTACTAAGTCTGTGGTTGAGTGGGTAGGTGGTCGACGGTAAGGCGCGCCTAGGCTGTGGTGTGGATCAGTTGCAGTCATTGCCGCATATTATTACAGGGTGCTGCTCTCTAACTTGCAGAAAACTTTTCTCATCTTGCCGCAAAGAGAGACGATGGTTGGATGGCAATGGACATAAGCAGGGTATAATCCAGCTCCAGCCCAAGGATCGGCGGAGGAACAAGTCCGTCAGCCACTCGGGTCGAGATGCTTGCAGGGCGCCCTCTGGAATCGCATTGTTAATGATCCAGTCAACCAGTTAGGTAATTGGGTCCAACTGATCTCTCAATGGATGTCTAAAAAGAAGCCGGGTGGCTTCGTGTTGCTGCTAGGCCGCCAAGCCGCACAGGCCGCATCTCGCCGCCTCCAATCGGGCATTCCTCCGCCTGAGACACTGGGGCTCATGTCAGACACTGGAGGCTGATGTCTGAGGCTTTCGGGTGAACAATCAAGCGGCCATGCAAGGCTCCTATAAAGAAAGATGAAAAGAAGCCGATGAGACCTAGCCACATAAGCTCTGGAGATCCCGTCTGCTGCTTAATTGGCAGCTCCGGTTACACCTTACTGCTTGCTCGCTTGCTTGTAGTATTCCCCATGCTGAAAGACACTAACTCTGGTAGATATGGACTCTACCATAATGCTCTCTGTCTCGTGAAAATATGAAGCCGCCTCGCCTCGGCTAAGGACTGCTTACAAATGCATGGCTCGACATTTGCTCCCCAGCCCAATCCCAATATGTGCTAAAGTCTCGCAACACAAAATAGGAAATGAAATGCGATTCAGAAACCGCTTTCTATCGGTCTCGGATCGGGCCGTCGAGAAGAATTTTGTCAATTGAACATAGCAAAATTGACCAAGGGCTTGTCGCTGGAAAGGAAGCCACACGGCAAACCAGTCATAAAAGTATTGGTGGCTTGAAAATTGGAGTAGTGTCAAGGTCAAATCTAAGGCGTTTTCTCATCAAACTCGGAGCTTGAGTCGGAGAGTCAGTCCAATTGCTTGTGATTCAACAAGGCATCCATCCAGCTCTTTGCCTATTGAGCTTCAACTATATAAATCTGCCTGGATTTCAATATCAACGAGCCTGAGAGAAAACGACAAGGCAAGGCAAAAGCGCAAATCAACAACAGAGAGAGGACCAACCGACTATTACCGACTACCGACTACGACAACCAGCCCTCTATCATTCAGCAATCAAAATGATTTACACGCTTCACATCGCCAACAAGCGCTACTCTTCATGGTCGATGAGGCCTTGGGTCCTCCTCAAGGCCCTCAACATCCCCTTTGAAGAGAAGCTTCACCTCCTCCAGGAGGACCTGTCCACCCAGCGCGCCGCGTATCTCAGCTTCTCGCCCACCTCCAAGGTGCCGTGCCTCGTCGACAACGACAACCAGGCCATCATCCACGACTCGCTCGCCATTGTCGAGTATCTCGCTGAGGACGTCCCGGCCGTCTGGCCCAGCGACAAGCTCGCCCGAGCCTTTGCCCGCTGCGCCGCGGCCGAGATGCACTCGGGCTTCTCCGCCATCCGCAACGAGTGTTCCATGAACGTGGCCCTGCGGATCGAGCTGGGCACCCCGAGCGAGGCTCTGCAGCGCGACATTGACCGGCTCGCCGAGCTCTTCAACGAGGGCATCAGTAAGTTTGGCGGCCCCTGGATCGCCGGTAAGGAGTTCTCCGCCGCCGACGCCTTCTACGCGCCGATTGCGTCGCGGTGCAAGACTTTTGGCATCCAGCTGGCTGGGCCTGCGGGAGAGTACGTTGATCGGCTGTATGAGCACCCTGCCGTTCAGGCGTGGGTTGAGGATGGCATCGTGGAGGCGGGCATCTTGGCCCGTTGCGAGGCTGACTGCATTCAGGGACGCAAGGTGCTGAAGAATTTGGGTGAGCAACAGATTCTTGACTTTATGGGATTGTGACGACGATGATGATTAACTGTTTGTCTTTTATTGAGGATAGCTGCTTGAGAGAATAGCTTTGTGAGAATATGAAGCGTACCAATTTCGGTACCTCGTTGGAGGTTTTCAAGGCTTTCAATGCTGGGCATTGATAAAAGTACATGATGATTGAATTAGTATTTAGTGCTCGAGATACCTTGCCATGCTAATATGCATTGACAAAATACAATAAATTGGATGTGGCGTGAACGTACCAAACATTTAATACCAGACTTCTGTGGCCTATTATTGTTATATTGTGAAAGTACAGGTATTTATTACACTAGGCACGGTTCAAACAAGGCAACTTGTATTCCACCACCCTTTTGAGCTAACGGCCTTGCTTAATTTCCTCATTGATAACATGGTATTGCATCATTCTCACTGCTTCTACATATTGAGCTGCGATGGAACAGTAGAGCGTCGCACAATAGGAACTCTTCGAAATTGGCCAATTCCATCTAGGGTAGGCGTTGTATGTCATCATGGTCACGATGGGCAAGATTAGTCGTACAAGACATCACATTGCACCATCAACTTTTGCAGAGGGATCAATAATTCATGATAGCGCTCGAAAATAAGTTATATATAACGACGACTATGAAATTCTCCTCCATCTTGCCAAATCATCCCATCATATTGAACCCATCAAGCATCAACACGAGCTGTACTCCGTACTTTCACCAAGAAATCCCCTAAAGCTGGGGCAAAACGTGGCCCAACCCCCCCTGGAACTTAGCAGCCAACAGCGGCACCTCCCGGGGCTTTTCCCCCACCAACGAAGAGCACCTAAGTATAGCAGCATTAGGGCAGCTGATCGTCGGAACTTGAATCGCTTCAGCTTCAACTCTGCATCAACTCCAGCTCCAGCTCCTACCATCCGCGACGATGGCGGGCCAAGGAGTCACCACGTACCTCATCATCCTCATCGCCATCTCGACTCTCGGGTCTCTCCAGTTTGGCTTCCACTTGGTGCGTCGTTTCGCCGTCAAACCTCTCTCATTCACCGCTCTGCCTGTCATTCCGTCGAGCTGCAATAGAGCTTCATTTCAAGCTCCCACAGAATGAAGCTGACGTCTACGGACTTGTTCCTGGGCATCTACCCGTCTATAATCGTTCATATTACAGTTACTAATAAATATTTCCCACAGGCCGAGCTCAACGCCCCCCAAGATGTCATAACCTGCCACCGAAAGTCCGTCTCGATCCTCGCTCGAATCGCCGGCTTCGTCACCTCTGTCCACGATGGCACCAACGACTGTATCCCCATGGATGAGGCGGCCTTTGCCACCGTCTCCTCCATCTTCACTATCGGAGGCCTCATCGGCGCTCTCGCTGCCGGTCCCTTTTCCTCTCGCCGCGGCCGCCTTCTCGCCATGCGTGTGACGGCTCTTCTCTTCATCGTCGGCTCCGTCGTTGAGACGTCTGCCAACAGCGTCCTGGTCATGGCGTCAGGCCGCTTCCTGTCCGGCATCGGGGCTGGAGCATCGACCGTCATCGTTCCTCTGTACATCAGCGAGGTCTGCCCGCCCGATCGGAGAGGCTTCTTCGGCTTCATGACCCAGATCTCCATCAACGTCGGCATCCTCATTACGCAAACGCTGGGCTTCTTCTTGAGCTACGGAAGCGCCTGGAGGTGGAACCTGGGTATTGGAGCCTTGATCGCCGCTGCACAGGGCGTTGGGTTGCTGATTGTCCCGGAAAGCCCAGCCTGGCTCGCTGCGCACGACGACGTGGCTGGTGCAAAGAGGACGCTGCAGAGGATCCGTGGTCAAGCCGTCGACATTAGGGAGGAAAGCGAGGACTGGGGCCGGGATGGATCAGGCGCCGGAGAGGAGGAAGGCCTTCTCGCTCAGAATGCAGACGAGATCCCTCCGCCCAATGCTACCTTGGCCAAGAACGAGCCTGTTCACCTTGGCTTCTTGCAAGTCGCCAAGGATCCCAGCACTCGGCCCGTCATCGTCGCCCTGGTTGGCATCATGTTCGTGCAGCAGTTCTGCGGCATCAACTCGGTCATCATGTACTCCGTCTCGCTTCTCGCCGATTTGTTGCCCATATCCTCTGCTCTCCTCAGCATCCTGGTCTCGCTGGTCAACCTGGTCACGACCGTCGCGTGTTCTCCTCTGCCAGACCGACTGGGACGCAAGACCTGTCTGATCATGTCCATCGTAGGCCAGGGCAGCAGCGCTCTTGTTCTGGCCCTGTCCATCGTCTTTGGCTTCAAGATTGTGTCTGCCTTTGCTGTACTCTTCTTTGTCGGCTTCTTCGCCGTGGGCTTGGGTCCTGTGCCCTTTATCCTGGCCTCGGAGCTCGTTGGCCAGGAAGCTGTTGGCGCAACACAGAGCTGGTGCCTGGGAGCCAACTATGTGGCGACGTTCCTGGTGGCCCAATTCTTCCCCATTGTCAACAAGGCTCTCAACACTTGGCTGGGGGGCGCTGGCTGGGTCTACTTCATCTTTGCTGGCCTGGCTGCTGTTTCGTTTGTGTTTGTGACTTGGTCGTTTAGGTCCCTGCGCTTCCATGGAGCCACCGGTAACTGAAAGTGACAAATGGCATATGCGTAAATCTTGGATGAATTCTGTGGCGTTTTGTAATTTGGTTTTAAGTTGATTCTAGTTTTGTAGCGTTTTGTAACTTGGATAAGGAGGGACTTTTTGTTTGTAGTCAGCGTGCACTGATATTAGATCCCGTGAAGTTATTGTTTCTTTCATTACGAAGGATAGGTAGGCATTGGGATAGGAGTAGAGAGACAGCGTGGAGTCGAGGAGCGGGAAGCCATGATTGGAAAGACACATGCTACGACCATAGTCCAGAGCACCATTAATAACAGGGATTTTTTTTCTTCATTGAATTGCCCACTGATCATCACCGAATTTTCTTGGGAGTCGGACCATCATGACATAAAAAACAGCACTTCATCCAGCACACGGAGTGCGTGAATCGTGTGCACCGAAACCACCAAACAAGGACGCATATTTGGACCGAAACCCGAAAACACCGTTGATTTCATGCTAGTGTATCGAAGGCACACACCATGGGGAGGGGCCGAGCCATCACTCCCCTCCCAGCCGTTTCTAGAGGTTCATCGACAAGGACAAATTTTGATTTGCATGCCGAGAGAAAAAAGTCCGCAGCACTCGCAGGTGCGCAACAAAATGCCCAACCCAGTACCACAGCGCCACGCCGCACCTCCCCCCAGCACCAGCAAGCAACAATATTGAGAGCGTTGCGTTTATTTCTCCTTCTTCGCCTTGGCACCCTTGACCTTTGCGGTTCCGCGCAGGGTCTTTTGTCGGTTCTTGCGCTGCTTGCCTGTATTCCCACATATCAAGTCAGTCAAAAAAGATCACACACACACGGTAGAGGGGCAATTGGCAGCAAATGGTGCTGCTTCGCTGCCGTGGTTTCAACGTACGCTGCTGTCTGCTGGCACGCTCGGGCTTGGTAGCGAGTCCGACCCGGATCAGACGGTACTTGGGCTCGAACTTCTTCAGAGCCTCGGGGGAGTCGTAGATGAGGGCGAAGCCGGTGGTCTTGCCGCCACCGAAGTGGGTGCGCAGGCCGAAGACCTGGACCTGCTCCTTCTGGGCCTTGTACAGGCTGGCGAGCTTCTCGCTGAGCTCAGTCTTGGAGATGTTGGCACGGCCGGGGTGGAGGATGTCACTATATGCATTGAAGAGAGAGAGATCAGCCCATGAATCTTTTTTTTTCTGTCGATGTGATTGGGTGTGTTGTGTCGGTCTTGATTCTTTCCATCGCCTCATCAATCCACTATCCAAGTCCAATCGAAACGTCATGCCAATTCTGCAGGCGGGTTTTTTGTGCGTAGCAATGATTGGAAAAATTCGCAGACAGCAGGAGGAGAAGTGTATCTCTTTCTCCCTCTCCGCACTGAAAGAATAGGCCGATGCTCGAATGGACGTTCTCATGGATAGGGATCTGATGGGGCGGATTCGAATCTGGCGACACGGGAAGAGGGATTCCAACTCACACCACCATCTGCTTGCGGCCAAGCAGGGGGTTGCGGATGAACTTGCGAGTTCGCAGGGTAACGGGAGCGTCGTTATCCGCCATGGTTGCGGTCTTGTGCTGTTGTCTCTGTGAGAGTGACGAAGGAGAGACTCGGCGGTTTGGCGTCGTGGTCGGTCGTGGGAGAAAGGGCTCGCCGCAAAACTAAAACCGGGGCAGCGAAAATTCCGAGCACCAAGTCGTGTCGCTTAGTCTGGGTCCCAAACCCTAAGAGAAATGCAGGGGTTGTGCGTGTGGTGGTGTTATGTAAGCAGCACAAACGCGGCCTGGGCTGTGAAAATTGCAAAGTGCATGTGCGAGTGCATGTGCTACATCACGTGAAGGGTAATGTTCGGTTGCTTAGCCTGGGATGCTAGTACCTATTTTTGTGTACCGGATGATCCCCGCCCGCCGCAGCCAATGAGTTGTGTGGGATTGCTTGAGCTCTCCATTTTGCCTGCTGTAGCGCCGGCTGCTGGCATATCGCCATGCCTGTGTCGACAGAACAGCATCCCGTATCCAGCGAAAATGGGATGAACAGGTAGGAATATCGAGAGCGCATATTCTTCTCAGGTTGGTCACGTCTTGTTCCCGTATGCATATGTGTATATGCACATCTGCATACGAGTATAGCCATGGAAGCCTCGGTACGGAAGCAAGTTGACCGCTTCTGCCGCCAATATCTCCAATTGGAGCAGACCTTGGATTATCCCGAGCCTCAGTACATCAGACTTCCCGAGGTTCAAGATTCCATCTATCAGAGGCTATTTGCCGATGATTCTCTTCCTGGAGGCCCTCCTCCGCTGAGGTACCAGGTGAGAGTGCTCAAGGAGCTCATCTCCCGCATTGAGGTCAGCATAGAAGACTGGGATGCGCATGTAAGTTCAAAGCGTGACCCTTGCTGCAGTCGTCAAGACGTCTCTGACCATGAGCAGGGAGTGTCCGATGGCCTCATGTCCTCCCTTTCTGTCTTGTTCTCCACACCGGCCCCCAACGAGGATGATGCCGCGCAGCAAAAGTGCCGCGTTGTCTATCATCTCGCATCGTTGCCAGGTCACGAGGCTCACATCAACCTGTTCGAGAATCGCTCTCTGATCGCCGCTGGCGGCACTACGGGACTGAGGACATGGGAGGCTGCGCTTCACCTGGGACAGCTTCTCTGCCGGGATCCCAGCATTGTCTCGGGAAAACGAGTCCTGGAGCTTGGCACGGGTACGGGATATCTCGCCATTCTGTGCGTCAAGTACTTGGGGTCAACACATGTCATTGCATCCGATGGATCCGACGACGTCATCAACAACCTCCCTGAGAACCTCTTTTTGAATCAACTTGAAGGCTCAGATGCCATCCGTCCCATGGATCTCAAGTGGGGGTATGCACTCGTGGGAACCGAAGAAGAGCGGTGGAACGGCGGCCGTCCACTGGATGTTGTGCTCGGGGCCGACATCACATACGACCCAAGCATAATCCCAGACCTTGTCAGCACTCTTTTGGAGCTCTTTGGCATATACCCTCATGTTGAGGTCATCATTGCAGCGACTCAGCGGAATCTGGAAACCTTTCAGGTGTTTTTGGCAAAGTGCCGCGACGAGGCGTTAAAGGTGGAAGATGTCTCATTTGAGATTCCCTCGCGTGACCAACAAGAAGGCCCATTCTATAACGACCAAGTTGCTATTAGAATCTGTAGAGTATCTAAATTATGACGCACAGTCTCATTCAACTTTCTCAGTTCCAGCATGATTCACTCTCGGTTTGTTAGATGTTCGATTCAAAGTCCGGGGTGTCTCTGTGTAAGACGAGGGCGGAAGGTTTTGTTGTGAGTACACCCTGTACACAGAATGTAGTTTCAAACTCAACTCATCTTACAGTACAACCCCAACTCAAGTCAATTACACATGAGGCTGATTATGACATGCTTTTGAGCAATAGCTTACCCGCTGATGACAGGGTGAAACAATGCGGCGTCCACGAGCATTAAACTTCAGGGTAGCTCAAGCGAGCTGCATGGCGATGGCGCCAGGCTACACATACAGTATGGCACCAGGGACAAGATGATCTTGGTGGCGCTTGGGGGTCAAGCCACATGGCCACTGGCTTGCTTTGTTTTTGAACCTTTGTGGCTTTGGCGAATATCGTCCTCATCAGGCAATTCTGACGACAAATTGAGGCATTTCGATATGCTCCAACCGTAGCCGTCCAGAGGCCTGCATTGGCAGTGCATCAACATACTCGTACACAATCAATCGCAGCTGCGGATGGCTCGATGTGATGCTCCCCGATTGTTGACGTCACTCAAACAGCGTGACTGTCTCCCCATGTTGTCTGTCCAGAGTCTAGACCCTGGCCCGTCCGGAGTTATTCTCCCTCCAACATGCAGCTTCTCTCCCGCAAGATGAAGTCATGGATAAGACAGCAAAGTCTGGGGAAGTCAGACATAGCCGGCAGGGACTATTGATTCATCCCGGCTACAGTGCCGGTACGGTGTGAGCCGGAAGACACAAGGTAAGCGGCACGCAATCTTACGACGGGTGGCATGTTGTCACTCGAGACATTGAAACCTACGTACTGTATGTACGAGTAATGGCCATTTCCACGGCTTTGAACCGGGTGAGGGGAGTTGAAGTTGCGGGGGAAAAAGCCACCAAGGGTGACGGGCAAATGGGATCAAACCCAAGCCCTTGGTTGGTTGCTGGCGCCGAGCGGCCTCTGAAGCTGTTCTCTTTGTCATCCTTTGGATTAGGTGCCTTTGCAGGTGCAATATTTGAGCCGAGAGAGTTTTAGTACAGTAGATTGCGCGTACGAGAAGCACAAGTGTGCATGAGCGGGGGACGAGCAACGCTTCGGCTGGCGGGGGAGAAAAAGATTGGTCACCGTGCAGAGTTGCAACCTCCATAATACCCCGGTTCGGAAGTCGACGATGTTTGGTAGAAGGGCTGACAGGAAAATAAGAGAAAGCTACTTCACCGGACGGAGCACAGAGTTAGCACGGAGTACATGCAAAGGTGCTCCGTAAAGTTGCAGCTTCCTGCAGGTTTCCAAACTCCACCTCATGAGCAATTTGGTCGCTTCTCTATTTCTGTCTGTCTTTCGGCCGCCATGAAATGTGACCGAGTCTCCGCAACACAGGGATGAAGAGAAAAAAACTAAGAAAAAAGAGGCGGTCGACGTTGCGTCTTGCTTTTTTATGGTGAACAATCTGAGGCGTTAGCGAGCCCACGTTGGCCAGAGATGATCGCTGATCGGCAGAAGCATCACAGAGTCTCGGATGAACGTGACCGCTAGCAAAAGCTTGGGGCTGGTCACCGCACTTTTGAGCATTGTGCTTTCACTCGTACATGCACGAGTACCGAGATGATGAGATTTTGACGGCAGGGCTTTTGTTCTTGGGACCTTGAACCGCCCCTTGTCGTCCGTGTAGCCAATCGATGGGAGAAGACGATGCATTGCAACACTCGGAATCGTGAGAAAAAGGCCGTTTTCTTGCTATTGTGCGGACCACTAGCCGATGGTCCCGTGAGATAGATGCATCCTTGTATACAAGCAGTATCCTATGTTACGTACAAAGACGGCACAAACACAGCCTTGGGCATTCTCTGAGCTTGAGGTGGGCTAAGACCAGGTAGGATTTGTCGCTACAGCATCTGCATGCGACACTGCAAGCCAGAGCATCACCGGAGTTGCTGGATTACATGTACATTGGATGCTACTCTGCTCGCTGCCTAAAGCTCAACACCTGGATTCGAGGTCTAGACGCCGAAAATAAATTAACTGCAGCCTCCTCGCTACGTACTTGTACATTGGGCTTTTTCTTGCAAATCCTGCCGCTGTTTGGGCTGTTACCCAGTGATCGGCTCTGGCTTGTGGAAATGATGGTCAGGGGTGGTGGGCTGTTGATAGCAGCAATTCTTTTTTTTTTTTTTTTTTTTTTAAATCTTCTCCCTTGAAAGCCATGTTGCCCTAGTACCGTCGATCAGTGCGGATCACGAGGCATAAATAGAAGGTCTCTGTAACACTGAATGGCTGATCAATGTCTGGGACAGCTGCGAGTACATCCGGAGATGCCCAATAATACGGAGCTGCACCTCCTGGGTAGTAGGTGAGGCTTATCTTTTCCGCCATGAGCTGTACTCCGTACCTGTACCTGTAGATACAGATCAAAAGATACGGGTATGACTGTGAAAAGACGCGCCAGATAACCGCGGGCCATTGGCAGCCAGTCAATTCGCTGCCACGGCTGCCGTTATCTTGGGCTTCATTGGCGTGCTCTCTCAAGCTCACCAGGGAGGGGGGGTAAGGAAACGGCACAGGGCGCTTCGTTATCTCTGGCGCAGATTGCAGCACTCAATCGAGCCCAATTGATTCAGCTGTGCTTGCTCACACACGCAGGTCACGGCCAGTCCATGGCACACTCCGTGTCGCGCTCTGCAGCGCCGAACTGTGCCAGTAAGAGCGCGGCGAGCACCGCCAACCAGCCACTCCACGCGCCGTCGCCAGCAGCCATTGCATTGTTGCATGGCATATGCATACATGTATACCACTAACTATTGGGATTCAAAAGGGCGCGGCCTCGTGACCACTGGCGAGTCGAGTTTGATTCAAGACGAGACCCCGAGCCGCCGCCGCTGGATGATGCGGTGACAACTGCACGGGTTTGATATTAACTGTCCCCCCTTGGTGAATAAACCCGCAGAGCAGCAGTGAAAAAGCACGCAACAAAAGCACCCGTGGTAGCAAGATGCCCAGAATTAATCAAAAAAACGGAGACCCCTGTCATGAGAAAACGGGCTCCAGGCCCACCAGCCCCGAGAACAAGAACAAGCATCGCAACGTGCAGCAGCGCCATCGTCCAACTCGCCCGCAGCCAAGGCAAAGGCAAGGCAAGGCAAGGCAAAGCGTTGAGGAGCTAAGCCGCAGGCCCCCCCTCGTATCTAGGTTTTTGCCAGCAAAGAACTGGAGCAGCAAAGTCGCCTTCGCCACCCGCCGCGTCGCCATTGGATGGACAGGGCCGTGTTGGCTGTGGTTTGCCTCCATGAACCTTAAAGCTGGCTAGTATACTCGTAATGCTGCTACTGTACAGTACCGTTACGGAAAGCAAGCTACTACACCGTCTGAGGAAGAACCAGAGTCTTGCATATTGCATATCATCTTCCCCCTCCCTCGCCCCCTTTGGAGCCCAAATGCTACGGCAGAGTAGATTGTCAGGCCCCGGCGCAGCAAGCTAGAGCCGGACCAGCCCAGGAAGGATCTAGACCAGAAAGCATCCGAAGCAACCCCCTTCTTCAGCTTCGCCTTCACGAAGCTCTGGCCGCCGCCACCATTGGCTGGTTTCGTTGCCCTTGCAACATGTACCCATGCTCATGCTGCCGAGCGATTGCGACGTCGTCTTGGAACCAGGCAAAGTAAGCTTTTGCTCTGCGTCGTGGGACCGCCAGCTGGACCAGATTATTGATTCGGAATATGCAAGTTTGCGGTAACTTATCAGAAAAAGAAAAAAACATATGGAGTACACGTACACGTAGTATTGCCATTGACCGTTTGTTGTTCTCCCCCCTCTTTCAAGTTCCAAGTTCGAGCGAGTATATTACTAGCTCATCAGCCCTCCCATCCATCCCATGCTACACTATTCCCGCTTCATTTTATCGATACTCCGTGCCTTATTTCTTTCTCCACACCCTCATTAGCCGGGGCATCTTTTGAGTGGCAGAGAGCAAGCACCCTTTGTTAGTGCTGCGACAAAAGTAAACGGCCTGTTCCCACTTGGATTACCAGAATTCCCACTACCGTCGGTCCACATTCTCCTGGGAGCCGCCGCCTCTTGCATCGGATGCTGCAACACTACAATCACCCACTTATACACTCCTCATCACGCCAACCCCGGTGCTTTTTGACCTGACCTGCCATCTCGACGTCAGTCTTCCATCACCCTCGTCCTATTTGTATAAACGAAAACCCCCTTGCCATCGACTATTGTGGTTCCCGTTGGTCCGGGTTCAACACATCCCACAAAAAAAGAAACTACATCTACCGGTGGAACATTACGCTTGGGCAAAAGAGGCAATCTCTTTCCCTGCCCTAGAATCAACAGAAGACTGCTTCGTCGCACCTTTAATATCCGTCCTCGAACCCCCCCCTGGCAAAACCCAGAAGGCAAGGTTCCAACGTTCTGCACACAAAACACTTTCCCATCGCTTCTATTATTACCAAGCGAGAGCTCCATCGAGCTGCTATTCCTATCATCGCCAACGATTGACCCTTGCGATCTCGATCCTATCTCTACTTTCAACCATTGTTCTTTTCTTCATCACCTGCTGCGCGGAGTGGAAACCGATTTATTTTTTCTTTTGTGTGTCCGATGGTTTCGTCACAGTTGGGAACAAGAGCAATACCTCGATCATATCGCTGCAGCCGCTGAGAGAGAGAGAACAACGTCGGAAGCAAAGCAACAACTCGCCAAACCTCAAACCTACAACATACCTTTAGTACACACAGTACTTTCACACATTCACGATGGACATGGACTTTGAGAGCTATCACCACAACTACGCTTTTACTCTGCAAAAGTATCTGCGTCTGCAGCAGCAGCACGAGCAGCTCTGCAGCAACCTCGAGCAAATCCGCCCGCAAACCGCCTCGACCGGCACCCTTTCCACCATCTCGTCGCCCAGCACATCGCCCGTCCGCTCCTCCATCTTGACCTCATCACGGCGTCACTCGCGATCCAGCGGCCCGCGCCGTGGTTCGAGACAGCCACGCCAGAACGGCTGGGAGGAACAGCTCGATACCATCCTCGACGAAGAGACCATCTACCAGATTTCCGCCGAGGAACAACGACTGTTTGACGTCAACGAGAGCATCAAGCGGGCCTTGACGGAGCTGCTTAACTGCGAAGCCGTCCGCAATGACATGACGACGCGCATGTGGGCTCAGGCCCGACTGATGGAGACGGAGAAGGAACTTCGGTCGGGGCGGCGGAGGCGAAGCTCCCCAAGCCGGGACTGAGCGAGTCAACAAAAGAAAAAGTCGAAAGTCATTGACAACATGGCAAGGCGAATATCATTGCGCAGCCATTTGTGGAGAAGCTGAGCAAGCCATAAACTCCATTGGACCCGCCGACGATCAAGCCATCTTCATCATCAACGCCAGCTTGTCTGAGCATCAAAGTCACTCCTTTCCTATTTGCAATATTCTTAATTCTAATCCTATCACGGCTAGCGAAATAGCCTTTATACCAATGGGACCGTTTTGAAACGGTACACCCAATTTTTCTACTTTTTTCTCTCTTTTGTGTTGGGGGAAACAAAAGATACCACAAGCTCAGTGGAGAGCTGACACCATTCGACGATATGGGACTTGCTTTTTTTTATTTTTCCATTATTCATAGGGGGAATAAAAAAAAGTGCGCAAAATTGGGGACATTCATTTTTTTGATTTCTTATCTCTGCCGTCAAATTTCCCTTTATTCATGTATTCTGCTCACCCACCTACCCGATTTGGGTGTTTGGTTTTCTGGCATCGCATTGCGTGCGCGCAATTTATTGTCTCATATTGTACATGGAAGCCATTACTTGTTTTTGATGTACATACATATTCTAGCACACCACATCTGGTGCAATCTTGCTTTTGTTTTCTTGTTCACTTAGTGTTTATTATCTAGGTATCTTTACTTTGTCTGCTGTGGATCGGCGGTTTTACAGGACGTGTGGGAGGGGCATCACTAAAACGGGAAGCGAGCCTGCTGTTGACATATATACATGTATTCCACATTGCATCTGAGGGTTTTGCTTTTCACATCTGGGTTATTGTATTTTTCTGTTTTGTTTTGTTTTGTTTAGTGTCATAGTAGCTTACTAGCGAGCAAGCAAGTCTAGGGCTGTCAAGACAGTCACAATTCACATTGTTGAGTTAAAGTTCCAAGTTTAAGGCGCATCCATCTGCATTAGTACAAGTCCACGGAGTATCAAGGCACCATTTCGCCACTCGTAAAAAGAAAGTGATGCATCAGAGTTTTGTATGCATAAATCCTCCGTAGGATGCAAAACCTGAAAAACGCAAATTGCCACCTGGGAGGTGATTGGATGCGTGCACTGACTGCGACTGAAACGGCAGCCCTGCAAATTGGCGACAAGCTGGGAGCTCGGGATGGGCGAGTGACATTTGGTGTATCAGGTTGATGATTCGTCTGAGGCTGGAAATTTGGGAATGGAAGATGATGAGGTGAAGCTCATAAGACACCTCCTGGAGATGGGGATGGAGCTGGGATGGAGCTGCTTCTTGACTCTTGAGAGCATCTCATCTCATTTCCATCACGATGCAGTGGTATGACCCAAGTTGTACCATGTAATTATGCATCAACTCAGTTATACCAGAGTCGTCGTATATCTAAACTTGCTTTTTGAAAACTTGACAAGCTATGAATTACTCATCAGTTCTCGATGTTGAGCTTTGCTGGTTCTATGTATCTATAGCATCATGAAGCATCACCATGTATTATGTAATCAAATGACAGACCACATCCATTCAAGGCCGCCCCACAAAAATTGTCATCGTCCATCTATCAAATCGCAGCCTCGCGCGTCAGCCAAAACGCGGCTGCAAGGCAAAGCAAATTCGCATCTTCTTCTTCTTGTTCGAATGCCGAGATTCTCCCAAGATTGACCGAGACTCAATTCACAGCCATGTCAGTCTTGCTAGAAACCACCGTCGGTGACATCGTCATTGATCTGCTCATCGACCACTCTCCCAAGCTGTGTGAAAAGTAAGATCTTCTTCTTTCCATTCCCATTCAAGCATTGCCTTTGATCCTCGTGCAAGCTGCTAACTAACCATCCGTATAGCTTCTTGAAGCTCTGCAAGGTCAAATACTACAACTTCTCTCCCATCCACTCCGTCCAAAAGAACTTCTCCTTCCAGACCGGCGACCCCCTCGGGCCTCTTTCCAAACAATCAGATGGCGGCTGCTCAATATGGGGGCACCTGTCGGGCGATCCGTCGAAGCGCACATTCACAGCTCCCTTTCACCCCAAGCTGAAGCATCTAGAGCGAGGGACCGTCAGCATGGCGACAGTACCGCTGTCTTCAGACCCAGACACCCGGGTGGCGGCATCGCAGTTCATCATCACTCTGGGCGAAGAGACGGATTTCCTCGACAGCAAAGCTGCCATATTTGGCAAGGTGGTGGAGGGCTTTGATTCTTTGGAGAAGATCAACGAGGCCATGGTCGACGATAAGGGATACCCGTTTGTTGATATCCGAATTAAACACACAGTCATCCTGGATGACCCTTATCCTGATCCTCCTGGCCTTAGAGAACCCAGCTCTAGCCCTCCGCCTTCAGACGAACAAATGCGGACGGTACGAATCGCCAACGAAGAAGAACTCCACGAGAACGATGATGTAGATGAAGAAGAGCTGGAAAAGAGAAGGCGGGAGAGAGATGCTAGGGCGCAGGCCTTGACACTCGAGCTTATGGGCGATCTTCCCTTTGCCGAGGTGAAGCCGCCGGAAAACGTCTTGTTTGTCTGCAAATTGAACCCTGTCACGCAAGACGAAGATCTGGAGCTCATCTTTGGCCGATTTGGCAAGATTCTGAGCTGCGAGGTGATTCGAGACCAAAAGACAGGCGACAGCCTACAGTACGCCTTTATCGAATACGAAGACAAGGCATCGTGCGAAGTGGCGTATACCAAAATGCAAGATGTCCTCATCGACGACCGGCGAATCCACGTCGACTTTTCACAGAGCGTCAGTAAGCTCAGCGATGTGTGGCGGCAAGACACGAATAACAAACGCAGAGCAAGGGCGCGAGGTGGATGGGGAGGTGTGCAAGAGCTCGAAAAGCGACGACAGTATCGAGAAGAGGATGAGAGGAGCTCTGGGAAGAATTACAACATGGTATACGGCAAGGAGGAGATGAAAGGAAGACATGATCGGGGTTTCAACGGCCGGAGAAACGACGACAAGATTGACCGAAGAAATGATGACAGGCCTGATCGAAGAAACGACGGTCGATATGACCGCAGAAACGATGATAGGTCCAATAAACGACCATCAGATCGAGACAATGGGCGCCCGTTCCGAAACCGAAGCAGGAGCCCTCGTCGAGGAAACAGAGACGATGACCGCGATAGACAATTTAGGTCGCGGGATGGCTATCGGCACGACAGGAGGGATAGAGATGGAGATTATAAGCGCAGAGACAGGTGATGGCATCTTTCGAGCACATGAATGGTATGATTGAATAATGTATAAAATAATTACATGGCCTGTTTCCAGGTGTCACTGGCGATTATTTTCAGCGCTGAGCAGCTAATTTTGCTTGCTTCTCCGTCTCCGCTGTACATCTATCCTTGCCAGCCGCTTGCTGGCTTGAATCAACTGGATAACATTGATCAGTTGCTTCAGCGCCATGAAAGGAAAGCAAATCTTGGCTATGATGCTCGGCAAGTATCCATCCATTTTGTTCGCTCGCGCCATCTCCAGCGCTGCAGAGCTATAAGGATTTGGAAAGATCTGGGTTAATAGTGAGGTGTCGACCTCACTCCCTGTCTGCAGATGCTCCTTTCCGTCGATGTTCGCTTTTAGATAGAGAGGGTCAACTGGTGAAGAGAAGGAGACAAGGTAGCAGGCGATGAAGAAGAGCTCGTTGAGAGCGCAGAGAGAAAACAAGACAATCTGAGATTTTCTAGTCAGCCTTCCGTGTATAGAGTTGACAAAAGACTAAACCAGAGCCGTTTCGTACCTTGTTAGTGTAATACACCCTCATCAACCAGTGTTGACTTTTGTCAATGTCCTTGTGGCTTGATCCAGCACCGCCAACAACCAGAGATGTATACATGTGGATGTAATGACTTGCGAGGTCCAACACAATCAGGCCCTGGAAAGCAATAGCCCAGCGAGGTACCGCAGTTGCTAAGAAAACTAGCAGACACGTCGTGGTGCAGCGATCGGTAACCATGTCCAGAACTGCACCAAACTGCGTTCCCTGGTTCAACAATCGGGCAGCATATCCATCTAGAGCGTCGAGAAGACATGATATAGTGTAGAGAAGAGAGCATGTGCGCGGGTGGAGTGGCATGTAGTAAAGGGAGGCCATGGCCAAGATTACCCGGAGATATCCTGGATAATGATGCCGGATTAGCAGTGGACAGGATATGTGATGTAGTAGAGAGAGAGAGAGTAGGCTGACCGATGATGTTGGGCCAGAATAAAAAGATATTTTCCGAGGTTGTTTGAGTTGAATCTTGATCTGGACGCTGGGTAGAGGCATTGTCTGGATCTCGAATCTGGCCTCGCTGCGCCAAAGTTCGCCGTGGAGGCATTCTGGGGAAATGAGTGAATTGGGTAACTAGAGAACTATGGAAGAGATAATAAAGAAACGAATAATAAACGAGTTTAAAAGGTTGAATGATGGTCAATTGTAAAGGACAGCCTACGCGATGCCAAAGCTTATGATGGCGATCCCCAAGAATTAGCAAAGTGCCTTTTAGGAGCTTCAAAAGGTCCCAGAAGAGGAGATAATGTGATTTTAACTGCTGACTAAGTTACAATGTCTGGTAATGCATTTGAGATGTAAATGACTGGAAAAGCTTGCAGCCAACAGCGCTCTGGATTTTTGCCGTGTTGGCCCTAGCTGTTTTGAATTATAGCTGCAGAACAACTCGACCGCTGTCAGCAATATGTTTCATCAACAGAGCATTTATTCTACAAAGCCCTCTCTCTTTAGGCAAAGTCAGCGCGCCATGTAATTCTTGCAAATATCTCTCACCTGCTGGCTTGTACTTGTCAATAGAGAGTACAGCCCGATGCCAACTACGATGAGAACCTACCCTGAATACACTTGGCATTGAAACGGCCAATAGCTGACAATGTATCGAATCATTGATCCGTGCAGTGATCAACTAATAATTCGTATAGGCATCTGCTATTGAGGCCCTTTTCGAGTATACCACTATGTTCACTGAAGCCACCAAGCTATGAGTATACGTCTAGAATCGGCAATTTGGGCTATGAAAGATGCCCTGGCCAGCGAGAATCACCAGACGCTCGCCGGAGTTGAATCTCAGCGCTTCCGAAATCTACATATGTAATCAAATCTAGCCTTCGATATGACTGGCCATCTCTTGTTTGTGTTATATTAAACTGTATTCGAAGGAGATGTCTAACACGAAATCAAGCCGGCTGTTGAGTGAGAACCTCACATTTCCTGTGTTTGCCCCGAGTCAAGAGTCAAGGGCGGCAGCGTCAAAGCACCCTTTGCCAACCTTGGAGCTTTCCAAACACATTTGTTTCCCCGTAGCAACTTTTCAGACCGCCGATTGCAAGAATAGAGGCACACATCATTGTTTACAAGGATACGCAATGAAACTCTGCGCTTCACGATTCAGTTGCGAGGCAGACTACATGACGCCAGGGCCCTCCAAGCACCCGAATCCCCTGCTTCTAACCTCACAAGCCCGTTTCTCTCCGCCTCTACAATTTCTTGCAACGCATATTATCCACAGAGTGGCGTTGGTAAGAAGCCCAATGGCCCAATGGCTACCGGCATCTATCCACTCGTTGCGAGATGCTGTCAAACATGACAGGTCCCCCGCAGAACCTACGGAGACTAATATCTCAGATATCCGTGGGGCCCATAAGTTAATCTACAGCAATTTCGTCTCGTGGACGCTTCTAGAGGCTCCCTTCATTTATCGTTACCGCCATTTGCCGAGCCGCCGTTACGCCGTTACGACTATACGAGTCTGCCTTCCACCTCGTCGCTGGCGCTCCCCCCTCCAGCGCTGATTTACGCCCGTGGGTTCGGATCGAGTTCGAATCGAACCTGTTAGATGGACAATACGGTGTGCCCGTGATTATGCTATGGCTGTACTCCATGTCCTCCGCATCATTTTACGGGCTGCAAGGGACCCGCCTGGTACTACCGCATCCCATCTCCGATGTAAATCGTCTCGGTGAGTGTCACGGCGATAGCCACGGCCCCATCCAGATAGTCCAGAAATCGCTTGCTATCCAAGTCCAAACCCAGCCCCCTTGAAGCTAAAGTCACGCTTGGATCTACATGGCGCTGTAATCCGGGCTCGCCGTGTAAGCGACAGCAGCCGCTGTGGGCACTCTATACCAGCAAGCAATCAAGCAAGCAATCAAGCAAGCAACTGTCTGAGGCGAGACATGCGTCTGGGAGTCTCGATAGCTCTGTCACCGCCTCGTTTGCATCCTGTTTGATTGGCTCTGCTTCATCCCGACCCCCAGTTTACAACGGCCGGTGACGCCTGAAATCATTGGCCTAAGAGAACAGACATGCATAATGGACATGCAGCCATTGCTGTTACTTGGTGCCACGGGTATACGTATGTATACTCTGTCAAATCACAAGATGGTGCGCCGTTGCGCCGACAGACCCCTGTTCTTTTTCTTCTTGTACAGAAAAAGAGAGTAAGAATAGCAGTAGGAACAGTAATAGGACCGCAAAGTAAAAGCTGCCAGCAGATGAAACCGACCATGGTGTGTTTGTGTGACTGTCACAGCAAGACGAAGCTTGTCAGTGAGGCGGTTGAGCGCTCTCATTTCCCTTCTTCAACGCTTGTGACCTCGTACGGACACACACCTAGCTGACCTGGAAAAAGAAGATGCCAAAAATACATGTACTTCGACACACCTTCGGCCCAACCGCCCCCAAGTGCTGAAACGTGCCTTTTGAATCCTTCAGTCTCATCAACGGGTTATTGGTATCCCTGTCGCAGAACACAGTTGATGTTCTCGAAACAGAGCCCCGTCACTTCCTCATGTTTTCTGCTCTAAACCTGGACGACGCTCAGATCATCTGTTGGAATTTGCAGCCTCGTGAATTTTTGTTTGCTCATTGGCTGACTACGCATTTCAGTGCCGCGGATTGGGCACGCTCCTTACACACCTTGCTCATAATGTCCAATCGCTAAACACTCGTGAGTAACACCGTCGGTTGAATGCAGGAACATGACGGGGACTACAGCACTGCAAAGGACCGTGCCCGCTTTCAACAGTGGGGAGAAGGGCGGCTGGCTAAGGAGATTTATTCCGTCTTTTGGAAAAGGAAGAATATCTCTTGTACGTAGTATCTCGAAGATGCTGGAGTATGTTTGATGACAGGGGGGGAGGGGTGAGGCTTTGACCAGGTCCGATTAGACGCAAGCTGAAGATTTTCGCTAATCAGCGCAACATACTCGGCCGTTCCGAGGCGTTTTGAAACCGGTTAGCACGCAGATTAATTAATTAATATGAAGACCAAGATCCAACGGCGATTGCCGTGCAAGCGTCACTCTACGTGGATCGGACCCAAACAGAGAAAGAAAAGGGGGGGGAGGGGGGAGTGTGTGAGAGGTTGCCGCGCAGCTGAAGAGATGCCGGCAATAGATACCGCCCGGCTGTTTGATCAAAAACACTTGACTTTTATGCATAGTGCAGGATGAAACATTGGTGGAGCGAGGTGTTATTCACCGCTGCCAATCCCTGTGGTTTGTACAGCTATGTGCAGCATCTAAGACTTGCCATGTACGTGTGTGTGTGCACGCATCATCGTCTCTGCCTGTCTTACAGCCTCAACTTCTCTGGCGGCCATGATCGACAGGACCTTGCACGCCCTCTGCCATGTGCGCTGGGCTGCTTTCTGGAACGCCTCGATTCACTCACCGTCTTGTCCCTTGCAGGGCCGGGATCTGGGTCCTCTCCCCGTCAATCCGCTATACGTTGGCGTGCCTTGTTTTGGCCGGTCTGGTGTAGCTCAGGCGGCAACATGCGCCTCTTGTGGTCGAGACAGACGTTGGGCGGTGTCTGCCGTGTGCCCGGACAGATTTGCCCACAGGTAAAAGGGGGGGGAGGCACCTGGCCAGCTCATACAGCGGTCACAGCATCGCCAAACGCCAGTGTCGAAGGATGCAGCTTTGCCATACTCGAGATGCACCTTCAGGACAAAGACAGGCTGGCTATTGGCATTGATTTACATGTAATTTGTAAATCCACTGCTACTCGTTGACGTTTCTCGTATACATGTATGTCTGTGTGTGATCATATGGTTCTGCGGGTTCGTGTTGAGTATTAGAGACACACCAGCGAAGCTCGCCACTGCCGATCAAACAATCTCCATGTACATGCTTCTGAAAGAAGATTCCTTTCTTTCTTTCTCTCTCGCTCTCTCTATACCGGCTTCCCCCCTTCCCCCTTCCCCCTTTTCTCCTAGCTAGCGACCTTCTGGAAGCAACTTTGTTCCCGTTGTCACGGCCCAACAACACTGCAATATCCCATCTACTTGCTGAGCAACACGTGTGCTTTGTGCGCAGTTTCTGCGAGGAGTGACAGAGCAAATGGGAGTAATAATCCTTCCCGTTTGCCCGGTGCAAGGACCACGCCTCTCGACAATGTCTCGTCTCCCTCGTGCGCTACTCGTCATGTGCCTGGTTCAACTCCAGTTTCTCGCCTCAAGTTCCACACGGATGGAGGCTCCCATGTACATGTATCAAGGCAGGTACATTACGTATGCGACTTGTACTTTTTGGCGGAAACAAGTTGGTGGCTCCTTGTACGACGTTGAGCTGGGGACATTCCTTGGGGGCCTTCTGCAGGCTGCTATGCGGAGTAGCACAGAGGACAATAACTTGCATCTTATTTACTCTGACCGCTACGTTATTGTAACAATACCTGATGACCTTGATGGCCCGCAGTTTTACGATGCAATGAGCGCGTATCTTTGGCTGGCCTCGACTATTTGCGCTGGGCATGAGGTCACGGCCCATCTTTTTTTGTATGGTAAAACAAGGAAAGCAAAGCAAAACAAAGGTGGACCGGTGAGCAAACCTCTGCATGAAAGAACCCAATATCCTCCGTGAACCCCGTATTCTTCAAGTCCCTGAGAGATATGATAAGGCTCGCTCATGCGCCCGTATACAGCCGTTCTTGGAATAGACCGGACGGTTGTTGCTGGATTTAAACGAGGTATCTCACGGAAGAGGAGTGTTTTGTATACTAACGCATTGACCGTATTCAGCACCTTGGCCACTTACACGCCCCTCCGGAAAGGCCAGGGCAGAGAAAGGAACTTGAAATAGAACGAGAAAGATGAGTTAGGGGGACTATTAACTAGTACATGTTATGCAAGACATGGTTTACAAGGGGGAATCTAATCTAGATTCTCTGAGATTACAGACGGCCAGGGCCAAAGGGGGCTAACAGATGCCCGGCCCGAGAACCCGGTGAGATCGATTCAGAGGGTCCTCACCCACGTGTGTATATTGTCGGCAAAGGAAGAACAAGGATTGAGCGAACACGTACAGATGTATAGATCTGCATCAAGCCTTTGATTCCCGCAACTCTCTGCCATCCTGGTACAGCTTCTCCACTCCCTTGCGTAGCCCTGACCAGAAACTTGAGCATCTGGGGGGGATGACAAGGCCTACGAGCTTGTCAACTGCTGTGTACCGGCAGCATCTGCGGCCGTGGTAACTTTTCTGGCAGATGTTTTTTGTTGAGGTGCTGCGATGGCGAGAGGAAGAGAGTCAGTGAGGGAAAGGCACAGGATGAAAATAATTGGATGAGCTGGCCGGGTGACGGTGCAAGCAAACAAACAAGATGAAAAAAATATAAAAATAAAACCGGCAAAATTGTGGAATCGAGGAGAGAGCGGGCACGTACTGATAATGTATAACTATTCCGGAACTACAGCTCTTTCGTCCCGGATCTCTTGTTCTAGATTCTTTCATTTCATTCCCATTTGTCTTTTTTGCTCCTTCTTCCATTTCCCCAGATTGCCTCATTCATCTGCCTTTTCCGAACCCTTCACACCCGGCTGCCTTCTCCAAGTTGCCTTGCCCCAAACGGAACTCTCTCTGATTCGCCACCAAAACAGACTACAGACACAGCCTTCAGACTCTGCCTTTTTGTCTTGGTGCCAGCATCACCGAGTCATATCTGCTGAGGCCCAAGGGGACACAAGACGTCAGACCCGTCATTTCCCGTCTCTCTCTCTCTCTCTCTCTCTATTCTAATCTCTCTATCAGCCTGTCAGAGGAGTATCCGTCTACCAGCAAGACTGTATTGAAGAGACTGCGTGTTTGCTCATCTGATCTCGAAACAGATACTTGACTCGGGAGGTCAGAAGAGACGTGGTGTACACACCATCTATTTACGCCACCATAGATAGCTACCTTACTCTTTGAATCCTCCAATCATGGGTTCTTCAAGCGCCCACTCCTCCAACCACGCCAGGTACTCTTCTCCTCGCGGCGGCATCTCTCCCTACGCAACGCCGTACGCGGACCGCAGATCCAACTCTTACCACAGCGACTCGCGAGGCGGCATGATGAGTGATCGGGACTCAACCGAAGAGTCAAACACCCAGCGGAAGAGGATCGCGGTTGCGGTAAGCTGCTTCTCCCTCCCCCTTTGATATCCCAGGACTACGGGTAGAGAGAGAGAGAGAGAGAGAGAGAGAGAGAGAGAGACAAGATTGCTGACTTGATGTGGACGGCAGTGCATGCGATGCCGCAAGAGAAAGATCCGATGCACGGGAGACAGTGGAAATGGCCAGCCGTGCCTGAACTGCAAGAATGCCGGCTTCGAGCCATGCCAGTTCCTCAGGGTAAGATGGCGATGTTGCTTCTTGCATGTATTGATTCGACATATTGCTAACTACTGTTTTCTCTCCAACCCAGGTATCCTCTCACGAGACCCATCTCAAGAACGAGCAGTTCACCTACAGCCTGGAAGTTGCTCGGAACTTCCAAGCCCGAGGATCTTCGGTCGTGTCTCCTATTCCAACGACTACTCTGCCGTCCCCATATCCGGAACCCATGGGCATGCCCAGCGGTGAGGCCCTGCCGTATAGGAACGGCCCTGCCTCTACCTACGCCTATGGCAGCAAGTATTATCCCTTGTCGGGATGGTCCAACGGATACACCGACGACAACAGCATCGAGTATTCGGTGTATCAGCAGTCGTACCCTCCGCAGCACGATGCCACCTACATGGTGGGCTATCGCATGGGCTCGAATCCTCCTTCAAACAAGCCATCAGGAGGCAGCACGCCCCTGTATGTCGAGCCGGAGACAGCCTATGGCTATCCTGCTGGTCCTCCAGCGGCCACCACAACAACGACGATGGTACATCGTCCTGCCCCCGGAGTCGAGGCAAACACCGGTTTTGCTTACCAGAGCATTGCCTCGCTCCCCAATGAGAGACTGCTGCCCACGCCTTCTTCGCGGCCCATGGCCAGCGCTCCTCAGCAGCATCCATATCGAGCAGAGTCCATCTCTTCAGCCTACAGCAAGACATCTCAGTCTTCCACCGGCAGCTCCTCTCCTGCTGCTCTCTCTGAAGCAGCAACCACTTACACCAGCTTCGAGAACTCGCCCCTGTCCTCGTACCCCACACCCACCACGACAAACTCGCGCCTCCGCAGCGAGTACCCGACAACTGCAAACTCATCTCTCGACGCAATCATGGCGCCGTCTGAAGAGCCGCTACGCATGACGGCTCCTGAGATGACGTACAAGTACACCGACACGACTAGACACTATGCTAGCACGTATACGGGAAATCTCGGGGGCTACAACATGACGAGCAGCCACGGACACTCGGGTTATGCAATGAGCAGCGATGAGAACGACCGCAAGGCCGGAATGCGGACTTAGAAGTGGAAGAGCGGACGAGATTCTACTCCGTCTTTGTGAAAAGACTGTGCTTTTGTTATTGCATTGCTCTTGAGGCTTTCTCCTTGTACTATTTTTGTTTGCAATTTGCGGTTCTCTTTTCCATTGATTTAACTGCCTGCTTTCTATTTTAATTCTCTTTTACATTCACTCGTCCCTTTCATCAGATCTGTGCTGTGAGCACGCTCTGTTTCTAAAACCATCACCCGGCTTCGTCCATTTCTCATGTGGACTCCGAATAGGCACCTTGCAGAAATAGCCTGGAAATAAATGACGAAAGGGGACAGATGAACGACTTGAAAGCCATAAAAAAAAAACAAGAAACACACACAAAAATAGCAAAGCCCCCTCGCCAAATCCACGCAGGAGGCGCAAAGCCACCTCGCGTCTCTCGATAGAGGAGCCAAACGATTTTCAGGGGGGGCCACCCAAAAAAAACCACCCGCCCAACCAGATAAAGCCAAGACGGTATTTCTTTTTTTTTTTTTATCCCCCCTTCATCACCCCCTCCATCTCGGCTTTTTTTGGGGGGGGCTCAGAAACACCAGAAACCAAGATCGGTTGCATTGCGTCTCTGGGGGCGGACTCCATTGGCCCGTTTAGCTTGCGCAAATGTTTTAGTCGCAGCATATGCAGATACGCCACCAGATGCGGAACTTCGCTTCTGATGCTTCTCCCTCTAATCACAGCTGATATTCCATATGTCTGTTTTGTTTTGCTTTGCTTGGATTCGTCGTCTTCTTTTGTTGCGTCTGCCAATTTTTGTTTTGCTGTTGTGTTCGCGATTCTATTTGTGTTTGTTTGACTCATGTTACTTTGACAATTCTCTTTGTTTTATTCCTTGGTACCTCATTGACCCCTATGCGACTGGAAAAGCATTCTCACGATGACAAAAAAAGTTGAAGGAAAGATCATGTTACCAAGCAATAGTTGTGGAAGCTGGTATGGGAGAGAACAAAAGCACGACGGAGAAAGATCAATTTGGCCCGGAAGAAAATGGAGGCAGCTCGTTAAGAGTGACTCCTGGGAGTAGATTACGCATCTGGTTCTCTTCACTTCTCTTAATGGGATTGGTTTGTGTATGGTATGAGGGTTTTTTGTTTTCCTTATTTCTGTTTCTGTTTCTGCTTCTTTTGTTGTTCTTGTTCTTGTGAAAGGGAGAGGGGATGTAATACAGTGGCTATGGCTACATTTTGTGGAATCCCTTCTGACCGAAGCCAGAGGTACCATGAATATCACCGGGGAGACGCCATATACAAATGGCAGACGATAGGAAAATAGAGATTTTCGCAGAATGTACTTAGACATAATACAGAGGGCATTTCATTTCATAAACAGTCGTAAGATGGCCAATAAAAATATCCCAGAGCTGCTTGGGATGACGGATGATGGAAGAAAGGCATGAGAGAGCATGGTTACATGTACTAACGGCTTGTTACACGGCATGCGCCGTCAAGAGCACCATCTGTTTCACTTCCTTGGGGTTGCTGCGTTTTCTTTGGAAGATCAAGTCGCTTGCCGTGAGTCTTTTTTTCCCACTGTCTTGATTGAAAGAGGGGCAGCCAGAGAGGAGGGGATGTGTGTGTATAAATAGGGATGACCAGCACACGGAGCGAAGTGTCAAAGAAACTCTGTGCCTTACGAGAGGTTGTGCAATGATGAAGCGACAGGTGGGAGCAACAAGGAGACCCCTCTCTATCCCTTCTCTCCTTTCTCTGAGCAGTTGTTCCCTTTGGTAGTGCAGATAGATGGCAAGGGATAGTTGCATCTGATATCGTCGGGAGGAGGCAAGGCAGAGCTAGATGCTGTATGAGGGTGTGGAGGTAAAACAAGGGGGGAGGCGGCAGATGAAGGCTTGGTAATACGACGTGTACAACAAGGCAAAGTATACGTTTCGGCAGTACTTTGGGAAGGATGAGATGGTCCAAGACATATGAGAGACAGGCGTCAAGTGCCAGATAGGTGCTGGGAGCAGGAATAAAGCCGACGACGCTGTGTTTGAGAAGCACAGCTAGTCTACAAGTATGATTAGAGCGAGGGTTTGACGCAGCATGATTTAGAATTCGGGTTGTATTCGTATTGTTTGCTACTCAGAGAATGAACGGAAAAGGAGGTGGTAGGTGATATAAGATGCATATCAGGTATGCATGCGTTTGGGAGCCGTACACAGATATAAGCTGGCCAAGCATTATCAAGAATGTATGTACTTGCGGAACGCTTTCACACCGCAATATCGACAAGGGAAAAGAAAAGGCTGGCGGGTAAAGGAAGCCAAGTCAAGTCGAGGGAAGAACAAAGTGTGTACATGTATCATTGCGCTCAAGTCGCACACGAGCCGCCCTATTTTACGCTAAAGACTCGCCTGCTGAGCACCGTCTGCTGTAGCTGTAGCACGCCGGCTTGGACTCCGTCTACAATGGATACATCTTTGGCCCTGTCCTGACCGTATTCGTGGACGATGATGCTGCGAATCATGTCTTGCAAGCCTCCCATGCCACCGCAGCCCATGACGACACAGGTGACGTTTCCCGAGGACAACAGCCGCTTGGTAGCTTCTCTGAGGCGCACATTGATTTGCTCCTGTGAGATTGTGTGAAAGTCGCCTGCGTTGAGTCCGGTAGAGAAGACGCCGGCGAATCGGTCATCACTGATGCTCGGAGATGATGTAGGAGATGCAGCAGGCAGTGGTTGGCCCAGAAAGGTAGCGACCCCATTGGAGAGGTGCGTCTCCCAGAAGGCACCTGTTGTTACGATGCCCCATTTCTGTTGTTCTTGTTCAACAAGGGGAACCAGAGATAGACTCGTCAGGATGCTGGCTTCGAAGATGCCAATTACGGGAATAGGTTTCAGTGAATGAGCAAGTTGCTTGACTAGGGGGTGAACGCTGAAGCACGCAACAAGCACGGCATCGTATCCCTCGGGCTTGAACTCTGGATCGTTGGAAACGGCATCAACGCTGGCCTGTACGTCTTCATCGTTGTCGATGCTGGCCGGAGATGGCGCTGGGGCCGTGTATGTGCTGATGGATACGGACTCGAGAGAGTCAGCTAGGAAGGCAATTTGGCGGGCTACGATGGGTGGGCTTGCGGAATTACTGGAAGAAGAGAGGTTGCTATTGAGTTGGCAGCGGATTCCATGGTCTGGGTCATGGCGCGAGAGGAATTGGGGTTGAGGAGGAGGATGTTGATGCTGGAGGCGACTGGAGGAGGAGGAGGCATTGTTGCGGTTGGAGATGTAGATGGAGTTGTAATCGAGGATGAGTGAGTGAAGAGAAAAGAGTGAGAGAGAAAGAAAGAGAAAATGCTGGGGAGATGAATGAAAGGAATTGATGTATTGAAGTAGCTGAGAAAGATGAAGAAGATAAGGAGAAAGAAGCCAAAAAATTACGAGAGGTCAATGACTTAGTAATTCAAGGATGGAGTCGTCGATGAAGCCTCCAGTGGATTGATTTGATGGCTGATAGTGGCAGTAGCAGTTGCTGATAGCTGTTGATAGCGCTGCGGGGTATCACGTGACACCGCAACGCCCGCCTCTGACGACAATCCTGACCCTCTGAGAGCCTCTGAAGCCTCTGAAGCACCCCCACCATGTATGTGGCTCAACTGTCATTTTAGTCGGTAGACACGAACTGACTGACGACGCCTCCACACTCGTGCCAGCCTCCAGTCTCCAGCTCCTCACCAAACCACAGCTTCGCCCAACACCGGCCCTCCCTCGCCGAATCCGAATTGATCACATCGCCAACATGGTTCCTCCCATCGGTACGTGGAAACGCACTGAAGCCCTCCGCTGAAAAGCCCCGGAGCTGCCCTGAAGCTGCGTCTGCTGTAGCTGTAGCTGCTGCTGAGCTTCTCCCTACTCCTACTCCTGAGCACCGGCGGAACCCCCTCGCTCCTCTGCTAATGCTGCAAATGTCTCGCAGTGCTTGACGGCGGTACCGGATTCCTCAAGGTCGGATACGCCGCCCAGAACTTCCCCGAGCACCAGTACCCGTCCATTGTCGGCCGACCCATCCTGCGTTCCGAAGAGCGGACAGACAACGATGTCATCATCAAGGACATCATGTGCGGTGACGACGCGGCCGCGGCCCGGACGATGCTGCAGATCAGCTACCCCATGGAGAACGGAATTGTCAAGAACTGGGAGGACATGCAGCACCTCTGGGACTACACCTTCTTCGAGAAGCTCCAGATCAACCCGCAGGGCCAGAAGATCCTGCTGACCGAGCCGCCCATGAATCCCCTAAAGAACCGAGAGAAGATGTGCGAGGTCATGTTTGAGAGGTATGGCTTTGGTGGAGTCTATGTTGCCATCCAGGCTGTTCTTGCATTATACGCACAAGGTAAAACGATTCCCATCCTCCCCAACCTTTTGTCACCGATCATGCCGCTGACGTGACGGTGAAACTGTGCAGGTCTGAGCTCGGGCGTTGTCGTCGACTCTGGTGACGGTGTCACCCACATTGTTCCCGTCTACGAATCCGTCGTGCTGAATCACCTTACCAAGCGGTTGGATGTCGCCGGTCGAGATGTCACCCGCAACCTGATCAAGCTGCTCCTGCGCCGAGGCTACGCGCTCAACCGAACCGCCGACTTCGAGACGGTCCGCCAGATCAAGGAGAAGCTCTGCTACGTTTCATACGACCTGGAGCTTGACAAGCGTCTGAGCGAAGACACGACCGTGCTGGTTGAGGACTACACTCTCCCCGATGGCCGGGTCATCCGCGTGGGAAGCGAGCGGTTCGAGGCTCCCGAGTGTCTGTTCCAGCCTCACCTGGTGGACAACGAGTCTCCCGGACTGGGCGAGTTCCTGTTCAACACAATCCAGTCGGCCGATGTGGACATTCGAGCGTCGCTGTTCAAGGCAATTGTGCTGTCTGGAGGCAGCAGCATGTACCCGGGTCTCCCGTCACGATTGGAGAAGGAGCTGAAGCAGCTGTGGCTGACGCGAGCGCTCCAGGGCAACCCCGAACGCCTGAGCAAGTTCAAGGTGCGCATAGAGGACCCTCCTCGGAGAAGACACATGGTGTTCTTGGGAGGAGCCGTGCTGGCTAACATCATGGCCGAGAACGAGGCCATGTGGGTGACCAAGGCCGAGTGGGAGGAGCAAGGAGTGCGGGCTCTGGAGAAGCTCGGACCGCGATGAGTGCGTGTAGGGGGGTAGATGAGTTGTGCGAGATGTTATTGTTTATACATACGGCTAGATGAAGCATTAAAAGACGTTGATATTTGGCTCTCTACTCTGATTGGTGACGGTGCCATCCGAAGCAAGGCTGGGCTGTGGTCCCAACCCTCGATATGCAGCAATGCATTGATCCTTGATCCTTTAGTGGCAATTTTGTCTAGATAAATCCCCCACCCCCATCTCTTTTAGGCTCTTCTCGAAATGAAGGCATTCCTCGCTTCATCTTCATCTTAGACTAGTAGGCCGTTCACACTGAAACATGATGTACCTGCTACACCATGGCTGCTTAGTCATCTGCCACGGCTGCGCCTACATCTCGGCATTAACTACAACCTTCCATCGGGATATTCTTGCGATTTGCGATTTGTTCATGCAACAGCAACTGCAATTGGATTAATCGCAAACACCATTTCTGCATATCACGAGCCGCGCTCTACATCTATTAGCATCTTTCATCATTCGCTCCAGCACTCTTCCTTCGAGAACGTACCCCCAATCTCTCCAACATTGTCTACTGACTGTTTTGCTTCTCAGCTTGTCGCCACCACCGGACTTCTCCGCACCGGCTAAAGACAGCATCGTATTCAGTTGAAATTCCTCATCTCATTCGTCCTCCTTTATTTCAGCACTCTCTCACCACCGTCGCGATTTGCGCTTCTGCCCAATCAATCCGTCTAGCCACGTGCGAATACGGATCAACCACGTATCATCCCCCGACCAGATGCCGCATGCCTAGCTCGCAGCATCTGAGATCAGTCCAGACAGAGGCTTGACGCAAACTCCGTCACTAAACGGAGCCCTTGAGTCGTATCGTGTGGGTGCGTGCATACTTGCCTACCTTGGCTGCTCCACCCGCTCACAGGCCAACAAGAGCTTCTGAATCGAATCGAATCGACCTGGCCGTTGCTCATGCTGACAGGCCGTGGCGTCTCGCTCGCAAGGGAAGCCGGGATAATAGCGCCTCGACGAAATAGCCATCAAGGAAGGACATGAATCTGACAAGCTCGTCGACGGGATCTGGGCCCGGGACCGCAAAGACTGCCAGCGTCATGAACGCAAGGGCCATCCATACGGCCAAGCGGAGCGTCCTGGCGGCGTTTGAAGGTGCGTGTGCTTTATTTACTCTCTTCCAGGTTTCTCTTTCATGTCTGCCTCCGGTGTACAAGTAGTGGTTTAATTCCCCGTCTGGTCTGGTCTGCATATCCCAACGTGCCGCTTGGCCAACGGCTTTTGTTTATCGCCCTCGTCCTTACCCACTCAAGGTCCACCTTGGAACAACCCACCGCGTGCCCTCTTTTCTGGTGCTTTGTTTGTTTCTGATTGTCCCTGTTCACCATCTTGTGCGGCGTTCGGCATGTGCTGCTATTCTTGGTGGCATCATCTACAAGTACATACCCAAAATCGTCAAGCGACGATATCATCCGCCAGAGTGGCAGCAAGTTCGCCACAAGTTGCTTTCTTCCCCTTTTTTTATTTTCCCGCCTCGCTGAGCCACTCACTCGCATAATATTTTTCTTTACCATGTCAAGCCCCCTTCCATTGCTCGTCTCTTGATTCTTTCACTCTCGCTTTCACTCTCGCTTTCACTCTCACTCTCACTCTCACTCTCACGCTCTACTTCCGGGGCGTATTGACATCGCCCCATCCCGGCCATACCCATTTATTTCTCATTGCCAGCCCAGCTAGTCAGATAATCTTACCCGTGCCAAGACCCGCGTGGGTTTATATTACACGATACCCGATCTGGGTCATCTGGCAAGGCTGTTCTTTTTAACCAGCCATCTAAGCTCGCATTAACCTCCATCTGCTTACCCACACGCACATGCAACACATCACCACACACCACCACGCGCGCCTAGTCTCAGTCCCAGTCCCAGTCTCAATCTCAGTCTCTATTCTTTGCCCTCTTCTTCCCTCTCTCACTCTCACACACCCTCACACCACAACGCATTCAAATCCCAAATAGCCCTCGTTTCCCCTAGCATCGCACGATCCCTCAGCCATGCCTCTGAGGCTGAGGCCAGGCTATCCTCACTCGTCGTCATCGCATCATTTGTTTGCATCGTCTTCCTCTTCCTCTTCATCCGCTCACCGCCTATATACAGATGGCCGCGACCAGTCGGCTGGGTACCAGCCCAAAGCACGCGTGACGGAGCGATACCGCATTATTGGTTTCATTAGCAGTGGCACCTATGGCCGTGTCTACAAAGCCGTGAGCAGAACCGGTAATGGCGAAGGCATTGCCGTTGTCCGGACGTCCAGCGGCCTCACGCCCACATCCGGCTCCGGACAGGCACCCATCGAAGTAGCCATCAAAAAGTTCAAGCCTGATAAGGAGGGAGAGCAGGTCAGCTACACGGGCATCTCGCAGAGCGCCATCCGTGAGATGAGCCTCTGCAGCGAGCTTCGCCACTCAAACGTCATCCGGCTTGTAGAGATTATTCTCGAGGACAAGTGCATTTTTATGGTCTTTGAATACGCCGAGCACGACCTGTTACAGATTATCCACCACCACACCCAGCAGCCACGCCACCCGATACCGCCAGCTACAGTCAAGAGCATCATGTTCCAGCTCCTCAACGGCTGCCAATATCTTCACACAAACTGGGTTTTGCACCGCGATCTCAAGCCCGCCAACATCATGGTTACGTCTGGCGGAGAGGTCAAAATCGGAGACTTGGGTCTGGCTCGCCGTTTCGACAAACCGTTGCATTCACTCTTCAGCGGTGATAAAGTTGTCGTGACGATTTGGTACCGTGCACCGGAACTCATCCTTGGATCGTATCACTATACTCCCGCCATAGACATGTGGGCCGTAGGATGCATCTTCGCCGAGCTGCTGTCATTACGACCCATCTTTAAAGGCGAGGAGGCTAAGATGGATAGCAAGAAGACGGTTCCATTCCAGAGAAACCAGATGCACAAAATTGCCGAAATCATGGGCATGCCGACCAAGGAACGATGGCCCCTGCTTACCTGCATGCCTGAGTACATGCAGCTGAACACGTTGTCGGCGATGCAGCACAGCTCGCACAGCCATCACCATCACAGCCACCACCAGAACCCCCCCAGCCGCGGCTACGCACCCACGTCAAGCCTCGAAAAGTGGTACTACAGCACCATCAACAACAACTCGGGCGCCGGAGCTGCCGCGTCGGGCCCCAACGGCCAGCCTGCGCTTCAGTCGCTCGGCGCCGAAGGCTACAAGCTCCTCGCAGGCCTCCTCGAGTACGACCCGGAAAAGCGCCTCACGGCCGCGCAGGCGCTGCAGTCCGTCTTCTTCAGCTCGGGCGACCGCGTCAGCTCAAACTGCTTCGAGGGCGTCAAGGTTGAGTATCCGCACCGCCGCGTCAGCCAGGACGACAACGACATCCGCACCAGCAGCCTGCCGGGCACTAAGCGTAGCGGTCTTCCAGACGATACGTTGTTGCGGCCGGCCAAGCGTATGAAGGAATAGGCTTCTTTCCATGGCGGGTGGGGTCTTTATTGATTGGTTTTAGAAGATTTTGTTTGCTTTGGGGAGTTTGTGTTTTCACGCATGAAAACAGTAATTGCAAGCTAGCTAGGAATGATTGCTTTGGGACAAGAGCGAATATGCATAGAGCAAGCATCGCGTGGTTAGAGACATTGGGTTTCCTATGGCGTTTCATATCAGTGTAAGGGGCGCAATGGGGGCATTTGACGACTCAAGGATTCGGCGGCAAATCAAGGCGTTGGCAAAGGAATAGCATGTTTTAGTATTATAGATCGGTAGTATAAAGGCCGAGGCATAAACCTTTCTTGAACTAGCTGTTACAACGTTATTGAGCCTCTCATCTTGATGATAAACTTGACCTTTATTATATAGATCGGCATTCTGTTTCACGACTGTTTTTCAATAGGACATGTGGATTATCCACCCAAGAATATATAGATATTTCTAGACTCAAGGAAAATTAACAAAACCTAACGAACGAGACGCACACATCAAGGTGCCCTCCCAAAGAAACACTCACCAACGAACAGGATAAAACAGTAGATGGATAAAAGTTCTCCTACATTAAGTGTACATGACAAAAAAAAGGGTTCAACTAGCCATAGTATGTTTTCACAGGCACTCCCCACAACCTCCCCCTCCTTTCTCAACCTCCATCAGCATCTCTTCTCTTTCCCTTCCAACTCTCCCTTATCCCGCAACATTTTTCTTCCACCATCCTTTTTTCGCCCCTTCTTGTGCTGCTTTCCTCTCTTTTCTCTCTCTCACTCTCGTAGGAAGAAGATGCAAGAAAAATAAAAGAAGCACGGGGTATTTGAACGTTAACTAAAAAAAAAAAAAAAGCGTATTGCGTTATAAGAGGAACAAAAAAAAGATGCTAAGATATGCGCTTCAAAATAAGACGAAGCTGGCGAGACAATTAAAAAAAGAAGAGACAAAAAAGTCACACACAAAAAAAAGTTACCACGTTAGAAAAGCACAGACGAATTTTGTCCCTCCCGCAACAAGACATGGTATACAGCACGGTTCCATCACCTCTCCTCCTTTGATATCCTCCGCTCCTATATCTCATTTCCGTCTCCGGATCCTATCAATCTCTTTCCTCCTCTGGCGAAATTATACAGCGACGGTAAAGCGCGTCCAGTCGAGAAACCGGCCATGGTTCGAGTAAGAGCAATGGGCTGTCAGACGAAGGACGTAGCCGTCGGGACTGGGGTGCAAGTCCCAACACAAAAAATTATTAATGGGTGGGCGGGAGATCCGTAAGCGGGGACCAGGGGGGGTTTGTATGCATCATTGAAAGATTTCCATTAAGCGTCGTAGTTTTTGCGAAACCAAAAGGACAAGGTTGTATATCGTTTTATTTCTTGACGGGAGCGGCGGGGGCCTTGACGTTGTTGGAGAGCCAGGCCAGACCCTCGAGCAGGCCTTCACCAGTCGTGGCACAGCTGGGCACCACGTACCAGACCTTGTCCTTGAGCTTGGAGAGCTGGAGAGCTTCGGTGACTTCCTGGGGCGACATGGCTGTTTATATACGTTAGCAACAAGTTCCTATAATAAAGGTAGAGAGAGAGAGAGAGAGAGAGAGAGAACACAATGACGCACCTTCTTTGAGATCCTGCTTGTTGGCGAATACCAGCAGCAGGCTGTCCTTCATTTCTCGGTCATTGATGATGCGATGTAATTCTTGTCGGGCCTCGTCCATGCGGGCGCGGTCGGAAGAGTCAATGACGAAGATGAGACCTTGAGTGCCTGGATTGAAAAAAAACATTAGCGCTCACCCAGCTGAAAAGCAAGACGCCGTTGGGTCGCCCATACCGCTGAAATAGTGCCTCCACAGAGGACGGATCTTGTCCTGGCCACCAACATCCCAGACGTTGAACTTGACGTTCTTGTAGGTGACGGTCTCGACGTTGAAGCCGACGGTGGGAATGGTGGTGACATCCTGGCCCAGCTTGAGCTTGTACAGGATTGTTGTTTTACCAGCAGCATCGAGACCCAGCATCAGCAGTCGCATCTCCTTGGATCCGAAGATCTTGCTCATAACCTTGGAAAGTTGGCCACCCATGATTGCGGTATCTGTTGTTGATTCTCGACGATTCGATCTTGTTGGAGCGTCTCTTTAATTGTTTCGATTGCGCAGCGGCGTGGGAGGAAAGGAGGTTGAAGGCAGATGATGCGCAGATCGCGGGAAGATAAGAGGGGAAAAAAGGAGGGAGGGGCTTGCAGCGTCGCAAAAAAAAAAGAGTCAGGTAGAATGAAACGGATCTGTATGCAGGGAGCAACACATTCAGGTTAGCAAAAGGGTCAGCCAGACAGGTTCAACACAAACGCGTTTGGCTTGCAGTGCAGCCAAGCCTCATTTTATTCCCCCCCACCTCCGTCTCCTGCTGAAGGCAACAAAGAAACAGCCAGAAGAAGAGAGACGAGAGACAGCGCATGGCAAGGCAAGGGCGAGATTGCGATGCTGCGTCGTGCTGTATTTCAGGTCAAAAACCTACCAAGAAAACGTGACACTCGAGCTCCTGAAGCTGACGAGAATAGCGACCACTATGAGTTCCTATTTGCAGCAGCGCAAAGGGAAATCGCAGACAGCCAAAACGTATCGACGGGGGGTTTTGCGAGGGCGAAAACGCGCGCGAAACCGCAAAAGAAAAAGGAACGTGGACAGAACGGGGATCGATGACGAAAGCCCGCACGAGTTGGGGAAGAAAAAAATCGACAAAAGAGAATGAGGAGGAAGAAGAAAAAAGGAAGAAGAGAGAGAAGAAGAAGGAGAGCGGGGACAGAAGACGTCAAAGCGGCAGTGCGATGCCAAGGGCGATCCGAAAAAAGTCAGAGCTTCGTTCTTTGCTGGCGATTTTGGGGTCAAAGGAGGGACGAAGGAAGCCCAAATTGAATTGATGCGATGCGACGCGCACGTGTGGATTCGGCGCGGGTGGTTCTGCAGGTCACAAGTACAGGTACAGGTACAGGGCCCGTAGGGGTACCGGTACAAGGAGGGCTAGCACTGGAAGTGAGGTGTCCTCTACTCGATTCAGGTACCTACCTGGAGAATCAAATCAAAATTGGATTGATGGGCTGCAAGTGCGCAATGCATCAACAGGCACAGCGCATTTTCACGGGCTCCCCAGCTGCCCTCTACAGGCCACCAATCCCACTGCCTAACCCAGTAAGGTACAGGTACAGCTCGTTATTAGCACCTTAGCCTTGTTCCCCCCGCCGCTAGGGGAATGGCCCAATGGCGGCAGTGGAGCTGGGCTGCAGCCAATTTTCAGGGGTAACCGCCTGATAATCTCCGCTCGTCGCTGTTTTGGACCGGCCGTGGGTGGCACAGGCTCAGGTACCGGTACAAGTGCGCTGGGGACACAGCAATTCCACTTAGTCTATCAGCGCTGCAGGTACGGAGTAGATCAACGGAATTCAAATTGCACGATCAAATATTCTGGGGGGGTTTGTACATAGTACTCGTAAAGGGGACTGGATCTGGAGCCATTAGGTTGATTTATATGAGCCCTCGCATTATTAGCTAATATTAGCAGTCCAGTCGCATGGATGGCATGGATTAACATTAGCTTTAGCATTCTCGCCAAGCTTTGTAGGTTAGCCTGCACGCAGTTGTCACGACAATATTGATTGCATTAGCCTCGATTGGTAGGTGCCGTCATCAATACTGTACGAGCACAACGAGAGCAACTCAACTCAGCAGCTACAGCTTACAAACGACATATACGAGCACCTACATGATATCCACGCAACTAACCCAAAAAGCCTCAACAACGCAATTTTTTTCTCTTGTTTCTTATAACATTGAATTGAGCTTTAATAAATTAAAATTATTAATTCATATCCACGGCATATTCGCCCACACACCGTAGACCTGTTTTAACTCCCAAAACACCATAACCAACCCACCTACCCTATTATCCACATATATGTACACATCCAGTTGACAACTCAATCCCACAACCACCCCCCATCTAATCCCACCAACTCAACTCAACCCCCCACACATTACAAACACTCCAAATCCCAACTTCTATTTTAAACTCGCCCAACCTTCTTTTTAAACTCGGCTCTACTCCAACCTTCACCTGCCCCATCCGGCAGCTCGCTATCATGTCTACACCTCACGATCTCACATGGAGTAGTGCCGAAGCGGCCTCGAGCGGTCTTTGGAGCCATCCTCGGACGCTGCCTGTTGCAGACCAGAAGTCCAAATAAGCATAACGCGGCATGTGAAACACCGTGGCGGCACCCATGTGCGAATGAAGAAGGAAACAGCTCAATGACGAAAAGCTCACCAGTCCGGACACGGCAGGTTCAATGTCGCCTTGACAGCATGGACAAGTCACATACGAGTTGATCTGTGTAAGCGGTGTGTATCCCAATTTTTTTTCTTATAAAATCTGTGACTCAAGCTCTATCCCGTCGTCTCTCCTGAACTCATCCTCTCACTTACACTCTGCAAGGAAGAAAACAACAACCATGAGATTCTCAGCAACCCTCTCCGCGGCTCTCGCTGCCTCCCCTGCCCTTGCGGCTCCCACCGCTGAGGCCGCCTCCTCTGCTCGAGTTGTCTATGCCAACTCCGGGCACATCTATCTGGCCACGTACGACGGCAGCAAGTTTACAACCACCCTCAACTCGTCCTTCAAGAACACCGATCCCTCGTGGCTCGCCTTCGTCCCGCCAAACTCGCTCTACGCCGTCAACGACATTGCCTCCAACACCTTCCTCTACAACATCGACGTCAATGGCAACACCATCAAGCAAGTCACCAACAAGCAGGGCTCCAGTGGTGTCGTCCATCTCGAGGTCAACAAGGCCAACACCCGCATGCTGGGTGCCGGCTACGGCTCTGGCAAGATCGACGTCTGGAACATTGAAAACGGGGGCCTGACTCTCATCAAATCCATCAAGTCCACCGGCCCCCTCGGCCCCAACCCGGATCGCCAGGATGCTCCTCACCCTCACCAGACTGTCAACGACCCCACGGGCCGTTTCTTTCTGGCCAATGACCTTGGCACCGACTCCATCCTGGTCATTGACTCCCAGAATGATGCCTTCAACATTGTCAACCGCTTCCCCGTCGTGCCCGCCGGTGCCGGCCCGCGTCACGGCGTCTTCTACCCCTTTGGTGCCGCCCAGGCAACCCACTACTTCCTGGTCTGCGAGATGGGCAACGTCGTGATCGCCTACAGAGTCACCTACACCAACGACGGCACGGGCATGGCGTTTGAGACCACCCAGGTGCTCAACACCTTTGGTCCCAACTCCGTGGCGCCCGCCGGTGCCGGCGCTGGCGAGCTTGTGCTCTCTCCCGACAACAAGGACCTGTACTTGTCGAACCGCCTGACCGGCCAAGCGACGGATAACATTGCTCACATCAAGATCATTGACCAGGGTGCCGGTGTCTTGAGGCTTCTTTGGATCAACTCGGTCTCCTCAGGAGGCACTGCCCCCCGAATGTTCAGCATCAGCAACGATGGCAGCTCGCTGTTTGTCACGAATCAGAATGGTGCTCTCGGTGTGACGGCCATCTCTCGAAAGGCTGACGACGGTTCCCTCGACACCAACTTTCACGGCACAATCAGCTCCGGTGCATTTGGCTCGAGCGGCCAGGGCCCCCAGTACATTAAGCAGATCCAGTAAAAGAAACGACGTCGGGTTCGAGAGCCGCTTGGCATCATTGCATCATTTGTAATCTGTTTCTTGTGTATATATCAATAAGTAAGAAGCACATATCAGGCATTGAAATGTATATAGTCCGGGAAAAAAAGGAAAGCAAGTGAAGCACTCAAGCTCAAAGAGCATCTTTGAATTCATAAAGGTTACACAATAAGTTAGAAAAAAAAAGAAAAAGCAAGAAATGCAATCCTACTTCTAACACCAAAACTCCTGCCCCTGTCCGTTCTAATCCATTCGTCAGGACCCTTTTTTTTTCTGGTCAAAGAAAACCTGAACACCGTACGGAGCGTCGCCGCTCTCCTGTCTGGAAAAATGGGATAAAAAGACTTAATCATACATAGGCTCGTTGCCAAAACAACTCCATATCCTGGTATCAGATTTGATGTATCATGGACGCTCGACATCAACAGGAAACAAAAAAGGACGAGAAAAAAAAAAAAAAATCTTCCGGTTGGAAATGTAATCAGAGCATCTGCCAAGAGGTAGGCGGGACTCAGACCCTGTATTCGATGACATATCTCCGCTCCACCTGCTGCAGGGTCGTTGAATCGTTTTCGCCCTCAAACTTGAGATCAACCTTGCCCGTTGATGTCATGCTGTGAACCTCGGCCTTGTAAAACGTCGTTGTCTGGGGATAAAGGGCAAGAACCACATGGCCAGCTTCGTAATCCTTAAGCGAGCTGGCCTGGCTTTCCGGTGTAATGGGAATCATGCTGCTGGCGCTGGAGCGGTATTCTTTTTGCTTGCTTTGATCGTCCGGCTCAATGTCGATAACCTTGTACCGCCGACTCTTGCCCTCGCCGAGCACCTGCGCCACCTCGCCCAGGATCCAGTCAGATGTCTGCTCGCCATTGGCAGCCTTGGGCTTGAAGGCTACCTCATCGCCTTTGGAGAAGAGTATCTTGGATTTGTTCGTCGAGCCAGCAGCACCGCTGATGGACCCCGGCGGCTCGACACTGTCCGCCTTGGGTGGCATGCTATCACGGGTGCTGCTTCGATCGCCATGTTTTCGAGAGGAGCTCGGTATGGGGCTGGGTACTGGGGAGTCGTCTGCGCCGTTAAATTCGTAGAGAGAGGCAGCCGCAGCATTGTCCCTGGTGGTGGATCTCTTAGATGGCCCGGTGGGTGGCGCTTCGGCCTGCTCCTTGGCCACGACAACTGCTCTCACCACCTTGAGGCGCTCCATCAGGTTCTTGGCAGCGTTAATATTGTCCTCGGAGAATTTGACACCGGATCGGCAAAGCTCCTCCATCTGCTTCATCATGTCGGTGGGCACGCTGTCCGAGTCCATTGTGCCGGCCTGCTTGTCCATGGCCACGAGCTGGCCCAAGTTGTCATTGTCCGAATTGATGCCGCTGATGAGGTCGTTGAACGATGCTTTGGCCTCATCCCATATCTGAACCTCCTCGCCGTGTGCACCCCCGTTGTTGCGGTTGGAGCCGCGGCCGCTCCGATTTCGTTGCGACATGTCGCGGCGGCCCGGCTGGCTGTAGTAAGGGCCGAGGTCCTCGAAGAGATTGCTGACTTCGCGCTGGGCTTTACGATTAGCCATTGTGGGTTTTTGACTCGGGCGGTCGGGGCAGGTTCGCGAAAACCGCGCGGCCGCCGAGGGAGTCGACGACCCGAGAGAGATGGAGAGAGGCAGAGCGGGAGAGGAGAGCGGGAGATGGAGATGGAGATGGAGATGGAGATGGATTGATAGTGGTGCGATGGATTTGGATGGGGGGAATTGAATTGAATCAACGAATGAATGGACGCTGCGCCAAAAAAGAAGAAGAAAAGAGCTGGTGATTGGATTGAGGGGGAACAATGCAATGCAATGGATAGGATGGATGTAGCAACGATGCAATGCAATGCAGGCTGAGGACGGGACAGAACAGAACAGATCAAGCCAACTTGATATTAAGCAAGACTAACAGGCAAAGACTGGGGGTGCTGCGGACTTACTGGCTGTTTTGCTGTCCAAACCCTGCCAGAGTGGGTGCTGCTGCTGGCTGACTCGCCTGTTGCTCGCTAACCAGCGCTTCTGGCGTCCGAGGCAGCGCTTTTGCAGTCGCGACGCGTGTCTCCGGCGGTCGGAGAGAGGCGACGAGGCGGACGAGGAGGAAGAGGGGAGGAGGCGAGAGAGGAGAGAGCAGGGAAGAGCAGCGTCGTGGTCTGGTCTTCAATTTGTAAGAGATGAGAGAGGGAAGAAACAAACAAGGTCGGGCCGGGGCATAAGTTTCAACCCATTTTATGCGCTAGGCATGGCTGGAAGGGAAGGGGACCTGGAGAATACGAAAATGGGCGCCCTGCTCTTTTGCTGCTCTTTGCTGCTCTTTGCTGCGATTTTTCGGTGTACCTGCGCCGTACTTGGATGTCGCGCTCTGGGGGGACGGAACGTTGATGCAAGGTGTATGTTGAGACAAAGTCCAAGGGCTAGGCGCGAAACCTTGTTTCGTTGTGATTGTGATTGTGATTACATGTACGGAGTACCTTACCTTGCCTTGGATGACGGATCTCTTTTGCTGGGAAGCCCTTTCGGGCCATCTATGACCCGCAGCAGTTAGTGGGCAACGCCTGGGATACCTGATGGGCCTGCTGTGGATGTGAGTGACGGCGGGTACCCAGCAAGTCATCCTGCTAAAACCGAGCTCTTCTCTGTTTCATGCTTTGGTACCTACATGTAGCGCCCTCTGTGCCTTAACCTTATCTCTCCAGGTATCACTACAAGTACCTACGAAATTCAGTCTTTTGGTACTACCCACCTACCTAAGGTATTTGTTTGAAAGGTGAGCTCACTTGGTACAAGGTGTGGTATATTCTCCCATACCTAGGTAATTATATGCGTAGCCCATCTAAAGCTGAGATGTAGATGGAATGTCAATCAATATATTGGCATATTCACTGCATGGGCTTAGTGGATTTGTATTCGGACAGACCGGAAGTATCTCCTAGCTGGTGTCTATAACGGATACCTTGTAGGTACCTTGATAGTAGAGTTCCACGCTGAAGAGCACCTGGCAGTAGCTTCGGTATAGGTACATGTAGATGTAGATGACTGTACCAACAACAGGCATCTATCAAGGTGGCCACTGATAGACAAGAGGAAATAAGCACTGATAATAGAAGTGCCTAGCGATATATTTCCATCTCACGTAGAAATACGCAATCGCAACATCATCAATTCCATCTGTTTTCTACGCCTTGAATCCCGAGGATGCGGCCCTCAACCTGCTGTTGGCTTTGCCGCCAAATGTACCTAATTTGTATACAGAACTTGCGTACATGTACTTGATGGGATAATAACCAATCCATGGATATTATTTGGTGGTCTTCAGATGGGCCACCAGTCTCCTCTAAAAACTTGAAAAGGGCCGCGTATACCTGTAGTGTCGACATTTCTAAAGGGCCGACGCTTGTTGTATTATCAGCAAAGCAATCTCTGGGAAATAGATAAAGAATCACCCCCATCGAGCAGCTGCTTCCTCTATTTCAAGTGAGAGAGACTACTTGGGACGACATTACTTAAGTGGCTGGAAAAAAATACAAGACAGGACGCGATGAAGACACTGATTAAAGCCGGGTACGAAATAGAGCAACACAGCTAGTCAACGTGGAGTAATGATGTGAATACATGTAACTAGGACACATCGATGATGGAGCCTACATAGGTAGTGGATGGAATACAAACTCTAGATATACAAGAGACCCGGCCCAGGAATCCCCATCCAAGCCCGTATCTCGACATTTTGGCTTCGTCTGGCCCTCTATTCCGATATAGTCCCAGTTATACTGACTTTTTAGACTCGCGATTTATGTACATATGACGGGAGACTGGAGAGTGTTTTGCGTGGAACATTACATCATTATCATCGGACCGGTCTTTATGACACAAAAGTAGAGGCTCTTGGATCAACCTGAAACAACATTTAAAGATTCATTTCTCATTTGACTACACTAATTTGTGCTATTTTCTCCCTTGTGAAATGAGACTAGTCAATCTTATAGCACGTTTTCGCCATATACTCAAAGTGAAGCCCATGAACCATTCATAAACTTCCCAATCTTAATTCTCTCTGTCACGCCAATCCCTTAGCTGACAGTGATGGAAGCTGAGCCAGAGCTGAAGTATCCCTCGACGGCAACAATCTGGTAGTCCATGGTGCCCAAAGTGAGACCGTGAGAGGCCCAGGCGTTGAAGTGGTTGGCCGTGTTGACCGAGCCGCTGGAGCGGTGGCTGCGGCGGACTGACCAGTACTGGTAAAAGGTGGCAGTTCCAATGATGGAGGGCTGGTTGACGCGCTGAGTTCGGTAGATGTCGTAGACGCTGCCGTCAGATGTCACTTCACCCAGCTTGGTGGCGCCAGTGGATGGGTTGTAGGTTCCAAAGTTCTCGACGATGTAGTACTCGATGAGAGGGTTGCGGGACCAGCCGTAGATGGAGAGGTAGCTGTTTCCGTTGGGATTGTAGCTGCCGGAGAAGTTTATGACCCTGAAAAGAGAGTGATTAGCTTCTGGCATCAATGTTTGACATACAAGGTGCCATCACTTACTTATTCTTGGTGCCTGGCTGCCATCCCTTGCCTCCCACAAAGTTGCCAGAGTTGGACCAGTTGACGGTGAATGAACCGCCGCCACCGTTAGTGTATGTCACGCCGGAGTGGCCATCGTTCCAGTAAGAGTAGTAATAGCCGTTGTTGTAACCGGTGCCAGGTCCAATTGTCTGGCGCTTTTCCACCTCAACAGATTCGGTGGGAGCGGACAGGACGCCGGCAACGGCGGCGAAGCCAGCGAGGAGGGAAGTGAAGGCAACCATTGTTTCAATTTTGCCTGTTCTTTCTTCTTCTTCTTGTGTAAGGCTGTATGAGTGTGAGTTGTTTGATCGATGACTTTCGCCTCTTCAATTCTAGAGAGGATGTCACCGCCCTTTATAAATTAGTTTGCGGATAATTGCAACAGAGAGCTGTCAAGCCTCCGCACGGCCGAACGGCCGACCATTGATCAATTTACCCCGCCTGGACTTCGTTCTCTTCTCTTGAAGACATTACGCCTTGGAATCCCATCGTGACGTGGTGATGCTGCTGTCCCAGCAACACCGAGCCAGCTCAGATGGAGTTTGCCACAAGGCATGGGCTGATGGACCCTTAGGTCCCAGTACATGTGAAAAGAAGCGGCATGTTTCATTTACTGGCTCACGGCTAATTTCGTCTTGGCATCTCCGGCACTGAGGTTAAAGAAAAAAAAAATAAAAGAAAAAGAAAGAAAGAAAAAAGTCCCGAACGTATGACCGATTCAGTGTTTAAGCAACGTCTCGTTGACGGGGTTGTCTCTTGTGGAGACGAGACAACACGGTAAACCACAACAGGCAGTGTGACAAGACATTAGGAATAGCCATCTACTGGATCACAATATCCTATAGCGAAATGACGAATGATCCATCTTTGCCGTAGTGCAGAAATAGTGCCCAAGGCAGACATGGGCCACCAGGTTACATCGATTACTCTATGTCTAATATATCATTACATATCCTTAACTCGTATGCTTCCAATTAACCATAACGCACCATGTGCCCCCGGTCCGAAGATGCATGCACCCCAACTCTCTCGACAAACAGCCTACGACGGCATCCCACAAGACAATATCTCCATTGGTCTAGTGCCGATGAAGCAATCTGGGAGAAAAAACGGGACTGGAGACATGATTTGCGGGGGTGACGGGCAAAGCTGCGGCTCGTCTAGCGGCTAAATTGGATATAATCGGACTCGGGAAGATGTAAGCAAACTGGCTTCCGGGGTCTTCTAGGCGGCATGTTTAGATCATGTACCCCAAGGGCATGGATGAAAATATCGACCACGATCGAACAATGATGAGCTGTTTTGCCTAAAATCAGCTGGGAAAGGGGCAGCCCACTGGGAGAAGCCGGCTTTTCAGCCCTTCAGGTGGAAAATCTAGTCGAGTTGGACAAGAAGCCGTCTCTAGAATTGAAAGCTTCTGTTATTTGTGAGCTTGCAGCAAATGGAATCCACATCCAGCTTGACTTGCCGGGAAAAGACGCTGCTAGAAGCACAGTAGGCACCTGGCGAAGGGCCTTCAACTTAGATATAATTGCCTTGGAGAATGATGTACTATAGTCGTGACAAAATGGATGCCAGTTTGCGGCTGAAATAGATATGCACACAGTTTATGGGCTATAGCGCTCGTTCAACTGGCTCAACTCCAAAAATAGCAAGATAATAGCTGGTCATTATAAACAACACATGGTTAGGTATGAATGACCCTGTCAATCTATGTATTTCCTTCCCTGAATTAAGGAGATGTATACTGTCTATGTGTGAATCGCGATATGGTAAAATCTTTTCTTATTACTCTTTCTTTCATCGAATGGCCGTGATAGAGTAGCGTGGCCACCTCGAAAGGCAGATAGCTATGTTATAGTACTGAATCCGGCATAAATTTCGTCTTCTTGAGATATATATTTCTACTTTCCTTTATCTATGGTATTGATCGCTAATTCTTTCTACACAGGGTAATTAACGGTACTTTCGCGATTTGCAATAGTTGTCGATGCTTTCGTATATCTGAGTTAGTCTCTACTTTGGTCTATCAGACGCCAATTATATCCAGTCATCACCGTATATTTATCGTTACTTTGGTCCTGGGGTGCTGATTTGTTAACAACCAGGGAACGCACCTTTAAGATGACCTGACTTCTTAGGTCATACACGGCAGGTATATATAATATCTATATTGTAATGTAGGTCCCTTAGGCAACCCTACAGTTGAGCTTATCTTGTAGTTACGTCCAAATGTCAAATTAATAGCTCTGAGCTATTCCCCTTAGCTATACTATTACATACTAACTATACCTTGGACATATTTTGCTTTTGCTGTTCTTTCTTTCTAGTTGAAGTCTTTATAAAGCCCATAATAGGATGTCCAAAAAGCGTCTTTGGACTATCTTTGCGACTATCCACCTCGTCTTGACCTTGATTTTGGCCACCTTCCCCTGACATATTTGCCACCATCACGTTTTTGCCGTACTGTATCACCCGCTTTACCACACCTGAGATTCGTTCCATGTTGAACGTGATAAGAAGGGTGATCAGCCCAACAATTATAGCAGTGGCAATAAATGGAGTTCTTGTGCTGCTATTTGTGATATCTGGGATAGCCCAGAGAGCCTACAAGTACCCAAAGTGTCAATGAATATTTCCACCAAGATTAGAGCGACAGCTTGAAATATCGGAGAGTACATGTACTCACAGCGCAGAATCCTAACGGTAAATAAAATATGCTGACATACGTGAGGAGCATGACATTTTGCCCTAGCTGAGTTGAGATTCTCGCTTCGTTGATAGAAACCCAGGCAAACTCCTGCAAACGGTGAGCTCAAATTTTGTGTGGAAATATGTTGAGCTTACAATCTGTAGAAGATCCCTGATTATTTGATCCAATTGCCCGATCAGTTTATTCACTACAAGTTCAAATTCTTCTGTCAACCACTCTAATAATCCCTGTGGTATTTTATTTGCGTTATAATACCGACAATAGTTCCTAATGAAGTCTTCGGCGGCTCGAACTTGGTTTTGTAAGATGCCTCGAAGCTCAGCCAATTTGCGAGCATCATTTGCGAGAAGATCTATCATATCAGGGCTCTTGCCTTTGTAGTTCAATTGCTCAAGACGCTATATAATATCAGCAAAACTAAGGAAAGAAGCAAGCCTTTGTTGAATTCTGTAGCATACCCTTCTAGATAGATATGTCTCAATTTGCTTGCACAGACTTAGCCAATCTCCTTTAACGTAGAACATGAACTGCTTAAATAAATCCATCCCATTCTCTGGCATCCATCCATTTGGAAGCGTACTAAAATAAATAGATGAAGTCCACGGACTGCCCGGCTTTGTAGACCGAATCATTTTCCATGCTATTCTATATGCTTTGGTAGCTGAAGTGGTGGAAGAGCTGGAATATGAGTAATGCTCTATGGAAAGCCACAGAGAGACAGAAATATCGGATGAACTATTGCAGGCTGTCTCCGGCATACTGATATGCAATTCATTTGGTTTCAATTGCTGTATTGAATCAGTGATAGGTACTTTTGACCAGGGCGAGTGATGTGGATTTTCTATAAATGAGCTTGGAAATATTAGTACATTATGCTAAAGAAACAAGGAATATGATACCTACTAGAGACTCCGAATGACACCAGAAGGTTGTTCTGATATCTCGTTGGCAGTTGGTAAGACTGTGACGAAGTCCACATATATTTCCCCATTTTCTGTTTCAGAAAAGAGGACAATATCTTCATCTTCTTTACCATACGTGGCACGCCATTCCTTTGCCATAGTCTCATTCATGTTCGCTTTGTGTTTGAGTAGCTCCCGTATGAAGCGCTCATCTTTTTCTCGCATCGCTAATCGAAGTGGTGTCATGTTGCCACTATCCCGAAGATCGATCCTCGCTCCGTACGATAATAGGTCTTTCGTTATCTCCAGCTGTCTCGACAAGATTGCAGCATGTAGAGGAGTGTGGCCTTCGCCATTTTGTTCATCTATATTATATTTGGCATGAACAAGTGATTTGATGGCTTCACGATTTCCTTCTTGGACCAGAATAAATATTGTGATTGTATCTACAGGCGCGAGTAGTGTTATTATCGCATCGTGACCAGCTTCGATAGCTCGGTAGAGTGCTGTCTGGCCGTCTTTATCTTCCAAGTTCGGATTGGCCCCGTCCCGCGTTAGGATGAGCTCCTCCTCCTCCTCATTCTCCCATTCCATCTCTATTTTATTTATGTCAGTGGCTTTTTTCCCTAGTAGTAATTTCACTATCAACTCGTAACCGTTTTTCGCAGCATGTGAGATTGGTGTCCGACCATCATCGTCTTTCGAATTCGGATTTGTTCTTTTATCCATTAAGAATATTCGAACTGCCATCTCATGGCCATTCTCCGAAGCCTGTGAGAGCGCTGTCCGGCCATTGTCTGAATTTTTGTTTGGATTCAGCCCTTCTTTGATCAATAGGAAGCGAATCAATGCGTTGTATCCATTTTTTGCAGCCCATGACAACAGATTTTGACCTAGGGGTAACATGTCATGTCTCGCTAATAATTGCTCAATTATATCCCGATTATTTGTGTTCATGATCGATATTGTTATCGGCTTCTCGTAAATATCATTGGAATTCCAGTTATGCTCCTTCCCTAGGGAGAAGAACGACCTTATGATATCCATATCCTTTTGTATCATAGCCCGTCTCAATATGTCATGGTCTTTGCGATCTTTCGGAACCAGGTTAATATCGTCCTTTAGGACCAGGAGTTCTATGACGTAGGCATCTTTTCGCTCCAAAACCGTTTCGAGTAGTGTTTGTTTAGTGGAATCGTTCAAAGAATCGAAGCGTAAATTACGCATATTACTCTTCGGAAGGAATCGTTTAATGGTATGTATATGTCCTCGTGAAATAGCGTATGACAGTGGTGTCCAACCATAACAATTTGCCATATTCAGGTCGATATCATTTCTTGAAGCAAGTGACTCAACAATCTCATCATGGCCCATCTTTGTGGCTATTAATAATGGGGTTTCGGAGAATTTGTTTTGAATATTTACTTTGATATCTTTGCGGGTCAGAAGCAGCGCAACAATATCTGTACATCCTTTTCTTGCTGCAAAATTTAGCAATGGCTCTTCTTGGTTGCTGTCGTTAATGTTGGTAGTCATTGGAAGTAGTAGTTTTACTATATCCATATGCCGATTTGATATAGCAGAGTAGAGCGGCGGCAGAGAGCCTTTCGCTTTCAAATTCAAGTCAATATCTTCCCTTGAAATAAGCAACTTAACAATATCTGTGTGTCCTTTCTCTGCGGCTATCGATAAAGCTGTCCCATCCTCAAGGTCATCGTCGAGTGATTTATTTCCTAGGTAATGTTCAAGGTTCACATTGATATCTTGATGAGTGAGTAGCAGGGTAACAATGTCTGCATGCCCTTTCTCGGAAGCCAAATATAGTGGTGGTCCTGCAATAGGAAAAAATGGTCTTTTTATGCGATAATTTACTGTTTCGGAGGACAGCTCTCTCCGCACGCAGGCCAGATCACCCCGCTTTATTGCATCAAGAAGGCGGTCACCCATGGCCTCGATATATTTGGACCCCATTATATATATTGAGTCTGTCGAAATGGACTGTATAAACTAATTGATTGCAAAGAGGAGTGGAATGAGCGCTGCCGACTTTGAAACGAATTTGGGATAAATATCCTGGTTATTTTCAAGGCCGATTTACTAAGACAGAAATTTCTTCTGAGGGGGTGTAAGCAAGGCTTTCTGGTAGGCTGCATGCAAATGATGATAACGTACGTGGCGAAATAATATTGGCTGGTGTAGAAATATTGGATCCTGTTGGTGAGTAAAGGCATTGACCCCTCGCTTCTATAAGCTCAGCATAAAGTTAATCGTAGTCTTGAGTTTCACTTGGATTATAGCCTGGTTATTGACGGCGCATTGAATGATGCTGCTGATTTTATGGGCGATAGGCTCAAACGAAATGGGAATGCTAAGACCTTCTTCCATTCCCGTCCGAACTAGGATAACGGGGGAATGACGGATGTCGAAATCTTTATTATAATATTCTTCAAGCCCGATTATGATCAATATTGCTCGAAATAGAGGTAAAAGCAGGAAAAGCTTCTGCTCACGGACGATTTGGCCAATGTGTGTGCACATGCATAGGCCCCATTTCTTCGGACCCTTGGGAGTCATTAGCTACATGGCATAAGGCAACTTAAACTTTTTGACTGCATCTTGGATCTCTTGTGCCCTTGCACAGATTGCAGCATAGACTGAGATGGCGAGATCGACCAAAGGACCAGGCTGCAAATTATCAGATATCAATTCCGGGAAGAAAGTCTTTGCGACAAATTGCATATATGCAATCTCTCTCTTATAGGGAATAAGCTATGCAGTACTTCTAAAGCAGAGATTGGTAAATTGGGCGTTTTGCCGAGAAAATGTATGTAGGTGCTGCTTTATTTCAGCAATCATTGGCTACTTCTATTGTCTCCTCAGTTGCCAAGAACGCAAGGTCGGAAATTTTTGGTTTACAAATCCAGCGGCAATCCGCCGAGCATTTATGTATCAACTCGCGATGCTGTGATTTCTGAGTGCTAAGCAGACGCTGCAGGATCGCGTGCGGTGGATGAGCAGCCGTGAGACTCATTTCATATTTGGACGCCATATTGAAGGAACGAGGGCAAAGGCTCTGGGATAGACGGATTAAATAGAGAGAGACCGTTTGGCGCGGTATCTCGATACATTCTTATTGCCGGAGGAAAGAAGCTGGAGAGAACAGAGACACACTGGTGCACTTTTATGTTAATAGCCCACTGATTAGGCGATGGATCTGGCAATACGAGCACGGCACAACAGGATTCGGAAATCTGTGGTGTTTAATGCCTCTTTGTCTCTGACTTTAAGTTCCATTAAGAGCTCATCGTGATCCAAGTACCCATGTATTTTGTTAGCGACATTTCGCAGCTTTCGAGAACAACTAAAATGGGATTTGCTAGCCAGCACTCCGATAACGCTCTTGCTTCTGTAATATAATTATAGGTCCTTTTTAAGATATGTCTGCCTGGAATGGTAGATAGAGACCTGATTCTTCAAGTAATCGGCCTGGAGTCGATGTCTGGACTACCGCCCTTGGCAAGATCTAGATATATCGTAAGAGGTACATACGCTATGCTCGAGACGACTAGTAATATAAGTCCTCTCGGGGCATTCTCATTATGCTTTTAGTCTCTTGTACCACGACTTAGTCCTAGATTTGCTCGCTGGATCTGTTAATGATCTAACTTATTTTACCAAATATAGAATAGAGTAAGTAAAGAGGCTTCTTACTACGCAACCACAAACTAGAGGTACCGAATGAACATGTCGTAGAAAGTGGAGGCCTACATACTGTCTACGTGCATTCCTTGGTGATAAAGAACTCTTATGTGGTATATTCGAAACATTACCGTTCGTTCATGCTTACTCTGACGTTTTGTCGAATCTTTTTATATAGAGATGGAAACTTTAGTCAATATTAACATTTTCACATGAGATGAATCGTTTGAGGTATGATTAAGAAAGAAAGATCGCACTGGCAACTAACTGAGCGGCCACTGAAGGAGCCCAAGCAATAAAGGCAAAATTTCATCTTTTCAGTCCTGCTCATCGTTGCTTCTGTTTCCTTTACCAAGTACAAGCGACTTCAACCCAATTCGATACCCTACAGCTGAACCATCCTGTGCCGGCACATCCCCCGACATCATACTCCCCGGTTGTGTGCAGGCATCGTTTCCCCTGGCCATCGTAGTAGAAGTGGCCTCGAGAATTCGCCCAATCAAAGCACACAGTATTTAGGGCATTGATGCCAGGGTTACGACAACCATCACTGGTGTCGACTTGAGAGCCTCCTGCAGCTGACACGAATATACCCGATTGAACGATGCCATATCTGACTGCAGCGACGTAGTCCGCTGTAGCTGAAGTAAAAAGCGTAGTAACAGGCAGAGTGAGGGAAAGCAGCTTCATGTTCAACCGCATATCTTTGTTTATAGTTAGTGTTCATACTTCACAGGTTGTTTTCAGCAGCATCAAACTTACCAAGGGGAGAAGTACGGCTTGATAAGTAGAGAGTATAGATAGTTAAGAGAGAATAGAGTAAAGTCTGTAGTTCAAGAGGACAAAAGTAGCACATTTACAAGCAGTCCTGGGAGCAGAAAATTACCTTGTTGAGCAAGACTAAAGTTCCTCTTATATAAGCTCTATGCATGGTTAACCCGCCTATTCGAGAGCGGATATTACCCATGTCTTGAAGGATTCTTGGGCCTATTGTTAACCTAGCAAGTAGCATGATTACATATAGGTAGTCAATTCCTACATGAGGGGTCTTCCTCCACGAAATGAAAGGGCTCCCTGGCAACTTATCAAAAGTTCCCGAAAAAAGACCTGGCAGATAGCCGGCTTCCTCCTTGAATCACTCCCAGCCATCTTATTGCAGGAGGAATATGTATGGAATTAATTGATATCTGACCCCAGAGCGATAGAATATCGTATTGCCAGGATTAATACAACCTTACACAGGCATAGCTATAAGCTTATAAAGTAATGTGTTTTCTCTGTTATTGCATACCTAATTGTAACAGCAGGTGCGGCATTTACCTTTATATTAACTCAAGACTCTGTGCATCCTGCTCAATCCTATGCTCTAAGTGACCAATCTGAGCGGCCAAACACCGCTGTTGCCGTCAAATACGTGTACTCGTATGTTGCAAGTGGGGTTCTTGGCATTGATCCTTCTAACATGGGGAATAGGAAAAAGATGGTGTCGGAACAGGTAATCCTAGTCATAAGTTCTAGCTTCGTAGGGTAATGTGTTTCCAGAATAGGAAGAAAAAAGTAGCGTGGTAACGAGATGACAATTGTCAGTGATTGTAATATAACCTGCTGACTTTCTATATTCAGTCTTCTCTTAACCTCGTCATCCACCAGCCTTGGAGCATTCGTAAAACAGCTGCTTGCCGAAGAAATAACATTGAATTATTTACTATTCTTTTCTTCTGTAACTACTTCTGTGAGTGATCTTGTCCTGAGCCTATGCATCATGTAATATCTTATGATAGCCACTGATATATGTAACCATAGGAACGATAATGAGGATTCAATATCTCATCGCACTCACCACCCTATCAAGCGGAGTAACAGCGGACTACTTGAACGTTGTCACAAACTGTGGTGTATTCGGCAACTGCGGTAGCGAAAAGGCCGTCTGGTACACCGACTTTGGGTACAACCCGGTGGACGCCAACGAGGGCTGTCGCGACCCGAACATACCTAACATGAACACGCTTTGTATGGACTGGGGCAATAGGCGCGGTCACTTCTTCTTCGACGGCCAAGGTAAACGATGTATCCAAGAGCGAGCAGTTGCCGAGTATGGGGACTTTAGCTTCTCTACCTGGGCTGAGGTCGTCTGTACGTGGTGAGAGGCAGCTGGCAAGGACACGGTACCTTGGCGTCTGGTCGCGTCGAAGCGCACAACTGCTACCAATTGTAGCAAGTGTGGGTGAAAGAGCTTGAATTCCACTATCTAGGTGCTTGTCTGACTCCATACATGTTCCCTGTTCCCTGTATCATCACCAGATGTGACATGGGATGAAATTGTATGCAGCAGCGGAGACGGCTGGTTATGACGGACTGCACTTATCTCTACTCTCTTCTACCTACCCATTAGACCTCTAAGGTAATAAGATATATATCTCTGTCGCTTATTATTTACGGTTTGCATATTCTAGGTTAATAAATCATGGCCAATTGAAGAAAGAAAGAGTAATAAGAAAGATAGTGCTTATCGTATGTCCATCCACAGTCATATTTTGTTTCAAGTAGTCGACATCATATACTTCTGTGTCACTGCTGTGTTACCTCTGTGTCCATCTTGCGTCCGATTCTTGTACTATATTTCCAGAACAGTCATAGATACATGCGGCCAAGGCACACCCCATACTCTCTGCAGAGTTCAGAAAACAAACCTCTCTGCCTTGACCCCTAGACCGAAACAAAATAAAACTAAATAGCCTGCGCCAGAGTACATCTTCAACCAAGCAGCCATTTTCGAACCTTTACGACATATTCTTTTGTTCATTCTGTGGTATTTCAGCATCAATATTGGTGCCTGTTGATATTCTGCAAGTTATTATTCCCTCCTTCGCAGAACGTTCTGTGCATCTTGCTATCCCCCCCTATCTACTTACTTTCTTGTGTGTGCGTGTGATGCTAATATCTTATTGCAGAAGATGCAGACAAGATTGATTATACTACGCTCGTGCCTACTTGGTACTGCTGTGGCATGTTCAGTCTTGTTGCGATAACTGTGATACCTGGCTGGATTCTGGAAAGTTGGGCTGTCACTGAAGCAAAATCTCAAGAAACAGGCATTGTACACATCATTATCATTTAGGGTTACTATGTACAGAAGTAAAGTAATTTTTATAACAAACACATTACTGCTTCTCTTCTCTTCTCCAGAGGCCGTGACTCTCACGATGCCTCTTCATCCTCATTATTTTCTTTACTGGCCTTTAAGCCTTGCAGCCGGGGGTAATGGTGGCAGTGGTGAAGGTGGTGGTGGTGGCAGTGGCGCACACGCATCCCTGGCCAGAGATGCTGGTGACGGGAGGAGACTTGCAGGTGGCCTCGCTGGTGAAGGAAGCGTAGGTGCTGGTGGGCACGGTGGGCTCAACAAGCTCAGCCTTGACAAGGACGGGGATGATCTGGCCGGTGGACAGGCTGAAAGAGCGGTGGTTCAGGACGGTGAGGATGGCGCCAATCTCGCCAGAGTGGCTGGTGATGCTGATCCAGGTGTTGTCATCGTGAGAGAAGACGTCGTCAATGACCTCCTTGCTACGGGCGACCTGGTGAGCAGAGGTCTCGCCCATACCCTGCTTGCCCTCCCACAGCAGATCCTGCTCGGTAAAGCCGGCCTCGAACTGGAAGTTGGGAACGTAGGCGTGGATCTGGGACTTGGTGGAACGACGGTCGCAGGTGTGAATGCTGATGCTCTCACGGAAAAGCTCCTTGATGGTGGGCTTGAAGGGGTTGGAGTGAGGCAGCTTCTGGTTGGCAAAGGTGAGATTGGCCGTCTGGAGGCATCGCCTGAGGGGCGAGCTGTAGTACGACTCAAAGTAGGGGAGACCCTCCTTCTCGAAGCGAGACTTGAAGTAGGCATTGGCCTTGGTGGTCTGGGCCAGGCCGTTGGGGGTCAGCTGGGCGTCAGCCCAAGTAGCAGTGCCGTTGCCATCCTGCTCAGCCCAGTAGCACTACGGGAAAAGTCAGCAACCCAGGATGAAAGATTTAGGGTCATTCGAGACTCACGTTCCAGGCAGGGGTGCCGTAGAAGGTCTCGGCGGCGTTGTGCCATCCCTCGCCGTGGCGACCCATGAAGAGAACCTTGTAGGTGGTGGTCTGGTCCTTCTTGTTCTTGCGGCAGTCATCGTTGAGCGAGGCAACATAGTTGGCGAAGCGCTGCCACTGAGTCTTCTTGTGGCGAGGGTCGAACTTGGCATCAGTGGGGTAAGTCCTGTTGAGAAGACCAAAGTTGAAGTTGGCCTATGTCAAAGTGTGTGAGTCGAAGAAGTCCAATTGGACGAAATACTATTTGGTTCGTCTTCTCTTTGGCATACGTACATAGTCAAAGGTGCTGGGGTCAGTTTTGGCATCGTCCTGGAGGAAGAAGCCCGGGACCGAAGTGTACTTGATGTCATCGCAGTCGGAGACTTCTTTCCAGGCCATGGCGCTGGGGGCGAGCGCCAGGGCAACAGACAGCATGGAGACCTTCATCTTGACGGTGCTTGAAGATGAAGATGAAGATGGCGATGACGATGCAGATGCAGATGCTCAGGTTTTACTTGGTTGCGACGGGGAACAGGCGACCTGACGAGCGAACAGGACGCAAAAGGGCGACGGGCGACGCGACGACTTAAGTATCGTGCTTTTTTTTCCCTGGACGTGCTGAAAATGTAACCGTCGCCAGGGCTGTTGCTGCAACCATGAAGTCATATGGAGCCTGTCAATGCTACTCTGGGGCCCGTCAGCAATTGGGCCGAGCGGCCGTCTTTAGCGTGCTGTCTTCGGTGTCGAGAGAAGAACGGCCGTGGATGCGGTAGTAGGTGAAGCCCCATGTCTGCTCCAATCGATCGACAACGTGGCGGGCCAGTCCGGGGACTAGAGGCTTCAACCCATCTGGCAGCGCACGTGGAAGCGCACCTTGGCAGCGTTTTCAGGCGAGGCTGGGCTTGCGGATGGTTCCTGGATCTGGCAGAGGAGGATCGTGTTTCTCCGTCGTGCTAACACAATTGATGGGTTTTACCGCTTTGAGGTTGTGTATCCGTTGAGCCGGGATTAAGTTGCAGAATTGTCAAAAGGACCGGGCCCGAGTATGGCGATGAGAATGTCGTCGATACTGTACCATGCCTGTATAGAATGGTCGGTGTGTCTGGAGTGGGACTCTTCGATCTGCAGTGCCTGTCTGTATCAGGAAGTATCTCACAAGGGACTGCAATTGAGACTAAGAGTAGCGATTTCGGTGCTTGACGTCCATTGAAAAAGAAAAAAAAAATAAAAAAGAGATGAGAGTATGCGAGTAATGAAGTCAGAACGTTCGAGTGCCTAAGCTTTAAGGTTAAGAGAATGCTTCAGCTCTTTCACGTGCTAGCGCCCGTCGCTTGAGGCGCTTCAGCTGGATAGACGGCACCCAGGCGCTGCAAAGGCTGCTAAGGCTGCTAAAGCTGCTAACGAATGCGATAAGATAGCGATGAATGTCACTTTCATTTCCCCGCAGTCGCTGCACAACCCCTGAGAGACATTGAGCTCAAGCTTCTTCCAACAAACGCCAGCTCCGTCTTCGCAGCTGTCCAAAGGCGCCAACGACACCGAATTGACGTCTTGCGGCTGGAACAAACAGCTGCGCAATCTCGCAATCTCGCATTAGCTCAGCGCCCAACACTCTGCTAAATTCCAGCCCCCCCGTTTGCCCGTCGCAACATGAGCGCCTCCAACCTGAACCAGGACGACCTCGAGCAGCCTCAGGGCGAGCCTGCGCCTGAGCTTCTCGACGGTCGCATCTGGGTGGACGGCTGCTGGGACTTCTTCCACCATGGTTAGACCTCCGCTAGTTTCCCATTGACCCACGGGAGCATCTTGCTAATGAGTTTGGGCGCCATTGTCAGGCCACGCCGGAGCAATGGTCCAGGCCAGACAGCTTGGCGACGAGCTATACGTCGGCGTCCATTCCGACGAGGCCATCCTTGCCAACAAAGGCCCGACGGTCATGAACCTTGAGGAGCGGTATGTCGTGGGCTGAGAAGAGAGGAGGTGCGGAAAAAGAAGCGCAATGGCTGACTAGCAGAGTGCAAAAACAGTCTCGCCGCCACAGATGCCTGTCGTTGGGTTACCAAGTCGGTCGGATACGCCCCCTACGTGACGCAGCTCCCATATATCTCGCACTACGGCTGCCGATATGTTGTTCACGGCGACGACATCACCTCGGACAGCGATGGAAACGACTGCTACCGGTTTGTCAAGGAGGCCGGCCGCTTCAAGGTCGTCAAGCGATCGCCCGGCATCTCCACCACCGATCTTGTCGGCCGCATGCTGCTGTGCACTAAGACACATTTCATCAAATCGCTAAAGAAGACGCTGGCCGGGGAGGAGGGCGTGGGCACTGCGGAGGAGCGCAAAGCCCAGTCCCAGGCCATGCTCGACAGAATCAAGCTGTACGCGACGGACGAAACAGCCAAGAACCCCGGCGTTGATGTCTGGTTCTGGCATTCCGAGTCGCCAGAGGCATCCGGTTCCAGCGAGGGAGCGCGCGGATCCTACGAGAGCTTCCTGAAGGGAGCTGGCCTAAAGCCTGGTCAGCGCGTTGTCTACGTCGACGGCGGCTTTGATCTCTTTTCCAGCGGCCACATTGCTTTTCTGTGCAAGGTGCTAGAGGAGGAAGATAAACTTGCACGGGAGGCGGGCTGGTTCTCTGAAGAGGCTACGGAGAAGAGGAAGAGCGCCAACGGGGGAAAGGACTATGGCCCAGCATACGTGGTGGCGGGAGTTCACGAGGACAGAGTGATTAACGAGTGGAAGGGGGTCAACTATCCCATCATGAACATTTACGAGCGCGGACTCTGCGTTCTCCAATGCAAGGTAAGCCTTTGCCATGACTCCCGCAGCTGACACTAAGCACTGACGCCTTCTTGTAGTATATCAACGCTGCTGTTTTCGGAGCGCCGTTTACCCCGACCAAGAGCTATCTCACAGACCTGCCGTGGGGCATCCCCGACGCGGTCTACCACGGCCCGACAGCATTCATGCCCCTGACGTATGATCCATACACTGCGCCAAAGGAGATGGGCATCTACCGACAGATTGGCGAGCACACCTTCTCGCACGTCAACGCGGGTGAAATCGTGCAGCGAATCATGAAGAGCCGCGACATGTACGAGGCGCGACAGCGGGCAAAGGGCGTCAAGGCTGAGGTGGAAGCCGCAGCGAGGGCTCGAGAGCTGATGGAGGAGGAGCAGCGCAAGAAGGAGGCCGAGAGGGGCGTCATGTCAAGCTGAGGGTAGCCATGTTTTTGCGTTTAAACCACGATAAGCAGGCGGCGGATGTCATTTTGCTATTTTGGGAGTTATTGGATGCTTACAGAGTCTTCAACAGGCCACGCAGAAGTAAAAACAGGAGGACATAATACGGGGAAGAGAAAAGTTAATAGAGCTGAGTTTGCATCATAGACATGTTGTTTTCTTACTACAGCTCGTTCGGATTGGGTAATACAGAGAGCCCAGCTGGGGGGGAGAGGTGAAGCTGAGCAGATGGAATCGATGGCTTTTGATACTGAGCCGTGGTTGGCCTTTGCATCGCTATGGCTTCTGACCACCTGCTTATGCCCCCCTCGTGTGCGCGGTGACATGATCTCATAATTGTCATACCAACCAAAGGGAGTTGCGTAACTGGCTGAAAATGAGGAAATGACATGGAGGCACGGCTATCGACGGCGCAATTGACCAGGGGCTGAGGATTCCGCTTTGGGGATTTTTTATGGTGGGGATTGGGATGCAAGTTTATGCGTAAACCCGGATCGGAGTTGCTGATAAGAGAAACTCGAGGGAGTTGCTGAGAAAAGTAATTAGTGCGAGTGTTCAATCACGGGAGACGAAAGGTGTCATGGGATGCAGGTTTATTGTTGTTGGGAGTGAGAAGCGAGAAGCGTGTTGCTTTTGCTGCCGATTACGCAACCGGGCTGGATCTCGCAATTGGAAGTTTCTTTTCCTCCATTGAAATGCAACGCAATGGCCTCGATATGAACGGCGCGCCCTTTCACCCCGCATCTTGTCAACGGCTGGCCGGATCGGAGACTTTGGGCATCTCTGGCCAACTGTAAATCGGTTTTCAATCAATCAATGGAGGGGAGATTGTTGCGTCTTGCATTAAGTACATCCACGCTGATGCTGATAAGGTACCTCATCACCGGCGCCCTTATCAATGACGACGCCCTTTTCTTTTCTAGCGACTTCCCTTTTTCTGCGTTCTGCATGAGCCGCGAAAGCGGGGCGGAGCATTTCCGCACGCCGGAACGTGGGTCGGGCTTCGGTATCGGCGGCTGGTCTCCGCTTTGGCGGGGGAAGAAGGAACAGAAGGGCGGAATTTGGAACAAAGGAAAGGTGAATTGATTCTGGTCCATGCGGGCAAATCAATCAGCTTCAGAGGGGGGAATCAATTGAATTGAAGCCTCTCAGCAGCAATTCAACTAAAAAAAGCCCAATTAAAGACGCCGTGTAATTTCACAAATTACGTACAAACTCCCTCCTAAGCCACGCCAGTTACAAAACAAAAGAAAAAAGAAAAGACCACAAGGGTTGTCTGTCACCCGGGTTCGGCACAGGGCGGTGCGGGCAGACACGGATTAAGAATCTCTGATGCTGTTCGAAGCAAACAAGCTTCGGCCGCGAACTGGTCACCTGCCCTCCCGGCCCAGCCAACCAAAACCACCATCCCTTTTTTTGCAGCCCAGGGCATATCAGAAATGGGACATGTTTTATTTCCGCTGGCGTCTTGGTTTGTATTTTTCTTTCCCTTTGTTGGTCCTTTTTTCTTGGGGGCGGCCAAGTGCTGAAACAGTTTCCATGTACCACGACAGCACGGCACAGCACATCGCAGCACAGCATAGACGAAAAATAGTCATCTACTAGATAGTACCTAGGTAATACTAGATATTACTAGAGAATAATTCGTAGCGCCAGAGCCTCCCAAAGCCGAAGCCAAAACTCCCCCCCTTGCTCCGTTTTTTTAGAAGCCAAGACGCCTATGAGAATCGCTTCCTCTGGCCTATCTATCGCTTCTGCGCAACTCGGGCTTCTTCTAGCGCCGTGCAAGTGACATGGACGCGACCCAATAGTGACCCCACTTTACGCCGTGTGCCGAGTGCTCCTTGAGTAGCCGCTGTCCAACGTCGAGGTACTCAGCTGGTAGTTCGTCTCTTTTTTTTTTGTGGTCCCCCGGCGGGATAAGAACCTTAGTTCCTTTTTTAAACGGCCGTGTTTGCCTCCCTTGGCCGAGTCTCTTGTCTCTGAGCCAGTACAACTGAGAGACATTCTTTGTATCCTTTCTCGTCTTCTTCGTAATATTGACGCACTACAAGTACGCTCTTCTAAGATTCTAAGATTCTCACGCATCTCAAAGAGCATCTCACTGCCGGGACAAAATCTCGTGGGAAACCAAATCAAGCCAGGCCAAGTCCAAAACGTGGAGTATCGCCTCCAACTTGGCGTCAGATAGTACATCAAGCCGCGATTGATTTTTTTTTTCTGTTTTGAGTCATTCTCCATTGACGTTTGACCCGCCATCGGACCTAGTCTTGCCGACTCTCCTCTTAATTCCCGGACCTCCCTTCTCAGCCTTTATCTTTCACCACAACATCCTTTCTTTCTTTCTTCTTTTCTTTTTCGAAAAGGAACCCAATTCTCTTCCCAAATCAAGACCATCCTCGTCTCTCTCTCTTCATCCATCCACAATGGCTCCCTCTGCTATCCCCACCCAGGACGTCGACCTGACTGCCGCCAACATCCAGGTCAAGGAGGCCACTCAGCCCGTCAAGCCTAGCAACGGCACCTCTCCCGCTCCCCTCGATGCCTCCAAGCTCATCTACAACCTGACCAAGGACCCTCGCCCTGTGCCTGACGAGGATGTCGCCAATGCCAGTGACCAGACCATCTGCACCGACCACATGGTCACGGCCACTTGGACTGCCTCTGCCGGCTGGGCCACTCCCGAGCTCAAGCCCTACGGCCCCCTGAGCCTCATGCCCACGGCCTCGGTCCTTCACTATGCCACCGAGTGCTTCGAGGGCCTCAAGGTCTACCGCGGTTACGATGGAAAGCTGCGAATCTTCCGTCCCGACTGCAACTGTGCCCGTATGCATCTGTCTGCTGGCCGCATCTCCCTGCCTCTGTTTGAGCCCGCCGAGCTGGAGAAGCTCATCATTGCTCTGCTGTCTGTCGATGGCCCCCGGTGGCTGCCTCGCAGCCAGCCCGGCCGCTATCTGTACATCCGTCCCACTCTGATCGGAACCCAGTCCCAGCTTGGTGTCCAGGCTCCTCGTGAAGCCATGCTGTACATCATCGTCACCTACATGCCCAAGCTCGACAGCCCCCCTGGCGGTATGCGTCTGCACACTTCCCCCGAGGACATGGTCCGCGCCTGGGTTGGTGGCTTTGGTTATGCCAAGGTTGGTGCCAACTACGGCCCTAGTCTGGCTGCCACCTCTGAGGCCCGTAGCCGCGGCTACCACCAGATCCTGTGGCTGTATGGCAAGGACGGCGAGTGTACCGAGGCCGGCGCCAGCAACTTCTTCGTTGTTTGGAAGCGCAAGGACGGCAAGAAGGAGCTCATCACTGCTCCTCTGGACGACAAGCTGATCCTGGACGGTGTGACTCGCCGAAGCATCCTGGAGCTGGCTCGTGAGCGCCTGGGCGACGAGCTGGAGGTGACTGAGCGCAAGTACACTATTGACGAGGTTATCGAGGCTGATGCCGAGGGACGCCTGCTCGAGTCCTTTGCCGCTGGAACTGCCGTAAGTGCCGATCCCATGATTTCGAAAGATTGTAGAGAATTGAAGCTGACCTGTTGTTTTAGTACTTTGTGTGCCCTGTTTCGGCCATCCACCACCGTGGCAAGGACATCAACATCCCCATGGGCCCCGAGAACCAGCCCAACGTCTACACCTCCAAGATCAAGACCTGGATCGGCGACATCATGTACGGAAACGTCGACCACAAGTGGGGTGTTGTGATCCCTGAGAGAGAGTAAAGCATCTCACGATGATACGCGAGAAAAAGCGATGACGTTGACGAGGATGACCTTTTTTGTTTCGACATTTTTTTACTACTATTATTACATCTTTGCACGGAAAGTCCAGGGACCGTGTTTCTTGTTATGATTCACATGGGGACTGGCGTTCAATGGCGAATGGGAGCATGTAGCGACACTGCTGATACTCCAACAAAAGGAGCAGCAAAGCGGCGGGGTGATTTGAAGCGCCGACTGGGGAAAATAGATACATACGTAGGTAGCTCAAAGAAGAGAAAATAGACATCATTTCTTCACTACAATGTAGTTCAATCTACCCGCATGGCTTGCATCATCTTCATTGTTAGAGCTTGTACACCCTCCTTGTATCCCTGTGGTACGAGTTAGCGGTTGCGTTGTGTCTGGATAGTGCTGGAATCCGAAGATACTGACCTCGTCTATTTCATCGAGTGCTTGGATACTCTCGGCCACGATTCTTTGAATCTCTTGCTCGAAACCAGCTTTCTTGGAATAATCCTCGTCATTGAGGCCATGTCCTCTATTCTGTCCGGGAATCCCTTCCATGTTGAGCAACTCCTGCCGGAGTTGTTGTTCCGACCGAACATTCTCTTGCCATTCGCGCTCTAATTCGTGCAACTCACTTTCTGCCTTTTTGAGGTCCTCTTTGACGTTTGCCAGATGAGCCTCTATGGTGGCTCGAGGGAAATTCTTTGAGTGGCAGAGGGTTGTTGAAAGCGGATACGACAGATTTGCGTATAATTCGTCTATGTCGGCTGACATAGAGGACGAGAGCGTGGAAAAGTCGGAGATTTGGGAGGCGATTTGCTGTTGGGCTTCGGCTAGTTTGTCGATGACTGAGGTGTACAATTCGACACCTTCTCGGGCAAAGGCCTCTGCGAATGAATATGATTAGCTGACCGAGTAGACAAACATGGGCTATCGGGGATGGTGCCGCTGACATACCTCTCAATTGTTCCAACACATCTCCTCCGGCATTGTTGCCTTCAATTGGTTTGCTTCTCGCTGTATCATTGCTGAAATTGGTATAGCATGCGCGATACAAGCTGTTAGGACAAAATTGGTCTTCTCGAGACGAGGATGAGAGAAGCGGAGCCTTGGATGTAGAAAATATCCCTGGACTGCTTATGTGGGCGAATAAAGTCGACGACGAGAGATCTTCGCTGGAGGAAAATTGGCCGGCGTGACGTTCCTCCTGAGGGAAGAGGCGGGTCAAGAGAGACGATTTGTTGAGGTGCGCCATGGCTGGAGGAGATGCGAAAATAGGTGGAAAGGTAAGGGAGAAATTGATAGAAAGAGGAAAAAAATTGTGCGAGGATAGAGAAAGTAAAGTGCGAAGAAGCGAATATGTTGGCTGAGAAGGAAGGCGCTCCCCAAGAACAACCCAACCTCAGGCAGACTCACTGGTACAAAGTGCATGTACATGTTCCTATGGCAGATGTCTTGGTCCTTGAGTCGATCCCAGATAGCGGCTAGATAAACTGCAATTTCTTTGCTTGGGGAAGATATTTGCTGCGAGATATCCATGACGACGTAGAGATGGCGTGGGAGTTTCTTCGACCTGCTGAACGATTCTGAATCGCCTCTTACTCATCGTCTCCGCTGTCCTTTGCTGCCAACCCAAGCTTGTCCTCGATCGCGGCCACAATCGTCTCCCACGTTGCCATCGCTCCCTGGCCAACATCGCCACAGGCAAGCCCCTTTGAGATGGTCTGCAGCTCTTCAACCCATCCGTCAGCACCGCCCATGAGCTCGTTGAGAAGCTTCAGATTGCGCTGCGTGATGGGATTTCGAAACATTGCCGTGTTCATGGCTGTGGCGACGAGAATCTTCTTCTTCTTGCCGTCTACGAAACCGTCGGTGTCCCAGGCGAGGATGGTTGACGAAAGGAGTGAGTCGGTGATGCCGTGCACCATTTTCGCAAGGGTATTTGCACTGAGCGGCGCGATGACTGGAGTTGTGTCCTTGTTAGCAAATACGTTGCAACATTTAATGATGAGAGAAGCAACATGCCTAATAAATCAGCCCCTGTGAAGACGAACCAATGTTAGCGACCTGTCACATCGAATGAGGAAATGGTGGTTCACTTGCACTTTCTGAGTTCAATGTGCAGAATTGGAGCACCTCGAGTCCACGGCTGTACCCATTCAGACTCATCCGTATATATTGCGTCGACATTGGGATAGCTGCGAATATCTGCGAGACTGGGCTGCTCGTCGGCCTGGCCTTGGAGGAAATGAGCGGCAGAGCTGGTGAGCACGAGTCGGATGGACAGGTTAGGATGCCGTGACAGGCCCCTGATGATGTTGGGAATTTTGATTGTCGCTACAGATCCAGATGCGGCCAGTAGCAGATGCACTTTGCCATCGCTGCGAGCCTGTGCGACATCTTGCGCCGGGTTGTTGGCCATGGCGATTTCTATAAGACGATGAACTGAGAGAGAGAGAGAGAGAGAGTTGAGATGCCTAGGTATGCAGCACCGCTGTTAGGTTTTTAGTTTGGAGAAGTTGTCAGGATATCTCTCTCTACTACTACTACTTCATACAATACCGCAATACCTCTCTCTGTGGCAAGAATCGGCTCAGTGCTGTATTAATACCGGCATGTGAGTACATGTAGGTGGTGAGATTTGTCACCCAGCCGATTTGCGGATTACTTTATCTGCGCGCCTGGTGATTGGTCAGCGGCAACAATTGCATCACCCCTCCACCAAAATTCGGCTCAAGTCATCACCACCGGCTCACTTTTTTTCTCGGCCCAGACTTTGGCTACATTAGCAAGCAAGTCACACCCGCAGCCATGTTCTCACGATCATTCGCTTCTGTAAGTCCGCTTGGAGCCATGATTGGTACGGATCAAGTTGAAATCACACCGCTGACATTGATGCGCTGCGACAGAGCTTCCTGCGGCAAGCTGCGCGCCCAGCTGCGCGAGCTCCCCTGTCGGCCTTCCGCACGCCCGTCGCCCCTCTGACGCCCTTTCAGATTCGTCTGCTGTCCGACACGACGCGAACTGCCATCGACAAGGCCATTGCCTCTGCGCCCGTCGTTCTCTTCATGAAGGGCACCCCCGAGACGCCCCAGTGCGGCTTCTCCCGCGCCGTCATCCAGATCCTCGGCATCCAGGGTGTCAGCCCGGAAAAGTTCGCCGCTTTCAACGTCCTCGAGGATCCCGAGCTGCGGGCGGGCATCAAGGAGTACTCGGACTGGCCGACCATTCCGCAATTGTACGTCGACAAGCAATTTGTGGGTGGATGCGACATTCTGGTTTCCATGCACCAGAACGGCGATTTGCAGAAGCTGTTTGAGGAGAACAAGGTCTTGGTCGAGGGGGAGGAGGGAGAGAAGAAGGAGTAGAATAAAAGAGACGGTCCATATACAAAACAAGTGTACGATATACGATGGATGGCGTTGTATGAAGAAGGGTTAGCAAAATACACATGACGCATGACAACAGACACTATGTATGTTCCAATTTCAATTTTGGGCTGAGGCAACTTTGGCACTCTGGCGTTGTTATCCGTCCTTTTTAATTCATGTCTATAACATGTCTTTCTTACAATGGGTATGCTGCTCCATCCGCTCTCATGTCACTGCCTGCCGACCAGATGGGAGTCTTGTCCACCGGATCAAGCGTGTACCGGATGATCTGCCCCCGTCCAAACAGGCCTCTCTTTGGCCCTCCACCGACAACAACCACCTTGTGGCCCAGCTGCCTCAGGCCCTCAATCACCTCCGGATCCATCGACTCCTCCACGTTCACCGTCCAATCTACGGGCTTGCCGTGCTCTGGAAACCCTGCTCCGACGCATATTCTGGGCGCATCGAGTGCTTGCTGGGGGTTTAGCTTGCCGACAATCTGGCCAAGGAGGACCTGTACGTGGCCCTGAGGCTGCATGAAGCCGCCCATGACACCGAAAGAGGAGTGAAGCGAGCCGTCCTTGATGTTGGTGGCCATGGCGGGGATGATGGTGTGGTAGGGCCGCTTGCGAGGCTCCAACTTGTTGGGGTGGTCGGCGTCGAGAGAGAAGCCTGCGCCTCGGTTCTGAAGGGTAAAGCCGCAGCCCTTGGGGATGATGCAGGTGCCGAAGCCGCCGTAGTTGGAGTTGATGAACGAGGCAGCGTTTCCTTGCGAATCGGAGACGGTGAAGTAGACGGTGTCACTGCTCTGGAGGGCAGGCGAAGGGTAGTTTGGCTCGCCGTGCTCGACGAGATCTAGGGCGCGGGAGGAGTTGAAGAGGGAGGCTCGCTGGAAGAGGTACTTTTCAGATAGGAGGCCCTCGATGGGAACAGGCGTGACGTTGGGGTCGGCGATGTACCAGCTGCCGTCGGAAAAGGAAAGGCGAAGGGCCTCAATGATGGCGTGGAGGTACGGCGTGGTGTTGAAGTCTTCAGGCTTGAACGTCGGAATCTCGCCCTGCTTCTCGAGTTCCTGGATGATGCCCAGCGCCATCAGGGCGATGATTCCCTGGCCGTTGGGAGGGTGCTCCCACAGCTCGATGCCCTCATCTGCACCCTGGCTGGTGAGGCCCTGGCCGCGGAACTTGAGGGAAATGGGATCGACTGGCTCGCTACCCTGCTCGAGGTGGTGCTTTAGATCGTCTAGAGTTAGGTGACCACCGAGATCCTGGACAACCTTGACGAGTTCTTGGGCTATTCTTCCAGTGTAGAAGCCTTCCTTTCCTTCCTCGGCCAGCGTGCGGAATGTCCTGGCTAGGCTGGGGTTCTTCATGATTTCGCCTGGGCGAGGGGCTCTGACGCCGTCTGCTTGGCTGGGATCGACCTTGAGCATCTCTGCAAAGTTAGGGGACGCTTTTCGGATAAGATGCTCTGCACTTGTCCACTATTCATTATACCCTTCAGTCAGTATATGATGCAGCGATGCACTTCAGTGGGTCTCAGGACGTACGTAGTATCCGGTAACCTCTGACACAGGAAAGCCCTTTTCACCCAGCTGGATTGCTGGATTCAGGATCTGGCTCAGGCTCAGATTTCCGCTGCCAAACCGCTCAACTGTATCGGCCCATCCAGCCGCAGCTCCAGGAACCGTAACCGCATGGACACTCGCCATGGGAATCTGCCCAGTGACGCCTTGCTCGATCTTGAGGTCGCTCCGGATCTGTTCAAGCGTGCAATTTGCACCTGAGCGACCTGAGCCGTTCATGGCAAACACTTGCTGCTTGGAAGCATCCCAGTAGAGAATGAACATGTCGCCTCCGATTCCTGTTGAGCAAGGCTCGGTCATGTTGAGGCCGGCGGCTAAGCAAATGGCAAGCAAGTTAGTTGAGCGCATGTGTAATGAGAATCTCAAATTACATGCAGCAACGATCTACGCACCAACTGCCACGGCAGCATCCTATCATCCGGACTTGTTAATAATTGAACGTTTGATGTAAAAGAATAGCATCTTGCTCACAGCTGCATTTCCTCCTGCGCGCAGCACTTCGAGACCACATTTTGCCGCGAGAGGCTGTGAACATGCGACAATTCCCTCAGTGCTGTGGACGACGCTTCGGCGCGAGGGGAATTTGAACATGTCATAGGTGGGATCCTCGAAGACGGAGGAGCTTTCGAGAGGCATTTCGGCGACGGTCTTTGTCCCTCTGTGGGCTATGTAAAAGCGTATTTCGTGGAGAGGAGGGGAGTGTACGTGTATTTGGAAGCCAGCTTTGCGAATACCAAGACACACATGGAAGTTACATATAGAGACCGAATTAAGCCCCTGCAAGGACAATTATTCCATGCATCAGCCTCGTCTATCCGGCTCGGCTTAATTCGTTGCGGTTTCGCCATCCTATCAAATGACTAACAGCGTGCTCAACAAACCAAATCACCCGCAAATAGCATCATAGAGGGGCTCGTTGTTCAACCGGAGCGCGGGGAAGATAAACAGGACCTGAACGATTCGCTCCGCCGCTAATATGGGCCGGTACGGAGGGCCTGAAAAGGGCAAGGGGAGGGAGGCGAGTTATTTCCGAGAGGGGCGATTTGCAAGAGTCTGCGAGTTGCTTTTGTTTCGGGTGAAAGTTGGAGCGATTGGTGAATCTTGGCGTGGAACGGTGATACAGACTTACGTTATATATAGCAAGCAGCATTGCTTCATGTTGTTTGTATACCGTTTGTGCAACCATTGAATCCTGATTTGCAAGTACAAGCCAACATTGAGCTTGGGTGTTGAAACTACATCTACATGCAGTTGGCGTCACAGAAACATCACGTCTTCCTGGATCCATGTACTCGTTTTCGACCTGCATCTTAAAACCGATATAAAATGAAGCCATATGCAACCCAATCTACAAATACGCAAACAAAGGAACAAACAAATCAACGTATACGACAACCAGCCGTCTCGTATAACGCTCACAGCCGCGATCGTCGACCGGCCCGCTCTAACTCTTGCAGCACGTCGTCCACAGTGCCAACCGCCTCCAATGCCATGCCATATCCAGCTTGATATCCAGTGCCTCCAGCGCCGTAGTTGTGCACAAGAACCTTCTTCTTGCCGTCAACGACAATCTCTTCTCTCTCAATGCGGGCGCCGCCCTCACGAGATGGTCGTAGGCCCGCGAACGAGGCAATCACGTCAAATGGCTGCAGCTCGGGGCACAGCTTTAGACAGCGGCTGACGATGGACTCTGTCTCGTACGAATATGTCGATATGTCGCTATAGTAGTGTCAGAAAGAAGTCCCACTGTGAATTTGGTAATGGACTTGATGCAATGATAACTCACTTCACGCCCTTCTGCATATATCCCCCCAGAATGACATGGCCGTCCGTGCCAGGTCGCGGAATCACATACGTCTCATAATCCCTCCCATGGCGCATAATGTTTCGCTTCACTCGCGGTGCCTTTACAAGGACAACCTGACCCCGGGTTGGGTAGCACTTGGCATCCTCAACACCAGGCAGTGTCTTTGCTGCGACGCCAGTGCAGTTGATGACAACCTTGGTAGTTGGACTGGCATATGCGGCTTGAATGGTGGGAAACCTATGTCTTATAAAGTGCACTCCATATTGGTCTTTCAACCTGCGAAAGAGATACTCAATGTGCTTGGGGGCATTGAGGGTCAAGGTGGTAAAGGAGATGCCGAATCTGACGCCGGGAGGAAGCTCCTGGCTTGGGATTTCCTTAAACTGTAACTGTATGAGTGGCGCTCTTGAGAAAGATGTGATTTGACATGAAACAACTTACATCTTCAAGATACTCGGAGATGGCCTTGATCTTGTCGTGAGGCACATGCTCATCCCAGTACTCTATCGAATCAGTTCGACGGATATAGGCCTCATCCCCTTGCTCAGAGGCCAGCTTGGTGAGGTGAGCGTAACCGAGGCGATCCCATTTGATAGCATTTGCATCAGTGCCCGAAATGCCAGAAAAGTTACATCCAGCCCTACATGTATGTACCCAGCAGGTCAGTCAAACATCAGGTAGTGCACATATGTGCCTGTGTCTGGATTCATGTTGAGCATGTGCACAAGTAGCATCAGGTGAGAGACGACACTTCAAACAAACGAAAGTAGGCACTCACCAAGGCGACGTATAGTTCGCGGATGTATCTCCAGGCAGATGCTCTGCGATAACGGTGATGAAGGGTCCCAGCCCCCGCTCAGCCAGCACGAGAGCGACGTCCAGGCCGATGATGCCCGCGCTAGAAACAATGTAAACACAGTGAGCGAGTACTCATACGGTAGACGACGGCGAGAGCCTTGTGAGACGATGGAACTCACCCGACGATGACAATTGCGTCGCCCGCTGCGCCCGCTGCCGTGCTGACGCGTTGGTTGTTGTTCTGGTGCATGCCGACGATTTGCCTGGCGATGCTTCTTGAAGGCAAGGAACAGGAATTGAAACGAGTTTCCAGGTGATGCCGCTCGCTCCGCCCAGTATCGAATCAATGGGCCGGCACGTTGGGGGATGCGGTTAAGGGAGCCTCGGTTCAATGGTTCAATGAGGCGCTGGGCAGCGGATATTGGCGTGCACGAGACTAGGTTCCCCCTTCATGTGGCGCGGTTATGTGTGCATTATTTCTTTTTTCGATGGAACCTGCCGGGTTCGCGTCTGCATTATGGTATTGTCGATGGCTGGGGAATGGGGCAACACTTTGCATAGTGTGTGCATTATATTGGGGCTCTCTACAGACTACACCCATGTAAGCTGCTTCTGCGCGACCCCGGATCTGGCGCTAGTGGTTGAAGAGTTTCCGTGTGGCGGCGCAGTTTGATGCCTGTGATCAAATAGAAATGATCGGGATGGCGTCGGCTTATACGGAGGAGTGGGATCTTTATCGTATGGTAAACACCATCAATTGGTGTCTTTGTTGCACAGATGTGGTCACATTTCGGAGCATGGGATGCCTAATGGTGGCGATGCAGCGCCGAGAGAATCTAGGACTCTGAGAGAGGGGTTTCGCACATACCAATAGAATAATCGATTCATGGTTGGTGTTGTCGATGCAACATCTGGTGAGGCTCTCATACTCGTATCTGCCCTTCGAGGTTACTTACATGTATGAGTGAGTTTGCAGCGAGCTTCAAACTTCTTCATCAGCACCTTCAGGGAGTAGTCTTACGTCTAGCTCGGACGAGTACTCGCTGTACGATGACCGCTATTAATAGACGTGGATCGGTGAATGTGCCAATTAACAGCTTCAATAGCCACTCACCTGCTCTGCAAGAGTCTCCGCTTGCCATTTACCTCCTCTATTTATGTATTTCGTCATCAAGATAAGGAAGGATGCCATTCGCACACCTTTTACTTATAATGTAACCACCAATAAACGACGAGAAGCAGCATTAACGTCTTATTCGGGCTAGCACAGCTGTCTTGATGGCAGCTGAGCCAGATCCTGTACAACTCCTCACCTTGCATACAGACCCATTTTGCTAATACTACTTTGAATGCTCGATCCATCATCATTCTGTAGATCTGGCCAAAGAAACTCTTTACTTGACATCGGCAATCAGACTGGGGTGGGCTGAACTTAGCTAGTTGCAGGATGAGACGGATGATAAGGGCGTAACCTATAGACTAATCCCATTTTCAAATTCCCTATTTGGTACTTGGAGGCAGCTGAATAGCCCAAATCTCATCCTTCCCCACGCTATCGTGCTCGCAATAATTCATCCTAGAGGCCAACCACAGCCAGCTCTCACGAGGACAGGGATTACCGAACGCATCGCCGAATGCATGCGAGTGACGCAAATTAGCCCTCAAGCAGCAAGTCTATGTCACCCATTCCTTAGATGCCTAGTCCTGAAGCCATTGCTAGTGGGACCTTGAATGCCTTGAGGCTTTGGGGGCTATATGGCGCGAGCCCTCGCACTCGTAGGCCTACAGTATTTAATGGGCTACATGTCTCTACAAAGGTCTTCACTCCATGTAGGCAAACATACGTAAACTATCATCTGAAAAAAATGGCAGAGACGTGGGTTCAATCAACTGCCCGAAACCTGGTCTACCAGGCCCTCAAGCGTATTCATCGAGGGCGCTTGACAATCAACACAAAATATGCCAGCGAAAACAACGAAAGTGTTTCATTCGGAGACAGCAGCTCTGAATCAGATCCAGAGATTGTCGTCATCATCAAGAATCCCCAAGTCTTTGTCCGGTTATGTCAGGCATTCGATTTAGTAAGCAGCTGAATGGTAGCACATATCTGTTGAAGCAACTGCTGACATCTCGACAGGGCTTGTCAGAGTCATACCTGGTCCAAGATGTAGAATGCGATAATCTTGTCGCATTATTTTCTGTAAGCTCGCATTATTACTGAGATGAAACCCTTGAAAACTCACAATATTCCACGCAGCTCTATGTCAAAAACCAAGACGCCCTAGGCGTGTCAGCTGGCAACCTCTTATATACACTGATACCGCGCGCAGCTCACTACCTCATACCATCCAACGACAACATAAACGCTCTTAAGAATGCATCGTTTCACTACGATACTTCCAATACTCACTTTGCCGGCTTTCTCTCTCCTGACATGAACTATAGTTCTGCTATCTGGTCGGGAGAGCCGGGAGAATCGCTGGAATCCGCACAGCGTCGGAAAATCCAGACTATTCTCGACCAAGCCGAAATATCCTCCGCCGATGACATTCTCGACATTGGATGTGGCTGGGGAAACTTGGCCATCACGGCGGTCCAACAGACTGGATGCCGAGTAACCGGGCTCACACTTTCTAAAGAGCAGAAAGCGCTTGCGGAAGAAAGGATCAAAGCTGCAGGCTTTCAGGACAAGATCACCATTCTGCTGTGCGATTACCGCAAGGCTCCCGTACCAGAGGGCGGATATGACCGTATCATCTCTATTGAAATGTTGGAGCACGTGGGAGATAAGTACATGAACAAGTACTTTGAACAGATCTCTACCCTTTTGAAACCACACGGTGGAAGGATGGTTGTCCAGGGCATTACTAGAATCAACTCTGTTAGTCTAAAACCCAGCACTCGTCGAGAAGTAATACTGACTCTGATAGTACTCTACCACCGGCGATACGGTTGACTGTTTTCTAGAGCGCTACATCTTCCCAGGAGGATATCTGCCAACTATAAACCAGCTTGTGACATCGATACACAACGGCTCCCGTGGTAGCTTGGAAGTAGAGACTGTTCAGAACATTGGCCCTCACTACATTCGCACGCTGCAATGTTGGAAAGAGAACTTTGAGGAAAATTGGGACACCATTAGAGAAGACTATATGTCCAAAAATCCTGATGCCACAGATTTGATGATTGAAGCCTATCGACGAACATGGGTGGTATGTAAACTTGATTATGCCGTGTCCCTTCTCCATAATATCTGGCTGCTGACCTTGATTGTTCTAGTACTACTTCCAATACTGCGAGGCTGGATTCAGGACCCGTATTCTGGGAGACTATATCATTTGTGCTGTTCGGACTCCTTGGCCTGAAATTCCATCCAATGTTCCACACTAGGGTGGTGGTAAGCTTTATTCATAAGGATGGGTTGGAATTTAGACGTTGGAATCTCCACGATAGAAATATACATTTATGTGAACTAGATGCCCTTAAGCGAGAAGAAGATATCATTCAACACTACGCCTTTTGCGCATCCCAGTATTTTGTTGTGAGGTGCTCTGTGATGAAGATTTGTACACTGTATTAATATTTAGCTATTGAAGCTAGTGACGCCGTTCCACAGGCCGATTTCTCGAAACTTTCGTTGTGGTGTCGAGTGCTCTGGTAAAAACACAGTCTGTCGAAACCCATCAAAATGCTACTGTTGAAACAGGCTCTTCGGTTTTGGCCCAGTGTTAGTTTGCCAAGTATTCTTAAACCACTTTTTCGACTGGCTATTCGGCTTTAAACGGAGGCTCGGGTCGCAGTTATCAGATCCGGCTTCGGCTCTAGTAGTTTCCCCACGTTCTCCATCCGGAAGTTCTGTTAATATGAGTGACATTTTAAGATCAGCTGAGGCAGACACAAGAAATTCACCGAAATTATTTGCGGCTTATTTTCTCGTGCATTGAGTATCATTTGGGAAAATGGGAGAACTACCCGCTGCTCGAGGCTTCGCCGTGTTGCTCAACGGAAAAGTTTACCAGTCTCCGGAGACCGACGCGGCGGATGTCGGCCCATCCTTTGCGGAGTGTATGATCATAAGGGATGGCATCATTCAATATGTTGGTCCTGAAGCAAGCGCAGAGGTAGCAGCCGCTAAAGCCGCCGGGGCGACGATTAAAGATCTCGGGAATCAGACTGTTCTCCCTGGATTCATCGATGGGCACCTCCACCTTCTGCTGGTTGGACAGGCTCTCACTAAAGTTGGCTTGGAGGCCTGCAAGAGCTTGGAAGACATTCGAGCCGAGATCAAGCGATATGCCGAAACCCATCCAGATGTGCCTCGTATCTTTTGTCGCGGCTGGATGCACTCCATGACTCCCGAAGGCGTCGATTCCACTCTGTTGGATGATCTAGATCCAAGGCCGATTTTCGTTGACACCAAAGACTTGCATTCGACCTGGTGCAACACGGTAGGGTTAGAGGAGGTACTCCGTGTTATGGACATTCCAGATGATGCCCCAGATCCAGCGGGCGGAACTTTCCAGCGAGGAAAAGACGGCAAACTTAATGGCGTCTTCAACGAAAGCGCCGTGTTCGAATACATCTGGCCCTTTACAGCCAAGGTTGCGTCCATCGAGCAGCGGAAAGAGTCGATCAAGGCTGCCATCACAGCGTTCAACTCGGTTGGTTATACCGGAATGGTTGACATGGCCATGGACGAGACAATCTGGGAGCCTCTGGTTGCGCTACGAAATGAAGAGGGCCTGGGTGGCATGCGAATTGCCGCGTATTGGCTCATGAAGCCCAGCGATTCTCTCGAGAATGTGATCCCTCAGGTTGACCGTGCCATCGAACTGGCTGGACAGTATAACTCTCGCAGTACGCCAGATTGTCGCATTGTCGGCATCAAGGTCATTTGCGACGGGATCATTGATGCATGTACTGCTTCGCTCACTGAGCCGTACTCAACGGGAATAAATCCCGACCCTATCTGGCCAGAGGAGTTTTTGAATACCATTGTATCCAAGGCCCATGCAGCAGGACTCCAAGTTGCACTACATGCAATTGGTAATCGGACGATCCGCATGGCGATTGATGTTCTGGAGAAGAACACAGATCGCTCGCGCCGTCCCCGCATCGAGCATATCGAGCTTTCCAACGCGGAAGATGCTGTGCGTTTGGGCAAATTGGGCATCACAGCATCTATTCAGCCGGTACACTCAGATCCCGCTATCCTGCGAGCCTGGCCAAGGCTCATCGGCGAACACCGATGCAAGAGGGCATTCGCCTACCGCGAGTTTGCAGATGGAGGAGCACCCCTAGCTCTCGGCTCTGACGCGCCTACAGCTCCTCATTTCCCGATTCCCAACATGTATGTGGCGACGACGAGGAGATCATACCGCGAACCCGAATTGGAGACTGTCGTGAACCCGGAGTTTGCCCTTACAGTGTGTCAGGCTGTCGTGGCAGCAACGCATGGATCGGCGTATTCGACATTTGCGGATGAATGGACAGGAAGCTTGAGGAAGGGTCTTAAGGCGGATTTCGTGGTGTGCGATGTTGAACTGAAACCCGAGAGTTTGATAAGGGGAGTGGTGAAGGAGACATGGTTTGAAGGAAATCAGGTTTACAAGGCAGAGTAGAGTCTCAATCATAGTGTGAGCGAGCAGGAAGTCTAGAAGCAAAAGAGAGACATGTTAGCTATAGACTTGCAATAAATGTATACATGGAGGGTTTACTGAAGTTTTGACGGCAGCTACCGGTAGACGACCGAGAATTGCTTTAGTCATAATGCCTTTACGGAGTACGGCAGATGAGTCTTCCTCGGGGAAGAGAACGAACTTGTGGATAATCACGGCGCAAACTTGGAAGCCAGATGTGTATATCTTGCGGGCAGATTGCAATAAGCATCGCTTTCATTAACCGTCAACGGCAGCCGCCACACACGAACTCCCACACGCATCCAAACGCCGTAATGCAAGGGTACCTGTAAGCTATTGAGGGCTATGACTTTGAGCTCTACGTTTATGGAGCACCCATTGGACTAATAGTACGTAAGCTTTTGCTTACAATTCAAAAGTTTTGCTATAAACATCTACGATTGCTTTACAACGGTCATAGTATCTGTCGTTTTATCTTATTTAGACCTTTGGAAGCGAAGTCGTTATGAGACCGATGGTTCCTCTGTTTTGCTGCACCCAGATCTTCCAAGCCGTGGTTTGCAGACCACCGCTTGTTAGCACCATCATCCAACTTCCTTTCGCTGGAAAGTTTGTCACACACAGCTCCCCTTCCATCCGAGATTTCCTTTACCAATGCTTCAAAATCATTATCCTCGGCTATAAGCTCGCCCAAGATCTGGCGGCGGCCGAAGAAAATTAACTCCGCCCCCCAATCCATCCGGCCTGTGAACTAGCCTGACAATTCTACCTGGGGAGCCTGCCTGCCAAGGGCATGGACATGAGATTTCATCCCGAGCAGCAAGGAGTATATCTTCCGCGTTTGTGGAAAATTATCAGCCTTGGGTGAAGACGGAAGAGTCCGCGGCCTCCTTCGAGCCCCGCTGCTGCTAGAAGATGAGGCTAACAACTTGCCCTGATGACCCGAGTTTCCGCTGATTCCCCGGTTCATCGCTCAGCTCGAGCAGAGCTATGGCGTCCAAGGGCATGACCGATGTCGAAAATTGTCCGAGCTACTCCGTGCCCTCGATCATGGGTTGGTTATTGGATACAAACCGGCTCAATCCCCATAATTTTAAATAATGGGGTTCCCTCCTTGGAGTAAATTTAGAAAGTGAAGAAGAGAAGACGAAGAAGAAAAAATTTTACGGCCCAGATTTCTGGCGGAAAGGGGGAAACCTGTCATGAGGTTCAAGTGGCCAAGACGTACATAGTATGACTGCAGAGTTGGAGTTGAACCATTTTTTCTTGATTCAGGTGCACACACACACATTTTCTTGGTCTCTTGCTAGCAACACCACTACTTGAGAGCGGAACGCTTCCTATTGGCAAGGATAAATAGAATAAGAACCTTGAATGTCGCGCGAAGGATCGGTGCATTGCAGCCGATGCTCACTGGCCAGAGCTTCCTGTTCGCTATCTGCCGGGATCCTCTTCCCAGCTATTCGGATTTGGTGAGATTTATTATAACCATAATGCAGGGTGGGAGCCAACAACGCATTGACTTGGGAAAATTTCCAAGTTTGGACGTTCGCCTATATTGCAGCCCGGTTGCAGCCGTCGCAGAAGGAACTGATCGCCGTTTAACCCGCCCCTGAAGTAACAGGTTGATGCCTACTTTTTAGCATCTACGCCGGTCGAGCGGCTTGCATGGGTCAGGAGCTCGGTAGTTTTGGACGGCGTCGCACTGAGCCAGTAGTAATGATAGATCTCGTATAAATTTTTGGGGGCGAGCATTGACCGCTTTGGTTAACATTACCCGCCCAAATTCGCGCTGTGGATTTGTCTGTGGAGTCGTCTTCGTTCCCCTGTGGTGAGCGCATTCATTCAGTCCATACGGAATCGATAGAGGCAAATCAACTACTAGCTGGATTACATGCCACTACCTTAAGCGACGGTGACATATATGTGGGAAGGTATCCAAATGAATAAGGCACTTGCAGATAGTGTAATAGATCACCGATGCCTACTTCGTGCAAGATCGTCGACTGTGGAATTGGGTCGCTATTAGCCATTGATGATGAGTTCAACGTTCGGACTCCTATTCAGTACATGAGAGGGCGCTTAGGTGGAGCTTTCATCTATCATATTTTCTGCATGTCACATTTGAGTCTATTCGCCACTTTGTTACGAAATACTCTGTTCAATAATGACTCTGGATATTGCCATGCTAGGAATTTCGTGGGGGTTTAACTTGCAAAAAAACTATATCATATTGGATTTCTACAACGCAGAATACTTGTTGATCAGCTGCAGCAGCTTAGCGTCCACGTCCTTGGGGGACGTAGCGTTCAGGTAGTGACCGCCGTCAGTAAAGGACAACTCGGTCTCTACCGAAGATGTGAAGGCCTTGATGTGATCTTTTGGTACCTCAACACCGTACACGGGATCCTGGTTGCCCTGCGGTTTTGGTCAATATCAACAACTGAGACAAAGAGGTTAAAGGAGTGCAGATTAATGACCCACCTGAATCCAATAGACAGGGCACTTGATGTCCCTCACCCTCCTCAGCAGGCCATCTCTCTCCAAGAGGTTGGTGAAGGCACCACGCAGCTTCTTACGTCCTGCATCACCGGCGTACACCTTGTTGAGTGTATCTCTCCAGAACTGGGCAGTTTCCTCTGAGATGGTTCCCGAGAAGCCAATGTTAACGACACTCTCCCGCAGTTCATTGTCAATGAGGAAATCCGGGGTCGGCTCAGCGCTGAACAGGCTGTCAACAACCGGACCCAGCATAGTTGCGGGATCCCAGCATCCCTTTTCTCGGGAAGCAGCGGACTCGTAGTCGAGCGAGGTGCCCATGAGCAAGAGACCCTGGATCTGTAGTTGAGGCTAGTTAGCGTCGTATTCTCAGGGTTCTTCTCAGCTCTGTGTTCATATGGGGTATGTTGCTACTACTGCTGTATTACTAGCAGTAGTGTATGATACATGCGAGTTAGGCGAATGCAAAATGAGACACGCCATACGGGTTTGAAGCCGTGCAGTAGGCGTGGATAAAACCGGGGATGTTTGACAGGGATGGATCAATTTCATATATAAGTGATGTGCATCTTCGTACATATATGGACGGCAGTTGACTTGACAAAAGCTGCTTTCACATACCTTCTCTGGAGCTACAAGAGCCATTCTGGTAACAATCCAGCCTCCCTGGCTGGTTCCGAGGGCAAAGGCCTTCTTGATGTTGAGAGCATCCAGTACCTGAACGGCCATGATGGCTGTGTCCCAGTAGGTGAAATTCTCTGCCGTGGTCTCGGTGGCTCCGTGGCCTAGAGGCTCAATGGCGAGCAGGTTGGCCACATCCGTAAGCGCCTTGTTGCCAAACTGAAGATCGTACAGAGCTGAGGTCATGCACATGGAGTTGATGAGCACGACAGTAGGCTTGGCGGGGTCGACGGCACCGTTGGAAAGACGGTATCCGGCGTTGATTCCGCCGAGATGCGGCACTCTGATGGTGGTTCCGGCAGTCATGGTGGTGTGGAGGAACAAACTCGCTTAGGGTATCTCGTGTAAGTGTCTAGTAGAGGAAGGATTAGAGCTGATGAACGGGCTGGTTTCTCGTTTGACTTGCTCCTTTCTTTGCCAAAGTTAAGAGAGCTGGCGAGGCGTGGGGGACTAAGTATTTACCTGTACTTGTATTGGAATCGCCTGACCGGCGACGGGTCAAAAAGAGAGCCGCCCCAAAGCCCTCAAGCGCGTCTTTGAGTTGAACCTCGGAAGCCCCCAAACTCTGGAACCAGCTCGGCGGGGGTTGAAACTGCTTCAATTGGACGACCCGCATCTTCCTTGGCGGTGTACCTATCTATCCTGTCCCTCCGTCCTAAACAGGGGGGAATGGCCGTCTATCTCATGGGTTTGAGGAGTACGTATGGAGTACGAGGTGCGTGTATGAATAGTGTTAGCCGTGGCACTAGTGTATGTATGTTGGTTACACTCGGATCGGTGACAGGCCATGACGCGTAGGTACCTTACATACATACAGTATGCTTGGTGCTGCTTTAGGTAATGTCTTGTTTTGAAAGTAGACATCAAGCCCGCATTTAGCAAATACGGATACCCCGTACTCCGTACAAGCTACGGGATACATGCAATGTCCGCAGACGGTGTCGCCATAGCTATAGCACTTGGATGGATCAGGTGCTTCGCTTCATATTTGCTTCAAGTTGCTTGACAGTTTCATCCGCGACTATCTAGTCCTTTACCCATAGTGTAGTATTAGATTCAAGCATGCCTCTAGGACGATACTGCCAGTTCGCGTATGTGTGCATAAAGCAGCCCTGAAGACGGTAATGTGCGAAATGGAGAAAGGAGAGCGGGGTACAGAATTGAAGATGCCTAGCACCAACGCCAAAGAAAGAACAGGATAGTAGTATTCTGAGCTAGAGGATACCCGTAGGAGTCTTTCTGTATTGATTCTAGCACCTCTCTTTGGGAGCAACCCCAATTTCTGCTACAAGTACTTGTACGAGACATGCTCGAGGGCATTTGAGAAACGGTCCGCCCCTGCTCCTCCACCTGGTCCGCAGGCACTAATCCAGTTAGCCAAATGCCACTCGACGAATGGGGGCGGCACAAAAATGGCTTGCCATTGGTCTGGCTGAGGGCCTAACGCAGCACCGCTTGAATCGTGAGAGAGCTAGGGTGCAAGCTAGGAAGGCAATCCGGGAGGCAATCCGGGAGGCAATGCTGAAGCGTTGCTCAGTTACTTGTACTCGTACCAATGACTCGCCCCCGGTCCCGGGCGGCGGGAGTTGAGCTACACTCAACTGTAGCATTCTAGCATGGCCAATCGCAACCCGTAAGTGTCACCAACCTCGCTCTGATTTCGAACAAGGGAACGGCGCGCTCCGAGTTCCATAATTCTGTGTTTGGCGCTACACTTGCAAGGGAAAAGAGAGGCCTGGCAACCTGGATATGCCGGACCGTTTTGCGTCTTGTCGTTTGCCATTCCCCGGTCCGTCAGGAGTTCCTTGGCAGACTCATGTACGAAGTACGAGGCATCCTGGCCTGAAGCTCTACGAGAACGATATGACATTGCTTGCGCAGCAGTTCGCTAACCCACGTGAACGCTGATCCCGTCAGATTATTACCTGCTATCGCCGATTCCGCGTTCAAGGGAGATGCTAGACTAGCTTGTATTGCCAAGTGCGACCTACTCAAATCGCACCGGCAATGCCTATTGACCTGCCTTTGATATAGCTATCTTTGGATGCTCCGTCCCCCGACATACCGCCATGGCCACCAGTACTTCAACTCGGACGAGTGCCGTATTACGTGTAAAGCTCTTATGGGGCGCCGTTGTTTGCATAAAGGCACCAAGACGGACCGTCGCTGCTCCAGAGACGATCATCGCCTTGACCGGCTACGTCTCGATGCCTAGCGAGTCGTGCCACCGCGGAAAAGACCTCATCTGGTTCCTGAGGCCAACGGCCCAAGGGGATGGTGTTCGCCTCCCACTATTCATGGCCCGAGCCCACCGTCGAGGTGCCCACCTTCATACATCGCCCCCCCTGACGTGAGCCCGGTAATAGCGTGGACCTGGTTGTCAAGACCCGGTTGATTGGCAGAGACTAATAACGAAGGGGATACGCCAAGCAACGGCAAAGCAAGGCGGAAGAAAAAAAGAAACAAGTATGAAAGACCGCTTCATCCTGTCCAGCTTCGGAGTGTATCCATCGACCTTCAAAGAAATGCTCCATGGCTCCGATTGAGGGAATCATCATGGCGGAGGAAACCCCATCTGTGCTGCCGGGCCTTCCAGGCTTTGACCCGGACAACCTTCAGCCATGGACTGTGCAAGTAATAGCGTCCATGACTGTCCTGGCAGTTGTGTGCGTCATCCTGCGTATCATTAGTCGCCGGATCAGAGAGCAGGCGTTATGGTGGGATGACCGCATGATTATATTTTCACTGGTAGGTTCACTGAAACGATGATACTTTTTTGGCTGGATAGTTATCCATCGCCCTTTTGCCTCACATACAGGATCAAAACAGCTAAAGATGCAAAATTTCGATAGGGCTGGTATATCGTTGTTGTGGGGTTCATCTTTGCCATGTACGACAATGGCATGGGCCTCCATGCTGATAAAGTTGAGCCTGCGAGGATTGTCATGATGGCAAAATGGCTATTGGTGGCCGAAATCCTCTACGCCTGGAACCTTGGCTGGACCAAGATCAGTCTATTGCTCATGTATTATCGCATTTTCCGTGTGCCCTACTTTAAGAAGATGGCCTGGGCGGTCGGTGGTTTTGTCATGGCTTGGGTCATTTGCATTACCTTCCTCTTCATCTTCATCTGTGTACCCGTTCAGAAGCTGTGGTACCCTGATCTCCCTGGCCACTGCATCAACCAAGTTGGCACTTGGATCGCCAACGCCTCGTCGACCATCTTTACCGATCTCGCCATCCTCATTCTGCCCATACCTCAGATTTGGAAGCTTCAGTTGAGGACAACAGAGAAGATGGGGCTGACCTTTGCCTTTGGCTTGGGGTTCTTGTACGTGATGTTGTGCTTTTATAAATACTGCGTCTCTACTACTGATAACCTTCACCCTTTATGCAATATCTATACTGACAACTGTCAATAGCGTCGTCTTTGCCTCTGCTTACCGCACCTCGGTGCTTTTCACGTACACGAACAGCGATCCTACCTACACTCTGGCGCCAACAGTCGGCTGGACAGTCATTGAAGTTTCTGCCGGTATCATATCCGCATGCCTACCCACCCTACTACCGGTTCTTCGACTCTTTGCCAGGAGCATCGGTATCAAGCGCAACTTTCTGTCTCCGAACCGAGGAACCAGCGGTGCCAAGTCTTCCAACCTCAACAAGTCGAACCTGAGCGGCCCCAGCCAGAACAAGAGCACCAATGGTCTCGCCGGAGAGTCGAAGCGCAGGACGAGTGGCAGTGCCTTTTATCGCCTTGAAGACGAAACCGAGTCCGACGGCAGCTTCAACAACGCGTCTCAACAGGTTGTGATGAACTCCTCGTTCAGACCTGACACAAAAGGGTATAAATACACTGTCAAAACCTCCCGGATGGACGAACCTCCGGCTGACGAAACAAGGGACGACATACCGTTACACGGAATCCGGGTACAGACGGAGTTTCAGCAATCCACCTCGCCGAGGTGAACGAGTTGAAAACGCGCAGGGCGTTAGAGTCGATTTATTTTCCTTTGTTCGCCTTTTTGGAGGGATTTTGACGTCCTAGTATCTAGCGTTTAGAAATCGGTTAAAAATGGGACCGTCGGGAGACGAGAACGTGGCACTGGAATTGCTGCGGGTTTGAGATATCAGGTTCGACATAGTGTTTGGATATACCATTGCATAATATTACTCATGATGGGACAATCGTTGTCCACATGCTGCTTGACGGAATTGCTCCTCATAGATTACCTTAGTAAAAGGTAGGAATTGCAACTTTAACGTGTAGTGACATGAGAATGGGAAAAAAAACTATTACCCTACTATTGCTGCAATGGATGTCTATTGGTTTGAGACACAGGTGGTGTTTACCACACGCCGTCAGGCACCCAAGCTTTATTATTGGAACCTTGTAACTGAAGCTGCGAATTAATGTCGGAGACGCTCTCAAGATGCCCTGGAGATCGATTGTGGGAAATTTCTCGAAACCGTTTCGAAAGAACGGTCATGTGGTATCCAAGAAGCCGGAGGATGGGTGGGGTGGGGGACCGGGCATTGGGGTCGGCTGCTCTTCTAGCCTCGACACTGGAGACAAGCATGAAGAACTACTGGGTGCTTGAGCTTCCAGCAACCAAACTAACAATTATAGCAAAATTCAAGTTATCTCTGATGGGAAAATAGACCCATTACCGTCGTCGCTAGTCCATCAAACTGCCAGAATAGCTAAACCCCTCGGCGAGGATGCAGAGCAACAGTGCGTTCTCGGACAAAACCGGACGAATAATGGCGAACTGCACACAATTGAGTCACTATGGGATCGTGCGTATACTGCTCTTAAAACAAATGATGCGAAATTGGTCGAAAAATACGAAACATACGGTTAAGGGAGTTGTCGAGAACAAGTCAGTCTTCCCGGAGACCATTGTTGCGATTGCTAATTTTTAGCATAGAATCGAATTCTTCGAATGATTCGACATCTATGATATCTGGGCAAGATAATGGAAACTTGGACGGCACCGAGAATCGAATCGAGCAAGCAAATCCGTCACAACGTCGTGAGCAACTGGAGGCAATAATCAACAGCGGCCTTCAACAGGCGGACGAAAATAAGAACACATATACCATTTTTGGTCATGAATTTACTCTCCAAGATCAAATTTCACAAGCTGCGAAATTGGTCCAGTGGGTGAAAGGCGTGATAGATGAAGCTGTCAAGGTTTCGCCGGAGGTGTCGATAGCCTGGGCCGGCGTATCTCTCATCTTGCCTATTCTGACACATCCAACAGAAGCAGAGCAAGCACGTTGCAATGGTTTCATATATGTTAGAGCCAGAATTCGCTTCTATATAGCCGTTGAACCTCTGTTACTGTCGCAGAATCAGTACTCTGCCGTTGCTGTATCTGGCCCTTTGAAGTCAGAGTTCGAGTCGCATATCGTAGAGCTGTACCAGAACATTCTTGAGTTTCAATTCAATAGCGTCCTGCATTTCTATCGAAGCCGGAGGAGGAACTTTGCTCGAGGCCTGATCAACGACATCTTCAAGTCAGCGAAGAGCATCTTGATATTGTATCGAGACAACTTCAATACGATGAACAGCAGGTACAAATACTCAAAGATATTGCCCAAGACACGCAAAAGATAAAGTAAGCTATATTAACACAGTATCCTACTCTTTGTCATGCTAATAACGTGTATAAAAAGTTATCATGTCCGTCTTCCAATTGTTGCAGAAGCACTTTACGATTCTGCCGAGGACCAGCACGCTATGCTCGCTTCCAAATGTATTCAATACATGAGAAAACTTCAGCCCGGTTACTTAAATTCTTTTCGTTATGAAACATCCCATAAGTAACACCACGGGGTCATTAAATCCACGAGTCTACGTCTGGCCCTTGACTACGCCTGTCAATACTGGTTATTTCATCTATTAAATGGTAGGGAGTGCTATATAGATGAAGAAATAATGGTGTCTTTCTTGCGTGATAATGTGTATGATTGAGCCAAATACTTGCTACATCTGCTGCATACGAGGCCAGAAACAAATATGCAGCGCAATTTACAGCATGATATTTATAAAAACTCGTGAAAAAAAAGAAAAAAAAGTCTTAAAGTAGTGGATCTACATTCGACATACTTGAGGATTCGCGACTTCATGGTGCAGGGTATGATCTGAAGTTTGAAGCTGACCAATGCCGAGATACGGACAATTTTATACTAGTTGAATGGTAAATTTGAGGAGATTGTGCCCATAGAGCCACCATAATTTGCAGTTCTAGCACTAACATATTGACAAACAGTGCTGCGTAAGTCATACCATCAACAATCTCCTGAATATTTGCTGACACCAAAATAGCCAAAGAGATGGATCTAATCTTGGGACCTGAAGACAATGTGGAAAATCGAATATTTGCCACATACTTATCAGCGATCGCCAGGCTCGTCCCATTCGAGGGAGTCATTAGGAACGTTTATTTAGGTAACTTGGTCGCACCAGTGCTGACATAGGAGACAAATCTCTCAGTTGATCACGCCCAGTCAAGGTTTTGGTTTAATTGGCTGAAAGATCCGAGTCAGTGAAATAATGATACTTATGGCACCTGACAGTCTGCACAGCCCGCATTCAGATGACGACGTGGCGTATTGTGTCAATGGGGTTGCTATAAAAGTCCTCAACTAGCGGAAGCTTGATCTTAGCCTTATTAATCTAGTAGACAAGGATGATTTGAGAGAGCTTCATCTTATAGCAAAGGGAATCGGTCTGTTCACAAACAGTGGTATCAAGAGTTGGTGAAATTTTGCAAAGTAAGAAGCTGGTTCAAATAAAGCACCAGGGCATGAAGACTAATCGTCGAAACTAGTTGGAGAAACTATACGTCAATGTGGTCAAAGTAAAACAAATTTTTCATTGAGGGTAGCTATGCCCTATTACTTCTGCATCGCTGATGAACAAGCATAGGACATGGCTGGTGAGGATCGTGTACAACTACTGAAAGACGAGCTGCAAAAAGGCCTGGATTCTCTCTACAAGGACTCTAATTTCCGGAGGAGAGGAAATCAAACCTTTCCGGATGTCTATGTGGCGGTATTCTATTGGATAGAAAACTCCCCTTTGCACCATTCTGGAGAGGTGTCATAATCAGCGCCTGCGCTGCGATTCCCAGCTAGCTATCAACGATTTCTGCTTTTGAGACCCTAGCTCAACTTTTTCCGTCATTCTCTACCCGTTAGTGAATAGCTTGGCAGAGAACAGAGAAAGATGTAGTTAATAGTTCGTGAAGAGTTACATTGTGTTTCAAGTGAAAGATACAAGACCTTTGTGCGCAATATTATCCTCGGTATATTGAGCTACAGCAAGCAGTACGAGAGATCTGGTTGTCGACAAATTATCAGCGCTCTGAAATAAGCAGTATTGTATACCGACCGCACTAAATTCATTACGAGAGTGCTCTTATTATCCTCATGTATGCACATGTTTATTTTGCGGTCCCTGTTTTCTCTCTCTTTTTTATTTTTCCCTAGCAAACCACTTGTGTGGCTGTATTCGGTGAAGTTGAATTTTAGTTGCGTGATGGAGAATTAGGCGTCTTATGTGCTTATTAGTGATCTTGAGGACCTGCCGAGGGACAGCCTCACACTAATTGCTCATGAGCCGGCTTATGCATCGCCTCAACCAGCGACAATACGCAACAACTCTATAATAAACGAATATGGCTTGCGCAAAACAAAGAAATACCCTATCAATATCCTATCCGGACGAGTTCGGACAAGCCCGGTCTCTTGCGCATCAACGGGTCGCTCAATACGGCCGAAACCCCGGCGGTTGGCCCGATTCACGGGCAATCTTTCACCGCGTCCGTGTTGAATCTGTCGATGTCATCATGCTGTGTTTGCTCTAGTCTGACCAGCTAACCATTAATAATAAGCTCATTTGAGCCCTACCGAGGAAGCTCCCCTTGCTTCTAGCGCAACGGCTGTGAACCTCGGCTCGCCAGCAGCCACATTCGGGCAATTTTAGATAAGCTGGCACCACATTAACTGGGCACCTGTGCCCAGAATTTGGAATTCCAAAACTGAAATCCTTCGCCGCTAACCACTTTGACCACTTCCAACGTGAACATCACTAGCATATTTCCTATTAAGACGCTGGGGCTTAGGCACGATTACTAAATCCTCCTGGCGGAAGTACCGAAATGATGATTTGAGTTAATGATGATACTTGTATCAAATTTTGTTTTAGCTTCAGAGCGTAGGCGTTTAAATAGTAGTCGCGCCGCATCACTGGGATTGAATGTCTTCATTATGACTTCACTCAACAAGCATTTAAACTACGTCACCACTCCCAGCTTTTAATACTCATCTTCATCCTTACATCCTCCAGAGCCACCCGAGTATATTCTCACTACCTACAAGTACCTTATTCTTCAAATATTTTAAGCTCAAAAACAACATGTCGGCTGGCTTGATCCCCACCAACCCGGCAGACCTTATGGTCATCCGCAATGTTACGCCAAACGTTACCACTTTCTCTGTACCCTTTTCCCGATTTGGCAAGCTCAGCATTGGTGGCCGTGGAACCCTTGGTATGTCTCAGATCTCCTGCATAAAGGCTTATTGTTCACAATACTCATTCATCATATAGTGAGACTCACATCTGGCGCCCTCGCTGTCTTCTCTCCTGTTGCTCTCACAGAGGAAACAAAAACCAAAGTCGCAGAACAGGGAGGCAACGTGGGTTATATCGTTGCCCTGGATTTTGAGCACCACATTTTCATCTCTGAATGGGCCAAGCAATACCCCAACGCCAAAATCATCGGCCCGGAGGGCCTTCCCGAGAAGCGCGCAAAGCAAACTAAGGACCCTAAGATCAACGACGACAAATTTGCCGTTGTCTTTACTAAGAATGGCAAGCGTGACATCAAAATCGGCGACGAATTCGACGCCGACTTCGACTACGAGTATGTCGATGGTCATGCAAACAAGGAACTTGTCTTCAACTACAGGCCAGACAAGGTTCTTATCGAGGCCGATCTCCTGTTCAACCTACCTGCTACCGAGCAATACAGCAAGGTGCCTGCATCTCAGAGACCAAGCGGCTTCTTAAACAAGTTGTTCCAGAGCGTGCAGAGCACGAGTGGAGAGGCCACATGGAGCAAGCGGGCCAACTGGCATCTTTCCAAGGATCGCGACAGCATGGGCGATAGCCTGAAAGTCATTGACAAGTGGGATTTCACAACGCTGATTCCTTGCCACGGAGATGTCCTTGATGGAAACGGAAAGGAGATATTCCGAAAGATGTTTCAGTGGTATTTAGTGGGAAAGAAATAAGACTTGGTAATGACTTGATTTGCAATGGCTTATGGCGGAGTTTGATGATGTATGTAATATTTCAGGTTGGGGGTTTTCTTTTTTTTTCGGCTCATGCAACTTGCTCTTCTTATCAATTAGCAATTATAGAACATAATTTAAAGATAATATTCTATTTAGATACATGAAAAGTGCCCGCATTTTAAAACGTTTATGGGGATAATGTCAACGGTATGATCTTGGGCTGCCGCGCTGCAGCCGCAATTGGACGTTTCTAACGCCATAATCCTCCCTATTTCGGATCGCAAGGAGGCTAGTAGGTAACCAAGACAAATAAAGACAACGACTAGCGAAATAAGTCGTAAGAGATAGTGTCGGCTTAGCCGTGAGTGCCTCTCCCTTCCTAAACTAAGGCAAATGTCGCATATTTCCCCCAAAACCGAAAGTTGTTTACATGCCTAGTAAATACTTCCAAGTCGCCCTAGAAATAATCAAGCCGGCCAAGTAGGCCAAATTAACTGGCTGATTCTTCACTGCTGTTTGCCATCACATACCTGGTCACAGCTAAGTGAAACATGATGGAATAAGTAAGTGCATAGAATAATGTACACAAGTGCTCAAAAGTGATAAAGTCTTTGAATACTACAGTATAGTACATCGTGACGAATATTTCAAGAAATGACCTTGATGTATGAAAGAGACTGTCACCTCGCCATATATCTTGTTCAGTTAAACGTTAATATGTCTATTTTTCTTGTTTTCTCTTGCTAGGTCTCACGCAATGAGACCTGGTAACCCATTAGACAGCCTTCGAAAAGTACATTAACTCGATCAGTATCTCTAATGAACTCGGTATATGCCTGGACTCTACCACCAAGGAGTAAATATATCTAGGTTGTTTTGTCTTTCAAGGCAAACATGCCACCAAACCACCCGTACGTTCGGGTCAGTCGTCTACCATGTCTTCTTGCTATCAAAAATGGAATCTTGCCACGGGGATGTGGCTCGTGGAATTGGATGCCCCTCTCGACGTCTAATCCAGAAGGCTGAAACTGCCAGACGGATCCGTAGAGCTTCTCTGCGCTGAAGCCGACGCTGATCAGGGCATGCAAGAAATCATTCCATGCAACTTCCCCGGGAGTTGTATTGGCTGCCGGGTCGAAGAAGACAATTCGAAACACCTTGAGGGCCCGGGAGTCCACCTGTAATGTGGGTTGGGGGTCTAGCTCTCTTTCAATAGGCATAGTGGGTTCAGTCACATTCATGCTATTCACCATCAATGAGTTGGGCGTTCCACGGGACTTGACCTTGGCCTTCGGAACCCCTGCAGCTAATACTTCTTTCCGGAGTGAGGATGGTTCTGGCTCCGAAAACGAAAATTGCTTGGTAGGGTCGTTTGATCCAATGTCCGATTTCTTCTTTAGCTTCTCGTCTTTCTGCGATGCTGTATCGACCCACTCCGGTGTGCGCTGCAGAAGTCGGGGCTGTGATAGAAGTCGACCTAGAGCTGTACCGTCCATGCGTCCAACTTTGGTGAGAATTAATTCGTCAATTTTGCTCCAGAAGAGGTCAAGGTGGATTTCAGCTGCTCGCAATTTGTCGACGTTTTCCTTGTTGCGCCGCTTGCCAATGGGATAGTCAAATTTCTTGTCTGACGGATCTCCAAAGCTGCAGACCTTGAGCAGATTTTGATCTCGAAGAGCCTCCATGACCCGACCCATTGTCGCAGTTCGCTCTGCAAAACGCGTTTTGATACCCTTCTCTTTATCAACCATTGCGTTTTCGAATCCGTTGGCCCAAGGTTGGTAGATATCGACCTGCCTTAAGCATTCGGCCAGAATGGACAGCTCACCAATTAACCCGGCAATATATGGGGACACAAGGTCCCGGGCTTTTTGCTCTGCTTTTAGCAGTCTCTCAAGCTCATCGACGACAGTAGGCAAACGACACAAGAACAGATTATAGCCATCTTCCCACAAAGTTTGTAAAAGCCATGTCAAGGATTCCGCGATTTTATCCTTCTTCATGCCGGGCTTTGACGTGATTCGCATTTTGGACGAAGTTGCTGATTCTGGTACGTCGCGGACGTAGAAGCCTCTCATTGGCGGCGATGCCACAACTGCTTCCTTGAGCTGGTTGAGAGGTCCCTTGGCGATCTGTTCAAGATAATAACGAAACTTGAGTAGAGCATCCAAGTATTCCTCTGGCAAATCACGAAGTGGTGAAATGTCCGACTCGTACTTGTTTTGCAGCGCCTGCAGCTTGTTGGCCTGGCTGTGAAGCTCTGAGAAGAGTTCGAGCTGGAGGTACGCATCAGTAACCACATTTCCTATCAAACGAGCCCATAAGAGATTCTCTCGTGGAGGTTTCATGGTTGGGTGCACGTTTCCAAGTACATCCTTTATGGCTTCGTTTCGATGTTCCTTCAACTCAAAGAGCTGATCCGCGAAGTAACTTGGGTCCTCACGTAGAGTCCAGATGTGATCCTCGGCACGCGCAGCCCTCGCGGCAAGCAGCGACTCGATCTTCCCCAGGTCAAGCTTGGCAGGAACTCGGTAGGGCGCTTCCTCTGCCAAAACAACCAGGGAACCTAAACCGCCGGAGTCGTTGCCGGGCCTTAAAAAGGATTCCGGCTGAATAGGATATGCGTCGCTGGTCAATTGTTCTTGTGGGATATCGTGGAGTATCTTCTCACAACAGCAGGTTAGAAACGCCAACAGTCGACTCTGCGCTTCGAGAGTGATAAGTCCTTCTCCTGGGAGGGCCTGTTTCCGGGTGCTCATCCATTGAAAGGCATCATCATTCTCGTGCCAACCAACAAGCTTGCCATAGTCTTCCTCCCTCGTGACGCCATTCATCATCATGACATATTCATTGAGGAATATAGGCACAATAACACAAGAGACCTTGCCCAGATGCATTGCATCCCCGTCGGTAGCCGCAAACACACTTGGATGGTTCCTCGCTCGAGCATTCAGCAACATTAGCAGCGACTTTGGTTTCGCTAGGTCTTCCTGATTAATGTAGGGCCACATGAATGAGCCATAGTGCGTAGCAGCCGCTGCGTGCAATTGGCGTGGGTACTTGCGAAAGGCAGCAAATTCGGGACGGTGGACGATTGGCATGTCGGGCCATGCCTCCAACAAGATTGCCAGTCGCTGCGTTCTCGTCTTCTTCTCCCACCGCTTCTGTATCGTGGATTCATGTCGCTCAACAATGGCTTGTAGCCGGCGATAGTCGCTGAATATCTTGCGCGTCTTGTCCTTGGCCTCACGGCGCACCTCAGCAGGCGACATCAGCTTTGGGGGCGGCAAGCCTCTTGAAGCGTACAGTCCAAATGGATCGGTGTCATTGTTCCAGTCAATGTCGTCCGGAATCTCGACTCCATCGAGCTCAGGATGTTCCTCAGAGGGGTCAAAGCGATGATCAGTCCGAGGCTGCAGAAGACTCATTTCGAGTGACAGGTGATGGCTCAGTGTAGCCTCGCCGTTTGTGAGCTGGACTGGAGGATGAGGATGAATTGAAGCTTCAGTTCAGCTTGGCAGGTTCCAGCTTGACGTTGAAGGAAGCGAATGAAGCGAGCAATTCTTCAACATACATCCATCTGTTGCTATCGGGTGTAGCACAACGTACGGGTGGAATAAGTATAGACCGAAGGGCCAGGAGGAGGTACATGCAGCATCCAAGCGGGGGAAGTTTTATTAACCTGGAAAGCAAAACCCAGCAGGTACTCCCTAACACGCACGCATGTCCCTTTGTATGATTGCGTAGTACCTAGTAGGCACCTCAAGTTATTCAATACATCCCTAGGTACCTTAGTAGTACATGGTACGCAGCATCTCAAGTCAGTGCCTTATGAATCAGTCGCTTGTATAGGTACCTGATCTGGCAGCGAAATAGTATTAACTTGGAAGAGAAGAACCCCGCCGTGAATCTCCCAGCACAGCACAGGACCTTGCACGGTAGCGCATTCGCTACAGCACATGCATTGTGCTAATCATGGGAGATTCAAGTTGTATTGGACATTGACATTAGTGACTTCACCCAAAAATCGACGACTCTCCAATTTGGATGTCTCAAAAGACCATCGGTTTGTAGGTATTTATAATAGCCTTCGCAGTAATCAGGGTAGAGAACCATCATGTACTCGTCAATCTAGTTGTTAAAACTAAGCCAATTGAATATTGTGTTTATTCTACCTATGAGGACAAGTCACCAAAGCCCAACACCATTTTAGGTCTTCTCTTCACCCATTAAACGCAGTTAAGGTGCACTGCAGATGGTTGAATCGAGACATTAATGCATTCGCTCGTCGCGGCAAACGTCCAGTCAGGCTGATCATTGTTGCAGTCATTCGTGGAGGAAATAGTAATTTGTAGCGATGTGCCGACAGGGCATGGGTTTGTCTGCGTAACCTTGATGCTTTTGCCGGGAAAATCCTCAAAGATGGTACAGTATCCCTGGGTCAGGGAGCCTCCCAGTAAAGCTCGGCCGTTGCAACCCTCATCCCACCACTGCTCATAATAGGCACCAGCAAGTGCTGAAGGGGCCGCGGAAGCCAGTCCAGCGAGGGCGGAGAGGAGAATGGTAACCTATCGGACCAATTAGTTCAAATTCAACCGAACAGAGCGGAGGCATCTGAGAAGGAAATCGAACCTTCATTGTGTATGTTGGCTTCAATGGTGGGAGATGGCTTGAATTGATCCGATTGATTAGTGAAATGTGGCCTAGTGGTCGGTTTAAATACATTCATGAGGGCAGTTAACTCGGCGAAATGGAATTTTGACAGCCCTAGTAAGGATGCTTAATTGTAAGAATCCACCATAAGCTTAACTCTATAAGGATGGTGATACAAGAATGTGATGACAATGGATGCAGACTGCATATAATCACCGAGACGCATGTAACTTACGCCAAGGGACTTGGGTGGCTACTGAGCTAGTGGAATACGCAGTTGGCTTTAATATAGCGGGAGAAACACTTAATTTGCCTTATATGCTTCTGTGGATATTATTACATGACACATCACAAGTGAAAAACACCCGATTGTTGAGTAGGCAGTTGAGGGGAATTTCGTCAAAGAGTAAAAGCCATTGGTGCTGAGACCAATTCGTAAATCAGTAAAACTATTGAAACTACACTTTACGCACTGCATATTGAACGCTCTCTTTCAACACGGTTAATTAAGACACCAACAATTTTGTCGTTAACATGGTGTGTCGGAAGATGGTAGAATGCCAAAATATCTCGTTCCACAAACCGCCTTAAAAGTGCTCAAGCCCGCGCCCGCTCCCGCCCTGGGCATTTTGCAACCCTTAATTGACCACTCCAAACCAATACGAAAAGGAGATATCGCTACATGTATGTGCCGATGTTCCACGGCGATTTATTCGATATGCGGGGGATTCGAAAATACATTCCTATTTCGGATCTCGGCAAAAAGAGCCGTCATAACTGTGATACGATAACCCACAATAGGCATTCCTTGAGTGGGGGAAATATTACATGGAGATTGCATCCAAAGGCCTTCCAGCTGTAGGGTTTTATGCTAAACCCACTATGAAGAAAGAGGATTACTGCTGGGCCTTATAATGAGAACCTGCTTGGTCAACCCTGACACAAGCAACCAAGTAACCAAACAGTCCTACCCTACCGCCCTTACCGTAGATGTGGCTCCGCAAATTATGATTCGTAATTTCTCTATATAGTGGACATTGCTAGCATGATCCAGCTCACCTCGGGATCCTTGCCTTGCCGGCAACTTAAAACGCAGCGGAACCAACGGATAGATATACCAGATCTTGCGCACATAGATGTTTCTGTTATCTATGAGATTGGGATTACAATGTCTTATCCCACTTCAAACTAGTTATGATACTATGCAAATTGAATTCGCCTAGATGTTCGATTGAAACATAAGCATCATATACGCTTATGTAGAAGTAATTACAGAACAGAGTACGAGATTGATTTTCTGAGATCTCTAGAGCTGAAGCCGATGTGAAAAGTAAATTCTCCAGCAGGAATGCGCCACGCCTGAACGACGACATCCCAATAGCTCAGATCTCTCCTTGTCAATGAGAAGCTGACATTCTTTGTTCGCTTGGTGCTAGTTGAACCTTCGAGAATCCTCGAAGAACTCGAACAGGGGTGCCGGCTCGAGCCGAGCTAACTGGTAATGAGATGTATAGCTGAACATCAGTGGCGCCGTCCAGATCTCCGGTGTAAGAGACGCTGACTGTTCCATTGATGAGTGGTGTAAAGAGATCGCTAAGGGGCCCCGATGACGAGTTGGAGAAAGGCACCACAGCACTAACCCTTTCTACCAAAGTCTTAATTGAAATGTTAGACGCCAAGTCAAATGTAGTGTCCATGTAGCTAAGGCCAAACCCAAATTCGTAAAGCGGGTCGATTTGCAGGGCATCAAAGTGGCGATAATCAATAAGCAAGCCTTCAGTGAAGTTGGATGGCCAGGCTCCAGGGTATGTAATCTGGTCGCTGGTGAGATTGGTAATGGTAATGTTATAGTCTTCATCTCTGACTGGAATCGTGTACGGCAATCGGCCGGATGGGTTTACATCACCCCAAAGAATATCCACGATAGAATTTCCTGTCTGCTCGCCGGGAAAATGGGCAGCAATGAAAGCCTTGACGTTCGGATGGGTCGCCCAAGTCATAGTATTGATACCAGCTGAGTGTGTAACCACCACAGTATTGTTGCATTTGTCTGCCACGTTAGTGACGACGATGCTCGAGTTCCAGCCTGCTTCGAAGGACACTCTATCGTAACCCTCCGCGGCAAAAGTTTTGAGAAATAATATACACACATCTGGAGTGGGGTATATGCTGTGGAAGCCGCCATCTGACAGGCGATCGTTTCTAAGGATGTACTGCACGCGAGCACCAATCAGCTCAGCACGCGCCTTGATAGCATCCAAAGGGGTGACGAGAGTCGAATGACGGACACTACTCGAACCTCCGCCGACGTCCAATGTAACTTATTCGAACCCTACGTTAGTCGCAGGAGGATCTTGGTAGACAAGGCCATCAGTCAAGTCCGCAGCGTCGTTGCCGAACACGCCAATATTAGAGGGAGACTTGAGGGGAAGAACAGAGTTGTCGTTTTTCAGCAGAACTGCGGCTGCCCCGCCAATCTCGCGGATCAATTTTGCATGATCTCTCAGCAAGGGAGAAAACAAAAAGAACAGAACAGTCATTCCGACCGTCGTTATGATAGCGCTGTTGCTGGTCCTGGAGGCGTGTTTCAACACTTAATCAGACGGCGCCCAAAACCTTCCTATATATAACAGATGTTAATATAACAATACTCATCGTTTAATTTCCTAAGGGAAGCTAGAAGATCTCTACAGAAAAATTCTCCTCCCCTATATACGCCTTTAGGAGGCCATTGCTAGTTTGGCGAACCTGTATTCAGGGTATCAAACCCTGTCCTCCACGCCAATGATAAAAGAGACAAATCGTCACATGCTGCTAATTGTAGAGCTCTAACCTCATAAGATGCAAACAGATTAGAGCTAAAGTTCGTCCGGTATTCCACAGACGACCAAATTTTAGCTACCAAGAGCGGAACCTCCAAAGACTGCGCTATTGCGAATCATAAGTGGATTCAGGCGCCGTTTTAACAACACCTGCTTGAATCGTTCGGCTAGACAAGGGTGCCTTAATTCTTACAGTCATAAAGAATCACAATCGTTTTCGCAATTGCAGGGATATGTTTCTATCATATCTAGACCTGTGGGGTTAGGCAGATGGCCATGCCTAGTTTAAGGCCCAGGACACGAACGCAATTTCTTTTTAAAAAAGGAATTCCGCTTCAAAGAACACCTAAGGGCACATACGGGAAGGAAGTAGATATGTCAGAAGAAAATCAGAGTTAAAAGGAATAATTCTAGTATATAAGAGTCGTTTCTCACAAGATTGTTAGCCTCACTATTGTACTCTTCCCATACAGATTCTACATATAACACTGACTTCAGAAAGCCCACTGGTCACACCAATTCCACATAAGGTCTGATGTTATAGGGCCTAGTTTCTCCATGGTCGGACTTCTCGCAGCTATCCTGTCCGTCTCAAAATCAGGGGGACGTTGCCCCTTGACGATGAGCTTGTATGTATCAACAAGCTTCAGAGCCGGGTTTCTAGCCACATCGATTGTCTCACTGGCGCTGTTTTCCAACTTAGCCACCCACTCGTCAAGGCCCACCAGCCCCTTAATCCGGCTATCGTAGTATTCTTTCAACATGGCGACTAGTTTAGACCAGGGAGTAGCAACCGGGTTTACCGCGTGAAAGTAGCCCGAGATATCAGACAACGGTACTGTGGTTGTCACGCCAGCAACATCTAGAATAATCCCCGCGACGTCTTCCACAGGCATCCAATCAACCAAGTCTGCATTTCCGAGGTCCTTCGGTAAGAACCCTAAGTAGACTGAGCTGGCAATCAAGCTTGGGAGGTATTCTTGCCGATTCCACTCGCCCATTCGACTCCTTGGCCCAGCAACCTGGCCCAGCCGTACCGAGGCCGTCGGTATCGCGGAATGCTCAGCTGCGGCATCAAGAATCAGGCTTGCGGCGAGCTTGGACTGCCCATATCCAGGCTGTGCCAACTTCATATCGTCCAGCCGTTTTTCTGGGACTGGCACTGGTTCTGCCCAACCCGAAGAGGCGCTGACACTCGAAACAAACACAATGGGCACTCGCTTCGTAGTAGCACCGGCAAAATCAACCAGGTTTCTGACACCACGAATGGAGGGCTCAAATGACGCGACACTGAGGTTGAAATTTACAGGCCACGCGCTGTGAATAATACGGTCGGCTGAGGCTAAGAGCTCGTTATACTTTGCTGAGCTGAGGCCAAGGCCCGGGCTTGACAAGTCTGTTTTGCAGAATTCGACTTTGGAGAAATCGGCGTAGAGGCCACGAGCAGCATAGGCCGACGATTGGCGCGACCGGCCACCGTCAAGACTGCGGTTGAAGACAACTATCTTCTTGACGCGTGGTAAAGCGCACAGACGTTCGAGAAGATAAGAACCAAGCGACCCGGTTGAGCCTGTCAAGAGGATCGTCTGGCCCTCCTCTAAGGGATCTGGCCGGTCTGTATTTGGTGATGGAAGGTTTTTTGTATACTTTATTACGAACTCCTCTGCGGCTTTGTTCTCTTGTGATGGTATATCCTGACCAGTCTCCTGATCTTTTATCATGATTGTTGAAAGAAGATACGCAGCCAGAAGCTTAGGCGTCTGGTTGCGATAGATAGCCCGGGGGGCCAGTTTTTCGGAGTCGACATGTACACTCGCGGTCACAAAGCCTGACCGAAGGAAGCTGGACATGTTAAGGACTTGGAGTGAATCAATTCCAATGCTGAAAAAGTCCGTATCATGGTCAATATTCTGCAATCCAAATTTGGATGATAGTAAATTGATGATAGATTGGCTCAATGACTCTTCGCTAGCAAAGTCAAGAGAGATGTTCTCTGTTGGACCCCCAAGAGTGCCGCGTTGGTAAATCAGATCAATATAATCTTTGTAGGCTAGTCCTGTTGCATAGCGCTGTACGGTTCCTTTCGGAGTGCGATGGAATGGCTTGTCTGGGTCGGAGAGTGCAATGAGCCGTGGAACTATTTGGCCTTGTTGGACCGTTTCTCGATTGGCAGCCTTAACTAAGGGCCAGATGGAGTCGATAAGTACCTCTGCCTCAGCTTGGTCCTTTATCGGGATGACTGGTTCCAGAATTAAAGCGGGTTGAAACCTATCTTGTCCAACGACCAAGGCGGCTCTAATAGCGGGATGGCCTGCAACGGTCTCTTCCATTGTTGTTGGGTTGAGCTTTTCGCCATTGGAGAAGACGATGACATCATCTACCCGACCGTGATAACACCAGTTGAGTGGGAGTGTAGGGTGAGGTTTGTACAGCTCTCCAGTCGACCATTCGGAAAAATCAGGAAAGGTGTAGAATGGAGCTTGAAGACCTGGGTCTTTGCGGTCTTTGCGGCGTACGACAAGCTCGTAGATGTCCTTCTCCCATGTTACAGGACGCCACTCTGCACCGACAAGCTCATGATCGAAAACAAAATATTGCCAGAGCTCAGGATTCGGTTGGCGATATAACGGATACGGCGCAAACCTAGAAACAGATCAGTTGTGGTGCTCTCCTCGAACCAAAAGCTCCAGTGCATCTAAACTGTAGAACTCACTCAGTGCTTCCAATGAAGTTGGCGATAGGTATACCCCGCTTCACTAGTTTATCACCAGTGGCGGGCTTAAGTTTTCCTAGTTACGCGCAGAACAGTCAGAATCTGTACACCCCGTATCTGGACAAACACTTACCACCTCCAAATCCCACCCAGGCAAGCTTAGTCAGTTGCTCCATCCATTCTTCATTCAAACTTAAATCCTCAACTATAGAAGGTGGTAGAATAACAGCATCGACTTCCGCATAAGCGATTGCCTCCGCGACTGATTCTGCGGTGAGTAATCTTCCCGGAATTCCCAAGGCCATCTGTGCTCCGTAGAAAACCGTAAATAGTAAATTAATCACATTTCCAACCATATGGAATAAGGGCATGGGGGTGAATATCCTCCGGCTCCGGCTAACCCATTCCGAAAATAAAAACTTGCTTCCCTGATACGCTGGCATATCTTGGAACGCGTCCCCGATGCTGAATACTCCCTGCCGGATAATGATGGGCTTTGGGAAACCAGTTGTGCCACTGGTGTGGAGGACTACCATCGGATCCCACTGAGCCTCATCGAATTCCCGTTCGTATGGAAACGAATCTGCAGGAGCCTGCAGCCAAGCATCGGCGCTTGAGACGACAGAGGTTCGCATTGGGCGTGCCTTCAGCCATGGCTCGACAAGCGCCTGAGATGACTCCGCGTGGAAGAGGATATTGCAGTTTGTCGCTTCGAAGAGCCGCATTTGTCCCTCCAGACTATTTCGGGGGGAGATGAAGAGCGCTTTGTGTCCGGCTTTTATACAAGCTAGCATAATGATGAAGTAGCGGACGTCATTTGGCCCAATATATGCTAGAGTTGGGAAAGACTCTTCCTGTGGCTCCTCTTTTGCCTTCATGGTAATTTCATGAGCTACATAGTTGATGGCATTGCATATCTCCAGGTACGTGACCGGCTTCCAACCATCTTTGGGTTCAGACGAGCATGGTATAAAAAGAAAAGGACGAGAAGGATCCAAGGAAGCAATATCGTCGATGGTGTTAATTAGAAGACGACGCCCGTACCTCGCTTCATGCGAGTTCAATTTGCTTAATTTATCCATTTTGGTGGACGTGGATATCTCTTTAGGATGGATTTTGGCTTCCAAAGGAAGGCTTAGGGCGATAGACCAATGCCCCGAGATGCTAAACGATCCGTACCTCACTGGCCTGGTCCTCATCTGGTTTTCTAACGTTGGGCTCGAACGCTTAAATAGAAAGCAATTGGTCCAGTCTGTCTGTGCACTGGTAGGAATACCCCCCATTAGCCTAGAACAGTAATACGGGGATAGCCAGCAATGGCCTAAGCCGGCAAATTCATGAAGTTGCGTAAGCCAAAGTAGGAATAGGAAAGATTTGCCAACCCTATTCATGGGAAATCCATGCCTCAGCCTGTCAGAGACCAGGTCCATGATCCATGACGTACCGCCTGCTTCGTAGAAGCGTAAGAATACTTTTCATCATACATGTAATCCGTAAGCAGGTAGTCACATCAGCTGCTGAGAGCCCGCAGATTATCGCACACACAGCTAACACCTCCAAAACGGCCACTTATTATCTAATATCGCGATACCCGTTAAGCTGGCCAATGTCTGATTCACCACCTACAAGGTGTGCAATATCAAACTTATTTAGCGTACGTTGCCAGTAAGAAAAAACCACTTCCCCTTACACTTCCTCTGCCAGCTATAATTAGCCACCGTAAACTTTCGAACTGCCCCGCTATAGTTTGTTGTCAGTAAGGGATTACAATTTGCTTATTGCCCAACCTACCATAAACCTGTGAGCTCGGCTGCTTACAGCTGAGAAAGGTCAGTCATGGCTAAAGGCTCGTAGTCGTTTCACGATTTGACTTTCCCTACTTCTTCGAGTAGGAATCTATTAGATTTTTATTCGCTATTTCTCCGTGATCTGGAGAGACCCAGCTAGGATCAGGCGAAGGGCAAGATGTGGCAAAACGGATCTATCGACCATAGCTTGTGTTAATATCAACCTTATAGCATTCGTAATTATTTCTTAATTCAAAGCTTTTTAATATCATCAAAGACTACGGGGTAAACCTATGCTGATTACCACTTATACCGCTTGGGTTACCCTATGTGACGCTACTTTAGCGTAATAGTTTTGCTCTGAGAAGGCGAAATGTACCTTTTCAGTGGTAGTTCGGTACTAGAGGCTGAAGGTCCGGCACTGTCGGCACTACATTTTTAATGGCTGAAGTTGCTACTTTTAAGTCTTACGTAATCCTCCCAAGCCTCCTCGAGATTATTGTGAATAATGCCTTCAATTCTGACGCATCCAACATACATAATCATTTCTTGTTTTGTCACTATATTAAAGTTGTGTGGTGTCACTCCACGTGATCTGTCCAAAGCCATATACAGTATGGTACTACCACTATAAATGCACAACGTGTCGTGCCACGTCCTGCCAAGGTTTGCAAATAGTAGGCCTAGACACCACAGGTATAATCAAACAGTTGCATAATAATATACTAGCCAGAAACATAAAAGAAAGATCAGAGAGGGAAAAAAACATATAGAAAAATCAGAAATAGCCAATTCATTATCTTCAATAGATAAGTTATGCATGTGTTATGTTTCCCGATAAATTCTAGTTGAAACAGCAGCTTACATCGTGAGGGCTGCATCATCTGGTTCGGAGTCCTGTTCTTTACTGTATTCCATCCAACGCACCTTGTTTTATGCTTATCCGGCCTTGATCACTGCACCGACATGCGTGATGCTCAACCACCCAATTGGGTTCATTGGTAGCGTCAATCGAGGACTCCTCCGGCCTCATCAACTGACTTTTGGTTTCCTTTCTGGCGGTATTTTGTCTTTTCTGATAGAGATTATCGGTTCGTCTCCCTAAGCAAGGAGATTCAGCTATAACTGTCGACTCTAGGATTGACTTTAATGTTTTAGGTGGCAGTATTGACGCCCAGCAAGGGAGAAATCAAACTATCGGCAAGAACATCCTTATTGTCGGTCTTTTTATGCAAATTTTCAATACTGTACTTCTCCTGGCCGTTGCTGTCAAATTGCACTCTCGAATACACCATCTCTCAAATGCGAAATCCGACGGTCAGCAGACTGGATGGCGTTCTCAGTTTAGGGCTTTTTGCCTTATTTGCGTTCTAATCTCAATTCGGAATGGGTTTCGCATAGTAAAACTTGTTGTGGGCATCGACGGGGATGTAACTGAATTTGTTCCCTACCTCTACGATGCTATTCCGGTTCTCGCATCATCGATGTTGATGAATCGGAGCTATTTAGGCCCTACGTAATAGCCAGTAAGGAATCCGCTACGGCTATTTAACTGGATTGAGGGGTGGGGAGAAATAATCTCAGATATCCAGTCCAAATACATCCACTGCTAGCCTATCACCCCATTAAATTATAAAAGAGCATCTTAGTTATCTCTAATCTGCTCACAATGTCAAGGGCTCTTTTGAAGCTGTGTTGGTATGCAACTCTGATTAGATTTCAGCATAGTAGGCAACCAAGAGTATCCCAGCTCTAAGTATGTAAACATTGAACTCAACAAGTACAATACCCAGGCAAAAAGGATGGTTTCACAACCCAAGCACTGACCGGCTCTTACCCTTTTTGGATGCCGCTCTCCTATTGCCTAGCATCCTTCGAGGACGACACCCACTAGACCTAATTTAGACGTCACTCTCCCATTGGTGGTTGATATGGGCCTCTTGCTGCTCCTTCATATTGTGTGTGATCGTATATACCGAATTCATAATATGGAAACAAATCTCGGCGGACTTTACAGTACTTGAGGAGCCGGGGATTGTGTAAATTCCGTTGAGTGTTAAAATTACTATTTGTCCTCGTGGTGCTGAACAGTTATAAAAGGGAGTAAGAAGCCAACAATGTTGGTCTTTCTCCTCGACATCTAATAACATTAATACCAAATTCGCACACCTTGAAGCTTATCTGCAAGCTTATTTTCACCATATTGAGCCTATAAATTTTCTGAATTGCTCATCATATACCACTTCATAAACATGTCTGCCACCGACCGCGCTCGAGTCCAAAAACGCGAGCTCCCGCTGACGATCTCCAAAGAGCTCTGCGCAGGCCGAACTTACATTGTCACTGGTGCCAACGTAGGTCTTGGACTTGAGGCTTCACGCCATTTGGTGGGTGTAGGAGCGGGCAAAGTCATTATGGCGGTACGCAACCTCGAGGCTGGTGAGGCCGCCAAGGAAGACATTGTGGCCTCCACGGGAATCGAGGGAGTTGCTGAAGTTTGGCATTTGGACCTTTCCAGCTACTCATCTGTACGTGCCTTTGCAACCAAAGCAACTGAGTCACTTGAGCGCATCGATGCTATAATTGAGAACGCAGCCGTGGCAGGGTCAGGCACGAAAGCAGAGGGCCACCATTTGACGTTGACAGTCAATGTTATTAGCACTTTTCTTTTGGCCATGCTTCTTCTTCCAAAATTGCGCCTTGATTCAGCCAAGTTTGGATACTATCCTCGACTAAGCATTGTCACCAGCGGTACTGGTCTTGATCTAGGTGACTATTGGGCTAAGATTGCCGAAGATCCGATTGTGAACATGGATGAAGACGGCGAATTGGGAATGAAAAGGTAATTTATGAGCAAGCTATTTCTATAAACTACTAAGAATACCTCCAAGCTGCTATTTTTCAAATACTAACATTGATTTCTCTAGCTACCCGGCATCAAAGATGATGGAGATATTGGCTGTCCGCGAGATTGCGAGATTGCTCCCAGTGGCTCGTGGTGGGGTCATTATCAACTCGATTAATCCTGGCCTATGTGAGACTACACTCTCGCGAAACGCACCAGAAGCATTCAAGACTTCTTTAAAAGAGCTTCTGGGGCAGTGCGGTCGAACGGCCGAGTGTGGCAGCCGCACTCTTTTGGCTGGAGCCGTTGCAGGTGAGGATAGTCACGGTTCCTACATGGACGATTGCGTTCCATCCGAGTAAGTGTTCGAAATGCGCTAAATATTATTGTGACGCTGATCGAGTGTGTACTAACATTGATATTATAGCAACTTGATCCCAGGATGGATGGATGCTACGGCAAACCAGAAGGGTTGGGACAGTATTGTTAAGGAGCTTGAGAATATAGAGCCAGGCTGTGTTTCCAAGGCTCTTGAGTAGGGGTGCCTTAGAGAAGCTAACAAATGCTTATATATTATGTTGTGATAGTCTTTATAGTGGTTTCGAAATAGATGATTGAACCCCTTGGTAAAAAGCCACACGGGAGAATAGCGCCGAACCCCCTCTCTCATAGAAGTCATTCATCCATGGAAATTTAAAAAGAACCTGTTTAGTTGCCTCCCAATTGTTCAGCCCGAGTGCTTGCATTGTCTCCCAAGTCTTTGGAATTAGCCAGATATCGTGACGAGGATCCTGCAAAATACCAGCTGCTCCCAAGAATAAAAGCCACAAAAGAAGTTCCCGCGTCTCGTCATTGGTCTCCAGGTGTGCTTCGTTGCGAAGTAGCTGTGATAAGATTGAATTCTCAGCCACACGGCGGTCGAGTCCGCATAAGAGGGAGCTTATTAGCATTAATAGACCTAAATGTGCCATATTTTGGACGCGATTATGTGAAAATGACTCGTTCAATGGAGCATAGTTGAGAAGTCGGTGACCAAGCCAGACGTAAGTCCTCAAAAACTGCACCTTGGATAATTTGGCACGTTCGCCTGCACTCGCCTCATTGACCAACATAGACAAGCCAGCGGCACTTTCCCAGAGGGCACATAGCTCGGAGCCTAGTTGGTCTCGGAACTGAAGGCTAGATGCGATGGAATGAGAGTTGCGCTCTCGCGAAGAAGGTATATCCAGCCTCTCCATAGCTTTTGCATTCTCAAAGAGCATAATATTCAGTTTCGGAGTACTACCAAGTCTGAGGGCGTAATCAAGATCCGCCCTGCACCTTTCTGTTAACGGATTCACAATAAAGGTCACAATAAATATGACGTACCTGTATATCTTTTGCATTAACTCAGGCTCTTCGGAGCCGACACAATCTAAGCCGCCTCGTGTCTCGACCATACGAAAAAGACCCGAGAGGTGAATCATGCCGTGGTCGTAGCGACCTCGGGTAGACTCATAAGTTGATAGGCTCATGACCACAGCAATTGTAGAATTAGATACTCGTTCATCTCGTGAAATGCGTTCGTTAATCAGACGGAAAGCCTGAGTAAGGTGGCGGACTGTAGAGAGACTGGCCTGTGGGGAGACCTTGGTACATGCGAGAACAGTGGCCAGGGCGCAATGATAATCTGCTCATTTTGAGATTGTTTAGGATAAGCGGTCGCAACATATAATAAAGGGGCGAAGCATACATGCTTGGTCCGTGAAAATGAGCTGTAGAAAGATTGAGTGGCCAACACTACCTTCGGCAAGCGCTTTGGCTAGACTAGGCAAACAACGAGGTGAATTCATGAATGCCACCGCTATTCGAGATATAAGTCCAGGGAACTCTTGAATATTTTTAGCAGGGATTCTATGCCAACTAACCTTCGTACATGAGCACCCTGTCCTCCTGGGCCACCTCTATAGGTAAGCTCAAGACCGATACAGTGTCGCCTACCATAGGCTCGACTCGCGATGGCGCGTCCTCAGTGTCCCTTTGAGGACTACAGTCCACCTTGCGGCTCTCTTGATGCGCCTCTGTAGACCCATTCTTGGACTTGATAGCGACGACAGGCTTTAGCAGAGCTTGGCGCTCGAGTGCTTTCACGCGCGATGGCCGAGTGATCTTACGGCCGAGATTTTGCCCCTTGGCGGCCTGACGACGGATCACAGACCTCGTGTTGTTGTCAATCCCATTATTATTATTTATAAATACCAGTTCCATGTTTATACAGGAAATTATTGAGATATTGCCAATTTGGGAGGGTCATTTGGTAAAAGCAGAATATGCGGACTACTCGCAGTCATTAGGTTCGATGCATGCGATTGCATTCCGGAGATACCAATCCGGAGATACCCGCAGCCTAATGCCGATTTTACTCTTCCTGGACACAAAGTGCATGTTTTCATACCAGTAGATATTGACATCTCCAGAAGATCGAGTGCACTCACTCTATTAGCGCGACTTTTTCTCAATCACCTTATCCCCCGGATTTGAATTATTAGCACTGTTTCCCATCAAACTAGATCTGTATTTTCATTGCCCCGAGTCAAAGCTAGATGTATCGTTACAGAAAGTCAATAAGCCAGCTTCATTCAACAGACAGATTGAATAGGCACAGCCAATGCTTGTAAAGTAGATGATCAGCCTAGTTTAGAAGTTGTGAATTCCTTAATGTAAGGTTTAAATGTTTAGCCGGCCTAAGGTACATAGAATGGAGACTGTTGTTCAAGGCTATATACAGTCGCAGAGTATCAAGAAGGCTATTTTGTTATGCTTCCAAAAAGGACCTATTATTGAATAGTTGCCGTATTACACGAGAACTCCTTCGACCCCCCAAATGAGTGCCCTAGTCCCCACAACCTCATTTTTACGAGCCACGAGCTCCTCGACATCCCAGTTGGCCCATAAAAACTTGTTCTTGAGGAATCGCGCCTCGTCCGTCAACAACCAGACGCAAAACTGGCCCGGCAACTCAGCTATAGGAGAGCGATGCTGTCAGTAATTGGAACCTAAAACTGGGAAAAGGGTAGATAGAAAGCAATAGTGAAAAGATGAGTGAGGAGGAAGGCCCGAGAAAGAAAAGGCTTACTTGTGTCTGGGGCAACAAAGACAGGCCTATCCTCGCCGCCGAGCTCCGTATTGATAATACCGGGCTGAAAGCTCACCACGTGAATAGTCGGATTCTCAATGGCGAAGTAGTCTATCATCTTGAGATTAGCCGCCTTACTGATCGAATAGGCGAAGTTGGTGGCCACTGGTGTTCCGTGTGCCATCATTGTTGACACGTTCAGCAGCACGGCTTTGTCGCCCGGCGGTGCCAGCGGCACCCACGCATTGACTGCGTTAAAGGCGCTTAACACGTTGAGACCGAGGGTATTCATCATGATATCAGCGTCATAGCCCACCACCGTTCCTGTCTTAGGGGCCATGCCAGCATTGGACACAAGCACGTCGAGGTAAGTTGGCCCGGCTTCGGTGGTGATCTTGGTCTGGATGGATTGAAGCGCAGCGTCCACCGAGTCGCGCTGCGTAAGATCCGCCACCTCCGTGATGATGATGGGCGAATTGCCATACGCGGCGGCCTCCGACTTCATCTCAGCTGCAGTTTGTTGTAGCCGTTCGGCGCGCCGGCCCAGGATAGCCACAGAACGGGCGCCCGCCTGTGCAAAAGCGATGGCAATGGCTTTACCAATACCGGTGCCACCCCCTGTGACGACAACATTCTTCCCTGCCGCCGCGGCTGCGATTTCAGGCCGCGACGGCGAGATGGCGGGATAGGGACGGTGGTGGTAGCTTTTGGTGAATGAAGGCATCTCTGGAATCACAATGTCCACCAGCGTCTCAAATGCGGAAGCCATTGCGGACTAGAGGACTGCAGTTTCTTTCCTGGTTTTTGTTTCCCTAAATCGTTTGATGATCTGTTATTCTCGGACGAGTTTGTCGTGATGTCTAGAGCTTTCGTCTGGCTGTTCTGGTCGACAAGCCATCCATAATTTGTTGTCTCTTCATCTTTTTATAAGATACGGAACCTCAAGAAATATCTGCAGAGACTGGCCTTGAGATCCACCATTTTCATGATGATGCATCTTCCCGAATGTCGAGTTCCACGGGGAGTTGCGATCCTAGATTACGGGCCGCATTTTGGCTCTTTCTAACCGATAATGTCTTCTGCGGACTAGAAATCATCGGCGCAGCGGATCGATAGCGCAACTCACGGGTTCATCTAAGCTGCTAAGAGTATTTCGTCGTTGCGGACTTTGTAATTAGTTGTTGTATGGCGGCGGAATCACGGCTTTGTAATCGCTCAAGCTCCGCGGGGAGTTCGCAGCAAAGCTAGCCCACATAATCGGCCAATATGTGATTAAGTCAAGAGCAGACAAAGTACATGTATAAAATGCGCCCGCGGGGAATTCGTACGCATTGCATTGAGGATTGCTGAGTAAATGACTGATCTGAAGCAAGCATGAGAGACGCCGCGGAGGCCGGTGCCTCTAAGAGAAGTGGAAGAAGAAAGGTACCCATCCATGACAAGCCCATCTTCTCTGAACACTCGCTAAACTTTACGACTGCAGGCATGCGATCTCTGCTGCCAAAAGAAGATTCGCTGCAATGGTGCAAAGCCCAGATGCTCTCAGTGCCAAATTTACGACTCGGAATGCATGTATAATGGCGTGCGGCGTAGGGCGATTCCCCGAGTTAGCTCGTAAGTGAGAAAACGCCAAATGACGAGCTCTGATGTTGAACAAATTAAGACTGATAGTCGATAGGGCTCCTAGGGTTGAGTCCCTTGAGGCTCGCGTGAACCGTGTGGAGTCTATGCTCGAGGGACTAATGGCGCAAATTGATACGTCTTCGAAGAGAGATGGCATTGAGCCGGCCATTGAAGACATTCCAATGATCTCTCCATTGAGTGGTGGACAGGAAGATGAATGGACTCTTCCACCACTCCTCGACATTTTACCCATCGTGGAGGATTACTTCCAGTCCACAAATCGTCTCCTACCTTTATTTGACCAGACAACGTTCATGCAGATGCTACGTAGTTGGTACTATACTCCATTTCAACGTGATCCGGCTACATGGGCGTCCATTAATGTTGTTCTTGCGCTTGGTTTACTCCTCCAGCCACCCGTTGCCACTCAGGGGAGTTTGACACTAGCAGCATTTGTCAAGAATGCACAATCGGTCCTTGATGAGATAGTTAGTCGCGAAGAAGACATCCTCAGCGCGCAGATCGTTCTTGGCCTCTGTATCATTTTCCAGGAATCGCCCGATCCCCAGCCTGCCAGTGTCTTGGCCGCGACTGCTGTCACGCTGGTGCATAGACTGAGACTCTATAGTCGATCGACACAAGCAAACCTTAGTCAAACAGATATCAGGCAGCGCAACCGCTTGTTCTGGATTGCTTATGTCTTGGATAAAAATATCAGTTTACGAGCGCAGCATCCGCCTCTGCTTTCCGATGCATGGACAGATATTGACCTGCCCGAATCCGATCCTATTGATGGCGCCGGGGTTGTCTACAGCCGTCAAGGTACGAGCAAAATAAACTTCTTCCTCTTTCGAGTACAGCTCGGAATCATTCAGGGGAAGGTGTACGACTGGTTGTATTCAGTGACAGCGGATAAGCTGCAGCCTGCCGTGAAAGAACAATTTGTTCATTCAATCGAATGCACGCTCTATCAATGGGAACAAAACTTACCCAGGGAATTTACGCCGGACTCGATCCTTGAATCCGCTCCACCAGGGACCGTACAACACCTAGCCGCCCTCCATTGGACTTATCTCCACACCTTGGCTATGATACATCGGGCTCACTCACATAACCAGCAGTGGATACAGAGTATCCTCCGACGCAGCGCAATTATCATCGACGAGCCGATTAGATGTGCCATCACTAGCCCACAGCCATCCCTACCAAGATCCTGGTCTAAATTGGTTGGCTCTTCACGGGCCTGCATGAAACTTCTGGACAGTATGTCGGCACACGGGGAATCATTAATCTGGTAAGATGCCACGATGAATGGAGACAGGAAGCTACAGTTACAATATTGGGACAAACATTAACGATAGCCACAATACACAGGTCCACCCTTTGTGGTAGAGTCACCGGACTCCTGCTTCTCCTAATGAACAATCTGACAGAGCCTCAGCACGAGATGCTTGTGGAAGACCAGAGACTTATCGAGACCACAATAGAATCATTAGAACCGATAGCTGAAAAATTACAGAACAGACAGTTCCAGCAAATTTACCAGGCCTGCCAGGCGCTGGCGCTCAAGATCCGGATTCTGATAGAGCGGAACATTAATGAGAGCTCCGCCTCGGAGGCAGAGTGTCTTTTATCGGGGGCTCAGTTCAGCACTAGTGTTAACGATACTGGGACTGAGCAGACTCTGGGATTGGTAGAAGCATTACATCATTATAATGATTGCCCAGAGATAATGCCAATAAAGCCTGTAGAGGAGACAGTATTGCAGGAAGATGGGAGCCTATTGTCAATTATCACTGCCATGCCTGGTGCCGCGTTATTCAGTTGGAAATAGTAAGAATATTACAAAATTCAGCTAGATGTAAGAAATTAATATATATAGTAAATATAGGAGCCTACATAAACCTTGGACGATAAATTTGCATAATGATAACTGAGTAAAACGTGAGCTATACATAGTAATCCCTAGTGCTGAAGTAAAACGTATGAGGCTAGTTGGCCAAGGTGATGCTATTAAATCAGACCTCTTGAGTGCGAGTGGCTGGTAAATACGGACATGCCTTAGTAATGTCGGCGATGAGACTCCGCTGCCCCACCAGCCATCCTGGAGAACGGTCAAATGGTGGTCATGTTTACTCCGTCTCCGTGTTCTCGTTCTATTACTTTACGGTCTGCTCAGTCATTGAATTCTCAGCGTGCGGGAAACCAGAAAACATACGAGTAGAGCAGTTGCTCGCTAATAAAAAGGCATAATGGCTGGTTATGGAGAGAATATTCTTTTCCCAGAAAAGTCCCTCTATCTTATTCATAGGATCCATGACGGAAACAGTCTCGGTAGGATTTCTCAGTGGCAGACACAGCCTAGGAACTTACGGGCCGCCCTCCAACCCAGCGGTAACACAGGTATCTCATCCGAATCAATTGGGAGGAGGAAAAACACAAACGCAGCGAAAATTCAGTTTATCGACTGCAACAGGCAAGAAAAACAACCTCGAAGGAAGAAGAAACCATCGTATATGAAAACAATCACCACGTTTCATGCCCGAAAGGAGTCTACGCTTCGCCAATCGTCGAGTCAGCCACGGCATCAGTCAAAAAATGCCAGACGAGTGGTGCATGGTAATCAAAGCCAGCTCACCGTGGTTCATGCGCCAAGACTACACGGAATGTCTAACCACGAAGCGCTGAATCTTGCAATACCAGCTTTGTCGGATAGGATGCCCCCATCGTTGTCACACCATGTCGTTCTGTATATTAATTACTGTAAGCGAATACTGGTGTTGTTCACTGCGGAGCTACTTACTCATTTTATAGACTTCCACGTTATTGCAACAGATACATACCCGCTGTCATATCTCTTTTCATTCAATCCTGCCAAGCAACACTGGTTCCCTCTAATGTTGGCGGATGATGTTTGCTGCTACATCTTTCTGTCATTTGCCGCAATGGCCATTGCAAAGATCACCCAAAATAATATTACTTTGCAAGATGCTCGCAGCTTGCTAAATGAGGCCTTACAGAGGCTGAATCATAGAATATCTACAGGGTACTTCCAGACTGATGAGACATTGGGAGCAATTGCCTGTCTAGCTATGTGGAGCGTAAGTTCTCTCTCTTGGTACTATCATTGGGGTCAAGGAACTTATCCGAAGATATTCATTAGAACTCATTAGGTGACCTTGAGAAATCATGGGTCCATGCCCGAGGGCTGGCAGAACTAGTCAGCATTCGAGGAGGGTTATCTAGCATTGATGAGAGACTCAGGTCAAAGATGTATCGGTAAGAGATCGCAAAGACCCATATTTTGCAGCAAGGCAGTAACAACTATTAGGGGCATCCTGGAAATTGCTGTCGACTCTGACAACATTCCAAACACCCAACTTTTGTCTGATCTCATAGACACTACTGGTGTTTCTTCTGGCAAAACGAATGTAATTGACCCAGCTAAGCTTCCCTGTTCACGTGAAATGGTCATGGATTTAGCCAGCATGTTCCACGACATCTCAGCAATGAGCGACGCACTCCAGGATGCCATGATGCGACAGACAAAACTCAATCCCGAATACATGGATTCAACCGTTTTTGGCCTTCTCCAGCGCTTGCTTCTTTGTGCCTCTCATCATATGAGCGAGTGTCACAACGCATTTCGAATCTGTCTTATTCTTTACATGAAGTCATTAACATGCATGTTTGAACGATTCGTCATAACTTCAACGACTCTTGTCAGGAAATTGCAGTCTTATATGGAAAGTTGCCTATTGACACCAATGCCCTTGACGAGATGGAAGCTATTCATAGGTTGCCTGGCTGCCGCAGATGGAACACCCGAAAAGCAATGGTTCATCTCATCTCTGGCTGAATGTTTATCGCAAGATATGAGAGGAGAAGATGGTAAATATACTTTTCAGAATGAACTGAGGAGTATACTATGGATTGAATTTGTCCATGGGAAACATACAAATGCGATTTGGGCTCAATTAACTAGCTAATTCAATTAAGAACCCTCTATTTGTCTATATCTAGTCTCAATCGCATGGAATTCGGCAAACCCTCTACTCGTCTCCGTGCAAGGCACCGAATCCATCCAGAAACATATTCACATGCATAGCAGTGAGTTCACCGTACTGATACAAAAAGCCATGTCCAGCCTTAGGATAGATAATGAGTTGAGAGCTAGGAATTCTCTTAGCTAACTCCCAGCTACGGCTCGATGGTACAAGAAGGTCATCATCGCCATTCATAACCAGAACTGGCATTTTCAGGTCGCTCAGGCGATCGTATGCATCGATTCCCTCTGGCGTGCTCCAGTGGATCACAGCCTCAACTTGCCGAGCAGTGCCTTCAGGGTCAACAAACTCTAGAAGAGGGGCTTCGCCGTCGACCTTTCGTTCATTGACGCGGTCCCACCAACCTTGTGCTGCTTCCCGGCCGGCATCGGTCTGGTAAAAGAACGAAAATGCAATAGCATGGTGCACTCCTGCCGCAGCAATTTCAGAGTTTGTAAGAACAGCCATAGGCTCAGGCTGGGGGATTTCACGCGGCCAAACAATTCCACCAATGTCCGATGCTTCACGAGGAGCTGCAGCAGTGGTACCCATCAGCACTAACTTTCGGACCTGATGCGGTACTGTCAAGGCCACCAGTTGAGCAGAAAGGCCTCCCATCGAGAAACCGGCAACATCGTAGCGGTTGATACCAAGAGCATTTGTGAGATTGATCTGACAGTCTGCCCAGCCTTGATACGTCGTAGGGATTGTACCGCTACTACGACCCACGCCGGATTGATCAAAGAGAATCACTGGTCGTTTTTCTGCGAGATTGTTGATGAGGATAGGATCCCAAAAATCCATGTTGGAACGGAAAAATCCATGCATTACAAGAGGAATGCCCTCTGAAGAGCCAATTCGCCGGTAGGCATATTTGACACCATCAATAGCGGTGATATACTGGGTCGGAGTTGTCTGATGAGTTTCCATTATGATTTGAATATGGATTATGCTTGTGAATGATGTTTGGAAACGCGTATGAGTTGTTGAGTGAGTTCGGATATCCCATTGAGCGTATTGCCCTTGCGGATAAACCTGTTTAAATATTGTAACATCCTAGGCGCTTTGTTCCTCTGTCTACTACTTTATCACCTCTTATTGAAATCTTCACGATCGATCCATACCTTGTTCATTGTCAAACCCCTTTGAACATCAGGTACAAGGAATCATCATTAGTGGAAATTTGACAAGAATCGTAGAGCCCAGCTTGGCAATTCAACAACTAATCAGGTTAGCTGTTTCAAAATTGACGGAGCTGCTCTCCAGTCCCTGAGGAGAGAGAGTTAATCCATTCAAATTCCACGAAACAGGCTAGATTACCGAAGTAGTCTACGGAGCGGAACAGTTGAGAATGCCGAAGCGGTCTACGGAGCTGAGCAATGAGAATACCGAGGCGGTTTACGGAGCGGAATCGGACACTTGGGCGTCACGGAATTCGGCTGTGTGGGCATCTCCACAAAACGAACCAAAACAAGTAATTTCCTGAAAAGGCAATTTGCGCTGGAAAGGTAAGGCATAATGCAACCGAACATCGCCCATTCCAAACATGACAATCAAAAAAATTCTGTAAGAACTGTGACACACAAGCCTCATATCTATAGCGGCATGCATTGTACAAGAAAACATGTGTAACAGATATTGTCATCACTGTCGTCCATTTTAAAGCTGCTTTCACATGATGACTACAGATTGTACTCGCGAGATAGCTTTTCGAACGCGTACTGGCCAACAAGGTATGCAGGAGCTTGCGTATCTATATGGGCAAGTCAGCACAGTCAACTAATGGAAAATAGCCTTTCATGTAGTAAACTTACGTCCAGATGGTAAAATTGGAAATACACTAGCATCAGCCACACGCAGACCCTCAAGGCCATGAACCCTGAAGTTGTTGTCGACACAGCTTTCTTGTTCCGACTTGCCCATTCTCACAGTGCAGCATGGATGCCATAACGAACCGCCAGCAGCTCTGATATAGGCCTGCTTAAGGTCAGCGGTTGGCCATTTTGAGGATTGTCATTTGTATAGGTGAAGGAAACATGACTATAGGGCCTGGAATATATGAAACATGAATGCCACTCACATCAATATCCTCATCACTCTCCGATGGTGGGGCCAAGATATCCTTGACATAAAACGGCTTCAAGGTTTCCGTCTTCCACAACGCCAACCCTTCACGAATAGCATTGCGCAGCACTACAGAGTCGTATGGAACATCCAAATAGTTGGGATTAATTAACGGCGCCTCCTTGGGATTTGAAGACGCAAGTTTAACCGAACCAGTGGACTGAGGCCTGGTGGGCACGATAAAGAGTGTGCAGTAACTCTCGTCTTCCTGGCATATATAATTAGGGGGCACGAGAGGACCCGACTGGAATCTATTAGTAATTCTTCTCGATGCTGTAGCAGCAAAACAAAGGAACTTGTATCGATCGACTTACAATAATCTCGTAGCTGGGGACTGTCTTCTTGACTAAGAGCTCACGGGCATCTGCGAGGAGACACTTAAACTCGGGGCTGTCAAAACCTGGAACATCCTGCATGTATCCACAGGGGATTGACGCCTGGTATATAGCCAGGGGTCCAGTTTTGTCCTTGGCATACTGTTCGGCAGCTTGTGCAAAGTTTCTCTCCACGTATGCGCGCTGCGAGTACTCTTTCTTGGTTGAAAAGGACAGGAACGAGACGTAATGGTCAGAAAGATTTTTGCCGACGTGTTGGAGATTTTTGACGACAGGGATACCAAGAGCGTCGAGATCTGTTTGTGAACCCACACCAGAGAGTTGAAGAAGACGTGGGCTATCTATGGATCCGGCGCAAAGAACTACTTCTTTTATAGCCTCGACTATGGTAGAATCCACATTAGCAAAGCAAGGAAGATTAGATGATGAATGGGCTCAGATAATACTCTTAGTTCCATCCTCTTTGACCACGCCAACAGCACGGTTGCCTGCGAACATAATCTTCACGATGCGGGTTTCTGTGAGAATGGTCAAGTTGTCTGGTCTTTGATCATTGGCCAGGAACGCAGTGGCGCCTGTCACACGTGTGGCATCTTTGGTAGAAGAGGCAATGAATGACCAGCCAATGAGATCGCCATTATTGAGATCGAAAGATTTATTGTGCTATATATATGTGTTAGCCATTAACAGTGATCATTTACGTTGTCTAACTCGGGCCATACCCCCCGTTCTATGGCTGCTTTAATAAGCCATTGAGACTCGTCCTCGACGGGCCCAACGCTGACTCCGATGTTTCTATGATGCTGTTAGTGCTTTGCTAAGATACTGAATATTGGACTGTCATGATATTAGCCATACCCTGATTTGCCATGGGTATTAGGATCTGGGTTGTTGAAGGTTTTCCAATCTGGCCCGACTTGATCGTCATATTCTTCGAGCTTTGGTTATGATTCGTCAAAATTCCTTGTTTATCTTACAATTCAAGTGCGTGTAGAGAAAACACGCTTACCTGCTGGAGCCGCTTCAAGACTTGATCAAACTTCCAGTCATCGTCGCCAACGAGCCTTGCCCACTCTTCAAACTCGTCCCGCGCGCCGATTTGCCATACTTGGAAGTTGATGAGTGTCGATCCACCCAGCCCTTTGCCCCGATTCAGGGTGATCTCTCGACCGCCAAGCGACGACTGGGTCGTTGTCGTATAGCCATAATCATGTTCTGGACTCTCGGCTAGAACTTGAAATCGTTTAGCCGTCAACGGGGAGGCGGTCGATTCGGATCCGGCCTCGATAAGCGCGACAGTTGGACGTGCAGCAGAGGCGGCGAGCTTGCTCGCTATCAAACAGCCAGCTGGACCCGCTAAAGAGAGAGAAATCGTTATAATTACATTTCATGGATAAAACCGCGGCACGGAGCGTGTGTGCACGTAGTGTGGTTTGAGTACTACTGCGTACCTCCAACAACGACAAAGTCAAACTTAGCAGACATGATTTGTTGCCCAACAACTTGGTATATAATCAGGTGACTAATAAAGTAGAAACATGTGCGTTATAAGTGAAAACATTAACCCGCCATCGCATCGCATATATAGTTCTTTCCGGTGATGTACTCTCACTAAACGCTCTCGCACTAGGCACCCCGGCTAGAGCGACACATTGGTGACTGGTGTTACCACTAAATCAAATATTGCATCAGCTTGATTGTGTAACAGAAACCGACTTCTCAATTCTATTTCCTCCTTTCGCCCATGCTCTTCATACTTTCCACGTCTCCCGTAAGATTTAGAAGTTGCCGCCCATTATTGCCGGTATATGTTTATATAATCTCGCTGACTTACTCCATACTAGGTACCTACCTAGATAATATGAAGAAAACTCTACAAAGTGAATTTGCGTCTCTGCAAAAGACCTCGGCAAATATTACAGTTTCGTAATCATGGCCATTAAAGCTGCCTCGGTAGGCAATTCCAGCTCACTCACGTTGCTGATTTGGTTATATTTAGCAGATAACGTGATTGTGGGCAATTCCTAGCCAATGATACAAAGTAATAGGGAACGAATTTGTTCGCCGCTCGTCGGGCCGCCATCCCAACGTTACAAACTTCGGGTAGTACGGCACGACAGAGCTACAGAAGGACGCATGCTGGTGCATTTGGTCTGCATGTGGGCTTATTGTACGCTTGTAAGAACGGCATAACCGTCAAGCAGAGTGAGAATTATGTCAGACTCTATGTTGAATTTATCGAACCTGTTTTCTGGCAGGGGTAAGTGCAGAACGGGACACAGGAAACAACATAGCAAGATCAATAATCTGAATTACTCGAATTGGATTCACAGCACGACTAAAAGTAGTTACAGTCATCCGCCAGGAATTAGCAAATAACGCATTAATAACTTCCAATAACTACCGAGCTGTAAGCCATCCAGGCACCATTCGCCTTTAAACGGCTGCCCAAATCCGCCAAGCATTCTGCTTCATAGAATTGAGGCTCAGCAGTATGGTAAAGCTGGATTTGAGCAGCTTCCCGGTATAAAACCCTGGCTGGTTTTCGCCAAATCAACCTCAAATATCTGCGCCGAAGGATCTAACAAATGATCAACGATGTGAACGATACCCTATGAAGTGCTCGTTAACATGTATGTTTAATTGCGTAATATCATATTTCGAAATTGCCTTACCTTCGTAAGGGGAATATCTGCCTCAGTGACACTGGCAACTTTGTTCAGGGTAAGGTTCCCATCAATGATCTGCGCTCCAACAAAAAGGAAGGTCCCAGTCTGAAAGCGTGTGTACGTAGTATTGAAGTTCTTAACCATGAGTTGAGAATTCGGCACGTAATGGTGCTGTAGTAGATTTCCAAGCCACCATTTACCCTTTGGAGTGGCCGCGAATGTAGAGTAGTATGCTCCCGTATTTCTAAAAGCCGTATCTAAAGGAGCGAAGAAGGTATAGGACCAAGAAGGAGCCGTATCGAAAGCTTCGCTAAACCCTATTAAATCATCAGCAGCCGTATTTCAGCTAGTAAGTAGCGGGAATAACATCAAATCTACATACCAGCGCATTCGTTTAGCACTGTTGCCAGGATACTTAGGTCCTCTCGCGACTTGACAAAGTCTAGCAATGTGCTGATGCTGGGATCCTTAGGTGGGATGTAAGTGCCAGATGGAGCTGGGATGTATTCCAAGGGATCGCGATCAACTACATCAGCGAATGCGAGACTTCCCAAGAGGGAGAGAAAAGCTATGAAGGGCTTCACCATGCTTGGTGAGAAAACGTATCCTCGATATTACTCTGTATGAGAAAAGTTGATGGTAACAATTATCTTCCGGGCCTTTGGCCCCAGATGAAGGCAGCTCTTTAGGTGGAAGCTGCCGGCAAATGCGCTGCTTGTGGAGCAGGGGCAGACAGGCAGCGTAAGACAAGAATACCGTTGTCCGAGCTTTGCAGCCGGCGACCACCCCGCACGATGCCCCGGACAGGGTTCAAGTATTTGCAGCTGGCCCCAAATTTTACCATAGTCTGGTTGTCTCGGGGCAATCCCAGGCCCGGAGCAGAAGGAGGAAAATCCAAGTTGGCATTTTCTAATTATGATACAGGCCCCGTACTGCAAAGGTAAAGGTATATGGTACCTTCGAGAGGGCGATACCAAGTCCCGTCCAAAGTTTCAGATTCTGGGATCAAAGGGTTTTTTTTTTTTTTTACCAAGTCTTTGCGCCCTCAATGTTGGCTACAATACTTTTGGCAGGGCTCCTGGCGGTGCCATGCCTGGGGAGTGTAAATCCAACAAAGCCTCAGATGGGTAAGCAGAGTATCAACTCACCATAGATGACAACAGCTAAAATTTGCCAGGGTGGAATACATGGAACACATTCAAGAGCAATATAAACGAGACGTTAATCAAGTCAAGCGCAAAGAGTTTGGTGGACACTGGCTTAGCTCGGGCTGGCTACAAGTATGTCAATCTGGATGACGGGTGGCAAGCCTTCACACGAGATTCCTTAGGTCGCCAGCAACCGAATTCTACCAGGTTTCCCAGTGGAATTAGAGCATTGGCAGACTTCGTGCACGATCTGGGACTTAAGATTGGGATATATAGGTGAGTTTGTGATCCACGCCCATCCGAGACTTTAACTCACTAACACCGAGCCTCTTAAGTGACGCAGGCATCTATGACTGTGCCTTCTACCCTGGAAGCTATGGCTACGAAGAAAGAGATGCTAATACGTATGCGTCATGGAAGATAGATTATCTCAAGTTTGATAATTGTGGTGGCTTCCACGCAGGCACAGTTTCACCTCAAGAGCGTTTCCTGCGCATGGGCGATGCTTTGAACCGTTCTGGCCGCGATATCTTCTACTCGCTTTGTCAATGGGGAAATCAGTTTCCCTGGCATTGGGCATCTTTTTCAGATAGCTACAGAATCTCTGGCGATATTAAGAGTGCATTTGGCGAAGATAGTAGTGGTGTCTGTCGATCTGCTTACTGTCTGAATACCGGTTATGCCGGTGTCAGTGTATTGACAATGATCCGCAAGATGCGAGAATTATCGCGATTCCAAACACCTGGTTCATGGGGTAAGCCGTATTTCCCCATAAAACGTTCAAGAATTGTCAATTAATTTGGCCTAGGTGACATGGACATGCTCGAGATCGGTACTGGAACCATGAACTTACACCAAGAGCAGACCCATTTCTCTTTCTGGGCCGCGCTCAAGTCGCCGCTGATCATCGGCGCCAACATCAACACCATCAATAAGGCGTCTCTAGACATACTATTAAACAAGGAGATTATTGCAATCTCCCAGGATGACGCCGGCGTAGCGGTCAACTACCTGCCCGAACTATCGACCGAGAACGAAGTCCAAGTTTGGGGTGGGCCGCTTGCCTCTGGCAAGTCACGCTACGTAGTATTGGCACTCAACTATGGGCTGAACACTACAGATATCACGATTCCTCTCAGTGGATTGCCTGGATTGAAAGGATCTAGCTTGTCTGAGTATTCCGTGAGGGAGGTTTGGGCTGGAAAAGGTGGCTTTCATGGAGGCAACAAACTCGTACTGAACGACGTAGCTTTGAACCAGACAAAAGTAGTAGTGTTCTCCAAAAAATAACTGAGAAATTAGGTAGCGACAGGATATATCAGAGGGGTTAGATTTCTACAGTTCATTGTATTCTCATTGTGTTCGGAGTTGTGGAAACCAAACGCGAGCTATGACCTGCCAGATAAATTGGATGGTGTAAGGATAATCAAGGACAACAGCCTGTATCTCTCGAACCCAGAACCAATCAAGAGTTATGCTAGACTATCACTCAAGAAGTTTTTTCTGACCTAAAAGTAATTGTCCCATTTGGGCCAATGAACTTTATCCAGATTGTGATTTGAGGAACATAGTTGACACAACTGCCACTTTAGGAAGAAAGGGGCCAGGATTAGGTTGGATTCTGAGCAGATCTATTAAATATACTATTGTTCTATTGAATCACCACTACCGAATTCAAGCAGAGTTAATCATGCCTTTTCCATTAGGCCCAATTTCGCCGCCTCCCCAAATAGTCCTTCCGTTGTCATTGAGAAACTTGCCCTTTTTGTCATAGGACCAGATCAAATCACCCCAGCTTGGATGGTCGCCAGGGCTGGTTGTGCCAGCTATTTTGTGGAGTTAGTTGAAGTTCGTCAGAGCTCTAGTGTCGGCTCTAATACTTACGGTTGCCTTCGCCTCCGAGGCCATTGATCGTTGTCTTCATTTTGGTAGTATAAGGAGCGCGAAGCCCGCGCTTGACGACATATTGATAGTATAAAATCTGTATTAGGGTTAATGTAAGATTTGAGAAACCGTTTCATCGAAAGCAAACTTACATCCCAAACTTTAGGCGGTGGTTTGGCGACTCCCCGACTGATGTTGGATGGTAGGGCCCACGGTCCGTTGATCAGAATTGCCTCGCAACGGTAGAACTTGGGATCGTAAGGCACATCATAGCCCAAGTTGTATTTAGCTGTGTATTCTGCGGCCTTGAGCAGAAGGTTGTCCCCAAGCGAGTACACATCCGCTCCCTGAGATTGCATGATTCTTGCCGCCTCTGCAGTCCAGCCTAGGCCACCTTGCGCATGGCCCTGGTCGCGACCAGTTTCTGCACTCTGTCCCGTTTCTGGATGGAAGTTTCCATATACTCCAGCGCAAAGATCATTCTGAAAAGCGTATACCGCGTAATTATACTGTCAATGTCCGTTAGTCACAGTCACAGCGTCTCATCTGGTGGTTGGGAAGCTGAAGCTCACCAGCGTCACATCGTCTAGGTAAACGGCAAAAGACAGCAGGGCCTTGATGCTAACCATGCCATAGTTTGCCTGGCCAACAATGATGGATTGACGTGCAAACAGCCAGTACAGTTGATTCGAGAATCCGCTTCCACCCGAAGCCTTCGCCCCCGCCTCAATCCAGCCTCCTTCCCATCGCATAATCTCTGCCGCATTGGCGAACATGTCTCCTTCAAGGCCAACGAGAAGAGAAGTGTCGGTGCCGATGATGGAAGTCAAATTTGTGCCCCAAGCGTCCAGGATCGTGGTAGATCGATCCCAGTGGCTCTGGTTCTTCGTGATATACCACATCAATGCATTCTGATAGGCTGCGCGCACATCGTTGCTGAAGGTTGTGTAGTTATTGCTACACCCACCTCTGCATATGACGCTTTTTGGGCCTTGCATAGTATACTATAGTCGACAATCAGCCTCTAGTCTACAAGAATGGAGGTTCATATCTGCCGATTAGCCCAACATACGGAAGCTTGGGAGAAGGAATCTGCGCTGAATTTTTCGTACGCTGATTTCCATGGCTCTTGTCCTTTCACTACTCCCAATCGGATGCGCTCAAGATCGTCATGCGTATGCCAGAGCCCCGGATGTATAAACTCGCCGACATGCTTTTTTGATCCAAGGACTTGCGGGACAACTGGAACGGGTCCATTGAGCACGGGAAGGCCGTTCAATGGCCCAGTGGCCACGACGATGTTGACTAACAGCCCAAATGCGGCTACCACAGAAGCAAAACTCGACTGAATCAGAACCATCTTGATGGTGGTGGAGAGACCGAAGATATACCAATAAGTACGGGATGTTGAAAAGAGCTCTTAGATCCAGAAAGGAAGCGAGGACCCAAACGACTGGATGCAGGGGCAATATTAATTACCACATTGCCATGTTTAGTCAATTTCTCTCCTCTCATTAAGCCGAGATCCTGAACCCTAACGCTATCTGCACCGGATACGACCTTTCTTGTTGTTTACTCCCTTTCTCCGCATAATCCCCTCTCCGCACCACCTAAGGATAAATTTAGCATGCCGGCCTCCGGCTGAAGTCCCGGAGCAATTCCCGGATATCATCTGTCAAATGGCAAGCAGCTCTATTTCGGCCCGGCAATTGAGGAATGGCAGCACGGGATGCATTGCCGCTGCAATAGGAGCTTTGGTCTAGATGCAAAACCAAATTCCCCATGGGAAATCCTTGTCGCATACCCTATGATCCCCTCCTATTTCCTCGACCTTTTCGCGGGGTAATCCGGGGTACCTATTTATGACCATCTGCGGACCGAAACTCCCTCCGATGCTGGTTATGGGGTTTGTCTGGGACTCATCACGACTGGTGATGGAATTTCCAATTGTGATTTCAACTGACCATTCGGTTTAGCCATCTGCTCAGTCCAAATACGAAGCGCAGATAGATCTCGTGGTTGACGAAGAATAGTTGTAGTATAAATGAAACAATTATCCTTAAACGAAATAGTTCTTGAATTCCTCATCAACTAGTGTGCTTCGAGGCTTAACAAAGGATTCTCTACCTCTCACGACTCTGAACATGGCACCTCCACTTGTTGCAGCGTTGCTTTGTAGCCTTGCGCTACCAACTCTGGCTCAAGCAGCGCCTTCATCCACCATCGATTCCCGGCCCCTTGATTCCCGCGCTAGCTTCGTTCACCCGGGTCTCCTCCACACTGAAGCAGACTTTACACGAATCAAATCCAAGGTCAACTCAAAGACAAATCCGTGGTACGCAGGTTGGAACAAGTTGGTGGCTCATGCCAACTCTGGCTACGTGCCCAGCCCCAAGCCCACTGTCTATCGCGGTACTGGTTCGCCTGAGAACTATGCCAGCTTGTACCGCGACGCAGCTTCTGCATACGCCAACGCCATCTACTGGAAAGTCACAGGGGACACAGCTTACGCCACAGCTGCAGCGAAGACGCTGGATGCTTGGAGCAGCACTCTCACCTTTATTGACGGTACCTCTGACAAGTTCCTCGCCAGCGGCATCTATGGGTACCAGTTAGCCAACGCAGCCGAGATCCTGCGCGGCTACTCTGGCTGGCCGGGTCTTGCTGCCATGAATACCATGCTCCAAAAAGTGTTCTATCCCATGAACCATGACTTCCTAGTCAATCACAACGGTGCCAAGATCGATCACTACTGGGCCAACTGGGATCTGGCGAACCTATGTACAATGTATGCTATAGGTGTTTTGTCCGACAACGCCACTATGGCAAATGAAGCCGTTAATTATTTCAAGGGCGGCGCAGGCAACGGCGCTATCGAGAAGACGATTTGGGTGACATACACCGAGTCCGGGAGCAACAAAATCTTGGGGCAAAACCAAGAGGCCGGAAGGGACCAGGGCCACGCCATGCTGGATTTTGCGCTCTTAGGAGTGCTTGCTCAACAGGCATACAATCAGGGAAATGACCTGTTTGGCTACCTGTCTAACAGAATCTTGACTGGGTAAGAATTGTTGTCCCAGCTCTTACGATAAATCACAGGATGGATTAAGGCTGATAATGGTCGATTTCTTAGAGCGGAATACGCCGCCAAGTACAACCTTGGCTTCGATGTTCCTTACACCACCTATGTCAACAGCGACGTGACGCAGACCACCATCAGCAACGTGAGCCGAGGCGATATCCGCCCGATTTGGGAACTGATATATGGCCATTACGGCTCCCTCAAAGGCCTGAACGCATCTTGGTCGAAGCAGTACCGTGACTTAGTTGTGTCCAACGGAAGCGGAGCCGAGGGGGGTGGCGGAGATTATGGCCCAAACAGCGGTGGTTACGATCAGCTCGGATTCGGTACCCTTCTGTACCGGTTGGAGGCTTGAATTCTCTGCTCAGTTCACACTTCATATGGCAAAAACTGCCCTGAATCATTGATACATACTTGATGGTGCACAACAAGTTCATACAGAAAGAATAAAGTTCTATGCTTTTGTTCGTAATGAATATACTATCTAAGCGGTTTGCAATATCTTATGAGTTATCTTAGCATTCCCTTCATTGCTTAGTAGATGAGGAGCAATAAAAACTCAGTAAATTTCCAATTAATTTCTGGCTGACTTGCTTATTATGAGTCAATGCAGCCAGCACCTACCACGTAGTGATATTTGCTTTCAGCATCGAATACCGAATATCTATGGCCAACCAAGCTCAAAATTCACAGTTTGACTCTAATTTCGATCTTTCTCAAGCGAGGAGAACGTAGTTGGCTCCTCGTTGAGACCTCATATCAAGTGCTAACCAGAACCCAGTAGTCGCCAAATGTTCTTCAATACTTCCCATTGTTCACAAGAGAAAGCTCGCCTTTCAACGGATAACAATCTCCTCAAAATTAGATAAATCCTGTCTATCATCGAAGAGCTCACCATGCATGATGCCGTGAACATACACTTCCCCTATCAATTCATACACTTTAATCGGATGAGCGCTCTCCACCGTCTGACTCCGCCAGCCACTTGTGTTTTCATCGAATGGCATTTCCATCACGGGAAGCCTTCTTTCCTCGTCAATATACAGCGGGCGGAGTAAAAACGGCCATTCTGATCCTTGAATCGCCCATATCTCGTCGTCTTTCCTCATCATCTCGGGGCCGAGTCCAAGTAGCACTTTAATTGCTTCCTGCTGGTCACTTGCTCCGGAATACGCGCAGAGACGACTGGAGTACTCTTCGTCCAACTCCATGGCAAACACACCCCTGCTTCTTGCAGAGTGAAATTCTCGAATAAGATGTGCACAGGTTTGCGAAAAGTCAGTTGCATCATCATTCTCACTGACACAACCGACGAAGTCGTGTTTATCAAAGATTCGTGAAGGCATTTTCAAACGCTTATAAGCGTCATAAAGATATTTTTCGTCGATTCCATGTACCGATTGCGCACGATAAATGATATCATGGGGGTCTTGCGCAAGGATATGATCGACAGTTTCATTATAAGCGGCGGAGGCCAACTGCGTACATAAGTATTGGGATATGCCGTCTACGAGGAACCTCTCGATTCTCCATACTGGCAAAGATGGACCGTTGAGAGAAGTGAATTTGTTCCCAGGGTGCCAAGATCCCAAAGAGAGGCAGGAGAGGAGTGCCTCAACAGGAGACAACTGTGTCGAAGACGGGTCTTTATCCCTGCATCGGGTGGGATATTTTGATGCTAGCAGGCCCAAGGGGCCAAATAGGTTCCATAGAAAAGTAGCACATGGTGCCCATTCCAGGGCTGATGGGAACCTAGAAGATCCTCTTGAGATACCCAACCTGCGGCCAAAGACATGGAGGTTATCAGTTTTGACGTGGAAGCGTTGCGTCTTCACAGCAAGAGGCGACCCATGAACGTTAAAATCATTTTTGGAGCTGTCCAGGAAAAGAGCACCACCATTGGATAAGGAAAACTGTTCACGGTTGGCTAAGTTTGGAACCCATGAAGGCAATTCGTGCTTGATGTCCACCCAGGATGGAACACTTCGGCGTTGGAGCTCATATCCGGGCCTATCGCCCGTTTGCACTCCAGGCGTTATTAGAGCAATGGCTCTGATGCCCAGTTTGCTATGCATGAGGCGAAGAATGAAAGCTTGGAAAACCTGGGCAGTTGAAAGGCCATAGTCTGGAATAACAGGTTTGTATGACAATACGGATGAATCAGCATCTTTGGTTATGTTGTACAAGCGCTCCATGATTGCTTCAGCCAGGCCAAGAATTCCATAAACGAAGTCTCTCGGATCTGTGGCATATGTGGTTGCGCTGCGCCAAAACACCCAAGCCAAAACTGATTCGTAGTCTGGCACATTTTGTTCATCACTGGCCCCCCATGGGATCTGAGAAACAAATTTCTTGAGCTGATCCATGTCTTCCAGGCATGCCCTGAGTATACTTTGTTGCATAACTGCTGTCCCGGCCGTCCCGTTATTTCCATATTGCAATTCCATGGTGAGTCCAAGAGTTTGCAGAAACAGCGCTGCGTTATGAAGGTCATCCTGATTTATAAAATGATCTCCGTGAAGGATCCTTATCTTCTTTGCTAAAGCGAACTCTTGTAGTGTCCAGAGTCGATGAAACCATCGTCGCGACATGAAATTGATGAGGGTGTCCCATTCCTCGTTGGACAACAGATGTTGCGGGTACTGCACGAAGAGGCTTCTCGACGTGTTTGTCCCAGTTGTCCAAGCGGTTCCGTACCTCCGTGCCATAGCAGATAGATCGTCTAGCACGCGATGGATTGCTTCGGATTCAGAGTCCGTAGCGGGCCCAAGCCAGACATCCACGGCCGCAGCATGTTCGTAGATGTCCTTCATAGCAGCTACCTGCTCACTACGCTCTCTCGTATTCTTCTGGTTAATGCATAGGGAATCAATCCAATAAAACGCTCCTTCATCCAATTTGGTAATGCGAAGCAAGGCATAAAGGAGATTCTTCGGCATGGACGTCGAAACACCGCCTTGACCTTCATAGCGGAAGACAGGATCTTCATATTCAGGCACTCCCCGAGCAAAGCCCCAAGTGTAACTCAACGCACGATATGCAGGGGCCGCGGATAGGGGAAATACATTCCAAGACAAAAGAATATGTCCATCTGCAGTTGAATTAATCAGTACCAGGCGGATGCAACCCCCATGTGGAAGGCCACCGTCCGCGTGAGCCCGACAAGGATCCGCGAGATAATAGCGCGTCAGGCTGAAGATGGATTCACGGGAAGATGCTGCCACAAATTGCGATCTATCGATTGTAAAGTATCCTGTCACGAGTATTCCAGCAATCAATATTGCAGTAATTGCATCCAAAAGAAAAAGCAAAAGTTTAGACCGAAGCATTTTCTGGCCATTTAGGAGAAAGTTTGGGGATGCACAATTTATATGAGAAGGAATTGTTAATTCAGACGTCGCGCAGCGGCTCAGAAGCCAATCGGTTTGACAACTAGTTGCTATGATGAGATCACGTGAAGGAGGATTGTAGTTAGGTAGATATAAACATCAAGAGTTCAAAAAGGCTCAACGATTCTCCCCTTTACCGTTGCATCTCGTTATTTTGTTTTGTTTCGTTTGCTTTAGCCTTGGAGGTCCAAATCGAACTGGTAGAGGGTAGGTAGGTAGGTATGTTAAGTACGCCTCCTTCCCCCCCCAAAAAAATGGAAAGAAAAGAAAAGAAAAAATAGTGGAATTATTATCTGCATAGGATAATATGATTGTGTTCTCCATTGTTAATGTTTCTAGCTAAGAAAGCATGAGTGCAAGACAACAAGGAAGTGTCTATTAAACATACTGGCAATTAGCGACTTATAAGCTATGATTTTCATAATAAGCCTCTGCTGCAGTATCCTCTTTCAATTGTTTTTTTTTTTTTTTTCATACGGCGCCACATCTTCGCTTCTCTAGAATAAAAAGACCGAGAAAAGATCTTCCATATAAATATAGGTATGGGTATGTGTGTATATGTGTGTGTGAAAGACATTTGTATCTGCCATGCTGACTTGGTTGCAAAGCGATTCAGGCGCATTCTCCTCCAGCAATTCTCTACATAAATGCTTCTTGGGCTTATTTAAATTTTACAAATTCGCCTTTGGGAGCGCTCGAGAGGCTGCACGAATAACTCTACAGCTGTTACTCAGGAATTTGCGATATTGCAATGCCTGTGTGAATGTTAAGCAGGTGTACAATTGCCACTCATTACTGTACGGGCACGTTTCGACAACGCCACTACGCTTCAATATTTTCCCGCTTGAACAGAGGCTTAATCTTTGTTAAATTTTTAGTCTCAAAACGCCAACTTGTACATTACCATAGTGACACTTTAGAGAGCCCTTCTCCAGAGGTACTTCGAGTTGCATTCATTGAGATGGTCCAACACTAGATGAAGTATTGCTTTGGAACTCACTTGCTCAGCCGCTAGTAGCTGCCCGCCGTTGACGCCTAAGTAATTTGTCCCGAAAAGGGCAATGGAATACATGTGGGACACCTATGTGGGCCAATTTCGCGAGGTGCAAAGCCTTGTTGGGCGATTTGGGGAATTAATTGAGAGCAGGAGAAGAAGCAATGGTGGCGATTGTAGATATCACAAGAAGGATTCTGTGGTTACATGTAGATATTTGCCATTGCTTCATAGAGTGACTACAGCGGACCGCTGTACATAGCCACAAACCTGCATGTTATTGTCATCACAGTGCTAATTATTTGCATGCATGCTTATATGCAAGCTGTGTCTCATTGCTCTAACCCAGTTGCAGGTATGGGTGGTCCGTCGCATGACAATCGTCGCAGGATACGAGGGTCCGTGGGAGAATTCATTAAAATATATGTAAGCAGATGGTGCAATACCCCCATGAGTAGATATCCTGCTACTCCCACGCTTTATACCCAGTTCGTTGTGATATCGCCGAGCTCGAGGTTGAATGTAGCGCGGGATTTGTCCTCAAAAGCAGAAAACCGTATTCCATGGAGCATCATGCCGCCTTGAGCAGCAATTTAATAAGTTCAAATACCGCACGCCGTCCATCAAGGTGGTTTCTTCATACGAGTACGAATGAGCTTCGGCCATTCAGAACGGCTGTATATCTAAGCGGAGAATGGAAGCCCGAAGTGCCAAACTACCAGCGGGGGATTCTCCTCCGTAGCTAAGCCGCCGACAACTACTGTAAGAGGATACGCACGGCCTCTGAGATAACCAAGATAGTACAGCCTAGGTATTACTCATGATGTCTCTGCAGATGTACTCGTACCATTGGGGCTAACAATGCGGAGTAGTTATAAGCACTTGGATATCGCTCAGTGACAGCGACTGGGTAGATTCGGCGATACAAACAAGCTAACACGGTACTTGGGCTAGGTAGAATGCAAAGTACCGAGAGCTCACCAATGGCAAAGCTATTCTGTAACGTGCGAAGGCTCGGATAGTTGCATCCGAATCCAAACAGTGTGGCCAATCCAAGAACAAAGTTGCCCCCATTTAAAGCTTCCCCTCCACCAAGAACCCCGCTTGTCCACTTGGTTGCCGACAAGAGCTAGGAGGCGTGGGCCTTTGAAATTGCGAGGCGTCGGTTCGTCAGAGAAGAAGGCGATGACACAACAGCCGCCAATAGTGTTTCACTGCAGATCCAGATGAGGATTGACAGCAGCGCAATCGCGACATGTCGGAAAGCCGATGACATACGACTTGTCCGCGAGGAACGCGGGGTTGTCCGCAACCCCTCTCCAATTGTCTCCTCTTTGCTTGGCAGTTTATATGTTCTTGTCTCCTCTTTTTTAACCTTCTCCCGCCTCTTCCACAATCGTTTCTCTCTCCCTTCATTCTTCTTCAGTAGTTTCGACAAGTTTTACTTCTGGAACAGCCAGACTTGAACTGTAGTATACCCTCTACTGTCATCTCCTTTTTCGTTTGGTAGCAGAAATGGGCGAGGCCAAGTGTCCCGTGAACCATGTCAACGTCGCGGGTGGCGGAACCAGAAACCGGGATTGGTGGCCCGAGTCTCTCAAGCTCAACATTCTTCGCCAGCACACAAGTGTGACGAACCCTCTTGGAGCCGACTTTGACTATGCGGCTGCTTTCAAGACTCTTGACTATGCCGCTGTCAAGAAGGATCTTACAGCCCTTATGACCGACTCCCAGGATTGGTGGCCTGCTGATTTCGGCCACTACGGAGGTCTGTTTATTCGTCTCGCATGGCACAGTGCCGGCACATATCGTGTCTTCGACGGTCGCGGCGGTGGTGGCCAGGTAAGATGGCATTGACCCTTCTGAACGGAAATCAATCCGGCCTTTTATTGCAGCTCTTTGAACGTAGCTAACTGAGTCTATTGGAATAGGGCCAACAACGATTCGCACCACTCAACAGCTGGCCAGACAACGTGAGCTTGGACAAGGGCCGTCGTCTGTTATGGCCTATCAAGCAAAAGTACGGCAACAAGCTTTCATGGGCTGATCTCTTCATCCTGTCTGGTAACGTTGCTCTCGAGTCCATGGGCTTCAAGACCCTTGGATTTGCTGGTGGCCGTTCAGACACTTGGGAAGCCGATGAGTCTGCCTACTGGGGTGGCGAAAACACATGGCTCGGCAACGATGTTCGATATGCCCACGGCTTTGCTGGCCCTACCAGCGACGGCCACGCTGTCCTTGAAACTGACGAAAAGTCGCACACTGACGTCCACTCTCGCGACCTGGAGTCTCCCCTGGCAGCTGTATGTTTTCTTTCCATCCATGTCTGACCACAAAGAATGTTGAACTGACAATAGAATGCAGGCGCACATGGGTCTGATTTACGTCAACCCTGAAGGCCCTGATGCCAATGCCGATCCTATTTCAGCCGCTCGGGACATCCGTATTACCTTCGCTCGTATGGCCATGAATGATGAAGAGACCGTCGCTCTTATTGCTGGTGGCCACACCTTTGGTAAGACTCACGGCGCCGGCCCTTCAACCCATGTCGGCTCTGAGCCCGCTGCTGCTCCGCTTGAGAACCAAGGTCTCGGCTGGGTAAGCACTTTCAACTCTGGAAAGGGGCCGGATGCCATCACCAGTGGTCTTGAGGTGACCTGGACCAAGACACCAACTCAGTGGAGCAACCAGTTTTTCGAGTACCTCTTCAAGTTTGAATGGGAGCTCACCAAGAGCCCTGCCGGCGCCAAGCAGTGGGTTGCTAAGAATGCCGAGCCCATCATTCCCAATGCGTTCGATTCTTCCAAGAAGCAGCTGCCGACCATGTTGACCACGGATCTGTCACTTCGGTTTGACCCTGTATACGAGAAGATCTCTCGCCGCTTCTTGGAGCACCCCGACCAGTTCGCTGAGGCTTTTGCCAAGGCCTGGTTCAAGCTGACACACCGTGACATGGGACCTCTCAGCCGATACGTTGGCCCTGAAATCCCCAAGGAAGTGTTCTCCTGGCAGGATCCCATTCCTGCTGTTGACTACACTCTGGTCAACGACAGTGACATTGCTACTCTCAAGAGCCAGATCTTGGCAACCGGAGTGTCACCATCCAAGCTCATTTCCACCGCATGGGCATCTGCTTCGACCTTCCGAGGCAGCGACAAGCGTGGTGGCGCCAACGGTGCTCGTATCCGCTTGGCACCTCAGAAGGACTGGAAGGTGAACAACCCTCCTCAGCTGGCCGAGGTCCTGAAGGCTCTGGAGAAGGTCCAACAAAACTTCAACAGCTCTCAGAGCGGCAAGAAGGTGTCTCTTGCTGACCTGATTGTTCTTGCTGGAGCTGCTGCTATTGAGAAGGCCGCCAAGGACGCGGGACACAGCGTCACCGTTCCCTTCACTCCTGGCCGCAACGATGCTACTCAGGAACAGACTGATATTGAGTCAGTTGGCTATCTCGAGCCCCTTGCTGATGGCTTCCGTAACTATGGCAGGTCTTCTCCAAGGGTCAAGTTGGAGCACTTCCTGGTCGACAAGGCGCATCTTCTCACTCTCTCCGTGCCAGAGCTGACTGTTCTTGTTGGTGGTTTGCGTGTTCTGGGCACCAACTACGACGGATCAACTCATGGTGTCTTCACCAACCGTCCTGGAGCTCTGACAAACGACTTCTTTGTCAACCTTCTAGACATGGGTACCGTCTGGAAGGCCGACCCTTCTGATGGTGACCTCTTCGAGGGCAGCGACCGCAAGAGCGGTGCCAAGAAGTGGACCGGTACTCGTGTTGACCTTGTCTTCGGTTCTCACCCAGAGCTTCGCGCTGTTTCAGAGGTTTACGGCAGCTCTGATGCCGGCCAAAAGTTTGTCAATGACTTCGTCAGCGCTTGGACAAAGGTCTCCAACCTGGATCGATTCGACCTCCCCAGAGATTCTGATGCGAGACCCCGTTTGTAAATTGGAAATTGGCGATTGAGAAATTATTTGATGCCGCTCAATGTTTGATGTCACAGTCTGAATATTGGTACGACCAGAATGTATTTTAAAATAAAAGCATCGAGCTGTATGTAAATAATAAAATTGGTAAAACTGTAACTAGGTATATATCCTGTGTTAATCAATATTGAAGGAAGTCACTTGACAATATGTCTTGATAGGCCCACATCTCTCATGGGAAGCTGTCATGCGTAAATATCCTAACCATGTTTCATTTGACGAATGTCGTACAATATTGTATATAATGACTTCTTAATGCAATCAATCATCTTCGCTCAATCTGCCTCTGGATCGCCTCCCTCCAGCTCTCTAGATCTCTTACTACGAGTCCTTCAACCTTCGCTTCGTCATCCCACTTCCTAAGCTGGCACATTTCCTGGCACCACGGCCCCGAACTGAATTCCTTCACCTCTTCGACGGACATGGGTCCACCTTGGTAGAATAGACTCTTCTTGCTCGCTTCTGAGAGTAAATCGTTATAAGACTCATCTACGGCGCACAAATAGCGCTTAGCTGCCACATGGGATTCCACAAGGCGAGCAACTTTGTCAGAAAAGCCTAGTGAGAGAAGAAGGCGAGCTCCTAAAGTCTCATGTCCAACACGACCAACGCTCTGTTTCGTCGGAGCATCTCCTAGGTTTTGGATAGGAAGACTTGATAAAGCAATCAGGTCTTCTGCTGGGGCAAATTGCCCAACATCATGAAGTAATGCAGCAACTTGGGTCGCCTCGTCCACGGATGGAGATGCCTCAGCGGCCAACGCAGCGCATTGCAAGGAATGCTGGAGCTGAGAGATGGGCTCGCCTATATAAGGAGTATAATCCGATGCTTCAAGAATAGAAATTATATAAGAGGTGACGGCCTCCGGCTCAAGAGTTGTAGGGATAGTCATTGTTTGGCGAAAAAGATTAACGGCGGATAATGAGGAAGAACTGGATTTTGGTGACCAGGATGTAGACGATTGGAGCGCATTAGATATACAGCATTCATGCACATATCATCTGTGGGTAAGCACTATATCGGCTATACGAAATACTGGAACATTCGCTCCATATCTCCACTCTCCTCCCCGACCTTTATGCATCGACACGTGGATAGATCGTCCACTCGGCATAATGCAGTCAGCACGTGGATAGATCGAATCCTGTTCAACAGATCTAACCCAGGACATGACTTGTAAGAGTGGACCGCCGTGAATCGTTTTTTATATGGATTTTTTAAGAGAACTTGAAGTACCATCTTGAGAGGGGGGCGAAATCTAAATGTGCATGGCTTTTACTCTATCAGGTAAATATGCCACATCACTATCTATAGAACTATAGAAACTAAGGATTAACAGAATACTTTTTCCAAGTGTTGACCAGGCTATTTACAAACTTGCTGTCTAGAAAGCCAATTGTCGGCCGGCATCAACGCTCAGCATCGGCGAACCAAATGCGTATCTCAAAGCTCCATCCTCATACGATTCTCCCTTCTTACGCATATGGGTGGCAGGCCATTCTTTCTTCCTGAGTTCATAGTAGTCTTGATGCAAATCACCTTCGCTGGCAAGATTGTATGTAGCATAGAGCGCTTTGCGATTCTCAGTACTGTGGTTAGGCCCACTGCGGTGAGCGAGGTATGAGGTGAAAATGAGCAATTGACCTTGTGAAAATATCAGAAGAGCCCAATAAACGAAGGACAATGACCATATGTGACTGAAGAATTGAACTTACCAGGCTCAAGTTCAACGGGTGTCCACTCATGAGAGTCCACCCACTCATCAGTGATGCAGTGGTCCTCGACTTTGAGAGGAATATCCATGTTATGGCTCGCATCAACAACCTCCAAACCTCCGTTGTTTAGGGTTGATTTGTCCACGGCAAGCAAGATGGTGAGGTGTTTCACATCTTTGATATGGTTGTAAGCCACAGCGTCAATATGCGGCGCAAATCCACCTGCCTCAGTTAGCAAAACTGTCTTCTTCCTCGCAAAAGCAGAAACACAAACCGCTTCCGGCGAGCTTGTAGTTAATCTTTTCCTTGAAAAGATGCATGGGTTCTCCCGAAAGCTCCTCTAAAAGTCCCAAGAGCTTTGTGCCGCGGAGCAGCCCGTTGAACCCCTCGTGGCTGTCGGCGTAGTTTTCTGTGCGGCAAAGAACCGTCTCTCCACGAGAATTTATTTCCTATTAATCGTTTTAAATAAGCCTCCGAAACATTGCATAAAAATAATATGAGATGCCATGGCAAAAGTACATATATCTTACCTCGTAGGGCATATATTGAGAGTCAGCAGTTGGCGTCCAGTCGTGGACCTCCTGTGCCCATCTCTGTACCTCAGCAGTCTCAGCATCGTTGAGAATATCTCGAACGATGAGATAGCCGTTTTCCTTGAAAAATGTGACCTGTTCAGCTGACAACATGGTGGTGATCTGATTAACTCTCGATTAACGATTTACGACAAGGGTAGCAGGACCTGTACAGAGCTAACCAGCTCTTTTGTAGCCTCCAACTTCTCCTCTCTCGTTTGCCCGTCCTCTTACATGAACAGTTTACATCGTCTATTCGGAAGTTTCCCGTCCAGCTAGCACTTCGCTTGCGGGAATACTCCCCCCTGCTGCCGTAGATCGTTCGTCCAGGATCCACGATGAGAAGCTTGTGAATTACGGACCGCCCCACCAAGTGGCTAGCATGCCGAAAGTGGCCAAACTGGACGGCTGCCGGCGCGCCTCCCGATGAATCAAGCGATACTCTCGGCGCACGTGGCTCCATTGCCGGCCGATCGGCACGAGGTACAGCTTCTTAACTTAATACAGCACGAATCGCGAGGCAGATGGCTAGAATCCTGATGGATGGAGAAGGTAGGATTGACAAATTTGTAGTCAGAAATGGCTTCTCACCAACCCTCGCACGTGGGAATCGGAAAAGCTGCGAGTGAACAAATGTCTCGCCAACGGAGCCCCTCAGCGGATGATACATGGACTTTTGTTCGTAATGATATTGGGTTTTAGTAATGGTATTGCTCGTTTACTATGGGTCTATCAGGAAGTACTGCTTATATGGCCTTTTGATATGTGTTGATCAGAAATTTCACCAATTATTTGCAGTTGCATCTATTCACGTGCATTGTCTGGGAGTATTAGGCGAGTAAGGTCCTCGGCGAACCAATCTTGCAACAATCTGCCACATATAAAGTTACATCGCATAAAAGTGGGAGTCTCCCAATTACAGGCGAGCGTTCTTTGAGACAAGGCACTGAGGGGAAACATAGCCCTTCCCACCCATCTTCTTTTATCCTCGCAGTTCAAATCGCAGAAAGCGGTAGACAAGCAGCAAGGATGGATCGCAAGAATGCTCTGGTTAATGAAGTGACTGTGTCGCCAACTCTTGAGCCCAGCAATGACACCAACAAAGATGTCGTCGATCAGCCAAGCAACATCTCGCGCATCAGCCGCATCTCGTCCATCTTCATGGTCCTCGTTGGTGGCTTGGCTTTGTTCTCAGACGGTTACAATGCCCAGGTCATCGGATACATGAATCCTCTCTTTAAAGAGTTGTATCCAGATGCATTCACTTCGACCATCAAGACCAGATTGTCCAACGCTTTTCTTATCGGCGAAGTGTTTGGCATGCTGTTCTTTGGCTGGGGAATCGACAAACTGGGACGCAGGACAGGCATCGTCTTTGCAACTTTGTTTTTAATCTTGGGTATCGTTCTTGCTACTGCGGCGCATGGCAAAACGCCAACCGGCATGTTCTGGATGATGATCGTTGGCCGTGGTGTTGCCGGATTCGGAGCTGGAGGTAAGTCTCGTTTCTCAAACTCATCACGAACGCAAAGATCGGCTACTGATAAACGTCGTGATAACAGGAGAATATCCCACATGCGGAACTGGCAGTGCCGAAGCTTCGGATGAGACCGCCTTTGTAAGGCGCCGTCGCGGCATGCTTGTCGCTGTCGCCACTGATTTCGCCATTGATCTAGGCTTCGTGATGGCCGGTGTCATCGTGCTGATTATCTTGGCAGCCTACCATCAGCATATTAACGATGGTGTGTGGCGTGTCTCTTTCGGGCTCGGCTTCGTTCTTCCCGTTGGCCTTTTGTTCTTCCGTCTTCGTTTGATCAACTCCTCGCAGTATCGGAAGCATGCTATGAAGACGCACATTCCTTACTGGCTGGTGATTAAGCGCTACTGGAAGCCAATGCTTGGAACGTCGCTGGCTTGGTTTTTCTACGATTTTGTTGTAAGTGAAGTCTCATCGCTTCGACCGTATGGAAAGAACACTCAATAACCTCTGTTAACCAGACTTATCCCTTTGGTATCTTTGGTTCCACCATCATCGGAACCTTGAACCCCAACAACACCCTCGTCCAAAACATTGGCTATGGCACTGTTCTGAACTGCTTTTACCTTCCCGGAACTCTCATTGGCGGCTTTCTCATGGACAGAATTGGACGCAAACAGACCATGGCACTTGGTTTCTTCCTATGGTCCATCCTTGGTTTCATCATTGGAGGTGCTCTCAACCCCATCACGAGTGTATTCCCACTCTTTGTCGTTTTGTATGGCATCTTCAACACCTTGGGAGAAATGGGTCCCGGTGTACGTTTAACTCATCCCCATGCCTTACATATAGCAGCCATGAGACTAACTTTCCCCAGGTCGGCACCTTTCTCTGCGGAGCTGAATCCTTCCCTACCCCAGTACGAGGCCACTTCCTGGGCCTTGCTGCTGCCGTTGGCAAAGCCGGTGCTGCGATTGGCACACAAGTTTTCACGCCCATCCAGAACTCTTTCTCCGATTCACAAAAGGGAGTTCAGGGAGTTTTCCTTATCGGAGCCGCATTTGCCATGGTTGGTTGCATTGTTACGTGGTTCCTGATTCCTGATAAGGAGAAGGATCTCGAAAGCGAAGACGCCCGATTCCGTGCTTACCTTGAGGAGAATGGATATGAGGGAACGTTTGGAGAATCTATGGATGACGAGATCAAAAGTACTGCTTTCCATATTTAGGGTGAATGGATTGCGGTAGGAGAACAAAATGGAGTCTTGATGAAATCCTAGTTAAACGAGATGATGTCATTAATTCTTATATAATATTTCTTGAATAGTATTAACATAGCGAGCAAAATACATCTCATATATTTACTGCTTTTCGTAAAAAGCATCCCAGCTCTGCTGCCTCCTCTCGAGATTAGTCCAGCGATTATACAGACTGTCGCTAAGCATTGCTGCAGATCAAGGAGCTTCTTTCCAAATCCTAATGGATATCCTCGATACAGAAGCAATACCAAGGATGCTAGTTAGCCATCATAAGGTAGTGTTTGGACGACATTATCGTGAGGAGTGATTGAAGTTGTTCGTTGAAATGTAGCGAAATTATGAATCCTTGAAAAGCCCTGTGCCATTTTTTACGCCTTGCTGGAGACATGAACAATCACCTTTCCACCGCTGGAGCCCTTTTTGAGATATGTAAAGGCTTCCACGGCCTCGTTAAACTCAAATGTTGAGTCAATGACAGTTTTGATCACACCTTCTGCTAACCACTTTGCGATTTGCGCCAGATCATCGCGGTCATTCTTTGTCATGTATAAGACGAATCGGTGTTTACCACCACCCAAGAACGAAGGAAGAAATTGTGCCGTTACGACGTTTTTGACACCGCTTAAGGATGCCGGACCACTCACCAGTACAAAAGCTCCTCCTGGCCTAAGGAAATGGCTCGCCTGGTTGTAAATGTCTGGAAAAGAAGAGCCGACATTATCGACAATATGGTCAAAGATTGTACCGCTCTCTTTCAGTTGCGTCACGATATCTCCGGCCTTGTAATCGATAATCGCATCAGCTCCCACTCGCTCACAGAGCTCCTTCTTCCCTGTAGAGCAAGAAACAGTGACATGGCATCCAAGAGCTTTTGCAATCTGGATACCGATGGTGCCCACACCTCCAGATCCGCCATTAATGAAGACTTTGGAGCCGGTTTGGACGTATGGCTTAATGGATTGATATGCTGTCAGGGCGGTTGTCGGCGCGCCAGCAGCGAGGTCTAGATCAAAATCTGGCGGCAACACTGCATAGTCGGCGCGATCGGCGATTATATATTGGGAGAGCGCACCAGGGCCCTTGGTAGGGTCCAGACGAACCAGCACGACATCTCCAGTTTTGGTGTCTGTAACATCATCTGCCACCGAGAGAACTCGGCCGCTGAGGTCCATGCCTGGCGTTCCGGGGATGGTCGTGATGGCTTTGGATACGAGGCCCAACTGCAGCATTTTGTAGTCCGCGGGATTAAGGCCTGCACTCGCAACTTCGACAAGAACTTGTCCTTTTCGAAGGGGCGCACTTGGCTGCGGTACATCGTCGACAAGCCTCAACGTCTCCTCAATAGGGCCAGGGGTGTCAAATCGCCACGCCTTCATGGTTTTGGACATGATGAGTGCAGAGCTTTTACAGGTAGTGGAATAAAATCGTGGCTAGAAAGCAATATGAAGAGGGAGAATTCTACAGGCAAGTTTTTATTCTCGGCTGAGGACGCAATAGACTTATACCCCAAGCTGAGAATGATGAAACTGCGTGAGCAAATTCCGCCAATAGCACCATACATTGCGGAGTTTAGTCATGAACGCGGACACAATTAACTAATTCGGAAGCCTCCACCTTCTTCATCCGTTGCCAAATTTTGGACAGATAGAGTTTTCCGCCGAATTCTGTAGTCGTTATTCACTAACTGGCGGATCCGCTTTTGTGCAAGATCCGGTCATTTCGGAGTAGTCCGAAGAGATAGGATATTGCCTCGGCTCAATTTTATGCCTAGGTACCAAATTTCGGGCTATTCTACAACAGCAGAAGGGATACATACCCCCGAGCAACCAATGCTGCTTCCTTGCAAAATGATCGATCTGAAGCAATGAACCGCTTTAGAATTACTTGTACAACAAAGGCTGATAAACAATTCTCAGATTCTCGGTAGCGAAAGAAGTTATTCTATGATACGGAGTAGAGCCCGCTTGATAGTTGGTTAAAATTTGATGGATAAACAGCTATAGTTTCAAGTACAGAAGATACGTGCCTAGAATATTTGATACAAAATTTCAAGCATCCATAGTCATGGCGAAGTAACATTAATTACCGGGGTAGCGCCTCGATCGCGAAATCTCACAAAAAGACAACGCTTCCAAAGTACATATGGTGGCAACCGATTTAGCCACGCATGGATGCTGAAAGTAATAATAATAGGCATGATGACTCCCTTGCTATGGCCAAAATAGAATATTGACTGAACTAATTGGTATTTTGAGATGCACTAAGAGGTACGACGCCCATTTATCGGGCTTTACAGGTTCCGCCGTTAGCATGGCTTCCCTTCGGTTCGATCGCCCGCTGCCGCGGCCGATCGGATCTAATCTAGGATTTTTAGTCATTTGATCCAGAGATTATGCATAGAATTTAATAAGATTAGCTCTTCCAGTTCAATAAACCATATAGGCTATTAAGAAGTAAAACCTCCAGTAAATGGTTCATACTGCAGCGATGCAGTTGAGAGGTGTGAACATGCATAGACAAACGAAGATAACAAAATCCGACCTATCGTTTACATCATCTTGGCTCAACTCTTATAAACGATATACTTATACAGAACCTCACGGTGGTCGAACCAATATCGTTCAACCCCACTCCATGATAAGCTAGAAGACACTGAGTTTTTTTCCAATTCACCAACATCATTTCTGAATATAGGATGTCATTTTCATGCATTTCCATTTCTCATAGATTGACATATTCATATGTACTGCATATATACTATAAACTATCGGTCATACAATAAGTAAGAATTGGCATATCCGGCTATTCAAATCATATTCCAGTTCGTCCATTCCCACGCTCATTTCTCATCATAAGCAGTTGTAAATATCCACGATAGCTCTCCAGAACAACATTAACCTCAGTTCAAGCATGGGCCCTTCATTCTGTTCATGGCTCGCAAATGTATGAATAGCAGACCAAGATGTTGCTCAAGCTACAAGCAGCACTGAAGGCGTTGCAGTCCTTGATGCTGTTATCACCAGGCCAACATTGGCCTTGCACGGTACCGTCTCCACCAGCAATGTAGAACAACCAAGTGCCATCGCCTTGGAGATAAAAGTTCATGTTTCCCACACCGCACATGCCGCTGAGCTCGAAATAGTTGGATCCAGTATTGTGAATGCCGTATCTTGGGGTTTGGCCAGAGATGACATGGCCAGCACGGTCTCCGTTGAGCATGCAGTTGCAATTATAGTAGTTGGAAGGGCAAGCAACGGCGTAGTCCTCGAGACTGCCACCCCATCCAGGGGCAATGGAGCATGGTCCTGTCAGGACGTGGAAATCGGCTGCGACATAGCTCGCAAAACCAAGAGTGGCAAGAAGTTGAGTGGTTGAGAATTTCATCTTGGAATTTAGGATCTGAAGAATTGAATTATGGGGGAATTAAAGATCCAACGGACGGTTTTGACTGGGTTGACTTTTCTTCTCTCAACTGTTGATTGCGGAGGGACGTAGACCTCTTTTATATATTTTTACAGCAACTCACGATGAGATCCTCGGCATAATGATCCTCCTGAGGGCTTGATTCTCTCATCTACCCCCTCATCACCATCTCGTCATAGCCAACAGATAAATGGAGTTGAAGTTGGGTAAATAGTTCGCCTAGATTGTTTCATTCTACCTTCTAATTATGGAAAGACTCTATCCCAGACAGAGTGGTCAGACAGACCGTCAGCTCAGCCAATATCTGCAGTCCATCATGATCAAAGCCCAACTCCATTCAGCCGGTTGGCGCAAAAACAGCCCAACAATCAGATAATACTACGTCAGAGGAAAAAGATACCATGTCTCTCGGCGTTTCCATTTACATAATGACAGATCCCCAAAACCTGAATATCTCACCGCAATCCATGCCAAGAGCGTCGATCGTCTAGAAGTTGTGAACTGCGTCCTTAAGTGGATGGATGCTAGACTGGGGTATAGTCCTATATATCCCTGAATAGGTATGCTGTTAGATGAACAGTAGTTATAAAAGGGTTGGACCTGCCTATCTAGGGGCTAGCATGGTGTGATCCGCGCATAATATTGGAATTCATGGAGCAATATACCAGATTGAGTGCCATCAAGGATAGACATAAAGGGTGTGAGATAAACGGCAACCCTTATCCCTTTCTGTCAGGGATTGCAGTTTCCTCTAGTGGTACTATAGAGACAATGGAGCAACTCGTTTTGGAACTGAGCGATTAAATTGTATGAGGAAACAAGGAATAAACTCAGCAGAAATGAGTTGGCTGAATCTTACCACAACCCTGCTTGGTAAAGGGACTAGTTAGTAGTTTTTCATTATTGCTTTGTAGACGATTTGAGGCTATAAATGACTGGAAATAGAATCCATCACTATTGGTTGTCAACCATGGACATTTTTAACCAAACTAGTGTTGATCATGTCCTGAAAATGTTCTCTTGCAGCTTCTGTTTCTGTACACCGGTTATTATGCTTATATTAGGCGTTTGTTCAGCATTGTGGAGCGACTATTCCGAAAGTGTTAACAGACACATGCCTGTAAGCAGGTGTAGTAATCTTCATAGACAGTGAGGCTGATTCCAGATTAATAAACACGCTTTTACGTTATACGAAAGCGAAGAGGGAAGTCCTTGTATCACTTTAGATAAGGATCCCCCCCAGGGGTTATGCTAAATACTGACCATTGTGCAATTTACCCGTTAAGTTCCACATTGGTAGTAGTACCACTCACGCCAATAGATATACAAGAGGCTTACAAATTTGTGAAAGCAGATCGAATCCAATATGCTATTTAGAACAGAACTTAGGTGGCAAGCATGATACTGCGTACTGGTGCTTGAATAGCGAAGTTGGCTATTTTAGATTGAGTTTTCGGCTGTTGTATCTCGAAGCGTTGGCGGAAATATAACAGTGCATAGAGAGCATCCCTCCCCGCAAGTCCTATCCCGGTACCTCGCTTTTCCAAGTTCTATCTTGCAGTAAACAACATATACAAGCAATCCTAGCCTGTAGGAACATTTGAAACCACGGATGGAACATATTCGCAGCTGAGCTCCCCAACAAGGTGTATAACACATACGTAATCTGACCGCCAAGCAGCTAAGATGTATGCTAGACGCAGTTGGTGGAACATATCTTCTTGGCGCACAGTCATAGGTTTGAGATTTCACCGTCTTAGGCAAGTAAAAGATGGCTTTGGGTATCAGATTCTTCTTTACAAAAGCTTCACCTTGAAACCGCCACAACAAACTAGTCCAACCGCTTAAAGATGCTTGACAAAGAAATCGGCGGCCTGCTTATAGCCTCGCTCAAACTCCTTGACATTCTCCTCGTTCTTCAGGTCAGATCTGGCGCCCATCCATCCGTGGTGCATAGTCTCATAAGTGGTAACATCAATCTTGTCGCCCATAATCTCCTTGTACAGAGCAACTTTGTCGGCAGGCTCATCCTTGGAGGCCAGCAGGATGTGAGGAGCCGTCTGGACCTTGGCGTCGTTCTCATCCAGGAGACTGCCCAATACAAGCCCGGTCAGTAAAAGGAAAAGGTCACGTCCTTCACAGGAAATTTTCTCAAAAAAACTCACCCAGGATGAGCGGTTCCGCTGGCCTCGAATCGTCGGCCAACACCCTCGTTGCCCTCTCCGCAAGCCAAAACAGCCAGCTTGCCACCCCAGCAGAGGCCGAAAAGACCCCAGTTGCCCTCTACGGCCGGAAACTTTTCCGTCAGCGCCTTGCGGAGAACCAGCAGCTTCTCGAGGTTGGCCTGAGGGTTGCCAGTAGAGCCGAAAAAGGCATTCACCGTCTTCTGCTTCTCCTCCGTGTCCATGGGGATGGAGTTGATGTCCAGGCCTGGGCCATCGAAGAAATCGGGCACCAGGACGAGGAATCCTGTGTGAGCGGAGAGACGATCAGCGCCCTGGATGGTCTGAGGCCAGATGCCGAAGATGTCGTAGATGTCGACAATTCCCTTGGTGGCATTCTCAGGTCCCACAATGTCTAGGTGTCATGTATCAGGAATTCCGCCCTTCTGCTGTTGATTTTCATCAGAGATGGCTCATCTTACAGGTGTTGATGCCGGCAATCTTCTCGTATTTGCCCTTGGGGGTGTAGTCAACAGTGACCGGAGCCAACTTGCAGCACGCCTCGCTAGCCATGGTGTCTAATTTGTGAGTAGGTGAAAGAGAAGAGGAAGAAGTGACTGTATCAAGAGTCTGAAGTTTGTCGAGTTGTTGACAGACATAGTGGGCTTCACTATCTACGGCTTTATATAATTGCACCTCTTTCTCCTCTGAGTGGGGCTTACGGACAAATTTCACATTTGGACAAAGCACAGTAGCTTCGTAGTTGCAAAATAGGATCTTCAAACCCGCCAACGGGAAAGCGAGTCTTGGGATTGGCGGTTAGAGGGCTCCATATCGAGCATCGAATCTCGCCGCCGTCGGCGCCGATCCGGCAAACCGATTTGAGTGGTAAAAATTGAAGATGAGGTAAATCTCCGAGAGGGGCACAAAGACCGAGTCGTGCAATTTATGGGTAGATTATCGCATACGAGTATTTATTGTAGAATTTTGATCGCATCGGGTAAGCTACATGCAAGGAGCAGTATATTATCCAGCCAGCCCAGTTTTGGTGTTTACTTGGCATGACGAGCTTTCGGCAACCAACACTCTCAAACCAGCAGATTACATATACCAGCGTTCTTTTTTTCTTCAAGGCGGGGTCATGAATGCGTTGCAATCATTCTTTTACTCACCCCGCTCTTAGCGCACAGTTATTGATATTCGTGTCCGAAGAGAGAAAAGCAGCGCATGGCATCCTCAATTAGTACCTTCTCATGTATACCCGTAAATTCGAAATAGTTCTCCGTGTTCCTCCATAAATTCCATGTAATCTTAAATCCGTGCTATCTCCGTGTAAATGGCTTCTTCTCCTTTAGACGGACGGACGGTCGTTTGTGACATAGACGGACACCGGATTTGAGCCAGATTCGGCTTAGACGACCCAGTATGAGAAGTGCTTGAAGACTTAAAGTCTACACTTCTCTCGTGCCTCTGTTTGTTTGTTGAAATGAATAATGTCGCTCATCTTTACGGTTACACGTAGACATCATAGGTACATGTAGCCAGCACCATGGCCTGTATCTACCCGGGACCGTATGGTCAACCATCATGGCATCGTCACATCTCTTACGTCATGTATTCTCATAGTAACATAACTCCCAGTAATGAGAGTTGCCATGAATAGCATTCATATACATCTTTTCTTCTTCTATCACCAACATCTTGTTTGATACATATGTAATCCCCATCACCAATTGTAATGCATCTCCAGAATGACGGACCAGCACTGGAAAACGCAGCCACCTTACCGAGAACCTGGCCCGGAATTTAACAAGGCGATGCAAGGTGCTTGTCATTGCGGTCGAGTAAAGTACTGGCTCAGCAAAGATAGTCCTCTAGCCTCCAAATACTGTCACTGCGATGATTGTAAAGTAATCCATGGTAAAGCATTCCCTCAATATAGCCTCTGTCAAATCATATCCTCAAACAGACTCATATCAAAGTCTAGGCGCCCCTTTCCAATGGGCAGCGATATTCCAAAAGTCAGATATGGCATTCCAAAACGGTACTGAGAGCCTGCGCTTTTACAACTCCGGTTCTCAGTCACAAGATCATGAGCTACCCTGCAAAGTAAGCTGCGCTTATTGCGGCAGCTTCATCATGGACGAAGGACGGAACATGGTTCTGCTATTTCCGACGCTTTTGTCATTCCAGAGCGAGACGCAGAAGAAGAATTTTGCTGTCCAGTACGTTATCTCCGGAGACCCAGGTTTAGATATGGTTATTGACGGCACATGCATGTGTCACCTCTTTTATCCGCATAGGGTCGTCGATTTGCCGGATGGGAAGCCGAAATGGGCAGGGTTGGATAGCAAGAGCGACTTGGTAGATGAAATCTGACCGCAAAAGAAAAAGAAAAAAAAAAAAAAAGCTCATGAAGATCCCTTTGTCCGGCATCATGGCTCGCATTCGCCATTCCTTCAAAGATCGAATCTCTGTAGTCCGCAGCCGTCAGGACAAAACACGTGCACAATTCAGGATCCAGATGTTCACAAATTCTTCTATTCCCGGTCCTCATGCATGGATGATATGTACACGGCGTTCCATCGTCCTCGCAGCACCCTAGTTGCTTCGTGCGCCTTCTTTTGACTCCCGCAGCTCGTTCATCTTGGCTACTCGCTTCTTGAACTCGACGTACTGGCATTTCTCGTAGCTGTGTCGCTCGTCCTAGCATCCCCGTCCGGAATCAGTTAGCAAAGCTGTCCTCTTGCTTCCAGCGTCCTCCCCTCCCCACGCTGTGTCTCCTCCGACTCCGGGATGGATGAAAACGTACCGAGCACTTCCACGGAGCGTACCAGGTCTCTCTCCGGCACTTGTTCAGGGGAATCAGGAGGTGGGCGCAGCTGTCTCTGTAGGCGAGAGGGAGACGGGCATCGCGCATCTCCTCGCGGGTCGCCTCTGCGGTTGGGTCAGCGGTTGCGGATCAAGGATTGAGGGCTCTTCAGGGTGAGTGAGAGCATGTGCACTTACGCCGCCCCTCAGTAGCTGCGTCGGAAGCCATTTTTGCGGTTCAATTGGCCTTCGATGATGTCGTGGGATGAGGCATTCGAATGCCGCAAAGGTCCTGTTCGGGTGAAGGTCGGCCGTCAGAGGAGCTGGTTTGCGGCCCGAAATGTGAGGCAGCCACTTTTTGAAGGTACCTTAGCGCAGGTACCGCTCTGGCCCTGGATCAATCATGATGAAATTGTAAGAGTAGTCAATATTCACAGTAAACAACAACCATTGAATGCTCGTTGTCTCGCTCCTTTTCGATCGAATCTCCTGATGACTCCCAAAATGTCATCTCCTGTCATCCTGTTTAGGCACCAGCTGCATGCTATGATTCTTCACAGTCCATGTCAAGATGCTGCTGATTTGGTGCAGCGCTGAACTTGTCATGTATCACCATACACAAACAAGAAGCACTTCAGACATGATCGACCAGCCCAAATCTGAAACCTGCGTAAGACATGAAATACACTTTCACCATCTCCAATCCCAACTCGCGACCCGCGACATTCCCAAACGCGCATCTCGCGTCCGTCGCGCTCCAAACTAGGCCGTCCAGCAGCAAATGATTGGCTCCCAGCCTTCCGCCACGGCACCGTGAATCTCATTACTGCCCAAAGCCTCACTTTGTTCACGACACAGCGACCAGCCACCACTAAAGCACTGCAGAATCATAAAAGTATGCGTCATCTGCTTATAGTTCATGCAAGTCAGCAGTTTTCGCGACGCGGCACCACGAGATGATGGCCAGTAGATGCTCGTTGTCTGTGCGACAAGCGCGTCGTCGTGGATCGTCAGGCTGTTGGGCTGAGATGAAGATTCTGCGTGCTCCATAGTGCGTAGGTTCTATATAAGTAGAGAGGCTAGAATCCTCGAATGTGTACTTTTTTCTTTGTCTCCAATCTTGTTTCTGTATAACTCTCTCTCTCTCTTTTGGTCTTTGAATCTTGCTCAAACTTTTTGTTATCGACTTTGCTTTCTCTCATTTGAATCGACATCCGTCTACTACACGGGTTTAATACATACACGACTACAATTACCTATTTGTGATTCACTCTTTACATCCAACGACCTGCTTCAGCATATTGTATCACCACGGCGCACTTCTTTCATTTCAACTTCGTACAAATAATTATACACACTTAATAACTCAACCACTTCACCATGGCATCTCATCCCGACGACATCATCGCCTGGCTCGTCCCAACCACACATTATTCTTGGGCCGACAAATCCACCCAACTCCCCGAAAACGCCTCTCGTATCATCTCATCTCCGAAATCACACCCGTTTCTCTCATCTCGCCTCTCCAACCTCACAAACCATGCTCCCGGGCGAGCCATCCAACTCACATTCTCACAACCTCCTAAACGACCAGGCAGCTTCATCCTCGGCACGGATCCGAGGACCTGCGATATTATTCTACCCAGCGTCGAGGGTATCTCGAAACAACACTGCGCAATCAGCTTCGACGCACAGTCCAGACTGGTGCTGAGCGACTTTTCAGAAAGGGGAACGCAGGTGTGGTACGACTGGGAAAGCAACGGCGACAAAACCGATTACTCGTGGATTCTCAGCAGCGGGTGCTCTGACGAGTTCCCCAGTATGGTGCAGCGCATCACGGTTGACATCCAAGGAGTGCGGTTTCAAATCGTCGTAAACAATCATTCAGATTGGAACACCTTCAGAGAACAGGTCGACAGATTCTGTGAACAGCCTAGCTGGGAAGATGCCTTCCCCTGGGTTGATACCTCCTCATTACTACTGTCGTCTGCCACGACTCCTTTCCAGCATGTTGTTGTAAAGAACACAACAAGCGAACCGATCGGAGAGGTGTATCTCTGGAACTTGGCACGACCATGGGAGCCGATGGTAAAGGCATCAGCATAGGATGCCAGGCGTATTCACGCAGCACATCGGCTTGGCAGCTGTACAGAGTACTCTGCATTTTGGAATTATAAGATAGCTGAAAGGGCTGCTGCAATTGAATGACAGAGACAGCCCATCCTTAGCAATGCAATAAATTTTTGACTCAATTCTCGAATGTGCAACGCTCATAAATATTGTGATAAGTCGACCCCCATCCAAAGAGGGTATTATAGTAAACTCCGAAAGCATGTTTCCCCCGGTTGTATGATTTGCCTCTACCATCACTTGATGTCCTCCATTGATGCAAAAATTCCCATTTTATGCTGTAGCCGCTTCTGCCTCAGCTGATTGCGCCTCGGCGGGTTTCTCCTCCTCATCCATGAAACGTGTCATGGCAAACTCTGGTGCTCTTCTTCGCTGGATCTTGCGCGCTCCCTTGGTTCCTTTTCTCAAAGCGGCTGTAGCAGCCTCCTCCTTGACAAGTGCCTTTTCCGCCTCCCTGTCCAGCATGGTTCCCTCTAGACTGAGGTAGCTCGTCTCGCCGCTGACACCGACATCGAAGTTGCGAATACGGAAACGAATCTTGCCCTTAACCTTCTTTCCATTGGCGTCAACCCAGAAGCCCGTGCTGTGAATCTGGCGCACGACTCCGTGGTCGTCAGCGGTAATCACCGATGCAGTCTCCTCCATACCATGGGCCTCGGGGTCCTCGTTAGAGACCCACTTCCAGGCAGATGGTAGACGTCGAGCCTCAATGGAAGCGTTGAATTGACCGAAGCAAACGACACCAATATGGCCTTCAGTCTGCAGGTTGATGCTGCCTTCCATCCACGCACCACGGCTGGGGACAAACAGGTCGACTTCTGCGGTAATCCAGCCAAAACCAACGGCGTACTCGTTGACTGATTTCAGGATGCTGGGATCATCATCTGAAGCCGCGGCACCCTTGCGCCCGGGATTCTCACCCAGAGCGACGTTCTTGTAGTTCATCAACACACCCCGCAAAGACGGAACGTATTTGTTTTTGAGGTGTTGTAGATGTTGGTACTCGGCATTCGTTACTGGTTGCGACCAGCCGATGGGGTATATGGGCTCGTAGAGAGACACAGTCTGGCTATAGAAGGGATACTGAGGGTTTGCAGGGATGTCGGGCGGTTGGTAAACTCCTGAGGATGTCTCTTGGATGGGTTGATCGACGTTCATGGAATCGGCATTGGCATCGACAGCTTCAGGAATGTCATTGCTTTCTTCGGCATCCTCGTCGGCGTGCTTCTTGGACTTCTTCTTCTTCTTCGGCTTCTCTTCACCAGCATCCTCAGCCTCGTGATCCTCTTCCTTGTGCTTCTTCTTGTGCTCCTTCTTCTTCTTCTTGTGCGCTACTTCGGAATCGCTATGGTCCAGCAGTTGTGAAGCCTCGACATCCTCATCTTGGTTTTCTTCGACGGATGCGCTCTTGGATTTCTTGTGCTTGCGGCTGCTGCCAGTTACTGCTTCCTCTTCCCTGTCTCGCTTCTTTTCTGACTTGGATGCCTTGTCTTTCTTGTGCTTCTTTTCGGACTTTGGAATTGCCGGCTCGGGCGACGCAATTGAGGCAGACATTTTGTCGCAAATCTTCCAGCCAATGCTCGCAGGTGGGTTGAATCAAGCTTGTCTTGTCTGCTAGGGAAATTTTTTTTCCAAAAGAGCTGCCGTGGCTTATCTTATCGATTATCGCACTCTTGGTGGGGCGATCTCTGCACGCACATGAACTTGTGGCTTGAGATTCTCAATTCTCACTGCAATTAATTCACTGATCTGCCTCTTTCGCCATTGCGCTCGAAGCTCTTTCAAGATCTGCTGGTGAATATTTCGCCTTCTTTAATTTTTATTCGCTGTAAGACAAATCACTTCGTTATGGGCCGTGGAAAGATTTGCGTTAGAAAATTAGGTACTCTTTCTTCTACGCACATTTCGGCAGAGCAATGCCTGACAACGGCTATAGCTAGAGTGCATCATCCATGTAATTTAGCAAGCTTGCCAAAACCAAACAAAAATATAGTCAAAAAGAGGCTCATCATCAATGAAGCTGCGATCTGGTAATCTCATATGAGCGGTTCAGTTTGGGCAACATAATGCGACGCTACCCTCGAGTACCCGATTTCCATTTCTGGGTCGAATTGCAAGTAACGATTGAAGCGTCTGCATGTCTGATATACAGCTTCAGGTAGCCTTTCGATGCCCTTGAATGAAAGAACTTTAACCATATCATGCATGTTCTACGGATATTTTGGTGCTAATGCAGCCATGCTTCTGGTTGACAAGCGGGTCTGGAGTCGCTCGGGTCACTCAATCTGCCCGGCGTTTATTGAAATAGAGAGAATCCACCTCGAAAATGGCCAACATATTCTGTGGACGAAGGACTTGTACGAATACGTAACGGGGAGCCCCTCTCGACGACTAATCCAGAAGACTGAGGCATTATCGAATGTCGCTGTATGGATCGACACCTGTTCAAGGACCCTCTCAAAGTCCCATTTCTCGAGTCATTTTGCAAGGAGAATGGCCCATTTACTAGTGCTCATATATACTTGTAGTATACGACCCAAGAACCCTGACTCTTTGTTGGCCAATCGCAAGGGCAGCTTCGCCAGCAGAATTTTCGTGAAAGGCAACATGAAGACACTCAGCAAGGCATCCTCAAGGCATCCTCATGCCCGCTTACGCCATCCTCAGAATGATGGACGGCAAGGGCCAGGAACCATGTCTTGATACCCCGATTCTCTGTACACGTATATATGCATGTCGATACTATTAGAGATGCGACTCTGAACAAATCACGAACCACATTCGGCTCTCCGCACTCGCTGAAAATTTTCTACTAGCTAGTCAGCGCTTGTCATGCATCTCCCTTGTTGCAGAGTCTTGGCATCGTCGACAGAGCACCACCTCTCGGGTTTTGTCCTGGTGGAAATTGCTCGGAGAGCACGTTTACGATCCAAATAGCTTGCGTACGAGCAGTTAGAACCGGCTAAAGGTCCGAACACGGTATCGAAACGGGCAAAAATCCATGGCCATGTGGCCCCCCGATCCACCTTGGCCATCATGCACTTTATCAATCAGTCCCCATATCAAACAATCAATCAGATAAGATCCCTGCCTGTATTTGCTGCTCTTCTTTAAAGCCTCGAGTGTCGCCCTCCATGGGACTGCTGCAGGCGCCCTGTTTAGTTCGTTCGCTCCAGCCACTTCAATCAGGTCATACTATTTGCGTACTCTGTAAGGAGAAGAGTGTTGTGCATCATGGGTGACGAAGAAAAGCACCCCGCCGACGTTGGTGTGTCGGTTGGCGAGGAGTCGGACTCTGCGTCTGAGCGGCAGCGGAGTACCAACATCCCGACGAGCATGAAGATTCTTTCTGTCATTCTCGTCAGTTTGGTTGGCTTTGGCTCTCACTGGAGCAGCGGAGTGACGGGAGCCATGAAGAGCACTCTGAAAAAGGTTGGCTCTCTTGCTTACACTTGATGCGGGATTACCATTAACACAATGATAGGAGCTGCATATCAACAACGCCCAGTATGCAACGCTGGATGCGAGCGAGAACTTCATCAAGACAGCCCTGATCCTTGTCAGTGGCGTTGTTACAGATCGAATTGGTGGTGCAAGTACGTGTAAACTCACTGTGTTCTCTGTAGGAATGTGGAATTAATAATCTTGAACCTCCAGGAGCAATGCTTTGGGGCAACGCCATCTACAGCGTCGGAGCCATTCTCATTGCAGCGGCCACCCAGGTCCGCAATTTCAAGTTCATGATCTTTGGAAGTGTTATTCAGGCACTTGGCGATGTCGCTACGCAGTGCGCTCAGTACAAGGTCTTCTCATCCTGGTTCGCCCCCTCAAACGGATTTGCTTCAACTCTTGGCTTTGAGCTGGGCCTTGGCAAAATCGGCAGCTTCGTCGGCCAGGCATCTGCCAACGTCATCGCAAAGAACACTGGAAATTTCAGCTGGGTGTACTGGTGTGCCGTCTTCATTAACCTCTTCACGAACGTGGTTACGGTCTTCTTCTACATCTTTACTAATTACTGCGAGCGACGGTATGCCGGCACCAACGATCCGGCAACCGGCGAAAGGTTGACGGAGAAGAACAAAAAGTTCGAAATCACCAAGATGCTGCGGCTCCCTTGGCCATTTTGGCTCGTTGCCTTGTTTTCTCTCTTCCAGACGTCCGTTGCCAGCGTCTTCTCCTCCAATGCGACTGAGCTTGCTCAGAAGCGATTCAACATCTCAGCCGTCACTGCAGGCTGGTATTCGGCCATGTCCCAGTACCTTGGGTTTTTCTTGGTGCCTATTTTGGGCATCTTCATTGATATACTAGGTCAGCGGAACACTATCATGTTGGTCTGCGGTCTTGGTATGCTACTTTCTATGTGTCTTGCCGCTTTTGGCCCTACCATTGGAGGAACCGCAGCCAGTTTCGGCATCTATGCGTTTGCAGCTTCACTCGGCCCTACGGTCATTATTGACAGCATCCGCACCAGTATGTGGTATCAGGAGGTTTTCGGGTCTGGCTATGCTATCAAAATTGCTATCAACAACAGCATGACAATCATCATCGGTATCGTGGCAGGCGTTATCCAAGACCGCGACAATGACAGCTACAACCATGTCATCATCCTCTACGTCGTCCTCGCAGCAGGCGCTGTCGTAGTAGGCGCGATAATGGTTGGCCTTAGCTTTTTCAATCCTACAATAGGCAGGCTACAGTGGACACGAAAGCAGAGAATCATCAGAGGTGAAAAGATTAATGCCCTCAAGGAGGACTTTGAAGAAGGAAGAAACCGAGAGTTTCAGAAGAAGTTTAGCATAGCCTGCTTCACTGCTACAATAGTTCTATTATTGGGAGCATGGGCAACGTACTTTTGGGGAGTGGCTACAGGCCACAACAACTAGATTATGAATAATGAGAATTTCTTAGACTTGTAGAAAGCAATAATATTAGACATCATTTATTTAATCTTTCTTTTAGAGTGCCAGTATTGGAATTCTTTTCTTTTATGGAGATGAACGTAATAGTCTATAAGTTCCGTATTCTATTATTAGTATTATAATTACTCCTCTCAATCTAAATGTTAATGCTGTCAGACATCTCTTCAAGTGGAAGTGCCCAGTTGTCTATAATACACTCTTGGAATTTACACGATTCTGTTAATTGAACCAGTGGCAACACCCTAACTCTTTGAGCATGATGATGCTTACTTTTTCTGCATCCGGGCCTGCTTCCTCCAGCCAGCAGCAAACCTCCACTGAATAGCCGGTCCCAGAAGCGCAACAAACTGAACAATGGCGCAAATGGTAAATGCCAGTCCGACACCAATGCCATTCACCATTGGCATCACAATGCTGGTGCCGCCGGCAGCAAAGAGACACCTGGCGAGATTCAGGCTGGCGCTGGCCGCAGCGCTTCGGTCTGAAAAGATGTCGACGAGATACGTCATGATGGTAGACTGTGTCGAGACGGCAGTCCAACCTGTGATGAATGTGGATATGATGGGAACAGCAATGTGGACGCGATGAGGATATTGAATGGTCCAGCCGAATAAAAGTATGGACAGACATTGGATGATGGAGAAGATAGGGATCAGACGAAGGCGTGCCTTTTCAATGGGAAAATCTTCCTCCGATTGGGTGGCAGATCGAGTAACTTCACTGCCGTTTTCATGATCCGTCTGGGCCATTTGAGCATCATAGGCAGCCTTGACTTTTTTATAATCCTTGTCGAGGATTTTGCCTGTGATGAGTGTTCCTATCATGGAGCCCACTCCGTTGGCAATGAATGTCAGGCCGATTTGTGTCTCTTTCAAGTTGTACTTTTGCTCAAAGAGAGTCGACATGGCAGTGATGCTCATTTGCCATACGGCGTAGTATATGGACAAGAAGACAATAATAGGAGTCGCATGCTTGCTGATGAGGATGCGGAACGGACCGAAAATGTCGATGCGCTTCTTCTTGTCCGGCTCCGCGGCTGAGATCTCACGGTTCCATTTGATCTTTGAGAGTCTCTGGTATATGCTGAGAGGATATCTGCCGATAAGCGACGATGGAGTTCGGCTACCGTTTGCGACAATGGATCGTAATGTTTCTGGCAGAAAGGCGATGAGGAATAACAAAAAACCACCGCCATATGCCGTCAAAAACCAAAATATGGCCCTCCATCCTAGCGATCCAGCAATAGCACCTCCGATTACAGGACCAATGGCAACAGGAACCAGCAGGCCGGCCTGGAAGATGCCCATGAGACTTCCACGGTTCGCTCGGGTGGTGATATCTCCAATGACACCAGAGCCAATGGCGATTGTACTCGCGCTCCCCGTGCTCTGGAGACATCGAAGGACAATCAAGGTGGCATAGTTCTTGGTCTCGGCAAGTCCAATACACGCGCCGACGAAGACGAGAAAGGTGCAGCAGTATGCGACTCGGCGTCCTTTGACATCAGATACGGGGCCCCACAAGCTGGGAGCAATTCCTTGAAAGATGAGATACGAAGTGACTGTGAGATTGACGAGCTCGACGGAGACATTGAGGTCTTTGGCGATGGTTGGGAGCGCAGGGAAGTAAATGTTGGACGCGAATCCAGAGACTGTAATACGGAAACTATTAGTCACATGAGAGAGGCTAACAGTATGAGTTCTAGTAGATTCTGAGTAGTTTACTTACATGTTGCTGCTGTGGAGACTATAATCACGATGAACGCCCTTTGCCGATTGTCGAATATACTGTAAGGCTCGTTTGTCTCCGAGGCGGGTGGCGGTGTTTCTACCGTGGGAGAAGGATTTTCAACATCTTGATCATTGTCTGGTTTTGACGACATCTTATGTAATTCTTATCTGTATTGTATTGGTTTAGCGATGCCTATAACATATTCGGATTGCCCAAAGGATTTTAATCGTTCTATATACCCTCTACAGGGGTAAGTACAAGAACGGGCCTCGGAGCTCAGGATTGGTACGTCGGAGTTGAGCGTGGAGCAACCGGAGTTGAGAGAAACTCTGTCTCAAGCCGTCCAATCACAGCCCACTTGACATCCTTATTGGAGCATGGTTGAATAGCATTCAACAGCCCGAGTTCCGGATATCTCCGGAGCTGAAATGCCTTCTCTCCAGAATCAACTGACAGAGCCTTGTTTCAGGAGCAACAACGGAACAGACCCAAAATAAAACAGGATGATTGCTTATATTCCCAATTCCGCTTGCTTCAGAGCACATCCATTTGTCCATCCAGCAAAATGTCTCCCGCGCAAACCAACGGCTCCCCCCTGAGCTTCGGCAAACGATATGCCGTCCTGAACCTGGATTTCATGAACATCCTCTTCGACATTGTCAAGGACACGCCCGAGGGAAGCCAGTTCGTGACCAATTGCTCTCGTTGGGTCAATGCAGTGCATAAGCGCGATCCTCGACCCCCGACCATCTTTACGAGCCTGTACTTTACAAACCCTTCTCAGGCCGAGCTTCCGAGTGAAGCCCCTTTTACCAAGCTGGTCCAGGGGTTTGCTACCTTTGACGAGCATAGTCCTTCTGTCAAGGTCCCTGAGTACCTAAGTATCGATGGTGAGGATATCATCCTTCAGAAAGTACGATGGTATGGGGGCGCGGGCAATGATCTGGAAGATATCCTCAAGAATAATAACATCGACACTGTCATCATTGTAAGTTAAACCCTTAAAGCAGAGTTTTTTTTTTTTTTTTTTTTTTTTTTTTACATCGCATTGTTGCAACTAACTTTGCTCCAAATCAGTCTGGCCTTAGTCTTTCGGGTGTCGTAATGAGCACTGTCTATCGACTGTTTGATTTGGATTACAACATCTATGTGATTTCGGATAACGTGTTGGAATTGCCGGTATCACAACATGAGCAATTCTCTTCTGTGCTTTTGGATTCACTCATGCCAAAAATGAATCTCAAGGTCATTACACTCAAAGAAGCACTGCAGGCTCTAGAGCATTCTTAATTGTAGAGTTGGCTTAATAGTAGTGATGGGATAGATGAATGATTTATAGATTATGATTAATTAGAGGGCAACTAAAACGTGCCGCAATATTTCAATTCACCCTCCGTGTGTGCAGCTTGTGACCGCGTAGAGCATGGTGCCAAATTCGTCCAGATCCTCCAGCCAACTGTCTACTCTCCGGCGTCTCTTTGCAACGATTGATTCATCCAAACCTTCAGGGATAGGCCAGAGCTCATTGATCCGGAGGCTTCCCTCATCCCATGCCGCAAGATGTATATTGTATGCCGTCTCCCAGTCACGCCGTGTCTGGGCAAACCACAGTGTTTTGTTTGCCACTGCAGGCAACCCTTCTAATTCTATTCCAAGAAACGTCGGCAGCCCATCTTCTGACGAGAGAACGCTGTCGAAGAGGTACATGGTGAAAAGCGTCCGCCGTGAAGCCTCGGCAATGATCCAGCTTTCCCACTTGGGGCGCGTGTGCTGCTGCTCTGACAGGCACATGAGCCCCTGGCGAGCTGTCACGCACGCAAACTCTTGGAGATTCATCATGGCCTGACGCAGAAAAGGGTTGAGGCCTTGACTCAGCCTGAAGAATAAGACCATGGTGTACATGAGAAAGGCCTGGAAGGCGCTGAGCAGCGCTAGATGGTCATACGTATCGCGCTGTTCATAGAGATTGTTCATCTCCCTCTGCACAATCTCAGCAGTGGCATTCTCGCTACCCGGCAGCGGCTTGTCGCATATCCGGACGATACTTAGGCAACTAGAGAGCTGCGGATTAGGGCTCACAGCGGTTAATTGTGAGGTGTGCACAAACGGCGGGAATCCGCGGCCATGAACGGCCATGCCAGTGTAGGACTTTAAGAGCCGGTAGATAAACGCGGCCACGGTGGGCGGGTAGTTTTTGACGCTCTGGCCGGGGATCGGAATGTACGCGTTCAGCCATCGGTTGCTGATTTCCTCCGGGTTGATGGGGCAGATAAGATCGAGGTTGGAAAAATCGAAAAACTCCGGCTGCAGCGCTGGAACCGAGGCTGGAGGATCGAGCGACTGCGTGACTGGCCACTCAGCCCTCGCTGCGGCTGCTGGTGCTGAGAAGCTGATGGGGCTGTTGTCCGCGAAGCCAGTGTGAGCTGACGGCGTCGCTGGATCTTGAGTGCCCTGTGGCGACAGTTCGTCGCGCTCAGGGCTCGGAAGAGAGCCGCCAGATGCGCGGGAGAAGCTGGGCAGAGGGCTGGGATCACTGCTGTCGACGAAGACGGGGATGTGAGTTTGGCTATGAGGCTGTGATGTCTGTCTCTGTGGTTTTGATGCTGTACTTGAGGTTGACGGGAGATTAGAGGTGGAATGTGGATAAAGACAGGCGAGGCCACGCTGAGCACATCTTGAGCAGCATCTCTCCTTGCGGTCACACCGTGCTTTGGCGACGGAGCATTGTTGGCAGGCCTTTTGTCGAGAGGTGGCGTACCGTGTGGTTTTCATGACTTTGGCCGGCTGGACTGGATAAGACTGCATATGTACTAAGAGAGGCACCGTCGAGATGGAGGCATTAGGTAATGTCGTGATGATTATTAATCAAGAAAGAGATGCTAGAACGAGTGAAGAAGCAAAAGAAGAGGGCAGAAGTATTTTACGGCGATGGAGGGGGAGGGCAATGATGGATCAAGTCAAGTGTCAATACATGGGTCTAGTCATTTAGATTAGAGTTTTTGAGATGCTTGATTCCAGCTCCATGTCATTTAGCGCCACCGCCTGACTATCTGGTTCCTGGTTTCAAAGATTGACGGTATAAAGCCCGTTGGCACAACTTTTGCGTGCTGTTGCAAGACTTTCGGACTTTAGTCGACGACTCTGCGGACTTCGCACAGGTATGTACAGTCGAGCTGCGAAGTCCGAAATGTGCCGCGCCGCCAAGCGGCATACGAGGAATTTATAAGTCAATGGGGAGTATATGAAGAGTATAATATTCGTACAAGGACATGCAACTCTGCTTATAATTACACAGCATATCTAGATATCTCTCGTCTACTGGATAGGAAACTCCCTATGCTGTCGAATAGCTTATAGTCTATAACCTAACTATATACCAACAAACCGCCTATAGATTCTCGCAACCTGGTCCTAACACACCATCACATCCATGGCATCTGAATCCTCCACTCCTTCGCTGCTCCCTAACGGGTATAGACGTTGCAGTATAGTGGTCTTGGCGCTATTCGCTAGATCTTATAGTGGACTATAGCGCGCTGCTGATGGCACTGGGATCTGGTAAGCAAGTCCGGGTTCGGACCAAAGCAGGTGAGCCGGCGGTTTGAGTTGAGCCGAACATGGCATGAACTTTCATCTTCACCATCAACAACGATGATATTGCTACATCATTAATTTTATCATGCTCTTTTCCAAGCCTGAGCTCACAAGTACTTCTACTCTTCTATCTAAACCGCTTCAGTTCTGCAGTTGCAGCGACGGGCCCAGCTTAATGACGTCTCCAGGCTGGTACGTCGTTTCGAATCGATGCTCGCCATAAAACACAACCAACGACGATGCTGCAGAGGCTTTGAACGTCACACCGTCCAGCTTCCCATCATGCCATTCGAAATGAGCCTCCAAGCCTCCCCTGACCCTCATGCCGTCTACTGTCCCTTCAGACCAAGCCGCGGGCAAAGCCGGCAGCAGATCCACCTCCACTGGTCCTCCCAGACGAGGAATAATCGATCGGATCAGCATCTCAGCAATAGCTGCAGCACCTCCAAAGTTGCCGTCAATGACGAAAATGTTTGCCTCGGCACCCGCCACACCCGGCTTGCTGTAGCTGAGAAGGTTGTCAAAACTCAACTCACCCACCAAGTGGCCAATCTGTGCGACGGCCTTCTCTGCGTCTCCCAAACGGGCGTAATTGAGGGCAAAAAGGGCAGCCGTAAACTCAATGTCTTCTAGGTCGTCGCGGCCTTGCCTTCGTTCTAGCGTCACACGCGCTGCCTCTGCTAGATCAGGCTGATGTCGAGCTGAGATTAACGCTGACCGGCATAGAGCCATTGTGTGGGAGAGATGTCGATGATAAGGCTGAGCTTCTTCGAAATCATGCAGCCACTCTTGAAGTTGGCCATTCTTGCCAATCTGGAATGGAGGTAGCTTTGCCTGTGCTTCTTGATATTGCTGGATATCATCCTCCCAATTGGACTTTCCAGCATTAAACTTTGTCACCACGTACTCGCAGAAAGCCAAAAGATCGCGGACCAAGACGACATCAAGAGTCGGTGCTAGGGCCGCATAATGTTCTTCCTTTTCGCCATCACCGTTGACAACGAAGAAGCTATTCTCTGGGCTTACGGATGGGCCCGTGAGCAGCCAGCCCGTCTTTGGATCTTCAACCATGTAGTTAAGGAAAAACTTGCTTGCGCCAGCCAACAGCGGCCATGCATCGTTGGCCATGAAACCCTCGTCTAGAGAATACTCAAACATCTCGATAAGATGGTTTGCCATCCAAAGACCACCCGTCACATTGAGGCCGTACGAAACTTCCCAACCAGGGTCTGCAAACCCCCAAACATTGCTAAAGACGTGAGCAACCCAACCTTCGGAGCCATAGCAAGCACGAGCAGCATGCTGGCCGCTCGCAGCAAGTCTTATTAGATAATTGATGAGAGGCTGCATAAGATCGGAGAAACCGCCGTTCAGGATCGCAAAGTAGTTCATCTGCGTGTTGATATCAAGGTGATAATCACAGCTCCAGCCCATTTTGCAAGCCTCGCCGTCATTCCATAGACCCTGCAAATGTAGCGGCAGGGGCGAATCATGACGGGTACCGGCAATGGTAAGGTAACGGGCATAGTGAAAGTACAGTGCAAACATGCTTGGATCAGCATATCCAGAAGGCTCAAAGTTCTGCCGACGTTGGTCTGTACGGATGCTGGCTGTAGTACTGGATTTGGATCCCAATGAAATGCTCATCCGACGATATAGAGGCTGAAAATCTTCCAAATGGGCCTTGAGAAGGTCAGCCGCAGACAATTTGAGAGCCTCTTCCAGCTGTAGAGTAGTTCTCTTTCTCCATTCCTCGTTCGGCTCGCTGTAGTCGGTATTGAAGGTCACCAATATTGTGATGTTCTTCTTTGCTGAAATGACAAGCTTGGTATCTCGATGCTCGACTTTTCCTTCATCGACAGTTGCTGCGATAATGCCATAGCCCTTGACACCGCATGTTCCATCGCTGTGAACCGTCTCGAGGGCTTGTGCATTGAACTCGAGCTTTCCATCATCATTGATCTTGGATGTAAATGCTTCGTTCTCGCCCTGGACGCCGACCACGACTTCCAGTCCACTCAGATCATCACCGTCGAATTGCACCACGAGCACTTGATTAGGATGGCTCAGAAAGGATCTTCTCTTGAACTGGCGGCCATCTATAGTATATCTTGTCTCCGCTACGGCCTCGTCCAATCGTAGTTCTCTCTCGAAGCCGTTAACTTGGCCAATGCTTTCATGGCCATTGACAACAATGTCAAGCGTTCCAACGCCAAGATTGGTTCCGAAATTGCGCTTTTTACTCTCGAGATACTTCTCCGCTCGTTTCTTTCCTTTAGCGTAATCGCCGTTGAGATAGCATTTTTGTGTTTCTCTTAGCTCGGCTTTGGGGTCCTCGGGCCTCTCTGCCAGTCCTCCACCTGCCTTCTGCGTTTCTCCAGACCAAAAGGAGACTTCGTTCAAGATGAAGGTTTCTTTTGCGGGGGAAGAGAGCACCGAGGCCGCGAAACGGCCATTGCCAAGAGGGAGCGAAGTAGGGAATGTTGTTGAGGGAGTAGTATAATGGAGTCTATGTTCTGAAGACATTTTGAAGAGCTGAAGTTGCGAATCAAGCTTCGTCTATGCTATGTGTGAGCTGTGAAGCAAAGAGCACGACATGTATGCAGCTTCCAGGTTCGGTTCGGTTCGCAGCTGAGGAGATGTTTCAGCAGCTGAGCTCTACTCTGCATAAGCTTCCCCACGGCTCGTGAGTCTAAGAACCGTTGCTAGTGCCAAGCAAATCCAATTCATCACGAATAAAGACAGCCGAGAACCCCAAGCTCGCAATTCCCCGACGACGATAGCCGGCAGCCGGAGCAAAAAAAGAGTCAGCTGTTCGTGTGGGGTTAAGATGCGGGAGCATTGTTCGGGTAGACTCTTGGCCTTGCTTGGCTTCACCCGCGTCTAGGGCCCTGGCTGATTGGTCGATCTGGCTGGAATTACACCCGGATATTGAGCCGGATATTGGTCCGAGAGTAGTGTGGCCCAGATCGAGCGCCACTAGATGCTACATGCCGGGTTTTCGTCCGAAACATGGACCTGTAAGTCTTTCGATGTTTGACCAACTTTACCAGCTTTTATATGGTAAAAATTTCAATAGTTTAGTTAAAAAGACTGCCAAAAGCCGTGAATCTATAGAATGAAATTACCCGAAGGCTGATCTATCCAACGGACAGGGCCAAGCCGACGGCATTTCACGCCCTTGCAACTCAAACGGTGTTGGCTAGTTGACACTGAAAGCAGCCATACAGACAACATGTAGTCATTATGGCAAACCCCAGCACAAATGCCCGACGGATCTCACCCTCATCTCGATACATGATTTCCAACTGCCAATAACAGAGCAGTCTTCGGCAAGAATACGGCCGCTCGTTCAACTCCATGCGGCTCGTGTTGCTTCCCCAGAACCAGGATGCACTAAGTTGATCTTGCGGAGCCCCGCAACTTGACCCTATTAGTCTGGGGATGACTATTGCGAACTTGGACAATACAAAACACATAAATACGATGCATGTAACACTCGACTGGTGGTAACGAGCAGGGTCTTTTTGGTTGTCCTTCAAAGCGCCTTTTGGTTCAAAGGGCTTGTCCTAACACCTTTCTCTCTGCCTCTTTGTCTCCTCTCAACTCAAAGTGTCAAGATCGTCTGCAAATTGCCCGCCATGGAGAAGGAGGCCCATACCACGGCGCTTGAAAATGTCGCCAGCAACATCGAGCACGAGCTCACCAATGCGGGGGAGACGGGCAAGATGGCCAGCATCAGCGAGGCCATGGCCAACAACGGTACGGCCACGGAGCATCGACTTGGATACTGGGAGGCCTTCAAGCTTTACCGCAAGGGCGCGTTCTGGTCCATGTTCATCTCACTGAGTATCATCATGCGCGCCTACGACATTGAGATCAGCGGCAACTTCTTCGCGCTGCCGGCCTTCCAGAAGCATTTTGGTGTGGACTACGGCCCGGATCACGGAGGCTATCAGATTCCCGCTAGATGGCAGGTGGCCATGGGCATGGGCAGTTTGGTCGGTCAGATTGTGGGAGCGTACCTCGTCTCGTTCCCCATGGAGATGTTTGGTCGTAAGAAGACGTTTGCAGTATGCCTTGTTCTGACGGCCATCCTGACTTTCATGCAATTCTTCGCCAACACTATTGGTGTTTTGACGGCCAGTCAGTACCTCAGCGGTATCGTCTGGGGAGGCTACTGTGTTATTGCGACGACATATGCTTCAGAAGTTCTTCCTCTCAGTCTCCGTGGTTTCCTCACTGGGTACATCAACCTCTGCTATGTCATGGGCCAGTTCATCCAGACCGGCATCACCCGTGGCTTCATCAACCGACCCGACCAGTGGGCATACAAGATCCCCTTTGCCATCCAGTGGATCTGGCCCGTCGTCTTGCTTGCCGGTCTCCCCTTTGCCCCTGAGTCACCTTGGTGGCTGGTTCGACAGAATAAGATGGAAAAGGCCGAGCGCTCCCTCGAGAAGCTTGTTCAGAAAAATTCCGGCATCAACACCAAGGAAACCCTTGCCATGATGGTCAAGACGGATCTCCTCGAGCGAGAGCTGGAAGTCGGTACCACCTATGCCGATTGCTGGAAGGGGCACAACCGTCGCCGCATGGAGATTTGCATCTTGCTGTTTGTCATCCAGAACTTTAGCGGTAACCCCGTCGGCTTCGCAACCTACTTCTTCGAGCAGATTGGTCTCAACAACGTCCAGGCATTCGACATGGGAGTTGGTCTTAACGGCGTCGGATTTGTTGGCACTTGTCTTTCCGCCATCCCTCTTATTTACCTCGGCCGTCGTCCCGCGTACATCTTCGGCCTCAGCTTCATGGTCGCCACGCTCTTCGTCGTCGCTCTCCTGACGTTCGCCCACGATTATACAACCAACTTCTCATACCGATGGGCTCAGGCTACTTTGCTCATCATTCTCCAGTTTGTCTGGCAGGCAACCCTCGGCCCGTTGACTTATGTCGTCGTCTGCGAGACTCCGTCAACAAAGCTTCGATCCAAGACGATTGCCATCGCTACTATGATTGATGCCCTCACTGGACTTGTTACCTCTGTCATTGGACCTTACTTGCTGAACCCAGGTGCTGCGGGTGCTGGAGCCAAGATTGAGTTCTTGTATGGTGGTATTTCTGTCTTCTCCCTCATCTGGACCATCTTCAGAATGGTAAGTACAACTTGGAATAATATGCCCCTGCTCAATTATAGTTGACTGACACTTTTACTTCCTTACAGCCGGAGACCAAGGGCCGAACCTACGAAGAGCTCGATATCATGTTTGAAAGGGGCGTTCCCGCGAGAAAGTTTGCGTCGTACAAGTTTGAGGATGAGGATGATGTGAGGGTATAAAGAGATGGCTACTATTGGGCTAGTAATACTTTAATAATGCTGTATTTTGAGCCATCAATACCAATAATGAGTCTTTACACAACTGTCATTTTGCATGCACGCAGCAGTCAAATTAGGTGAACAATGAGATAGGATGTGGTTATTCATTGCAGTAGATGAGCACTTGGGCAGATAACACGCTGGTGAACAACAATACTATCTCGCTTAATGAGACAGCTAATGCAAACCATCAATCCAGAAGTAATGCTCACTCTTCTCACTATCGAAGACGGCTAGTGCTGCTCAGAGGGTTGGTTTAGCTCTTCCTAAGATGGTTGCCGGGAAATTAACGCGGAGATCCAAATCCACAGTGGACATCTTGCAGTAAGAGCTGAAGTATGAGCCGGCTATCGGTTCCAGATATGACAGATTAGATCTCTTGGCAATGAAGACACACCAGCAGCGTTGGGGTTGTCGGTGGAGCGAATCACTGGGGATCTCACCAATTCCTTCATTCAACTATTACGAACCATAAGTATACTACCATAAGAGGTACGAAACTAGAGCAGCTATAGAGCTATAAAAATAATTAACAAACGCTAGAATTATCCATATTGAGCCTAAGTTGAAGAAGTTTGGCATAGGCTCTTTGAAGGATTCAAGACAACCTGAACTTATATTGACGGGTGACTTAATCATCCGCCAGCCTCATGATTGGCGCCACTTTTGATGGAAACCTGTCCTCAATCTCCCCATTAATGATTACATCCAAGTATAACTTGTTTCAAAGTTCGTACACTTCTTTGAAGGAAACAACTTCCATACTTTTTCATTGTGTTGCTGTTGACAAAATACGAGTATTTACATAGTCATCTTGCTTAGCTTCCAGCCCTCTTACGTCATATAATTGCTTAATATAAAATGACTAAGCAGTATCAATTTCATCTCTTACAGATACGCCTTTCACTCGACTCACCTTCGCTATGAGACTCGCCATCTACTCTCATCGCCAATATCAAGATGAACGACAACGAGCCTCTACGGCGTCTAAACGGGCGGCTCCAGGCATGCGATCAGTGCCGCGCGCGAAAAGTCGCCTGCGATCACGCTCGACCAATATGCAACCGATGTCAAAAGAGAAACCAGGCAGGCGAATGCACCTACACGATTGGAGCGGTGCTTCAGCCACGGCGCCGCGTCCGGCGTCAGAAAGTGAGGCCACCAATTCCGGTGGACACGGAGACATCGCCAATGTCGAGTCATCAGAATGGACATTCAAACGGGCACGGCTCTCCCAGTTCCGGTTACATGGGCTTCACTAGCCATACCATCGTCTATGAAGAGACAAAACGAAGTCTGAGCCTGCTCCAGGGTCAAGGAGCGGACCATCGGCTATCGCAATCTGGCGCCGATGATCGGATGGCTCCCAGGCACTCTTTCAACCAGCTCCCCCCTATAGTGCGCCATATGAGCATCTATGTTTTGGAGGCTCTTCCAGGCCAATGCAATGAACAAATCGCCTTTCGCGATGAAGACTGCACTCAGAAGGGCTGGACGCAAGTCGCGCTGGCCCGCGTTACCAAGTCGGTTCAAGACCTGCTCAGAAAGAACCCAGACGGAACTGGTCCTGATTTAGAACGAATTACCGAGATGATATGCAACAACACTGCTCAGCCTATGAGAGACATGGATAATCCGCATCAGTGGATGGATCAGTTTTGTGGTGGGAATCTCAGATGGGAGTCAATCGGTCTGATATGGGGGGGCTTGGAGCGTCTTATGGATACCATGAACTCTTTCCGGCCTTGTCACGTTGAGTGGATTCCTGGTAAGGGGTCTCACGAGCTTTCGAGAACGTATATAAATTATTGCATTGATTTGTCGCGGCACTTTTGTGATGGCAGCCCTGTGTTATTGGATCTTCATCGACGTCGATCCATTCTGGTGTCCGTCTTGGACGGTGATGCGGGTAAGTATATGTTGTCCCAGAGCCAGATTTCGTGTTAATGCTGTTTAAACAGCTGGATCGTTTTGGTACTCTCATGGCGCGGCTGTGGCCATGATGACCTTCATGGGGCTACATGCTCTAGAGAAGGAGATTCCATATACACCCACGCTATGTTCTGAGAGTAACAGACGACTCGTTGCCCAGATCTTCAATGCAGATAAGTTCTGCGTTGCATTCTCCGGGCGACCACCGCTGATTAATCGTCGATACTGCACAACACCTCTACCGCTTGATCTTAGTGAGGAAGATCTGATTGCAGATGAGGCAACACTGCAGAAGGCCGTTCAAGGGCTGGATGCTCGCGGCTGGAACACAAAGGGCCGCATCTATCCGATAACACTCATTCGAGCTCGCCGTATGTTAGCGGGCCTTTTTGAGGAAGTGATTGAGATTGCACTGGGTTGTCGCGTCTGCATAACTCTTGATGAACTACGGTACGTGCCTGCTTAGGCGTCATCCCTCCCCCCTTTTCAAACTAAATAGAAACTTACGCAATTGAGTAGAAACATACAAGACCGGGAAATGGAATTACTTGCGGGATTTCCAGTCCATCTTAAATATGATTCGCAGGACTTTTCAGATCCTGAGCTAGATACCGAGTCCGTCTACGCCAGGATACTAATTCGTCTAACACATTTGCAGACAATGTTCTTCTTGGAGAGGCTGCTATTGCTAAATGGCAGCTTAGAAGAAGGCAATTTGCTACTATTCAGCTTCGAAATGCTCATTTTGACTCTTGCCATGTGGACGCACAAAGACCGGTTCGCAGCAATGCGACGCAATTTTGAGTGGCTTGTGAGTAGAGCAATCCGGCGCATTCTTTCAACAACTTGCTAATCGTTCAACAAGCTCATGGCCCACGCCGCACCAGCAGGCGGTATCCTCTGCCTGGAACTGCTCAACCCAACGTTTACAGGCAAACATCCCAAGGATCCCCGAATAACACGCTCGAGCATCATACAGAACCTCAGTCTCTTGGTAGGCTTTCTCGACTGGGTGCGTCCATCCGCACCAAATGGGGATTTGTGCATGGACTGCAAGGTGATTATACAACGAGTGCTGGATCATACCTTGAATGGCAGTGTAGACGGCCATAGCCCCCGAGCATCTCTAGCATACGACTTTCCAGAGCCTCTGGACTTTAACTTTGAGTTGCTAGATACTTTTGGCTGGCTGCATACGGAGGCTTAATAGAGCACAGCAAAAAGCGAAACCATTTTTTGAAAACGTTAATCTAATTTGAAGACAATTGCCAATACTATGTAAAAGCAAAGGTGTATGCTCACAGGGTATATTCGTCGAGTTAAATCGAGTTGTATGCGGTTTATGGCCTGAATCCTCTCCTCTCCAGTGGTGTTACGATCTGGTCCGCCGTAACAGGTAGATCCCTTATAAGCAGCTGGTTCCGTTACAATAATTGCTATAATTGCGATTATTGGCCTAATCTTTTGCCCTGTTGGCGCTACGGTATAACGGAACGTAACAAGTGGGCATATCTCCTGGATCTTGATAAGGGGGTGACGGGTGATTCCATGTAATACATGTTTCAAGAAACGGCCAAAAAAAAAAAAACAGGGGTAAGATCTAGGTAGATATAATAAATAGATCTAGGAAGACAGAGCAACAGGGTATTCTATCATAATCTTCACATCCCAGTCTCAGTCTCTAATGTCGCTTATCGCTTCCTCAAATGCTGCAATGATTGGACCGTACAACAATTCGGAATCCTTCGGAGTGCCAGTGAAAAGACCATTTCTATGTGGGAATAGAACGTCCCTGACGGCCCTGCACAAAGACTTGACGCAATCAAACGCATCAGGGAACTCCATCAAGATGGTTTCCAACCCATTTCTATCCATATCTCCGCGCTTATTTGCGCTATGGTTGCGTAATCTCCCGTATACCATCTCTGCAGCATACTTTCCTGAGGCTGCCGACGACCTAATAATGCCCAGCTTCTACGGGCGCAGAGCCATATAAGAACATAAAAAAACGACTCAAGGTCGTGACGATACGTGTGTGCGGTTCCGAGGAGGACTTCAATGGCCATGAACTCCATCGTGCCAGTTCGATGTCGGGCACCACTGGGGCCCTTGCCTTCTTCCTTGGCAAGGTCCAAATCTATAAGCATACCATTAAAGCCATCGGCAGTCACCGGGTTGGTGATGATGATATTGTTTTCGGAGATGTCGCGATGCAGAATTTTCCCGTCCTGATATAGCGATCGGTGCACTTTAATGGCGTCGCAAAGGCATGTGAGAAGCTCTGGGATAGACCTGAACTGATTGACACATCGCCCAGCTGGAGAGATGGCCAGAACACGCAAAATGCGGTTGTCATATGCCACCTGGGCATCATTTTGCTGAACAAGGCTGGTACCTTGCGGTGCCTGAGTGGAGTAAGTCGACTTGTTTTCGGTCTCGGTCTCATCCTCGTTCTCATTCTCATCTTCGTTCGCTCTGCGTTCTGTCCTCGACAACAAGCTATTCGGCCGAGCGGCTTACCCCATCTGCAGGCTTCCGTTTTCTACTAGCAATGCTAAGGCCAGGAAATTGGCCTAAAGAGCGGCTGAGCGGTTGTGACTTTGAAAGAGACATGCTAAAACTGCCCGGTACGTTACGAAACTTGTGCGGAGTCGAAAAGGTAAGGCCCTCACGTAATTTGCTGATACTAATAACCTCTTCACAATAACCAACCATCCTTGCAAGCCCTTTGACACCACGTTCTTGGGCCTTGCTGAGCAGATCTGCCTCGGGTGGTCGCAAGCTGGAGGCCCATGAAAACTTCACCACAGTGTTGGATTCTGTCGCGTTGATATCCTTGGCTCGGAAGCACGAGGTTCCACGACAGACGATTGCTCGCTGGTGGGCGATCGGATCCGAATCGAGTTCAAGCTTTTGCTTCCTCTTCATCACACGGGGTTCAACAGGTATGGTGACAAACATTCTGTTTTTTTTTTGTGTCGTAAAGGTATCCAGTCCGAACTCTTCATCACTCATCATCAAATAACCGCACATGATCTGGATAAACTTGTCCGGCTCATCGTTGATATCAAAGGCGGCGCCGCTGTATGGCCCGGATCGGTCAAAGACCCATGTCTCTATCTCGGTCCCGGTCAATGAAAAAGCATGAACGAAGAAGCGCGTTGGCTGCGCTGCGAAGATGTTTCGCACGGCGCTACCGATTTGGAGCCATAGGGCCTTGGAATTCTTGTCCGTCTTCTTCAGCTCACCCACAACCAACACATCTTTCCAGTCGTGCTTTGTGTCAGCCACCTCCCCTCTTTTCAACTTCACAAACAGGTCCAGCTGTCGTTGCGCTTCGGTGCCAACTCTATTTTCTGCAGCGCTTCTGAAATACGCGGCTCTTTCGTTAACCAACAACTCTTGCTGTAAATTGAGCAACCAGCTGCACACCTCATCCTCAATGGGCGTATCGGGCAGTTGTATCCATTTCTTGTCAGCTTCATTGAACTAGTATGTGACTAGCATGTATCCAACAGAACACTCCGCCACTCCCAGAACAGGTAGATCTCTACAAAAGATAATAACGTACCTGAGTATTAGCTGGTATATCAATTATATCCAAAGTACATGTACCTACCTACCTAGGTAGCGATGTTACATTTCATAAATACATCTATTTGAATTCCACATCTAATCACACTCAAATGGCTTCATCACAGTTCGATGCTTGAAGTCTCAGCAACAGAGACCCATTTGACGAATATCAATATGACACAACTCTAGTCGATAATATGCTTCATGTCTATGTCGGATTCACTAGACCATGTGTTAATATTTCAGCTTCTTTCAATAATTAGGCCATGGCCACACCGGCCATCTCCTCACTTCGCCCGTCTGAGTTGTGCGTGACGTCTTGTACATCACTCTCGGTGAGTTCATCCTCCCATTCTCCTATGTACCAACTACATCCAAGTCCCATCCGGTGAAAGAATCCAAAGACGTCCTCTTGCAACTTGTAGCACTCATTCATAAGAGTAAGAGCATCGCGATGTCTCCCACATTGGTTCCAGGAAATGGCGAGGTTATACATAGCTAGCATGGTGGCTAGATTTTTTCCGCCGGCTCGCTCTTTCTGAAGCTTCAATATCTTTTCTCTGATATGCAGAGCTTTTTTATCCCGTCCATGTATATAATAGACATAAGCGAGATCCTCCATTGCTGCCAATGTATTTGGATGGGTTTTTCCATGGACTCTCCGCTGAATACCAAGGATTTTCTGTGCAATCTTCGTAGCAGCACCATATCGGCCTTGCCCACATTGCACTTCTACAATGATCCTCCAGCTTGCGATTGTATCTGGATGAGTTGGCCCAAGAGCCTTCTGTCGAAGCGTTAACACCTCCGTTCCTATTTCATATGCCTTTTCGATGTAATATTCGGAATTACTCCACTTGTAAAAAACATCAAACCTAAGTGTTGCTGGATCCCGATCTGCGAAAGCCTGCCCGAAGTTCGTGATGGCGATAGCAGCCATAGTTTTCAGCGTATCGGGGTGTTCCACTCCAAGGCTCTTCTGTCGCATTGTTAATATCCTCTCATCTAACCGCTCTTTCTCTTTCCATTCATTGAGATCCCCCAAAAGATCTGATATAGCAGAAAGCTTGTTCATTGTGGCAGCCCCCTCTCCGCAAAGCTCCATCGATTCAACTACCTGAAGTGCATGTGCCAGATAGTCATCCCCTATTACCTGCGCTTCTCCCGATTCATGGAGATCTTCGGACATATATGCTATAATATTCAAGGCACGCGTGGCGAAGAATGACTCATCTTTTGCCTCTGAGCCTCCTTTGTTATCTTGTAGAACATCACTGGTTCTTCTTGTAGTTGGGCTGTTCTCCGATGGCTTCTCCATACGCAGCCTGTATCGGGCAGCCTCCTGCACAAGCTTGTGCATTTCATACATCCGATGGCCGTATTCTTTCTCGCGTTGGTAAATGAGGGAAAATTCTTTAAGCCGAGTAATAGCTTCCTCCAGTTCATCTGTTTCTCCTTCCCAGTCAAAGCCGCTCTCTATTCCAGCAAGCTCGACTAATTCTCCAGAAAACTTCTGGTTATCAAAGTATGCGATAGTATGAAACAAATTATAAGCCAGCTCGCTTTCTTGTCGAATACGCTTGATTGAGATGCTCCATGTCTCTAAAATACTGTTGGGAGCCCCAAATTTTCGATGTCGATCAAACTCGCTTTTCTCGAGGATCCTTTGCCTTTTCTTCTTCTGTGCGAGCATAGTTATATACTCACGCACTGATGTTGACGTTCTCCGCATATAGGCACCAGCCTGGGAAATTGCCAAGGCGTGATACTGAAGGCTTTCAAGCAGTTTGTTGATATTCTTGACGTCTTCACTGGTGGCTCTGTCCGGCGTCGTTGCCGCTGCTATTGAAAGAAGTATCTTTGCTTCATCAAGTGACATATCACCCACTTCAACTGCTCGAAAAGTACCGACCAGTGTTCCCATGATGCGCTTGTCACGAGTCGTCCATAAAACAAGCCCCTTGGGCCCTCGGGGGATAATGTTGGGTAGACTTTTTGACGAATTAGATGACATTCCGACTCCAAATAACGATAGATCGTCGGCATTATCGAGTACCAAGAGCCACTCCGGTTCCTCTTCAATCCGGTTGCAAACAGCCGTGAATAAACCTTCGTCATCAAGCTTTTCGTCTATGCCACCAAATTTCCTCGCGATCAATTTATAATCATGTAGGATTGTTGCTTTAGTATCCGCATGTACCCAAAAGACAGAATGAGTACCGCATCGACGGTATATATAATCGAGTGCAATCTGCGTTTTTCTATCCGTTCACGTAAGGTTACTCAGTAAATGCTAGGTCAATCATATGAAAGAAGCCATACCCTGACCCGCCTAGACCACAAAGAGCGGCACTGTGGAAATCCGAAGACGGTGGCAAAAGCTCGTCAAGTTTGCCAACAATGTCTGATCGGTTGATGAAGTCTTCATTTCGCGGATATGGAATGAAGTGAGTCAAAGCCCGGGCTGGGCGAACAGGCAGATGAATGTGAGAATCGCCCTGATGGATAACAGTATTGTCGCGAAATTGGCTATGCCGAATACTGCGGTGATGTGGCCGTGATTTGCTTTTCATTGTGCTTGAATTGTCCCCATGTGGTGATGCTCTAGTGTCTATCCACCTGGATAGAGCAATGAAATTCCGCTTTTAAGCCTACCAATCAACTGCTTGCGAAGAATACATGGATATGCACAGGCACAAGTATTACTCTGGATGTCGTTGTTCAGTATCGCTCTTCCATTTCTACGGTATTAGGCTCCTCCCATTGCTACCCAATCTTGTTACTTGTAGGAACTTCTGATTGGTGGCGGCTATATGCATCTTACTACTGGCGCTCTCTTTCCATCAGCTGAGTACAAATATAGCAGCTTGGAGGCAATTGAATGGCGCTTTACCCTACAGGTCCGATTACATCACCTACTATTGATCGAAATTTAAGACAAGGAGTACACTTCTCACATCGCATGCATTGGTTAATCTAAATACTGCTTGGGAAGTTGACGTGTAACTGACTGGTTAAAATTTTAATTCGTTCAGGACATGGGACTCTCTAACAAGCTATTGAGAGTTAGTAAAGTCGAGAGCCGACTGAACAATACTCATTGACATTCAGCTCAATGTTTGCAAATAGCTTGGGTATTGAGTATAGAAATACTTTTCCACTCAACTAAAGAAACACAAACAAAAGAATGGTTATATGACATATTCAAATGGTAATTAAATGCACACCACGACAGGTCATCTTTGATGGCTGAACGAGTACCATGAGCGGAATGGTAAGGGCGCTTGTAAGGAATATCGATCGATATGTCAGGCAACAAACAAAAATGGGCAATTGAGTTTAGCTTTCGCTGATGAAGCTGATTTGTCGGAATGCAGCAGGAAGACCCTTCTCCTGCACGACCCTTTCGGGAGAGCACGCTCATACTCGGTGCTTATACTAACCCGATAAATCATCATTACCTTGAACAATCGAAGCAACGCCACAAAATAGAATAAAATAGCCAAAGTGCTCCACAATGTAGTGACATGCTGTTATTTAAAGATATGTCACTACACGATAGCATCTAGCGAGAACGTGAGAACAATATGAGGCGTAATTGGAATGCCGAATCTGGCTGTGGAAACGTCTCGCTTCGTGAGCTGAAACCAGATGTCGCCGGATCGATGTAGGCGATGAGGCTGTTTCATAACCTATCAGCTATGAGTCCACAGCTCTAATTCAATTTACGAATGATATAATTGGAATTAGTATGCTAGACCGAGCTTTCTTTTAGTGTTTTGAACGAACACATGGTTAGACACCGCCACCGCGGGAATAACCTCAATTCTATTTCAAGAATTATGCCTCCCTGTCATGCCTGCATGGCCACCTCTCTCAAGAATTGAGGTAACTGCAGTTCTATATTCAATTCGCAGATCATGGAAAAAGCAATAACGAAAAATGCGTGCATTGATACGGGGTTTGCAAGTGAATTGGTGTCGATCCGCTGCACCTGGAAGAGGAAATATTTTGGTGGCGGCGGAAGTAGTTCACCTCTTGGCTCCCTTTTTACTACAATTTAGCCTGTTTAGCCAGCTGAAAAAAAATTCGTTGTTCTGTTCGTGACAAACTCCAAGAGGTAATGAATTCACGTAGCAGGTTTTACTCGTATATACGACAGGGCAGACCGAGATCTAGAGATTCGGTTCCTGAATCGGTTGCAGATCAAGCACCGTGGCCAATCTGACGTCTCATCGCGAGCACATGCAACGGCGGATCCCCTGGCTTCGGTGCCGAAAGAATGCTAGAGGCATGCAGTGGCATCTCCCCCACCATGCCATCATGGATCATATCGCCGAGCCAATACCAGCTAAGCAATTAACAAGGTATCGCATCATGTTGTGTTGCATTGTATTAGTTGTTGAGCTTCCGTACACGGAGTTGATAGGCAGTAGTGGTAATGAAGTGGTGGGAGTACTCCGTAGTAGTAATGATGATGATGGGCGCACATTCCAGCCGGCTCAGAATGGATATATATATACCAACTCCAATCTTGGCAGCTGCCTTGGCAATCTGCTCGACAGGTTCCGAATATCTGCACCATTGACAAGATGAAGAAGAGCACAGTCTTGGCAAGCTTGCTGCCTCTGGTGGCGGCGGACAGCGATGCTCCCAACTCGCAGATCCGAATCGCCTACCACGGAGACGATGGAATGATGGTCAGCTGGAACACGTTTGACCATGTTCCTCGTCCCAGCGTGTTCTGGGGCAGATCCAAGGAGCACCTCACCAATGTCGCGTCTTCAGCCGTGTCTGTCACTTATCCCACCTCGACGACTTACAACAACCACGTCTTGATCAAGGGACTGAGGCCGGACACCACCTACTACTACCTGCCTGCGCAATTGAACGAGGATGTCTGCTATGAGCCGTTCAACTTCACCACCAGCCGCAGGGTCGGTGACAAGACGCCCTTTTCCGTTGCCGTTGTCGCCGACTTGGGAACCATGGGTCCTAAAGGCCTGTCTACAACTGCTGGTACTGGCGTTGCGCCCAACAACGTCCTGAAGCCTGGTGAGAAGACCACGGTTGACTCTCTTGTCAGCAGCATGGGCGACTATGAGTTCCTGTGGCACGTCGGAGACATTGCCTATGCCGACTACTGGCTGAAGGAGGAGATTCAGGGATTCCTGCCCAACACCACCGTCGAGGAGGGATACAAGGTCTACGAGGCCATCCTCAACGATTTCTACAATGAGATGATGCCCGTCACTGCTGCCAAGGCCTACATGGTCGGACCTGGTAACCACGAGGCCAACTGCGACAACGGCGGTACCTCTGACAAGGCGCACAACATCACCTACGATCTTAGCATCTGCATGCCTGGACAGACCAACTTTACTGGCTTCAAGAACCACTTCCGCATGCCCAGCGATATTTCTCGCGGCACTGGAAACTTCTGGTACAGCTGGAACAGCGGCATGGCTCATTTCATTCAGCTCGACACTGAGACCGATCTTGGCCACGGCTTCATTGGCCCTGACGAGATTGGAGGCACTGAGGGCGAGGGTGCCAGCCCCGTCAATGCCAAGATGAACGCTCAAGTCAACTGGCTTGAGGCCGATCTCAAGGCCGTCGACCGCAGCGCCACTCCCTGGATCATCGTTGGTGGCCATCGCCCCTGGTATCTCAGCCACGCGAACGTCACCGGCACCATCTGCTGGAGCTGCAAGGACGTCTTCGAGCCTCTGTTCATCAAGTACGGTGTCGATCTTGTTCTGTCTGGCCACGCTCACGTCTACGAGCGCCAAGCTCCTATTGCTGACCAGAAGATTGACCCCAAGGAGTTGAACAACCCGACTTCCCCTTGGTACATCACCAACGGAGCCGCTGGTCACTACGACGGACTGGATGCTCTGCAGAGCCCTCGCCAGGAGTACAGCCGATTTGGCCTTGATACTTCCAACGCCACTTATGGATGGAGCAAGCTTACGTTCCACAATGCTACACACTTGACGCACGATTTTATTGCCAGCAACAACAATGCCGTGCTCGACTCTGCGACTCTGTACAAGAGCCACAAGACCACTGGCAACGGTCACCACTACGGATGGTGATTGCAGAAGGGTGTAGACTAAGAAGTTGTAATATCGCGAATATTAGAAGTGGTTCAGAACCAGGTATATACTAGTATTTGATCTGTTTAGCAGAGTTGCTGAGTCTATAGAAATAAAAATATACACCTAGATCTAATGGAGGATGCTCGCAGCACTTTTGCTTACCGTGAGAACAGCGACTATAACCACTATTGCCGTCATTATAAAATAGCATAAGCGTCTTACTCTTAGCGCTGCATTTTCGGTTCGGCAGCCAGATTCCAATCTCAAAAGGATCGCATTGCCTTAATTGACCTTTGTATTGCGGCAAGTATATCCAATATGATGATGAGCCAAGGCGATTGCAATTTGTGTATCGAATGGTTCTTTTGCGTCAAACTTTATTTCGAAATAAGATACTTGCAAATCTGGTTTCTATTCTCCCGATGTCTTGAGAAACACCTGCCTGATTGGTATATATCCCTAGGTAGCAATATTGGCCATTCAATTTTTTGAACCAAAGGCGGCAATAAGACAAATTCAAGGTTCAACGTGCAAACGCTGTCTTTTGACAGCTAGAGTATTTATACTAATCCATCATAGTTGATATGTCATCATCTGTCTCCTATCAGAGAATGCATCTCCGGAATATTTGTACATGTACATTAACCGAAATCCCTTCGTCATTGATTCATGCGCCACAGTTCGGACTCGGACCCGGGCTTCGCACTCGGTTCAACCCCTGCTTACCCCCGGGTATTCAGTCTTTCAATGTACAGATACTCCGGAGCGCCCCATTCTCCCTATGTAATATTCCGTAGAAGATACCCGACACCGTAAGACCAATACCGTCTACAGGTAGGGCTGGCTATGGCTTCTTCTCCCCTGAACCGGGCGATTCATCCGACCATCCATGATCCTTAAGCTAAAAGACCGTCGTCATCAGACCACTCAGCTTGGAGGGGTTTTGGGAGAAAGGATTCGACGGAAAGTTGGTTACACCGGCTTGACCGGTGGCTTGCCATTTAATACAGTACGCAGTTCACGTCGCTGTTTGGCTCGAGTACCGAGCTGCTAAAACGGGCTCGCATTCGGCTGGCAAAACAGCCTGCAAACGGGCTGCAACCACATTGCAAACAGGTTTCTGCGTCACCACATTTAGTGTGCCTTTGCCATCTCTTTAGCTTTCCCTCGCATAGCTTCGCTGGATGCCTGTCGGGAGTTTTTATCAGATTCTTACGACTTTGGTCCATCTATAAAGCAAAAGCAGGCCCCCGCTCCCTTACTGATCTCTTGTATAACTCAACTCAATCACTCAATCATAGCATCGCAAAGATGGCGGCCAAGATGGATTTCCAACACTATGCACCGCAAATCGACAGGATACACAAAGCAACGCCAAAGGAAACAGCTTCCATCGCTTTTTGGAATGTTCGCTATCTCCATTATGCCCCATGAAGTGCTGATTACAGACAGCAAAAATGCAACCAGATCAAGTCTCAGGCGCTGACCCCAAATTGCTGTAGACCGTCCGCGAAAATTTCACCATCTCAACATGGATGGCCATGGGAGCCGTACTCCAGGGCCTCTTGGTTCTGTTCGCTCGGCCAACCTTCGCCGTCGCACCTGCGGCACTTCTCTTGCTCTATCGATTCTCACACACGATGCTCATGCATTACGGCGTAATTCGCAACACGCAGATGGCAGATGTTATCTCGGGAAAGTATACTGTGCAAATTCCAGACAAAGATGGCAATCCGCCCAGTGAGCCCTCTGGGACAGACGTGGCGGTTATCATGCTAGGCTTGAGGAACAATCAGTGGGTCATTTTCATTTCCATACTTCCGTATGTCGCAACGTTTTTTGCTAATACGGCGTCATAACAGTGCACTCGGTATGTTTGGAACGGGCGGGCGGGAAACCTTCCTCAGGTTTAAGGCAATGTTCCAGGAACTTGAGGACAATAAGGACTCTGGCTGTAGGTTCTAAGCCCTTCTCAGTGTAATTGATATATTTCTAGCAATTCCCATATGCTGACAGAGATTGCAGTTCTCGGTTCATCTTGGTATAGGTCTGCCAATGAGCGACTGACGGTAAGTTATCAACGTCAAGTGGCATGGAATCGTCAGCTCACATACCTTGTAGGGCAATGGTTTCATGACGGTGTGCTATTTCCGTAGCGTCGAAGATATCGATCGATTCGCTCACGGCCCGCTCCATCGCGACACCTGGGATTGGTTTAACAATTTGGTCAAGACGCATCCGCATTTGAGTATCATGCACGAGGTGTACACAGCGCGAAAGAAGAACTGGGAGAATATCTTCATCAATTACCACCTCACAGGCATTGGTATGCATTGACATATTCCGACGAGTTGATTTGAGCTAACAATGCTGGCAGGAAAAATACTGAAGCCTGTCATCGTCAACGGGAAAGAGTACACGCCTATTGCCAATGCTCAGCGTGGACCATTAAGCACACACAAGGGACGAATTGGCAAGTCGGGATCAATCATTAATGAAAAAGAGTATCTTATAGATGCTGAAGAATAAATATCGCTCTCGCGAATTATGCTGCATCTGAAAGTTGGAAGGATTGAACAAGAGGGGTTTTTTTTTTGTTCGTTTCCTGGTTGAGGCTGTTCACTTCTCGTCTCTTGCTCACCAACATGGTTCTCAACACGATTTTTTCTGCTTTGTTGTATAAATATCAGTTACAGTTCTTTTGTATACTTTCTATGTTCTTTCTTTGAGTCCACCAATTTGGGAGCACATCCTGCGCGCTGCAACTGCTTGCCGGCATAAACAAGATATCGGATAAGGCGTCAGCTGCTTCAAGTTAATTTCGCAATAAATACTTCGAATAGTTCAAGATAAATTTATATTGTTCACTTTGATCCTTCGGAGGTTGTGAGACGAGAGAGGGCTGGCTTCTCATTCGGAGTATATTTACTAAAGTACCATATAGATGAAGCAGAACGACTGAAAATAATACTCATATAAATGGAATAAAACTTCAATTGTTAACGAAGGAGTTTATTAACACTATTGATTCTGTGGCTCTGTAACTATGCGACTGAACGTTGCGGCTGGCTGCGGGTGAGTTGCGGCCGCAAACTGCGGCCGCATTGCGGGCGCCTCTTCTGTAATTGTAGCCTTCCATCTCCTGAAATAACCCAACTCTCTATATTCCCCATAAATCTATATTAATTGCGTTCTATTCATCGCGCTTGATCTCGTAATATCTTGTACTCAACCTCATGGTGAATTACAAATCCCCCTCTATCATTTCATCAAAGATATCTCTGAGCAGTCGTTCTATGGTATATAAGTGCAGACAAAGTCTCATTGTTTCAAAACTATCTGTCACAACCCATCATCAAAACACACCTTTACATACTCAACTCAACACAGAACTATCAATAACTTCAAAATGCAAATCCCCAGAGGCAATGGTACCCAAGGCCAGGGCAACGGCACTCGGCTGCCAAAGGAAACCCTCAATCTCCTCAACGCGGTTGACTTCAGCGGCAAAACCATTCTGGTTACCGGAACCACTAATGGCCTTGGAGAGGCTGTCAGCAAGCATATTATTGTCCGTAAAGTCGATAGACTGATTATGGGCGTCCGGAACGTACCTCGAGGCGAGGCGCTTAAGGTCAAGCTGCTCAGCGACTCTGCCGTAGCAGCTGCAAATCCCAATGCCAAGATTGATGTTTTTGAACTTGAAATGGAAGATTACAAGAGCGTTGGAGCATTCGCTACCAAGATTCAGGAAACGACACCTACGCTTGATGTTGCCATCCTGAATGCTGCTGTTGGCGGCGTGGAGTATAACATTGCGAAGCCAACTGGCCATGAGAGGATGCTGCAGGTGGACGTGCTGTCTACTGCCTACTTAGCTATCAAACTGATTCCTCTTCTTGAGAAGACCTCGGATGTCAAGGGCGCACCAAGCCGCCTCATCATGGTTGGCAGCTGGACGCAGTTTAGCACTTCCATCGCCGAGAAGAAGCTTACCCACAATGTGATCAAGCACCTTGACGACAAGGCCAATTTTGATCCTCGCAGATATCCTGATACTCAGCTTCTCAACGGCCTAGTTGTTGACGAATTGGGCCAGCGTCTCAATAAGAGCAAGGTCATTGTTGTCGAGCCTACTCCTCCTTGGACTCTCACAAACTTTGGCATAAATTATCCCGAAGGCCCAGCAAGAGACGCTGCCAGGAAGTTGATGAATGACATCGGACTGCCCGTCGATGAATCTGCGCTGACTTACCTTGTTGCTATCATCGCTAATGACGACGTTCATGGCCAGTTTCTTGACGACAACATGATTTCTCCGTAAGTGGCCCTCAATTTGCTCGATTGGCCTTTTATTGTTTCTGCTACTAATTTGCAAATTTTGTATATTAGCCGTTCTCCTTATTCCTTGAGTCTCGATGGCCAAGCTCTTCAAAAGGAGCTCTGGAAGGAGCTTGTGGAGGAGTTTAAGAAGGTAGATCCTACGATTGCTTCAGTCTCTGTCATCTAAGTTGCAAGATGTATATATTCTCAGGAATTTCTCTGTTGAGAAATTACAAATTCCAGTTATCTGAATACTACATGTTACAAAAGCAGACTTGGTCTCTATATCCCATCAGCGTTAAAGGCTGCTTCTCCCGGGTTTACCATGTGCTTAGAGAAGATCTGTAGACAGCTGCTTGGGAAAACTTCATACAGCCATCTTAGATTTTCGCAGTCAATTGTAATTGTGGATACGCTTCCTTAAGGCTTATGAGTTTCATAGAGTTAATCTTGGCCATGACGCCTAGATATGAGTTAAACGGGTTCTGGTTATGATGATGACATCATGATGCAATGCAGTCCAAGAAAGGTACTCGGTGGCTTATCCTTTACTTATATGGGCTGTATATACTCCAGATCTACTTAAAGCAGCGATATCTTCTCGTACTTGGCTTTAAAGGGTAAACGAAGTGTACAAGGATGTAAGTTGTAACCATGCTACGGCCGTCGACAAACGGATACGTTTGGTGCTTACGTGATGCGCTTTACGAGACCAATTCTGACTCTTTCAACAACGCGCTTCTAACAAACAGCACATTTGCGGGGATGGCCTTTATCATTTTTTACCCGTTTTTTTATCTGATATACCTCTCAACTCAATTTGCGAGGTTATTGATATCACGGCTTTTCCGGCTTATAATGGTAGCCGAGAGGGAAAAGCCCGACTTCGCATCAAATGCGTGCTCTTCATGCAAGATGAGGAAACGTCGGTGCGACAAGAAGCTTCCACGATGCCTCGAATGCACAAAGTGAGTAAGCCTCGTGACCAACTATGAGCTGAAATGGCGCTGATACAAGAAAAGGAAAAAGCGACGCTGCGATTACGACTATGTTAAGAGGAGCTCGCCAATAAACTCCGAACAATCAGATTCCATGTCGTTTCAGGAGAACTATCTCTCAGTTCATTCTATGGCCTCCCCACCAAACCCATATACCCTTCCGCTTTCCAACTTTCCAGCGTTGTATTTTGTCGATCCATCTGTCTTTCATAATCATCATGTTGAGATACCCAGACCCTCGGACAGCTTACCGAGCTATGTTGCCGGAGAGCTCGGCAGCGGCCAGCAGCAGGAACATATTGGCCGTCTTTTCTTTCACACTATCCATGCATGGTTCCCCATGGTTTCCCGAAAACGCTTTTATGAGGACTTGAATGTGACCGCTGAAGGTGTCGGTGCTGCTACTGACTTGGGTTCCTTGCTGTTAGGCATGAAACTAATGACATGGCGCCCTCCTTCATCAGAAGGTGACGCTCCTGTTGGGGATCGGACAGCTCGTACGGCAACTTACCGCGCGGCAAAACAATTCAATTTTGAACTCGAGGCGGCAGGGGTGATCTCTCTTCGAGTTCTTCAGGGAATGGTTCTTGTGGCACTCTACGAGATCGGGCACGCAATCTATCCTGCCGCGTTCATGTCTGTAGCAGCGTGTGTACGGTACGCGCATGGTCTCGGGATACAACCTGGAGGAATGCAGCGGCTGAAACTACCGTTAACGTGGGTGGAAGAGGAGGAACGGAAGAGGGTGTGGTGGTCTGTCTTTTTATTAGATCGGTGAGTTGAAGGGCTACATACGACAAGATATTACCGTTCGTATCTAACCAAAGTTTTAGATTCGTCGGCGTGACTTCTCCAGGCTGTCCAGCTGCAATAGATGAACCTGGGTCAGACAATCCTCTACCCACAGATGACGCGCTTTGGGATGAAGGCGTGGGTATCCTCGTCATGAATACATGCACCCTACAACATGGCTAATGTATATCTTTAGGCTACAAAAGTGCCTTGTTCCCCCTTGCTACACAATCCCGTCAGCATGGAATTTGGGAGGTTTGCATTGTTGATCCAAGCTTTCGTGCTACTATCCAAAGTGTCTCGGCTCACGTCTTCGCGAGATGTCCCACCGCAACTCTTCAAAGACGAGGCACAACAGTTAGAACGCACAGTCAAGGCGCTGCTTTACTTTGGACAGATGGAGTGCAAGTGGCGAAATGGGATGCCGAGCTGTGAGCTTCATTCAGTCTCCCAGATGTGAGTAGGGTATCCAGGTCCTCAGGTGGTTCATCTTAATAAAAGAACCGAAACTAACAGTTGCGAATAAAAGCTCCTTGCTAACAATATACACCTCTTCATCGATTCCCGTGCAAATGCCAGATAATTTTATAGAATCTCTTGCCGACGTGTTGGATAGTTCCAATTACGAGCATCTGGTGACCGCAGCGTGCCGCGGAAGAGACGAGATTTCCCCGTTTCTAATACAGCTCTTATACCAGACTTCGGTCCTACTTTTGAAGAGAGAACGACCTAGCAACGGAGATTGGAGCGAAACACGGGTAGAGAAGTTAAAGGACGCGTTAATGTGGTTGAACAAGAGATGGCAGCTCGCAGGTACGCTGCTTAATTGAGTGAAATTATTCGAGAGCGAGAAAGCTAATGCACGTCGGTTAGGTGTATTTCGCCAGGCGCTAGAAGCCCAGCAAATCGCATTGACGAGAGAAGGTTGATTTGTTGATTAGTTGACAATGTGGTGCGACGCTGACGGGATATCGCTGCTGCTTACCAATTCTTGCACCTTGACGATAATTATTGGTGGTAAGAATATTCGCAAATACTAATCCCTGTATCTAGTCGCATAATAACATAGTTTTAATAAATACGAGAACAAACGTCTCGTGTTAGACCCATGCTAATGAAAGGCGTTGATGCAAGGAATCGACAAGTACACGCGAATAGTACAAAGCGATCATGTACAGCCAGTCAGCTTACCTTACATATGCATACAACAGAAAATTATCTATCTTTTGCTCTTTGAAGTATAATTGTGGTTGATGTCGAAGAATAGAGTTGAGGCAATTGGCCGTGCAACTATTGAAGCGATAGACAATCCCCCCAGCAAATCTGTCGTGATTTCCAGCTTTGTTCCGTGATACCCATCTATCATGAAGTCTCTAATCTGACAAAAGAAAAGAAAAAGAAAAGCTTATAATCAATTCAACGTGACAAGTCCAAATGGTAATTCAAGAGGAAGATCACTTAATAGGGCGGCATTTATCACCTGAACAATTGTGGCGGTGCGAGTCTATAAGTTTTAGCACTAAATGAAGCTTACCGACTCTCCAAACCCAAAAAGGGTGGCTGCATTTGTCATTGGCCTCGTTCCAACCGTCTCTCACTTCTTTACCACTACTCGTCCTCCATTATCACGTCACCTCCCTCTTCATCAGCAGGTTCATAGTGTTTAATCCGGGCTATCTATGTGTTCATCACAGCTTCATTAGCCGCCATGTCGAATAAAGGCGAGAGCCTCATTCTCCCCAGCAATGCCGTCTTCCTAGTCCACAAGGTCGGCAGCTCGAAAGCCGGTCGCGAGACTCAGTGGGAGACTCGCTCCAAGACCATGCGTACAGCTCCCGGTCCGGCCCCTCGCATAGCTGAAGAAACAAGCGCCAATAACAGCGTCAAGTCAAAGAGCGACGCTGTTGAAGGGGGTTCGTGGGAGTTTGTCACCTACACGCCTCGCAAAGACCAGCAACTACCAAAACGGCCAAAGGAACTCAAGCGCAGGCGGCGTAATGAAGGCAAAGCTCCCTCAACCAAGGATAGATCCGTCGTCCCTATAAAACAAGAACCGAGAGTGCCTCGCAGTCCAAGTTCCATGCCCCCAGATCTTCCAGTGAGCCTGGTCCGACACGCGCTTCTTTATCTAAACTTTTGTATGCTCCCCTCTACCCCTTATTACGCCACCTATTTCCTAAATTTCAGGATAGCTAACTGCGAATAAAGACTTCCACTCAATAGCCAACGGTGCATACACGCTTCCATGTTTGCTTTTCAACCCTGCCAAAAGGGACTGGTTCCCCAGTATGATGCAGGACGAAGCTTGGCAATGCATCATCCTATCTCTATCTGCCAGCACCCTTGCTTCGGTGACCGGATCCTCTTCCAACTACGTGGACTCTCACACTCTCCTTGACGAAGCGCTGCGGCAACTCAAGGATCGAGTCGCATCTGGCGCCCTTCCCTCTGACCAAACACTGGGTGCAATTTCTTGTCTGGCCATGTGGAGTGTAAGTTGTTGAAAGCTTTGCTCCCCCTCTTCTATTTACTAATCAGTGTATCTGCTTCATTGTTTGCATCAACTGACTTTTTGAAGAATGACCAAGGCAACTATGACAAAGCGTGGATCCACGCCAATGGCCTCGCGGAACTCGTCAAGTTACGAGGAGGCTTCTCCAAAATTAGCAACGGGATGAGATCCAAAGTATACCGGTAGGAAATACCAACCCCTTACGCATATCTCTAGCTCACGACTCCTTGTCAGAGGCGTTTTTGATATTGCAGTGGACGTTGATAAACCTCCGCTTTTAGACGAAGGCCTCCGAGACTCTTCAAGCAGAGAAACTATCTGCGAAGATGACTTAGAATCAGATGGATCTGAATCTACTCCACCCGAATGCCGAGTGTCTCCACGGTTGTCCAGCATTTTCCATGATGTCGCTCAACTCAGTACCACTGTTGACGATGCAATGACTCAAAACCTCAAGCTGGACCCGAATTACCTATACGAGACCGTCTTTGGGCTTTACAACCGCCTCCTCACATGTCAATCCGACAAAATGAGCGGTTGCAATGACAGCCTACGAATCAGCCTCATCTTGTACCTCAAATCCATCGCAGCACAAGATCGCCTAAACGGGACATCGATGAATTTGGTTCGCAAGCTCCAAGCTTCTATCCAAGGCTGTCTACGCTCTTCATCGCCACTCACAAGGTGGAAACTATTCATTGGTGGCTTAGCCGCTACAGATGGAACTGCTGAACAGCAGTGGTTCCTCCAACATTTGGCCACTGCCATGACAGAGAAAAATATGGTTGGTGAAGATGGCTGGAAGTCATTGCAAGCAGAGCTGAGCGATGTCTTATGGGTCAAGCCAATTCATGAGGCCGCTGGATATAAACTATGGCTGCAAATTGAGGGAACACGCTCTACTTGATCACAGGCACTCGTTCAACAAGACCGGATTAAAAGTCACCTAAGAAAAATACGTCCGATAATGCAGAGCTAAATTAACGTTTTATCGTTAAGAAATCCAAGATTGCGTCTCAAGGATGCGACTCCCTTTAACGATTTGCAACCATTCCTTTGCTGGACTCGCCTCTTCACATAGCTCCCTGAAGAAAGTAATCGCAAACGATAGTACAACTGGATTTACAACGACCCAAACTATACGTTCTTAAGTATTCCCAGCAATCAGGCAAAGACATCACCAACACATGAATTATGCTGTACTAGGCGGCACAAACAAAACACAGCCATTGTTGAAGTCTACCTGGAAAATACGGTTCGCCCGCAAAAAGCATACAAACTGCCATCGCAAGGTGTGGTGTTCACTGGGTAACTAGAGTTTGTTTAATCAACAAAGAATGAGCTAATAAAGTTACTATGGTGCGATATACGAAGCATCAATCCCAGTTTACGTATTATACGCCATGATTTGGCAATGAGTCACTGGTTGACGAGACATACTTTGTCCACGAGAAGTGTAATAGTGGTATTTGCGATATTTGCGATATTTGCGATATTTGCAACTCAGCCACCAGCACTTCGTAAATGTCGAGATAAAAGAATACAATAAAATTCTTCTAGTCAACAACACAGTGTTCGCGTCCATAAGAATAAATGCCTTGGACATTGTGTTCCTTCACACAATGCAGGGAAAAGCCGATGTTGGTGTTGGTTAATTCTAAATTATTCCTTAGTTCGATCATGTAAACTACGTATAGCTGAAGCGATAATTTACTTCTTACGCAAACATAGGCTACATCATCAAAGACAGATTTTAGTGAATACGCTCGTGAGGCTGTCCGGGAAAAGTTTCGCCCGTTTTCAAGGGAATTTATTCTGCAACTTGTGCCAACATCAGCTGAGGTGACGATGGATCCCGCAAAAGCCCCACGGTCTCTGCGGAAGACTATGGTGATTGATAAAGTAATACATCACGTTGATATCTCCTGAAGGCGATAATATTGATCTTAGGATGGTTGATGTTTATGTGATTTTTATGAAGAGGCGTGGTAAGTTTACGGAGCTTATTTCTTGGTGTTTTTATATACTATTATTATACTGGGGACAGCATATTATGGCGTGGTAAAAATTGCATATTACTTCACTATTCATCGTTTTCATTTTTCGAAATTGCTCAGCTCTTCAAGAGTGTCTAATGTAATGAATGGTACCCTCTTACCTAAATCAAGTTGTGTACGCAGACTCTGCACTTCTCATATACAAAATTATAATTCAGCCTCCATGGAAAAAACTAAACATCCAGAAAGTTATAACTTGGGTATCCTGAAAAGAAAGAGGATTTGTCCGGAAGATTCCCTAAACTCAAATTCCCAATCAGTGATCCTACTAGTGTCCCCAAAACATCTATATTAAGGAGCCCTCCTCCCCCAGCTTCCCTCCTCACACTTCACCCAGTTCGCATCACATCACATCACAAGAAGTCACATACCTTCACAAGCCACAACTTCTACCAACAATACCATCTCCTCAGAGGTACAGTCACATACCAACAATTAATCATCACAAACACTAACATCTCCCACAGCAATTACCACAACAAACAATCACCTCTCGCAACTACAACCACCAAACCATCCCATCATCATCATCCTGCCATGTCTCAAGCCGGACAAGCAATCCAGTCAACAATGGACAACACTTTCGCCCAAATGCCACAAACAGACGACGAGATGGTGGAGCTGATCAAGCTCGTCGTCGAAGTGGTGAGGAAAGACCAGTTGGCTGGCGACCTCCGCGAATTCCAAAAGCAAGAGGAGTTCGAATTCAAGACTCTCCCGCGGCATAAGGAGCGCATGGCAGAGATCGATCGTTGGATGTCGGTGTCGAGGGCGCAGCAGCAAAAGTCGAAGCGTGAGAACCCGTCACGCTTTGACTGGGGAGATTGTACGTTTGGCGGGACGCCTGTTGGGGTGCTGAAGCCGTCGGATTACAGAAAGTTCAGGAGGAACTAACGATTACCTTTTTCTCCTTTTTACATTTTGCTTCCTTTTAGTTTGTTTTTCGATTGGGGATTGGACAGATCATGAGGATCTAGCAACTGGCTTTTGTTTTCATTATTGTTTGATTGAGGCGTTGCCTATAGATCACGGGGATCTAGCAACCACTAGGTACTTCTATCTTTACTTCCAAGGTACCTAGGTAGTGATCAAATGGTAGCATTAAATACTAAATCATGTCTTGTTATACAAATAAAATACCTGTGATCGATAAGTTGGTACCCAAGCTTTGTGTACATGTGTATAAACAACACCCCAGAACACTGTAAAACGCTGCATTACAAAGGTGCCTACATATGCACCAGGCTCCGTCCATCATTTCCCTCCAAATAAGAAACTGGCACATCCTTCTCATCAGGGTCTGTCAGAAAGTGGGAGCGTTGTATAGGATATATAGAGAGCGTCCAAACAGTCAGAAGCCTATAACGGCTGTCCCATCAAAATGCCCAAGTGATAATATGAAATCGCTGCTTCCAGGTCATCGTTGTGCTTTCTGTCAGGCAACAGACCTTGTGCTGTTTTCCAGAGAGGCAAAGTGGCTGCGGTGATATCGTTCAAGCATCTGATCGCAGGTACTTATTTTTTCGCTCTCTTGAAGGTAGGTATATATACGATCCACAAGTCTATGGTAGATGAAATGATTACATGACATGGTGCCCTACATAACTCCTCTTGCTCCCCCTTTGCTTCAATTGTATCCCTCTTTTATCACATCTCATAACTCATCACGTTCATGCGGTGTGTCAGGCCGCCCGCTATCCTTGTGCAAGTCCACGCCCTTCTTCAGCCTCCACTTCTCCCAGAGGTCCCAGAATTCGCCCTCCATCTTCTTATCCATCTGGTCCGGCAGAATCACTTCATACGTAACGTAAAGGTTTCCAAATTCGTGAGTGTGATAGACGCTCTCGCCCTCCTCGTGCCACTTGGGCATACCCTCCCCAACAACGGTTTCCACGTGCCCACTTTGAATGACGTGGCCTCGCTCGCGGCCAAGGCGCACAACATGCTTGTCAAGGTGTGTGAGGTTGCGTGTCCAGCCGCCCATCCAGGCCTCGCGCAGAGAGAGGACTTCGGTCCAGTACAGGTCGTGGCCTTTGCGCCGGAAGAAAGCGCCATCGACGCGATCGGGGTTATCTTCGTAGGATGGAGCCTTCTCGCCCAGGTTGACGATAAGATCACCGGGAACCCAATCGGGACTCTGGTCGGCTTCGTTCTCAAACACCACCTTAGCGTCTCGTGCGACGCCTCTCTCCACAGTCAAGCTGATGGTCGCCAACTTCCGCTCGACTCGATTGCCGTGGCAGATGGGGCACTTGTTCTTGATGGTCTTGCCTGATCCGCCACAGTGGTCGCAGCGAACCTGCATCTGCTGGAACATGCCAGGAACAAGCTGTTGTTTGACGATCCGGATACCGTGTCCACCGCAAACATTACAGGTCTCAACCTTTCCGTCTGCGCTGCCTGATCCCTCACACCGTTCGCAGATATGCTGCTTCTCCCACTGGAACTCGGTAGTAGCGCCGTTGTAGAAGTCGCGAAGGGAAATCTCTACTTGAACTTCGATGTTGCTGCCTCGGGGTTCGCGGTTGGATCTGCCAAAATGGCCATGGCCACCAAAGAATCTGCTGAACAGGTCGAAGGGATCGCCGCCGCCACCACCTCCTCCTCCTTGGCGATGGGACTTGACACCCTCGTGACCATAACGATCATACACCTTGCGAAGCTCGGAATCGCTTAGGACTTCGTAGGCCTCGGAAACCTGAACAAATTTCTCGTGCGCAGTTTCATCGCCCCTAAAAACAGCAGAGTGATTAGTCAACGTTGGTAAAGAGTGCGGCTGCGTCTGGCTAGGAGATGGCGTACGGGTTCTTATCTGGGTGGTATTTCTTCGAGAGCTGGCGATACGCAGACTTGAGCTGCTTGTCTGTCGCAGATTTATCGACTCCCAAGAGCTAATCCAAACCCGTTAGCATAATGTATGATCGAGGAAGAGAAAGAGTCTTGTCGTACTTTGTAAAAGTCTTCGGCGCAGAACGCAAGCGATACCAGCGCCAGCAAGACGAAGATTGCCCCGCGGAGTATCATGGTGCACGTACTTTCTGAGCTCTGCCAATGATAATATATATAAAGAAAAAGGAAGAAGCAAAAGAATAAGAAGTTATCAAGAGCTCAAACCAAAGCTCCCCTTCTGAGCTGCTTCTGCGGCAGTGCTGTGCAAAGGAGAGACGAGCTCGACACAAGGCCGACAGCGGTTGTAAGTTTACAGCGTGTTAACATTTCCAGCGGCAATCAATGGGCCGAATTAGTCTGCAGCATGCATCATCGCCGATAAGCCAGAGACAGCACTATCGCAGCGCGCCGATTGGCTGGCGGATTAACAGCGGACTAACAGGGGCCCACCATCTCAATCTCCACTAAAATTCAACACTGTCTATCTACTCTCTACTTTAGGCAAGCATCGCGTCTCACCTTCAACAGGCTGGCCGCGGTCAAGCCAGACAGCAAAGGAATCAAAGAGCATCTCCATCTGGTCTGAGTGACTCTTGCTGCTGTACTGTGACATCGTGACATCTCAGTTCAGCTCAGCCCAAAATGAGTTCCAAGAAATATGCCTTTGTCCCGATGGACGACGGCGGTTCCTCGGATCGCCACCAGGAGAGCCGCATGAGGTCGCGGCAGGAGTATCTCAAGAAGAGAGAGGCTGAGCGTCTGGCCCTGCTGAGGAGGCAAGTCGCCGAGGAGACGGCGGAGCTTAGGAGCGGAGTCAGGCTCTCAGAAAGGGAAAAGGCAGAGTTTGCTAAGAACAGAGAGCTTCTGCGCCTGGCTGAGGAGCGGCTGAGGATCGACGACCACCAGGATGGATACGTGATGCCAGAGGATTACATCACCGAAAAGGGCAAGCTGGACCGGAAAAAGAAGGAAGAGGCGCTCTACAAACGCCATGTCGAGCGGGATGAGTACGGCCAGGAGAAGTTTGTCACCGAGCACGACGAGTGGGAGAGGGAGCAGACCACAAAGGCCAAGGCGCAGATCCAGGGCCGAGAGCGGGAAAACGAGGATTACAGCTATGTCCTGGACGATGCTCAATATATCCAGTGGAGCCTGGACTCACGCATGCCGGGCGAGCGCAAGACCCTTACCAAGGAGCAGCAGTTTCTGGAAGCCCAGATCGAAGCGGCAGAGAAGAAGGCCCTGTCCATCCAGGAGACAAGGAAGAGTCTGCCCATCTACCAGTACCGAGACCAGTTCCTGGAAGCACTAGAGCAGTACCAAATCCTTGTCATTGTAGGTGAAACTGGCAGTGGCAAGACCACTCAGCTGCCTCAGTATCTTCACGAGGCCGGGTATACAAAGAACGGCATGAAGGTCGGATGCACACAGCCTCGACGAGTGGCTGCCATGAGTGTGGCTGCTCGTGTTGCCGACGAAGTTGGTGTCAAGATTGGCCACGAAGTCGGCTACTCTATCCGGTTCGAAGACTGCTCCAGCGAAAAGACGATACTCAAATACATGACGGATGGTATGTTACTGCGAGAGTTCATGACAGAACCAGACTTGGCAGGGTACTCGGCCATCATGATCGACGAGGCCCACGAGCGGACGGTGCATACGGACATTCTGCTAGCCCTAGTGAAAGACCTGGCAAGAGAACGGAAAGACTTGAAGCTCCTCATCTCTTCTGCTACCATGAACGCCGAGAAGTTTGCGCAGTATTTCGACGACGCTCCTATTTTCAACATCCCTGGCCGACGATATCCCGTTGACATCTACTATACCCCTGCGCCGGAGGCCAACTATCTGGCTGCAGCCATCACCACAGTGTTCCAGATCCATACAACCCAGGGCAAAGGAGACATTCTCATTTTCCTTACCGGACAGGACGAGATTGAAGCCGCCGAAATGGAGATTGCCGAGACGGCAAAGAAGCTTGGAAATCGGATCAAGGAACTAGTCATCTGTCCCATCTACGCCAACCTACCATCAGAACTCCAGGCAAAGATTTTCGAGCCAACTCCAGAAGGCGCACGCAAGGTCGTATTAGCGACAAACATTGCTGAGACGAGTTTGACTATTGATGGCATTGTATATGTCATCGACCCCGGTTATGTCAAGGAGAATGTCTACAACCCAGCCACAGGCATGTCGAACCTGGTTGTCGTCCCTTGCTCTCGAGCATCAGCCAATCAGCGGAGTGGTCGTGCTGGACGTGTAGGACCGGGCAAGTGCTTCCGATTATATACCAAGTTTGCGTACATGAACGAGATGGAGGAGTCACCGCTGCCCGAAATCCAGCGAACTAATCTCAACGGAGTTGTGCTGCAACTCAAGTCACTGGGCATCAATGAGCTTTTGGACTTCGAGTTCATGGATCCACCTCCAACAGAGACTCTCATCGGTGCCCTGAATCAGCTGTTTGCCCTCCAAGCTCTCAACCACAAGGGCGAGCTGACCAAGATTGGTCGGCAAATGGCTGAGTTTCCCACGGATCCCATGTTGGCCAAGGCCGTACTGGCAGCCGACAAGGAGGGCTGTGTGGAAGAGATTCTCTCCATCGTCTCCATGTTGGGTGAAGCATCTGCGCTCTTCTTCAGACCAAAGGACAAGAAGATTCACGCCGATAGCGCCCGAAACCGCTTCACCATCAAAGATGGCGGCGACCACGTTACACTGCTCAACATCTGGAACCAGTGGGTTGACAGCGGCTTTTCACCCATTTGGGCCAAGGAGAACTTTTTGCAGCAACGGTCTCTAACTCGCGCCCGAGATGTGCGAGATCAACTCGCCAAACTCTGTGAGCGCGTCGAGGTCGCTCCCTCAACATGCGGCGCCACCAACCTTCGGCCCATCAAGCGTGCCATTACGGCTGGATTCTTCCCCAACGCCGCACGGCTGCAGAAGAGCGGCGACAGCTACCGGACAGTCAAGAACAGCACTACGGTGTGGATTCACCCGAGCAGCGTGCTGATGTCGATAGACCCGCCCGAAAAGATGGTGATTTACTTTGAGCTGGTGCAGACGACAAAGGAGTATATGCGCAGCGTGATGCCGATCGAGGCTGGGTGGTTAGCGGAACTAGCACCTCACTTTCACAAGAAGAAGGACATTGAAGCATTGGAGGAAAAGAAGATGCCAAAACAGGGGCGATGAGTCTGATGCTTCAGCCCACGCCTTTCTCTTTCATTCTCAAGTTGGTATAATGTTACATACATTCATATTATGACAATCTGGAACAAGGGACACTCTAGTTTTCACTCTCAACTTAGGCATCGTCCACCCACCGATACATGATCTCCGTCCTCATGGTATACTTGGTTCCTTGGATTACCTCCGCTCCCTCGTGTAGCAGTAGGGGATGTTGGAAGATGAGGACGCTGCCCGCCTTGGGGTTGACATCTAGGCGCATCGTCCTATCACGCGACAAAAAGGAGGTTGCACCGCCGACTAGGCCTTCGTCATTGAGGTAGAGATGCACGGTATAATATGTCTCTAGAATGGGGCCGTCAGGGTTGTCGGCTCGGTACGCCGCGTCACAATGCGCTGAGATGACATGTTAGCTGCTGAAAACCGGCGGGAGGAGGTAGAGCATGTTTCGAATTTGTTTTACTTACGCCTAAAGAACTGGCCAGGAGTGTACTTGAGGAAGCGCATTCGCTCGTTTAGCCTTTCAAACTTCCATGTGCCCTTTCTGTTGTGCCTATGGTCAGGCCTTGGGCACGGGGCTGTGGCAACGAGCTCTTGCAGCCCCTCAGCCTGAGCACAACGATCCCATAGTCGATCCACGAGAAGCTGGTTGTCCCAGATGATTCGGTCACTGTTACGATAGCCTGTAGCCCGAGTTTCCACTCCGGGCGCAACGCTTATAAGAGCGGGTCTCCAAGGCGAATCCTCCGGCTTCTCGCGCGGCGCCGACTCCTCGGCATAGGCAATCAGCTGGTTGCACTCTTCCCGGGAGAGGACATTGTCGAGGATCCAGGCCTTGCATTTAGAGTATTCCGGCACCTTGGATTGCTTCCACGGCACGGGATAGAATGTGACAGGATCGGTGGCTGGACCGGTGAGAAATGTTTCGGCAATGTCAACGGGATTGGACGTATAGTCTACGCGGATGAAGCCGCTTGCAGATCGACTGGCGGACATGTTGTCGGATGGCTTTGCAGATGCTGCTGCCGCTGTGGAAGAGTTGGATTTGAAGAGCCTGGAAAGCATAGTGTATTTCCGCGTAGCGTATATATAATAGAAATTCACGATTGGAGGCTGAAAACAAAATGGGGCTTCACCGTAGTTCTGACCGCGGACTGGCTGTGTTTGCCTAAATCCTAAATCTGCGGCTCTTAACAGGCACCAATTATTGATCAATCCCAATCCCTGAAGACAAAAGGCACGGGTCACCGTTTATATACTTCACTGTTGTTAATATCAGACGAGACAAATAATCAGAATCTTACGGCCAAGTGGCATAATCGATAACAGCGAAAAAGGAAAAGGTTATTTATGATTCATTCAACAGGAATTCTGTCCTCTGCGCAAAAGAACGTGAACGGGGCAGTGCAGTCATCCTGTTGCCTTGAGGGCGAAATTCTCCGACCGCAAGGATGCCTGGCAGCGCGGCGGAGCAGTTCCGGTGAGACGGGCTGTATGGATGGCATTTGTTTTGCATAAAAGGAGAGGACAAATTAAAAATGCTGATGTATTGTTGAATCGGGCTGAAAAAAAGATACGTGTTTGAAGCTTTTGGGCAGCGGTGTGAGTTGGGGCTTGACGAGGCTGTGCTGTCATATGTACTTGATTCATTGGCGATGATTCATCGTTGCTTATAAGTCTAGGACTTTTACTTGTATTTTTATGTGTATTGTATTGGACAGATACGCAGCTTGTTAGAGGGGGCTGGTTAAGCCAGAACCTGGATATTCTATTGATTCCTCGTCGAACGTCACTCAACAAAATCACACAAATCCGATATGGTGTAGTGGCTAACATCGCTCGCTCTCATTACTTGAACCGAGCAGCCCTGGGTTCGATTCCCAGTATCGGAGACAGATTTCTCTTTTTGAACTTTTTCGTTGACTTTTTTTCTTCTCGCCGTCCTCAGTGAGGGTGTGTGATTCTGGCAGCTGAGGTTGCAGCGAATTAACAGCACTCACAACAAAGACAGACAGACAGACATACCCTAGATCCTGAATACAAACTTCTACTTCACGCATTCAATTTCATCCACAGACACAGTCTTTCAATAAATGCTATCATAGCATACACGTCATTCATCAAAATAGAAGGTAAAATAAGCGCAATTCATTAAAAAAAAGAAAAGGAAGAAGAAAAAATGACCATTCTCTTCATCCAATCTCTATCTCATTAAATCCCCGCACATCATCAAAATTCATCAAGACAATCATAAGCACTCGCTTCTTTTCTATACATTTGACAAAAAACAAAACAAGACAAAACCATACTTTGCCCATCATCTCTTGTACCCAATATATAAATTAAAAGGAAAAACATTTCATCAATCATAACGTAATTTGAACGAAAAAAAAAAGAGAAGAGACATGACATCGACACAAAACAAATAAGAAATATATCGTCATCAGAGTCGTCATCATCATCAAATCATCACCCATCATCTCCGTCTCTTGTGTCTCCTCTCCCTATCCTCATCGTCGTCCTCAATCTCTCTGCGCCTCCCCTCTCCCGCTCCTCCACCTTGTTGAATTACTCCCGCCAACGGTCCCGCCAACTGTCCCAGCATGTCACCACCAAGCACCTCCCCAATCACACTCACCCAGCTGCGCCGCCCCTCCAGAGCCCCTGTCACGTTTCTCACCAGTTTTTCGATTTGCTCAGGGTCAGTTCCGCCAAGCTGCCATCCGCCGTGGATATCCAAGCCGCCAGGTTTCTGTGCTGGACGGTGAAACTCGCCGCTTCTCGTAACCAAGCGGTTCTTGCCGTGACGTCCGCCATCCAGTGGTTTTCCATGCGAGTCGAAACGATCAGGTAAATCTTCAACATCGTCGTCTGAATCTGAGTGATGATGTCTCCGATGTCTGCCCTCGCCATCGCGATTGGGAGAGCGGTCGTGGGTTGTGTCAGATGATAGTCGACGGTGGCGGCTCGACCGCTTAAATTGATTCTCACGGTGCCTGTCGTCCTCAGACCCGGAGCTGTCTGATTCGGACTTGCTGTCATGCTCCTTTTTATGCCTCTCCATTGTCTTAGAGCTCGTCGGAGAAAGCGGTCCAAACGACACAGACTTTCTCCTACGAAGAGGTAACACGACTGGGGGTATCTCAATGCGAGGTGGCGGTAGCTGTTTAAGCGGTTTTAAGGCCTCTAGTTCTACACGTTAGCTTCGACGAATAGCGTTTCCTCTCGACAATCCCCATCAAAAAAGAAATCAAGGCAGTCCCGCACAAAAGTACGATTCAAACGCACCCTCATGTTGTCCACCCTTGTGATCAGGCAGACTGTTGTTTCTGGAGAGGTCACTCACTTGATCATGCGGGAAGTCACCGCCCACTGGTGGCCCTGCAGGAGGAGGTCCGGGTGGAGGTGCCGGACCCGAAGGAGGCGGACCAGCTGGCGGCGGTGCGTAACCGGGCACTCCGGAGAAGTTGGCAGGAGGCGGTCCAGAGGGTGGCGGAGGACCGGCCGGTGGAGGCGGGGGCGCATACACATGATAGTCTTGTGGCACGTAGGGATGATAGTCCCGAGGCGGAGGCACGTTGGGGTCAGTATACGGCGTGTAGTTGTGGTCTCGCGGCGGAACTCCAACTGGCGGCGGAACGCCAGGTGGAGGTGGAACACTGGCAGGAGGTGGAACGCCAGGGGGAGGCGGAACACTGGTAGGAGGGGGGCCGTTTCCGGGAGTGCTCGATCCCGGAGTCATGGGGTAGGGGGGATGGGGATAGTAGGCACCGCCAGAGGCAGTTGGGGGGGAGTGCGGCCTGTTTTGATCAAAGAAACCTCCGTTTGGAGGGACCTCGGGGAAGCCTGTACAAAGCTCAAAAGTAAGTTATCGTTTACAGACAGCCAGCTGCCCCGGCTATGAGGGTTTGGGGGGATTCTCACGTTGTCCTTGTTCATCGCGCTCCCTTGAGCGCCTCTCCTTCGAGCGCCTCTCTCTTCTCTCTTCTCTCCTTTCCTCTCTCCGCTCCTCTCTTCTCTCCTCCCGCCTCTCTTCTTCTTTTGCCTTCTTCTCTTTGTCCTTGCGGTCCTTGTACTCTTTAATTCCAGCTGCCGCTGCGCCTGCGGCAGCCATGTCTCGTAGCTTACTCCTGCTCCGCTTCCTCTCTTCGTCGGATCCAGAAGAAGAAGAAGGGTCTCTTTCACGTCTTCTCCGTCGGTTTCGTCGCCTCTCCTCGGCCTCGGATTCATATCCTTGGCCGGTGGGAGAGCGCGGATCGGGTGGTAGGGGATCATGCCCGTACTCAATCAAGCCTAGCCCAGGATCAGCCGCGGCGTCGGAATAAAGGGATCTGGCCCTCGACCTGCTCCTACTCCTGCTCCTGCTTCTGCTGGGAGAGTCACGCCTATCATAATCACGATCGTCGTCGTCGAATCCACGAGAGGTCGAAGCCTCTCTCTCTCTCTCCTTCTTCTTATCGTGGTGGTCCTTCCACACCTTGCCGGCTATGCCAGCAGCGGCCGCGGCGCCGGCAAGCTCAGCGCCACGCCGAAGCACGGACTTGCTGCGAGATCTGCTTCCATGTCGTGACTTGGATCGCGACTTTGACTTGTCGCGGAAATGCTTGACGATACCAGCGGCGGCGGCGGTTCCGACGGCGGCCTTGGCCAAGGTCGAAAGGCTGCGCTTGCGGCTGGGTCGGCGCGAGCGAGAGCGGGAGGAGGAGTAGTCATCGCCGGAGGAATAGTGGCCTCTGTTTCGGCTTCGGCCCCGACGCCTCTCCTCCTTTTCGGCCTTGCTGGCCTGGTGGTACTTGACCGCTCCGGCCGCAGCGAGAGCAACTGCCGCAATGCCGAGACCCTTTTTGAGAGCGGAATGGCGATCAGGGGATTCGTCGCCATCTCCCCAGCGGTCCTCGTATGCGCTGTGGGCTCGCCTGAGGGCCTCGGTTCCAAGAGCTCCCAGAGCAGCACCGGCGAGAACCTTCTTGCCACGGTGCTCATCAATCTCTCCGTACTCATTGGGGCGACTTGAAAGCAAAGCAGTGATGCCAGCGCCGGCAAGGGCACCCTCGGCGAGGTGGCGCTTGTGGTGGTGGTCCGCGCTCTGGCTGCGCTCGCGGCGAACGGTGCGACGAGAGTAGTAATAGTCATCCTCGTCGCTGTGGTAGTCATCGCGGCGGCGCTGGCGGCGGTCTCGATCACCCTTACCGACTTCTCTCCGTTCATGGCGGTAGTAATACTCTTCGTCGTAGGGAACACGGGCGACCTCTCGATCACCCTCTCTCTCCCTGAGCACGATAATGCTGGGGTCCTGTCTGGGGATGACTATCTGCTGCGGGGGCGCTTCCTGGACAATGATTTTCTGGTCCGGGGCGCGCTGGCGCACAACAACAGGTGAAGAATGCTCTGGCTCTCTGTAGTACTCGGTTTCCTTGCGATAGCGCTCAACCTCGTGGCCGTGGTTATCGTCGAAGCGTTCCTCAACCCTCTTTTCGACCCGTACATCTTCTTCATGATGGCGGGGGCGTCTCTCCCAGTCACGGTCCGGCTCGCGGCGTTCAACATCTCGCTCGTAGTAGACGGTACGAGTGCGGTCGCCGTCAACATCGATGGCTGAGCGCGGCCTGTCGGGGACATAGCGCTCTCTCCGCTCATACTCTACAAAGTCGTTGGTCCGCTCCGCGGGACCGGAGTAGCGCGAGCGTCGTTCCTCGTCCATCTCAATAAACTTTTCAGTGCGGTCGTATCGTTCTATTCGAGGTTGGTTGACCTTGTATCGGGTGACGGTGGTGGTTTTGAAGCGCTCGTCGTCAGAATCACTTTCGCGGCGTTCTCGATAGACCCGGGTGGTTCTATAGTCGGCCATTTCTCCAGCCCAACACAGCCTATCTCTGCCTAACTCTCTCTCTCTCGCTGTCTCTCACAGTGTCTATCTTTTGTCTGCTGCTTCTGCTGCTGTAGACGTCACTCTTGGAAGAGCTAAAGGTACCGGGCGATGAGGCGGGAAGAGAAAAGGCAGCCAGGCAACCAGAGGGACACAGTAAAAACAGTAAAGGATCCCAAGAGGCTGAAGAGCACAAGGAGGGGTAACGATTGTGTGTGGGAAGGCAAAGGATATGACGCAGAAGAGTCGCAGGAACCCCTGCTGTAATAGGGCTTTTGGGTGTCGAGGCGGCACCGACGGAGGAGCAGGATAACGTCAGGACAGTACCAATAGCGGGCCTCTTCGCGGTGGGCAGCTGATGACGATGTTTCATTGGGAGAGCAGAAGCTGGCCCAAGGTGGGCTGCTGACTTGAGGCCTTGTGAGCCAGCTAACGGGGAGGCTAGACAGGGCCCTGGCAAGGCTAGGCGAAGCTGTGATTTCTGCAGCTGCAGTCGTCTGTGCCCGGGTCATGTCATGTCGGCCTGTCAGCTCGGACATCTCGCAGTTGCTCGGTTTCGTGCGTTGTGGTGTCTTGACTTGTCTTGACTTGACTGGGCTTGTCTTGTCATGTCTCGTCGCTCGTGTCATCCCTTAACGGCATATCATATCACATCGCCATCGTCACCATCACCATCATCCTCAAATCTCCCAACAACAGACAGCGAACAGCGCCTCTCTCTCCCTCTCTCCCTCCCCTCTCCTCCCCATCCATCCCACAGTGCATCCCAACACGGTACGCCTGTTACTGATCGTTTCCTCGCTCTTGGCCTCTTGGCCTCTTGGCCCCCCCTCCCACTCTGTGCATTCGTGCCCTCACCCCCCTCAACAAACACAACACCCAGTCCTGGTTGGTCACCTGCATGAATCTGGAAGAAACGAGCACCGCCTTGTGACCAGGCAGAAGCGTGGCGCGGGGCCTCAGTAGTCGGACTCTTGCATCCACGAGGGCGCCAACTGTCGCAGACGGCGAGAGCCCAGCACCACCCGATTCAGCATCTGCGGTGACACCGTCTCAGCCTCACTCTTCTTTTTCTCTCTGTCTCTTTTGCTCTCTGTGCCCCTCCCCCTCGCTCGCTGGGTGTCCCGCCCTGGCAAGTTGTGTTGCGCTGCACCCAACGTCATGGATCAGGGACAAGCGAAACGGCGCTGCGACCAAGTGTGACGTCCAGGTTTCATTTACCCGATCGGTCGCCTTGCTGCTTGTTGCTTGTTGCTTGTCGCTCTGAGAGAGAGTTTGAGTCCGTCCGTCTTCTGTCCTCGCCTCGCGCCGTTCCGCGCTAAAACGCCCCTCAAGCCTTCTTCTATTTTCTACTGGAACGGAGGAGTCCGTCCTGGTTCCTGGACAAGCAGAGGGGCAAAAGAAAAAAATGGCAGGGAAGCTGTTGGCGAGGAGGGGAAAAGTGCTGGGCTGGGCGGGAATGTCGTCATCGCCCCGTTTTAGGCCTGTCGCTTCCAGCAGCCCACTAAATCCACCCAGTAGATGCCCGGATTTTGCATCCATCAGTGTTATGCACAGAATAGTTGCATACCTAGCAAGCCTAGCCACCGTCGACGCATCACCGAGGGAAAAGGAAGGGAAAAGAAGAAAGCAAGTGCCGCATCGACTCGTGGAGCCTCTCTCGGCCATTGCCGATGCGCCCCCAAGCCCGCCTGCTGATTAACTGTGCACTACCGGATCTTGCGCCCTACTAGTATTACTACCAGTATTACTACCAGTACTCCGTATTACTACCGGTATTATCATTGGCAGCGGCCTTGCATGTCCTGAGACGTGTCATTCAGCCTACCGGAGAGCCGGTGGATGAGCCCAACGGCGTTTGTGCCATAGCCCGCTGCCCCTTACAGATGGAAGCCGAACAAGTCACCCGGGAAGCCGATGTTGGCTCCGAGATGCCACCTGGTCACAACTCTGTCGCCGTTTATTGGATACAAGGTGTAGAATCCTGGAAATCCGATTTTCTATGTCATGTCTGCAAGGTATGTATGCTGCTATGTTACGGCCTTGTTGCTCTCGGTGTAGAACCGCTCAAACCCGCCCAAAGTGCCATATAAGTAAAATGAAGATACCAATCAAGATGCCCCAAAAAAGAAAGACCATGCACCAACTACGCCTCGTTTTGACCCAATCTGGTGATTTTGAATCCACATACACCACGCCTAGCAACTTCTACTCATCAAATCCGTGCTTGCTGCCCAAAACACCAATGCCGCCGTTGCTTCGCCGCCTCTTGCCAATGACCTCGCGCACCCAGTCGCTCAGCGTAAACCCCCAGTGGCCAGCCACCATGACTCCGCTGAAAATGTTGACAATCTTGACCAAAAAGGTAAAGAACCCATCGCGGGACTCTTCGACGCTCAGCATGATGGGCTCGATGTCGTACTTGAAGAAGATGCCGGGGACTTGGTGGTCCGAGATGGTCTTGCTCTGCTCCGTGACGGCGTACTGGTTCGTGTTGACGATCCTGTTGTTGGCGAGATAGACGGTGGGGACGACGGAGAGATAGTACTGGAATTTGTGAAAGTGGACAATCGCGGAGTTGACAGTACGATCGAGGGGGTTGACCAGCGACGGGTAAAAGGGGCCGTAGGACATTTCCGAGATGATGTGGGAGAAGTTGAATTCTAAGCGCAGTGAGTTAGAAAACATCATTAACAATGACAAGCAAAGAAGGTAAGATAAGAAACACTTACTATCATGGTCCAAGTGCTGGCCACCATAACCATGTCCTCTGGCCGTAATATGAAAATCGCCCTGCACCCTGTTCAAGTCCAGGCTGCCATACATGCGGCAACTGTCAGGCCTGCCCTTGGGCGACGGCGTCTTTGCCCATTTTGCCTTCTTTCGACTAAGAGCCACAATGTCGTGAACATGCTCCTCGCCAAAGCCCTCGTCGTGCGCGGCGAGCCAACCTTCACCAGTATCCAACTTGCCGTTTTCACTCTTGCCGAGCCTGTGCATGCCCTTTCCGTCGACCCACTGGTGCCAGGTTGTGGCATCGCGGTTCAGCTTGTCTCCAGCCAGAATGCGATCGCCCGATGCGTCCTGGACGTTGATATGAAGGTCATCACAGTCCATCTTGACGACGATGTCGAGGTTGACCTGCATGTCATGCCCAATGCCCTTTTCGACGGCAAACGTGTGATGCTCGGCGCCGCGCCACCAACGGCCTATCTCAGTCCACAGGAAGATGGAGGAGATGAGGAGCATAGCGACAGTCCATTTGCCGCCACCTGACGTCTTTGTCACATACTGAGGTTTTGACTTGGCTGCAGCAGAAAGAGTTAGCGTACGCGATTCGAGGGCAGGCAATGTAGAGCTACGATATAGCTCGGAGGGTCAAGTCGTACGGAATGCATCAAAGGCGCTGACGATGCCGCCCTTTGCGCCAAAGTCATCCTCATTCAAGCCCGACTTTTCAAACCCGTCCATTTTGGGAATTGGTGATTCTGTAGGAGATGTCTATTGTTCAAAAGATTGAAATTGTCATTTAAAGAGGCGAGATGAAGCAAAAGAGCAGGCAAGAGAGAAGAGAGAAGCTACAGCTGGTCGATGGCTACCTCATTCCAGGGAACCTGCAGCTTTGTCGACCCGCGCACTCTAACGGCTCAATTCGATCCAATGGAGGCGTACGCAATGTCGAAATCACGATTCGGCCTCAACCAAGTCCTTTCCAAGGCGTGGCGGGCAGCGGCGCATGTGAAGCACCGGTTTGATGGCATCAACAGCTGAGAAACCACAGCTGGACACGTCTCCAATTCGCTTCCCAGGTGCCAAGGGCGACGATGATTGGCCGAAGGAGTTGCGACCGGAATATCGGCGGCCCGATGGTCTGGAACGGCCACCGGCATGCTGGATGATTGATGGCGGATTTCCATGTCAGCAATGGGGACTTATTTATTGAGTGCAGAAATGCTGCAGATTTACATTGAGGCTATTGTCGCGTTGGTTGCGTATATGGCCAAGGCGATTCATTTGTTGTCGCAGGTATGGAATCCATCTGTTCTGAGGTACTTGTACGCTATAAGTGAGGTGAAGCTATTATACTGCACTTACTAAGATAAGGCAGTACATAACGTTACGCGTTACTCTACGCCCTAACCAAAGTACCTGTAGAAGGACTCGCAGCATCACTTGAGCACAGACTCCTCCCACCAAAAATCCCAGATGGATGCTCTAGCCCCAGCCTAAAAAGCCAGAGGCGCAGGAACCCTTGAGGCATGGCGGACCCCAAGTGGGATCAGGGCAGCAAATCAGGTGCGCCACGCTTGGCGAGATCTCGTGGCAGCGGGCTTGAGCGGGCCAAGAAAAGGCCAAGAGATCACTCGACGACGATGGCTGGCATATATCGTGACTACTGCAGACGTTGACTGATTGATTTGGAGGCGCATAGGGAACTAACCATCGCCTGCTGACGCCTTTTTTGCTGGGTTCAGTGTGATGGGCGAGGATGATAAGACGAGAGAGCCTCCATGTTTGCTTACCGGTACTTTGCACAAAGTACCTCCCTCAAACGGGCCGTCTCCAAAAATAGGTAGGCCCGGCCAATAATACTCGTACATGCGCCCCAAATGAAAATGAACCATCACTCATACATACATAGCATTGCATCGACGCTGCCGTCATTTGTATGGGCCACAAGCAGAGCAACTCCATAATTCCGGGCCTTCGTATTCTGTCTGCTCCCTCCAAGTCCCTCCAAGTCGCCCGCCCAGCTGCCAGATACGGCAATGCAGCCAGGCAAAGAATCGCCAACTCGGGCGCTTGGGCCCCCCCATGGATGCAATCTTGCGCATATCGTATCGCATCGCTGGCCCATGCTCCTCCGCATTATGCCCGTATTTCGACTACTGTTGGGCGAGGCCACTTCCCTGATGAATTCCTCGGTTGACGAATTCCCCGGTGGCTGGCGCTGTTTACGAGGAAGCAATCTCACCACGCAGAAGTATGTTTTCCCTGTAGGCTGTCCCGTAGCAGTGATGAGCTCAAATTCTGCTGCTGCTCATTTTAACCGGCCAACCGCCATGTATGTATATGCATGTATCTCTGCACGCGTCATGAGCGCCGGCGGTACCTCCCAGCGTCACATCAACATGCCAATCCTGCTTCCCTCCAGCACGTAGCGCCAGCCCATCGCCATTTTTTGCGCCACTGCTCCAGTTTAGTCCCCAGTTCTCACACCTCACGTCTTCATCCTCGTACTCTTGCTCTTCCCAAGTGACAACCAAACACACACTTTTTGTTTGACGCGGCCACCCTGGACATCTTGTGCCGTTTCCCGGTGTGCCGGCTCACTCTCATTCTCACTCGTTTTCATCCTCTTTCCAACATCGTGCGTTCCTTCATCTTCTGCTCGCTCGCTCTGCAACGCTTGCGAGTCCGCAGCCGAGGAACCGCCCTCCATCGACTCTCGCTTCCTCCCTCGCTCGCTCTAGTTATTTTTTTTTTTTCCCTCGTTACCCGACTGGATTGTAGACGTCAGCATCCACATCTCACCCTCACGCAACCGAAGCGAAACGAAACACATCGCACGACCACCCTTTCGCTCGATTTCGCGCTCGCTGGATTCTTATGCTTCGGTTGACACCTCGACGAAGCGCCGTTGTTGACCTGTAAAACCTGGCGTCGACATCATGAAATCCTTCTTTCGGCCGGGCGCCATGGCCGCCCTTCTCTCTGTGACAGACATGGCTGTCGCACAGCAGAGCCCGTTCTCTATTGCCTCAAATAGTGAGCATGCGCCGTCCTCTCCGTCTTGATGGTGCTCATGGCTAATGCGATTCTTCCCTGCTCCTCGTTAGGCGACATTAAGAAAACAGCAGCCACTGTCGCATGGGATATGCTTCAATACTATCACGGAAACGAGTCTGGCCAGACGCCAGGAATTCTTCCCGGACCACCTCCTGCTGGTGACTACTACTGGTGGGAAGGCGGTGCCATGTGGGGGACGCTGATCGATTACTGGTACTTGACCAACGACAGCACTTACAACGACCTCATCATGCAAGCCATACAGTGGCAGACGGGCCCTGACGACGACTTCCAACCCCCCAACGTCACTCTCTCGCTGGGAAATGATGATCAAGGCTTCTGGGGCATGACAGCCATGCTCGCCGCCGAGGAAAAGTTCCCCAATCCTCCCGCTGATAAACCCGGTTGGTTGGCTCTGGCGCAGGGAGTCTTCAACACCCAGGCCAGTCCCGAGCGCCACGACGGCACCTGCGGCGGCGGTATCCGCTGGCAGATTCCCCCAACCAATCCCGGATACAGCTACAAGAACAGTAAGCGCGACCTCATGTCGAGTTTGCCGGAGCATGCATCGTGATGGTGGCTAACCACTCCTTAGGTATTGCCAATGGCTGTTTCTTCAATTTGGGAGCGCGCCTGGCCCGCTACACCGGCAACACGACGTACTCCGACTGGGCTGAGAAGACATGGGACTGGATGGTTCAGATAGGATTCTTGGATAATTCAACGTATGCCATCTACGACGGCGCGGACGTGTCAAACAACTGCACTCAAATCAACAAGGCCGAATTTTCGTACAACAGCGCGGTTTGGGTTCTCGGCACAGCATACATGTACAACCATGTGAGTTCCCCTTTATGCTCATGCTCACAAATGCTCCTTGTTTTGGAGTTCAACAGCTGACCCTTCGGCAGACCAACAGTGCCGTATGGAAGACAAGACTCCAGAAGCTGGTTGACCACGGCCTCGAGACCTTTTTCCCCAACGGCATCGCATACGAGCCGTCGTGCGAGGGCGTCAACACTTGCACCACCGACATGGTATCCTTCAAGGGCTACCTCCACCGATGGTATGCCACGACGACGCAGCTGGCTCCTTTCCTGGCCCCCAAAATCCTGCCCATTCTCAAGACATCTGCGCAAGCAGCCGTCAAGCAATGCACAGGCGGTGCCCTGGGGCGCCAGTGCGGAATCAAGTGGAACACGGGCAAATACGACGGCAGAACCGGAGCAGGTCAAGAGATGAACGTCGTGGGCGCTGTGTCGTCGCTCCTCATCGGCCAGGCCCATGTTCCCGTTACCAACAGCACGGGTGGTACATCCCAGGGCAACCCCAACGCCGGCAGCAAACCAAACAGTTTCCAGCGGCCACTGACGCCTGTGACAGCGGGCGACAGGGCCGGGGCGGGCATTGTCACAATCGTCATCATCGGGTCCCTATGTACAGGGCTTGCCTGGATGAGTCTGGGCCCGTAAGCTGGCTCGCACCTTTTCCCGCATGGACAATTTCATTTCTTTTGACAAAAACTCTTTAAAACTTATGACGGGTCTGTGACAGCCGATGGTTGGCTAGACTCCTTGTATGGTGTTTGGGTTGGCTATTCAGGGGGCGGACTGGTAGCACTTTTACGACTTTGCTTGCTATTCGGCGTTGGAATGTACGTTTACTGGGATCATCTAGCATTTGTCTTTTTATTACTTCTTTTGTCACGTTTTTGTTTCTTCTTCTTCTGCTCCTCTTCATGATGGTCCTCGGGGTAGCCTTCGGTACTTGGAGTGTACAACCGCAGTCGACCGAGGACGGGGGGAGGGGCAACACTGTTTTTGATATCTGCTAGATGGCAAGATAAATATCGACCCTTTGGGGTGTTGGATGGAGCAGATGAGTGATGATGAGCGTCGATGATGCCGGGATGAGTGATGGAATAGGGCTGAGGATATGACCGTCTAGGATAGTGACGAATATAGTAACCTCACGATGGAACGGCAATTCTTTTTTTTTAGCTTTGGAAATATGAACCTTGCGCAGATTGTACGCTCGTAGTGGCATCGAATCATGCCAATGTAACGATGCATCCGCCGTTGGCATCGGCATCAGCCGGCAAGATGCTCTCCGTTAAGGCTGTTGCCGCTGAAATTCCCTGTCCGTCATGAGGCCGGAAGAGGGGCGATCGTCGGCAGCCCCAATCGGTGCAGTCAACGATACGTCATAAACGCATGCACAGGCGGGAATTGGGATTGGGAGTGCAATTGTCGATTGGAATCTTTTCAGCTCAACATTGGATGTCAGCAGAGCCGAAGAGTCATGGCTCGTATTAGTCAAGACGAGAGAAGCAAGAATGCCGGCTGCTTCCAGCGATGCGTCACGGCATGGCGACTCCGATCGGGGGTCCTCAGGCCAGGGTCATGCCAGGGTCAGGCGAGGTGATGTCGTAGCAAGAGGCTCGCAGAAGCCGGCAGAAACAGAAGAGAAAAAAAAAGATGCAGTAAGATGGGATTGACAAAATCGGGATTAAATTTCGCGATGTAATGGCCGCCGGGCCGAAGAAGCGAGATGCTGGGAATAGTAGTGAAAAAAGCCCCTGAGAGGTGCTTTTCCGCTGCGTTGCATTTTGCTCATGTGGCCACGGGAATGACGCAAGGGCCGCGGAGAGAGAGATGGAAGGCAAAAAAAAAATAACCCAATTGCACCTCGTGATGATGCCACTTGCTGTGTCGAGCCACTCACTGGTTTTTTCACTACATTGTTTGACGCTTACCTAAGTCTGGGCAGGGAAATTGGGTGTAATGGGAGAGAGAGAGGGATTGGATCATTGACTCGTTGGATGGCCTCAGTGAGCACGTAGATGGGCATGAAATTTGCAGGCCTCGTGGTTTGGAGGCTGGATTTGTTTGGATGGGATTGAGGGGGTGAGTACACCGTATTATTACGAGCATTAGGTAAGATGGTGAAAGGAGTTACATTTTGTTGCCATAGGTGCAGTACGTACTGGACACGTTCTGCTTACTCGCGGCCCTTTGCCTGCGTTGCAACGGTAACAGCACAGCTTGACAGCTCAGAAGACGAGATGGAAAAAAAAAATTGGCGAAAAATTGGCCAAGAAAAAGAGCGAAGCCGCTTCGGGCATTCTCATTACCTACAACAAACTCGCTGAAGGGCCCGCGTGACGCACGCCATCGGGTCACCAGAGGCTCCGTCGCAGCGCTACAGGGGACTTGGTGGCCTGGAACGTTGCCAAAGGCCGCTGTAAGGCGCTGGGCGGCCAGTTCGCTGAGCTCCGTGTCGGATCTGGCCACCTCATCCAAGTTGCTTGTACTTGTCATATACTCTTCGCAGCCATATTAAATAAGTGGCAATGGCAAGTATATCCCGCGTACACAGCAACTCGGATCACGCATGGGCGCGAGGGGCGGCCCCCTCTCCCAGAATTGCCCACCTGAGGAGCTCCAGCGGCCGTGAGTGGCCGACAAAAGCTTGGAAATTAGGTAGTGGCAAGGGCCCAGGGCTTTTCCTCAGCCCCATCAGGCCAGCCCTGCTTGAGCATAGCGTTTTGCGGGGGAGAAGGGAAAAAAAATCATAGCGAGAAAAAAAGCGAGAAAAAAAATTGGCAGCGGCACGGGATTGGGTGGGATGTTCTGGAATGGATCAGCAGGAATATCCATTGCGGAACCAGTGCTGCGGAGCCAGGGGCAAAAAGGGCAAAGGCAAGGGGGGCTGCGGCCAACAGCAGAAGGATGGAGAAAGAAGGAAAAGAAAAAAAGCTGAAAAATTCATTTTGCGTTGGTCATTAGTCTCGGTTGGCTTTTGGGGTCTGGTGACTCTGGCGTTTTAGGTTCGATGGGGGGGGGGGGGGCCTGGTTGTGTGACCTTGATGGCGGAATTGGTAATTTGGGGAGAACCAAGGTATAAGATGGAGGCAGTCTCCATTGTGATTGTGGTCTGTTTGCTTGGCTACGACGAGATTTACTGAATTGCTCTGAATTGAAGCTTGAATTGCAAGTCATTGGAACTGCTCCAGCTGCCAATTGCTCTACAACCGATACACTTATACACACATACACATACACACATATACACAACACTGACTTGATCACCACCACCACCACTACCACCACCACCACATCTTGTCATATTCATACAAATTCATACAAGACAACAACCGACACAATGCCCGTCAACTACGTCTTCACCGAATCAGCCCCCTCCCAGACCAGCTACTTCAGATCCGGTCGCGGCGGCGCTGGCAACACCTTCCGCACCTCAACTCTCACTCCCACATCCTCATCCTCCTCCGCCTCATCCTCCTCAGCACAGCGCCAGCTTCCCAACCAGCGCTTCTTCTCCGGAATCGGCGGCGCAGGCAACGTCCACCAGGCCGCCCAGCTGCAGCCCGCTCTGCTGCGCTCCCTCGAGACCCCCGGCAACCAGAACCCGCTGCGAGGCCACGTCGGCCGCGGCGGTGCGGGGAATGTCTATGGCCGCAAGCCCAGCGATGCGAGCAGCGTGTCCAGCGCGGGCAGCGATGCGAGTTCTGTCAGCGAGAAGGCCAAGATGTGGGCGTCTCGTGTGAGCGGCACTTTCTCACGGAAGTAGAAGAGAAGATGTCATGATGTCTACTCTACTGCGTTGGTTGAGGATGGAACTGGACTCGAAGAAACCAAAGAACAAAAGATAAAAAAAACAACAAAACTCGGGCGTTGAGAGGATACGATACGGAACTGGACATATTTGGGAGAGCGATTTCAATAAACAACACAAAACAAAAACATCCAAGTCGATGTTATGGATTAACGATTACGAATATACCCGCCCGGTTTATGGGCCACTGGAATTGAATTGGATGGAGTTTTGGAGCGGAACTAGCAAGCACGGAATGGTGCTTTGAGAAATGGACGAAAAGTTACTTGAGAGATATATTACATGTAGTTGATAATACTAAATCAATGCAAAGCCATTCTACTCGCTTCTCAATCTCTGCTTTCTTCTATTGCCTGATGTTGTCACTGTCTGTCGCCATTACAACATGAAGCTACTGTAACCCCTCAATGAGTCAAACATACGACTACCCTGCACGGGGCATTTTGGTCATGACTCAGCCTTATACCCAGGCACGCAATTTCCGGATTGAGTGTACTAATAACAACCAACCAAATACAGCCTCGATTCGTCTTTGTTGCCAATGATTCAGTCCAAACAGCGATGTTGCAATTCACATACTCGTTGTCAATGCTGATTGACAGAATACCGTATATCTTCTTGCCCCTCTTTTATCCTAAGCTGATGTTACCAACCTCAGATGGATACGTACTTAGGTACTAACAAGACCATGAAGCTTGTATACGCCCAGTATGAGGAAAAGCTGCAAACTTGGAACAAAGGACAGAATTCAAAGCAACCAGAGTACAAACTGATGCCGTCCAAAATGGATTCTAACATTGCAGTTCATCCGCACGGATCCGCCGTGATACGTCATCTCTTCTCTCTTTGTTTGTCCTTGCTCGCCTTTGTTCTTCCTGCAGTATATTTACTCTCAAGAAATGGTAAATCACCCACAACCTTTCCTGTCTTCACAACATCAGAGCCACGATTTGAATGCAGCCCGACACTATGGACGACCTGAAAGTTAACCTCCCGCCCATCGAGATTCGCGTCTCCGATCTCAACGTCTCTCCCAGGGCCTTAAACTACGACTGCGCAGTCTGTGCTTTGAAAGGCTACTGGTCCCAAGCGACAGCCATGACCAAGGCGGAACAAGAAGAGTACCGCGATATGCTAGTCACCCAAAAGAGATATCGCGGGAACCACTTCTACAACAAAGACTACCGACTTTATCAGGCAATCGATAACGGGCGCGTAACTTGGCCTCGATGGGTCTTCCTAGTGTCGCTGCTAGGCTATGTCAAGGAACTAGAGTACAGAATCAGACCTAAATTTAAAAACTCTACTATCGAAGATCTCTCGGCTGAGTATCGCCAATATTTCTCAACGGAGCTGTCATATGTTGACCCGTCCTTGAGTAGCAGCAACCATGATCCCGAGCTTTGGGATGATGAGGAGTATGTGAGCGATGACGGTGGAGATGAAGATGAAGCTCATCTCCAGTCAGAGGGCCATGTCAAGAATCAAGACAGCCCCAAGAATGACGAGGCAGGCAAGGACAATGCGGCTGTTGAAAACAGCAAACATGTCAACCACGAGCAAGATACCACCAGCGAGCGGCCGGCAAACCCGAATCAATCTACCTTAGAGAAACAACAGCGAGTGGACGGTACCCAAGCCCTGGAGCAACTCCTTGAACAAGTGGTGGATAAGGCAGCGAACAAGGCAGCTCAGCTTGTTGCCCCTGAGATGGACAAGAAACTTGACGGCGTTCTGGAAGCTGTCAAAATCTGGTCAACGGAATCGGCCGCGCTAATCCATACTCTGAACAAGTGTACGGAGAAATTGATGGAGGCGATGGCGGAGCACCAGAAATGAAGATTTCACAGCAGAAGGAGCCTCGAGCCAACACGCGGAATGGCGTCGAGTTCGAACATGGTTACTCCAAGTTTACAGGGAGTGGTGGAAGTCGTTAGAAGAGGACGTAAAAAATCCTTTCAGAGGCTTCTATATTATAGCTTTGCATTTCATAATTTACGCGAGTAATATCTCACTTTTTGTTGTTTATACGTAGTAATGCTTTTGTGTATGCAAAACCATATTTTCCTATCTCTCATGGCCCGCAACCTAAGCATCAACCGTACCCGAGTATATGCCTCGATAACCACTCCTCTACAAGTAACTATCGTTCCATTCGACGTGACACCCTTGCTATATCCTCCCCTGTAGCATCGAATATGGCTTCAAACTTGACCTAGGCCTTTTCCACGTCTGCCATTGCCTGTCTCTCGAAAAGGCAAGACTCTAGCTCTGACTTCGCATCGTCGACCTCCTATTTACGGTTTTGGGATCGGCAGCTAAAGCTAGCGAAATTTCTCCATTGACTACTTTAGCCTTCGTGGGCGACCTGTCTTTTGCATTGGATAGACCTGGCCACTGGTTTGATGCAGAATGCTCCTTAGCACTCTCGTAACTTTAGAAGAGATAGTCAAACTGCTACTTACCTTGGGCTCGACAATATGAGGGCGACATCGACCGTTTCTCCCTCTATTTTCACCTCGAACCAAGGTCGAAATCGAAACTTGGTGGTTGATCAAGGGAGTGGCTATTCATTACCCCGTATCTCAAACGTAAAGCTAGTGCTAGTAGCAGACAGCAGAGGAATATAGCGATAGTAGCAGAAAGTAGCGGTAGTACAGCAATATAGCGATAGTACAGCAATGTAACGATAGTAGAAGACAGTAGCAATCACAGTGTTTCCCATGATCCGACAGTTGGTCAAACAGGCTGCTCGTCTCCGTTGACTTCGTCATCGGCTTCCCTCTCGTCATCAGATTCGAGCTCCATACCGCTGTCGACCCCTTCTCTCCACTGATCTATGTAGAAATGGTCGTTCTCGTCCGAAGTGATTGAATCATCGTATTCATCATCTTCGAACAGCGGCCACCATAGCTCACCAGAAGCGCTGCATATTGCGGCCACACGAAGGAGATTCTACGAAAGCTCGAGAAGCTCAAAGCTGGGTATATGATTCAGGACATCCGACCTTAAGATAAAGGTCTGGCCTGTCTCAAGGCGCAAACCACTTCGTCGATGGGCGGTCCCTATATCCCAGGATCCATCTTTCAGAATCCCACTGTTCTCCATCAACATTTCAAAAGGTGGGTAGTAGGTGGCTGTGGTGAAATGTGGCACGCATTTGCCCTGTCTGAGCCAGTGAAACTGGACTTGGACATAACCCTCATCTGTCTTTCGTAGCGGTTTAAGCGCTATTTTGCAACCATCAAACCAGTCATGGAGCTGATGGTTCATCGAAAGCATATTCTGAGGAGAATTGGTGATCCTAGGGTCCCCAATTAACGCAGAAAGTCGAGCCGCTGTCCCGACGCCCCAGAATATCTCGAGCATATCCGCTATGCGTGATACAGCTGCACTCTTTGTCGCTTCGAGCGGGATAATATAGGCCGCCTGTGGATCATACATGCCGGTGAAATGGCATACGTTGCTATCTCGCTCCTTACACTACTAGACATTAGAGATGTATCAACAACAGATGACCTAGACACTTACAAGGTTGACTGCGTCGGAGCTAGCCTGTGGAAGATCTGTAAGGCGTCGGGGAAGCGAGGTTGATTGAGGCGGCATAAATGCTTGAATGCCGTTTATGCATGCACTCCGCCACCGAGCGAGCATTTCATCAACTTCAGCCTGATCATTGCGACGATTGCTATCCTCCAGCGCCGCAACTCTCGACTCTAGAATATTTACCGGGGCTACCATAATGACGGCAAATAGTGCCATGTTGATTTCGTCGTCCGAGCATTTCATTGTATTGCGCTGAATTCGCTGCAAAATGCGATGTCGGGTCTCCAATTCGGTCACATAATCTTGAACAGGCTCTGAATCAAGTCTGTCCATAACAAGAAGGCTGATATTTTCGCATGCTTTCTTGGTTATATCGAGGAGGGGCCCGAGGATTTGTCCTTCGTGCAGCTTCCACAGTTGCTGCAATTGGTCCTCGTTGAGACGCGATATCAACTCGCGAATTTTGTCAGGCGGTGGATCCATGATGGCTCTCTGTACTTCAAAGTTGTTAATACGGCCTATGATACGGATTGAGAATGACTGGAAAGGGTGAAAGACGGGGGCTTTATAGGCGTGAGAAAGACCTTACGAGGTTGAAGGTTTGAGCAGTGGCTTGCTGTGGTTGGGGGGTTGGTGTTGGTCAAAGTCAACGAGAGAGGTGGCTTGCGTGGGCTGGGTTCATTCAAAGTATGAATCATGAGGACGAAGCAAGTCCTACTTTATATTATTCTACTATTGCTATGTTCCTCTAGTATCGTTATGTTCCTGTACTACCGCTACTTTCTTCTATTCAACATCTTCCAAGTCTACCGGCGCTCGTCTCCATTTTGGCCTTCTCCGCCGCGAGTTGGATCAAGAGGTACCTTAGAAAGCTCTAAAAAAATAGTCGAGCTTCATTTGCGCCCGACAAACTACTAGAAAGACGTGTAAGTAAGAAGACGAGCATCAATGTCCAATTCTCACTGTAGCTGAAAGACAAAGAAGATGTAATATCATTGTGGTCTGCACGCTGTAACGATTGATAAACTAAACTCTCGCTGCTAAAACAAGACCCCATCATGTAACATCATAGACAATGTCAAACGGTGAGAAATAAACAAACAACCGCTTATTGAGAAACCCCAGCAAAAGCACCAGCTCCTCTGACTCTGCTTGCCAATTGGAAATTTGCGTGGGCTTCATCTAGTGAAAGGCCGCCATGGACGCCGCATCAAAAAAATAAAACACACCACGCCACATGCCTTCTCAAGCATTTCCTCCACGAAGCTGATAGCCGTGCTACCACCCCCCCTAAACTTGCTGTTCATCTTCGATCTAAAGTTCATCTTCTCTTTGAACCGACCTGCGGCGCTGCCTAAGAAGTGGATGCATCCTCACAAGAATCTCGTGTCGTCGGATTTCCATGATGGATTTCCTCAGTTGCCATATCGATGATGGATTGCGGATCTGTCTCAGTTGTGGGGGGTTCTTCATCTGCCTCGTCCCTCTCGAATTGCTGCTGCGTACTTGCAGAATCCATCTCGACCTGCTCAATGGGAGGATTTATCGCATCTTGATCAGGCATTTCGAGGTCATGGTCTTCCTCTACCATGTTGACCTTATTCTCTTCATTTTCCATGCCGATTCCATCATCTGAGACATTTGCGGCCCAATGCTCATCGGAGTCACTCCTTTCCTGGATAGCAGCGTCACAGAGCACTCCATTCAAGACTGGCATCGCCTCTCCAGCCCGCCGTCTAGGGGCTCTTCCTACCCTTCTTCGCGCCTCCCAAGCTGCTGTTCCATGAGCCGCAAGTCCTCCTCTCCTCACTGCGAAGAGTTCAAAGATCGCGTTTGGTCGAGGAGGATGTCCTTGTCGCTCGTTGGGAGGCGGTGATGTGTTTTGGTCAGCCTCAGAAGGAAGCTGGCCAGTAGAGCGAAATGCCATATCTTGACGCCATTAGCTACTTACGAGTTCTTTTGGATCATGTCTGATATCTCACCTGCAATGAATTGTCCAAAGATCTGTCGTATAGCTCGGCTTTATGCACAAAAATAAAGAGGATGATGGAGACAGAGGGAGGAAAATAATGCATGTAGAAGAGAGAAGAGAGAAGATGAAGAAACCAGAAAACAAGCCGCGTCGCCATAGCTGAACAAAGGTTTAAACTCGCGTATAGAGTAGGTACGATAGTGATTCAAATGGGTGGTAGTTGCTCTTGTAAACAGAGCTTTGAGTTGAGCGAAAGCGCATCCAACACACCAAGCAAGGCGATGGACGAGGCTCAACATCTAAATCGATCCAACAGCAGCCTCATGATTTGCCTGCACTTTCAAGCAACTGAGAATATCAGACCCCTAAAAAAATATCAAGAGAGGCAATCTCCAAAAAAAGATAGTGATCTCGCCCGGGCTCGAACCGGGGACCTTTTCGGTGGTGTCAACTAAACTGTTAACGAAATGTCATGACCAACTAGACCACGAAACCATCCTATCAGAAGACTTGATGCTGATTCGCCCTCGCACAACTCGCCTACAAACCTTTGATCTCAACAGAAGACAACAAAACAACAGAAACCATCAACTCAGCATAACCTCATGAATTATCAACACACGTACAGAGTGCAAAGTGCCCAGCTACATACACCATCTTCAACCCCCCAATCCAACAATCAACTGCAAATCGGGGTATCATTAGGCTCCCTTCATCTAGGTAATCAGACAAAGTCCTACAACTCCCTCGTCTAATGCCCGCTCGCTCCCTGTAAAAAAACCCTCCCGTCTCTGTATCATAAACCAAGTTCTTTGTTTTCGTGAGAAGAAGGAAAAAAAGAAAATTAGTTGTACACCACCAGTTGACTTCTAACCTCCTGGGAAAACTTGTCAATTTTTTTTTTCTTCTTTTCCCCCTTTTTTCCTTTGGTCTCCTCTGGTATCGGAGCAGATTTTGCCAGACCTGCCGCATCAGTTACGGCTCATCTTTGAGAAATGTTCAATATTACTGCGCGCTCCATCTTGAACCAAAGAAGCCAGACATGCAAAGACAACTTTCGCTCTCCTTTATGCCGATACGCCCGCTTCCATTTCGTGAATCATGTGAATTTCGTGTGGATAATATCCGGATTTTCGTGCCAGTCATCAATGCTCACCAGCATCTATCTCGCTCGTTAGTAACGCACGTCTACTTGCTCATCCAGATATATGGGGGGCTTACCTTGCGGAAGGTGCTCAAACCAGCGAGAATACTTCCTCCGATCCATGTAGAGTATTTGCGTTCTGGTGGCGCAAAAATCTTTATCCTCATGTCTTTGACCGCAAGCTTCTGCAGCTCCGTCAGGAGTCGGTCACCAAAGCCCTTTGTCAGCGTGCTGCCGCCTGACAGGACAATGTTGCTATACAGTGATTTTCGGAGATCCAGGTCAGTGCGGCTGATGGCATCGACCACGATCTGGTGCACACCAGGATACTCCTGGCCGATGATTTCGGGATCAAACAGAATCTCTGGAGCTCTAAATCGCTCAGCGCCAATCTACCCAAAACAGTCAGTATCCAGAAGAGTGATAAAGAGGGAAAGGAGTTTATCCAGTGCTTTGGTGGAAGCCAAAACGTGCTCACCTTTAGCTTGTGACCATCTGGCAAGACGTATTCGGCAAATTTGCTCTCGTTGGGCTTCACCCCGATCCAGTCCCTCTCCTCCTTCTTAGGATCGTGCGCCACATATGACACGCTCTCCTTGATCAGCCGAACCACTTCCTTTTCGGCGCTTGTGTGGAAGATGTAGCCGCTCTTGCGCAGCAGCGTCTGTAGATACTCAGTCACATCTCGGCCCGCGACGTCGATTCGCTGTATGCTGCTGGGCATGGCAAAGCCCTCGTAGACAGGCACCGCATGTGACACGCCGTCGCCAGAGTCGAGAACGATACCTGTCGTCCGGCCACTGGCATATAGCGACAGTACGGCCTGGATGGACGTGTGCAGTGCGGGGACGTTGAACGTCTCAAACAGAATCTGGGCGGCCGTGTCGCGGTTGCTCCGGGGGTTCAGAGGAGGCTCTGTCAGCAGAACTGGATGCTGCGGTGGTGTCAGCGGCCTCTCTTCGTCACTGTTGCTGGTGCACAAACCTCCTCGCTCAGCGTCTTGAGCCCCTCGCCATACACGTACTCCCAAATTCGCTCCATGTCGTCCCAGTCAGTCACGACGCCGTGCTCCAGCGGGTAGTGGATCTTGAGCAGCCCCCTCAGCTCGTTGGAAGCCTTGTTCCCTATAAACAAATCCCCCTCCAGCGCGCCGGCCAGGACTCGCAGGTGCTTCGGCCGCCCGACCCACGAAGGGAAGAAGCACTTGGGCAGATCCTCCCCCGCGAAACCAGCGCGGATGGTGCCCGAGCCGTTGTCCAGCACAATTGGGGCATTGTGCAGTATTTCCGTCATTTTCGCGTGCTGAGCCCAAGAATGCAGTTGGCGGCTACGTCGTTGCCGTCCTCCGCGGCGTTGGCTCCCCCTTTATTTCGTCCTTGGTTGCCGCCACTGGTGTGTTCGACAGAGTTGCGTTGCGTGCCCGGCCCTCGATCACAGCGCCCGCAGCATTGGCGACGTCTGGAAGCCTCTGGTAGCCTTGGGTAGCCTTGGGTAGCCTTGTCGGGTCTCTCGAAGTCGTCGGGTTGGAGGCCTTGCAGGTTCACCAGCTCCAAAGTTGTGGTCGAGGGTGATTGGCCATGTCTCGTCCCTAATGCACATCACTAGAGATGGAGCTCAGCTACCAGCCACAGCCGCTGCCAGTTGCGCCCACGCAGGCGCAAGCCACACCCGCATCACGTGGGGCTGCCCGCTGCTGTGGCGCCTCAGGCAGGAAAGGCCTGTTAAAGTGGTTTCGCGTCTGCGCGTCTCCTCAACCACCGACCGCGTCGCCGACGTGACAATTTGCTTCCAGCTTCCTCAATCTGCCATATGGCGAGGCCCCAAACGCTCTGCATGACCCCGACAAGCGACCCTTTTGCGCCCTAGCAGCCTCACCAGCGTTTGCTCCTCGCCCTGCCAGAATTGGCCTTGCTTGCGACCTCTGTTTGTTGATATTGTGCCCGGACTCGCCATCGCCGAGATGGTCAAGGGCAATGCAGGCACCGGCATTTTCAGTGCCACGTACAGTGGAGTAAGAGATCCCCAGTGAATCTTGGATGCGGCGGTTATGTGCAGATGACCTGGTTGTTGGATACGGGCCTTCAATTGGGGAGGATGGGGGCGTGGGAATCACAGAAACCAACCATCAAAAATCAATGCTCCTATCATCATCAATCGCAAAGGGGGGGAAGCTATGGTGGACCTGCTAAGAGCTTCTCCTTGCCTCCCTTTCTATCTTCTCCATCTTCTTGTCACCTCCCGCTTGTGCTCCCAACACCACAAAATCCATCTTGAGCTTAACAAAAGAAAGTGCATCCCATCGCATAAACTAACCACATCTGTCTTACCAGATTCCCGTTTACGAATACCAATTCGGCGGCGACCTAAAAGAACATGTCATGCGAAGGAGACACGATGACTGGATCAACGCAACACACATCTTAAAAGCCGCAGGCTTCGATAAACCAGCCCGAACGAGAATTCTGGAAAGAGACGTGCAGAAGGATGTTCACGAAAAGATTCAGGGTGGCTACGGCAAATACCAGGGAACTTGGATTCCGCTTGAAGCCGGCGAGGCCCTCGCTCAGCGGCACAGCGTCTATGATCGAATACGGCCCATCTTCGAGTTTGTTCCAGGAAACGAGAGCCCTCCTCCCGCTCCCAGGCATGCCAGCAAGCCTAAAGCACCAAAGTCCCGTCCCCCACTTCCAAAATGGAACTCGGGTAGGTCCAAGGTCGCGGGCATGGCACCCAGCGTCACTAACGCAGCGGCAGCCGCCATGCCAGTTGTCGAAGAGTACGAGAACAGTGAGAGCGTCATGGCCGGCGTGGAAGATGACACGCCAGATAACCTCACCGTAGCTTCGGCTTCGTACGTTGCCGAAGATGATCGATACGATATGGGCCACATGTCCACGGGCCACAGGAAGAGGAAGAGAGAAGAGCAGTTGCAGGACCTCACGGAACAGCAGCACGCTGTGTACGGCGACGAGCTTCTGGATTATTTCCTTCTTTCTAGAAATGAGCAGCCAGCCGTGAAGCCCGATCCGCCGCCGAATTTCCAGCCAAACTGGCTTATTGATGCCGAAAACCACACGGCCCTGCACTGGGCTTCCGCTATGGGCGACGTGGACGTGATCAAACAGCTTAAGAGATTTAATGCAGACGTTGCTGTGCGGAATATCCGCGGCGAGACACCGTTTATGCGATCAGTCAACTTTACGAATTGCTACGACAAGCAGACGTTTCCTTCGGTCATGAAGGAGCTCTTTGAGACGGTAGATGTCAGGGATAGCCAGGGATGCACCGTCATCCACCACGCTGCCATCATGAAGAACGGCCGTGTCTACAGCCCGTCGTGCTCAAGATACTACCTGGACAACATATTGAATAAGCTGCAGGAGGCATTTGAACCGAGTGCCTTTCAGCGGCTCATCGATGTGCAGGACGGTGACGGAAACACAGCGCTGCACCTTGCTGCTCTGCGCAACGCTAGGAAATGCATCCGTGCGCTGCTGGGCCGCAATGCCTCGACGGACATTCCAAACAATGAGGGTGTCCGCGCAGAAGATCTCATCATGGAGCTCAACGCTCAAAAGAAGGACCGTGGGCCACAGCGGTCATCTTCCCCCTTTGCGCCGGATTCCCAGCGGCGCGCCACATTTAGGGACGCCTTCTCGGGTGCGGGCGATAAAGCGCGGAAGCCCCCTTTGTCCTTCCAATCAGCGGCGGCCACGACGGTTCAGTCGCGCATCTCCCCGCTCATTATGGAAAAGTTTCAGCTGCTCGCGAAAAGCTATGACGAGGAGTGGCATGAAAAGGACGTGGCAGAGGCCGAGGCCCGGCGCATCTTGACAAACACCCAGGCCGAGCTGAACGCCGTACGGCAGCAAATCACGGAGCTCGAAGCTCAGCTCGAGCCAGACGACGTGGCTGCCAAGGTCATGAGCGAGGCTAACCTCGTCAGGCACAACGTCCTGTCCCTCATCACCCACCAAAACAGGCTGCATATCCACCAGGCGGTGGAAAACGAAATGAGCAAGCTGAACGGCGACGGCAGCAGTAATCCCAACAACCCCAACATGCAGGACGACTCTTACGAGGAACGGCTTACTCTCGCCCGACAGCTCAGCCAGATGCTTATGGAGCAGCGGCAGGCAGAGACGGAGTACGTCGACGCCCTGAGCATGGTGGGTGTCGGCGACAAGATCGAAAAGTACCGCCGCCTGCTAAAGCGCTGCCTCGATTCCAAAGACGGCGAGGTCCTGGACGCGAATCTCGACAGCCTGATTGACATGATGGAGGAGGAGCGTGAAGTGCATGACATGGACGGGTCGACAACAGCGGGGGGTGAGCCGATGGATTTTGCAGTTATGTGATTTCTTTTTTTTTTTTTCAACCATTTTTCGTTTCATGTTTTTTTTCTTGGCACCTCAAAAAGAGTGTGTGTCTAAGAGCAAAACGAGACCGATGGCAAGACGATGACAAATTGCCAAAAAAAGATGCAAGAGGGGAGGAGAGAGCAAAGAGGATAACAGAATCCGCGCACTTGAAATGCAAAAGTTCCTCCTTTTTCTCTTTGCCTCTCCCGAGGACATCCCTGATTACATGTCCCTTTTTTTAGAGGTCATCAAGCTACCCCGGCTTACTCTTTATCTCTCTCTTTTCTTTTTTTCTTGAGTAGCCGAGGGGATATCAGATATGTGCATTTACGACGTCAGGGTGGTGAGCGGCTTACTGCCCAACTACTAGCAGCAGTGAGAGCATTTGACGAGGTACGGTTTTTTTAGCGGTTTATGTGGTGGTTTTACCTACCTAGGTAGTCTTCTTGGACGAGCAAGTATATAGCAGTTGTTGAGCGGAGCGCATATAGCACTAAAGGAACGACTCAAGGGGGCGGATCCGGCGCTGGGGGTCACACAATTTTACATGTTCATTGGCCTTTCCTCTTTTTCAGACATCTTTGTTGAGACGCTAGTATATCGTGCTGAATCGACTGGTTTTATGAAACGTACCAGTAGAATTTCATGTCAAGCATCTTGCATCTGCGCTTCATGAAGGTTCTGTGACGAATAAATTCAGATGCGCCGCAACCTCGGTCCGGCATATTCGGAGGGGGGAGCTGTGTGGAGCCCGAGCGCACCGGAACAGAGTCACGGCATCTCATTGCGACCTTGACGGATATTAATCATGATAAGCGGTTCACCTTTCGTATTTTCGTATTTCGTATGCACCACGCAATGACTAGGACTCGGTTCGACAAAAAGAACGAACTCTTGCTAGATTTTGCGCGCGGCCTAGGCTTGACTTGGGAAACGGGTGGCCACCTCGGCCCCGACTGGACCAGACTTCTCCGGGGACGGTGGCCGGGCAGCTCGGACCCCCATCCAACCAAATGGCCAGATGTCCAGATGCCAAGCATTTCTACTCGCGTGAGATTATGAGGCGACAAGAGCAATGACATTCCATTCCGCAAGGAGAACGATAGGCTCCGCACCCATGTGTGACTTGTTCGAACTCCTAGAACTCATCACCACCATCGTCCCAACCTGATCAGGATGAAAGAGACCAATGAACGATTAAAATAGCAAGCTCCGAATCAAAACATCAGAGGCCGACGACAGAGGCCCGGCCATGGGTCTGCCGGCGTTGGTGGGACTGGATATTACCGCTTCAGGGAGGAGCTAACCGGCGACCGGCTCAGGCGGCTTGCATAGTATGGGCGTCAGGTGAGCAGCTGAGTCAGGGCGCCTGTATAAATACACCGTAAGCTGGCGGAGATGACTGGTTGAGCATTAGACGCCGTCATGTCTCTCCGTATAAGTCGCTTAGGAACGAAGCCAATTGTTGCTTCTCCGGATGCCATCTCGACTCATTGGCGTCATAGGAACAACTAGCGAGTCATGTCAGGTACAAAAGATAAACGTCTTAGCTTAGCGATATCTTATGTAACTCTGCCGTGCCTTGCTGCGGAACATGATCCTCCCGTGTCCTGGTCGTGCAATGGCGAATCGGTGCAATTACAAGTGCCAGCTCCTGCGGCGGCGCTTATGCGAAGGTCGGCTCAGGGAGGATGACTGCTGTTTTCGTATATCTGATTAGAATTTTTGGGCCCTTTTAGCAAGTGTATTGGCTTGTGAAAGTCCAATGACCGTGCCAACATGCAGTCTAATGCGGTGAAACACCAGTCACGAGGCCTTGTCTAGGACTTGCTATGCCGGTACTTGCAAGAGGGGGGAAGGTTGCGCACCTGTGAAACATTGTCAGGATGTCGACATATTAAGAGACATCTTGACCACGTAGTAGTCAGGCGGAAACGCAAAACTATTGCAGCTGAGCTGTCGATAGATGTCCGATAGCGTGCAGATGGCTCCACCAACATTTCGGACAGAAACACTCAGCCGGACCAATATCAGCAGCAATGAACTTGAGACACCCCACACAAGTGCCGTAGCATGGCTTCTGCAGCCATCTAGACGAACTCTCACCGTCAGAGTGGCAAAGAGCAAAGGCACGTCGAATGGATGCCCTAGGCAACACTATGTTGATCGCTAGGAGGCGGATGCTTGTCGACCTGAAAATAGCTTTGGATATCAAATAATTTACCCTCTGCCCCACGTAAACAACGAGGCAAGCCGACGTGGCACCCGGCAATGGAGACTCAATATTACTCGTACTAGTGATTCACCTGCGGTTGCACAAATGTAGTGGATACCGTCATGTGGGAGAGTCTCGAGGGTCTGGGGGCGAATTGAACACGGCATGCATGCTTGACTGGCGCTGAGGTATGGGGTATCGTCAGTTACTCTGCTTCCAATGGAGCCATGTATAAGCGGAGTGTAGGAGAGTACGAGCAGCAAGTCTTGACGGGATCCGCCAAACTATCCAAGTACTTCGGGCCAACGTTAAACTGTGCGTTGCAGCGATGACGGTGAGGAGGATGCCCGTCTGCAAGTCGTGATTTGCTGCGTCGCCCATGCTAGCGCTGGCAACGAATGTGGCACCCCAAGATAGCGCCTGCAAAATCGACAAATGTAATCCAGAGACGCCCAGATCCAGCACCTACTCGTACTATGTAGGCGGTAAAGCATTGGAGTGTGCCAATTTAAACCATTTTAAATCATGGAGAGGGGAGAGGTTAATAACATGCTGACGAGCGGGGGAGGGGTACCCCAATGGCTGTAAGGCTGACGGAAACACCCCAAACGGAGGTGAAGTTCAAGTCCTACTGGGAACATGGTAGAACTGGGCACACCCGCTTTCGCTGCTGATGGCACGGCGGCCCAAGCTGACTTGCTGACACAGCATACCGGCATGGTGCATCAGGGAGAAGTAGGGCAAGAGAGTCTCTAGCTCATCAACGGAGCTTTTCCCACGGACGCACGGTCACGATCACGGTCAGCCGTGGTGGGGAGAAGCAAGAGAGAAGCTAGGGCCGGAATGCACCAAGTGAGAGTCGGATTGAAGCTGATCCGTCTTGGGTCGTGTCACACACTGCCCGAATGAAGGTAGCTTGCTGATGCCCGATCCATGCGGCGCATTGCTAGACTAACATCAAGGGAAAGAAGCCCGTGTCTGCGTCCTTGGACGCAATCTGCACAAGTAGAGTACAGCGCAGCATGCGAGGGTCGGCAGCAACACCGGCGTGGTGCTAGCATGCTGGTGCGCATGTTTTGAGCCTCTCCCAGGCAAGTATGCATAGTTGGACTGTGATGCTAGTGTGCGTCAAAATGGAGGTCTGGCTGCAGAGCCGCAGCGGTCAGGATGCCAGGGTTCGTGCCACAGCCAGCTGAAAACGAAATGACGAGTGGCAGCGGTGTCTGCTGTCTGTCTGTGTCTGGCCTGGTGCGCGTCTGGTTTGGGGCCGGAGAAATCTGCCGCCCCACGAGTGACGAGTGCTTGGGCCAACCGCAGCGCTGGACAGCGGACTTTCGGGCTAGCAGAGTGCGTAGCGTAGCGTCGATGCCTCAATAGTCGGGATTTCAGTTGAGATCGATCGGAACACCGACGATGCGCTTGTGCAAGTTGTTTCGCCGAGGGCGTGAGGCTGAAGAGAATTTGGCCACTGTGGAAAAAGTTGAATAACTATTTTGTTGCTAGCAAGGGGAGGAGGAGGAGGAGGAGGAGAAAAAACTTTGCAAGTCGAAGAATGGGAGGCAAGAGGAGGAGCAGGCATCAGCTGTCGTGGGCACCAAAGTGGAAAGTGCGCCCTCGTACATACAGGACCGCGCAGAGTGCAGCAGGTACTGCAATGAGAGTACCAGCACCTGTACCTGTACTTGTGCCCGTACCTGTACTTGTACATGCCTCAACCGGCACCTCGTAGCGGCGTGCAGACTGCTCTAGCAGGTATTATGAGGAGTCATCATCATCCGGCTGCTACTGCACTGCACAGCCAAGTCGTCTGGGGTTGGTTTTGGGGCCCTGTCGAGGAGCCGTCTCGAGACGTTCGATACCTACCGGGACCACAGCGCAGCACCCGCACGGCCCAGTACGGTTACAGTACGGTTACATTACTGTACATAGTACAGCACAGCAGAGGTGGAGGGGGATGCGGCTTCATGGATGTTCTCGCACAGCGGTGGAGATCGGCAGAAGCTCGACGGCCCAGCGTTCTAGAAGCCCGCGTCTTGCAGGCTGGTCAGCTGGGCAGGTATCAAGTCGGTGCTTGTACCGCTACCTGCGCAGGTACCGCCTCCGACGAATGGCTGTGGCACGCCTGGGATTCGCTACCGACTTTCTGGATTTGGAGAGCGCAGCCACGCCTCTCGATGGCTTGGATGGTTCAGTCATGGCCGCGATGCGAGAATAGTTGGCTTTCCTGATTCATCCTCGGCGAATGTCTCTTGTTTCTGCTTGATGCTGCGCCGCGGATTCCCGGAATGCTTTGGGCATGGTACGGAAGTTGGGAAGACACCCAGACATGCAGAGCACCATGGCCATAGCGTCATTGTGCCCGGCATGCATCACGAGCGAGAATCCACCGGCTGAGAGAATTAATTAATCTGACAGACGCGGGAGTGGTCGCATGCGCGCAGGCTGCGACAGCATGGCCTTGTATGGTATGTTGACAGTATCTGTCACATTCGCAGGACGGCCATGTTCCGGCCCTCAGGGATTGTTTGTTTGCTGCTAACTGGATGCACCAGGCATGTTGCGAGGTGCATGATGTTAGTGCCATGATGCTTGCTGGAGAGAGATAGAGAGAGACAGCACGGCACGCACCTTGGATGCAATGTATTACTGTACGAGATACCGCATCTTGCCGAGAAGAGAGAAGCGTACGAAGGGCCCAAGGGCCTTGATGATGATGCTTCTTCCTGCGCTAGGCCTCGTCTGCTCCTCCTGCTCCATCCTGCTCCTCATGGTCATGATGCCCTCCCCTGCTTGCATCTCGCAGTAATATCGGGGCTGCTGCATCTCGCGGTCCCTGTGACTCGATGCTGCTTTTCTTGCCGGCAGAGCATTGGCTGCGCAATCAAACGGGCACACCACTTGAGCACCATGTCCCGCGCGATATCCCGCACCCACCAGGTTTTTTCAGCTGCCTTGGGTCATGCAAGTGACGCAACGTTTAACTCTATTTGCCAAACAAATCAATGCACAAACCGCACACCGGTTCCTGGCGCACTTTGGCACCCGCCGCTGGGTTCCCGCCGGCTTTGATGGTGGGCTAATTACCTTAGTAGTATTACCTATCTCTTATTTTTACTTTTGCCTTCTTTGTTTACTTGTTTTATTTGCTTGTTTGCTTGCTGGTCTGTTTCGCCTCCTTTCTTTCTTCTGTCTGCATGGCCAGTGGCGAGAGTAGCATCGTCAACCCCGTCTAGGCCCCCTGGGATCGCCAAGTTAGGGCTGCGCCTTTCAGCTGGGCAGGTCTCGTGCCTGGCAAGTAGATCCATGTACACGCACACTCCCGCCCCGGCGAGCCACCGCCCGCCACGCTGCCCGCAGGTACTTGCCGCTACAAGCGCTGCATGCAAGCCCCAGCACAACGCTAACAATACATGTACATGTCCGCTACTGTACTCGGACAAGTGAACCTGGGAAAGTCAATGGCCAACTGCGGTGCCACCCGGTGCAATTTCTCGCAACAGCAGCCATTGACCTCTTCGGGCCCCGATGACGGGAGCCCAGGACGCCACCAGATGCGCCGTGGCCAGTGCACATACGCTTTCAGCAGGGTCTAGCTTGGCCAGGTCAGCCACAGAGACAGACGTTGATGCGAGGACAAGTCAGTCCGTCCCGTAAGCAGACAAGAGCAAAAACCAAAGTACGAGTATACGTACAAGTATACGAGCTGCCGTGCGGGCTTGCAGGTACTCATCCACCATTACGGAGTGTTATAGTACTCGTAAGATACAAGGAGCCGCGGATGGCGATACCTGCGCTGTCGCGGAGAGCGCCGCCAAGCCGCGAGTAGCTCTAGGCCCTGTTGCCTGTACTATATCTCTTGCATAATGGGAACCAGCCTCCATGGAAATCAACGTGTTGCGATGGTACCTGCACTCGCCCACTGCAAGGTACTACATGTAGGTACCTATAGCACTCCGTCACAACTGCAATGCAGCGGTTTTAGCAGCTGTAGGACTCACTTGAGGGGGGGTCGCACACTGGTGACTGGTTCCATGTCGCGCCCCCTCTTTTTTGCTTCTTCTGATCTTGTGCCCGAAACTGGCTTCGACGCAAACCCATCACCATGCCATGTGCTGACTTGAGACGAAACCCGGACAAAGGATGATGTCGCTTCATATCCTGGCCTGCCCGAATAGGCACAGCTGCCTCTGGGTATACTGCACAGTACGCGCTGTACGGACTGCTGCAGTATACTAGGCATCATGATTATCGACTTCTCCTCCAGTCCAGCCCAGTCCCCTTCGCTCTCGGGAAGCACAGAATCAGAACGTCTCTATCGGCCACATGGCCAGCCTCTGGCCAATCGTCTTCGTCAGCAGCGCCTGTGTATCCAAAAAAGAACTGCGACTGAGAAAAAAAAAACACATCGACTCGCACCGAGGGTGTCTCGATAGGGCTCACCTCAGCTGAATACTGTCCGGGTGCCAGCTCCCGCCGATTGCGGGCACCGCTAACAGCAAAGCAAATCGCCTCTGGCTCCTTGGATCTCGCTACCGAAAGCACAGCAGGCGGGGACGGCGCCGAGCACTGAAACATGCCCCAAATAAGTTCCAAGCCTGCGTGCCTAGCCCTCGAGTCAGGGACGCCGTCAGTAGAACGGGCTGCCTTGTTGTCTGCTGAAAACAGGGATCTCCGTCGTGCCGCCAGGGCCTCGAAACACTCCCCTCTGCTCCGGGCCTTGCTGGTTTTGGCGCCTGCTCGTACTTTGTCTGGTGCCCATTGCCAATACCTGCTGTACATGCCAACAGGCGGTGCGGCTACTCATACGCAGTCGTGCCCTTGTTTGGACGGCAGGCCGCGGTAATTTCTCAGCTTTTTTCGTCAGTCGGCCGCACTCTGCCACTACTGCAGAACACAGCCCGTCGTCCACAGAGGATCAACCGCTTGGCGCGACCCAAATTCCGCGTCCTGTCTTTGCCGGCGCCGAGATACCCCATGGCTGCGGTAGGGTGCTTCCCGTGAGCTGGAAGAGGGAGGGGCCAGAGTGGAAATGGGACCGGACCACAGCAGCAGACATGCTACGACAGGACCTGCCAGGCTACTGCTAGTAGTAGCAGCATGGCTAATATGCTATGCCATGCCATGCCATGCCATGCCATGCGAGACCATGCGAGGCCATGCGAGGCCATGCGAGGCAAATCACAAGCACCCAGCAAGCACTGGCCTTGTCACAATGATCCCACACCCCCAGCTCGACAACTCCAGCTGCCATCAGCAAATCGGTCTTGCTTGATTGTGCTCCGTACTCGTACGCCTCCTGGCTCGTACTTGTACATGAATGGCGTTCGCTGCCCGAGTCTGTTCTAGCGGTGCTACGAGTCCGGCCATTACTGCCACCCCCCTCTTTCGCTCGGATGTTTCTTCTAATGCTAGCTTGGGATGGCTGAGAGGCTACTCCCGCTGGGCACTTCAGGCCTTGCTCTCTTCTTCAGTACATGTACTTGTTTGCGCTTCCCCGGGTGGGATCTAGCGCGGTTGGGAAGTTTTTCTCGTCGCTTGCCCCTCTGTTCGCCAGAAAGAAGAGGAAAAGGCCACACGCACGAGAGACACACCGTATCCTATCCCATCCCAATTTGAATTATATTAAGGTTCACCTCACCCCGACAAAATATTTTTTGTTTTCCCCCCCTTGTGGTGTTGTCTCACTCACTCACTCTTTCCGTCAGCCGCTTCTCTTTGCTCCAACAGAGGAAACAGGAACAGGAGTCCTTTGATCAACTGAGCAGCGCAGCACTCCCCCGGTCACAGGCAACGACCTATCGATGTCGTACCAGCTACTTAGTCTATACTTCGACACGAGACAACCCGAGTGACTCGCTGGGACAGCACCTGGTAGCTAAAACAACAAAAAGTCCGCGCAGAATCGCCACATTACTCAGTACCCCCCGTGTCACTTCGGCTTGCGCCGTATCCAGCCTCCGCCCTTGGTCATTTAAAGGCCATCATTGACAAACCAATATCCGAGGGTGCCGACCTCGAGACAACCGGAGGTTACCAATTAGAGTCTGCTCTTTTGCGCAAGACTGCCCCACGGCAGCACATCACCAGCAGCCGCCTCAATCGTATCTTGGTCGCCAGCAAACGCCCTACCAAACGCCGTAGGGCAGAAGAGTGCCGTCTGACCGCAGGAATAGTGCGACTTGGCAGGGACCCCGGCTGACGGCGCCAGGCCGAATTTCCATAAGCAGTCACCTCCCAGTCCACCATGCCCGTAACCAATCGTGGAGGCCTACCCGGCGCCGACTACAATTACTTGAAAGCCCAACCGCCCTCCTGGGAGTCTGTTCGAACCGGACTGTCTATTTTTGCCTTGGTCATCATTGCACGCTACTGTGTGCAGACGATCTACCGATGGCTTAGACCAACCGCGAGGCGCAACACTGCAACTCTTCTCCCCACTAACAACCTGCCGCTCCAGAGACAGTACAAGCCACACCTTGGGCCAATGGACGATGAAAAGAACATTGAAGGGGTCAACGACCAACACGAGGACTTGAGGGCGCCGGCTACCACCACCACGACAACGACGACGACGAACACGACGGCCGCCATGGATCGGCACCCGCACTGGAGAAGCGCTGGCGGCACCTTGCCAGGACCCTTCATCTCCCGGCTGCCTCCCGCGCCACCTTTGACTCCGCCGGAGCTGAGCACAGCCGTCTTCACCTTGGACAACGAACGGTCCCCCAGCAGCCAGAGCTTCATTCACCAGCCCAACCCCGATTACATGTCTTCCACGTCCACCACGGCTTTCCAGACAGGCAGCCCAGACTCTGCCTCCATCCCGCGGCGGCGATCCTACACTAGGACGCTCCCCATTAGCGTCTCTGGGTCTCACTCTCCTCAAGCGCAGTCGCCCGAGGCTGAATCCGTGGATCCAACCTTTTCGCCGAGTTCCTACCCACCGTCGGCCGGGTTGCTGCCGCCTGCGCCTCCCTCAGGTCTTGGCTCCGAGCTGGATGATCACGCCCATCGAAACGTCGACGTCCAAGGCGAGATTCTCTCGGTTCTCGATCGCGACGGAGCTGGCTGGACTCGCCATACACGTGTCTACGGTGGCGGAGCCTGTCTAGCGTGCGCTGCCAGCGGCGGTGGTTTCTACGGTGCTACTGTGACTCCAGAGGAGATGCGGTGATGGGCACGAGAGTGAGAAGGGAGAAAGAAAGCCCAGCCATTTCAAAAGGGGGAGGGGCGTGTGTGCGTGTGCGTGTGCGCGCGCAACATCTGATGCCTCAGCCGGACCAACCCGGACCTCGCTAATCATTTCTCTGTTTCTCTCTGTTGTCCTTCCTTTTTTTTTCCCACCCCTTCTGTTCTCTCTTTTCTGAGAAAGCAGCGCTTGCAAGGGGGAGGAGCGGATTGCTGCATTATCTTATGCATGAAACTAAGTCGGGAGGCGCAGGATGCTTGTTTTATCCCTTTGCTCTTTTTTTCCTTGTCCCGATTTCACTTTTGTTTTCTTCACATGGGGTGGCGCCTCGTTACATCTCCTTGTTTCAACCTTGTTTCCCCCAGCTCCCCTTTTTTCCTCTTTTGCTCTTTCAGCTTTTCCCCCACCAGCTTACTTTGACTTGTTTTCGGTTAGATGGCTGCTCATTGTCACTGTCCTGATTGCATGCTCTTGATCCCCTCCCCCTGGTATTTATTTATTCTCATTCAAAAGCACTTTTTAAGCTGCACTGTAATATGGAGTCAGTTCTGTTTTATTGGAATGTAAAAAAAGAAGGGTTGTGATTGGGCCCTTGACGTTTTCCCCTTTCCTCCTGTTTCTCCTCCTCCTGGTCTACAGCTTATTAGGTTATGAATATTACGACGATATGATGACTCTATTTCTTTCTAAGACTCTTTTTCTTTCCTCTTAGCTTGCTAAATATTTGAATAAAAGAATCCTGTCAGAAAATTCATGAAACTTGATCCTAACACGCGCCATGTGATTGATCATTGCGGAGAAGCCCCACGATCCGCCAACCGTTCTCTACTAGCCTCAACGCCTCTTTTCTCTCTCTCTCTCTATCACAATAGTCATAAAGGATGGATGAACCAGGATCTCTCCCCTCCCCCCCTCTCGGCCGAAGGACTGCAAGCAGCAAACGCTCCTGGACGACGATGGCCTCGGGTCCTGTTTCGTTCCTTAGCCGTAACCTTATTAGTGACACTTCTCCCAAGCAGAGGGCCGCATCCTTGACGCCTCTACTAGTTCATCCGCCTACGGAATCCCTGGAGGGGAGAAAAAACGGCCCAGCTCATGACAAATAGGGGTGTGAAACATAAGAGCTATGACAACCTAGATCTCATCAGGGCAAGTAAGCGGGCACCTCTAGGCTGGTCATACCAGTCCAGTTAGCAGGCTGGTCCATGTTCTGCTTGTTCACAATCCCCGATCAGTCACTTGGTTCTTGATCGTTTCTGTCGCCCGGGGGGTCGTGTGGACAGGCTTCCCTTCCCAGGTTATTTTGCCAAGCTTAGTAGATTTCCCGGGGGAGGGGGGAAGGGGGAAGGGAAGATGTCACTCATCGGTGACCAAACGGACGAGACGAGGTCTCACGGAGATGACACGACCAACAGAAAGGAAAGAGGAAAAAAAGAAACAAGGGCCCGGATTTGTCAGTCCTTGCGAGAGACGGGACGACAAGGGGTATGGAAGGAGTCCGAATTTAGTTATGGGGTTTGCTGATGAGTGGTCCGGCGACTCATTCGAGATGGCCGGCTCGGCGTTGATGGTTCTTAGTCCTAGGCCTGGTTATTTGTATTGGCTTACTGATTGCTTTTTTTGCTGATGAGGAATTCCTGGCAAGGAGTCAGTAAGAGAGCTCCAGTATATAGACATGACCGGGGGTGTAAATGGATAACCATACAGACACGAGTAATGGTTCTTCGGCAACAACCAACGACATGACTTGAGGATTGAGCATATCCGTCACGCCGGTTTCCCTTACCTCGAGTCATCCCATATTGGAAGTCATGCAGCAGCAAACAGGGCTGCGGGAGAAAAAAAAAATCACTAGCACCCAGCAAAACCGCTCACAAGAGTGTTATCGAACGCCCCCAAATCCCTGGAGGAAAACGCGGAAATGGCCGTACAAGGCTGAACCGGGGCGCCACAGTTCTGTCGGAGAAATGGGAACGCCTGGCCTGAGCCTGGTTCGTTTCGTCTCTGCTCTTTTTTTTTTTTATTCCCATGTGAAAGAACACATGCTGTGCTCCACGTTCCTTAATTTTCTCTTTCCCCCTCGGCTCTTTTTTTTAAAGCGCATTTGTGTTCGCTGTGTAAAAAAGATTGTCTGGAGAATGAAATGAATCTGCTATACTTAGTATTGAGATAAGCAGCCGCGCGGGGTATTCTAAAACATAAAAAAAACCACAGCTTGAATCTCGATGTTTTCGTTTCGAGAAAAGAAACAAGGCCAAGAGGGCAGAAATATCGCTACCTGGGGAGGCGTTTTATGGTTCTGACGTGAGCCTGTGTCAAAACCTGGTCAGCGGCCATGACTGATTGGGTGAAGCCCATGTTTTTTTCAAAGGGAGGGGGGGGGGGGATTTAGGAGGAGAGAAGCAGGCTTAGAGAATACGGTGTTGGAGCGTGAGGGGAATTAGAAAATATACATATGCCGTTTCTAGTAAGTGTATGTATACCCCGTACGGGAGGAGATGTTTGCAAAAAGGTACATTGGGAGTTTGCTTGCCCTTGACTCTGCAGGGTATCGATTTTGGGGCGTAAGAGCTGGATGCTTGCTGACGAGATTTGGCGATGTTTGGTAATCTATCCAGGGCTGTGGGAAAAAAAAAGAGATCCACTTGGCTGGGGGTCAGCCTTCAAGGGACATGGCTGAGCAATTTTATGCGATGCAGTAGTATGTCTAGGCAAAAAGCCGCTTTTGGAGCGGGCTTTTAGGTTGTTGTTTGTTTGTCTGTTTCCTCTTTATTTTTTCAACTGAGGTGAGTATATATCTCCGAATGGGTGTCCTTGGTTGGGATTTCCTATTGTGGGCAGAGGTGTGCTATGTATGTGTTTAACAGGGGGGCTGAGTAGCATGAATATGCGGATCGTAAGTAGTGGCTGTCTTGTTTCCCCATTTTGCTATGTCTCTGTGGAAAAGACAAGAAAGGAGCTTGGTCTCGTGAAGAGCTGAAAAACAAAAACGCACAAGTCCTCCTAGTCGGCAGCATCCCCCGGTACCTATTCGCGGCTTCTCCCGGACCTGAAATCAGCTACTGTACATGCCAGCAAGCATGCACCTGTCAATCTCGAATCCATGTCTGTGAGTAAGCAGCGGGCAAGGCGAGATGATGAGCCAGGTCTGTGTGTTGACCGGGGTGATCCGTATTGGTGGGAGTCGGAGGTCGGGGCTCGGAGTCGGCGACCAAATGAGACTGCAGCATGCAGCGGATTGAATTTCAATTCAATTACATGGACTCCGTCGTCCCGAATTCCGAGACTGATCCATGGTGTGGCTTCGTATGACTTCGTATATGTAAGACCCAGTTCCGTCACTTCTAAGCAGGGAAAGCTCTAGCGAAGTCATGGAGCTATATGGAGCATGAGGAAGTGGATATTTTGTGCCCCCAACTCCCAACTTGGTTATCCAACATGACAAGATTATAGAGGATATTAATATTCAGCTGCTATAAGCGATGCTAGGCCAAGGTAATCATAGTAATGCCAAGTATACATCTATTTCCAAATCACTACATAAAAGAAGCACGTACAAAAATTCCAGTTGCGATAACTAATATGCTGACCAACATGGCCTGATTAATTCTTGGTCGTTCTTCTCCATACAAGCACACGTAAGAGTAAGAGTCGCTGGGGTGCTGAATATCCATTCCCTTTTACGATGAAAGTTTCCAGGGATGTTAAATCAGCTTCATGCAAGCCGCCGGTTACGACACTTCTAGCTGGGCATAGATATTCCCTCGACCGACAACAAAGTGGCTTCTCGTCCGCGGAACGCCGTCCCCGTTGGTGCAGAAACAGGGGCTTGGCAGTCAGTCAGCGGCCTGATGTCGAGCCCCTGATGCTGTTGGCCCGACTGGTCCGTAAGCACCGGTACAGATCAACTGAGTCTGTAGCTTTGTTGGGTCATTTCTCTGAAAGCTCGCGCCTTTGTAAATGCCGCTATAAGCACAGACTTTCTCAACAACGCTTGGCTTTCAATGTTAGGAGCGAGTGATACTCACGAAGAGAGAGAGAGTAGTATGTGTATATATCTCTAACTAGATTATTCAAAGAGTGTATGAGCCTGAGCTGCTCTTCGGACATAAGGCCCTACACACAACTGGGCCGGCATCGATGCCCTCTCCTCGCTTACGCTCAACATGGGCGCCGTACAGGTCCGGACCTTGTTCGAGTTAACGTTACGTAGAATCTCTCACTAATACAACCGTGTTTCTCTCAAATGATCCATCCTCGTGCCATGACCGAAGTGCCGACTATCATATTCCTTGGACAGCAAGTATCAACTACGTGTTGTCATAGCGCGCAGCGTTTTCGTTGGATAAATGCAGTAACGCAATATCTCGCTTGGATCTAACCCCACAGACACTAATATTTCGACGATAAGCTCTCGTAAGATGGAGAAACTATTGACGACGAGCTGTTGCGGGTACATGGGTAGATCGTCTGGGGGTACGCACTTTTTTGTGGAAGAACCGCGAGATTCCGTCAATCATCGTTCATCGTCCTAAGCCAAAAATATGGCTTAGGGTGACAACGGATGTGGATCCTGTTGAAGCGATTACGTTCTGTAATAGTCCATCTCAGCCCAGGATATAAGCAAGATAAATGCAGGCTTGGGTTTAGCGAGGTCCGTTATGGTATTGAGGACCATAAATACTTTGCATTGCCTACAATTAACCCTTTCCTTGAATGTATTTAACACACAATGATATTCAAAGACATGGCTACGTTGAAGAGTGTTATACAAATATATATAGGATACAGTATCTCTTATGTGATTTATCCAGCTATTCTATCTGCTATCACCGCACCGCCTTATTTTGATACCATCTTTACCTTCTTCTAGTGTCTACTATGAACACTTAAGTAGCTATTGAGTTGTAATAGTTCCTCATAATTTAGTATACTAGGTAGTCAATTTGTGTGTTAGCTACTTAGTCACTCCGTTCAGAAAGTGTGTTGGACGTTTGGCTGGGTAGGTATTCAGTACCATGTTTGTATCGAAGTACCTCTTCGTAAGTGTTTCAAGTCCTATGAGGAGGATATTTCAAAGAATGGGAATCCCCTCAGGAAGTAGAAAGAATTAAGCGGAGAGAAATTGAGTGGCAAATACCGATTACCCCCACATTTGGTTATTTTTGGAATAAACATGGACGAGATATTTGAAGAAGATCGATTTCCGATATCTATAGCGATGGTTTGTTACATCTATGGAAGCATACTTGACTGCTGCATGTCCAGTTCGTCTCGAAATATCAAATCATCCGCCGGATGACTGACTGGGCGGCGAAGAAGAGAAAAATTCGCTGGGTACTAGTGTCGGCCGACAAATCACGTCACGGCTTTCCTTTCGGAATGGAATCAATTTCAACAGATGCATTCCAGCAAAGCTAGTATTGCATATGCGGATTCTTCGAATAGGCAGGGTGCAATATATCAAGCTACAAAGTCGTAGTATGCGATCAGTGTGCAAAAAACCGAGGTCAAGATGTCTCAAGCATGAATGGCTTTTGATAGTGCAAATATTTTATTTCGGATAGTAGGGTAGTTCAATACGAGTTGAGAGAGCCGGCTTGATAAACTCAGCTCTTGGATCAAATGACTAGAGTCGTATCCAACTCCGATTCCGTTCGAATCCAACCGTGAATACATACGAGAAATCATGACTACGACGCGATCATTGCATCAAGCTTCTTCGATAAACGAGAAATGCCACAGAGTAGGATCAAAGGTTAATGGCGCTATAAGCCCGTGGGTTAAGTTTAATGACTACATGTATCCAGCGGGCTATATGCCCAAGAAGGTTCAATGACTCAACGGGTGACTGTGTACAGTAGGGGGATTGTGTTAATCCGTTGAGTCATAAAAGACAGTGGAATAGAGATTGACGATACGTCTTGAATTTAGGCACCCGGTCATTGCGAGCTTGGTAAGTGGGTTAGATTTCCAGTTCTCCGTTCGGATCAGGTCTTTCATCGCCAGCATGGCCGTCTTGGGAAATCATTAGGGTTTTACCGCATCAAAACGCAATTCATTTCGCTCATTTCGACACTCAGTCAGAAAGCGAGTCGTTGATGAGAACATGAGATGACGTCTGGTTCAGAATTCTGGACGACACAATGTCTTTCAACCTCGGTCAATACAGACCGCCCAGCGGGAAGTCCTTGTCAATGATTTCTAATAGACTCCAATCTTCGACACGGGCCGTTGATTGACGAAATAGGAAAGTAAGAGTATGAGTCCTCGACTCCTCATCGTGGGCACCAAATTAAACGCCTACCTATTACGGAAAAGCATCAAGGATCTGTGTGATCCGAGTACTACCACGAGGATTGCTACACGCTATCAGGACATCCCGTCGGTACTTCAATCCAGCACCCAAGAGAGTACAAGGCCCTCGCCACCAACAATGGCAGGATGTCAATTGATACTTTGACGCCGTCGCAACGAGAGGCGGTAATGGTGGTGCAGCATGCGGGCTGATTGGCGCTGGCAGGGCTCGGCTGTGCATTTAAGCGCCAGAAGTCAAGTCACGCACTTGGCCGTGCATAACAGGAACATGCGCTGCATCGCGGCTAATGAGTAACATGAGTCTCGATCCCGGTCCATTTTCATTTCCGGTCGGCCAGCGATCCGGCATGTGGCGATGGCGGCGGTGATGACGATGGGCGGTACAAACACCTTGGTTGTATATGTCGTCGACAACAAGATGGCATCACTGCGAGCCGTTGGTCGGCGGAATGACACGTCACATGCAAACGATAAACTCGGTCGTTATTCTCTGCCTCTCTATTTTAGAGAGCTCGGCCCGGGAAACCATGGGGCTGGGTTCATCAAACTTAGCAAAGTATATCCTAGGTGATGAAACAAAGCCTCGGACCACTCCGTAATCCAGGGTCCGTATCCTCGGAAAGCCAAAGCTTGAATGAAATGAAGTCAGACGCGCAATTGGCCGTGGTGTGCATTCTGCATATCTGCTAATGCACATCAGCAGCCACCTGCTACGGTTCAGTGGTATCTAGCGATGCGCGTCAAAATGAAAGGCATGCGACATGCATTCCACCATTTTGGCGGACACACGCGTCCAAGTCAAGTTAGCAGGAACTGATGGAAAGATGGAGAGCGATAGACGCCTCGCAGGTGGTTCTTTGGACTTGTTGCTCTTGCAGTAATACTGTGCTGTATATAGATAGTAGTATTAGTATGTGAAGACATGGTTCAAGAGCCCTGAGCGCATTAGTGGATCTCGCCTCGTCTCGCGTTTGATGAGTCGGAGTTTCGAGTTTGATGTTTGAGGATATCCGCGTCAGCCTTTCGAGGCGTCCCTGATATCAATGCCTGCTTGCTTGTTTGCCTTCAGGTGAGTATCATACTTTGAACTCGGTGACAGGTCATCATAACAAAAAAAAAAAAAAGATGCCGGGTTTGGCGACAGGCATCATGTTGACAAGATTCAATAGTCTCGTCATAGCCTCGAGAACCCCTGGAGCAGAACCTGGCCCGCAGTTGCATTGCCGCCATCTGGTGCATGTGCAGTAGCAGCATCAACGACGGGCTACCTCTGGGGATTGTTTCATACTGTGCCTCTTAGGAGGTAGCCTGTATGTACTATACCACCAACCTACGGTATAGTCATAACTCTGTTCTCATAGCGTGCTGGTATTAATTAATACCTGTTCCCACCTAGTATTTGCAAGTGTGTACTCGTATACAAGCAAGCCGGCTGAGGCCAGCAAGGGGCGATACCTGACTGAGCCTCTTGGGCTGTGCTGTCCCTTTTCACGCAATCATGTGCTAGCAGGGCGACTTGAAACACGGGAGGCTGCGGTGTGGAGTCGACGATCTGGATGGAGTCTGACATGGGTCAAGGGCTGTATGAGAGTACTCGTACAAGTACATACGAAGCGGTCGTACAGACTTTTCCGGGGACGATTTGCTGGTCCACGTTCTCGTATTGTATCCTCGGGCCCGGCTAGGGGGGGAGATTCCACGGCAGAATCCTGTATGGACGGTCAGCACTTGCGAAGACCATTCAATGACGATCCGGAGATCCAATCACCGGCAGAGGAAAAGAGCTGGGCAGCGATTCTGTAGGTTAGGCGCACAGCCGGCAAAAGGGCTCACGACAGAGACTCGACACGGGTAAAGACTTGAGGGCGGGAGCCAAACACGATTTAGCTTGGACCCCGCCATTTTGCTTGTTGGCTGTCCTGTCGAGTCACGAGCATCATTCGTTGGGGGGGAGCGTGGGCTTACCGTTCCTGGATGATGAGGGTTTCTCTCTGTGTCTGTGTCTGGTCGTCGGTTTGTCGGATTTGTCCGTCGCTTGTCTGTTCTCGTCTTCCCACTCACTCTCACGTGTCTGTCTGTCTGTCTGCTGGCAAGACCGGATGATGGCGATGACGCACATTCTTTCTGCGTTCTTCTTCTTCTTCTCCGTCTTCTCCGGCTTTCTTGCTCGCCTTCTGCAAATGCCTGACTCTTGTCTCGCAGCGCCGTGGCCAATGGCGGGGGACAGGCAAAGAGGAGCAGCAGCATTTGTGAGGGTGTTGTCACGCCGGCTTAGCCCATGGCTGTGTGTACCTGTACCCGAGCACGCGCGCTGATTGGCCGAGCCAGGGCAAGAATAGCCTGGCATCCCCTGCATCTAAAAAGGCACAACACACCTCCATGACGCCCCCTGAGCCTGAACGTACAAGAAACAGGGGAGGCCTTTTTCTGCTCTGTATTTTTTTTTTTTTTTTTGCCGCCCTGCGATGGGGCAGGGGTTGGGCAGCTGTTGGGCTCGCTGGGCCAGTCAGAGGCCACGACGCGAAATGCCACAGCTGGGTTGGTGCGAGTATCGGGTACTTGCACCTGATCTTGGGGTAAGGTACACGCAGTCGTACCTCTGACTTTGCGCATGCCGTCTCCGTCTCGTCTGTCTCCATCTTGGGCGCTTGTCACGCGGCACATTTTGGCGACTCAACTCGCTCACCGGCGGAGTCAGTTTTGGATGTAGGTAGGTACTAGGTAGGTTAGTAGCTTGGGAGAGGAGGAGGAGGTGTTGATGTGTTTTGTCTTTCCATCAATACCATTGTCTGCAGTAACAGCCTGTGTATCAAGATGTGAATGCTACAGGTAAAGACTACAGGCAAAGGCAGTAATATGTAGCGAGTACCTATCTTGAGCTGCCTCATTCGTATTTTCCAAGTTCGGCCAGTACGGAGTACATGCCCTGAATTGCGATTGTCCGTATCCTCTACCTCTCCCCCCTCAGAGCGCAGCCTCCCTCGCCCTCATTGGCCGCACGCCACAGCGCCTCTTTGGTTCCCCAGAGCGCGCTCCAGAAGGTGGCCACGGGCTTCCAGGCGCTGCCATTGGCCGCCATGCCGCACCCCGTCTCGCCCTTCAGTGGCTACAGCGCGCTGGCTCCAGCTGTCAAGTGGCCTTTCGGGGGCTGTCGGGGGCTGTCGGGGCCTGTCACAGCGCCCTGTTCCTCTGCGCCGTGCCCGCCAGCGCACCTTCAGGGGTCCGAGGCCTCTCCACTTCCGGCTTTAGAGCGCCTCCTGTCTAGTCTAGCGCCTCCTCTGTCTCCCTCCAGCGAGTCCACCTGAAATTTCCCAAATCCTCGACGCCACCGGCTCGTTTTTTTTCCCTTCTTTTTTTTCCATCTTCCTCTCCACCCTTCCTCCACCTCCGTCCGTCTTTGTCCCATCGCCATTTACACCGCCCTTCGCATCTATTCTTCCCTCTCTTCTCCCTTCTGTGGCCCCTTCTTGCCTCGCCTTATTTTCTATTTCTTCGCTTTTCGAGTCTCGTCTTGCGGATTCGCCCTCGCTGCGTCTATCGCCTCAATCTCGCACATCGGGACTTTCGGACCCTTGGAAAAAAAGAAAAAAAAAGAAAAGACGATTAAAAAAATTCAAATTCTCTTCAAATCAGGGACAAAAGAGGACAGGAGCAAGGAGACTCGACCCGAGTTGTTGGAAAGCGCATTCACTAGTGACTCACGCCGTTAATCGACTGTAATTTATTCTTCGACCGCTCCTTGCTTTCGACGCAAAAACCGCATCACGCCAGCATTCTAATTCGACCGAGCATTGACCACCCGCAGCATTTGCACCGTCCAACGTGTATTTCCACCCCGAATTTAGATCACAAAGCATCGTCGAGACGCTACGACCATAATACGAGAGCCCTTTTCGTGTGGCGTTTCCAAAAATCGCGTCTCACCGAACCCTGACAAAGAACGCGCCTGTTGCTTTTTTTTTGGCTTTTCCGCCACGGCGTAATCGTTCGGAAAGTTCAACTTCGTCACGAATTGCCTAGGCAACGAAAACCATCGCCAGTTCCCTCAAAGTTACCTTTTGGCGCGTCGCCTGTTCGTTATTTACGTCGTTGCTTCCCTTCGTCCACGGTCAATCCGCTTCTTTCCAAACCATCCTTGACATATTTTTTTCTCATCTTTTCGTCAAATCACTCGGTTTAATTTACACTCTCGCCTTTTTTAAATGCTCGGAGGCTTCTTCTTCTTGTGAAAATACTACGATTTCTTGGATTTTTGGCTTTCTCTCTTCTTGGCTGTCTTCGCGACTTCGACACCTTCTTCACCGATCGAGACCGCCTCGAGTTATCTTCGCCTGACGACCATCATCCTCGTCTGCTCTCGATTTAAAGCATCGCTTGCGCCAATTTTTATCAAAACTTGATTCAACTTCATATTAGATTTCTAATTCTTTTTTAAGCGCTCAAGACACGGCTGAACCTGTTCCTTCGGCTCGTCCGCAGCACCTCTTTTCTCCCGCGTCACTTGATTCGCAATCATCTTTTTTTCATTCTTCCCCTTCTGAGTTATGGACGCAGGCAGTCTCGCTCAGATGACTTCCAACAACTTTGTTTCTCCCGGGGGCCTGGCCTCTCGCCGTGGCAGCCAGAACATCAAGCCGCTGTCTTTTGATGCTATCAAGCAAGGCAATAAGAACCCTGACGGCGGCGTTCCCACTCCCCGCACCAGCCGATCCCATCTGCTTGCGGGCCTGAGAACGGCCCCCAAGTCTGCTACGGCGGCTTCCTTTGGTCCCATGTCACCCACGGCAGAAGGTCCTGTGCAGCAATATGCTCGAAACAGCATGGCCGCCAATGCCTATGGCTATGTTCAGGGCAATGCTTACAATGCTCCCAAGACGGCTTTCCCCCAGTACGGCCAGCAGCAGCAGGCTTACCAGAGTATGATGGGACAGCAGTACACTGTTGATCAGGTGCTCGCCCCCCCTCAGCTCTCCATGGATGAACAGCTCCAGGAGCAGATGGATCCCAACCTGTATGCCCAGCTCGTGGCTACCAACCTCTATCTGGCTCAGCAGCAGCAGAGGCTCCAGCAGCAGCTCAGGAGCGTCCAAGCCGCGGCCCATCAATTCCAGCAGCTCAATATCAACAACAGCCAGCTCGCTCAGCAGCAGGCCGCCTTTTACGAGCAGCAGCAACACCTCGCCGCTCAGGCTGCAGCCGCCCAAGGGCAGCAAGTCTATTACGATCCTGCCAGTGGCCAGTACTACGTCGACACCTCTGCTGCCAAGGTGGTTTCCTCGGTCAATATCGAGCAGCCCATGTCCCCCGGCTTCAACAACTTCCAACAGCAGCTGCAGCAACAACAGCAGCGCCAGCAACTGCAACAGCAGCAGCAACAGGCCCCTCGCGTTCAAGTGTCGCCGCCCCCTGAGCTCCAGCAAGCCTCGTTCCGCGGCCCCTCGCCCCCGCGACGCTTTGATTCTCCCACCGAGGTCACTCCTCTCCCTCCGCCATCTGCTAACGCCTTCCGACGCGGACATAAGAAGTCGTCTTCCCTGGCCGTTAACAGCGTGCTGGCTGCCGCCGCGGCTGTAGGCGATTCCGGCAAGACCCCCGCGCCCAAGACTGCCGTCTTTCCTGCGACCCCAGGTCTTGGTGGATATGGCCCTGGCCAAGCCCGCGCCGGTGAGCACCCGGTTCGGCAGCCTCGCGGACCCCCCTCTATGGATGAGCTCAAGGCGAAGCCGACTGCCAGACACGAGGGCAGCAAGAACTTTGCCACCCGCACCCGACGATCGGCCGTGCACAACCTCGTTCGTGCTGGTCTGGAGCGCCGCAAGGGATCTGGCAGCTCTAGTGGCAGCATGAGCCCCGTGTCTGAGACCGCCGAAGAGTCCACCACCCCCATTACCGACAACGACTCCGACTCTGGCCGTAGCGGCTCGGGCAGCTTGGCTGGTGAGATTGAGTGCAGCGCTCCGCGAGCCTCTACTGCTGGCGGTTGGGGCGCCATCGGCTCAGACCGACCCGGCTCGCGACAAAAGATCCGTGGCAGCGTTGACAGCAACTCTGGCTGCGAGAGCGACAGCAACTCATTCGCTGACGTTTTCAAGAACGGTGCTCTGCGAGCATCCAAGGCACAGGAGGCTGCAGATGGCCAGCGCAAGGCACCCAGGCTGGTTCTGACCAGCGTTGAGAAGCGTAAGATGGCTTCTGTGGCATAAGCGCTCAAGTCGTGTGTTTTTATATTTTTACTCTTCTTCTGCCCTTACTATTCTAATTCTTATGACTTGACGCTCCCGGACTTTTTTTTGATACGACCTTTCGAGGACCTGCGGATTGCATTTCATCGACATGATCTCGACAGCTCTTCGCTTCTCCTCATTTTTTACTACCAGCCAGGCTCGCACGAGGAATGCGTACTTCATGTGCGCGAGGCGAGGCCGTGGCCATGGCCATACTCTTATCAATGATTATTTATAATTCACTTCTTGACTGTCATTCAAACGAATTTCTTTTTTCTCTGGACTGGAACATGGGGGCAGTTGCCCAGGGACTGTTTTGCTTCATATGGTGGAGGACGAGGGGGAACTTATACCCGTGGTGAGAGACGACATGATCAACAAAAAAGACGAGGGCCGTATTCTGCCGCCTTTCTCGAGATTGGAATACAACCGCGCTCTAGATGGAGCCGCAGGTTGCGGGACTCATCGAGGAGGGCCTGGCGTGGCAGACATGAATCAACTTTGCCCTCTTGACATTCTTTTCATGCATCTTGTTGCTCCGTCGTGCTCAAGCGCGTATGGTTTTTGACTTCTACGGGGTTTGAATGACGACGATGGAGGAGCTCTAGGGTGGGGATATAAGTAGGTAGTGATAGTTTACAGATAGTGGCGCGCAATACCAAATTGATGGCCACGGACATGTTATCTTCTTGTTACTTTCCATGTGAAGGTTTGATTCTATGTATAGGTGCTGCGCACTTTGGTGTATCGTTAGACTTGTAGTATCACTGCCTAGTTATCGATATATCTTTTTCTTCTTCCAATGCATGTTTCTCTCTTTGCAATACATGATCAAACGAGGGCAAACATTTACAGCAGCAGAGTATTAAATGAAGGGATTCACTAATTTCATCTTGCCGAGCATGTTTTCTGCATAATCATTAACCAAAAAACCACGTCGGCTCAAGTTTCCCAAGACAAAACAAACACGCCAGCCAGCCAGTCAGTCAAGTCAAGTCGCAATTCAAACCATGGTCCCCTTTCTTCATTTTCTCATTTCCCCTCCTGTATGACGTTACGCGGTGCTCATTTTTGTTTTTTTATACTTCTGGTGGTTCTTGTTGGGATGGTCATATATATGTATGCGCCATGTGTATGTATATAGATTGATAGGTATGTATGTATGGTAGTGTATTGATGCAAACATGCTGGTATTGGTGTAGGGTGGCTGATATCCCCCTTTGTCTAGCTCAACTATCTCGTCGTTGGTCTCATCAACGTTAAAACTTTTTTGTGTTCGTCCCAATTTTTTGTCCTCGTTTGCATCGATGTGTAATAAATGCTTCGTTTTTTTTTTTAAAGCGGTATATGTCTAAATGACAAAATGGCTCTTCTTTGGTCTCATGTGTGTGATGTCTATGCAAAGAGAAAGCGTGGGTAGAGAGGAGAGAGAAAAGAGTTGTATAAAGTCACTGTCATCGGCTCGACTGCCGCATAACGTCGATTGACGACGACGACGTCTTGTGTCTCGCTTTCGGAGTGGAAACCATGCCCGAGCTGGCGCTACTGCTCGGCCGGGATCCATTGCTGCTGAGATTGCTCTCGCTGCGGACAACCATGGGGGCCATGAACTCTCCTCTCAACATCCCCGCGCTGCTACGCTGCTGAATGCTAGATGTGACGGGAGTTCGCGGTAGTCGGCTCTTCACTCCATAACCGCTAGATCCGCCACTAGACATCGTGTTGGAATCATTGCTCACTCGCCGGGGGAGGTTCGTGGGGCCTTCGCGGCTCTGAGGCCGGTATACGGCATTATCCCGATCTACCGCTGCCCCTGACCGCCGAGGACTGGCGGCAACTTCGATATAGGCATTGCTACTGCCTCTACTCCTATGCGTCGGGGTCTGAGGCATAGACATGGGAGACTGTAAGCTTTGCGGAGTGTAGTTTGTGTTGTGCCTTGACCCGCGCCTTGACGAGGCTGATAGGTTGACTTGGGTAGATGAAACCATCCCTTCGTGTCTCATCATGACCGATGACGCTGGGGGTGAAGTGTGTGCCCTGATCAGCTCCGAAGCAAGGTTACGAACCAGCACAGCGGAATCCTTCTCTGCCAGAATCTGAATCGAGTCCATGAGGGATCGCATCTGGGCGCTGTTGAGTGTCCGAGCACCATCTCCGCTTCCGAGGACCCCAGGATCACAGACATCCATAATGGCACGCACGAGCCTTAATAAGTTAAGCCGTACTACTGCCTTCTTGTGTCCTAATCGCTGAGTAATACCGGCAAACATCTCGGGCTTTGCTAGCGATGCTGTCAAGCCTGGACTTAACCGAAGAAGCTTGAGCAGCGGCTCCAAAAGGTTAAAGTCAAATGCGTTGAGTCTATTGGTACCAAAGCAGGAGACAATGGCTCGCGAGAAGTTGTTGTCAATCAGATGGTTCTCCACATTGGCTGTTTCTTCCTGGAGCCAGACCAAGATGGCATCCAGCGCAGTGACTTGCCAATACTGGTCCGACAATAGTGACACGTAAAAGTCGAGACCCTTGTTCTGCCAAAGGTATCTTCGCCCCTTGGATCCCGAATGCGCCATGTCACAGAGAATTGGCAAGGCGAATTCTTTCGGTGGCCGGTCCGTTTTCATGATCCGCAGTAACAGCGGGATGATACCTCCGACGGCAGCATCTTCTTGCCTTTCCTTGCTTAGCCGGCAGAGGTTGAACATCGTATTGAGAACCTGATTAGAGATCTCGCGGAGGTGTTTGTGGTTTTTCTTCATGCTGTAACTCAATAGGTCAATGAGGAAGTCGATGGCATCAGCCGAGTGCAGTGACTCGATGGTTGTTGAGAGCATGGACAGGTTTTTGATAAACCTGAGCATGGTGATCTGATGGACCGGTGTCATCCGACGGAGATCCTTGAGAACGCTCTTGAGCACCTGGCGATCTGCCACCACTTCCTTGACATAATTCTCTGCTTGGCTGAAGAGGTAAAAGATGTTGACGATGCGCCCCTCAATCAGCTCACTCAGCTCGTCTTCCCCTTCTTCATCAAGAACGCGATGCAGAACAAGTGCGAGCGGATAGAGGATTTTGCTCCTTGAGAAGATTCGGCAAAAGTCGTTCTTCGGAGTCGGGCCCTGCAGCTCAAACACGTTCCAGATACCGTTTACACCAATCAGCACCAGGTCTCGAGAGCTATCGTAATCTTCGTCCAGAAATTCGACAAGAACGTTCAGACCACCCGCCGAGACAAACATTTGTAGCGTCAAAGTTGATGTCTGGTACATTTGGCGGACGAATGCGGCGGCTTCAAGGCGAATCTCATTTGAATACTGGCGCGCCGCAAACTTTGTAATGATTGGTATTCCTCCGACGAAGCACAGGTTCTCTTGAATTTCAACGTCATCAAGAATGATCTGGTAAGAAAATCCAAGTTAACATATGCAGTCTCACATAATGGATTTGTATCTTGGTAATACGTACCGCGTTGACAACCTTGAGCAGCTGAAGAATCATATGGTGTCTACTCTTCACCGTACAGGGCTCCAGAATTTCCAATAGAGGCAGCAACCCATGAGCACTGATGATTAGGTTTTTTGCTTCTGGGTTTTCCCATAGCAATCCAAGCTAGGCCACTCGTTAGTTCAAAGTCTTCATCTGGCGATTGCCTTCCGACACGACTTACTAAATGTTCAGAGAGATCTGCCAAGATGTCTTCGCCTTCGGTCGTCTTCAGAGAACCAACTAGCTCTTCTATTTTTTCAGCGAGTCGCGCATGTCTGTCCCGCGCAATCTTCGCGTCCATGTCCATCTCATCCCACCCTGGGTCCATAGACGCGAATGGGTCATCTTCGTCATCATCGTCGCCTAGCCAAGAGTTTCCTGAGATTCTTGACAGGAGCATCAGGCCGGCTTCCTCGGAGCCCCGTTCACTTTCTTCCCTTTCGGCTATAGATTCCTCGGGCCCGAAAACGTCCGAGAAGTCCTCATCATCATCTTCGGCGAACTTCTGAATCTCGATAGAAGAGCGAGTGCGTCTCATGGGACGATCGGGGAGGACTGACGGTCTTGATAAAGCCTTTTTCCTTACAACACTGCCGTCAGGGGCCTGCATGGAGCGGGGCAAGCTGGTTAGATCGGATGGGTGGAAGAGCTGAGGTGCTTCAGGTTGACGCAGGCCGCCCTTGATGAAGATATCCACGTTAGCAAGCTCCTTTCTTAACGGATGCAGACTTAGAAGAAGAAGAAAAACTTACCTTTCGGACGGCTTGATGAACCTTCTGGTCAAACACACTGTCGTCATCAGAAAAGAGATCGGAGTAGTCCTCCGAGCTTTGCTCTCGGTAAATAGCGCCAGGGCGAGGGGGCAATTCGAACTTGTTCCCAAAGTGTGGCTTTGGAGGCGATTTCGTCCGAGATAGATTAGATGAAACAGCAGCTGCTTGATTGAGGGCCGACCTGGATCCTTGGTGCACTACCTTTGGCGGCGATGGCGGCTTCGACGCTGTCATTCTCCTGGACACGGGTCTTATTGTCTGCTCCTGGGATTCTTGGTAGAGTTCATTGTTTGGCCCCTTGATGGTCATCATCTCGCCTTCAAAATCGTTATCGTAATTGTTCATATCGGCCTTGAGGTCATTCACCGACGCAAAAGCCTTGAGTTTGTCAGCAGAGAGAAGCCCCCCAAAGTTATCTTGTGGCCTTAGATGCGGAAGTTGCAAAGCACTGGGAGAAATGGCTGTTGCAAAGTCGTCGTCCCAATTATCATCATCTAAGTTGCAAATATTAGCCTCCAACTGTTGCAAACGGAGTCAGTAGAGCGACAACATACCCAACTCAGCCAGCTTGAAGGCACCCACTCCACCAGCACCAGCACCAGCGCTGAGCCTTGGTTTGGCAAGGCTTAACCGGCCCTTAGACGGTGTTCCGCTAGAAATTCGAGACACGGCATCGGAGCCGAGGGACGTGCGAAGAGAAGTCCCCGAGGAATTGAGCGCCTTATTCCATTGTTTGACCTCTTCAACGGCATCATCGAAGTTGGACGGAGTCTTTGAAATGGGCGCGTCTGTGCGGCGGCATCCTACAATCCAAGCATGCTTGAGCAATTTTCGGGCCGACACTCTGAGATTGGGATCCTTCTGAAAGCACTGCATGAGGAAATCTCTGGCAGCCTATTTTGCATGTTAATATTGATACTTGTTTGGTGATAATCTTGGCCAAGGAGAAAATTGGGCATGGTAGAGACGCACAGCTGAGATGCCTTCGGGCAGTGGAGGGTGGTCGTCGTTGACAATGGCGAATAACGCCGGCATGGCGGCCAGGTTATGGTATGGAGGCCTGCCCTGAAGAAGTTCGATAACGGTGCATCCAACACTCCAGATATCCGAGGCGGGGCTGGCGCCGGACAGCTGGATGATTTCGGGGGCCATCCAGTAAGGAGTGCCAACAACTTGCGCCTCCTTGTCCTGGCCACCAGCCAGCGTGCTGGTTGAGACACCAAAGTCGGCAAGCTTGACTATCCCGTCTTTGGTGGTGAGAATGTTGGCGCCCTTGATATCGCGATGGATGACACCCTGGTCATGAAGGTACTGAAGGCCCTGGAGAACTTGGGTGGTGTAGACGCCGACTAGGTTTTCGGGAAACTTGCCATATTCTCTGCATATCGAATGGAGCGAGCCGTTCTCGCAGTACCTGAGGAATTACTGATATCAGCTTACAAATTTCATCATTGACCAGAACTGATCTGGAATCGCCTACTCTAAGATGATGTTGAGGCATTCGGTTGTCTTGACGAAGCCGATGTACTTGACGATGTTGTCATGCTTCTTGTGGTCAGCTTTGCTAATCTATGCTGTCCGGAGGATCTCCTGTAGCTCTTACAAAAAGGTTCTTGAGAAGGTCAATTTCGCTCTGGAAGTCATAATCACAATCTTGGTCAGCATCATGCAAGCCCACGCAGTAAAGTACCGTAGAAGAGAGATGGCTTGTAACGCTGCACCAAGCTTACCTCTATCATCCGCTGCTCGCTCTTTGGCAGATCCGTCAGCTTTATCTGCTTAATGGCCACGGCCTCTCCGGTGCCCCAGTTGAAGGCCTTGTACACCGATCCAAAGGCTCCCTTTCCGAGGCATTCGCCCAAGCGCTATTGTCCAATCAGCACACTGTTGCATCTCACGAGGGGTGCATTCTCATTCTTGTCCCAGCAGCATTGCCGATTCGAATTGCGTCAAGAGTCAAGACATACGTAGTCCTTGAGCCCCGGGTCCTGCATGGCCGAGCTCTCCCTTTGGCGGTCCTTGCGAGAGGGCGTGGCCGGGGCAGCAGACCTCTCCCTGGGAGTGGCCGCGGCGAATCGCCCATTGCTGGCGGGATAAATGTTCTCGGCCGGCATTTCTGCGTCGTCGTCGTCGGCGTCGTTCTCTTGGGGTTGAGCTTGGGCTTGTAGGGCTGTGTTTCCCCTCCTCTTTGGTCTGCGCAGCCGGCAGACTCTCTACCTCGGCGGCAGGCAAGACAACAGCGACTGGCGAGGCGGAAGGGGGGTGGTTCGTCGAGGAATCGATGGCATGCCCGCTGATGGGTCTGTGGCTTCGTGTGCCGCTCGCATTCGCCCGATATTTTTCAACGGCGAGCGGTGTTCATCGAAAAGGCGGCGGGGGAAGATCGCTGCAACAAGGACGAGGGTCACGCATGGAGGTCGAGATGGGCGGAGGAGAGAGACGACGCAAGGAGGAGGAGGGAACAACGAAGAGGGAATCGGAAAAAAAAGAGAGAGAGAGAGAAGAGAAGCTAGAAGAAAAAAAAAAAAGGTCAAGATGAGGGAGGCCAGGCGGACGCGGATTGGTTTTGCCCAAGGCGCGTGCCGTTGTAATTAGTGGTGCAGTCTGGTGCCAATTCCGGCGCTGTGGTTTGAGAGGGTGGAGTTTCATTCAGTGGTTTTGGGTACCTACGAGATAGATGGATGCCCGCCCAAGGGATTACGAGTAGTTGATTGAATCTTTTCGTTGCTATTTATCTATGTATTTATTGTATTGATGCGACATCCGTTTGATTATTTACATTACCTAGTACTGACCCTTGCCGTCAACACACCGCAGACCCTGCTTCTATCAGTAGTTACATAACTGATGGATACACCCTGAACAGGGCATTCCGGCATCTTACTTTTGTGCTTATTACATGTAGTGATGACGCCTGCTAAACTCCCACTCGCACTCACACACAGCTGAGGTGGACTTGAAACTGCCTCCCCCACCTCTCTCCATCAGGCCAAACCAAACCCTGTACTTGCGAGAACAACCACCCGCTAGCAAAGCTTCATCCGCAAACTCCATCCTCCTTTCAGCACATGAACACGATAGAGTTTGCACTTGTACCTGTTTGGCACCCTCAGAAATCTGACATGTTACATCCTGAGCATCCATGAGGCAAATTCTCCCATTATTACCTGGCTAGTTGCTCATCGCCATTCCCCTCTAGCCTTATCTTGACACTCGTGTATCAGCTTCCTCAGAATTGTCAGTGCGCTGAATATAGCCGAGCTGCTTAGGTTTCTGCTTAGAAACTAAGATTGAGTGGTGCTGCCAACATCAATCACAAGACGGATTTACGTAACTTAGATACTCATGCTCGTGCAGTTAATTGTTTGGTGCCAAAAATGCTACGAGAGTCACAGCCCATGACACGTCAAACAGCAAACTTTTATCAGTATATTAGATATATCGCTGGTGTCGGGTTGCTTTCTTGAACCCTTCAATCCGTAATGCGTAATGCCAGTGTGGCTTCTTCAAATCGCTTCCCATCCCGCTGTCTTCATGTTTTGTTGCTAATAAATGTAATCATACAATACGTTTTCTCATCGTCCAAGTTCAATCTGGTAGTGCTAGCCTCTCTTTCCCGCAAAGAGGGTCCCGGAATGAGTAAATAGGCGAACCAGTAAATCAATAAGCAAACATGCCAAATCTTCGGCATTCATATAAAAGCATATCTCCTGGCCCAAGCAGAGCCGCTCTTTTGTCGGCGTTGGCGCCCTGTTCAACCGAGGCTTCTTCCTCAGTTGGACTCGTCATGGGGAAGGGTTCGACTGAGACCAGCCTCAGCCCACCACTCATCTGGAATATCTTCTCTCGCCGCAAGACTCTGGACGATTCGCCGCATGCCCAGCCACTCCTCGTCTCCTGTCTGAACGCCGTGCCCGCTTCCCGCAGATCCTTCCCGGTTTGGTCGGGTCCGGTCAGCTCCCCTTTCGTCCTCCGACCCTGCGCGAGTGAGCCAGCTGTTGGTTAACAGCAGAGCATAACCGTTCGTCCGGGAATCCCCCGGACTTTGACCGGGTCTAGAAGCCTCGGATCGGTGAGATTGTGGTCCATCTAAAGGTCTGTCCAAAGGTCCATCCGATGGTCCATCTAGATTATAGTCCGGCACTGACGGGCGTCGTCGAAAGTGGCGACGTAGTTGCTCGTCAATGGTGCCGACCTCATGAGGAAACCGATACAACACGCCCTCTTCATCCTCAGACATTTCGTGTCCCGATTCGCAAGCACCGTCCGCAGTTTCGTCAGGGAGGCCTGGAGCAGGTGGAGGAGCGTTGGAAGGGCCCGCACTTTGAGATACTGCTGCAGACGCAAATGAAGAGCTTGCGCTCGGCGGCTGTGGATCAGGAGTTAGTGTCGTGAGCAAGGTATCCCAAACCTCCGGGCTGAGGCTTCTGTCGCGGTCTCCTAGGCCATCAGTCGCATGAGTCCGCTGGCGAATGCGGCTGGATGCGTCCGCACCCATGAAAGTTCGGAATGCTCGTGCTTGGTTTCGACGCAGAGATCTATACGGGGCAAAGGCGTACTGTGGTGCGGTATCGTCATTTGATGTTGCCGATTCGCTCTGAAGCCTCTCAGACCCGTCCCGTGTCGGCCGGTAGGGCGGCGTACCGATATGGTATGAGCGTCGCCCGTGGGGGCTGCGATTGCGCCTGGGGGGGTTTTCTGGTGCAAGCTTCACACAGGCGTGTTAGTGACCTACAAAACAGTTGAGGGCCACGAGGGGGCAACTTACGATGCGCGCACGCCGCGGTTGCGGCCGAGTTTCGATATTCCACCAAAAGTCCCTGTCTGATGCAGCTTCATCATTTCTCTGTGAAGAGGGGGGGCCGATGTTATGCCAAGTGCCACCAAATAGGCTACTCATCCGGTCTTCTAGACGACGATCACTGCGCGGTGGTCTGGAGGTGACATCTCTCAATGCCTCGCGTGCAGGCCCAGAAGACGGCTCCTCGTGATCGTACAAGGAAGGGGTAAGATGCCTGGTTCCATCGTCGAGACCCCATGGAGGATAGCTCCGCGTGGAACGGCTGTGTGGCTGAAGGGCAACGATGCGGACGCCGGTGCGTCTGTTGGGATTCCGCCGCTCGCGTGTTTCTGTCTGGGTCGAGCGCCTTATGGCTGAACGAGACGGAGAAAGGACGTCACGCTTTGGCGCATCTTTGTGGGGGAGATCGGTCTCAACTGGAGCAACAAAGAGTCTGTCGTGGCGACGAATGATTAGCTGGGACGGGTGCGACGCGAAGAGAGAGCGCAGGAAAAATTAAATTGAAAGCGACAAAGAGATAACAAGGAGAATGAAGTATGAGAATGTCGGCAGCGGTGAATGCGATGACTCGGTCGCGCAGCCGATGGCCTGGTCTTGAAGTTGAGACAGGCGATAGGCGCGCCGCGATTGCGAGCGACGATGCACATGACGCGCGCGAGCAAACATTGATGGCTGTGTAGGGACTCGAGGCAGAAGCAGAGATAGAAGCGGAAGAGGCGAGGGCATGGGGCCACCAATGGTCCAGGCAGCGGCAGAAATTGAGACTCACGGGCGACCCATGGCGCATATGGATGATTTGTGGACGATTTGCAAAGGAGCGATTCCCGAGATGCGAACGATACGAATTGGCAAAAAACAGGCGGATGGTGCTTTGCAACTAGCAGCGGCACAACCCTGGCGATCTGCTGCGGCGGAGGATCTTGTGTGGCTGTTTTGTTGGAGAGAAGGAGAGCTGATCGACTTCAGCCTGCAGATGAGATGGAATCAAGAGACGGAATACGAGCGAGTGGCGGGTGGTTGATGGATCGGAGAAGGAGATGGAGAAGGGAATGCGAGAAGAGGCTGAAGATGGAAGAGGCTGCGGAAGCGGGAGATGCGACAAGGACTCTACTGTAGGAGTCTCAGTACTGCATCCATCGGTAGGTTTGTGGCGCGGGAGCGAATTGAACTTGGGCGGCTTCCCAGGCACTACCTGCCTATCAGACCCACCGCTGCTACTGTAGCTGCCACAATTATCTAGTATGGAGACTACTGTATGCGCAACTCAGCCACAGTTCGTGTTGCCCGATGATGGTGGTCTGTGGCTGGTGCTCACTTCATGCCGGGCTGTGGGGATGGATGGCGAGATTTTGCCATGATAGCCTAGCCTAGCTCAGATTGATAATGCCGGCACCTTGAGAAATCGTCCGACGGCCAACAATCATCACTCGCGGCTCCTCGGCGAGGCTCAACTCCCCTATGGCTCCCTCCGCCTGATGCTGATGCTGCCATGCCGTCTGCCAAGGAGGTCAATCGAGCGCTGGCTCGAATCAGAGCCGTCATGCCGGCCGAGAAAAAGGTGGCATCCGCAAATCGCAACATCCGCCTGGGCCTGGAGCGCATCAGCCATGTCGTGCCGCAGGAGCAGGGCTGGCTAGGAGTCCATGTTGGAGGCACCAATGGCAAGGGATCCGTTTGTAACCTGCTCTCGGGGCTCTTCAGGCTGTCCGGCGTCAGTCATGGCATGTACACATCGCCGGCAATGCCTGAGAGGCACAACGGCGTCACCATCAACGGCCTCTACGTCAACCGCCGCATGTATGAGATGGAGGTCAAGCACATTGAGGAGAAGTTCAAGCGCATTGCGTCTGGCTGGCGGTTTGCTGCTGGAGAGGACCCGGGCGACTTGACGCCCTTTGAGCTCGAGACAGCTGCTGCCTTCCGCGTCTTCGACAAGATGCATGTCAACTATGGCATTGTCGAGGTGGGCATGGGCGGCGCTACTGACGCAACCAACATCATGAGGCAAAAGTCGGTCACCGTCATCACCAAGATCGATCTCGAACACCAGGAGTATCTCGGCAACACCATTGAAGAGATTGCCAAAGTGAAGGCTGGCATCATGAGACCTGGTGTACCCTGTATTGTTGACCACTCTAATTCCAGCTCTGTTATGAAAGTACTACGGCGTCATGCGAATAGCATCGGCACCCAAATCAGCCCATCGTGGAAGGGACAATCTCTGTTGGCCAATCTGGATACCGAGCGGTTTAAGCTGGAAGATTACGAGAAGCAAAATCTTCTCTGTGCAACTCTGGCCTTCCGTCACCTGTTTCCAAATCTTGAAATCGACGTCAATAAGCTACTGGCAATGGACCCTTTCCCGTCTGGACGCAAAGAGCAAGTTAAAGTGCTTGGTCTCACTGGCGGAACTCGTGAAAAGCCTGTCCTTGTAGATGGCGCTCACAACCTGCTTGGTGCCGAAGCGCTGGCTTCTTATGTGCAGCACCAGGTTCGCCAAGGGGACCAACCGATTTCATGGGTTATGGGATTATCATCCAGCAAATCCAAACCGTTTGCAAAAGTCATTTCCACTCTGGTCCAACCTCAAGATAATTTTGCTTTTGTTGAATATGTCCCTGCTCCCAATGAGCCACCTCCAGCCCCTGCTGAGCTCGGTCGTGAGATTGGAAGATCCATTGTTAACAATGAATCGCAGCTCTACGATGGAGATCCCCGGATCGGAGCTGGCGTGCAATGGGCTTGCGAAAAGGCCGGAGAAGGCCCAGTTATAGTAACGGGCAGTCTCTATATGATTAGAAATTTTTACAAGCTGGATGGCGTTGAGCCCAAGAGAAAGACCAAAACGAGGAGGCCTGGTGCCGCGCAGCTGTGGCATTACATACAACTATCACAGGAAAGAGCACTAACCCCGGAGGAAGCCAGAGAGTTCAAACGAGCGAGGAGACATTGGTATCTGTCGCCCGCACGGAATTCTACGTTTAGAGGGGTGAAATACGGCGGCCTGCCCAGACCTGCCCGCGTTCCTGAGAGGATACGTGCCCTGCAGCGACAGAGCGAGTTTCATAGAAAGCAGGCCGAAGGTTACCGTAGCGCCATTGAGAGTATGGAAAAGGACCTGGTGGCGGAACCAGCTGATGCGGCTGCTGCCGCTGAATCTTCTGATTTCCAAATCAGCATGGAAACGCTCAAGCAGCGACACCAGGAGCATCTCGGCGCCTACAACAGCGCCATGTTCAAGCTTCGGGGACATGTTGCTTCTCCCGAGAAAAAGTATATGAGCTACGAAGATGTTTTTGGGCGATCGCCGAAGCCAAAGGTTCAGAACTTTCCCTTTCCCGAGGACGACGGTGCGAGCGTAACGTCTGGGAAACCTCATGAAGACATTGCTGCTTCGCCAGAGGTTAGCGCCGGTTCTCAATCCGGCGGAGTCGCCCCTGAGGAGGAGAAGAAAGTGGAATCACGAAACTCACGATTTGGAAGAAAGACTGGTCGTCGTGATGACAAGGGGAAGGATAAGACTGCAACAGAGGCACATGATCTTGTTGACAAGTTGACCAGAGAGCGCGTCAGCTCTGAAGCTGGATCGAGCAGCAAGCCCTGAATGGAGGAAACCGACCTGAGAAAGGTTCGGCATGTATTATATATAGATAAGGGGGACAAAAGCAATCTGCTGAGAAAGGGATATTTTGGTAAATACATAGAATAGTGTTGCATCTTGTTCATACACTTTGACTGCCAAAGGTATTTAACTACTGATTCTCCTTCAACCGCTGGTGAAACTATTTCGTAGAGCGGGAGTTTGAGCGACTTGAGACAAAGATGGATACTCCTACTAGCTCTACCTATTTCTGCTAGAGATGGATATAACTACTGGATGTATTCTTAATATTAGAGATAGATACATCTACTAGATGACTCCCACCTACCATCCGTATAGGTCGTCCTCGACTTCCTTTCCCTCGACTTCCCCCATCCAATAACGCAGCTGAGCGTAGTTATCATCACAGTACAGGTCTGACTATGATTCAACTTCATCAGGTCCACCATCATCATAACCATTATCGTTATCATAATCGTCACCATCACTACCACCATCATAACGGTAATAGCCATCATCATCATCATCATCATCATCATCATCATCATCATCATCATCATCATCATCAATGTATTCATTCCCCCTACTAGGTGGTTTGGTTGCTCCACATATTACGGCAACACGAAGCAAGTCCCACGAAAGTTGCAGGAGCTCAAAGCTCGGAGGCTCGATTTCGCTGTCTTGGCGAAGAGTAAAAGTACAAGCAGTTTCCCCGCGCAAAAAGCTGTCGTGGTAGGCCAAATCAGATCCCCAATCTTTGCTGGCAATGCCTTCGTCGCTTGCAATGCCGGCTGACATCATCGTCCTCCAGGCCCATATATCTCCTCTAAAGAGTTGTCCTGGTTTCAGTCTGCTTTTTTTAAGCCAGTGAAGCTGGAGTTCGATCGAGCCGGTGGCCGTGTCATGCAACGGCTTAAACGCAATCTCTCCTTTGAGAAATGACCAACCCGTGTTTCGATCGAGAGATAACAAATTTTGGGATGATTCCAAAATATTTTGGTCCTGAATAAGAGCAGAGAGACGAGTAGCTGTCTCAGTACCCCAAAATGTCTCCAGAGTAGATAAAGTATTGGCCAAATTCTCAAAGGGGAAGATGGGGACGACTACAGGATCCTCGATGTCGGCGATTATACATTCACTCCGGTCTCGTTCTTTGCACTAACAGGTATTAGGAAGCTAATAAATGGCGGATAGCTTAGGCACTTACAAGCTTTGCTGAACGTAAAATGGTATCATTACCACATCCCTTGACTTGTCGCCCTTTTATGTTTACAACTAAAGCGAAGAAACATTAATAAATGATTTCGATATGGTCTCGTCGTAGATGTGGGGGGTTTATCACATACACTCCTGGATACCGGCGACAGCGATGCTGCATTTGTCAATAAATTCGTGGACCCCGATCCAGTTGTTCTTCTCAATGTCCTTCTCCAGTTTATCCAGCCTGAATCTCAACATGTCCACCGGAGCAACCACGAACAGTGCAAGAATAGTCATATTTAACCCAAACGGCAGCTTATGCCGCCTGATGGTGGATGTCAGCCGCCAAAAGAGGACTTTTCTAATATGAAGATCCGACATGTATTCCAGAACCGGATCTACATCCACGTCTTCATAAGTTTCAAGAATTTCCGAAATGAACGTGGGTCTTTTCCCGGCCAAGTCGAGCAGCCGACCAAGATGGCCGGTTTCGTGTAGACGCAATAGTTCTTGCATCTGTTGTTCATTCAAAGCTCGATGCTAGTTCTCTTGGAACCTGGTCGTCCATGATGGGAGGCAGTATTGAGGTAATTCCAAGAGAGAAAGGGGAAATTTATGAAAAATGTTCTGATTTCTTGCGGCTTCGCTGGCATTTATAGGGCTTCGCAGTGGATTTTCCATACATTTACTCTGCAAACTCTAACACCAACAGTGGAAACTCTCCTGCATACTTTAGTACTAAGTGTAGAGGCTTCCTGTCTATGAAGAGGACTAGAGGTAAATGCTATCTTCTGGTCTAGTCTGATTCTCCTACTACCTAGGTAGGTATAGGTAATATCCGATACTATATCTACCTTCGTCTACTACTATGGCTCTACTATCTACTACTATGGCTACTATCTGCTACTATCTATATATTCCTTTAATATATACAATTCCTAATACCCAGGCTACTTTAAATTTAAGAACGGGATCTTACCCTTTAAAAAAGGGAGTGGCTACGGTATGTATTCAATGCTCGGAACTTTTCTTAGTCGCTAGGGTGCTGGATACATAGAACCCTGATAAATGGAAGCTTTCACTTAGCGCTAAAGCTTGCAGTGAATTTTGAAGAATTAGGGGGCTAGATGCATGTGTGTGTAACTTCATATGAAGCTGTGAGGCTCCACAAATGAAAGAGGCAAAGTGAATGCGGTCCTCTGCTCCAAGCTCCCTGGTATTTATAGGGCAGACCGAACCCTTCTCTCTTGTCTTGCTTTCAGCGGAAGGAAACCTCCTTTTGTTGCATATCACTTCCGACCATGGATCCAGAAGAGCGCGAACTTCGCGATGCCGTGTTGGGCCTCGACAAACAGCAGAGACAGTATGTCCTGTATCTGCACAGAAACCAAAAGTTCGGACCTCTTCTGAACCTGGCTTCGAAAGAGTCAAGTTTCATTACAGAGCTTCTCTGGGATGAAATGAAGGAAGAAAAAGTTTACAGCTGCGTTGGCGATCTTGAAATTAGAAAAGATCTCTTCCATGACCTGATGAAGATGAACAAGCAGCATAATCTGGCCATCAAGCTCAATGCGGCTGTGTTTGCTATATTTATGGTTGCGCCTATCAACTCACTCAAGGCCAGCCTTCAAAATCACATTCGACTCAACAACCAGGCTGAGATCCAAAGTTTCGTTGGGCAATGTTCAAACACAGCTAGATTTAGCATCCAAGCTTGTATGTCGGCGAGTGCTGGCATCACCCACATACGAACACCGTCATTGGCAAGTTCTCAAGGGTCAGGCCGGAGCGCTGACGCCTCCAAACTAGTAAGCATCAAATTCCAGTTCAGCCACCGCTCGGCATCCATCTAAATGGCCAGTAGTGCAAGCAGAGAGACTCTGAAATGTGTGTAATCACCGGAATGCCGCACCCAGAGGCGTGTTATATCTTCCCGTTTGCGGGAAGTAAGCGTAGTAAAACATACAATATTTTATCTGCTCTACGGGCATTTTGGGGCGATGAGATAGCCAACCGGATTTCTGCGTTGATTCAAAATCGAGATGTTACCGAATCCCCAGAAAATCTGATTTCTCTCAATCGACAAATCCACTATTGGTTTGATAATGGGTTTATGGCTCTCAAGCCATTGCGGAAAAATCCTGACGGCTCAGTCGATGTTCAGCTGCATTGGCTGAGACAGAGTTCTTTGAAACCCAGTGATCTCATTTTGCAGTCTCATGCGATTGAGAATTGGACTATATCCGCTGGAATTGACAGCCAGTGTTGGGGAGAAATTCGTGCTCATCGTTTCAGTGGTTTGAGATTGAGAACTGGCCAAGTCTTTACTTTGCGTCCACGAGACAGACCAAAAGCGGAGGCGCCGAATTTCGATCTCCTGCTGCTTTCATGGGATCTCTTGAGAGTTGGAGCTATCTCCGGCGCGGCTGAAATTGCTGATCTGTCAATCGTAGACAGCGATGACGATGACGATTATTGTGGAATTAGTGAACAGGAAGAAATGGACCATGAGAATGACTACTCTCAGGTATAATTGGCAAAGAGGGGTTGAGGAGACAGAAGCTAAGGAAGGAGAAACTGAAGAGAGAGACAGTCCGGATCAGAGTGGAGAATCTTCAATCCCTTTAGGAGCAGATTCCCGTTCTTAAATTTAAAGCGGCTTTGGTATTAATAACAGAAGATATTAGAGGAATATATAGATAGTAGGAGATAGTAGCAATAGTAGCAGATACCCTGGGAACTGTATATCTATTTGAGTAATGATAATAAAGACCATTATACGTTGCTATAATATCCGGGGCTCTTCTTGGTCGATACTTGTCATATTCATGGTTCTATTGCGATTGGGTATGTACGTCGCCAGGGACGCTTACAACTAACTCGAAACTAGCAATTCTCTAATCCGTATGGCAGTGAGTTTACTTCTGGTCTAGAAGGTATAGGTAATATTCGATACTTTGTCTACCTTCTTCTAATATGTCTCATTTCTTCAACTATATCTACTAGGTAATTTCTTCTATTATCTCTACCTACCTTCGTCTACTAGCTCTACTTTCTGGTTATTTCTGGTGTAAAGGGATATGAGTTGCTTCTTGATCAATCATTAAGGAATTTGCAAGAGTGTCAAATTAGCAATAGCCCTAAACCAAAGTCGACACTTGACAAATGTTTGGGGGTCAGCCCCAGACTGCTCCAAATAGGTAGCAAATGCCTGACGGGGGTACCTGTTATATAAGGTTCATGAGATTGGGTAAAACTGTCAGGAAAACTATCCGTCCACATTGAATGGCCAATGTTGAGCCCTTCACACTTGCTTCTCCCGGTCGATACGCTGGAGGAAGCCATATAATTCTGTCATCATTCCACATAACCCATGATGAATCCTCGCTTAGCCCAATCCCGCGGCGATGGAGCTGCACGTTATTAGAAGGCACAGAAGTACTCTCGCATGGTTCTGTTTCTAAGCTGTCTGGTGCTCCTAAAAGCACTGTCGTTGCTGGAGGCGAGGGCTCATATTTTACAATAAAATCACCTCCAGCCGTAGAGATTGAAGATCCCGTTGCGTTGAAAGTCACATAATAGGATGCATTTTCGCTGATGACCGCAGAAGCTGCACAACGGCCCGTTGATACATCCCAGAGCTTCAGATCTGCTGTTCCTGATATCGGGTTAACATATGATATCGCTGCAAATAGTGCAGAATCATGCGAAAATGCGCCGGACATAACTATTCCTAACCCGGAAAGTGTTGAGATACAAGTACCCGTAGAAGTATCCCAGAGCTTGATACCTGTTCCGTTACCTGACACTGACGCAAATATCGTAGAGTCATGCGAAAATGCGCTAGAATGAAATCTGCCAAAAAAATGTCCTTCAACCGTTGCTATACAAGTGCCTATTTCAGCGTTCCAGATCCTAATATTCTTGCCTCCGGATGAGGCAAGTATATTTGAACTCGGCGAGAACGCCAACTGATTTACATACGCAGAGTGGCCTTCAAGTATCTTAATGCAGGTCTCTGTTCTGATATCCCATAGTTTGATGTTTCCATTCGCCGACGTCGCTGAAGCAAGCAGTTGAGAGTTGTGTGAAAAGGCGATAGCACTGATTTCAGATGGAATCCCTTTAGTGAACCCTTTTAGGTTAGCTATTCTGGTGCTCGTCTTGATATCCCATAGTTGGATCCTGCTATCAACTGAAGCTGCCGCGAACATCTTGGAGTTATATGATACTGCGATCGAGCCGTGTCGGCTAGAGTATCCCTCAAGTGCTGCTGTAAAAGTACCAGTTGAAACATCCCACAACTTAAATGTTCGATTGTTTGACGTTGAAATAAGGATCTTTCCATTGTCCACAAATCCGGTGAGGTCAGTAAGACCAGGATATTGGATATGGCCAACATCAATTTCGAGATCCCAGATTTTCATGGTATCGCTATCTATCGACGCAAGAAGCTTGGAGTCATGCGAGAATGCAAAGTCAACCACCCAGAGAGAATTACCCTGAAATACCGCTATGCTTGATTTTTTCGTGATATCCCAGAGCCTGATATCGGAATCAATTGAAGTTGATGCGAGCATTCTTGAATCACACGAAAAAGCAAGTGATGTAATATCATCGCTGTGTCCCTCCAAGGTTGCGATGCAAGTTCCAGTTGCAACATTCCAGAGCTTGATATCCATCCGTGACTCTGTTGCAAGAGTTTTAAGATCATGAGAAAACAAAGCAGTTGAATGAGTCTCGATGCGCCTCTCAAGCGTTGAAATATATGAGCTGGTCACTGTATCATAGCATTTGATAGTTCCACGAGAGGACACTGAAGCAAGCACTTTCGAATCTTGCGAGAACGCCATAGAGGTGATATTAGATTCATGCCCCTTAAGCTCCATTACGCAAGTATATGTTGCAGTATCCCAGAGTTTAATGACGTAGCCTGGTTTGTCTTTCGAAGCTGATCCCAATAGTTTGGAGTCATGCGAAAGCACGACTAATGCCTTAGTTTGAATGGTTTTATCTTCAATTACTTTGATGCAAGAGTTAGTCGTTGTATCCCAAATTTTGATTACATCCCGTGAAATAGATATTAGTAGTGTAGAATCATGCGAGATTGCAATGGACCGAATTTTAGAGTCATGTCCCTCAAGTGTTGAAATATGGGTGCCGGTGACGGTATCCCAGAGCTTTATAGTACCGTTGGATAATGCCAATACGAGAATCTTCGAATCTTTTGAGAAGGCGATTGCTGCAGGGGTGACATGTACTTCATGTATCTGTAGGCATGCGTCCCATTCTGAAGAAATTCCCGATAATTGAGAAAGCCAGGCAGGGATTTCGTTGCTGAACCGCTTTTTTACGATGCTTTTCTGCGGTGCGAACACAATAGCTGAATAATAAATTTGAAGCGGTGAAATGTCTATGATGAACCGATGGCCTAAAATGACTCGTCGCGCATCGCGAAGGAGCGCTGAAACAAGACCGCTATGTTCCCGCTACATCAGGCCAAGTTAGTACGTGTATGCCATGAAGTCATTGTGAGCAGTTGTAAGGGATCATACATCAAGAAGTCCTAGTAGATCATGTACCATTCTAATACATTCCGAGATTCGACCTAGTAAGGCCAGTGCTTCAAGCCAATGTAACAAATGGTCGCTCAAAAAAAGGTCGACAAGCTCGCCATCCTTGATCTTTTTCGTACCTTCTTTCCAGTGGTAAACCCAATAACGACAAGCATATTGAACTTCGGGGGGTAGAGCGGCGTCAATGGCCTGTTGGTCAATTTCGGACCGTGGAGTGCTCGGTAGTTGTAGGTTACATATATTTCTTTTAAGAGTACCGTCGGTCAACAAAAGTTGTAGACACTTGATTGCCAAAAGTTGATGGGCTTTTTGCTCATGGACCCAAAACTGGTATCTTTTTGGGTCTTTGCCTTTCTCCGGCTCAACGAGAAAGTCGCGAAAAGACAGGTGAAGCAGTCGTACAGGAATATTTCGATCCGGGGGGATATAAAGAACAGAGTGTAGTAGATCTAATTGATCTTCGATAACATCAGAGGATATAGATAAAAGACGAGCCAGAGATGGCGTGCTAAGAGGACTGGCCAGATTGACGATAGAACCAACAATTTCCCTAAATCGTTCAAAAACCTTGCTTTTGTCTGAATCAGCAAGTCCTGCCACCAATCCGTCTACTATTGGCAGATAAGTTGCATCTAAACTAGTATTTTGGCTTGACTGGTGCTCCAGGATTTTCGCGAGCTGTGCTTTCGGTCCACCAACCCTACGGTCTTGGATGAAGCGGCAAGCAGTTGCAGCGAATATAAATAAAGGCACAGACATGGACACTAATTTCTCGACTTTCTCCGTACCGGGCCAAGATAGTGGTAGTTGCCTATATGATGATACAGACTTATTGTAGTCCTGTCGAATCAGAGCGAACTCGTCTTGCAAGAAAGAATTGATATCTTGTTCAATAATAGCTGGAGGTATTTGATGAAGAACTAAGTCTTCATAGTTACCGGAAATATTTTCAAAGCCTAGTCGAATAGCAAGCTCGGGTCTGCTGGTAACGAAGAATTTAGGGCGGACAGACGTAAAATACTTTGCCAGTGAGAGGAGGTGAATAACCAACTTCACATGTTCAACATTGTCACACTCATCGAGTGCATCGACCACTATAACCACTGTTGGTATCTTGGTATACGCTGACATCTTTCCAAAAGGTTCGGCAATAAGCGTATCGAACTGAACTTTCACAGATTTGTCATTGATATCAGGGTTGGCCTCAATTGCTGCGCGGATGTGTGGTGCGATTGAAGGTAGCTTTTGGACAAGCTGAGAGGCTATCGTGGAGAAGAAAAGCGCCATGCTACCACGGTCTCCTTCACCGCGTTTGAAGAAGAAGCTGGCACCGAGCATCTTTTTATCTGCAAATAACTGTGCAACCGTTCGAGATATTGTAGATTTGCCGGTACCAGCTCCGCCGTTCAACCAGTAGATGTGTTGGCCGTCTGTTGTCGTGCTCCAGGCCAATATTTGCTGAAGAACATCGCGCCGAGTCTCAGGATGGCATCTGATGTGACTAACGTGGCTAAAAGAATCGAACGCCGCCCCCTTTGCAGATTTTAGCTTTTCAAAACGACTTCCTGGTGAACATCGAGAAGCAATGCGCTATTAACAAATATTAGCATTAGATCCAGAGAAGAAAAGAATATACGTACGTCTGGTCAGCCTGTAAATCTAAAACAATAGCCATCCTGTACTTTTGTAGCTTGTGAAGTATACCGTCTACTTCTCCCTTCTTCAGCGGCCATGATATCCTCTCCAGCCATGTTATCTTGTGCAGCCATGTTATCTTTTGCGGCGATGTTATCTTCTGCAGCGACGTTCCTTGCTCAAGCTTCGTGATCAAGTCTTTCAGCTGCAAGCGGCAATCTGCTACGCTGCGGCGTACATTCTGCGAAGAATTGAGTTTCGCCCCATTTGGACTCTCTAGGAGTTTCTTGAGATCACTGAGCGTCGCGGTGAACCTATCAGCCTCATTCAAGATATGTCGAATATCCTGCGGGGCATTCTTCAGGCCTGAGCAGTACGCAGAACAAAGCACGCCGACCTTGGCAAATAAATCGACCACCGCGATTATGCTGGAAACAAGCCCAAGAGCTTCTGCCATTATCGCTGCGCCGGTTGGCTAGTCATACGGATGTGGTAATCGCGGCCAGCATTCAAGTTGTTTAACTCTAAATGAAATGTAATTTCATCTGACGGGCTGATGTTCTTTCTACACCCTGTGGGATGACCTAATGGGCAGCAGATGGAGGGCGGGGAAGGCTGCTGCATGCTGAGTATCGTGTTGGGCATTCTTAAGGCCTAAGCAATAAATCAAACCATGGGCTTATTTATATTGGTTGCCTGCCTCAATCCCTAAATTCGGCAGTAAGGTTGCCTAGAAGAAGGGCTCAGCTCAGGTATCAAATGACCTCATTGGGTAGTAGTCATAGCCTCTGCATTACAGCCTGAACCCTCCAATTGAGCTCTGGACTGGGCCTTCACCTTCATGCGTGTTCTTCCTAATATGTAGCCAATTGGTGATTTCGTGAAAGTCTTGTTGGTGCACCCAAGAGACTCTTGCTCGATTCCTTTCCGTATCTCGGCGATGCGCCTCTCAAACCGCCGCTCTGTACCTCTTAGAATCTCAACGACGCTTTTCGGGAATCGCTCTTCCATGTCTCCCATGTCCTTTGCGAGATTCTGCTGAAATTGTTGCTTCATATCGTTCAAGCTCTCGCTAAGGTGTTCCTCGAACCGCGCTTCCAAGTCTTCCAAATCTTTGGCTAGTCCATCTTCAAATTGTGGTTGAGCTTTTTCCTTCCGTCATGTCTATGAAATCTTCGCCGAAGATTTCACCGACCTCTTGTATCTGAAAAGTTTCTTACGTTGTGGTACAGTACCAAGGCCGTTTAATCTTGCCAGGATAAATTTTACTATCATTAGAAAACCCAATTAAAAACTGCCCTACTTATCGCAAATGGGCTGTGCTTTAGTTCAATTTTTCCCATTTACGAATAATCAATACCAGAAACAATTCATAACATCTGTTAAATACTTAGCATCATTTGCACCAACTTTCCACGCGAACACCTTCCAACTCATCAAGAAGATCAAAGTCCATCTTGTGCTGCTTCATAGCCAGAACAATCACATCAAAGCTCAACAGGCACTCCCTACTCCACTCGTCATCACCAAGCCTCGCGATCTGTGGGATCGATTCCTGCTTGACCAGGGCATCCGCCCACATCACTTCTACAGCGCCCGACACGGCAAGGTTGCGCACAAGGTCCACGCCAGGCGAGCTATCCAGCTGCGACTGACCAGGCTTGAATCCCATGCCTACGACAAGCACTCGAGGCGTCTTGCCGCCTTCTTGTTGCGGGAGAGACTCGAGGAGGCGCTGCGCGAGCTTGGCCGGACGGTTGTTCATGGCCGTGGAACATGCTTCGAGTAAGGGGAAACTGCTGTTCGAAAGAAGGTAGAAGGGGTTCACAGGGATACAGTGACCACCGACGCCGACTCCAGGAGTATATGGCATGTATCCGAAAGGCTTGGTGGAAGCAGCCGCGCACACTTCATAGGGGTCAATGCCGTGAGGGATGCAAGCGTCAGCCATCTCGTTAGCATAAGCGATACACACCATACGCTGGCAGTTCTCATATAGCTTCATCATCTCGGCGACTTCAGGCGTGGAGACGGTGACAATATTGTCGAAGATGGTCGAGTAAATGCGGCTGATAGCGCCAAGGGAGCCAGGGATGAGATCATCAAGGCCTGAGATGATCTTGGGGATGGATTGGACGGGAGGCTCGACGCGACCAGGATCGACACGCTATTGTTGACATGTTAGTGACCTGTTCAGTAAATGAAATTCTGTTCAGTGGCTTACTTCGGGAGACATGCCAGCAAAGAGTCCTTTCCTCATAGCAAGGGGACCGAGGAGCTGACGGGTCATACCGACAGCAACGGAACTCTCGATTACCACAGTAGAACCACGACGAGCAACCTTGCCGACCATCTTAAGGGCATCACGAAGGTGGGAAGAATCGATAGTCTTGTCTGGTCTCAATAAAGTAGGCACCGAAATCAAGAAGTGCGTAGCCAAAACAAGATCACTCTGATCCCATGAGAAGTGAACGCTCTCATTGCCTTTGAATTCCTTACGGAGGTTGTCAATGCGTCTCTTCGTGATGTCAAAGCCAATAACTTGATATCGCGAGGAGAAGGAGCTGACAAGGTGAGTCCCAATGTATCCCACGCCTACGACGGCCACGAGCGGCTCGTCTGTAGGAGAGACAGTCGAGGAGGAAAGCTCGAGGGAAATATCCGTCTCAGAAGAAACGGAACTCAGTGGAGGAGTGTCTGAATAGAAAGGAGTCGTCTTTGGAGAATCGGAGGGGCAAAAGACGCCGTCGAAGGCAGGACGGCCGGCATCCATCTTGGGCACGAGAACTCGAGCCATGGTAATTTTCGATGAGTGTGAGAGATGGGAGAGAAAAGCAGGAAGAAGAACCAATGAGTCACACACCATGGAGAATTCAAAACAAGCCCTCTCCATTTACTTAGATCTGAAATACCTGCTGGTTATATCTTATTTAGAGCCCTGGGAGAGCCTTAGCCGTCCTAAATTGCATATATCAGCCGCCAACTAGATCCTGTCCCCAGTTACGAAGTTTCCTCAGCCACTACTCCGAGTATTGAAGGCCGTGGTACGACAAAAGCACCACTCGTGAGCCTCGTTTACTTGCTTCCGGGCTCTGGCTCACAAAAGCATTCAGGGCTGCGGCCTAACAACACGCCCATGGGTTACTAGACAATCGGGCTTGGCCCAGACGCCACGCTGCTTGCTGTGGGCGTCCTGTCGTCCACCTCATTATTGACCAGGCAGGGCGTGTAGTGGAAGACTGTGGGAGGAGGAGAAGTTGAGAAGTGACGCTGCAATTGGTAACCTAACTGGCTATTAGGTGACAAATGGATTTCAAAATAAACAAAACAGGAAATAAAAACTGAAAATCGTTTCTCCCTCAAAACAATCACTAAACAATTGGGGGTAGGGTGTACATACACACCTCATTAACTTCTCCCCCTGCGCTAGTCTAAGTGCCCCAAAATGACCCCAAAATGACCCCAAAATAACCCAAACTCGCTAACTCTGAAGGGGGCTGGCCGACCCCGAAAGCGTGGATTCAACGACAAACCCGCACCAACACCAACCGACAATGTGGCTGGCAGGACACTTCTCAACGATCATCGCAGAGGACACGTAAATGTGTAAAGATCTCGACGCTTCACGGGGTCCCGCTCATGGCGTTTCAGGTACACGGAGCGGTTCCCGTCTGTGCTATTGGGCGATCACTTAGCCACCCTCACTCAAGGAAAACTACTGCTTGAGAGCCTAAATTCAGCTAGAGCTGAACACAATATGTTTTGATGCAGTGTGATATCTAATAGTATATCGTATATTAAAGTTCTCAATAAAATATACGAAATCTTAATGATGCTTTCTAATGCCTCAACAAACATTCTTGATTCGCTCAAGCAAGAAATACACCAAACGTTCAACATAGTAGAATATTCACCAATCGTAGTATTAGCCACCTCTATAGAACTCCTCGACATATGGAAAAGGGGTGTGTCTTACCAACAAGTCCTTCGCTTCCCCCATCGAACAGATTTCAGTCGTTTCTCTTCTTGTTCTCGGGGTTATTGTCTGTGGGAACATCAGACTTCCATGATGGCTTCTATTCCCGTCGAGAGAGCACCTGGTGTTGTGCTTATGGAGAAGAAGAAGGTAGGGAGTTTGTATTGGAGATATTTTAACATTGCTAATAACGACTAGATTCAAACTGTTCGGACCCAAGCTGATGCCAAGCTCGTGGGCGATGGGAAGCAACTCTCAACGGGCTCGGATGAGTTATTTGAGGGTGTTTGTCCTGATCCTCCTCGTCTCGTTCACATGAGTGAGGAAGTACTATCTTCATTGGACAGCTACCACGATTCACAGAATTCTTCATCCCAATCATCTTTCGGTCAAACATCCATTAATATACCCGATATAACAACAGCTCCTGCTTCTGTCATAAGCCCTATTGAGCCGAAGCCTCAGGATCTTATCACTCCTGTGCCTCGACTGCCCGTCTCTTTCAGCAACCGGTCTGACAATAACCCGGATGATGGCTCTGGGCGATCCTCTCCTTCCGTCCTAGAGATTGCTGCTGAACCTACTCCTGCTGCTGCTTCTCATCGTCGCCAACCTCCCGCGCCCCAGGTCGAGGACAACACCACTTTACAGCCCAAGGGAGAGATAATCACTGAAGAGAATGTCGAACATACGACACTCATGAAGCGTGGCAAGAGAAATGTCACTGCTCAAAAGTACATCATGACAGCCTCCCTCGTTTCCGTCAAGTGAGTTCCTAGTTGGCTAACATACATCACAACACCAACGCTAATTGTAGCACAGCTTCATGTTTATCTTCGCTTCTTGGTGGTGGCCCAAGTACTACTACGTCTACCTCCCTTTCATCTCATTCCCCCTCGTCCTCAATTGCTGCATGATCGCTTCAATTACCTTCTTCACCCTCCTCCGCGCCATACGCCCCGAAAAGATCATCGAGTCCGACCACTTGGAGAACATGATCTACGTGATACCCTGCTACAACGAGACCATTGAAGAGTGCACCCGCTCGCTCGACTCGCTCGTCATCCAGACCGGCATCGAGAGCCTCAAGAAGGGAATCATGGTTATTTGCGACGGCCGTGTCCGTGGACCTAGCATGCAAAAAACCACTGCTGAGTACCTCAACGAGGATATCTTCCTCCACCAAACCCAGCGCATGAAGATCAAGGGCGCTTACACTGCTTGGGACGGCCAGCAGATGGACATTGAAGTCTCCAAGGGCTTCTACAAAGGCATCCCATTCTACTGCATCATCAAAGAGCAGAACCAGGGAAAGCGGGATAGTCTCATCGTCATTCGATCTTTCCTATACAAGTTCAATATTCGCGCTCAGAATCCCAGCACGCTCTTCTCCCGCGAGTTCCTCGACTCCATGACAACCTGGCTTACCGACGACATCAAGGTCGGCTCAATTGACTACCTCGTTGGCATGGACGCTGACACCGTTTTCGAGGAAAGGTGCATCTTCGAGCTCCTCAAGGAGTCAAAGTACCCAAACACTGTCGGCGTCTGCGGCTTCGTCGCCGTTGACTTCAAGGACTGCAACTGGAATCTCTGGTCCATATACCAATCCGCCGAGTACACTATCGCGCAGGGTCTCCGCCGCTTGCACCAATCCATTGCCACTAAGAAAGTCTCTTGTCTCCCCGGATGTTGCCAGCTCCTCAAGATCTGCGAAGAGACGTGCGGCGACCTTGTCCTGGTCGATCGCTTCGGCTACCACCCGCAACCCATGGACGGCATGATCAAGCATATCCGGGCCACAGCCTCTGAAGATCGCAACCACATCTGCCAGCTCTTCGTCACTTTCCCCCACGCGCAAACTCGCCAGGCCTTGCGTGCGCGAGCCCACACCGATGTCCCCCACTCGTGGAACGTCTTCCTTTCTCAACGACGGCGTTGGACGCTCGGCGCTACGAGTAATGACCTACTCCTCTTTACTTCTCGAAACTGCCAGTGGTGGGAGCGCATCGTCGCATTCTCTAACGTGATCACCTGGTCGCTGAACGTGTTCGTCATTGCGTCAATTGGTTGCATGATCCTTGCTTTCATGAGCCAGCCGTGGTGGCTCATTCTCTCCTTTGCTGGCGTCATGGTCATTCCTCTCATCTACTACATTATTATGGTAATCTGGTTGCCCCGCAACCTCATAGAGCGCGCTCAGTTCCTCCTGGGCTTATTCATCTTTGTCTTCTTCGGACCCTTCCTCAATATCGCCGTCATGGTCTACGCAGTCATCAACATGGACAATTTCGGTTGGGGCAAGACCAGAAAGGTTCTCAAATGAGGGTCACTAAGAAATGCCAGAAGAAAAAGAGGCGTCCAATGAAAGGAGCGATATATTGTGGCGGCGGCCTAGTGGCCTTCCGCTGTATGTGGCTATAAAGACAACACACATAGGTTTAGAGGCAATATCATAGGGTTTTGATGCAATGCCAAACCCAAAATTTGAACGCAATAACATATCACAAATCTTGATGACATCCAATGCCTCAACAAATGCTCCATTAGAAGCTAACTTCCAGGCCTTGAAATGTTAAAATGCCCATCCAATCCAACCAGTATGCCAGGCTGCAACCAACGCCAACCGAGCTCCATGATTGCCATGTAAAGTGACTCTCGAAGTCCTCTGTTCTTTTCTGATCCCGTTACACTTGTGATTATCATCGTCGCTATGAGATATCACTTGTTTCTATATCTAGCTGCGCTTTCCAGCTTGGCCAATGGCTATGAGGTCAGCCAGGGGCATGTGGTTCGGCATGCCACTGAACGCCAGAAGCAAAACACCCAGCTGGAGAAGCGTATGTCTTGCGGTAGTGGTGTAGGATCGTGCCCTAGCGGTCAGTGTTGCTCAGAGTCTGGCTTCTGCGGCACCACCGAGGATTACTGCCAGGCTCCCCAATGTCAGATCGCCTATAGCAATGGTAGCTGCGACGCTAAGTGAGATCATTTGATTCAATGTTAGATGGTTTGAGTACCTAACTCGCTATTACATTCCAGTCAGATGCCTGCTGGGCAGAGTACTAAGAGCATCCCTCGCAACACCAACGGCAAAGCTCCATACAGTAAGTCAAACTTCTGAAAGCGATATAATGGAGGCTAATTGAACTTGAAGATGTTTACATTACTAATTGCACTCATCCTGGCAATGTCGCTCTCACATTCGATGACGGCCCGTACAACTACACTACTCAGCTTCTCAATATCCTAGACTCTTTCAATGTCAAAGCTACGTTCTTTATTGTCGGAAACAACCTGGGCAAAGGCCCAATCGATGTTGAGTCTAACGGTTGGGCCAAGATTCTTCGTCGTATGTACAGATCCGGTCACCAACTCGGCTCTCACACCTGGGGCCATGCAGACCTCTCAGCCGCAAGTAGCGAGATCCGCGAGCAGCAGATCATTTACAACGAGATGGCGTTTCGCAATATATTTGGATTCTTTCCAACGTACCTGCGCCCGCCTTACGGTACCTGCTCGCGTGACTCCGGATGTTTGGGCTATGTGACAAGTCTGGGATACCATGTTGTCAACTGGAATATCGACACAAAGGACTACCTCAACGATTCACCTCAGCTGATTGGCAATAGTAAGGCCATCTTCTATAATGCTCTAGCGAGCGCAAATCCTAAGCACGATGGTTTTATCAGCTTGAGCCATGACACCCACGAGCAGACTGTCATCTCTCTGACTGCATATATGATTAAGACCCTGAGAAGCAAGGGCTTCCGACCTGTCACTGTCGGGGAGTGTCTGGGTGATCCTAGGTCTAACTGGTACACTAATGCCAGGTAGACATGTTGGAATGAGGATAGAAATGAGGCACGGATTACAATCATCGTGAACTTGTTCACGATGAGAGCGAATGACCACATCTAGCATCAGGCAATAGGCTGCTGCCTATGATATCGGCAGTTTGAACATAGGTACAAGAGACCGGCCATCGTCGCTCCCTTAGATCGAATCAAGCAGCTCAATGCAATTATCCCTCTTACCTACACCCCTTGTTGTGTACCAAGCTGTAGATTTGTACAGGATGTTTGCGCTTCACATGAAACAAAGTTTTCTGAATGCTAGCACTAAATTAAACCTCTCCATATTTGCGTGACGACATTGGGAAAATACTTTTGGAAAACCAGTGCTGAGGGAGAGACAGTGACTGTTGTGGCACTAGCAGCTCTTGGACCACTTGCTAGAGGATTGTCTGTTCCGTTGCTTGCACCTCTTCCCATTACACTTTTAACCGTCAGGGCGACACAATTGCCATGCTTGAACACCCGACGGAGGCAGACGCATCTGCCGTCCTTGAAGATCTGACCGCTATTGCAGACACACTTGGATGCATCTTCTTCAGGCGCTTGTGGGATAGGTGGTGTTGACCTGCAAGATCTCATTGGACGCGGTAGTTGTGCAGGAAGCTACTTCGCAAGCTGAAGTTGGGAACTATTACATTTTTAAGGATTAACCATCATAGTTAAGGTTCTATATGACCAACGGATGTTTAATCGTAGCGCCACTCATCATCCCCGCAGCCTTCGATTGGCCAGCATCCCATGTTTGGATGTCGATCCGATGCCTCATTACAGCTACTGGAACTCTCCATATTAGAGGGCCTATATACTCTGCATCGTCAAGGGGCTTATCGCTTGTATAACCAGAACCCAAAGCTGCCATACCAACTGAATTATGGCGTCGTAGGAGCCCGCCCCAGCTGCGTAGGAGGGCGGTATTGATATTTCGCTGACAATCGATCTCAGCATCCAACAAATTCTCCACGTACTATCTCCTGTGCCCCTCCAGCATTTTTAGAGAATCCTCAGCCTCCCATTCATGGAATAGCTACAGGTGGAAGCTCACCGAGTGTCAAAATTGTTCACTTCTTTTCGATGGCATCAGCTTGAGACTATTGTACTTGCATTATGATGAATGTGCATGGACTGCTTCAGCAAGCATACCTATGCTATGATTAATAAAAAAAAAGGAGAATATTCCGTGTTTGCTCCTGGAGGCTCCGCTCAACTAATTAACGTTTCGTCAACAGAAATAGCTGGCAACTAAACGACCTGTACCTGCATGTATGTCATCGTCCGTTTTAACGTCGACGCAGCGCCACTCAAACAAATGACCTGTACCTGCATGTATGCCATCGGCGGTTTCAACGTTAACGCGGCGCCACTCGAATCATCGGCGAGCTAGCGGCGGGAGGGGAGAGATTAAAGTAGCGTGGAGGATGCTGGAGTTGCATGTCGGGTTTGCCACAATACCTGTATATGGACCAAGGCAGTTCTGTCCCCAACTCTTGGGCAAAATCGAAAGTCTACTTCTGTTGGGCCTCCTTTTAGCCTAATATGTATTATTACCAGGTAAGTTCCCCAAATGGTTCAGAGTCCAACAGCCCCTTCGTCATTGACATTTACCTCTATGAATTTCTCTGTTTAGACTTAAGATGGCCTTGAGAATTGGTTCCCATAAGTCACTACAACCTCTTGGCTGAGGTACATCGGAAGTATCGGGCTTAGCAGAGTACTTGAAAGTCATTTGCTTAACAGTGAGGATTTTTACTATACTGAACGTGGTGTAGCTAAGACTGAATTATAACAAACCGTACACCTAAAGTTTAGTAAAGGTACCTTATGTATTCCTACGGGATAAACTATAGTTCTAGTTTATGTTAGCGAATAGGTTGAGCTAAATATTTGTCACCACCTGACCAGAGGACGGTACCTACTTTGGGTAAAGAACAGAAGAGAAAGTCAATTAGCAAAAACAACACTGGCTCTTATCCCAGTACGTAATAAGAGGACTGTGAGAATAGCTTTTATTACGACCTGAACCAACAGAAGTACGTACTCCGGCAAAAGTACAGATAGGACAACCAATAAGAGCGCAGCTTGTTCTGTCTTACGCCAGTATATAATATAAGCATTATAAGACTAGCTTTATTATTAATATAATTATATATTTCTAGGTAAGAATAAAGAAATAATTAAATATATAATTTTATTTTATTATACTTATTTAAATAGTTTAAATAGCTAGTTATTAATAAAGTATTAAGACTAAATATAAGTTATTGTAACAACAATTAGAAAGGGTGCTAATTGAGCCAATAAACCAAAAAGATTCGTCAGTGCTAGCAGCTTATGCTAGCTACTGCCCTTTACAACAGCTATAAGGGTCCTTCTATCGGAATCCCTTTACAGTTATATTTTTTATTTTATTTTTATATATTTATAATTACAACCGCTTAAAAGCTACTCCCCGTCCTCTCTGCTAACATAAACCTACTGACTTAGGCTTACTCTCTTAGGAACCATTACCCTATACTAGGAATAGGGATTAGGACGTCACAGCTTTAATCTTTATATATAGGAATATAACGATACGTAATAATAAAAGAACGACTAGATATATAAGATAGAAGTTTTTTTTTTACTAATTTTAATAAAACCAGCTGTTTCTAATACTTAGGGTTAAAGGCAATATATTACTTTTATCCAGGTAATACCGATTTTCTGACATTTTGGTTAAATAATCGACTTGTAATACAATGCCGCCTGAGGAAAGTAAGAAACTTACCAGATTGAAGAGAAACACGTATGTTTAGTTGATACTTGGAAATTAAATGGATGTAATCCACTTGGTAAAATTCTCATAAAATATTATGAACTCATCTCGTCATCATAACGGATTCAGCTCTGGAGCTCACTCCAGCCCGCAGCGACGAGACTCTCATCTCCTGACCGGTCACCAACGCCAGTCCAATAGAATAATCCTCCCAAGCCCATAGACTTGGCATATCTTGCCTTTATCCGGACCGTACTCGGCACATCAAACGACACGAATCCCTTATCGCCGTCTTGATCGACAAAGCACGCCGCCGCTCCGGCTTCTTCGACGCACGCTTCGCAGACCCATTTGTCCGGCAAGTCGCAGTAATCAATCTCTCCGCTGCCCTTGAAGGGATGACCTGCCCCGCGCGCCTGACTGAAGAAGCGCGCGTACGCCGGTATACCGAGAATGATCTTGTTGGCCGGGAAGCCGCGCGACAGCAGATAGGTGACGCCGGTATGGGCTGACTTGCGTAGCGTCGGGTAGACTTCGTTGATGTCCTGGCTCGGCGGGAGCAGCTGCGCATGGTGGCCGGAGACGTCGGTCCAGCCGCCGCAGAAGTCGTATGTCATGAGGTTGAGCATGTCAAGGATGGCGGCGGCGGCGGAGATGTCGATGTGCTTGAGACAGTATTCGCCGACGGGGAGGGCGGTGGTGAGGAGAAACCAAGGGGAGGGGAGGGCGCGGCGGATATCTTGGAGGAAGAGGAGGTAGTTTGCGCCTGCGTCTGGGTCTTGCGGGTGTTCCCAGTCGACTGATATGATGAGTTATTTGATCTTATTTGTATGGACACGGTGGTATCGCTTACTGTCGGCCCCGTCTAAGTGATGTTTTTCGCAAAACTCGCGAATTGCGAGAGCAAAAGTCCGCCTCGCATCCAGATTCGCAGCAAGGACGGGAAATTCCTTGCTACTGGAGCCACCGCCGATGGAGATAATTGTCTTTATATGCGGCGTTTCGGCCTTGAGCTTGTGAATGGCGGCGAGACATCCTTTGATGCCGTCGACTTCTTTTTCATTGTCGGCCCATTGATCCAGCGCCTGTTATTCAAAGTTAGTCTTCAGAACATAGGAGGAGAAGGTGTCTAGAGTCACGAACGCGAATAGTTCCATCCTCATTTACGCTAAATAGTTTAATTGATTAGTACTATGACTGCGCATGTACTTCAAGGCATTGAGAGGGGAATTGATGACGCGAAGGTGGGTGTTTGTTAGAGGCGTTTGGTAGGCACTCACCCGACGAAGGCGTAAAAGATGTGCGTGATGGAGGCGACATCTAAGCTGGAGGGAGGCTTGTCTTTATAGACGCGCCATGAAGGGTAATAGACTGCGTTGATGTAGGGCATTTTGTGCTATTCAGAAGTTACTGACAGTGAAAGAGAGAGAATGAGAGTGAGTATTGAAGAACCCCGCAGTGTATTTATGTACCTCTTGAATGATTCAGCAACTCCAGTCCTGGGTGCATCATTGCATCGTATTCTTATGTACCTTACGTAGGAGACAAGCAGTCGATGAGTTTGATCAATGAGCTGTTTTGTATGCAGCTTTCCTAGGGATAATCGGAGGTGTTATGTGAACATTACGTGTCTATGATGATGCATTTCGCTTATGCCAAGATGTGAACATGTTGAAAAGATGCGTTAGCTAGATGATCTTTTTCATTTCTCTAAAATTGATGCTTTAAGGTAAGAATGCCGTCGTCGTGGCAGGTGAGAGGATGGTCGACTTTATTTTGATCACAAATGACGAAAGTGTGTGACAATTTAAGTGACCAGGCTTTCGATTCGTGGTTTTATAGCGATCGGGTGTGTACGTCGCCAGCGACTCTTACAATTAACTCGAACTTAGAAATTCTATCTACGATCTATAGGAAAGTGAGTTTATAATACTCGTTACGCAAATTGGCATGCCTCTTGAACCAAATTCACTCCCACGGTCGTGGCGCACCATCCACCAACGTCTCTTTCTCGCCTTCACCTTTCGTCACCAACCCCCCCTTAGTAGCATCATCTTTTTCCATCCTCTCCTCAAAAACTCCTTGCCAAACTCCCCATGGATTCCTCTTCGCCCTCTTACCTGCCAATTTCTCTCCTCTGCCATGCGGATCAGCAGTCCAGTCATCCACCGCCTGTCCTACGCCCTTTAACGCATCTTCATTCTCTCCGCTCGTCATTCCAGGCGGATCAATCCCAACAAACTGTGTTTTATTGAGGGGGAATCCAATAGCAGTGCAATGGCCGTCGATGAGACGAAACTTTTTGAAAGCGTGGGAAACAATGGTTAAAGAAATGGGCCAAGTACGGAAGCGAGTGTAGAAGAGGGTAAGGCTGAAGAGCACGTTGTGGTAAGAGTCTAAAGCGCGGTCTTCTATCAAGGTTTTGGATGAATTAAAGGTGCCTTGCGGGGAGCTGATGAGGCTGAAGAAGCCGTGTGCGGAGGCGATGTTGGCGTAGCTTTGAGCTTCACTCAGAGTCGTTTCTTTTCGCGTTGGGCCGCTGCAGACCAGACGCATCAGATTAGAGAGAGTTTCAGGATCTTGACTCCATTTTGCATTGCTCACCCGGAAAATGCGAGTACAGCATTGTCGTAGTCCTGAGCGAGACATCGGATCCCTGCCTTGATGTGCTCAATAAACGTGGGCGTCTCGCCACGCTGAAAATCAGCGATCAGCCATTCGTCTTCGTTGGCGCCGTTTGATTGGCCGCCGTTCCAGATGCCGTGGCAACAGACGACGATTAAATGGTTTGGCAAAGTCATTTGCGAATGCGAGTGTTGGACTGGTGGATTGGCGGTAGAAAGTGGCGTTGATTAGAGGAGATTAACTGGATTCGGCGTTTATGCAAAGAAGCTGCGTGGGTTCGATTCTAGCGTACAGAAAATGGCTGATGTATTCAATGCTTCCCTGCTGGAGATGGTATATATTAAATTGATACACACTATTTTACAAGTAGCTCTTTAAAAACACGCACTTCAATCATTGCTCTCATTTCATTTCAATACAAAGGTAGAAATTGTAGCAGATACTAGAAGAAGGTGGCAATAGCAGAAAGAGAGAGTGACAGTAGCGATAGTTGCAGATCCGGACGCTCCAATGGATAGTACTCTGCACAAAGGGAAGCTTCTGCTCGTAGAGCTAGAGTTTGCAAAGTGGGTTTATAAACAATGTACTGCGAGTTTAACAAACAACAACAGATGTGTGGTTCAATTCTCTCAGAATAATGCATTTGAGCTGGCGCATTGGTGAGCTTAAGTGCGTGGCGTAGGTGAGAACACCTATACGCATCTCCGGCTGCACAAAGTTTCAATCTTAGAAGAGGAGACAACCTGTTCCTTGACCGGAACGGGGCTCATCAACCTAGTGGCCTGCCGCTTGAGACAGGACAGACATCTACTTTTCACGCTTGGAGAGGCCTGAACAGTATCCCAGACTATGATCTTCTCGAGCTCTCATGGGATCTTCGTCGTGTTGCTGCGATTTCTGGCACATCTCGGGAACCGGAGGCTCTGAATTACGAACATCCTGATGACTGGTTTGATACTGATGAGGAGGATGATGATAGTGGCAGCTCTATTAATCATGGCGGGCATTATGACGAAGAATCCGATCAATGATACGCTCCTGGTGGTGGTCAGATTACAGGTACATAAGGCCATGATAGTACAAAGAGTATCATGTACATGGCCTACGCGCGAGAGGGGGGTTTCTAAAATGGGAGGGATGCGGGTTTTCTGAAATGGGTTCTGAAGGAATGCTGCAAGATTGTAGTGTCGGAAATCTTATCGTAAGGCCCGTCATGCTATTACTCCACGAGATGAAGCATTTTTCAATCTATACGTATTCCGATAGGCCAGAGAGAGCTTTCAGATCTGCACAATCTTGCAGATTGAAGACCTTTCCAGCGCGGTTTCATTATCGCGGATGTAAAAGCTGTCGCCGGGCCTGATAGCTGCTTTTGATGGAAAGCTGCTGAATTGGAAAGCAGCTGCTGGATTTGATAGCTGCTGCTGAGTTAAATAGCTGCGATTGATGAAAGGTATTTTGTTGCAAAAGCTGTAGTTGGAAATGCAATCTTGGCTGGAAGGCAACCTGTCTGGGAAAAAAAATCTGATAGCCTGAAAATAGATGTATTTTTTTCAGGCCTTGCAATCCCATTTAGACTGGGAGCAACTTTCTACACTGCAGAGATCTAGTATTAACATCGTCTCAAAAACAACCCCCTCGCGTAGGTAATTTAGGATCCAAAAAACCGGGCTACGTGAATGGGAGAAGAGGTCAGGTCAGAAGACAGTATCTAATCAGATACTTAAGAGCAGTGAGTGGCTTTTGAGAGAATCGTTTTGCGGGGAAGATAGTATATCCTTTTAATATATGTACATGTATATTGTTAGTGGATATGTCCACAATATTAGATGGATGCGGCGCTGATAAAAGGGGATATATTTAGTAGACAAGGATAGAAGTATACGTTTTGCAGTCCCTCAACTCCAGTCTATCCTGTGCAATCATAATCTCGAGCATATACGTCTTGATACGATACAAGAAACTCTGTAGCTCTGGAAACGGCCATAGTATTTCAGCTAAGACGGTATGCTTGTTCAAGAATCCCCACCATGTCATATCGAATACGACTGCTGAAGAAACATTCCACATCTACATCTTTGCTCTACTCTCACTCTTCTGCCTCGGCCCCTCCGCAACGACCCTCATCAAAAACGCAACCGCATCATTCACCATATCCGCCGCAAACCTGTGTCCCACACCCTCATACACCCGATCATCCACCTCCACGCCCCCATCAGCATACCATCCACCAACAGCATCCTTCAGCACCCGAATAAACGGCTCCGCCTGAGCGTACGGCACCAGCTCATCAGCGCCGCCCGAGCACAAGAGCAACTTCTTCCCCCGAACGCGGCTGTCAAGGATCTTTCGCAGCCTGTCCTGCTCAGCCGATGAAAGGGGCAGCGAGGGGATGGGATTCGTCCCGAAGAGGATGCCCTTGGGATCGCTCTTCCGGACGGTGGCGATGGAGTCTGCGGGGAAATACTTGCTCCCCAAGAAACTCGCCCCGCCATAGTCCAGCTTGGATGCTGCAGCACGACTGCCTAGGAGGCCTTTTTCTCTCGTGTTAGCATCTTGAAGCTCGTATATCGCTTTCATCTGGTCACAGAAGGATATAACTCACCCGCAAGATCCGGACAACCCACAATCACCACCGCAGAATCCATCCTGTCCTCACCAAACCACGCTTGCCACGCTGCATGTCCTCCCAGACTCCAGCCCAAACACACATGAGCATCCGTCTCTCTCCCAAGATACCCCGCCACCTGATCCATCAACCCGCTCGCATCCACCGCACCCGCCTTGACCAAGCCAAGCATATCAATGGCATGCTGCTCATTGCCCTCATCCCACGCCTGGTTCGCCAGCTCACTCACCATCCTCGTCCCGTGGTTAGGCATGTCAAACACCAGCGCCACGAGCCCCCGCTGTTTCTGCTTCTGGCCCTGGTTCCAAGAATGCACGGCTCGCTTCGCGATATCATGCATGACAGCCCTGGACCGCGTCCGGGGATGGAGGAGCCACAAGCAAGTTACTGGTGCTGGAGCCGGGGGAAGTTCTTGTAAGCCATAGATGTCGACTAGGAGGCCGGCCATGGGCTTGGTGACTACAGAAACATTGGGAGGGGGCGGGAGGCCCTTTGTTCCGTATTGGCTGTCTTTGGAAGCCATTTTGTGCGGCAGTAGAGAGTAGATTCAAGAGGTAAGGCGGATGAAGGGAAGTGAGAAGCAATAAGAGAGGCGAAGAGGAACGAGAAATGGTATAAGATGCGCCTTTACGGAAGAGGAGCAGATCTAATACGGTAGTTACACTTGGGCTAACAGATGGATCTAGCCTGTTTTGAGCTAGCTACCCGGATTCTCCTTCACTAAATAGTGCCCGACTTGGTAATTGCATCTCCATGTCGTCTAGCTCAGCTCAGACAAATATATTAATCGCAATCCCGAGCCTCGGCAGTAAAACAGACGACATAATACAGAACTACGTCAATACACAAATCCATCCAATTAGTTAAAATAGCGGCTTCAAATAAAGTATTCATATAGTGCTGTCTAACAAGAGCTTCATAAAAGGATTTGCTCGCTCTATATGCTCCCCCATTGCAACAAAGGTAGTAGCTGAACTGACGAACTGCACAAGTCAAGGTGCAACATCTCATTTCTCGTGGTGAAGCAGACATTTTGCATGTTTCCAATCCCATACATGCAGCAATCTGCCTCTGATTCGCTCACTGTAGGTAGTGTCCTCTTTTCGTGAGGGTTGGCTGCAGTCCCCTCCTTTTTCCCATCTGTCAAACGGCCGACTCTGGTTCAAGCCGTGTTCCTTCTCCTGTCTTTGATCTCTCTTTTTTTTCTCCTTGTACCACTTCAATCCACCTTCCAATGGTCTTGGTCGTCTGTGCTGAGCGTAAGCTCAATCCCATACAGCACCATCGTCAGTCCCACGTTGATCCACCGCCAAGTGCTGCCACCCACGTCCCCGCCCCTGAGTGTCCATCCATCTGGCCCCTCGCTCGTGGAGAAGTGTTGTAACAGCAGGCTAGTATAGACGGAAATCAAAATTGTGGGCGAGAAGTAGCTGAGGATGCTGAGGAACATTGACGCCGCTTCTGACTCATCCCAGTCTGGCTCGTGCATCATGGCTCGGGCGCCCAGATCCCGTACCGAAGGGATGATGCGGGTGGCGCAGTAGAAGACGAAGAGACGGTATGCGAGAGAGATGATTACGGACGGTGTAATAGTCTGAAAAGCAGCGTACAATAGGGCGAGCGAAGAGTGTAGAGCGTTGGGAAGAGTGCTAACGATATGAAGCAAGGTTGAGTACGAGGCCATGATGATGGGCGGCAGCGGGGGGATTTCTGGCTGAGATGATGCCTGGTCCTCGGCAGAATAGGTGCCGTCGGAGGGGAGGTAGTCGGTAAAGATCTGATAGACACAGAGCACGACATAAGCAAAGAGAAGCGATGACTCGACAGGACTGCCGCGGCCGCTGCCAATGCCGTATGCGCAGAGGAACACAGCCGTGGTCATGGTAGCGCCAATGAGCGTGGCATCAATGTTGCTGATTTGTGGGAACTGAGCAACACGCCACAGGAAGTAGACAGCGCTGGCAATGATGGAGCCAGAGAATGCAAGCAAGAAGATCTGTAGAGTCAAGTTAGCCACTCATATGACGCCATTATCAGTTTTTTTCACATGTTCAAACTCACCACCCAGGTATCGCTCCTCCCTCTGTTGACCAGCCATCGAGTAATTTGTCCCGCCGCCTGGATCACAAGTAGCGTGCAGAAGCCCTCGAGCAGCTGGAAGACGGGCCCTGAATACCGCAGCACATTGTCCCACGAACCCAGCATCACCGTCTCCAGCACGCCCTCCTTGCCAAACATCCACTCGGTCCAGCTGGTGCTCTTGGAGTGGAACACGCCGTCAAAGGTCCTCTCCACCCAGCTCGCCTCATCGACATCAACGGCAAACTTGCCCAGCGCCCAGATCAGCAGCGACGGGATGACGAACCATTGCGCCAGCCTCAGCAGCGACACAATGGTCCAGCGAACTCGCGAGTTCTCGGGCGTGGCCAGGCGGATGGCCGAGTAGAAGATGTAGAAGATGGACAGGCTCAGGCTGTAGGCCAGGCCGCTGTCTCGCCCGCCCACATCGAAGGCGACGGGGATGGACAGGACGATGGCGAAGAGGAAGATGCTGCTGAAGAAGATGCTGAATGGCCACCACATGAGTGCGGCGGGGGGCGCAGTGTCGCCGGGGCACGAAGCGGGATGCTGTGGTGTTTGTTTCTATTGCGCTGCGCTGTCGATGCGAAGAATAATCCAAAAGCCAGCAAACGCTCCGCTTTCCCGGGTTTCGGCGTCGAGCCACCAGAAGCTGCCGCGATGCGAAGATGACAATCCCCGAGATGCAGTCGCCCGGAATCGCTCCCTCACCAGCGGCTACGCATCTGTCTTGCCCGGCTTGCTGTCGTCCTTTGTCCGGGGGAGAGAGAGAGAGAGAGAGAGAGAGAGGGAGAGAGGGAGAGGGGCGTAGATGCAAGAAAGAGCGCAAGGCGTCCCCCTTTTTTAGTTCTTCTTCTTCTTCTTCTCCCCGAGTCTTTGTTCGTCTGCAAAAAGCGCGAGCCAGAGCAGCTCCGGTTCCCTTTCCCACTACCCCGATATGATTTTTTAGCTCGTATGACAAACCAAAAGCTTGTGAAGTGTCCAGACTTCGGAGCGCCAGCTTATCGGCGCAAGGACCTGCTTATCTGCACGTGAGCGACGTCGCAATGTCGCAGCCACCTGCGAGCCAAAGAAGCTCTTCTTTTCCCTAAAACAGCCTATGATGTTGGTTAGAATCAAAAGGGCACGACAAACGAACGAGGGCGAAGAAGATGATGATGATGACGGCAGGAAATTATATCGACAGTTTCAAGTTTTGTGCTGCAGGCTTGGACGAGAAGAAGAAAAGACGGCCAAGGCTGCTGCTATAGGTCACGTCACATGCTTGGAGATCAGCTCTGCAAATGACGACTGTGGCGCGTCCAGTGACAAGACACTAGCCACAGCGCAGGGAAAAGTTGGTATCGAGATGCGCATTTGCATCAATGATTTGGAGATGTAATTAGGTGTTGGATATTCGATGGAGCATGGACGATCTACTGTTGCTATCTACTGTAGGTTTGTTCGGTCGTTAATGGCCCGAGTAAGAAGCTAGGTACCCATCTTGTGTTGAGAGTTTAGCCACTATCGCCGTTATATGTTAGCTGTTAGAGGCGTATATAAACTCTAGCAAGATCACAACATGAACCATTCACGTCTAATGTTGCTTGGCTGCAGAGATACGAGATAACGCCGCCTGGTTTTGAGTTTTCTATGATCAAAAATGTTAAATTACAAAAGCGCTATTTTATCGCCAACTAGCGTCCAAAACGATCCCTTATCTAGAACATGTCTATCGGTATTAGAGGTATCAAAATGTATGCTTAGATCCATCCATGAATCCTGACGAATATGAGAAAAAAGAATTGTCAAAACTTCGCTTTTGTCGTCACACCAACCGTCATCAGTCATTTATTGACAAAACCGACGAAACTGCTTTTCAAGCATATTATTCACAAGGCTGCTCCTCGCTCTCGTCTTCGTCCCAGCCCTCGCGCTGATCCTTGGGAATCCGTATCACCACACACACCAGCGTTGCCACACCAGCCAACGCAACAGAAAACCACAAGGCATGTCGTATGCCGCCGATTGGGTCAGCGCCATTCTTGTTTGTGTACCGCTCAATCGTCCCGGCGAATCCCAGACCTGTGCTCAAGCCGTACAGTTGGACTGTTCCAACGAGAGATCCCGCCACGCCTTGGAGCTTTCGTTTGACGCTATTGCTGGTGATGATTTGTGCCGCAGTAAAGATGAAATCAGGACTGAAGGCCAAAATAAACAATGCCGGGAACTCCTGCGGCCAGTAAGTTTGATGTACTGGCATCGTTGCCAGCAGTATACCCGAAACCAGGGCGGAAACTGTCCCAATTGCCATCACAAACTGTGCAGGCAGATATCGGATGCAGAACGCGCTCAAACCGCAGGCGAGTGTTGCCATGAGTGTAAATGTCACAAATCCGGCGGCATTGAGAAAGTTGGAAAAGTGGCGAATCTCAATCTGCCATCGTGTTATATAGTATAAGAGGATGCCCGTGCTCATAAAGGTGAAGAAAGCTGAGAGCAACATGGGCTTGAAAGATGGAGCAGACCAAACAGAAAACGGCAATATCGGCTCCTTTGCGAATTTGGCCTCCCATATTAGGAAGAGGGCCATGTGCAGCACGGAAAGGATGAGAAGAACGTAGACATAGCTGACATTCCAGCCTTTGACGGAAGCCTCGCTGTATCGACAGTTAGCAGATGTTATTAAGATCTAATTTGCAGATCTGGCAGACACTAACGTCCAAGAATAGTTGAACAAGATCAGACCACCGACACCCAAGTAAGAGCCCAGATAGTCGACCTTGCCATTCGGATCCATTGTAACTTCTTCGGACGGTACAATAATCGCAGCGGCACCGAAAATAACGGCTCCGGCGATGGCACTATTCGATCGCTCATCGTTAGCTTTGCTAATGCTTCCAACCCCCCACCCCCGTTACGTCTCTCACTTACAAGAAGAAGAACAGCCACCACCACGGCAGCAGTTGACCAAAGAAGCCGGGGAACACGGAGCCTCCGCCAGCGCCAACAGGGGCCATGGCTCCAAACAGCCCGACCCATATTAGGCGACCCAAGCCAGGAGGGTACGATGTCGTGAGTAAGGCAATGGCATTCGGGACGATTATGCCAGCTCCCACGCCGCTAAGAGCTCGCATAACGATGATAGTTTCGACGGTCCGCATGAATCCACAAATTAGGTTGAATAGGATATAGATGATGCTTCCAATGACTAGAACCTTTTTGTGCCCATGCACAGCGCCGACGCGGCCACCCATTAGAACAAAAGTCGCCTGAGTTAACCTGTTGCGTTCCACCATCCTGGTCAGCTTCACGAGTACTGGCCACAGGCGGATAAAGACAGCTCTTACGGGTATGCTGCAGCAATCCAAATGCCCATACTAGGGTCTGCTCCCAGCTGTGCGGGAACAGTAAAGGCGACCAAAAGGCCGGAGCCGAAAGGAAGAGCCTGGGCGTTTTCGGTTAAGACCAGATGTTGCACGCGAATTGTTCAGCGCCCACCTACCACAACAAGTTGACATAGCACGATGCTCAGGGCAATTAGGTGCTTGCGAGCTCCCCGTTCTCCCTTGGCCACATCCTCCCCGGCCTCTGTCTGGATTGTTGGTTCGGCATCGATCGTGGTTGTGCTCTCGCCCGATCCTGGAGTTGACTGCTCGGCCGGCTGGTCAACTTTCGGCTCTTCATCGATTGCCATCTGGAAACACGATCTTGCGGGTAAATTTCTTGCTGCTTCTTTCCTTCTCCTTTCTTTCCTTCGCTGCGTTCACCTAAAACATTCCGACAATAAATCGGCGGGCCACGGGCCAGGTGAGCTAACACCTTTATAAGGCATCTCCATTAAAAAAGAAGAGCTTATGCTTTGAAAGCATTTATTTGTAAATATGTAGTCGATTTGGAAGCATTGAACCAGGTTGCTGATGGATATTCCTCCGAGTGCAATATCCAAAGGCTGTGGTGGTGAGATGCTGTGTCGGACGTCTTAGCTAAGTGCTCCGACTCCAAAGCATCGACGACCAATCATGACTCAGTGGCGGGACTTGAATACAAAACATTGTCGGTAATGCTCTCCGAGTCTAAGAGCTGTAAAATAATAATCCGATAAGGCATAGCTGGGAGTTTGTTCACCTCACGTTAACAAACCAGCTCCGAGTCTTAGGTAATAAGAGCCGCTCCCCTGAACAGTCGCCCACCTATAACCGAAAACAGATGCCGACCCGTGGGTCAAAAAGCGAACTGTTCGATAATTCAACGACCTTTTTGCTGTAACATGGGCACAAACAACCCGTAACTTGCAGCTAGAGAGCAGGGGGTTCAGTTTGCCTCGTGCTGCGTATAACCAGAAGGGTAGTAGAAGGCGCAGGTGGCGCACAATTTCAAGGAAGCTGAAGAGCCCCAGCAACTATATATGAGCCGCTGAGACGCAACATGAATTCTTGATAAATAATTCCATACAAAGACGCAATACTGTTTGATTTTGTTCGAAATCATGGAGGGGTGGCTTGATTGATTGATCAATCCGTACCTAGCTGTCGGATATCATTGCTGTAACCACTGCCTCCAAAAGAGCCTGCTCGCAATACGCCGGTCCCTTGTCTATACAAAAAGATATTCCCGTCAGGACATGTATTAATCGCGTTCGAGACAGGCGGATATTTTTGGAAAATGATTCAGAGGCGTCATTATATCCATTTGCCATCTGGCCGTCCAAAATAGATTCCTGTTGTTGTAAAGTCCGAAGGGTTGCCAGGAGGACATCCGGGTCGTCGGGCGGTTTAGTGCTCAGCATCAGGCCAGTTGGCTTAAGGTCTGTGAGCTCAATTGTATCAACATCGATGTATTTCAGGCCGCAAGCTAACAGCCACTGCTCGATCTGATAGGCATTCAGAATTCGACTCTGGGGGGGTGGAGGAGAACCCTTCTCTGGAGGAGCTACAATGTCTCCACGAAACACTCCCTCGACGGCTCTATACTGCGACGTGACGATCCCATGATAGTACTGGGCCACCAAGTAGTCGTCAAACTCGGCCGTGGCTAATCGAACAACCTCTGGTGATTGGGGTCTCAGGTACCAACGTAATACCATGAGAATTTCTTCCCGTGAGCGGAATTTCAAAGGGAATCCGAATATTCTATCTACCGTCGGGGTAGTAGCCATCGTATCGCTCAGTATGGCATCATAAGCATGTTGTAATGAAGCTCTAGTCACAATCATGCTGAGGGAATCATCGGCCGGATACATCTTCAGCATGGTATCGGTTTGGGCACAATCGGCAAAGTCAATGGGCGGCATGTTCATGAAGCCGTTGCCGAATATGTTCCTAATCTGCGGCGAACGCAATCCGGCCAACTGGTTGTTTCGAACTGTTGATGCATTACTACTGGGTTGCTGTATAGGCGGTGGTTGATTGAAGGTATTGAAATCAAGAAACATGTTGTCGAGGACTGTTGTCTGGGGAAGCTGCCCGTTTCCGTTGAAGTCTTGCTGGAAAGCAGCCTCATCAGTGCTGGAGCTAGGATCAGCAGCTTTAATGGTGGTTTGGCTGTTATCAGAGTTGTCTTCCAGCTCATTGTTAGTACCCTGGCACAGAAACAGAATGCTATCGGTTGCCGTCCGGAGCTTTGAAATGAGGGCCGGATCGCGACTGATGAGTGGCGACTGAAGGATTCCGTTGGTGAAATCGAGAAACGTGGAAGCCATCTGCTCAAGGGCACCCTCCATATGGATCAGGTTCTTCTCATAGTTTGCATGGGCAGCTTGACGCCGCAGCCGAAACAAGCGCTGGGCTTTGCGGTTCCGCTGCCGCCGTTTCTGTGTTGGTCCAGCGTGTCAGTTGTGTTTACCCGAGTCTGATCCTCAACCTCCATAGAACAAACCTCCAGGCTTTCGTCGTTCTCCGGTGAGTCATTTTGCGCTTTTGGCCCCGGTCTACGCGTGCTGCGCCGTGGCTTCTCTGCTTTCGTTGAAGACATGGTGATGCCGAGGCTCGAGTGACAATCAGGAGTTCAACGATTTAACTTGCGCCAGCTGCGTCGTCTTGGCCGCTAATTTCCGCAAACCATGGCCTTAAGTAGTTCTCTCTGTGATGCAAACACGAATGCTCTATTCCAATTCCAAATCCAATCAGACGATATCGCTGGCTCAGGTCGCTATCAAGGACGTGATTGCTTACAAAATACAACCTTGGAAGTGCCGAAAGGATTCTGGCAGAATAAGGTCATGTCCGCTTCTGACAAATACGGGTCAGCTGGCGGAGACTATTCCCTTCTGGGGCTCGTATACGCATCTACCGCTCACCTCTTCCCACGGTGGCATATTTCGCACCTATCGTAGAATGAGTAAACCAAGCGAAGAAACTTAGTGCAGTTACCTCTTTCAGCTAGAATATTACTCCCGTGTTCTATCTATGATGAAATTAGCAGGGCCAGAGCTAGAGGCGAATAGCCCTATCCGAGACACCTCGGATATCCTAGTCAGGCAACATTGGAATCTTGAAAGTACATGTAGCAACGAGAACAGCTGGACGGAGTAGATGAAAACCTTCAATGGCATGGTAACGTGTTATATTTCTAAAGGCAACTACCTAATGTATGACGAAATAGAAGCGAATATATGTCTTCCGGTGAAATCTCTTCATCAAGTCCAAGGTTTCACTGTAGCTCTCTGTTTAGTAATCATAGTAAAGTAATAGTCCTCCCATGATTCATGAGGATGTTGGACAGCCCTTGACTGGTTTGAAAGAGTCTCGTGAGCGAGCTGAAAACTGTTAAACCTTTATTCATAAGATTTAGGACAAATGCTAGTCAGATATATCTCAAGACCTGCCGAGGCTCCAACTTCCCGTTAACCCGGCTCCAATCGGGCATATGCGGACATATCTCATGCCGTGCCTATTTAAAGACAATAGGCAAGTGTACGGAGTACGCTTATACTACTTCTACAGGCAGCCATAATGTGCGTCAATTACGTGTAGGTTTGTATCTAACACAGTCCGGTTGCTGTGTTCACGCCATTGGCGTGCTTAAGATCATGCCATCAAGTATACTGAGTCAAGAACACCAGCCATATAGCCACATAAAGTTCTATACAATACCACCCCCCTTAGTCCTGACATTGCATTTCCTTCCGACTGTAACATAATCACTAATCTTTTTTTCCAAACACCATGACAAGAACCGACCCTCCAAACTAGAAAGTGGAAATCTCATCGCCCAGTTGCTCCTTTAACCTACCTTGACAGGCAGGATTTTGATGATATTTGAGTCATGGCAACAAGGAGCACTGTCCCCTTGCCGCTATTTCTATTTCAATGATAGTCAGACCTCGTATTTGACACCCCCAATAACCGGACTGGCCTCATCAAGAGCATCCAGAGGGCTGAATCCTCTGCTTGTTCTAGCTCCTTTCGTCGTCGCGGAATTGACGACCATGAGACCCCGGTCCGGGGATAGGCCAACTTGGCCGGCTTTCGCGTGACCTGCAGGTAGACCTCCTCCTGAATGACTCGAGTCTGGATTACAGTCCCGCTCATGGGAGTACACTACCCGTGGTAGTCCGTCGGATAAAGGAAATCATGCATAAAGGATGTTCCATTGAGTCTGTCATCCTATAGTAACTTTGAAATGGGCCAGTGAAGCCCCTTGCTTGCCACGTAGCCTCTGTCAACGTCCCAGTTACCATTGATACGACTGTCGGCGACGCTAACGATCACCATCGGGGTCTGTCGGGCTCCAAGGGGGGCTTGGCACCATCAGCTTCTTTTCAGTGGCGCGAAAAGAACTGGTTAAAGGGTGTCTAGACGCCGGTGGGCTCATCCTGGCAAAAGTTCTTCCCTTGGTTGTAAAGTGGGTTGTTGTAGAGGCTTTGAATGCAATCGGCGATTCTCGAGTAACAAGGGAGTGGCCCATCTCCCGGACAAATACGACTTGCTAATAGGACAGCCACTTTAGATCGTCTGCAGTGTTTGCCCGGTTGATTACGGTCTAATAATTAGCGAGGTTAGCCCAGTTGAACACCCAATAGAAGACTAAGAGCTTGCGTAGCAGCGCGTCTCCCTGAGTGATTTATATTGGGCATCAAGCAAAGAAGGCGGTAATCTGTTGGCAATTCCGATGCATGTTTACAGCAACTTGCAGTCGCCACTTGGGTCAGTAATCAACTCGGTTATATGCAACAATATCAGTTCACCTGTTACAGCAAAGGTCAGCACTTAGTTCATTATGAACAATCTCGTATACATGCAAGAGAAAATAATATTACGTATTTATAAACTATTATCACAACTTAGGCTACTGATAATTATCTCAATATACACGTATGTACACCTGTAGTCTCAGAATGGCTACACCCCTCCTCACTTAATGCGAGTACACCAAATTTAGATACCCAAATGGTCGAAACCGGCATTATCTTTCTCGTACCATGAACAAAACTTGAAATATAACTACTCTAGACGCCGCAGTAGTAGAATTGTCAGGCTAATAATCTCTTTAGTGTCCTATCGTTGGATACCTGTAGCCAACTTACACTTATGCAGAAAGTAGCTCCTGATAGTACAAAGCGGAACTATCTCTCGCTGCTTAATAGAAATGATTGCCCCCATTTATGATTCGTCATTTTATTGGTAAGCTTTATAAAATTAGAATGCTATGTTTATTTATCGCTTGTTAACTAGCACATTATCTAACGATTCATATACTGGGAAAACAAACCAATCTTGTGAAATATGCCCCCACATCCCAACAATGTGGTCGACCTCGATTGTTCGCCAAGCATATAGAAGAATCACAAAGTCTTGCACCGCTTGTTCGGCAGTAGTACATTGCAGCTCCTATCTTGATCTTGGAGGCTGTTTCCTTTCTCACTGGGCTGAATTCCCCTCTCAGACGTGAGGGAGATTTAGTGAGCCTGGGATGGCGTATTAAAAATAGCACTGCCGATGAATCCTCTCTCTTCTTTGATAGTCTACCTTCCAGCCTCTTTTCCCTATACGCCCATTCTATTAACCCTAGGGCTCCAGCTCTGCAAATGAATCCTTGACACTCTTTAACAGCGTAATATCTATGCCTGGATCAGAATACGTGAGAAAACTGTCTCTGCCAGTAATAGTCCTCCTATGATTCATGAGGATGTTGGAGAACATCGCCAAATTTAAATGACTTGTCTCAAATGCCTCAAGATAATTCTTAAACTTTCATCCTTTGTATATCAGTTGAGTATAAATAGCGGTTAGTCTTACGCAAAGTCCAGACCACGCACTAACCATATATGCTTGAAGGCCTGGCCACCAAGGCTCTACATTTCCATTGACCGTACAGTTTGTTCCACAAACAAATTCACCACACTCTACAACGTTGTATTGCTATCTTAATTTAACGTGAATAAAAGCCCGTCAGTCTATTTCTTATTCTAAATTATATCCCCAAGCCTCTATTCTAAGCATAAATTCTTAGCACTTTGGAGGCTATGACTTTAAAATCATGTTTTCGCCTAAATTTCCAATGGATTTCTCCAAGAATGCACCTATCTGTGGTATTGCTTCATGAACTACTAAGCTAATACATGGAACTTATACCATCCAGCGAAGTTCCGATGCGCAATAGTATTTTATTCTGCTAAGTTGGCTTTTATAATAAATATAATAAACTCAATTCTGTGTACCGAAAGCCCAGAATAAACTTCTTGTTTAGAGCTTTCTTACTCTTTTATTGTTTTAATAACAATTTTTGCAGTCCGCCATTTTGTTGGAAAATGTCGCGGGAGGGGATCACCATCGCGAGATCTGGATTGCTGAGACTCCGAAAGAAGATATAGATCATTAATCAATGAGTCAGTATCTGTTGAAGATGAGGCAGTATGATCGTCCGCATGATCGTCCGCATGCGATCGTCCATCCGCCAGGCTCCCAAGCTCAACAGGTTGGTCTGTTATGATTGCCATAAAGGTATCCTGTATCTCTTTTACTCCCTCGCTAAGATTATGCATTCTTATCCTCACCTCGTCGGCATCACTAGGAGGGACCGAAAGCGAAACCGTTCCCTCATTCGGACCTGGTGAAATAAGCTTGATGTCCAAATCCGGCCTGAGATTGAAGATGGCGTAATACAAGGCATTATAAGGCGGAGTGTGTATGGGTATCGGTAGCATATTGGTGATGACAAGAGTGATAATTTCCCCGTGGTTTACCACAGTCTTGTTGTTTTCCTCTGTGAAGGTGAAGTCCCTCCTCAAGTGCTGCTCCCTATTCTGTAAGTGATCGATACGAGTGTACCTGTTGAGTTTTCTGAAGAAATTCATCATACTGAGAATATCTGGCTCATCATGAGGAAACACGTAAACACGCCGTCCCTTTTCCTTTTCAGTCACAGCCAAGGCCGCTGGCGTCTCGTCTTCCGGCTCGGACCTTCCGAGCTCATACATGCAGCTTCTTGAACCTCGCCTCTCAAATGTGACGCCGCATCCTTCTGCCGCCGACAGCTTCTCCCATAGCGCATCATCATAGACTTCGACGCGCAGCGCAGAAGCAGCAATGGCTTCTGCTAGGGTAACAGCACATCCTTTTTGTACGATACCGAGACCATTCTTTGGGATTTTACCACGGGCCGTCGTGCCGTAGACTCTGTCAATCTCGATGAGCACGGTGTCATTCACGCCCAATGTCGTCGCCCCTAGGCAATGCACACGGTACTTCTCGCCTCTGCAAACTCCATGTAAATGTCCCAGGCCAATATATGCCTCTTTTTCATGGAGATCGACAATAGACGTATAGCGAGCACTTTCCTTTTGCTCGTATCCTAAGAAGAGTCGATTCGTTTCCCCATATATCATGGGGTGTTGCCCTTGTCCAATATGGGCAGCCACATGCAGATGCAGGTCTTGACTTGTTGGCAGCCCCTCAGTCATCCCGATTAGTTTGTCCAGAGATTCCATAAGCGCCTTTGTAAACACCCCCCGGTAATCTTTAAGCACATCTGTGCCATTCTCTTTGGCCTTTTCAACTGGCTGGCATGCAGCCAGAAGCGTGTATTTTCGTGCCTTCTTCGACCACCAGGTGTCTACTGCGGTCCCATCTCTATCGTCTTCAATACTTTCTGCATTTATCTTCTCGATAACTCCTAGAGGTATCGGTATTATTTCTTCGTCGGGCTCCATGTCAAAATCCAATTCACGGACATTTTCATCCACCCGGTCGCCACCTCCCGAATAACAGCAATCCAAGACGGCAAACACGGCAAGGTCGTCGTCGGCTAGTTCTGATAGCCAGTTTCCAAGTTCCCAGTCTTTAAGCGGTCGCTTACCCTGGAGGACCAGCGTCTCAAATTTCTTGGTCGAGTTGCTGTCCTGAGAAGGATGATGGACGTCCAGAAGGCACTTTTGCCGGCCACCATGACCAGAGAAATGGAAATAAAACACATCTTTACCCCTGGCTTCCTTTCTCACGCGCTTAAAGGCAGCCTGGACATTAGCATAAGTCGGAACCAATGGTGAATTCCGCTCGTAAGGGTCTGTGAGCTTGACTATATCCAGGTTTAAATGTAGTCCATTGCCGAGACTCCTAAGCTTTTTCTCAACGTCATTAATGTCGTTAATGCATCCATGTAGCCTCCTTATCTTCTTGTCCTCCCATTCATTGATACCGACTAACACCACCCACACCTTTTGACATTTTGTAATCGACATGCCAGAGAGGACGGCTAGAACGTGCCTTGATACAGAGTCTAGCAGATAAGCGATGATGAAAGAACGGACTTCATAAAGAGGGGGCCAAACCTGAGTTTATATATATATATGGCCTGCTAAGGGGCTTAAATAAAGTGATGTTACCTGATCCCCATTCCTGCCCAACGAGGCTCCGCGGAGGTTGGCTGCATACATATAGGTACCCACCCACCATAGAAGCAAAGATTACTCCATGTACTTATCTTAGGTACCTAGGTATAGGAGGTATGCTACTACTACCTAGAGTACCTACGTACATGTATCAGGGCAGCCAAAATACGCATGTACATCACGAGTACATAGACATGCATACCTATGCATTTGTACCCAACATTTAATATCGACTACGTAGCTAGGTGCCTAGTTCAGCTTCATCCGCAGGTAGGTACTTAGGAGGTGGGTAAGTTGTTGAGAACCAGGGCCTCCTCACCAAAAACTCACTCGACTAATTGCTGTGTACATGTAGATATGTCTAACTCTCCACAAAAGCACCAACCTTAGTGCATGTACTGACATTGCATTTCTCCAGCCGTAACCTCATACCTAACCTGTTTCTCAAACACCATAGCAACATCTGAACTTCCAACCTGAAAAAAAGATATCTCATTGCCCATTTTCACCGTCTGATATTTCCTGACGGACAGGACTACTGACGATACTTGAGCCATACTACGACCTTGCCGTGTTTCTCGGTTTCAATGATAATGAAACCCCACGTTTGACAACACTGATAACCAGCCTCGTCAGGTGCTTCCACCGCCCTTCCGTCATCTCCTATTCCCGGAGCCTTCTGGAATAAGAGATTCCTGCCCGGGTCTAGTTCAATTCTTTCACTGGGCTTTTTTGTTACTTGTAGATAGACCTGCTCCTGAATGACCCGGGCTGAATTATGTTACCACTCACGGGAGCATGCTTGCGGTGGTAATCTGACGGGCCTAGGAAGGCGTGCATAAAGGATTTAACGGTAAAGTTGTTATTCTGAAGTAATTTCGAAATTGGCTAGTTAAACTCCTTTACAATTACGATTCCTTCCTCGACGTTCCAATACCCGTTAAAAGAGAATTAGCAGCGCTGGCAAAAAATATTATCACTGTTATCATCCTTAAGAGGCCGCGCAATGTTAATATCCTTCCATTACTGCGAAAAGAACTGGCTAAAAGATACCCAGCCGCTGGTGGGTGTATCTTGCCATAAATCCTTCTCCTGGTTGTAAACTGGATTTTTATAGAAGTTTTCGATGTCGCTCGCCGATTCTCGAGTGTCAAAGAAGCACCCCATCTCCCGGCAAGAGTGCTGTGGAAGAGGACTCCTCTACTTCGTCAAGCAAGTGCGAGATCAGACGTTACAAGTCTGCAAAAGTTGCGAATTGTAACGTAACACGTGGTAAATTAAATGATAGCACGTCATATGTATGGAACTTTGTAATATCTTGGCTGTCCTATTGCGCGTTTTGCTGTAAAACGTTGTCGCTGCTTGGGCCAATTGCAGCCAACCTAGTATACGCACGCAATATCAGAGTGGTTGTGCCCCTCCCCTCCATATGCGAGTGCACCGATTTCTGAGTCCCAACTGGCCTTTGTCTCACCGAAGTCTGCATCCTCCTCCCTCACTCAATCGCGCACACTCGCGCACTCTAAGCGGGGGGAAATATGAAATATGACTGCTCTAGATGGCTACGATAATAAGGTTGCCCCCGATAGCGGTTTCTTTGCCGCTGTGTCATCTGATGACTACCTTGCACATATGCAGAAAGGCAATGTGTAATAGAACAAAGCGCTAGGTATATTTCTCGTGGTCTAACTCAGCAGACTCAAGAGAAATGAACTAGGCGAGATTAATTTTAAAAAGGAGTTATTGCCAGAAATTATATTATCATGAGGAGATAGACTGTTCAGTAAGCTAATTTTATAGTTAAACACTAGAGCAATATATATCAATTGTTTCCTCTCATTTGTTATTCATCCTTATTATTTGACTCAGCTTTATAAGATACCACCTATAGAGAAGACTTCATTTCTTAGTGCCCATCAGAAAGCAAAATGTCTCTCAGTTCGCATATTAAAAGATCAAGTCAAGCTTGGCAAGAATACCTCAAATCACAACAAGTGACCGATCTCGATGAATCCATTGAGTACGCAGATAAAGCTCTGGGTCTTAAACCAGCTCACTTGATGCAGCGCTACGACATATGCGCCGATCTCGGAAGTCGTCTGCTCGCTAAATGGGTGAACTTCCCTTCGCACAGAGAGGAAGTGGACGTAAAGAAGGCTCAGGAAATTCTAGATGACGTATTCCAAAACGGCCCTGTCAATGAGCAACACAAGAGGAAGAATCATCTCAACAACATTGTAATATCGGTAGGAAGGCTTTTCGTCGCTGATGACCGATACATGCACAACATTTCATCGCTTCGACTGTTCATCCTTGCGAATCAGGAACTCCGAAAGAAATATCCAGCAACGCATCTCATCACTGGAGCTCTGTTCATCGGATCATGTCGCAAATATTATCTCACCACCAATGATCAGGAAACAATATCTATGGCATTTGAAATGGCGTACTCGGATTCATTAGAGGACTGGGTGGCGGAACTCGAGATCCCAACTTGCCAGAGCTCTTTAGGGGTGCTCTTGCGTTGTCGATACGAGAATGCAGGGGCGCTAGAAGACTTCAATCGCTCCAAAGATCTCACATTCCAAGCTTCGGAACTGTGCCCAAATAACCAGGCAATTTCATTTGATGTGGCATGTTTCCTAAGCTGTCGTTACAGGAGTTTGGGTGATGCTGACGATCTTCGAGAGAGTATTCGGCGACTCCGGGAGATCATAAATTCTAGGATCGACGATAACGAGCTTATAAACGATGCAAAGAGTGTTCTCTCTTTGTTATTGTGCTTCCAATTCGAGCGAAATGGGATGATTGTTGATCTAAACGACGGGATACAGCTTGCTAAGTCATTGAGTCCCCCAAAAGATAGGGTTACCGAGGCCGGTCGTCTGAACACCCTCAGCATGCTTTGGGCGCGTAAATATGAACATACTTCAAACATTGCATTCCTGAATACGGCGATAGAATTGTCAAATGAGGCTCTAGACAAAGCACCCTCGCATCCGTTGCGGCATCAGCATCTTAACAGCCTGGCTATCTGGTTGGCCTGGAGGTACGAAGCCAGTCGCACCATTGAACGAAGCTATCTTGAAAAGGCCATTGCAAATGTTGAGATGGCAATCAAGAATTGCACATCGCCGGGCCTAGACTTAGCCTCTTATAGGTCAAACTTGTGCAGCCTTTTGGGTCAGCGCTATGAGTATACTCGACGTCTAAGCGATATTAACCAGGCAATAACGGAGGGTGAGCTGTCAGTCAAGAGCTCAAAGCGAAACGCTATAGACCACCTTCGAGCAGTGAGAAACCTTGGAGAGAACCTGGCCCGGCGGAACAATGCAGGAGACATCGACAAAGCCATCGAGATGTGGAATGAAGCTCTTGGCACAACATATTTCCCTCCTATCTACCGGGCCAATCTTGCCGTTGAAGTGCTTCAAATTCTCAAAAAGCATAAGAAATACATCCCTGCGCTCAAAATTGCAAGATTGGGACTTGGGTTTCTTACCAAGGCTAGTCCACGTTTCATGAAAGGATCAGACCAACAACGTATTCTTAGAAGGTATTCAGGCTTAGCGTCGGATGCAGCAGCCTTAACAATAGAGTGCCACGAGCCAGTGGCCGATGCGGTGGCTCTATTGGAACAAGGTAGAGGCATCCTGGCTGACCATCAATACGAGTCTCGACAAGATCTCTCTGATTTGAAGGCTGTATATCCCTATCAAGCATTGCAATTCGAGAGCCTTTTAAATCGATTAAACGATGTGCCTAGGATCCCGGATTCGCGCTATTCCTTAGCGGAAGAGCTTCAAAACGTGGACCGGGAACTAGATGCCGTGATCGCGAGTATCCGGAAGAAACCAGGATTTGAAAGGTTCCTACTGCCCCCGAATATCAAGCAAATATACGACATTATCAAGCCAAGTACCGATGCAATTGTTATAGTTAACGCCTCCTTCCGCTATGACGCCTTTATCCTCAGATACGGGGAAATTTCTATCCTTCGACTTCCAGATGCCTCGGATGCTGTTGTTCGTAACTGGACTGGCATGTGGAATCAATTTGATGCGCGTGGGCGTTATCAAGTCCTTGAATATCTTTGGACTGTTATTGTATCTCCCATCGTGACGCATCTTGGCTTCGAGCCAGTCACTAATGTGGGTGAGATAGCGTGGCCGCGGATACATTGGATACCCACCGGAGTATTGACAGGTCTGCCTCTTCATGCTGCGGGATACTGTCTGCACAAAAAGCACTGTGGTGTTTTAGACCGTGCTGTGTCATCATACAGTGTTTCTATGAAAGCGATGGTCCGCCTCTACCAAAACGGGGATCAAAGCGCCCCTCGTGCGGATGTTAAATATGACCTGGGAAGTACCAAGCCCAATAACATCGCATTGTTAGTTCCGATGCCTATAACTCCTGGATTGAGGGAACTTCCTGCTGCTACAGTTGAGGTGGACAAGATAAAAGTGGCATTGGAGCCCGTATACAACACGATTTCGCTATCTCCAGCATTACGGCAAGACGTCATTCAAAGCCTATCCCAGGCCCACGTCTTCCATTTTGCCGGTCATAGTAAACTAGACTACGCAGACATATCACAAAGCTCCCTGCTTTTAACTGACGGCGGCCTTACCATATCCGACCTCCTTACCCTTCGGGGGAAAAAATCGCCCTTGTGGCTAGCATACCTTTCTGCTTGCAGTACGGGAGTAAACGCCTTTGTCGATCTCGCAGACGAGGGTCTTCACCTGATGGGAGCATGTCAGATTGTAGGATGGCAAAACGTGACGGGGACGCTGTGGAGGGTGTCGGATCACTTCAGCATGCAGATCGCGCTAGATTTTTATACGGGCCTAAGGGATACTTACCAGGGAAATGTCGCGTTAGCGCTGCACCAAGCCGTACGTAAAAACCGGGAATTGCAACGCCCAGATCTTGATAACCCGGCTGCTCGTGACGGAGAACTGGTCTCCTCGAACAGGAATACAATGATGGATCCGTGGCAATGGGCGGCTTATATACATATGGGCATCTAGGCATCTGTATGTAGCTAGGTACCTAATGCTTGCTCTGAGCAGTATCTAGGCTTATATTGCATCTTCATCTAATTGCTGCGTCTTGGTATTTTAATTGCATAATGTAAGTACATATATGGCTAATGCCTACCTAGTACCTAGGTACCTGTGGTTTATGATAGGTATAGCATACATAAATACACATATATACATACGCATACACACTTATTTGCCTCGGTACCTGGTGAATACAACTTGCGGAACGCTTACTTCTGATATCCTTATAATTTTCACATACCCCGCTAATGGCCTGACCTATATTCTTAATTTCTAAAACATCTTAGGTCCTCTTTCTCTCTGCTTCTCCTCTTTCTCACACGAGAAGAGAGCGTATAGGCGTTTACTACTCTTTTAAGTCATGCTTCAACTAGACCAATTCACCATTGGCTGGATTACCGCCCTGCCGCTCGAGATGGCTGCAGCAATAGAAATGCTCGATGAAGAATATGGAAAACCAAACATACAAAATGCTCACGACTACAACAACTATATCTTAGGTCGAATAGGTCTCCATAATATTGTTATTGCCTGCCTCCCCACCGGCGTCTATGGAACTACATCTGCTGCTGTTGTTGCAGTGCAAATGATGGCAAGCTTTCGCTCCATCAGGTTTGGACTGATGGTCGGCATCGGCGGTGGGATTCCTTCTGCTACTAATGATATTCGACTTGGTGATGTCGTGGTCGGAAAACCAAGCGGGAGGGTTGGTGGTGTTATACAGTATGACTTCGGGAAGACTACCGATGGTGGACGGTTTGACCCGCAAGGGTCTCTAAACAAGCCTCCTCAGATATTGTTGACCGCAGTCTCAACCATGCAAGCATTGCATCTCACCCGCGGAAACCAGATTCAGGCAATATTGTCGGGACTCAATAAATCCAGGTTTTATTCACAGCGGCCCGGTCAGGATCGCTTATTCGAGCCCAACTACTCTCACGAGAACAGCTCTGCAAGCTGTGATCACTGCGATGCACGACGTCTGATGATTCGGCCGGGCCGACCCGACACCAACCCTGTGGTATTTTACGGTACTATTGCATCTGGGAATCAGGTTATCAAAGATGCACGGACTCGAGACCAACTTGGGCAACGACATGGTGTTCTCTGCTTCGAGATGGAGGCGGCCGGGCTAATGGACAATTTTCCTTGTCTAGTTATTCGTGGGATATGTGACTATGCCGATTCCCATAAAGCAAAGGACTGGCAAGCATACGCAGCTATAACAGCCGCCGCCTGCGCAAAGGAACTACTTGGACTTATCCCTATAGGTGATTGGTTGGACACTCACCCCGGAGCCGAGTCTGGAGGTAAATTCTTCCTGGTTATTAATGGATGTGCAAAGTAACGATGGTCTCTTTAGGGCAAACCCCGTCTCTGCCAGAGGCTCCTCGCTTCCCCTCGACTCAATCCTTTAAAATGACCCACAGCTTATATGGAATTCAGGATCTTACGCTAGCTAGTCTTATTCCAGACTATCGGTATCCGCATCTGGACGCATTAGCTCCTCGAGTTGTCGAACCAGGCAAGGATTTTTCTGTTTCCTCGGATTATAATATCCATGACATTTTTCATTCAACTCCCATATATGCTTCCCGGCCCGGACGTCGATTGGCAAAGTGGTTCCGATTCTCTTCCGATGCCAATTCAGAGAACGACATAACGCAATGGCGGATGCAAGCCCAAGAATCTCGACTGTACATGCTACGACAACCGCAGGCCATATTCAAGGATCTATGCTTGAATTCCACTGTTCGTCAATGGCTGCAGGAAACTTTTGAGAACAGAGCAGATGCCTATTTTCTAATTGGATATCGTTCAGTAATCAATGCAACGCTAATACGGCAGGATAAAAACGCTACCGAACAGGGAAGTTATAAGACTACTGGTGAGCGTATTATTGCGGTCTGCTATCGAAAGGTCACTTTTAGGTTTCTAAAGAAATCGGATAGTGCATCCCTAGACCGAGATAATTGCTGGAGGCTATTCTCTGATGATCGCGGCGATGACAATGAAGGTGATGTGATGTTGGAGGCAGATATAATGGATGGGGATGACATTGATGAATGTGATGTAAGTGATTTAGAAGATTAGCTAGGCACCAGTAAATACGATCTTTCTACCTTGAGTATTTTCAGATTAATAGTATCCTAGACAAATTAAGTAGCAATAACTGTATTGCAACTACAGTTTTACGTAACAACCACTAGGTTTTCACTCGATTCACATATTGAAAAAAATAAGTCAATCTTGACAAGAATCTAGAAATCTAAGATATGTATTTAAAATGACCCTGAAGATGAATCCTATTTCCTCTTTAATAGTCTGCCCCCAGCCTCTACGTCTTATACGCCTATTTCACTTACCCTTAGATCTCCAGCTCTTCAAACGAATCCCTGACACTCTTCGACGCCGTAATGTCTATGCCTAGATCAGAATACGTGATAAAGTTGTCTTTACCAGTCCACTCCTTCTCCCGAACCATATCCCAAAATTCCATTCCGAGCGTAAACTCCTGGGCCTCCATGGTCCACGTAGAGAAAAAAGTATCTCGAGATATCTGGACGTATGTTGCCTTGACATGGTGTGCTTCCGCCCATATCTGTAGCAGGCCTCCCAGAGTCGTACGCTCCACAAATGCAAACACAGTCTGTCCACCACGAGTCTTATCCGGCTGAGCAAGGGCTGCTTCCACAAAGGTGCCAAAATTAGCGCGGGTGTCTCCAATGCAGGCAATCGGTTGGTCGGATGGAGTGACTTGTATCTGGATGTATTGACCAATAGCAGGGACATGAATAGGCTGAGCAAGGCCGGCAAAATTTGTAGCGTAGTAGGAACACCACACAAAAGTAGTCTTTGCCAGCAACTCTGGCTTGGAATGGATATATCGAGTGACTTTGGCCTTGGATTCGTAATGGGGAGGCTGGCTCCTGCCACCACTGATTGTATATGCGTCTGCGAGAGTTGACAACAGGTAATGCTGTAGTGTATCGGTAGCTACTGCTGCATCCACCATGTTCATGCCTATCTGGGTCTCAATAGCTGCGGCTTTATTTGCCAATAAGCTAACGTCCTTCTCCCCTGGTGATTGTTTCTGAGTCTCTGAAAAGAGGCCCCAGAAGTTTGTAACTGCGAAAATAGCATATGATCCAGCAAATGCTGCTTTGAGAGCCGCAACGTCGGTCAACTCCGCCCGAACTACTTCAACGCCACGAGCGGAAAGTGCTTTTGCTGCTGCGCTCTGCGGCGACCTAGTTGGGGCACGGATGGCATATTCTTGAGATTTGTTCTTGAGCAGGTAATCAACAACTGAGCCTCCCTGCGCGCCAGTGGCGCCAACAACGGTGACTAGTTTCTTGGCTACCATATTTGTGTGAATGTCGGGAATATTTCAGGTTCAGGCTAGATATTGAATATAGGCAGGTGGTCTGGGGATTATGGAGCTCTTTGGTGGTGGCTATAGTATTTATCTGAGGCCGTTCCTTCGAGGGGGATTTTGTCTCCTAAATATTTGTTCGAGAGCTGTTGTTCGTAGGACTATATGAATCTAACGCAACAATTCATCAGCTAATCGAACTACTATACTTAACAGGTATAATAACTGGCCAGCATTACGAATTTGTAATGTTCAATCTTACCAAGGGAGGTTGGACACTACGGTTGCAGATCCCGCCTTCGAAAGGAGATGATATAGCGGGATCCGCTTGCAGCCAATCAAATCAACATGCTTCACAAGTATAATAACTGTCAAGCTTCAGGCATTTGGAATCCTAAATCGGACCAAGGGAGGCCGGAATACCACGGCAATAGAAGCCTACTTTCGAGTGGAGGTGACACAGCAGGATCCACTTGTAAGGAAGCCTCAACGTCAGTATCTAGGTCTATTAGATGACATCAGGTGAAAAAATGCAAATCTCCAACTACCAAACCTCAATTAAGAAAGATATAGCTGCGTTGATTGGCAGTTCGTCCAACTATTGTAGACTGTGCGATCATCGTCTAGCTCGTTTAAGTCGCTTAGGGTCAATGACCTGCCATCAACGCCCTATCACTTCGGCATTGGCGACGGAAGAGCTGATATCTCAATGTTTGGCGCATATTTATATGAATACATGGCTCATGCTGTTCATCTGTTTTTCGTTTGGAATATCAATCATAGCTATTCCTTGTAATATTTCGTGCTATACGACGGAAGGTTTTCACGACTGCCTACCAATCCAATCATTTCGTTATACCCACACCCAATAGTTTAAACAATTCTTTTCTAAGCTAATAATTGTGCATTCACCGGGAGAATTATATACAATTACCTTCAAGTTACCTCTTCTTGCCGTCAAGGAAGCTCGATCAGACGACACCCCATCAATTCCAGCTTTATTTGGCACAACATCCGGAGTCTCTCACACCTCTTAAACAAGGTTTGATCGCAGCTTTGAAAGACATCCTTGATCTTGAAAATAGCCCCGGTCATATCCAAATAGTAGTCGAATCCCATCAACTTAGAAGGTCCTCATCAAACTGCAACACTACCATCTTCCAGGCCTTCTGGTTCTCCAGCGCAGATTATGAAGACTGGTGGCAGAGCACTGCTGTATCAAGCTTCTAGGCCGGACTCGGGGAAGATACCGGTGTTTAGCGTGAGATTATGCGCATCAGCCCACAGCGCTTCATGCATGCCACCGGGGCGGCGAAAAAGCAGGGGCTCGCTCTGATGCCAGAGTTAGCAGACGTCGAGTATGTCGATATTGCGCCACAACAGAAATATTGGGGTATTTATCGAGAGCGCATCCCCAACCATCCATCAGACGACTTTTAGTCTGATTTCATCTCTAAAGCGCAAAAAAAATGAAATGGTGGATAAAAAGTTAAAGGCAATACCTGCAAAGAAGACGGCAGTGCTTCGAGATCACCAGTCATTAACGAACGATCACGCCCGTCTCGGAAGGGTAGTGATCCCACATGGCATTGATAACATGCTTTATGTGTGGGAATTCCAAGATTATTCTCAAATGACAGAAAAAGAAAGAGAGATTTGGCATAGAGACATCAATCCATTTGTGAGGGGTTGGATGGACTCGTTGGACAAGGAGCGCGGCAAGCATGGTGTCCTATCCTTTCGCCATGCTGCCTCGACGCAAATAGGCAACGCGCTCACTCCAACGGTATCAGAACCTCGAATAACGAGTCAGTTTGTTTTCTATCTGGACCTTGCCGCTTTTGAATACTCTGGGAAATCCACCCGTGACCATTTCAAGGCTCGCATGGCATTTGAGAAGCATCACAAAGGCACTGGGGCTCTAGGTATAGCCAAAGGCCGGACATAACTCTCCGTCGAGGTGGGGATATTGAAGAAAAGCGATTTTGAAGCAGAGTACATTGGCTGTTTAGAGGGCACGGGTTTGATGGGTAATGAAGATTTGATTGACACAGTGTAAAGGATCACAATCGATGATCTTCCTTCTAGTCAATGGTCAGATACATGGCCGTAAAGGGATCTGTAGGATTCACGTTATAGTAAGAAGCTGGCAAATAGATGAAAGAGATGAAAAATAGAACTCAAACAAACAATAGACATCGTCCTGACATCAAACTTTCCAGCAGTCTTCTCTCCCATCTGAAGGCGCTAGCAAATCACATGGTGATGATGATGTGGGAAGCTTACAGCCATGTGGAGACAAACTAGTGCAAGGAACCGATCGTGCATTAACTCCGCTGCCTGTTAAGCACTGTTTCGATCTGACTTTTCCCAAAGAAGTCATGCAAGATTGGCTTTCATGGGCGGAGATGGCTTGTAAAATCCGGAGTACAAGCCACATGGCTTCGGATCATAATGAGTCTTCGCGGCGATAATATCACTTAGTGATGGATATAAAGCAGCTTGATGAGACAATTAGAACGTTGGAACACTTCAAGTACTCATTCGTATCAACGGTTCATCAGTTTAGATCACTATGACTTCGAACGGAAACTTTGGGGCAGAGACAACTGCCGAAGAAGTAGCAGCTTCTTTTCGCGACCAGATTGTCGGAAAGACGAGTTAGTATATAGCCGGCTTCCATTGTTTTTGATAACTGTTGACGTTTGATGCATCTAGTCCTCATCACTGGCGTCAGTCCCAATGGTCTCGGTGCTGCTACTGCCCAGGCTCTCGCCAAGTATGAGCCTGCGAACTTGATCTTCACAGCTCGAACAATCTCCAAGGCATCTGCCGTGGCTGATAGCATCCGGGCCGAAAATTCAAATCTGAAAACGCAGATTCATCTCGTCCACATCGACTTGTCAGACCTGGAGAGCACTCGTCAGGCTGCTGCGAACATCCAAAAATTGGCACCGCGTATCGACATCATCATGAACAACGCAGCAGTAATGGCCATTCCCGAGAGAGAAATGACAAAGTACGGACTTGAGGCACACCTTGTCACCAATTTCCTTGGCCATTTTGTCCTTGCGTCACTTCTTTCCGCGCAGTTGAAAGCCGCGGGGCCCAAGGCGCGGGTTGTTAACATTGTCAGCGGCGGATTCTACGTTCAACCGTTCCGCTTCACTGATTACAACTTTGACGGCGGAAAAGACCTCCCAGAAGACGAGCAAGTCGACGTCGAGAATGCGGAAAAGCTCGGCATGGGGTGGGTAACGGGCCTCGGCACAGGATACATCCCATTTCTGGCATATTCCCAAACTAGTACAGCATTGATGCTCTATTCCAAGGGCCTGGTTGAGGGCTTCTCTGGAGAAAAGATCAAGGCCTTTAGTGCCGCTCCTGGAGGTGAGCCAATCACGCCGAGATACGATGTAGCAAAGTGCACGTAGGTACATTCAAGCTAACGTTGACAAGTCGTCTTGACGGAGCTTCAAAGACATCTTCCAGGCGAGTTTAGGAACCAAAAAATGGTATACAAGTCTGCAAGCCAGGGAGCCGCAAGCTTTCTCGTCGCTGCTTTGGATCCAAGTCTCGACGGTATGTAACTTGTCCTGGCGATTTGAAGAATGAAGCTAATAGCGATTTAGACCATCCGGGAGCGTACATTGATGATTGCCACATCAAGCAGACACCGAAATATGCTCATGATGAAGCAGTTGCCCGTAGACTCTGGACATTAGCTGAATCATGGGCGGCAAGTGCATGAGAGTGCGCAGGAACATTACATCTCGCGATGGATGATCAGGTTCCATACCAAGAGTCGTACGCCAGATGCATCTCTGTAATATAAACTGGTCAATCATATGCTTCGAAGCACAAATTAAATATATTTATTCATGGTCAATGTCTTGCTTTTTTACCAAGTCAATGATTTTGTATCACAAACCGTGAGGCCTAAGAAACGAGGCAGCGGTAGATGCAGTTATCGGTGCGGCCAGTCCACAAAGGGCAAGCAACACCCTCGATTGCCGCTTTGGTGATAGCCTGCCCCAATAAGCGCATTCCGTGTCTCCATTACGCCACACCAATCTCCAACAACCAACGTAATTGTAAACCTGTATTATTTTTTTCTTCCATGCATGCATCCTGATTCTTCACCTACACGCTGCCAGATGGCCGTTTGATGTATATGCAAACGCCGGAATCATGTCTGTTCCGTATACTGAACGCCTCTTTACACACCAGCCGTCATCTTGAACCGGCCCCGCCCGTCTCATCCTCCGACAAAGCCGAACGATATCTCTATGATCATACGCGCATCTTACTGCTGTATCGTCAGCCATGTTATGACTAGATGCTCATCTGTCATTTATCTGCGTTCGTCGATACGAGTTTCACTGTCGAAGGCTTCTGCTGTGCTATAAATGACGCAAATCCGCTGGCCACGGCACAGACATACAATGCTGGACAAGGCAGCTGCATGCATATATGCAGATTACTCTTCAGAGCTTGGCTGCGTATACTACGAATTACGAACCAAAACAGGCTGGGAGATCTATTCAATCGAATTTCCATCCGCATCAACCGCAGAATGAGGCCTGATATCCAGTCACCAACTCGCCTCTGTGTGCTTTGGATATATCCCTCAATCTTGTGGGTGGAGTTTTACTGCGGACACGTCACTCCATACCGTGGTGTGTGCGGCGGGGCTACGAGATTGCCATATCCATATTGGTGCGCGCCAAAATACCACACCACCCCGATCCAAGATGCCGATATGGGCCCTGTAGAGCCTCTGTGGCTCTATGGCATTCAATATGAGCATTGAATGCCTCTACAACGTTCCCCTTCTCCTCCATGGAGAATGGGAACTGCCAGCTGGCAGCAGAAGAGCTCCTAACACTTTATACCCCCCCGTAACATCAATTGCTATCGGGGGGGAAGGGCGCCGTGGTGCAACGGTCAGGTCAAGCTCCCCCCCATGTGGATCGAAGGCCAACAACCGAATCGACGACCCCCCGAGTTCGAATCCGAGACGAAGACCGAAAAAATCGACAACTTCCTGGACCTAACGGAGTAGAGTAGGGACGCCTGCTCTGCTCCACTTAAACCGTAGATAGACAGAGATGTAGGCGTCTGGTTTATCCCTCGGGCCCAGAGGGTGTAACCAGCGCCGAACTCTTTTGTCATTTGCGTATATTTTTGCTTCATATGCATTGGCTTGGATGGAGTTTCTTTTTTTTTTTTTTTTTTCGTCGATGGTGGATGGGCGTTGATCTCTCGGTGGTTTTGGAAGCTTTGCTTTGTGCGTGAGAGAGCTACAGATGCTGCATTTTCGCGGGTTGATGAATTGGCGCAGAAATATGTGTCTGGCAGCTGCACTTGCGCACTTGGCGATATCAACGGTAGGTGGAAATTTGGTGTTGAGCGCGTAGAGTCGTAAACTCGTAGAGTTGATTGTAGATTGCTCGTGCAGCTCTCTCTTTTTTTTTCCCCCAGCCTTCCACGCATTTTTTTGCACAGAAATCATAATACGGAGGATATCCAACATCTCTCTCTACTTTACGGACAAGCAAATGCTATCTGCAAAAAAAGGTGTATCGTTTGCAAAGGAAACAATCTCGTTGACTTGGAACAAGATACGCCAGATTGATCAACGTTTTGGACGTCGAGTGGTGGCACGTGCAAACGGTGGCTAGCAGAGCTACGTTCTGAAATAAGCTTAAAATCGCTGAGCCTGGCCATTTTGGAACTCGCCTAGACTCAGGCCCTACAGATTGCGCGATGCGCTCCAGCAATTGCGTGTGCTGCAAACTGGATGCCTGGAGCAGTCTATTTGCAACACGAGGATGCTAACTATGTCTATTCGCTTGAATCGACAAGAAAATGCGTCCAGTCGAGGCTAGAAGACCCCAGCCGCTGGTTGCGCGGTGAATTGCGGTCAGAACGCCATTGAATGAATCTTGCAGTACGGAGATAACCAGATCTGGTGGCCAAATTCTGTTGTGCAACGTTTCCGCGGGGGGCAACAGACTGCTAACCCACAACACAACAGCTTCTTTTTTCTTCTTTCTAGATTCCAAAATCTCGAGGTGGCCAATGGCTACAACGACTACCGGCCACCCTTTCTATTGTGTAAAGCACCGTGGCGAATAAAAATGAGAGAATAAAAGCCTCGATTCCAGGAACGAGCCACGAAAAGTGTCGAGAAAGGCAAAATATCTGTTGGCCGCCCACGCAAGAGGCTTGGTTGAAACAGCCACAGAAACTAGCCCGTGGCCTCGCCCAATCACCCATTCTGCGTCTCCAGTCTTTCCTCCCTTGCGTATCCAAGTTCACCGAGCACGCAAGCAGGCTATCCATCCTACGGTTGGAATGCGACCGACGAGTCGGCGAAAGGCCGTTTGCGACCACCCGCAAAGATCTCCGGCCACTCTCAACGGAGCAAGGCGGATCAATCGGCAAACTATGTGAGGCGTGCGGAGCATTTTGGAGCAAGGCACAAGGCCCGGCCAGAACTAAAATGATGCTACTCCACGGGATTCGTCGTGAAGGGCTCCAGAGGCGGGTCAAAGGCCCTCAACCCATGCCCGCTAGATCGTGGAGGCGGAATAACGTCATCATTAGGTGAAGGCCATCCGAAGGCTGCCTGCCTAACAGGAGGAACATGGAACATGGGGCCGTCTGTGGTTTGAATATGGTCGCGGCGGTTGACGTGCTCGCGAGATCCCTGCCGTCTCTGCGCTAAGGAGGCTTTGGGTGCAAATCTTGCCTGCTTTTTCTCCTACGAGGCCGTCTATTGGACGAGAAACGGTGTACTTGTACAAGCAGTATCTCTGCATGGGAACGGGTGCCGTTTTTTATCTCGGGCCCTCGCTGCACCGCTCCATCATCCTTCCATCATCCTCCTCTTCTTCATCTTCGTCTGCTATTAAACCACCATAGCTTCTGTAGAGTTCGAGTCGATGTACCTGGTTCATTCCTTGGAGTCCCGGTTTAAGGTTCAAGCGTGTTGATCTTGTTGTTTGAATTTTTTTTCTCTCCCTTTTTCCCATTTCGGCCACTTCATTGTTCTGTTGAGAGTACTATCCTTCCTCTTGTCGCAACAATGTCTGAGAAATTCAAGACAGCGCCTGAAGACCTCGAGGCGACGACGTCTCACTCGAGTGGCTTCTCACGGTTTGCCTCATTATTTGGCGGCCCCGGAGTCTGGATTGGCCCCCGTATCGCACCACTGCCGGCTTATCTCAAGAGCGATCTCTCCGAAAGCGAAGAGTCTAGCGAGGCAATCCTCAACCGACAGCTTGCATCGGAAGATGGCACCTCAATCCAATATCGCACTTGCTCATGGCAAAAGACTGCGGCGCTGCTCTTCAGCGAGTACATCTGTCTCGCCATTATGAGCTTTCCTTGGTCTTACAGTGTGCTTGGTCTGGTCCCTGGCTTGATCTTGACTGTTGTCGTTGCTGCTCTTGTGCTCTATACAAGTCTGGTCCTGTGGGAGTTTTGTCTGCGGCATCCAGAGGTGCGCGACGTGTGCGACATTGGCCAGATGCTCTTCTGGGGCAAGGAATGGGCATGGTGGGCGACTGCCGTCATGTTCGTCTTGAACAATACATTCATCCAGGCTCTGCATGTTCTGGTCGGCGCAGAGTACCTCAACACCATGACTGAAAGCGACAAGATTGGCGGATGCCGTACTGTTGAGTTCGGTGTCGTGGTCACAGTCATCTGCTTGATTGGATCGCTACCTCGCACGTTCAGCATGATGTCCAAGCTTGGTACTGCGTCTGCAATCTTTACTTTTATTTCTGTGTTGCTGGCAACCATCTTTGCTGGCATTCAGGACAAGCCCGCTGGATACACTGCGGCATTGGGCTCGCCACTTGTTACAGCTATACCAGTCAAGGGCACTACTTTTGTCAACGGAATGTCAGCTTTCCTTAACATTAGCTACACCTTTATTGGCCAGATTACCCTCCCGAGTTTCATTGCTGAGATGCGAGATCCTCGGTAAGCTCTCCTGATAACCCTCTCCTTTCTCCTCTTGTTACGGTTATACTGACTGCATCATTATCCAGGGAATTCCCCAAGTCTCTTTGGGCTTGCACGATCGCCGAAATCATTGTCTTTTCCATCGTCGGCGGCGTCATCTACGCCTACACCGGTAACCAATATGTCACGGCTCCGGCGTTTGGATCGTTGGATGATCTCTACAAGAAGGTTTCGTTTTCCTTCATGATTCCAACACTCATCTTCCTCGGATGTCTGTATGCCTCAGTGACAGCCCGCTTCGTCTTCTTCCGCACGTTTCGCAACTCAGTGCACTTGCATAGCCACACCGTCGTGGGATGGGGAAGCTGGACCGGTATCCTGCTTGTTACCTGGATTTTTGCCTTTATCATTTCTCAGGTCATTCCTTTCTTTTCCTCACGTAAGTTTTGACAACTCTAAAGCTGTCACCTACTTGTACTAACAAGTGTTTACCTAGTCTTGTCCGTCATGTCATCCCTGTTCGACAGCTGGTTCGGCTTCATCTTTTGGGGTGTCGCGTACCTGCGCATGCGAAGCGTGGACGAGCAGGCTGGGCGAAAACGAAACGGAATCGTTGCAACGCTGTCAACGGCTTTGAACATTGCCATTATCATTATGGGCGCGTTCTTCCTGTCTGTGGGCACATATGCCAGTGTACAGGGCATCGTCGATTCATTCAACGCCGGCACAGTACACGGCGTGTTTTCTTGCAAGAGCAACGGAATATGAAATCATGAAGATATATATACCCAAAAAGAACGAGTAAGAAGAAGAAGAAGGAAGGGAGCCGATCGAGACATATACCCTAAATGGCACATACGCAGGATGGATGGCGGCCAAGATGTGCACATAGATGAGCCGAGTACGGGGGTTACAAAGGCCGGAGAAGTCGAAATACCTACTACATCTCTCGCGATGAATATTTTTCTCGGGGAGCTTTTGCAAAGACCTGCAGAAATGCACGGCGTTTTCTGGAATTTCTCGCACAGTTTCATGATTGAGCGGGAGCTGACTGATTTGTAGATGTAGTGTGTAAGGTTTCGTAGATGCTTCGCGTAGTTGTAAAGTGGTGTCATGCCATGTGCCATTGTTTTCGAGCAATTTAAGAGCAAAGTAACAGCTCTAGGACCATAGTTCGCATCGTGCTAGCTCTACCCGGTGGTGATGCTTTTCGTCACGCCTCAACTTTGGTCTTCAGTTCAAGGGCCTACCATGTACGATGCTCTCCTCCTAACAGCTATCACGATGCGATGCCTACATTCAGTCATGGTGAAGATCCTTGCAGGGGTCATGCTGCACGCTTATCTAATGCCCGTGTCGCGTTCGTTGATCGCATCTGCTTGTGCTTATAGCGCTGGATGTTCAGCTGAATCCTGAATCCCCCCTCACCAACTCATGCTGTGCAGCAAACGACAAGAAGTGTCTCCTCCGAGCAAATGCCATAAACTAAAATGTTGTCCACAGTCCTGCTGTGGCTCGCCATAGCATCCCTCTCGTCGGCTTCTCTGCCCTGGGATAACGGGGATGTGACCCCAGGCATCAAGACAACCTCTTCCGTGTCCTTCGACCCGCTGGCCGTCCTCGCGATCCTTTGGAACCCACGTGCTTCAGTGAGCGCATCAAGACTCTATTCTCAACCCTATCGCTACGAGACCAAGCGACGGCGATGGCCGCATCTCATGCAGATTGGCGCAGTAACTGTGCCCGTATCTGTCCTCGTAGCCCACCTTACACGCAACTACCGCTCTATACATCCCGCGCTGGAGATGTTCATGGGCAATGTGGATAATCTCAATGTCAAGTCGACAATTGGCAAAGTAATCAACCTGTTTCCCACACTGCCCCTAAGCGGCAGCGAATCGAGCTTCGTCGAATCGCTGGCATTTCGCCCTTCAAAGCACCCAAGGAATGACATTAGTATTGTTTCGCTTCTGCGGCCAGGAAGAAGGGCTTTGGCTGAAAAACAACAAGTTGTCCTGGAGCCACAACATGCCGATACGAGAAACAGAATGAAATGGCTTCTTGCCAAAATAATCTTTGTTCTGACTGAGATAATCATGGGGCTGATATTAGCGGCCGGAACAACGTTCAGCGTCCTGCTGCGCGACATCTGGGGTGTAGTGCTGTTTGGGTCCTATTTGTTCCATTGGATGGCGTCTACAGCAGTCTCGCTGTGCCAGTTAGTTGAGTCGGATACGTGGAAGGAAGAGTTGAATATCCGACAAGACGATCACATTGTTTTTGCCATTTACGAGCGGCCGGCTGGCGGGTGGGTTGTCTTCAAAGGCACACAAGAGACGATGGAGAGATGGGCCCGCACATCGTGGTGGTTTGCGGACAAGAAACTGTACAATCGACTGGTCCACTGGTCTTGGATGATTACCGGCCTCGTGGCAGCTCTTGCTTCGGTGGCCAACATGGTCAATATGACGGGCTACACGCAGTTGGGCTTCCTTGGAATCCTGCTGTACGGCTCCTTGGCGGAGCTTTGGTTGACAGTCGTGGATCAAATGGTTCAACCGGAATCAATGAGTTTCCTCGGCCCATACAGCAAGCACACCGTGACAGCCAACGACAAGAAATACAAGAGTATCATCCAGGCCTGCCTCGGCGTGGACGATGTTCACCGTCTCGGCAGCGTGCCGTGGACCAAACTGGGCCTGCTTCCAAACCGAGAACCGTTTCTGGCTCTCGAAAAGACAATTCGAACGTTGCATAATGTTTCCAGTGAAAATGGCGGCGTTGCACAAGAAAGATACCTCATTGGCGTGCTTTTCGAGTTTGAGGAGTCGTGCAGGGGCTTACACCAAGCTGAGAGGGAGTACGCAAAGGGAATTCGGGACGAAGTTGAGAGGGTGTGGCGAGAGCGGATTGCGAATCAGAGGAAGCGACGGCAGGAGGAGGAAGTGAAGGTTATCCAGGTGTGAAAGATTAGTCATGTGCTGGTTGATGCGAGTGTCTTTATTCATGACTACGTTGGGATTTGCTAGGATTTCTTTTGATGAACTGTGTATTTGACATTGATACCCTCTTTGAATCGTTTCCCCCCCCTAATCATAGCCACGAAAAGTATAACTTGAGGGAGAATTTATCATCACGGAAAGAATAGCATACATATTTTTTGAGCAGCTGTTTATATCACGCAGAATATTATTCCATTTAAAATCGTAAAACTGATCTACTCCCGGGTACCCCTCCAGATATCTGGTGGGTTGTATGGATGGAGTAGCTCATATGCCTGGTAGGTACCAATACATTCCCAGCAATACCATGTATGCATCTCAACAGCCGCAATAATCTGATCAAATCAAATCAACTTCTTCTTTGATCCTTCCCCTTTTAATTCTCCATCAAATCCCCCCTCTCTCGATACCCAATTCTTCAACACATCACTCCCTCCTCGTCACACAACCCGTCCAAATCAGGCCACCCCAAGACCCTGATTGGCCCAGCGCCTCTCCCCCTCTGGGCTAAGCTTTTCCAGCGCATCTTTGCCCCTCCACAAATAGGCGGTTCTGGGTACCTGACGCACTGTAACCTGCAAAAGCTGTCCACTTCAATCTGGTTCGGTTTACTGCAAGAGGCTAGAGGACACCGCTTTTGTGTTATTACGAAACAGCCCACTTAGGCCGGATAGAGCTCGGAATGGGAATGGCGAAGCTGCGCCGTTTCCAACCTCAACTCACATCTGTCAACCAAATCTTGGCAGCATTGAATTGCCAGCGTCAACAAAGACAGCAATTCCTGCTGCTCTCCTCTGATTGACAGCCCGGATCTCGCATCGTCAATCAATCTCCTCGCGCCATCATCTCCCATGGCTCGGTCCGCCGCGACAACGGCCACCAAAGAGGCCAAGCCTCAGGCAGATGCTCTCCCAGCAGACAGCGATAATAAGCACAACGACTTCTTCTGGACTTATACCGAGGAGCCGCACCGCACACGCCGTCTGGCCATCATCAAGGCCCATCCCGAGGCAAGACGCTCCCTCGCCTTCTCTCGCACTGCTCGAACAATCCGCTAACACCGATAATCCGAGCAGGTCCTCAAGCTATGCGGCCCTGAGCCTCTGACCAAATATGTCGTTGCCGGCGTTGTCGGACTTCAAGTTGTTCTGGCCTATCTGTTGCGATCAACGCCTTTCTGGTCGTGGCAGTTCTGGGCCGTGGCCTATGTCTTTGGTGCCACTGCGAACCAGAACCTGTTTCTGGCCATCCACGAAATCTCCCATAATCTGGCCTTCAGGAACCCTCTGGCCAACCGGCTCATCGCCATCGTTGCCAATCTGCCTATTGGCATTCCTTATAGCGCTTCATTCAGGGTACGTAAGCTCCGACATCACCATTTCCAATGCACAGCTTCTTGTCAGGAAAATAAATTCGGGGAATTGTTATATTAACTTTCTGTAGCCGTACCACCTCACTCACCACAAGTCCCTCGGCGTGGATGGCCTTGACACTGATCTTCCAACTGCCCTGGAGGCCTTTGTGCTCGACTCCATCTTCGGCAAGGCCTTCTTCTGCACATTCCAGATCTTCTTCTACGCCATTCGCCCCATGGCAGTCTACCGCATCCCCATGACCTGGGTTCACCTCCTCAACGTCGTTACTCAAATCACCTTTGATTTCCTTCTCGTTCACTTTGCTTCTCCAAACGCTCTTCTCTACCTGCTGCTGTCCTCTTTCCTCGCTGGCAGCCTGCACCCCCTTGCTGGCCACTTCATCGCCGAGCATTACGTTTACGAGACCGTCACCCCTACTCAGAGGAACCCTGACAACAAAGTACCTGTCCCGGAGACCTTTTCGTACTACGGCCCTCTCAACATTCTGACCTACAACGTTGGACTGCACAACGAGCACCACGACTTCCCGGCCATCCCCTGGACAAGACTCCACGCCGTGTATGAAATCGCCAAGGAGTTCTACGAGCCTTTGCCCCGCCACGAGAGCTGGATCTACGCCATCTGGCGATTCATCTGGGACGAAAACGTGGGCATCAGCTGCCGCGTCAAGAGAAAGAACGGCGGCCGCATCGTTGGAGGCGCCGTCAAGTGGAAGCAGTCTGAAGTCGAGGCTTAGAAGAATACACTATCAAGGGCTGGTTTCATATCGTTTTGTGTACGCAGCACCGGCATGTTCGGTGTGGGAGGGCTACATCTTGTAATAAGCGTTTCTTTGCGATATAGAAAAGCAAACCCCCCTCTCTGTCCTTTAGCGTTGTAACGAAATCCGGGCGAGGAACAAAATATCGGGGGATAGATGAACCACGACAGATTTTACGCCCTCAGGTCGGGGGCTATAGACTAGCTATGAGACATGAAATGAAATGCTACGTGGTATGTTTCGGAAGAGATCCAAGAGCACGGCATAATTTGTGTATGGCAACGTATTATAAAAAGACTTTCATTAAATTGAAAATTTTCCCATCCTACCTACCTATCTACCTACCTGAGTACCTGATATGCCCACCGACGAGCAAGGCACGCATTCTACTTGGATCCACCGAATTACTTACAAAAGGAATAAATAGTTGAAGCAGCCCAAAATCGAAAACGAGGAAATAGAAAAAACATGTAGAGTTAAAAAAAAAAAAAGGAGAGAGAGAAAAGGAAAATAAAGGAAGGACAGGAAAGAAAAAGAAAAAGGAGCAAAGACACGCCTATGAGATACTAAGAAAACTACTGCCAAAACAAAGTAAAGTACAGAGAACTGCACAACATGCCGACTCGACTCTCTCGACTCTCTCGACGAGAATTCAACGAGTCAAAAACACGGACAGCCCTGTTTCCACCACGGTTCTCTCTTTCTCTCTCTCTCTCCGTATAAAGGGGGCGGATGAAAGATTTTTGCCAGCCCCCCCTTTTGTCATCGCTCAAACAGCACAGCTCACACATCTTTTCTCCCACTTTCTTCGTACACACACAACAAAATCAATGCGCCGTCCCCCCCATCCATCATATGAAATAATGGCCCTTTGCTCATCGGGGTTGTCTTTCATGATTTGCAGGTTTCGTTGCCGCTGAAATAGGCTTCGAAACTAGCCCCCCAATTGGGCGAAACAAAAGCTTCTCTAACTCAAGATTGGCCATAAACTTTGGCACCACCTCCCCCTTCAATTCTCATTAGTTCGGACAGTAACTTGTCCGCTCCTCATCAAGAGGAGGCTTAGAAGAAGACGTAGGCAAGCAGGAAGCTGAGGAGGCACAGGATGGCCACAATCTTGACTGGCACACCCTCGACACCTTGCTTGGTTTGCTGAGCAAGAGCTCCGCCCGATTTCTTCTCAGTCTCCGAACTGCCCTTAGCATTGCGCTGTCGAAGGCCGCTATTCTTATAGTTTGCCAATTCAGCTTCTAGCTGGGCAATCTTGGCCTTGTAATCGTCGCTACCCGCTAGAACCGTGCTGGCAGCGGCAGAGGCAGTCTTGGAAGCGGCCGACTTGGCGGTCTGCGGTCTGGAGTCATCATCCTCCCTGTCATCATTGGCATAGGGAGGGGGCGCGACGTTGGGGGAGTCGGCAGCAGATGGAGAGGAGTAGGCTCGAGGCGCATCGGGAGTATCGTACGACTAGTAGGCCGCTGTTAGCTACATGCATTATCTCCAGTGTAGAGATTTATACGCACTCCATTCACCGCGGCTGCCTTGATAGGTGTCGCGACGGCGGTGGGGCCATGATCAGGGCTGTCGCTTGCAGGTAGCCAGTTGACTCGGATCTTTCGTTCAAAGATGGCGGATTTCTCTGTCGTTTCGAGCTGTACGTGCAACACGGTCAGTTTATGCGTCGGGGGATGTAGGTAGACGTGCGAAAAACTCACGACTGAAGCAATGCTGGCGAATTCCTTGTCTGGAGTAATGGGGGCTGACTGGACGAGAAACTTGTCCCTGCACTTTGCATCCAGTGGGGGATCAGCCTTCATCGCCTGCAGAAGAACTATGCTAGTGTCAGCGGTACCATTACAAAGACTGTTGCTGCCTTGTAGCGACCCAACGTACCCGTAACATCGAAATCCTGGCCAGGCTCAATACGGCCCGCATTTGGTCGAACGCAGTACCTATCAGGGAGAAAGAAAAAATGTTAAAAATTTCATCTTGACAGGTCGGGTATAGAATCGCAACGAGAGGGTCAATCATACTGCTTGGGAGCCGTCGTTTTCACCTGGGAAAAAAAGTTAACAGGGATCTTGTCGAAACAGGAGGTATCCACAAGCAGTTGCAGCCGTGGGCGACTGCAGAAGCTATAGGTGGCACATGCTAATCACAACATACCTTGAATGCCAAAGGCGATGAGCTTGGGTTCTTGATCTTGAGGATCTGCGCGACCTCGACGGTGAAGGGCCCTATGCATTGCCAATCCGTCAATGGATGCTCTCGCTCGGGGATGGCGTCACGGCCACAAAAGGCGGGAAAGACAACATACGCCGGAAAGAAAGCTCAACAGGCTCAATTTCGACCGACATGGCGACTGGAACTGCGGAGAAGAGGCTGGAGCTGAGCTAGGGGAAAGGTCGAAAGCAGAGCACGAGCCGGAAAGAAAAAGATGTCGTCGTGTTTGAATCGATGGCGCTGCACGGCGGGGAAACGCGGCGGGACGAGGGAATCGAAAACGGATTAAAAAAAGAATAACGAGTATCAAGAAGAAGAGACAAGAGCCTGTGCCAAAAGTATAATCGAGACGAGAGCGGGAGAGGAAGCGGTGGCTGAGAGAACGGGCAGCTGTTGTTTGATTACAAAGAAGAGATCTGGAGACGTGATTGATGGCATGTCGCTTCGGCCCCTGTATCGAGATTGGCTGGCGAGGCTGAGCTGGCCTGAATGAGATGCGGCATGACTAAGCCGTCTCAGGGTCTTTGGTCCCGTGCAGGGGGGGAAGAGGCAATGAAACAATGAAACAACAGCGAAGTTTGCACGCTACGGGGATTTATTTTACGCGAGACGAGCCTTGAGAGCCTGCAAGAGGTGCGAGTGAGTCGCTTGTGATGGTACACGTGTTGGAATCGAGGAGAGCTAATAGAGGAGAGCTGGCTCTGCTAGAGGGGACGTGGTCCATCATATGATGGTAGGGTCAGATGCTCTGGAGCTGGGACGGACAGCTTGGACAAGTGCACTCATTGCAGCTGCGTCGTGTGATATTTTTCTAAAGTAGCTTAATCTCGACAGCTATACAGCTTTACAGCTTACACATGAGTTGCGTGGTTGATGCAAGCATGCGTTCTATGCTGTCTCAGTTCCTACTGTGCAACTCGCCTCCCTGCAGAGCATTCTGTAAGCCCATGTACTCGTATGTAACAGCATTGACGCCATCTTACGTAGGTGTTGGTACCTAAACATTCAGACGCTGTGCATTCAAGGCCGCTTCAAGAGCTCATTAATACGATCAAATAACTTGAATAAATTCCTATCAGTCACGTTTTTTGCTTACTTAATTCTTCAGTTCTTTCTTCTTCTTTTTTTTAATTGCCTTTTTTTAAGCACTTTTCCAAACGACGACGTTGTTGTTACAGCTCCACTGCCTTACCAGCAGCTCTTTCGACGACTCTCCTACCCCACACTCCCCCCATCATCATCACGCCTATATTTCATCACCTCACGCCCCATCTTCTCCATCTCACAGCTCTCCAAATCAAGAAAAGTAAATCTCGGCAACCATGGCTTCCGATCTAGATACCCTAATTGAGATGGGCTTTGAGCGGGCTCGAGCTGAGCTTGCCGTCAAAAAGTCCGGAGGACGTGAGTGTCGAGACCTACATTTCCCAGCATCAGCGGCGCCTCATCTCACACGTGTCTTTACAACCCGCAGTGCAGGGAGCCCTACAGTGGCTAGAAGACAACCAGGACAAGTCCTTGGAGGAGATTCAAGCTGCTCAGGCAGCGGCTCAGGACGACGACGAAGACGAAGATGAGACCAAAGCAAAGATTGCCGAGCTGGAAACGGGCGAGAGTGCCAAGTCACTTATCTGCAACGAGTGCGGGAAGCGGTTTAGGAACCACGACCTGGCTAGTTATCATGCCACCAAGACGTATGTCTCTCTTCTTTACCATGAAAATGGATTAAGCCTAATGCTGTGATAGTGAGCACACAGACTTCTCCGAGTCAACAGAGGAAATTGCTCCTTTGACCGAGGAGGAGAAAAAAGCGAAGCTTGCGGAGCTGAGGGAACGACTCAAGGCGAAGAAGGCTTCTCAGGCAGACCAGGACAAGGAGGATGCAAAGCGTAACGAGGTGACCATTTACTCTCCCACTGCTCACCCAAACAGAACCCAACAGTGCTTTTCAGCTTCTCTTTCTAACACATGCATAGAAAATAAGACAAAAATCTACAAAGGAAACTCAGGAGGCCAAGGAGGAGCTTGCGCGCAAGGAACAGATCAAGGAGGCTATGCAGAAGCGCAAAGAGAAGATTGAAGAAGCTGAAGCCAAGAAGCGCATCAAGGCCAAGATCGAAGAGGACAGAGCCGAACGTCGCCGCAAAGCCGAGGAAGCAAAGGCCGCTCGTGAAGGCAGAGCTCCTGAGGTTGCAACCTCATCTTCCGCTGCTCCTGCTGCTGCGGCCGCGCCACGACCCAAGGCAGACCACACAGAGGCGAAGCTGAAGCTACAGACTGACTCAGGGAACATTATGAAGACGCTGCCGGCAGAGACGACGCTGTTTGAGCTTGCGCAGCAGCTGCAGAGTGAAACTGGCAAGCCAGTGACGACATTTACGACAACGTTTCCCAGGAAGACGTTTGAGGGAGATGTGGACATGTCCAAGACGCTCAAGGAAGCGGGTCTTGTGCCTTCATCTGTGCTCATTGTAAAATAGATTACTGTCATCTTCCGGATTATCATTGCAAGGCATGAGAAGGGATACAAGGCTGCGGCGATGAAACAAGCCGGCCTTGGGCGCAATCTGGTTCTAATCTCAAGCCAAGGGAAACACTTTCGAGAGCTTTGTCATTAGATGAACATAGCGTCCATCATTACGGGGGCACAATCTCAAGCAGCTCAGGGCACCGTTGGTGCATTTTCACAGCATATAAGCGACGCATGTGTGCAAAGGTGAAAATTGTCAAAAAATTTCTTTTTATTCTTCCCGAGTCATTTAATTGACCATTTGTCCCCTCCCCGCGTGAACTCCGTCGTGTGAGAGCATTCATCATATTATCCTTATGAACGAAGCTACTCTGCCCAGGACGCAGGATATAGGCGCCCACTCCATCCTGTATGCATCCATCGATGTGGATAAAGACCCCGAAGTGCCATGCAGTTGAAGTACAAAGAAGCAAGAGAAAAAACAGTCGCCGCAACAGGTGGAGCTGGCTGTTTAGTCGAAGAGACCGAAACCCATGTCCTCGTCGGACTCCTCCTTCTCTGCAGAAACACATTAGCACAATCAATCTCTTGGGCTCGCGGAGCAGCCAAAACCCACCCTCAACCTTCTCCTCCTCAACAGCGGCCTCAGCGGCACCACCAGCGGCAGCGGCAGCGCCAGGGGCGGCAGCGGCAGCACCGCCACCGGAGCCAACGTTGACCAGGAGGTCCTTGATCTCCTTGCCCTCCAGAGCCTGTGTGTCGAAAAAATACCATAACTCGTCAGCGACCAACTACTTTCTCTCGGTTTCTGGAAATTCGACTTCGTAGAGCCTATTCCGTCATGGGGCGTTTCTTTTGGAATTTCGTACCTTGGCGAAGATTGAGGTCCAGATGGGCTCAACCTCGACCTTGGCGGCGGCGATCAGGGTCTGGAGCTTGTCGGCCTATACGTTTGTAAAGATTGTCGCTTAGCACACAAAAACTCTCCCACGGATTTTTTTATATCGCCCCTTCGCGGGGCACAGAATTTTCGACTCTGCGCCCGGCGACAGAGGGAGTCAGATCGAGGATTTGGAAGCACTCACGGTGATCTCAATGCCATCGTCGGCAAGGATCAGGGCCGCGTAGGAAGATGCGAGCTCGGCGGTAGACATTGTGTGAGATTTGTCTGTGCGGATATGGGAAGATGTCAAGTCTGCACGGGAAAAGAGTAGTGGTTTGGACAATTCAATTATCACCACAAAAGGCAGTCGAGGGACCACAAAAAATTACCCTGGTCCAAATTTCGCGGGCTGGAGGGCTTGAAGACCTAAAGCGCAGGGCCAATGGTTTTTCCGCGTGCCGGTTCGTGTGCCGCAAGCGGGGCTGCGCGCTGATTGGCCGGAACCGCCGCGGCCAATCAGCAGCCGAGTGTCAGCTGCAACGAGGCCGCCCGAATGCGCAACGTCGTCACTCTCCTAAAGCATCCAAACGCATTCAGAGCCACCCCACCTTAAGTTGAGCTTCCCCACCAGCATCTGCATTGCAGCAAGACAAGCAGTATCGCGACTCGCTGCGTTTGCGCATCCAGGGACTCTTGCCTCTTCTTTCATCTCCATCCGCCAGCAGTTCCAGCGCCAGCTGTTGCTGAATACGAGCCATTACGCCCCTGAATAAGGCCCCGAAGCGTACATCTCCAGGCCCCCAATTGACCGACGAATCCCGGAACTAGCCATTGGATCCCGCATCGTCACTCCCGGAAGAACTGGAAGCCAGGGTGTTGACGAATATCTTTCCGGCGCCATCGAGCAGGTAGCTGATTTGCGGCAGCGCGGTTTCGCTTTTGTCCCCTCTCAGCTCTCTCCTTTCCTTCTATAGCTCCTTATCGCCCCAGCATCAAACATGGATACACCCGCCGTACCTTTACCGCAAGATGCCCGAGAACAGGCCGTCCTGGACAGTCTCGTCGTCATTCGCGACAAGCTCTTGCTCTTGAAGCAAGACCGAACAACGTACATTCGCAGCCAAGACATTATCCCCCTCTACGACGAGACCATCGCAAGGGTGAAGGAGCTGGACGAAATCCGTACCGAGACAGGAAACAAGGAGGAGAACCGACGTAGGTTGAACCCGCTCAAGACCATCCAGAGACTCGTTTTCTAAACTGCGCAACCAACAGTTGATAAGGTCTTGGAAAGCTGCTTCCAGCTTCTCTCTCTTTTCTACCTCACCATCGGACGCAACAATGATATCCCCGCAAGCTACGCGCTGACATCAACAATCAAGCGACTGCTCGACCATTTGACCGAGGCCGATCTCTACTCCGCCAAGGACCTCGAGAGCATAAAATCCACCCTGTCGAACCTTTCTAACAACATAACACAAGCCAAAACTTGCGACAACAGGCCCGAGAACTCTCCGTATCTCGTCAAGCTGCTGTCGAACCGGGTGGGGAAGTGCCTGGCGATATTGGAGAACCTCCAGAAGCGGTTAGGCCGCATTGGCGAGCCTCTACTTGCGACGCATGAGAAGCTGATTTCTATACTACGATCCATTTCTTTGGCAAACACAAAGGCAAAGGTGCGCATCATTGCCTAAGGGAATTGAGTTTGAGTTGCTAACTTTAATATGGCGTAGTTCTCAAGTAACGAGGTGCAAAAACTTCAGAAGCAGCTTCTAGATATTGGAGAGAAGCGCAAAGATGGCCAGTTTGTCAACGAAGATGGTTCTGTGCCACAAGGCTCCGTTGAGCTGGGAGAACTCTACCAGCGGTGCTTCAAGTGGTCGGAGATTGTGTTGGAGAGGTGAGCAGATGAACAGACGCTTCTGAATGACCATGCAATTAATGCTGTGTAGGAAGGGAAACATGCCAGACCAATTCCGCCCGACATACGAGACCCTTGTTGGCATCCGCAATGAGTTGGAGAAGCTGTCCTTGACACAGGCGTGGGCTCTTCGCGAGACAGATCTATACGACTTCCAACGCCAGCTCGACAAGATTGACGAAAGCCGGCAGAATGGAAACTTTTACGACGACAAGGGCAGGCCCGCCGACCTATATGCACAACGGACGTTGCTGTATCTGATTCGACGAAGCTACGCCTACATTTATTCCTTCATATTAGCATCGGAGCCGGTTTCTGAGGCTTTGTTGCCCATCTATAACCAACTGCAAACCCTCAAGAGGTGTCTCGTCGAAGTACGAAACAGTGGCGGCGTGTCCTCTGTCAGAGAGCTGTATCCTTACAGCATGAAGGTATGTCTCATCAAGAGTTTGATGCTGGAAGAAAATGTCCATTTCTTAAACTGACTGATTTTCAATAGTTAAACTCACTCGATAACCTGAGGGTAGACGGCAAATTCGTTGTCAATGGCGATATCCCCGAAGGCCAAGGCAGTGTTAGCGAGCTCCTTGCCGAATGCTTCGACATCAGCTATGATTTGAGAGTCGCAGCAGAGGAGGCCACAACAACCACTCCCGATGGCAAGTGAATCATGTCTCGACAAGGAAACATCAAGGAAACATCGATTGTCTTCACTGAGCTCTTCACTCGTCTATTTGCTTTTTGCTTTTTGGTCTTGTCTGGTGTTTCTGAAGCTTATGTTAATTCTCCGTACGGTGCGTTGGAAATTTCTCGGAAGGGGTCGGGAAGACATTGGGGCCGTCCAGCGATGGTATCTGATCAGCTACGCTGATGGGATGATGGCTACCGGGGTAATATCGGATGCATCATTGTTAACTTTTGGCTGGGTGGCATTTGCAATTTTTTTTTTTTTTCTTTTTTCTCTTTATCTTTCTTTCTCTCTCTCTATTCAGGATGTATCGAACATGGGCCCATGCTATTTGTGCTGTACTTCTCTTCCTCAGCATGTACCTTAGGGGAATCTGAAGCCTTTTTTGAAGGGATAGACTTGGGCCTGATTAGTTGGCAGTGTCAGTCTCCATTACTCGATCAGATAATGTTGGAATGCGAATTTTGGATTTGTTACCTTTTCAAGATCCCATACACCTGCTCTCACATAGATGTCGTCCTTGATCTTGTTTATGGCGTCCTCTTTGGACTCGGCAACCAAGACCATTATGCTCCCAGCAAAGTCATACGTGTTTGCGTCGTTGTCATCCTCAGGGATCTCGTTGAGAAGGCCGCCTAAATATGTCTACTTAGCTCATGTCGCATGAACAGTTGAATTTGGATCTGTATATAATACATACCCCCCATTTTCAGCCATCCATCTTTGAGGGAGGGGTTCATGTCACTAAAATGCTGACTACACAAGAGACGGCATTGCAGTCAGCAAACTATTTCATCGTTGATGACCGAGAATCAAGAGTCTCAATGAGTAAGAAAGAGAGATGGGCGGATACGTACGGTCTCACTTCGAGACGCTTGGCCCGGACCTCGGGGCCAGGCTTGTCGGGGATGACAAGGACAAACTCATATGAGCGGGGTGCGGTGGCCATTGTGCGGATGAGAGGGCGCTGGATTTGGGAGAGTGGTGAGATGAAACGACGGGCGGTGATGCGGGCAGCCATGATGGGTGGCGTTGATGGACAATTTATAACCGTGAGAGCTCAAGATCTATCTCTATGAGGAGAGGGAGTAAGGCGTTAGATTGGGCGTGATGAGGGAGGTTAATGTCGGCCTAAGAGAGGCATGTAGAGGGACAGGGCGCGCTAAATGTCATTGAGGCCGAGCAGTTGCCCGTTTGGGCGCGGATGCATCTACAGTACCTTGGTAATTGTGAGGAATGCCTCGCTTGTGCCTGACTGACTGACTGGGAATCTCAATGCTGATTCGTCTTGATAGTAGACCTGCTGCGAAGGGCACCATCTACAGTATTTAAGACATGCATCTGGCGAAGCTCACAGTTGCCCTGATTGGCCCAGGCGAAAGTGGTCCGCAAGACAAGCCATCCAAGGCGCGCCCTTAAAAACCAATAGAGGCTATAGGGTAGGCTAATGCCTTCCATTAGGGGTCTTGGGCAATTGGGGTATAAGCACGACAGACAAAATGTTGCCTACCCTCGATCTCATGTCCATATTGGGTATTGTGGCGGCCATTAAACAATAACACGTGCTCGTCAAGACGAACCGTCCCTATGCAAGAAACCGTCCAAAGGCCAAACTCAAAAGCTCTAGCCTGCGCTGGGATGTCGTCACGGATCTCGGTTGCCAAGACCTGGCGGACGAAGCCACTAGATGCGGATTGGGAATATTTGCCAGCGAGATGACCTCAAGGAAACGCCATGAATCGAACCTGCGACCGGTAGAACTGCGTTACTTACGTCTTGCTGGGCAGTGAGCGCCGCTATTCGCCTGGCGATGGGCATGGATCTGGTAACATGGCGTGTAGATGACCTGCGCTTCTCTGGATTATGCCCTACGTCATACTAGTAATGGAGAATGTTGGAATCATCACTGGGCTTCGCGTGATATGGCAAACTGCAAAGCATCACCATCATCATCACAATCACTGCTCCCATCACACTCCAGACAAAGATAACAACGATAACAACGATACCCGTAAGCAAGAGAACCGGCAAAAGGCCGCCAACACCGCACCTATGGCATATCGCATGCCTCACGACCGAGACCGTCGGGTGTACATCATCCTCCACCAAGACGGCATGATAGTCACCATCCTGGGCGTCTACGAAGAGCTGCAGGACGCCAACAGGGACTGTCTGTTCCAAGCATCACAGGGGGGCATCGACCTGCTGCAGGAATCACCCACGACGGGCCCCGACAAGCACCACCTCACGCCCATTGAGCCTGCGCGGTGGGATACGCCAGACGGAGTGTCGTGCTGGGTGGAGAGCCATACGGTCGAGCCGAGTAGATTCGTGAGCTCGAATGTCCAGACACGCAGGGCGAATGGGTGAATACAATACCAGAATATCAAAGCGAAGGGATGCGATGCGAGGACTGAATAAGAAGAATATTGCGAACTATCAATACCCGTATCTGTCAGCGCTGGTGAGGAGGACGCAAGCAGTTCGTGTCAGGTGGCGAAGTGAGCGCAAAACTCATGTAAGCGGCCTGTACCGCATAGTCCGTGTATATACGCAGCATCTAGTAAGCGAGAAGGAGAAGGGGGCGAACGGGAGGGAATTTCTGCACAGCGCACAAAACGCATGCATTCAGCATCTCTCTTGTTACCGGGTTTGGCTTAGAGACAGCGCATCAAGGCAGGCAATACAAACAGTAGAGCTTCAATCCTCATGCTGCAGTACCTACTGTACATGTACGAGTAAGCGTTCGCCCGGCTATTTCTCCGTTGCCACGTTTTGCCGTTGCGTTCTGGCGGGAGCGCTGGAGATTGGCGGGGTAGCAGGTTGCAGGGTCCCGCACAGGGGAACTTTGGGGGCTACAGGCATATAGCCGCCGTGTTTTAGCGTCGCAAGCCCCTAAAGCCCGGGCTAGTTGCCTGACCAACTCTCCCAAAGCTGCGCCTCGCCCTGCCGAAAGCCCAATAGGGCGAAGCCGCGCATTCTCTCTCTCTTCCCCCCCAAAATCACAAGTCTGACTTCCCCACGTCCGGGCTATAGAGAGGACTGCACACGATCCGGCGGGCTTTTGCGTCCTTTTCTGAAGCATTGGCCTTGAACAGTCGCAGCAGTAGAAGCAGCAGGTAGCCCCGGCTTTGCATGAGCTGCGCCCCGATTCAACACTGTCAGTGGCTTCTCCCATCATGGCCGAGGTGGACGTGCCCACCTTTGGCGCAGAGCTAAAGGTGCGTCTGAGTTCCGTGGCGATGGTTGTCTGGGGGGGGATGGTTTGGTGATGAGGGGAGAGAAGGAGAAGAGTGAAAAAGAAGAGGAGGGAAAAAGAAAAGACAAGCAGAAACAGAAGCAAAAAGGACATTCGTGATCCCTTGCGTGCGCCGCGCTGACAAACTCCCAGGATGGCTTCAAGGCGGCCAACGCCTGGGTCAGCAACGGCATTTCCTGGCTCGACGAGATCCAGCAGTTCTACCGCGATCGCGCCGCCATCGAAAAGGAATACAGCGCAAAGCTCGATGCGCTGGCCAAGAAGTACTTTGAGAAGAAGAATAGGAAGATCTCTCAGCTGAGCGTTGGCGACAACCCGACCATGACCCCCGGCTCGCTTGAGAGGTAAGAGCGACATTCCGCCAAGGAGAATGAGAAGCTGCGGATCTGCGCGGCGCCTTGATGCATTGCATCAGGAGAGAGTGCTGTTCAAGACATCGCGGTGCTGACAATGCTTCTCCCTATAGCGCTTCCCTGACGACCTGGTCCACCCAGCTTACGACGCTCGAGTCTCGCGCCTCCGAACACGATCGCTATGCGAACAACCTCCTATCTCAAGTCGCCGAGCCGCTCAAGTTCTACAACAACCGCTTCGATGAACTGCGCAAGCGCCATGCCGACTATGCCGACAAGCTCGAAGCCAGCCGCGACGCCTGCTATGCCGATTTGCGCAAAATAAAGACAAAGTACGACGGCACATGCCAAGACCTCGAGAGCAAGCGCAAGAAGACCGAGTCGCACTACGACAAGGCCAAGGCACAGAGCGCCTACCAGCAGCAGCTTTTCGACATGAACAATGCCAAAAACACCTACCTCATCGCCATCAATGTCGCCAACAAGCAAAAGGAAAAGTACTACCACGAATACGTCCCCGAGGTCATGGACAGCTTGCAGGACCTGAGCGAGTTCCGGACGCTCAAGCTCAACTTTCTGTGGGACGTGGCGACTCGTTTAGAGGGCACCATGCTTCAACAGAGCAACGGCATGATCGAGCACCAAGGCAAGGAGATCCAGAGGAATCTGCCTCACCTGGACTCCATGATGTACATGCGCCACAACATGGGCGCCTTCCAAGAGCCTGCTGACAAGATCTTTGAGCCCAGCCCCGTCTGGCACGACGACGACCTCATGATTGTGGACGAGACAGCCAAGATCTACCTGCGTAACGTACTAACCAAGTCCAAGGCTCAGTTGGCGGAACTCCGGAGAGAGGTTGACAAGAAGCGCAAAGAGGTGGACTCTGTGAAGCGGCTCAAGGAACGAGTTCGAGAAGGAAAGGAAAAGAAGGATGAGGTCGAAGTTATCCGCACGCTATTCGCCATGCAAGAAGACCTCATTGCCGTGGACCAGAAGAGGCTCACGGCTGAGGTCGAAACCACTACCATCACAACCGCAGTTGGTGATGTTACACTGGGGGCTAAGAACCACAACTTCAAAAGCCAGACCTTCAAGATACCAACCAACTGCGACTTGTGTGGAGATCGTATCTGGGGCTTGAGCGCCAAGGGATTCGACTGCCGGGACTGTGGTTACACGTGTCACAGTAAATGCGAGATGAAGGTGCCTGCGGATTGTCCTGGCGAGCAGAATAAGGAGGAGCGAAAGAAGCTCAAGGCTGAGCGCCAGGCCGCCACCAACAAGCTCCTTACACCCGACCCGGCGTCGATGTCGAACGAGAGCCTAGCTCGATCCAATACCATGAACTCGGTCAGCTCACAGTCCGCACGGCAGTCCGTCATATCTGGGCCACAGACGCCGTCAGAAGATGCACCCTCTGAGGTTGCTCCCAAGGCGGCTGCGCCTGTTGCGGCTGCAAAGACTACCACTGCAGCTCCTGCGAAGAGGAACAGGGTAGTTGCACCGCCTCCCGCGGCGTATATCTCACAGCCACCAGCGGGTAGCACGAATGGCATTGTGGAAAAGGAAGAAAAGAAGGGCAAGATGCTATACGCGTTTGACGCCGGTGGCGATGGAGAGCTGTCGGTAGCGGAAGGCAAGGAAGTGGTGGTGTTGGAAGCAGATGGTAAGTTGGAAATACCCCTATTTTCTTTGGTAACATTTGATTCTCATGTGCTCTTGCAGACGGCTCCGGCTGGATCAAGGTTCGCGATGGCTACAAGGAGGGTCTTGTGCCGGCGACATACATAGACCTCAACATTGCGCAATCAACATCCTCGGCCTCCGCCCGTCCATCCTCCACCTATTCCACGTCAACAACATCATCGTTGGCCCTCAGCGCCGCTTCACGGAAGAAGGGCCCTGCGGTGGCGCCCAAGCGAGGGGCCAAGAAGCTGCAATATGTGGAAGCTCTATATGACTACACCGCGCAGAGCGACGCAGAGCATTCCATGAAGGAGGGCGAGCGCTTCGTGTTGGTCAAAGATGACTCTGGGGATGGCTGGGCGGAGGTCGAAAAGGCCGGCGTGACGGCCAGTGTACCTGCCAACTATATCCAGGCTGTGTAGGGGAGACAGCGCTTGGTGAGGCGGGTAGGGGTGTGAATTGCGGTGACTCCTTATTTGTTTGGTTGTTGCCTTTACGATGAAGGGAGAGGGGAAAACAGAAGAGGTGGAAACTTCATGATGAGAAACCCGAAGAGGCAGCTCACGAGAAGGTAGAAGGGAAAAGAAGCGAAAACGCTTAGTTTGTCATTAGAGGAGGTCAGAAAGAACCCAGGGGGGCAACGAAACTTTTGGCCATTGAACGAAACAAAAAGTAATAGGGGGGAGCTCATGCTAACAGCGGGGGAGGAGTTTGTATATATAGATGATTACGATGGCAGGCTATGGATGATTCAAACGTCTCATTTTCTTTCTCCCTCTTGTTTTTTTTTTTTTTTTTTGATGGACGGCTTTTCTACTTCCGCTTTGCATTGCATTGGGAGGAGTATGGCTGGGAGGGCAAAGAAATTGTGTATATATTCGTATATTATTTACACGCGCGTTGCGAGCCCGTCATGCTGCTTGCTGGATTAGTTTTTGTTCAAGTATAGCGGGATTTCGTATCCAGAGTGTATTCGTTTATTCACGTACTCAGGGGGCCAACCCAGAATAAGAGTGAAATGTCTTGATTTTTTTTAGACCGTTAAGAGGCTATATCTTTATGTAGTACAAATGTCCATTTCCCATATCACGTAGAGGCGAGTTCGTCTAGAGTACAAAAGAGAAGGATAGGTGAAAATAGGAGAATCAAGGGGTAAAAAAAAAAGCATCGCTAAAATAAATCATACACAGGATGAATCTCATGCAATCTCCCGATTCATCCCGAAAACAACCTTTGTATATATAAGTCATTTCCATAGCCTACCCTCCCATCCGAAGCTGTGCAAACAGCTTACCCCTCCCCCTTTAACCAGTCTTTCATATGCAGTTGAGCGTAAAAACCTAGGATATCATGCATGCCGTATTCTCCCGTACCACCAGCCCCTGATTACCCTGCGAAACGCCGTGGGAAAAAAGAAAATAAATATGATAAATAGTATCCCTCAAAGCCACCTCCCCCAAACAAAGAAAAAAAAAATAAAGACAAGGGCCAAAGGCAGAAAACAAAGGGTAAAATGAAATGACAACCATAAGCTCCTAATATGCGTTCACCATCTTGGTGATAGTTGATCTTTTTTTGATCGCCCCAAGGCGCGGCATAAGGAGGGGGGAATGAAGACAGCGCTCATAAAGGGGGAAACAGAGGGGAAACAAGTCTATGGATTATATAGTTTTGTCTTTGTGAGGGAGAGGGTATGTGTATATAAGAAAATAAGAGGAGGGTATTTTGGGGGAAATAGAAGAGCGGGGAGTGTGTGTATGTGTGTGTGCCAAACAGCACTTCTCATAGACGCTTAAGACGGCATGTCGCAATCTGGTATCTCATCCAAGCCAGGGAAGCTAAACTCATCAGGCAGAGGCTCCTAGATCATCTGTGCCGTTGGAGCTCCAAGTCCATGAGGATTGAGGCTGTGACGCAAGGCATCTTGCAGCTCCGCAATCTGCGCCATCATGGCCAGGGAGTGCTGCGATTGCTGATCCATCTCGGACTTGAGTTTTTCGTTTTCCTCTCGCACTCTCTTGATTTCGTCTCGAAGATCAGACAGTTCGTCTATTCCCTGGCTACTCAGACGGCGTTTGCGCTTCGACCCAGATTTCTCGCTCTCATCGTCTTCCGGAGAGGCGACAATCTCAACTGGAGATGCTGAGGTGTCCATGTTTGTGTGTACTCGTCGAAGATGCTCGTTAAGATTCTCCTGCCGAGAGAAGCCCTTGCCGGTATGTCGCTTGCAGTTGGGATGTGGGCAGTTGACAGTGTTCTTGGGACCGCCGTGCTTCCCATGAACCTCTCGCTCATGCCGGAGCAGGCCGCCAGAATATGTAAATCCAGGTAGGTTCTCACAACCTTCGGCTGGGCAGCGATAAGGACGTTCGTGCTTATCCATATGTTTGCTGTGTGGAATGGTTGGCTTGGAGAACAAGATAGAGGGGTGGGGAGATAACTTACTTCCACTCGCACTTTCGAGAGAATGCGCGGATGTCCTCCTTACAGTCATCCAGCGGGCAGTGGAACTTCCCATCCGACTTCTTGTGAACCTCACGTTCTGGCTTGGGGATCTGTTTTAGCCGTGAGGACGGCGAAGATATATCGCTTCGTGAAGGCTCTTTGTTTTCTGGTATAGGATCTGGCAGCGGCGGGGCATGTAGTGCAACTTGAAGAGGTGATGAGAATTCTGGTGCTCCAAGGTCGAGCTGAGACGCTTCTGGAACGACAGCATCGTCGTCAGCTAGAATGTCCCTTTCGTCCCCGATGACGCCTCTGTCGTCTGGTAGCAGAGAGGCCTCGGCGGTATAATGGCTGAGGTGCTCGGCAACATCGGAGTCGGTATAACGCTGCTCGGCAACGTGATCGTGTTCGTCGCCTATGGGGGGGTATGCGCCCTCATGGATGAAGGACCGTGGCTCGTATGCGACGCTCATGGTGGTCTGCAAGTCTGAGATGTACCCCAGGCGCAGTTTTGGGTGCTGGCGGCACAAGCCTTTAAGCTGCGCGATGCGCCGGAGCGGCGGAGAGGGTGGCGCTCCAGTCGAGATGGAAGCAGTCGCTGCCCTCGGGGTGCGGCCTCTAGAGCAAGGAGCGGCAGTTGGCCGTTGGCTTGTGATTCCCACGGCCTGTGACGAATTGCAGCTCGGCCGGCTATCGATGCTTGGATTAGTTCGAGGTCGCGCAGTGCGGGATGATGGCCTGAAAATTCTGGTATGAATGTTTTCGACAAGGTTCTCGTCAGCTCCGCTTCCTGGCCAGATCATTAGATTAGTCAGGTGGGGTCACGTGGTGTGGCGAAGAGCTGTCGTGGCTGGTTTGGGTGGCTGTGCCGTATTCGTACTCCGCCGGGAGGGAGCAAGTGGTATGAGTTCGTATGAGCTGCGTAATAATGCTCCGATGCCTTGTGGAAACGCTGCTATTCTATCAATGCTCTTGTGGAATCGTGAAATCCAAACGCGCACCTTCCGGGCCCTAAATAAGTTCCGCGCAGTTCTAGGCACCAGAACCTCCTGTGTGAGGCGTGACTCGACTTGGATTCAAGACTTGCTAGCCCACCACCACTAGAAGCTTGCCTGTCGATGCGATCTCCAGTGACTCATTACCGCAATAAGTGTATCCCGCAAAGGTTCATGACACACTCTCCACCTTGGCACGTGGGGCAACCTACAGTACAACGCAAAGCTGCGCCTCGGTCGTCTTATAAAACGAACATAACGGCCTAGGAGCTGTGATGTGCGGTTTGCCAGGCGGCAGCCAAGGCGCTGCTCACTTGAGCATAGCACGTCTGTGAACCTGGTAGCTTGCTGGGAGCTAGGCGTAACTCGTCGACCGGTGAGAAGCCAATCCCGTGGGAGGGCTGAATGCTTGCCATGCTTGCCTAGAGTAGCCAAGGTAACCAGGTAACCAGGTAACCATTCATCTCGCATCGCCCTGCACATCTCATAGGACCTCAAGGGTGAAACGTAGCCGGCAGCTTTCCTTGGCTAGCTTGTCGGCGCTAGGCTGAGAGATGGACAAAGCTGCTTCCAACGGATATTCAGCTTCACGGTGGCTGTCGCCCTAAGCCATAACACGAAGCTGGTGGGTGGCTGTCAAAGAGCTGTTGCAGCCGAGGCTCCTCGAGGCTTATGCAGGACTTTGTGGGTGCCTCTGACCTCCCATGTGCCCCTGGCATGGCCATGTTTACCCGTGACGGAAGAGGGTGGCATCCTACTAAGCAGCGGCGATACCCATTCCGCGAGTTGATGGCGGTTGTGTGCTTGACTCAATCCATGTCGTACTGTACAGCCTTGGGGTGAAGTGTATGTGATGAGAAATCCAATGAGGGCTGTTGAGATAACAGGATGGTGATGGGCTTTGTCCTTTGAATGAGACGGCACCCGTACCCCCCGTCTCGTGGTCACTTGATACGCAACAAAAAGGTTGTCGGTGATCCGTAAATAGCTCTGTGTTCGCGTAAGAATGACGGATTTCCGCGTTGGCTGCCAACAGGTTGATAACTTGCGCCAGAACACGTCTTGCGCATGACCTAGGGGGCTTGCCAGAGGACTTGTGCCATGGTGGCCGCCTCATGGAGGATGAGGCTCCAGGGCCAATGATCCAAATGGCGACGTCAAAAGTTCAGCAAGGGACCCAGGCCAACATGGTTGTCAAGATGCGCTGGAGGATTTGGCCTGAACCTTTGGCCTGAGGCGGACGATCTGGAGCATTTTATGCAGAAGTGCGGAAGAGCGGAAGAGCAGAGCCGCATCTGGGAGGGAAGAATGAGGCTGCTGGAGCGGGGACTTGAATATCAGGCATTGACGCAGGCGAACCAAATGGACGAGGCTGGCTGGTCAGATGTTGGAGATTGGCGACAACGCCTGGCATCCTCAGGCAGACAATATGCAGGTGCACGCGACAATGATGAAGTGCAGTTACGTGCCAGAGTGTCTCTAAACCTCGAATACTAGTAAGACAACCACTATGATATTGTCCAGAATGGGAAAATGAGCCATGAATAGGGGGTTTCTATCGAATCGAAGCTGATTTTACGACAGCAGTTGTTGTAGTTACCAGTTTGAAGGTTGGAAGGCAAGGAGAGGTACATGCAGATCAGCGATGCATGCATGGAGCCAGCAGGTCCCTCACCGAGCACATTTAGGCACCAGCCAGGTACCTACCTCACATCTTAGACCGAATGAACAAAGACACCGCAGCATGGGACGTGATGCTTAATCAACTCCTCAACCCATATTATATCTTGCTGCATCTGCTCACCAGAGTATTATTACAGTAAAGGGCCGTGCTCTCAGGTAAATGCTGTTAGTTATTAGTGCGAGGACCCGCCTTAACAAGTCCAAACCCGACAGCGAGATCCGACTGCCGAAGCACAGCAAGCTTAGGTGCTTGAAGCTATGGCAAAAGTACCTTGAGGTAGCAGTAGCTCATGCGCAACATCCCGGCCATCTGCAGCTTTAATAGCATTGCAGATCTGTGCAACTCCCACTGGACATAATCAGAAACAAGAAGAATGACCCCTAAAATCCCCTCTGCAGCTCGACAACAAAGAAGCAACAGCTGCAATGCTTACATGATGCTGTCTTCTGGCCATCCGGTCTCGGCCCTCGCGTGCGTTGATTTTAGCCCTTGCGCCTGTCCCGTCGAAGCCCTCGGCTAGTGAAAATGTTGAGGTCGGGTGGTTACTCGCGGCAGATTGAATCACACAATCAACCTTAAAAGCTTCATCCCCCACTTTTCCCACTGGCCGTTCCCCCCAATTCTCTCTCCATCAACACTCCTGATATTAGAATTTGGGCTTTGTGTTTTTGAATTTATATACCTGCAAAGCCTTTTCGTCCCTACGCCCTTTACTGTCGTGCCGGTCGGAATTGCCCTCATTAGACGTTTGAAGAGCGGTGCCCAAGGATGGCGTCGCGATCAGCCCCGCCTGATGGCGATTTCAAACAAGCAAACACGAGCGAAAGTGTTATTCGCTCTCCTTCTGTATCGTCTCGCAGTCCTGATGGCGAGGATGAGGGCGGTGTCCGACCGGCCGACTACGACACGGAAACGGTGGAGAGAGTCTACAAGTATGCACTCTGCGGCCGTTTGATGAGGAACACCATTTAGCTAACTCTCCATCTCTCTCAGGAAAATCGATCTCAGAATCATTCCACGTCAGTACCAGACTGCATTCTTTTCATTAACTCTGCTTCTCTGGCAGCATGTCAACCTGAAAGGGGCTCAAACTAACTAACTCCCAGCTTTCTGGATTCTCTACTTCCTTTGCTCGGCAATTCGCTCCAACATTGGCATTGCTCAGACGATGAATAGCGACAAGGGCCATGACCTGGGGACTGTCATTGGGCTCACCCCCAAAGACATCTCTACTGCCCTCGCCCTCTTCTATGTGTCCTACGTCATATTTGACTTTCCATCAAACCTCATCATGAGCAAGCTCAGCCCTCGAGTATGGATGGCTAGAATCGTCTTTGCTACCGGAGTAGTTGGTACTTGCTTTGCAGCTGTCCAGTCTCCTTGGAGCCTCAAGTTTCTACGTTTCCTTCTGGGTTTGGTCATTGCTGGCATGTGGCCCGGCATGGCTTTTTACTTGACATTGTTCTATCCTCCATCGCGAACAGCAAAGCGAATTGGCATGTACTTTACCGCATCTCAAGTATCTGCTGCTGTGGTAGGCCTCGTATCTGCTGGATTTCAGTTGATGGATGGTGATGGTGGCCTTGTTGGCTTCCGATGGATGTTTCTTATCTATGGACTTGTTGCTGTTGTCCTGAGCTTTGTGCTTCTGTGGTGGCTTCCTGACCGGCCTCTGGCACCAGGCCAAGAGAGAAAGCGCACTGGTCTTTTCAAGTGGCTTCCGGCTACCCCTGAAGTTCTCACCGGTGAGGATGCCATCGTTCACTATTCTGAGTTGAAGCGCGTCTACCATGCTCGTCCATGGGGCCTGAAAGATCTCGGTCTTGTGCTGCTGGATTGGCGGCTGTGGCCTCTGTGTTTGATGTACTTTGGAGTTGTCGGAGTCGGAATAGGCACTCAGCTCTACGGTTCAGTTATCATTGCCGCTATTCAGCCAGAGGCGAGTGATATAGTGGTCAGCTTGCTTTTTGCTCCTATCTGGATTGTGAGTCTTCCCCGCCTTTTGCCCCGTACAGCACCTGTTGATTCTAACTGGGCATTTGACAGATGGACCTGATTGCCATTCTCCTGGTGACTCCTCTTTCCGATCGCTTTCATCGCTTTAGACCATTCTTCTTCTCCGCTGCCGTCTGCGTCCAGATTGCGGGTCTGCTGACGACAACTTTTGCCGTTCAAAACGGCTGGGCCCGTTATGGAGGTCTTTTGATGGTGGGCTTTGGCCTGGGGCCGACTGTCCCCATTTGCATGACGTGGACCTCGGAAATCTTCCAGCGCCGACATGGCGAAGTTGGCGTGGCAGCTGCTACGGCTCTGGTATCCGGTCTTGGAAATTTGGGCAGCGTCACCACAACGTACGCCCTGTATTCGGGCTGGCCAGAGGATTCTAAGCCGGGCCCTCACCGGTTCCGCAAGAGCAACCTTACAATGATTGGAATCCTCTGTCTCAGCATTCTTAGCTCCGTGGTCATGTTGGTACTGCTCAAGATCTTTGGCAACCCCCCTAGCTCCAAGCTCCACAACAACGACTCAGCCGGCGACTTCGAGGATGGCGCAGCAAGACGGGAGGCCACACAACGCGGATTCGGGAAAATTTCTCGACGAGCCCGGCACCAAGAGATCTAAGTTCTCGCCTGTGAAGCGTCTCAGTTAAGGCATCTTCACCAGCCAAGATCTGGCCTTCAACAACAACTTGGCAACGACGCTTTCACAGCCAAATCTCTTTTATTCACAGATGGGCAGCTCAACCTGTCATTCTTATTATGCTTATTTCAAGGGCGCCCTATATTCTGCTGCCATCTTGGATAATCCGCTCTTTACCTTTTCCTTCTGCGGCCGCCATGCGGCCTGGTCGTACTCACTTCTCACTTGAGGTCGCCACTCACGATTCGTTGCCTAAGGTAACACTCCAAGACTGGCTCCCTCAATGTGGCAGTGCTGTAATGTTATTTCCGAAGAGAATTGTGTGGTGAACTTGGAAGACGCCTGGTCGTGACAATGCTCTCGCGCTATCACCCCAGGTTCGATTCCGAGGGCACTCGCAATACACTCCGGCATTACAACTATCCATGTGGTAATTTCATACCCCATGGATTTTGGATATGATTTTCGTCTTGCTTTTGTCCTTTTTCCGGTTATAGTTTTATGATACCCCATCAGCGTTTATACCCGCTGTCTAACGAGTGGAACATGTGCATAACGAGATTCTCGACAGCGACAGTGCTATTACGCCATCGCTGGGACGGCGTGTTTGGACCGAGGCTCAAGATCCGGCGACAATGCTGGTGCGCTATCGTCGGCGAGCCTCGTGGGCGTTGTTTTTTGTGTTTACTTTTTTTTTTCTTTATATAAACGGCTCTAGGTGCTTTGTTTCATTAAATAATGAAATAACTTAGAGTGCATTCTTAATAAATAGCTGTTATAGGCAGCTGTCGGCCTACGTTATTGCTGCTCTGGACTTTTAGATGAGGCTACCTGCGCCTGTGATGTTACTGTTACGGCTACTATGATTCTAGAACAAACATGGTGGCAACGTCATCTCCTTGTCTCAGTTGAGAAAGCTACCCCTTCTTGTTTTAAAACGGCGCTTCACCGACTTTTTTCCAAACAGAGAAGACAAGGGAGATAACAAGCATATATTCGCCACGTTGATTAAGCTAGTGTAGATTACACGACTGATATGGTACCGTATGAAGAAGTACGAGATGTAAGGAGAGCATCTAGAGATGGCGATTTGATAGCAAAGGCCCCTGCCTATAGATGCAGGGAGGCGACGTACAAATGTCCTGCAGGCGAGGCTTTGGGCCATACATGTTCTTCGTAAGTACCCCTGACTATAAGGCCATCTGTTTAAGGTAGAATGGCCTTGTCCTACCGCGCATGTTCGCAGTTGGAAGACGTATCTGTTTCTCATCAAACACAAGACTCTAATAATACATGTCCTTTTGTCTTGATCATTCATTATTTTGTGCGCAGAGGTAATCTTCTGATAAGCTGCGCTCGGCATGTCGAATCTGCAGAGATGACTCTATGCAAGGGCCACTACATATCTGATACCACACTTAATGCACGGGGACCCAAGTGTTACCCGAGGGCCATGCGACTGCGCTTCTCCAGCTTTGTACGAAGTAGGGTGGACCAGCCGTCGCGGTGGTGTCAGGTCACACGCATGCCAAAGCAGTCAGTTGAACATTCTTTGTGAGATGGATCGAGTTCTGGTTTCGTATTTATGCAGCAATGGAAGTATCGTCGTGCTCCTTGCGTATACAAAATGGTTGGCTGGAAGTTGGCGAGTACGAGGTAGCTATAAGTAAATCTGAACAAACATGCTGCTTTCCTTCTGATAGCGGCTCTACTTCAGATTGCCAAACCAAGCCAAGCCATATGGGCAGTAGCATCGTACTCACATGTATCATGCCTTGAGCTAGCTCTAGTACACCCTCGTAAAGCCAATATGGATTGATGGAGACCGCCTTGCTGCGTTCTTAATCATCCCCCAAGCGCGGTAGTGTTGCATCTAACGGCACGAGACGTCTCTTGGGCAGCAGCTGGCCAGCTTGAGCAGGCCGGCATCGCGATTGGCTCCAACGTCTCTGTGTTGGACAAACAATCCGACGAGATCGACAGCGGGGAAGTCTGGGCTCTAGGGACCTGAGATCCCATGATGCGGAGCAGGGCGGGGAGCGCTAAAGTACTTTGTTAGAGACCCGTCTGAGACAGATGAGGTTCACTTTGCTCAAAGGACGGCGATAAGAAATTGTCTGAGAAACGCAGAGCGGACGAGGTAGGGAATTCTTTTGAGATGTAGAAATTAAATTAGAGACAGTAAGTGTACAAGGTCTTGGTCGCGGAGGAGTGATTCTTCCGCTGTCCGTACATGCCCCGACGAGTCCTGGGTGACTTCATCTCAACAGCTGCTGAACTTGTAAAAGTATCCCTACTTCTACGCAGAACAAACTCGAAGCCAACAGATGCACCATACGCAAATCGACGCCAAACCAGATGCCAGAGCCTTAAGGGAGAAGAAGGAGTTAATCTGTAAGAGGTCATCACAAATTGTCTTCTGTGTTCCTTGGCGGAGAGGCCTGATCTGACCCCCCTACCAATGCTTTTGCCCGTAGTAGCGCCTAGAGTACAGGCCCTGGCTCTCGTTAACTCGATGCGATGCGGTATGATCGGTAGCTACGGAGCCAAGTTGCGGGAAACTGGGGGTTGTCTCCGCTGAGCCCCAGCGTCAGACAGATCCAACTGAGGGGCACTTTGGGACCGCTGCTAGTATGTGCCTCTCCCTCTGAGCGTGCTTGGGCGACTCCAGGCGTCTTTTGGTGAGATATTTCATTCTAATAGTGTCTAGGGCATCAGACAAGTACTCGTATACTCTACCTATGCTGTGTGCCGAGCCGCCGCTCTGGTGTTGCCATTACTGTTTACAGTTTATGAATGTGGAATCCACGGATACTGAACTGCCATGCCACCACCGCTATCCAGGGCACTCTAGCTGAGGGGCTAGTCACCAGATTTATCCACTTGGAAGACGACGGAACGCTGAGTAGCGAGCTCAACCTACTAGCCTACATCTTGGCAGTTCTGCCAGAGCTTGGATGCGGATGGGATCCATGTCTCATGACCTCAGGTTCCGAACCGAAAACTGCCGTCTAGACGCTGATGCCGTGTATGACATGACATTAAATCTATCCCCGCTCTTACTATCACGCTGCTTGCATGAACATCTTCACATATTTCACTCAGGTCCGTGCGGTGTGTAATCTGGAGTGGAAATCCCCATGCGTATGTAAGTTGAACCAAGCGAGAGAATCACGCGCATTGTCCAGTTGCTGCTACACCTCATTTCCCAAGACGAGCCAAGACTTGGTTTCTCCCTGCCTTACTCCCATGGCAGGGTTAATTCCACAGTTCTAGCTAGTCAGTCGCCTTTATTTGTTGTGATAATTGACCATGTATCGCGATTAGAAGCGGAGTCTACGCGCATCTCCAATCTTGATTGGTGCTTTTGCCAATGCTACACAGCGCAGCAAGTCTCGAATCTGCGAGGTTACAGTCGGCCGTTTCCCGTCACTCTCACGAGATATAGACAGCGGTCATTTTACGAGCCCGTGTGGTGGTATATCGCATATTTTAGAGTTAACTGCAACCTTATACCTGGAAGATTCCGCCAGAACCCTAATAGAACTCATTGCTGCGGTCATTCACTTGGAGTCGCGCTTCGGCTGAGCTCATTCATCCATATCGTCATAGGATCAACAAAGGCCCACCCGATTTGTCTCTCATCCCTTTTTACAGCGGAAGCACCTCTCCCGGGTTCATTATAAAGCGCGGATAGAATTCGCATTTTACTTCTTCCTATTTCACGTCCCCTTCGTCTATGGTTTCTTCCCATTCTTTGAACTTTTGTCGACCTTATACGTGTGGCTTGCATTGGACCATGAAGCTCTTACGAGTCGCTGCGGCGGCCGTGGTAGCTCTTATTGGGCACGCAGATGCAGTTTCAACTTTTGAGCCTGCAAGGCCCCCTGCGGCTCCCTTGGCCGTCAGAGCACCTTACCTGAATGTCTGGCTCAATGGTCAAACCAATGGACAGCCGAGTGGTTACCTCGCCGGCCAATGGCCTAGATATTGGACGTATGTACGCTCATTTTAAGTTCCCCTTTGCCAAGCCGAAAGAAATTTATGAGGTACTAAGCAACTGGAATAGACAAGGAATCCAGGCATGGCAAGGATTCATCAGGGTGGACGGGAAGGCCTACAACTGGATGGGAGGGGCCCCAGGTGCGGGTAATGTCGACCAACAGTCGCTCAAGTACACATCTACTAGGACAACGTTCACCATGAATGTGGGAGGACAAGTCCAGATGATTGCCGAGTTTTTCTCTCCGGTGTACCCGGATGACCTGAGGAGGCAATCTATCCCATTTTCATACCTTAAAATCTCGACGGCGTCTTTGGACGGGCGTTCGCATCATGTCCAAATCTATGCTGATGTGTCAGGGGGTAAGTAACTATGACCGGAAACACGAGGGCATGGCTAATAGGCCGATAGAATGGGCATCCGGCGATAGTTCACAGACTATACAGTGGGAGCACCAGGCTGGAGGCGGGATACGTTCTCACAAATTTTATCGCCAAAATCAAGAGGCGTTCAGAGAGGCCAATGACCAAGCCTCGTGGGGCAACTGGTATTGGTCGACTGGGGACATTGTAAGTTTAATGCCACATGCCTCTCATGAATGAAATGCTGACCCCATTTTCAGAGGGGTTTAACATATCAAATTGGTCAAGATACCGTTGTCCGCGGCCAATTCTTGTCCAACGGCACACTTACTGGCCATATTGACACGGATTATCGGGCAGTGAATGATCGATGGTAAGATGTGTTGCTCCAATAAGATGACGGCAAGATTACTGAACTGAACTATAGGCCTGTCTTTGCGTTTTCGCGCGATCTGGGTGCGGTTGGGAGGAGCGGTTCTGCCTCGACTCTATTTACCATTGGTATTGCCCAAGATGATGCCATCTTATTCCAGGGCCAAGGCAATTCTCCCGAACAGGTTCCTTCACTCTGGACAAACTACTTTGATGAGGAAGATCTTGCGCCATTCTTTTACAAGGACTACAGCTACGCCAGCCAGTATGCTACCAATTTCGACAACCGTGTGGCACGGGATTCCATCGCTGCCGGCGGCCAGGATTACCTTACCATCACGAGTCTTGCGGTCCGCCAAGCCTTTGGCGCTCTTCAATATACGGGCACTCCAGACAATGTCAGAGTCTTTCTAAAAGAAATCAGCTCCAACAGTGATATCCAGACGGTTGACGTCATCTTTCCGACCTGGCCCATCATGTTGTACCTCGATCCCAATCTCATCAAATATACTCTGTCGCCTCTCCTCGAGAACCAAGAAAGCGGCCACTACCCCAACAAATATGCGATACATGACCTTGGCAGGTTCCCGCAAGCTTTAGGCTACCCTCAGGGCAATGACGAGGCCATGCCCTTGGAGGAATGCGGCAACATGATTATCATGATGCTTTCTTACGCCCAGAAAACGGGAGATGTGGACTATCTCAAACAACACTGGGCTCTAATGGCTCAATGGGCCGAGTATCTCATTGAAGATGCCAAGATTCCAGCAAATCAACTGTCAACCGATGATTTCGCGGGCCATCTTGCGTGAGTGTTTCCCCCATCGATTATTGCCGAATGAGTGCGTGCTTATATATCAAACCCAATAGGAATCAAACCAACCTTGCCATCAAAGGCATAATTGCCCTGGAGGCTATGTCTCGCATTGCTAGCCTCACCGGCCACAGTTACCTATCTGCAAACTACTCGAATATTGCCAAAGATTACCTCGGTTTTTGGTCTCGCCACGGCATCAACCGCGCCTCTGTTCCCAACCACAGCGTGCTTCAATATGATTCAGCTGCGACGTATGGTGAGTTTTGCTGCCCCTAGTTGCATTCCTGCAGGACCTGGTTGCCGTTGCTGACGAACCATTGTAATGTACAAGGCCTGTTGTACAACCTGTACCCCGACAAGGCTCTTGGGCTCAAGTTCATTCCTCAGTCTGTCTACGACATGCAGAGCGACTTCTACAAGACAAAGGCCAACAAATACGGGGTCATCCTCGACACACGCGGCACGCTAACCAAGACTGACTGGGAAATGTTTGCTGCAGCAGTGGCTGGGCCCAGCACAAAGGCCATGTTCATCTCCTTGATTGCCAAGTGGATCAACGAGACGCCGACGTGGCGGGCTTTTACCGATCTGTATGACACGAACACGGGGGGATATCCCGGTAACCAGTTCACAGCCCGGCCAGTTGTGGGCGGTGTGTTTTCTGTGCTGGCGTTGCAGTGAAGGTTAGCGAGCCGAGGTCATGGGCACAGCAGAAATTTTTTTTTCTCTTCCAAAGTTCCTTTTTTCCAAATTTTCTTCCTCCCTATATCCGTCCCTATCCGTTGACTTGTTTTACCCCTTGATTTTTTGGGCAGGGTGCCACTGGTCTGCAGTAGCGCGCAGTTGGAAGGGAGCGGGCATATTGTACCAGCTGATTATCCACTTTTGATCTGGAAGAACATACTGTAGGAATGCGTCTGTACCCCAGTACTGTACGTAGTTGATGATACCTAGTACTCCGTAATGACAGAACCTTTGCATTAATGAGAGAGCATTGAAGGAGGCAGTGCCATCCTGCAGTGCCTATTTGTCGGCAGCATGCCATCGAGGGGTAACGGCTGCAGCGACCACGTGAAGGAATTAGACGCTGCGAAGACACGCAGAAGGGCGACGTAGACGAGAGTACTGCACTGTACAGTACATCAAGGGCAAATCGAATGGAACAAAGTGGCATTTCGCCATTTTGTCGGTGAGGCGGGGAGCTGGTCCGAGTGGTTGGAGATTCTGATGAGTGTGTGCCTGGTGATCGATCGCGCCCAATGGGGAGGCGATTGCATCTGCATGCCAGCGAGGGGCTGCATCAGGCATGTCCATGTGTCTCAGGCTCTGCAAGGATTACGAGAGGAGGGAGAAGGATTCTAGGCGCTTTGAAGAAGAGTCGAAAGGGGGGGTGTGATGCTTATTGAGGGCATAAGTTTGAAGCTCGGGTGCTTACTGACAACCTACAGGTCTCTCTTACTCTTACTTAGTTCATGCCTAACACGCATGGGATGGATGAGGTGGTATTACATCAGGCACAAGTATAGATACGAGTCCAAGTATAGGTACAGGTATAGTTCTAGAGATACTGGCACTACTACACGATGGTGCTAATTTCTCGTCGTCGTCATCATCCAGTAGCATCGCAATAATGAAAAAAAACTCGGCCCTGACCTGATCACGTTATGATGCAACGGTGATGATGAATCGCTGCTAAACAACACATGCACGCACTGGGCTGGCGATGGAGAATGCGGGGGGCGGGTTCCGCCCAGCGCAGCGCCCCTCTGCGGCGGCATTAGGGCAGCTAGGGGAGGGCTAACAGGGCTCTTAGCGGCTCAGCTTGTCCCCCTTGTCCCCTAAACCTCACCCGACCTCACCTTTGCACACCTCCGGATGGCGGAACCACAGGACCGGCCGACCGCCTTTACCGGTTCCTCCAGGTACAAGTACTCGCCGCCTCTGTGCCGGTTCTGCTCGCAGCTACCACATGACACCTCTTGGACCTGCAATCCCAGCAATTGCCTCTCTCTTTTTCGATGGGCTCCCTTACGATGGCTTCGTCGACAATTGCTGTCGTCTTATGTTAATCCCCTGATCATTTCGCCTCTGTTTTCTGTTTTCTGCTGCGTCCGTGCTTACTCTGTTGCTCTTCGTTCAACCCCCCTGTCTCGCCAATCCCACCATTTTCTCTTTAGTTTTTTTGTTGGAGAGCCATCCTGAGTTTCTCGGATTCCCGAGCTCGGAGACCGCCGGATTGTCGCGACTTGTGCTTTTGGTCCTAAAGCATGGCTCGCTTTGTCGATCTGGACGAGGAGGAGAACCAGGCGCAGCCAATGGCCGCCTGGCACGACGCCGGCAGGCCTCTCGCGTTGTCTGAGAACCGGGCCAGTGTCATGGTGGTTGGTGACGGCAATCCGACGCGCCGCTTTCCTCCCAGCAGGAAGAGCACCATGACGGAGATGCTGCAGCAAGAAAGCGCATCTAGATCTGGCAAAGGAAACAAGTTGATGGCTCACAGTGCCATGGGAGAGGCGTTTCAGTGCTATCCGTATGACGTCCCAGCACCCATCCTTCTTACACGCTGCAGAGAAGAAGACTAACGACTTTGTCGCCAATTTAGCATCGTCTTTGGCATTGTGTCCAACATTGACCTCAACACTCTCGACGCATTGGCCCGCTCGAGCCGTGTAATCCACGATGGCTTGATCCAATACCGAGAGAGCCTTAAGTGCGCGACGCTGCGCTGCTCCAACAATGATCTGCCGGTCGATCCAGAACAGACACTGCGATACCGCGCGAGAGCGGGTTCCTGGAATTATGGCATGGAAGATGGTCGCAACTCCAACGCGAAGGCAGGCCCCTGCGCTCGCGACCTGGTGACCGAGTGTAGGCGATGCGCCGACATCATTTGCAGGGTGAGCTTCAGCCTTTTATCCATGGTTTTTGTCGTTGATGACGCATACAACGGGGATCGTCTTCCATCTACAGCAGTTGCTAACATTGAGCGCTAGAATTGTGTTATCAAGCCCCCTGTTAATCTTTCGACTGCCCTGCGCGAGCGGCACCGTCGGCTGTGTGTCACTTGCGTCAAGGCTCCCATTGCGGCGCTCGCATCGCCGGCATTGGATATATCTCTGCCTCTCAGCTCCGAGGCTGTACAACGCGCAGTGTGTCAGTGCGACACCGAGGGCGTCTGGCTATGTCAGCCTTGTGGCAATGGCATCGGCAGTGCAGACCACGACTATAAAGGGTATGTTTTGCCTCAACTCCATCTCTTTGGCTTTTGTCCAAGGTATCTGCAATCCGAATCTAACGCGACTGTGAAAAAACAGCATCTGGCGTTGGCGCACCAAGTACGGTGGCTTCACTGGTATCGGAGATGGCGACCGAGGCGTAATCTGCGGCCGCGAAGAAGCCTGTCTCGCCGCTCGCGAAAAGGAGCAGGAGATTGACTGCGATGCCGAGGATGCCCGGGGTTGCACCCTAGCTCCGTGGTCGACCGGGTCCTCCTCCGGCACGCCGAGCCCGGGCCCACAGCATACCGGCACCCCCCCTGGCAACGGTTCCGGATTCCCGTTTCCCACCAACGGCACCATCGAGTCCATTGTTGAGGAGATGCGTCAGCAGCGGACGCCGTCGCCGCAGTTGGGACCGGGCTACGATAGACACGAAATCGAGGGGATTGGCGGTATCGTCAAGCGCAAGCTAGTCCGCATGGTGCGCGTGGGGGCCTGCGTGCCCGAATGGGAAGACGAAAAGGGCAGCAGCAGTAAGATCCTGTCCCGCGAAGTGAACGGCACGGTACGAAGCTGGTGCGGCTGGTGCTGGAGAGTCATTCCCGGAGACAAAGACAAGCAACAAGTTGCGAAAAAATGAGAGGGTGAGGTTACAGTAAAGGGTCAAAGGTACTAGACGGTTGGATATGGGTCGTTCTTTTTTTTTTTTCTTTTTTTTTTTTTTGGTGATGATGGCATTCCTTTTCTCTCTCTCTCTCTCTCTGTCCTTTCTATCGTATAAAGGCGTTTTTATCTGGGATGATTATATAGCAATTGCTTCTCCGTTGAGTGCTTTGCTCAACGATAATGGCGGCGTCACAATTAGAGAAGGAAATCTCTCACTCAACTCAACGGGGTTTTGCTCGTATCATGAATGTGTATGATGCAATGTTCGTCATGAAATCTTTATCTCAAGCTTTGTATATCGTACACCACGCTCAGTCCTTTTCACCCTCCTCCAATGCCCAATTCCTCTTTATACACATGCTCGTGTCAAACATGATATCTTGTCAATGCCACAACGTCCCAAGCCATCCGAAGCTGTATATTCGCCTTGATCTATACAAACAGCTCTTTTGCCCTCCTCTGCCCGATTCTTCCACACAACTCATCCAAACCCTTATAACTCGCCCCGATACAGCATCTCGGCTCTCCTCTTCCGGTCCTCCCTCGCCTGTGTCCTCTTGGGTCCCCATCTCTCCATCTTCCTCTCCATCTTGCCCTTCAGCCACTGCAAATGCTCTGGCGGCGCCGGCGCAGCCATCTGCACAAAGACAGTTGAGCACTCAAACTTGCGAGCAAGCTTCTGCACGCTCCACGTCAGGGGATCCTCGTTGCGCAGGCGGCGCATCTCCTCAATGTGCTCCTTGGTCAGGTTGTACTTTGCCTCGCGGCGCTTGTAGCGCATCTCCGGGGGCAGCTCGCCGTTTGCTTGTGAGTAGGCCGTTGGGTCGTTTGAGCTGCTGCGGAGGCGCATGATGGCGAGGCGGCGCGGGTCGTTGCGCGGCAGGAAGATGAAGGGCGTGTGCTCGGGCGAGGCCTCTGACGCGGGCGGGTTGTAGATGATGGAGTCGTCGGCGGGGAAGGCGGCGGTGCGCGAGGGCAGGAAGGAGTCGTGGGGAGCCATCTTGAGGGCTCGCTTGGTGCGGGCCGTGGTCTTGTGGCCGCGGGAGGAGGTGAGCGGGAGGGAGACGGCGGCTGTGGCTGCTGCTCTGGGGGTGGAGAGGCAGCGGAGGGGATTGAGCAGCTGGGAGGCCGGCCGGAGGAGAGAGCGAAGATCCATGATGAACTGTGGTTTTCAAAGGTGGGATGATGTGTGGTGCTGAGGCTTTGTGCGGGGGATCCTCCCAATGGCGCTGGGAATCGGCTGGCGAGGCAGGAGAATGCCGGGATCTTGAGATTGGGGGCAATCTCTGGCGGATAGATCGACCAGACGGCGGCGAGATTCGTGGCTGCGTGGGTGCCCCGTGGTATCCAATATCGACCGACTGCTTGTCGTTTCTGCGCTTTTGGCATCTAAGTGAAGGTTTTTGCAACGGACGATGTATGGTTACGTAAGTGATGCTTAGCTAAGGTGCTTGATTGAGATGCATGTCACGTGGGGCATTTGATGTTAACTCTCAGTGATACTACTAGCTAGGTACCTATGAAGAGATGTAATTGAGAATTTGGGTTGTATTCTATGGCATGTATGACGATAATTTGATAATCATGCTTGAAATGTAGATGTTCTTCATTTGAAATTCGCCGCCGAAGGGACCTGTTATTGCGATGAAACACGGCGATTTTGGAAACGTGAGCTTCATCGATCTGCAGTCGGCTTACTAACACCATCTTGGAGATCATCGACACTCTAACGACTATCTAGGCATAAACATATCATCTGAACAATCCTGACGAATTTGGACGACGGACATGTGCTACCGCTTCGAAGCGTTCTAACGGATGAGGATGCCAGGCACATGTGCAACATCCAGCGGAAGAGCTCCCTCGTCTGGACACGGCAGGATATTTGCTGCTCCAGTCAGCACGCTCCACGATGATGCTCACTTCTCACCGCGGAACAGCCAAACTAGCAGTCGGGGACCTTGCATAGTGCCATGTGACGTCGGCAGCCTCAGTGGATGCTAGCCGCATTATCTCACCAAGGTACTTTTTTTCTTCTTCTTCTCTTGTTCGCTCTCCCTGGAGGCCGTCAGCTGGTGGGTGCTGAAGCTTGTCGAGATGACTATGGAGTATCAAAGACTCAGCACCTCGTATGGATCCCGCTTTGCTACTTTCGACTGTGGAGGATCTTTTGGGGATCCTGACGTCTAACAGAAGCGAAAAGAAATCACTTAGAGTCAATTAATCTTGACTGGCCTAGCGTTGTTCGACAAGAGGATGTGCAGCGCACGAATGGCAGGGGGAGCAATTGAATCACGATAGGAGCTAAATTGTCTCTGATACGTGATCTACAAGGTCACTATCGGCGACCTTGAAAACTCGCTGGCACAAGTACGACCAACGCTGGCGACGCATGATATGATGCGCATTGCTGCCAGGGTTTCGCAGCAACGCCCTTGTCTCGCCTTGCTCACTTACACCTCCCTCGAGGTGATGCTAGCTATCTAGCCGAGTACCGTTACGGCGTAGTTTCTTTTAGGGTGCAACCAATTACGCGGGAACATTGCCATGGTATGGGCTGTGGCTTCGGGCTGGCACGTTGGTTCAGTTGAGGGGCAGACATCACGAGGACCGAAAAAAAAAAAGAGGGAAAAGAAAACAAGCTCATTATGCATTGCACATAATGGGCTGTAATGCGTATCCGGCCGGTCGGTTGAAGTCCGAGGTCTATTTTTTGCGCTTCTCTTTTTAATTTCTGATTCTGTCCGAGTGGATGGTGCCGTAATGGCGGATGTCTCTCGATGACATGCGTGGATTGTCGTTGCTGGAGAGGCCATGTGAGTCGCAAGGATCGAAGCTCTTGTTTCGAGATGGCCATTAGACATTGGCCCAGCAATTATTTAAACGAGGTATTCAATACCAGCACAGAATGCTCGAGCGCATCCCTCATTCACACGGGGCGCAAAAGAGGGGGCCGATGAGGCTGAACCATGAGGTGCGTGTAAGTCGTAGACAAAAAGTCTCAATACCACCGTGCATCTCGTCAAGACTCGAGTCCCTGGAGATTGAGGTGGTACCGGAACGGTGATATGGGATACCCCGGAGATGGGGTTGGTGCGTCCTTTACTGAATGCCAGAGATGATGAAAAATGAAGATGAAAGAAGAAAAGTAAAGAAAAAAGTGAATCACATGGTAGCACTTGTGGGAGCCTAGCGAGCCAAGATGAGGCCGAAAATGGCACAGATGTGCGAAGGTGGTCTGCATTTAGCAACCCGTCCATTTCCCTGCTGCCACGTCGAGCCGATGCAATGAATATCAAATACACTACACTACACTATACCCAGGTGGTTGTGAAAAGGCCTCGGCGCAAAAGCCAATGGCCGGCGATTGCAGAATCGGCGGTGCGGGAGCCTCGCATCAATCCGTGTCATTGTGCATTGCCGGCGTCTTGATCCAATGTTTCTTGTGGTGGTACTCCGTGGCACTGGGGCTTCAGGCACTTCAGGTCCTTCAGGTACGGGCGGCGCAGGTACACGAGGGTACAAGCGGGACACAGATGGAGGGACCTGCAACAAGAGCTGGGTGCACCAAAAAGGCTGCTGTGCCGCAGATGACGCAGTACCGTGTACGCGCTGCCACTTGGCTGCGGCCGCGATCAACGCCGGGTGGGTGCTGCGCATCAGAGGTACTCGGTACCTGGAGCATGTACGTCACAACGGCGGCGGTTCAAGCCGGCATGTCTTGAAAGGTCGCTTCCGCTTCCCTGGGTGTCTGGAATTCTCCCCTCATCACAAGTCGTCACAATCCTTCGCCATCGGCTGCGACTCTCGAGGTTTCGGCGTCATCTCATCTTGCATCTCGTCTGCCACCATCCCTTGGGATTGATTTTCATCTGCTCGCAGGGGATTCAGCAGAGAGATCAGTTCAATCAAAAAAGTGAATCGCCCTTCCCTTCACTTTCATCCCAGATACCGTGACAGAACGGCACCAAGTCCCGTCTGCTATCCACCAGACACCCCAGCTCTTCCCAGCTTCGCAGGTCCACCAACGGACCGCCGACCTGTTCCCCCATCTAGCGGGATCGCTGCGTTCTAAACCAGTCCAAGCCTCTGTGTCTGCGTCACGCTGCCTGTGCGAGTCTGGCCCCCAAATCAAGCACAAGAGACAAGACGCAGCAGAAACGGCACCTCGAAACCAAAGCTCCCACGGCCTGGCTGGTGGTTTGGCGCCTGTCACACCAAAAGCAGTCTCTTGCGCACTCAGCGGGTCCGTTCGTGTCATCTGAGGAACGACAGCGGCCCCCCCAGCAGGTACGACGTGCGAAGCAGCATTTGCTTCACCAATATTGGTCGCCACCCCCGTCTGTCTTCTTCCCCTTCGCAGGGCAGCGGCGAATGGCGGCCCTTGAATCGCCTAACCGTCGTGCGTGCCGATAAAACACTCGTCAATTCTCTCTTTTCCTCCTCATCCTCATACCATCACCGCCCTCATCTTCATCCTCAAACGTCTCTTCATCGCCTGTCTGTCCTTTCCTTGTTTCCACCGATCATCGTCTCTCCTGTCGATCGCGCAACACGGTCCTTGTGGTCTGCGTCTTTCATTCCTTGACGACAGCACTTCGTACATCGTACTAAAACCGAGCCCGTCTCCGTTGTTCCAACGACCATTCCCGTAAATCAGCAGACGCGTGCGTCTTTGCTCACCTGGCATCCTGTCGACTGCCAGCACCTCCCATAATGAGCCTCGCTGAACCAGCTCAAATCAATCCCACCGCCATTGCCGGCGACCGACGGAGCACAATGGCCGACGAGAGGAGCGTTGGCGGCGATTCAACGCCACGAGCGATTGATGGCACATCATCCGACCGTCTGGTGGAGCAGTTCAAGAAGGAGAGCAAGAGTAAGAAGCGAAGCCTTTTCGGCTTCGGCAAGAAGAAGATGGACGCTTCCCCCAAGGCTGGCCCTGGAACCGAGAGCCCGAGTGTCGCCAAGGGACCGTCAAAAACATCCACCGCTCGCTCTGCCGCTCGATCAACCACGTCGCCAATCCAGCTCACCCATGGCGACCATCCGTTTGCCCCTGTTTCTCCAACCCGTGCGTTCTCCGGCTCTCCGAGAATATCCTCCCCTGCAACCTCCCAGATATTCGAACGTGATGTGCAAGACTACTCCATCTTGAAATCCTCGTCTCCAGCCATTCCAAGCCACATCCAGACGGAGAACCATATCCCTCCCGTCCTGGATGACGCGTCAGAAGCAATCACCAACAACAGCTTGGATCCCGATAGCGTTGAGATTGTTACACACGCTTCGCACCAGCCTGCTTCGGCAGTCGTCCCCGGCACAAGCGCCATCCACACCCCGTACGATCAAGTCTCGACTGATTGGGCTACAGAGCTCGCCTCATTTGCAAACCGCATTGGTTTCCCAGCCGATAGCGCGTCCAACTACGGCTCTCTTGACTCTGCTGATGTGCGCCGCCTCTCATTCATCTCGTTTGCAGATGTTGTTCAGGCGGAACACAGCGGCCACCACCTGCCCTCCATGTCGTCTCGAGATAACATGCACATTGTCGGTCTCACGTCACTTTCTGCATCAGCCATGAACCGATCGCCATCACCCATTCGTTCGCCAGTCTCCAGCCAGGGCCCTGGAACTAGCCCGCCAACAAGCAATCCCGGCAGCATAAAAGGTTTGGATATGAGCCCGTCAAGGAAACCGATAGGCAGCCCAGGCAGCGGACATTATACTCTCGCGACGCCCGGAGAACTCAACATCGAGACAATGAGCCAGGCACTGAAACGCACAGGAAGCCGAGACTTTAACAGCAGCGTGCGCAGCAATCCTCAGAGCCCTATTGAGGCGCCGGGTTCGCGATAAGGGGAAGACGAAGGGGGAAAGCTTGAGCAATATGCTACAAGCTGGGCATTATAGCCCACCAAGGCGAGCCTTTTCTTTTTACAAGTTCGATTTCTACCATCTTTAATTCTCCTCGTCAATTTGTACGAGCGGGCTTCTTTTCTTCAGCCATGTTATTTTATTCGCCATTGCTAGCTGCACGCAAGCAATACCAAATTTGGACAATCGAGGGTTGCTAGGAGTTGGAAGAGACATGTTTAAATCCGGCGCTGAGCTGCGGGGTGGCCCTTGAGTGGCTTTTTTCCTATCTTCTCTTCTTTGGTTTGCTTCTTCTATTTCTCTTTTCTTTTTTGCTTATGGAGAACAGGAAGTTGCTCCTTTTATCTGCACAACGTGAAAAGACGGGATGATTATTGACTGCTATGGGATGAATTTTGATTACCTTTTCTTTTTTTTTACTTTTTTTTTTGCAGGCAAGCTCGGTGCGAAGGAGTGGGTTGTAGCTTGTTTTATATGCCGATTACTTGAATGATTATACTAAGAATGAAGAGAATTGAAACAAAGTATATCTGAGTTACTCTTGGCTGATGGTCGTCATTGCTCTAGTGATTTGTGCTTATTCGTTATGAAAAGAATGCTCTCAATGTGCTGACTGCGTATCTCCGCAACGACCACATGCCGTCTATTTCAACCAATCTGCACATCAGTATTTCTGATAATGCTATATAACACTAAGCACGGAGCACTATATTAGCATCCTCCGTCCACATGTCAGTGCCACCCATGCGGCAGGAGGGAAAAGACACGATGCCCATGATATGCATGCACGTCGAGTCATTTCTATCTAGTTGCCCCCCCCCCCCCCCCCGAAGAAAATCGCTAACGATGCCGGGGGGTGCTGTTCCCACAGAGATCCATCGGACTGGGTCTTTTGGGAAAATGGAGAAAACGAGACAGCCACCAAACTTTTTTTTTTTTTTTTGTAATGAGGGAGTGAAAAATAAGGCGAATGGATTTCATTTGTCGGGCTGTGCTGCTGCTGCTGCAGAGTCAGTTGAGCGCATTGAGGGACATGAGGCCATTTTTTCGCTTCGTTGGCGGGTGGAAACAGGACTTTTTGGGTTTTATTATCCCTCTTTTATGTGTATGGATGAGTGAGGTCTTTTTTTTTTTTTTTTTTTTTTTTGCGCAGCTTTCTACGGTAATGTTGCTACGGTTGTTACGGAGTGCTATTTCATGTCACATGTCTGTATATTTTTCGGACTTTGTTCTCCGTAGGACGTAATACGAGTAACATGATTTCTCGCCACGATGAGAAGAAAAATGGAATGAATTAAAATTTTCGTGTCGCGTGCTGGAGGGCATAATGTTTCAGATTGTGGAGATTCGAGTAAAACGTGTCAGACTTTTTTTTTTCTTTCTTTCTTCATTTCATCCTTTTTTTTTCTCGGGTCAGCTTATGTGGTTAGATGTGTGTCGGAGTGGTTTCAGATTGAGAGGAAAGCTGTTTGTGATGAATCGGACGGTATATTGCAGCTCGCTACCGCCTACCAGGGACTATTCATTTCGTTTGAAATGAGGCGGTGGTTTGTGCCTTGGGGATGCAAATTGGGTATTGGGTATTGGCTGTATTAAGATTGAAGATAAACGTGGCATTAATGTCTTACATAGTACAAGAGTGAAATGGCCTGAAAAGAATTTGAGGCTAATCAAACGACCCTGCATCCAATGCTACGCTTCAATTCAACAGCCAGGAACGCCCGTATGATTGGCCCCCAATTGGCCCCCTTCGGCCACCCTCCGTCAAAAAGTCAATAGTACGACAAAGGAGTCTCTCTTCGCCCTCAATTCATGGCCGGTACTGTTACGGTACTCCGTTTCCAAGCAGGCGAGACGGGTGCCACAGTAGCTCGCATGCATGTCTCGCAGCGGGAATTACTGGCTCCTGTCCTACGACGGACTGAGGCCTCTCAGTTTATTACAGGCACACATCGTGCTACTTGGCACACGAGATAGTCCGGCTTTTAACGCCTCATCTTATATTATCCAGAGTGTGCCCAGGCGGTAGTTGGACCAGCTAGATCCTTGATTCGCAACAAGATCCTGTTTCGTCCCTCCCGTTGTCGCTCACTCCTTTTTCCCAGTCGTCTATCGCGTCAACCATGGCATAAATAATCATCGAGAAAAAAAATCAACCCATCCAGAATGACCATCTGACCGATCCAAGGACGCTACCAGGGACAGGCCCTCCAGCCTCTAGCGGAACCACACCGTAAACAGCCTGGGCCACGGAGCACGCCCCTCTCCAGAGAAGAAAAAGAAATAAAGAAAAAAAAAAATAGTAATAACCCTTTAACCCTTGCTGGGCTGGTATCTGTGGGGGTGGCTTCTGGTTCAACTGCGAGTGAGTGCCGGCTGTACCTGGTCCGTCTCTCCTCGAGAGGTGGTCAGAAATGCTGCTTGGGAATAGCAGCAGTACTAGTCCGGAGAACTACTACCATCCAGGTAATAGCTGTACCATGGACGAGGTTCGGAGAAGCCATGACGGGGATTAGCTTGGGAATGATGATCCTTGGGTCACTCCCCGACCTGAGATCCAAGCCGACGGTTCGCTCACGAGGGCTCACCGACGAGCCCCAGCATAGATATGGAGTTGCGTACGCAAGAGTCAAGGTTCGAGAACAACGTCCAGCACACCGCTTTTGATGACGCAGAGGATTTCCCTTTCCCGGGTGGCAACATTCATCATGCAAGATAGGAGTTTGTAATTAGTAGAATAGCCTCTGGACTCGCAGACAACTTTGTCTTTCAGGTAGTACCAGTACCAGCTCTTCAAAGTGGCCACTGCACTGTATCAATTCTTCATCGTCTTTGCCAGGAGATGGTAACCAGCTCGTCCGATTTATAATTAGCATGACGTTGTCTTGGGGGCGCTGACAGGTGCTAGAGCATCTGTCGAGCATTGATGCTGTTCTGATCCATGTCGTGCTCCAAGCTCCACCGTGACGCCACTAGCCAGCGAGCCAGACATGGTGCTGATGGGCTTACGGCAGTTTGATGCGATAGCTTCGATGCTGGCCTCTTGTCAAGTCGACCAGCTGCGTTCCGTGCAATGTTGCCGCAGTTGCCACCGTCATTGTTCGGGCTCGTCCGGATGTTCCAATGCTTCGGTGCAGGCGCTTCAACGGGGCGTCATCTGTATAACGCATCACTAGCCGCAGGTAAGATTGTGGTCGCACGAAGCTCCGTTAATACAAGACGGGTACACTCACTGACACAAGCTCACACGTATCATCATCATCAGCCGCTAGGCTCCGGCCCTGGCGAGGAACATGACATGGACAGGCAGACGAGAGCGAGCAGTGGCGTCCGGCCACCAGCTAGCAGCCCAAGATTGATTTAATTCCGTGGCCTCCTTCTCTAATTTAGGCGGAACGAAACACGGGTCGGTACGGCTGGAGATAGATTTGCTAGTGAGGACGCATCCCGTTGATGACGGCCTGCTTGCACCAAGTATCAAAGTCGCCTGCGCTCAGCAGGGAGGCTTTAGTCCGGTGATACCCTGAGTGGTGTCATGTTGCCTATTGCCGGTAGCCTGCAGCCTGGTGACAGTTGTTGAGTAAAGGAGTAAGAATAGCAGCAGTTGCTCGGGGTAGTACAGAGTACCTAGGAGTAATACGCGGCGCGGTGTAGAATGTAAGATCCACGGAGCATCGCGTGTGTCGATTGACAGCCTCGGGCTGAGCAAGAGGCGTCTTCCAGGGACAGGAAGGCTGCAACAGAGCATTGATCCTTCTCAAGTACTGCTGACGGCCTCTTCCGCCTCTCCCATCAGGAAAAAAAAAACATTCACCTTTGTTCCATTTCTCTTCTCTGCACCCATCCATCTCGCCTCTCTCCCTCGCTCGTATTTCAATTGGATATCTGTTGGTCACTTTTCGGCCGGCTCCTCTCAGCTGTCGTTAGCTTCTGGCTTCACCTGCCGGAAGTGTCCAGAAGCCCGGTAGCGGCTGTTGGAGGGGGAAAAACGAACAAGGTCTCCAAGGCAGCCAGCCCTCCATCTTTGAAAAAAAAAAAAAACCAACAGAATTGTTGGAGAAAGGGCAAGGAATTGGAATTTCCCGAAAAGCTGACAGTGGCCGAGCCAGGCAGCCGGTCGACACGAGATCAAGTCGAGCACGTCTGCTACGAGGCATCACTTGGCGGGTTTGCTGCAGCCAACGCCAAACCGTCCTCGTACATAACAAGTACGAAGTACTTGTTCGAGTGCTGTGCTGTACGATACATGGGGACTGCATCAAGTCGACAGTAGCACCGCAAAAAAAGTACACTTTTGATCCAGCATCGCGCTCGCCAAGGCCGCAGCAAGCGGATACAGAAGCTCGACGGGCCCCATCTCGCCAGTCCATTTGTCCGGCCGAACAAATCCTCCTAGAGCTGCTCTCGGTCGTCCACCGCCCAACTGGCCATCCCACCGCCCTGGTCCCGTATCCCCATGCCCGTAACCTCGCTGACAAGGGCTTCGTTGGATCGACACCGCAGCACCGCGAATGCTTGGATGCCCCAAGGGGTCCGCTCAAGGACTTTGGTTTGCGCCTGTGTCCGCTGTGGGTATCAGAGCACAGTTGCTGGGACGGACGGGCCACTAGCATCCTCACACGACGTCAAGGTCCTTCTCAGAAGCCTCCGGCGACTTTTGGCTGGAACTCTATTCCCAGGGTGTGTCCGGCATACATCCAGTACTGTGCTGGAGCTAGTGCTTGTAAGCACGCCAGAGAGACAACAGTCGACCAAGGAGCGACTACTGCCGGTGCTGCCAGGGACAAGACCACGGCTTACCACGCGAGCTGGCAAACTCTCCCTCTGTGTGTGTTGTGTATGCGTGTTTGCCAAGGGGGGAGAACCAACCGTGGGCAATCCCGCAGACAGCCTACACACACACTCACACACACTGACACAAACTCTCCCTCCTTCTCTCTCTCTCCTCGCTTCCCATCCATCGTGGGGAAGGGAACTGCGAG